TCGCCGCACTTGTCTGTGCAGAAGCTGCCGAACGAAACGACTGGAATGCCGACTACAGAGTCAAAGTCTTCTTTGGTCAGTCAGACCCTCTTCGCCAAGAGCCCAAATCTCCGACCTCCTTCACTTGCTGGCTCGAACTATGGCTCGTCGCAGGGCGCTGCGAGCTCGTATGCTGGCTCGCTGTACGACATGTACGTCGAAGGCGACCGACACAGTGCAGAAGTTTCTGCCTTCCACAACGACGACTATGAAGGGTCCAGGTCTTCCTACTTGCCCGATGGAGTCGGTGCGGAGAAGAATCACATCGAGGTGACGGAACGCGCAGATGGGTCGATTGTCTGGCAGGTCATTGCTGGCCTGGGAGGCAAAGAGCGTTTGGCATCCATCGATGGCAATGGCAATCGCAATAGTCGCTACACGGGGTACAGCGGGCACTCACGCGCAGACAGCCAGTCGTCGCAGCTCTCTTTCCTGCAGAGGGCATCGCTCGAGGCTTCGCCCAATCCGGCTGGGGTCTCTGGGCCAGCCTTCATGGAGAGGACCTTCTCTGGGTTGCCAGCCAACAGGGACGAAGACTCTAGATCGCTATTCTCTCGACAGAGGACTGGAAAGCAGTCGTCCCTTGACCAGAAGGGGCTTGATCTGCCACCTGTTCCCTTGCTGCCGCCATACAACTCAAAGAGCGCGGGGGCTGTGCAAGCCGCAAATGGACCCAGCTCAACAACCGATGGGACAGACGACGACAATGAGGTGCTTCTCCCATCTGGAGACACCCAACGTCAAGAGCGCTCCTTTGACATGGCCACTCCCAGCGCCGGCGTGACCCGCGTGGTGTACTCAAATGACGTAGAGCTAGAGCAACTCCTCGAAGCCATGGCCCGACGGACAGACGCGGCCAAGTTTCACTTTGACCCTAGGAGTCGCGGCAGTGCTTCGAGTCAGCGCGGCGAGGGCGCTTCAGGGCTGGGGAGCGCGGTGATGCAGAGAGATGTTACGGCGCGGCAGGGGGATTACGGCACAATAGAGGCAGAGGGTGGAGCAAGGCCTGCGAGCGATACCCCGGACGAAGCAGCGAGGAAAGTGGAGGAGGAGATCATGAGCATCCTGGCTCTGAGAGGGGAGCAGGGCGGGAGGACAAGCAAGGAGCAGATATACCCAGGTAGTAGTAGTAGTAGAGACACAGAGGAGGAGATAGGGACTGCGCAGCGTGCTGCAGACGCAGATGCAGAGCAGACGGTCACGACGCCTCGTCAGAGTCAGGAGGGGTTCACATAGCTTATGAGGAAAGGAGGTCAAGGTCGAGCCTGTACATAATCGGAGACTATTCGACCCCCTTTTTGCTTGAGCTATACACACTCGCTCACAGACAGTCTATGAGCAACGAATCTTCACGACCAATGCTCGTGTGCAACGATGTTTGCCCGCCGAAGGTGGTACGGTATGCTATCTCTGATGGTATGACTGGTAAGACTCTTGGTATCCCCCATCACAAGCATAGCTGATTCTGGTCGCACAGACAATCTCGATGGCAGTGCGTCGGCGCTTTATCGGTCTCGTGATCCAGCAAGTCACAAGGTAAGTAGGATCCATCAGATCGTGTTTTAAAGAATAGAGTGGGCAAAAGGACACTCATGAAGATGCAGTAGCATTGATCAAGCCGACGTATTGTCGGACAACTCGGTTTCCGGCACACACAGAGCTCGAAGCAGCAGTGAAGATGATGCTGGGGAAGCTCACGTCAGTACGTGATGTATGCGAAGCCCTGTAGATTCAGCAGTCGCTGGCAATCCCCTGCCCTCTTTCTCTCAGTTGCACAGGTAGTCATCGATGTTCTTGTCGTAGACGCAGTCCCGGGCACAGTGCGTTGCCGCGGTGTCCGTCTTCTTTTCCAACAGTCCACAGGGTGTGTAACCGCTGTCGCCTGTGGGTCGTGACACATGGCGGAGAGGTAATCATAAGCTCGAGGCATCATGAATCTACAGAGGGATAGCTAATGTACTCACCGTGCTTGTTCCCACAGTACGCTTGTCCCATGGCGTTCATGATACATGGACCACTGCAGCCATAAGAGGTCAGAAACAAGCCAAACATCGTCAACCATCGATAAAGGGACTAAGAGCAGGCAGGCGTGGAAGAGCACTGTACACTCACTCGCATGCCCTCCATTTGCGGTTTACAAAAATCGCACAAGTGGAGGCTGTGGGTTGTAGAGATCAGACGGTGTCAGTGTCTTAACGGCGTACAGCGGCACAAAGCGTCCACAGCTCCGCCGCTTCTTCTTACCCAGTGTGGTGGATGAAAAAAGCATGCAGACAGCGATCGCAGCGAAAGTGAATTTCATGATGAGTGAGTAGGTGGGTACGGAAAGGTAGGAGTGGGCGGGCGTCTGTAAAGTTGCACTCCTACTTGTACATTCTTCTACCTCACGCTTGTCACCAATGCTGAGCTCAGCGCAGAGATTAGGAACCAGGCAACGTATTCCGTGCCGGCGGGCGGTAGTATAGCGACCAAGGAGGCCAGCACTTGCGTGCCGCTAATGGTAACAACAGGGGTCGGCCCGCATTGACTCCCTCTGAATTCCCGCCGTGGCTACGGTCCAACGTCAGGATCTTTGCAAGCGTAGTCTTGGATGTTCTTATCCCACAGACAGTCTAGGGTGCATTCCTGTGCCGAGGTTGCTGATTTGGAGTCCAACAAGACGCACAAGGAGCCCGGATCGCCTGCATTTTTGGCCGTGGAAAATCGCGTCAGAAGGAACGAGCTATGGTATACTGTACTACGACCGAGATCAGAGACAGCGACCCACCGTGTTTGGTGGAACAGTAGGGCTGCCCCTTGGCGTTCATACGACAAGCACCTCTGTAAACATAGGAAGGCCGATGGGCATCAGACATAAAGAAATGCCTGGGAAGCTCAATCGTGGATCTCTTGGAATACTCACTCGCATGCCCGGTACCCAGTATGCGTCACGACTCCACACACCGAAGCTGTACGTCACGGGCGAGATTCTGTATAAGTACATTGGCGACGCTCAAGGCCTACAACGTGACTGTCCATGCTCACCGAGCGCAATGGAAGAGGCCACCAGGCAGACTGTGATGGCAGATAAGACGACCTTCATGATTGGCATATGAGAGGGAGAACACGGAGGGTATGGTAGCTAGACATGAGCGGGGCTTCGGTCTCCAGCGACTGACCACATAAGACTGCTGTTCGATTGCCTCCTAGCAAGCCTGCATTCCTTATCATTCCGGGCCGCAATATACAGTACCTGCCACGACGCGCCCTGGTCGCGCGGACCCTCTCCCCAAGATGCAAAGTTTTTCCGGTACCTGACGCCGAGCCAGGGTCACAATTCCGAATACCAGTCGAAATCCGGCATGTGCAAGCACAAGGGAGAGCAGCGTCGGTACGAAGTCACTGTAAGCTGAGGCTGTTGTCGACACAACATAGCACGGTGCCCGGAAAGAGCGATGTCTGGTGAGCGCTTTTCCTCTCAAGCGACGCTTCGCCACACAATTCAGACGTACTTGTAATAGAGCATCTGCAATCACAAAGAGAGCAAGACATCACAAGCCCAGACTGTAAAAATGTATCTTGATGTCGGTGAAGAGACGCAATAATCGCTGGCGGAAAACAACGATATGGATGGGTAGGTCTTGCATACGACGGCAGGATATTATTTCCAATGCCAACGGTGGCAACCATTGTCATGGGTCGCCCCCAGGTAGCCACAACCCAGGGCGGCGCCGCAATGCTCGATTGGTACGGTGGAGTGTGCAGTCCTGAGAACCGCACACGGGGCCCGCAGATCGCCTGGACGGATACATTCTGGTGAGACTGGGCCTTTCTTCTCAACGTTCTGATGCCGCTCGAACTGCTATGACTTACCGGTCCAGCCCCTACCAGCACAGCTGGTAACTTGGTCTAGGTCCGCGGTGCATGCACCCCTGAGAAGAGTGGGTGGTAGCGGATTACAAGGACCGCAAGAGGTGTTCAGAGAGAGAGGGGAGATCGTCTGCTACTCCTTTGGAAACTTACGGGCAAGCCCTCCACTTTCCCTTCACCTTAATCGCACACTTGTTGGCTGCGAAAAGGCAGTCAAAAGTCGCAAAGCGGTGAGCACGGCATTCTGAATCCTGATGCATCATTCTGTCCACGTACCAAGCGCCATTGAGGCGAAGACGAGGCAGAGCGTAGCGACGCTGAAGGTCTTCATGATACTTTTGTGCAGATGGGCAAGGCAAATCTCTCATGGGCAGTGGGCACAGCAGCGACGCAGGCTATTATATACCTCAATCTATGCCCCTCCACGCAGCGCCTTTGTTATGGCGGCACATAGGTGTGTCGGTAGTCCGAGATCGAAAGTGAGGCTTTCTGCGCCCTACATGTCCAAGGGAGCTCGAAGCGCACAGCCTCGGAAGTACAGTAAGGTGTGCCTGCATTTCGCCCTGAAGCCCCCATGGGACCTTTGTCAGTGTACATCACAGCAAGCCGGCGCCCCTACTAGTCTGCCCGACACTTACCTTTCCACCGGACGAGGAGCGCCCTGGACGAAGGGCAGGCCCTGCACCGGTCGGCCAGGAGCGCCGGTCGCTGAGCTCAGCGCGCAAACCCGGCTATGCTTTGCATAACGATGCTGGAGCAACGTTCCCGGGCGCTTGCGCCAGTGGTGTAACGCACTGTACCTCACCATTTCTCAGGGGCTCCTGAGCCCAAAAGTCCGAAAGGCAACGTCTGGAGTCCGATGAACTCCACGAAGTGGCACTTCTTCACACGCATGCGCATGCTCTTGGTGTCTTGGCCGCGACCTGCGTATAGAGCACAGAAGGAAAGTCACGTCACAATTCACAAGAGGCACCATGGACACACGGTGTTCGGCAGAGAGACCAATGGTGTCGATTGATATGGGAAAAAGGGCGCTCGATATAGAGTAATCATGATGTACTCGCTCGCTCAAGTTGACATCTATCGGCAGCCACTGCCCCGAATGCTACCGAGGGAGCCGCACCCCTGTCCCTTGTCGCACTGCCTGTGTGGCTGGCTCGATGCCCGAGACAGAAACTCAGCGCAAGGCGTACCGGCATCGCCTGTGAGGGTACAGAGGGGTCAGACTGGATCGGATTTTTAGGGACCATGCCGCTAGAAGCCTCAGACTTACCGATTCCACCGCCACTAGGGCCGGCACATTTGGAGGCACCAGACCTGTCAACAAAGCAGCCACCCCTACAAGTCTTCCATTGTCCGTTCGACTTGATTCCACAGAATTTGGCTGTTGTAAGGCGAGAAACAGTCAATGATGCAGACGCTGAATGCTTGGCGTTCCGGTCTGCCGACTCACCAAGCGTCGTTGACGCGAACAAGGCGCAGAGGATAGCAGCGCTGAAGATCTTCATGATGATTTGTGGAACTAGGCGAGGTCAAATGTTTGTGCAGTGCAGGGCAGTGAAGTCTTTATGTAGAGCACTTGCTCTCTTGTGCGACAACCCCTCCGTGAAGGCGGCGAGTAGAATTCCGGGTACTCCGGTAATCCGTACTTCCCGTACATGGACCTCCGCGGACATGGCCACTCCTCTCCTTGCTGGCGAAGGGTCTTGTTCCTGAGTCCTCAAAAGCAAAGCCCCGACAGGCTGGAGTTCGGCAGCCACGCTGAGGCCCGACGCTGAGGCAACGGCCGAGGGCGTCTTAGCCCCCGATGCAAGGATCCAATGTACCTCGACATTGATTCGGAGGCCCTACCCGAAAGAGTGTGAGAACTGAGCTTTCCAGAGTGACTTCCGCTACCTAAGCTCTCCTCCGTCGATTGGGCACAATATGGTGGACACAATGGAGCAGCCGTCACGAGCACACGGAGCACAAAATGTATTTGTCAGCAGAAATACAAGAATCGCTTGAATATGAGTCGAGATGAGGGAGAGGGCACATGGCGACTGAGGCCCACAGCCTGCTCGCAACGGAAAATCGTCAGCCTAGCTAGTGGCAGCCCATATCTTTGATGTTGCCAAGGTAGCCACACCCCTTGCCCTTGTCGCACTGCTTGACTGGCTGTTCCGAATCTCGGGACTTGAGGACGGCACATGGCGTGCCGATGTCGCCTACGCGGGTATGTGTGACCACGTCAGATCCCTCTTCTGGCCCCACTGATGGACTCGCAGCTATGACTATAGCACTGTGACTCACCGGTCTCTCCACGAGGACCGAAACATTGAGAATAGCCAAAGATGTCAGTGGTGCAGCCACCCCTTGTGAGGAGGTAGAGCGGGTCGTAGAAGACGCAGAATGATGTCAGCCGATCCAGAGTGTGCCTGCCACACGTTCGAGATCTCACGAGCACGTCTTCCATTCTCCTTTGAACTTGAGCCCACAGAAGTTAGCTGTCGGGAATACAACGCAGTCAACGAGGCGGGCTTTTGATTGCTGTCTGCGTCAGACTTTTCACTCACCAAGCGCCAGTGAAGCAAAGGTGAGGCAGAGCATCGCAATACTGAAGTTCCTCATGATGGTGGACTTGAGATTGTAAAAAGGGGTCGAGAGCTAAGCAGTGAAGAGGAGAAGCACAGAATTTGACTACGCTTATGTAGGGACCTCAAAATTTCTCGCAATAAACTCTTCACGCAGAGCTCAGGGGCCGACCCTTGCAGCAAATATTGAAGGCGACCACTCTCGCTCTGCGCCTCGGAAACCTCGCAGAGCGTCACTGAGTTTCCCGGGAACAGGTAGAGAAACTCATCCCGTTCCTGAAACAATGACGCTGTACGGTACGCGGAGGTGTGGTAACATCAACGAGTTGGCCAACACGTTCCCCGCTACTTCGCCGACAAGTTGAGTAGCGGAGAGGCGAGCAGCAGTTGAGGAAGCGGGGGCCGCTGGTGTAATGTATGGCAGTACTCATGCTGAACCCCAATCGATACGTTCACTCCATGGTTCACAACCTCCTGATCGCAAAGAAGATCGCACGTCGCAAGCGAAAGAGACGAAATATATATTTGTCAGCAGTGCAGAGGAAAAAAGACCGCACACGGTGTCGGTCGCTATGGGAAATCGGCGCGTCGTGTGCGCTGCGTGTGCTCGGCTCGATATGGAATGACAACGGCGGAGCTAGTGGCAGCCGTTGTCTCCCTTGCTGCCAAGGAAGCCGCAGCCCTTGCCCGGGTCGCACTCCTTGATAGTTGAGGTCGAGGCTCGAGATTTGAGCACTCCACAGTTGGAGCCGAGGTCGCCTGTGAGAGATCATCACGGTCAGACTGCGTCTCGTTCCTGATCATCTTTGCTGAGGTTCTTGTAGCTACGGAACTCAGACTCACCGAGGTCGCCGCCTCCTGGGCCGATACACTTGGGCTCGTTCAAGATGTCGACGGCGCAGCCGCCCCTGGGCAGAGCAAAGGCAAGATATGATAAACGACGGTCAGATCTCTTCAGCGGACCCCCGGCGATCATCTGAAACACTGTACGAAACTTACTGGCAAGTCTTCCAAGATCCATTGTACTTGAGACCGCAGAAGTTGGCTGGGGGAAATGCATGCTATCAGCCAAGTGTGAAACTCTTGCGGACATCAGTCTGCCGACTTACCAGCGGCCATTGATGCCAGCATGGCGCAGAGGATAGCAGTGGTGAAGGTTTTCATACTGGGCAAGGCGGAGAGTGGAAATGGGGGAGGGGCCGAGAGTGTTGTGCAAAAGGGGCCAGAGACGAGTGGATTCGAAGCTATTATATAGGTCACCGACCATCACTGAATGCTACATGCTTGGTCGGGCAGCGCCAATGCGATTGCGTTTAGGAAGGTGACTTTGCCCTTCGGTAATCCGAGAGCCGTGCCTGGGCGCTCGAAGGAGGGCTCGTGCAACACCAAACCGATCGTTATATGCGCAGGACCGAAGATTCATGTTCCTGCAGCATCGAGAAAGTGGGGACCAGGGTCCCTCCAGCGCCCTTTGTACCTATCGGCTAAACATTGAGGGCCGAAAGGGGGAGAAAGGGGGGACGTGTGGGTGCCTGCATTTGACTCTGGAGCTCACTTTCGCATTTGTGCTCGGGTCATATTGCTGCCCCCGGGCCCGGAAAACCCGGCACTATGATGCTGCTGTACGCCACAGTTGGAGAGGGGCCGATCTGTGAGTGTTCTACCGAGCGCAGTGTGCTGCTCAGATATCAAAGACAAGAGGCGCACATGTATATTTCGGAAGAGACAAGCGACACACAGTGTCGGTCGGTAAGACAAGAGCTGAGGCGCTTCGAAAGCGCGCATTCAGGCGAAAGGCGACATAATGTGAGCTCAGCTAGAGGCAGCCGTTGTCCTCAGACCCAGCGAGAGGCCCGCATCCCATGCCGCAACTACGGATTGGCGAGGCCGAGACTTGAGCATCGAGCACTACGCAGAGCGAGCCAATATCGCCTGTGGGGGAAGGAAAGAATGGAATGAGATGCTCGTTGTCGCGGCCTTGAGGCCTCTGCCACATGCTCGTGAGACTCACCGGTCTCGGCGCCACCGGCACACTTAGGGACGCCCAGATCATCGACGGTGCACGCGGATCTGAAAACAAAGATTGAAAGCGCAGCAGTGAGGATCGAGAGGAGCCTTGGACAGGACATATCGTCTGCCTTCCCGTTGGTCGGAGGGGCACTCACTCGCAGCTCTTCCACTGTCCATCAGACTTGAGCCCACATGAGGTTTTAGCTTTGGGGGAGCCGAGAAGTGGTCAGCGAGGCACGATCATTGTGTATGCAGGCGCTTTACGGCTCACCAAGCGCCATAAACGCCGACACGAGGCAGAGCATAGCAATGATGAAGGCCTTCATGATGGTGTTGAGGGAGTCGGTGAAAGGGGTGAAGTGGGTGAAGTGGGAAATAAAAGTGGTGGGCGAGGTAAGGTCAACATGACTCAAACTTCGAGGTCATTATATAGGGCGTTCGAAGTGGCTCGCTACAGCCAGATGGTTCATGCCGGACTCTTACAAGGTGTCACCCGAAGGTTGCGAGCCGCCTCGGTTCTGCTGCAATTTGTGCCTTGTGTGCTGTACCTGGAGTCTCGGGTGACTCCCCACAAGAAGTTTCATGTTCCTGAGTGAGGACGAGGGTCCTTCAAGGGCCCACTGTACCTGGCGTTCGAAGCAAGGGGGTGGGGAGGTTGACCCTGCATTGAATCCTGGAGACGGACTCGGGCCTCTTGAGCATTCGCACAAATTGCGCTTCCAAAGGACACGATCACACTTCAGACTGGAGAAGTCTCATGCTGAGCCCCAAGGAAGGAACAGTGAACAGAACTCATGACTACTGCATTGGCGAAAGTCAAGCAAAAGAAGCTATCGACAGCGAAGTTGGTCTAGCAGCAGAAGTGAAGGTCTACCCTGCCTGTGAGCATCTTATGCGAGCCTGAAGTCGGATCTCAAGTGCTACTCTTGCAGGCGTACTGAGGTACGACGTCGAAATGGGAGTAGTAACAGTCACCTGAGCACATCTGGTAGGGGCTCGAAGACGTCGGAGAGAGCAGGGTGACACAGGGGGAAGCGCCATCCCCTATCGAAGCGTAAGGTGTATATCGTGTTGTCAGTAAGAGCTTGGCGCTAGGCTTGTGTGGGCATACCTCGAGCTAATGACCTACCCTGTCGATCTCCGCAAGTGGCGCGTCCGGCGGTGCTCTTGCTGCATGCATCACTGAAGGTTGCGCAAGCGAAGGAAAACAACGGAGTCAAACTCCTTGAGATGGGACGTGACGGCCCTCAGCGTAGCATGAACTCACGAACAGGACGTCCATTGGCCTTCGACCAAGATCCCACATACGTTGGCTGTGAAAGTGCAAGGCAGTCGTCAGGTCCCTGTCAATACCTTCGATTACAACTGCTTTCCTTCGTTTACTAACCCAGCACTGCCGAAGTGAAAGTCAGGAAGAGAGCGATAAGGGGAGTTGGGGTTTGCATGATGGCTTCGAAAAGTATTCGGAAAGAAGTTGAAAAGAGAGAGGTGCAGAGGGACTAACCAATGATTTGTGTGCTTTTTGAGTCGTTCGAGGACGGGAAAATGGGCATTAAGCGGAGTGTTTGAGCGAAAGTTTGCTCGAACGCAATCAATGATATACCCGGTGCGTGCCTGGCCGGCGTCCGACCGGCTGAAATGTCTGGCATAGCCTCCCTGGCCCTCTATTTGAGCCTGCCGACACAGAAGGCTCTCCTATTCTCATTGTACCACCAGATGATAGTCGAAGTGCGTCAACAACGAGTCTCAGCAGCGCAGCATCAGGTTGTCGAGTCTGTGGACGCGCGCGAACAGCCTGTTCAGGCATAGCGGTCAGGAAAGACTAATCGAAAATTACAGAGTCACTCGTACCTGACATTGGTGCAGGCGTCAGGAACAATGAGGGGTTCAGGCACAGGGGGTCTCTCCCGGAGGCCCGGACTCCATGCTTCCGTCCCACATCCTTACAGCTGCACGACCGTCCTCGCCTCCAGTTGAAGTTGCTCAAGGACTGCCCTTCTTACAGCCGTACTGGTTGGTGGTGGGATTGAGCAAGCAAGCTTGCTGACAGAGGTCGATCGGACCGCCCGTCAGCTTGTTCGTCGAGTCTAGGAGACCACACGGCGTTTTCGCGTTGCCTGTTCGAGGCATGAGTCAGAGCAAGAGGTGGAGAAGCGTAAGGAAGTGCCTGATGGGGTGCAGAGCCCTTCCACTCACCATGCTTGTCTCCACAATAGGCCTGACCCATGGTGTTCACTCGGCATGCGCCCCTACGAGGAGGGATACCGTAATGAAAGCAAGTCCAGAGCGAAGCGATCAGAATGTGTACCCTTAGCCTAGTCGATAAGATCAGCGACACTCACGAGCAACTTCGCCATTGAGCTCCTACTTTGATACCACAGCTGAGCGTAGCTGAGCGACGAGTAGGATGATGGCCGTGGTCAGCCAGGTGCCGTATCAGACCTCGCATCCGTATGGTACTCACCGATCGTGGACGAGGCAGTGGCAAGGCAGACGAGCATGGTGGTAAGGACGGAGAACTTCATGATGGATTGAGGCAGTGAGTCTTCTGGTTGATGTTGAGTGTAAGCTAGTGGTAGGATGATGAAGGTGTGCGGGCTAGGAAGACGGAAGATGAATCACGCCCACTGGCACGCTCGTCCGCCCATCGGCCTGGGTGCTCCGAAGCTGCCTTGCTCCCTCTCCACCCATCATCGCTGCCCTTAACCCTTGACCCCTGACCCTCAATCAACACCTGGAATGCCGAGGGTCGAATGCCGAAGAGCCTAGGGCAGCAACGGCGCCGTGCCTCGCTTTACTGCCGCCAGGCGAAAAAGAAAACCGCTGTACCTGACCGCCGCCGGGATCAGTTGGGCTGAACAGACCAGTTTCAGCCATCGCTATGTCAACCAAGACTCAAGGGAATGGATTATGTTCAAGTAGAGGGAGGAGCATATACAAAGAGAGGCAAGGGAAGCGGCAGTGGCAGCGCCAAGAATTGCAGCACTGGTAGGAGTCGTAAAGAGAGTGGCGCATATTGGCAATGGATGCTCAGACGGGAATGCGAAGGTGACAAAGGTGAAACAGGGCCCAGGGAAAGAAAGGTGAGACGAATCTACTTGACTACAAAGGCAAGAGTGAGTGTCCATTTACGAGCGATCCGGTCGCTATCCGAAGATTCTGCGAGCGCTCCAGTCGCTCTTTGAACGAGGAATGACCTTCACCGCCTACGCGGCGAGCCGTCCTGGTGCCCGTTTCGTATATCGGCCCAGTCGAGTGTCTCGTACCGCGGCGGGGAAGGTCGAGCGGGAGTGCTTCCTTCAGGCTCTGAAGAGACGGCAGGCCGAGGCGGTGTGCTCCTGGTCGTCGCGGCGAGCAGCACATCCACGTCAAGTGGCTCCACTCGAGACGGCGAGGTGTGTTGCTCAGCAGCACGGTGCTGCTCGCGTGGCTGATGTTGATTGTGGGGGATAAAGCTTCCACGATGAAGCTGGAGATGCGTACGAGGAGGGCTGTCACTTGCCGGAGAAGGACCCTCTCCAGCCTGTCGTGCGGGTAACAGATGTTCTGTGCTCGCTCCTGCGTCGGCCATCGAGGTGACGCCGCGGCCCAGGGAAGCTCCTCTCGGCGGGGCGAGTTGGCGCATCTGAATCCCATCGAGATTAGCACCCTGGTTGCTTTGGTACCCAAAAGTCGGCTCTGCGTACTGGGAAGGGGAGTACTGCGTGGCGTGAGCCCCCTTAACGGGCCCTGGACTGTAGCTCTGCTCCTCGTCATAGTGTCCGTATGGGTCGACGATGATGCCGAGGTCGCCAGCTGCGGATGCATTCTGTGGTCTCACTGGTCCAGATGGGACTCTCTCCCCGCTCTGTGCAGTTTGCGTCCTCCTCATCATTGCAAAGCTGTCTCGACCTGCTTCCTTGTTCAGCAGGATTCCAGGTACGGGCATCGGCGCGCCCTTGCCACTGGCTTGAGTCAGTAGCGTGTACCTGTTGAGCCGCAACTTTCTCTGCACCTCTGGCCTGGCAACCTCCATCTTCCTGTAGAGGTACCAGGCGGCTAGTATTGTGATGATGCCCGTGATGACCAGGATGACCCACTTGACAATCTTCGATGCGGTCGACTCCTCTCCATCTGCCGAGGACCTGATAGCGTAGCCGACATAGACTACCGCCATTTGCTTGGGCATCGATAAAAGAGTGGCTATGGTGAAGATCCAAAAGGACATCCCTACGGTTGAGAAGACTGCTGTAGTGAAGTGGCCAGGCTGATACGAAGAGAGTGGCAAGGTCGCAACAGTCAGTCAGGGTGATGCGAAACGGCCTGTGGCAAGCTGACACCCCGCACTACTCACAATGGCTGATAGCCTGGCCACCAAGACTGTAAAGAGACCTCCCTCCCTGACAATGTGAGCCATGCAGGCATAGTTGAGGCTCTTTCTCTCGTACCTCTGCGCCGTTTTCTGCAGGCAAGCACCGAAAGCCCAGAAGTTTCCCCATTCTCCTAGTAGAGTTCCAAGCGCCACAATGCCGAATCCAATCCAGAAAGGATATACGATTCCGCATAGGACTCCAATGATCTCGTGTCCAAAGAGGGGCGGGAAGGAGATGATGAACAGAATGGCGACCGGGATGATCCAGCCCCACACGACGGAGTTGATCTTGAGGGAGACTGGGGTCAGCCAATCGATGATCCTACGATGTAGAATGACAAATACGACGACGACAGCGATGACTGCGACGAATAGTACATAGTAGTACCAATAGCCCCACTTGACCCAGCTGCGCCAGTCTTTGAGCATTCGCATGTACGAGTCTCGCATCGTTGTGCCATTCTCATCGAGATCTTTCGGGAACGTCTCAGCAATTTTGCGCTGTTCGGCGTTCAAGCGGTCCCACTTGAGGGGACGATCAGGATATATGCCTTCGGATTGAGTAGGCGAAGGAGGCGTCAATGCTACGTGGGATTGTGAGGCCGGTGAGTGCAGAGCAGCATACGACTCAGGGCCTTTGAAGGGCTGATGCGGCATCTCGAGGCGCGGGGTGTAGCCTCTTTGTATCCGCGGAGGTGAGCTGGACGAAGGAGTAGCATAGGATTGAGTATAGCTGTCCGAGGTCGGCGCAGGAGGGTAGGATGTCGGAATGTGTTGGTTGGGATCACTGTAGCCTTGGCTGCTGCTATACTGGTCCTGCCTCGCATGCTCGCCTGGACTACCATAGCCTTGGGGTCTGCGAAGCATCTGTTGGTCCTCTTGACGTTGCGGCGAGGACGCAGAAGACGGGCCAGGCCGCGTCTGATGTGAAGCTTCACCGCGATACGAAGCTTCACCGGGGTAGGAGTGCTGTGTCCCTTGCCGTTGCTGCCATTGTTGTTGTTGTTGTTGTTGCTGCTGCTGCTGCTGCTGCTGCTGCTGCTGATAGTACATTGCGTCCTCACCGTAGCCGTAACGAGAAACCGGCGCAGCCATCCTTGAGACAGGTCAGAGGAGGGGCGAGGTAGGAGGATGGACAAGGTAGGAATCGAAGGCGAGGCGTCTGCAGCTAGCCTGCTCAGACGGCGGAGGCTGCTCTGTGAGTTATCAGTGGGAGGCTAGAACGCTTCTGCGCCCATGTAGCGAGCCAAGCGACGTGTGGTAGCGAGGGAGGAGGGGAAAGTGGCGGAAGTGCTGTACCTTCAGGAGTCGTAGCACGACGAGGTGTCTCACCCTGCCAAGGCAAAGGGGCATGGACGCACACACAAGGCGCGACGGACAAGGCGCGACGCAGGCCATGCAGACACACACACACACACACACGCACCGCCCCCCTACGCCACGCCCGACCCACTCCGCTCCGATCACATTCAATCTCCGCACCTTCGCCCCACCGCGCACTCCTCGCGATTCCGCCCCCCCTCCTTCGCGGACGGACCATGTGGGTGGCTGCAAAATCATTCGCACGACGGACATTCGGTCAGCCAGAAGACGCGAAGCTCCGGCTGACTGCAGCAGCAGCATCATCATCACCATCACCAGCGCCCGCCCTGACCATGGTCAATGCTGTTCATTCGAGGTATGGCGCAGCAGTCAGGACCGCAGTACAGCCCGCATTGCAGTCCTCCAAGGCTTGCAAAGGCTCCTCAGGCTCAGCGACGGCAACATGCTACCTCCAACGGCCTCGCACCACCACCTTGCCGCCTAATGCACCCGCCCAGCGCCGGTCATTCTCATCGGCTTCTCCACCCCTCGCCTTAGCCGGTCCATCTCGACCTCGCCCGCCTCCTCGTCCCTCACCATCGCCCGTGGACCGTGATGACACACGACATCGGCATCAATTCAATCCAGACCCATTCACCCTTACCCCACCCGAAGAGCACAAGCACCTCCCACTGGTCAATGCTCAGACCCTTGCCGCATCCAAGACTCGCCCCAGGTCATGTCGTATGTTGGCTAGAGACTTCATTCACGACAGTTTGTACAATCCTCACTACGGCTACTTCAGCAGACACGCTGTCCTATTGCCCGATGTCGAGAACGAACAGGGCGAGAGGGAGGCAACCTTCGGCGACATCAAGAATGAAGCTGACTTCATGAGGAAGGTAGAGGGAAGCTACATTGCCTTTGAGAAGAACTTCATGGATAGAGCTGCCAAGAATGCGCCAGCACCGCCACCGCCGCCGGCTCATCCAGAGTCAACTCCTGCTCCTCCTCGTGCTCCTTCACAGCTTCCTAGATCCTTCTCTGCCGCCGGTCTTGACGCAGCCAAGGCACAAGGTCGTGCAGCCTGGCTCAAGTCGCAGCAGCAAGGCATGCAGCACGACGAAGACGTCACATCCATGGTCGCTCGACAGGTCTGGCATACACCTACCCAGCTCTTCAAACCTCACTACGCCAACATCGTCGCTCAGCACTGCATCGATTCGATCAGCGATGGCCGTCCATTGATCATCTATGAGATGGGTGCTGGATCAGGCGCAATGGCCGAGTGCGTTCTTAATTATGTTCAGGAGCGGTATCCGGACATGTACAGCTCTATGCGGTACCACATCATTGAGATCTCGGATCGCTTGGCAACACAGCAAACGCAGCGTCTGACCAAGCATCTGGATAACAAGAGGGTGACAATTCATCGCCAGGATATTCTGACTTGGAACACTCCGGTACACGAAGACTGCTTCGTCTTGGGCTTGGAGGTGCTGGACAACCTCTCGCATGATGTCGTCCGCTACTCGACGAGCGACTCCACACCTTATCAGTGCTACATTTCAATCGACTCGACTGGAGATATGCACGAGCTATATACCCCCGTGACGGACCCTCTGATCCGGCAATTTCTCTCTCTGTATCATCAGCTCCGGCCGCAGGAGCAAGCGCCAGCACTACCCAAGACTCTCACCTCGCTGCCCTCACCTCTGCGACGACTAGTGGCAAATCAACTGCCTTTCTACCCGAACATGTCCCAACCCCACTTCATTCCTACCTCGTCCCTGAAGCTGCTGCAAACACTCGCCCACTTCTTCCCTAACCATCGACCAATCTTCTCGGACTTTCACACACTGCCAAAGGACGCAAGTGTGAAAGGCATCAATGGACCAATCGTGCAGACGCGGATCGGAGGGGAGATGGTCGACGTGGGCACCTACGCCGTGCTTCAGGGGTACTTTGACATCTTCTTTCCAACGGACTTCGAGCTGCTCAGGGACTTCTATGCACAAGTCGACAACGATGGCAGGGTTGCTCGCAGGGGCTTGGAGGTAGTCAAGCATCGAGCTTTCCTGGAGCGCTACCCGCATTTGGCAAAGGGATGTCAGCTGAAGGATGGAAGTAACCCGATGTTGAGCTGGTACGAGAATGCCAGCTGGTTGATCGGCTAGGCGAGGTGCGGGAAGGAAAGAAAATTGGTCCATCGCTTTACGATTCAATGCATGCAATTCCAACCTCTGGCGGCCCGTACGACACACGGCTCGGCATACTCAGAAGACACTATCAAGCCGAAACTGTGACTCGGATGATCCATAGATTGCGTGCCTGATACGGGTGCCTAAGTGGGCTCACACCGGCACGTTGCTAGAGACGAGATCTCAGGACATACAAAAGCCTTGCCTCCTCTTTTCGCTCCTCGTTCACTCCTCTCTTTCTCTTTAAGTCACCCACACTGACGCTTACTACTGCCTCTTCGTATCAACATGCCCCAGTCTCCCGCTCCACGCGTCCTGCGCGTCCTCCTCCCCTTTGTCTCCTTTGCCCTAGCCCTCTGGCTGACCATCTCCTACATCGCCCCCTCTTCACCCCTCACCTCACCCACATCCGTCTTCACTTCTCGCGCCATCCCCTTCCAATCCAAGCCTCTGCTCGAGGCGCGCCAGGCTCCTAACACCTGGTACTCCAAAGATCCGCTAGGCCAGACGGCCTCGTACAACTTTACTGCTTTTGTCCTCCCGTTGAAGAGGGAGGTGGCTGCGAAGCTTGTTGGAGGGACTGAGAGAGACTTGCTGCCCCTCACAGGACTGCACGGTGTGGTGGGCGAGGGGGACCACCCACTTGTCTGTATGAGTGGGCTCTTGTTTGATATCAGGCAGGCGGTGCTGAATATTGAGAGGTTGCAGGTGAGCAGCCCGGCCTCGTGGGTCGGCCGAGTCCCTAAAGTAGTCACTGACACCCTTCGAGCTCTGTCTTGACCTTCGCGTGCAGTCCGCCAACTGCTACCTCCCTTTCTACGACGCGACGCACGACGGTCGCACTCCTTACACCTTCGACGTGATCAACCTTCAGGACAAGCTCATCCCCGTTCTCGCCGGCTCGCTCCAGCAGTCCATCAAGCTCCTGCAGGCCAACTTCAATCCAAAGACAGACGCCTACAGAGCTATTGGCTCGCAGGCCCGAGGGGTGGACGTCTCCCTCGGTCTGGAAGGGAGCAACGCGCTTGGACTGCCGGTACCGAACACGCCTGCGATGAGTCTGCTCTGGACGGGCGACAAGGCTCAAGACGACGTGAGCAAGTTCGTACAGGGAGCGCTTACCGCACCCTATGTACACACATACTCGCGCTTGTGCTCGAGGACCTTCTGGAAGTTTGACGAGGTATTCGCCGATGCGGAGAATGTCAGGGGGGATGTGCAGCGTGAGTGCTACCGAAGAGTCATTGGCGAGAGCGGTGTTCCTGAGACCTGACTACCTCTACCTTTGCTGGTGCGTACAACAGTCTTCCCGCCTGCGACGCCCTCCCATCTCGAATTCAAGGGCGTCGCTGGCTACAAGGCGACGGCGGCCTGGGACAACCAGTTCGGGTGAGTAGTGGCCACTGCGCAGTGGCAATGGAGCTACTTGATGAATGGACACTAATCTTCCGCTTACTCTTCTGCTGGTGGCTATCAGCCCCGGACAGACGTGCGCTTCGCTGCGAGTGGAGGCTGCCGCTGTTCATTACCAGTGACGCGGAGCTCACCATCGCCGGCCACCGTCCGTAGTGCTGTTTGTCGAGTTGCTGTGTTCCACGCCTCTGAAGTCGACGGCCGCTTCGCCTTTTCTCTCCTCATCGATCCATTCTGTTCAATGCGATCTTGAAACTTCGACTCACGACGATGCCTTCCTCTACCCGCCACGATGGCTTTGTGAGATCTGTCGTGGCGCAGCGGTATCACCTCCTGTTGCTTGCCGGCTGTAAGGCGTAGGCGGGGGATCGGGCGGAAGTGGCTCGTTGCGCGGTGCAGCTGTGCGGGCGTGGCTTTGTAATGCGAGGCAGGGGCGGGCGAGGGCAGCCTCCCACGGCCAAGTCGGGGCGGAGGACTGAGAATCATCGAGTCTCACCAATCACCATCGCTGATCCAGGCTTCCGCCGCTTCCACCCTATCCATCCTCGTCCTTGACCCGTCGTCAACCGCCCTCTCCCCACCATGTCGCTCGCACGATCTACCATCTCGGCACTCGCAAGGAGGGCAGTCGCTGCTCCTGCCGCTGCCGCCGCCCGCCCCTCGGCCATTGCTACCACGTCGCGGTGCTTCTCTACGTCCATGCCCGCTCGATCCGACTCCCTCTTCGTTCACCGTGATACCGACTACAACAGTGCGTGGCCAGGTAGCGAAGCTCATTTCGAAGCTCACCTGCCAGGCATGTACTCACATCGCTTGCCCCGACTTTGCCTCTCGCCTTCCCCGCCCTGCAGACGCCTCGATCCCCTTCTCCTTCAATGAGCAGAACATGGCCCAGGCAAAGGAGATCATCTCCTACTACCCCCCACAGTACAAGAAGGCAGCCGTCATTCCTCTGCTTGATTTGGGACAGAGGCAGAATTCGGGTTGGACTTCGATCTCGGTGATGAATGAGGTGGCCAGGATTTTGGAGATGCCGCCGATGAGGGTGTACGAGGTGGCCAGCTTCTACACAATGTGAGTGGGAGTAGACAGCAGCAGAAACAAAGGCGGGAGCACTGGCTGAATGCTTATCCGCTCGACTCCTCAGGTTCAACCGAGAGCCCGTTGGCAAGTACTTCCTGCAGATCTGCACTACTACGCCTTGCCAATTGGGAGGATGTGGCAGCACAAAGATTCTAGAGACGCTGCAAGATCATCTCGGTATCAAGCCTGGCCAGACGACAAAGGACAAGCTCTTCACTCTGCTCGAGGTGGAATGTCTAGGGTGAGTTGGGCTGAGCAATGGTGGTCAGGCGAGCCTCCACGGGCGTGGGTGTCCTTCGGAGAGAGAAAGCTGACTTCAGTTCTCGTATCTGTTCTCCCTGCAGTGCCTGCGCTAACGCCCCGATGATCCAATGTAACGACCACTACCTGGAGGACCTGACACCCGAGACGACGATCAAGATCATCGAGGACCTCAAGGCCGGAAAGGAGATCAAGGCTGGGCCTCAGAGCGGCCGTCATTCGTCGGAGCCAAAGGAGGGCAGGACGGCTCTGGTCACTGAGCCTTACTCCACTCAGTACAATCGGGAGGAGTTTGCTTAGAACAGAAAGAGGGGTCGGAGAGTTAGTGGATGTAGAGAAGGCGCAGATGACTGGATATTGAGCGCGAATGCTGCGACACCTTTGGCAGGATCGTGTGCGCCGATCGTTCAGGGCTATGTCAGAGTCATACAGAGAAGATCAAGCGATGATATCTGCTACTTGGCATGCCTCCATGATTGTTGCTGGGATGACTGAGTCTAGTCCTGGGGGTGGTGTGTATGTACAATGTCCCGCTGCCCTCCTCGGCTGCCCCGCGTCTACTTTTCCGTCTCCGCTTTGTTCCAGTCCGTGTTGCATCTTCTGATTTTCCGCAAGTGTCACTTGTCACCTCACCTCGACTGCTCCACACCAGCCAAGCTCCGTACCAGTCGTCCAATGCTGAGAGCACCACCGTCTGCGATATCATCATTCTGAGGTCTCATCCTCATCCTCATGGGGGACTCGGGGCCGCGTCGATCCGATCACTACTCTCCTTACTCTCCTTCGACCTCTTCTTACCGCGGAGACAGGCACTACGAGCCCCCTCGCGGCCCCCGATGGTCTCAGCAAGATTGGAGGGACAGAGAAGCGCAGAGCTCCAGGGAAGGGCCGTATAGTCCTGTAACAGCGGGCTATTATGGTCCAGGAGGCTGGTATCGCCAGAATGACTCGCCTTCATCGTCCTCGTCGTCGTATCGAATGCCAGGTCCTGCTCCTCGAGTTGCCCCTGGACCCAGCACCCTCCCTGCTCGACCTGGACTGCCGTCACGACCGCAAGCTTCTCCCCCTCCTTCAGCATCAGCTTCAGCTTCGATGAGACCCCAAGTGCGTCCACCTCCGCCTCCAACAAAGATCCAGGCAAAAGCAGCAGCCAAGACTCATGCTACCGCTGCACCAACCCCTCCGACTATGAGGGCCGAAGACCATCAACCGAACGCCGAAGGTCGCTCTCGCTTGAGGAGACATCATATACCCACAGCCCCACCGATGATTCTGCCCACTAAGAGACCCCCACCTGCGCCGCTTCGTGTACTACCTACCACTGGAAAAAGAGCTCCATCGAGACCGAAAGGTCAGTCACCTGCTCGTGACAGGGGGAATGGCAATAGCATTGCCAGACCGATCGCACCTCTTGGGAGACCGGCGATGGAGGGTCGTGCGAAGCCTGTCATGGCGCAAGAGAAGTCGAGAGCTGTCCACCAGCTATTACCATGGGACAGACCAAGCGAAGCCACGCCAGAGGAGGGAGAGGGGCAGTTGGCAGATGCAGGGCCTCCACCGATGGAAGAGGCAAGGAAACGAGCGCATCGTCGGCCTAGAACCGCCCCTCACGCTCACTTGACCAAGCCAGACGGAGATAGCGGGCCGGAAGAGGAGGTGTTCCCCTTGGAGGAGGTGCTACCGATACCAACGGCAGAGGTACAGGTCCTTCGCTCGGATCAGGATACAAACCGCAAGCAAGAGCGTGCGGACAATCAAACGAGTGTCAGACGAGGCAAAGGAGATGATGCAAGGGCCAGCGAGGCTTCGAAGGCACAGCAGTCTTCCGTTCAGACCCCAAAGAAGACGAAAGGTCAGAAGAAGGCAGAAAAGAGAGCCGCCGCTGCTGCTGCTGCCGCCGCAGGGAGCGCATCGAGTATCAGCGCCGGCTCACCGCACCAAGCAGCCTTCACCTCGTCCTCGACTGACGAATGGCAACCAGTGACTCCCCCTTTGAGCAAGCTCACTCAGAAAACCGGCACTCAGGTCATCTCGTCACCGCTGCCTCTTCCGACTCGCATGCAACTCTCTTCTAGTGACGAGCAGAGTTCTTCGGGGGGCCTCACAAAGGCCCAACACAGGACGGCTATGAAGGCTGCAAAGAAGCAACGAAAGAGTGAAAGTGTCGCGAGCAGAGCTGCAGCGGAAGGCAGAGAGGTCGATGCGCCGAAGGCCAAGAAAACAAAGAAGGATGACCGATTGGCGGAAGACGGCCAGCCTCCCGAAGCTCTGCAGAAGGAACAAGGCTTATCTCCTTACCCATCGATGAGCAGCGATCCTACGCCTCTTTTGAGCCCGCAAAGAGAGCCTACCATAAAGTCAGAGGTAGCCGAGGATCAGCACAACGAAGACGCAATGCGTCCTATCCCCGGCTCTACAGGCGAGAGGAACGATGAGAGACCTGCATTAGTACTCAGCTTCCGGGACGACGATTCGGACACTGCCGGGGTAGAGCTTGCTAGCTTCACAGGTAGTAAAGAGCCAGCGTCAGCGCCCTCTCGATTTGCAGACGCGACCCCTACGGATGAAGATGTAAATTCACTTGAAGCGGGGAGCCAGCAAAGGCAGATGTCCGTCTCATCAGACGATATCCCTCTGATCACAACGCTATCGAGGAAGGCCGCTGGCAGATCAGGCAATGGTCTTGTTGCCCCGAAAGAGGAAGCTAGTGCTGGTAGATATCGAGGCACCTCCTTCGGTCCGGCCAGGAGTCGAAGTCACTCGGAATCGACGAACGAGATACCCAGCTCCACTCTGCGCTTGAGCTCGCGGCCTGATAGAATCGATCTGACGGGGAAGCGCCAAGCATACCTTGCTTGGCGCTGGAAGTGGATGGCTATGCTGGAAAGCCAGTCGTCGCTTTCGAAGAATGACAAGGACAGCGCATCATCCTCATCTGCCTTGCTGGCCATCACGCCGAAGGGAAAGACGTCTCTTCGCCTCCTCTCAGCAGGGACGGCGAGCCCGGCCTGTTCTCACGACTTATCGTTCCCAGGCGACATAAATATCGAAGCAGTACGCAGGGTCTCAAGTCACGCAGTGGCCATTGCTTCTTCGAGCAATAACCGCGTAGGCGAGGGTGGCCCGCAGGTCTCACTCGTCTTTGCAAAGGATAGCATGAGGCAAGCAGGACCCAAGAAGAGTGACGATGACGTGGAGATGAGCGAGCTCACTGCGCGTGCTTCTGCGATCCATCTGAACCAACGTCCTCACATCACCGGTGCAACCTCCATCGCACCTTTTCTACCGCTGAGCGATCGAGACGCTCTGACAATGGTGACTGGCGGAGCTGACGGCGCCGTCTTTGCCTGGTCCTACTCTGGATCTCACGCCAAGTCGACGAACACTACTCGCTTACACGCTCTGCACAGCGGCACAATCACCGCCCTCGAAACGTTGCCGAAGTTAGACCTGGTTGTCTCTGCCTCTCCCCTGAATCAGCACCGAGCAGGGGGAGCTACGCAGCTCGTGGCCTTTGACGCACGCGAGACGAAGCTGCTCCACTCGTGGAAGAGCTCGGACATCGTAGCGCACCTCAGTCGTACGACACACTCCCGCCTCCTCGACGTGAGTCTGCTCCGCGCCGATTACGATCAGCACAAGCTGTACGACTTGCGCGTTCCCACCGGCGGCGGTGAGAGTGGCGGGAGTACATCTGTCTCCAGCTCAAGCCACGCTCCTACAAAGCCTGTCCTCTCCTTTGGCTGGGCGAGCGAGTACGATCTACCCTTCCTTGGGCGATCAGCCTTCAAGAGCAACTACTGTATACAAGGCTGTCCGGACGGGAAAGTGCGGACGTGGGATCTACGCTGGTCCTCTGAGGTGCTGCAGGAAGTGAGCGTCGGGGAGAAGGGTATGCCTATAAGCGATGTGCTTGTTTGGGACAGGAACAAGGTCAAGGGCAAGGAGCGGACGAGGAATACTGATACCCAAAGTGGTGGTGACGGCGGTGATAGCGGTACCTGTGTCATGGCACTGTCTCCCGATGCGGCTTGGAGGATACCCCTGGTCTGAGATGAGAGGTCAGCAAGAAGTCTTCGCGCTCTCGTACGTTCGTCACATATCGTCCCGTTGGCTTTCAGTCTTCTATCTACTCATACCATCAAACAATCAGCATATCGACCGGTGTTCGGCCGCCTGTTGGTCGCGTAAGCACGGATGCATCCCAATCACCGAGGTCTTTTGCGGCAAAACCTCACAGATCAACTAATGTACCGCCGTCGGGAAACTGGTCTTCGCTGATGTTCCTCAACGGGCGTGCCTGGCCGGCACATAGCCCCCGAAGTCCCGCTGGTCCTGCCTGTCAAACAGCAATTGCTAGCCGCCGGCAGTGTCCCTAGACAAGAGACAGGGAGATATGCTGGTCAGCTGTGCATTAAAGGCACGAGCAGGACCTGTTTCCTTCTCTTTCTGATCCTCACTTCCATCTCTCGTCACCTTCGCAGTCCAACCCTTCTTGACACTGCGGGAAACATGCGTACATCATCGACTATTGCTGTAGTAGCCACGGCACTTCTTTGCTTCCTCGGTGCAAGCCAAGTGGAAGGTGAGATATCTCCAGGCTTGACCGCCAGCAACATCTTGCGATCAAGTCGTGCGTGAACAGGCTCATGATACCCTGCCCTTCCGAAAATGACAGCAACGACTCCTACTTGCGCCGTCAAGGACTCCCATGGCAATTTCGTGTTCTGCCCGTAAGTCTACCCTGCCACACGCTCGTAGCTTCACTCGAGACTCACACGGACACCTCTTCTCTGCCTGTCAGCTACGATTCTGACTGCGGGGTGAGCACAAAGAGGCAACCAGTCTGCAGAGGCGCCGATGGTAAATACATCAAAGGTGAGTGTAAGACGTCAAAGTGAAAAGCCGATACCCGGTGTCAACTGATCGCCTTGGACATTTGCCACCCGGCAGGTCTTGTCGGAGCTCCATGCTATCTAGTCACCGACCACAACGACCCTGCTGGTAGCGGTACCAAAAAGTGCGACATCCACTGCTCGTCGACTGACGGCAAAGGCGGATCTAGCTGCATGTAAACGACAGTACCCTTTGTACCGCTGCGATGTCTGCGGCCACCATTATTCGAGAAACAATTCTACCCCTTGTGCTGCCTCTACCTACTGTCGCTGGTCGTGGCCGGCCTTGTCATCTGGCCTATCGGTCCCACCAGACAGGCTCTTCCATGACTTGTCTGCCAGGCTGAAGGCCAGAACAAATATGAGGCCTGCGAGTGTTTGCCCTGCCTCGTAAGTGGAATCTCTGCCGCCGGAGAATGATGCCCTGAAACTCATTCTACCGTACATGTAGGGCCCGACCGCCGCGCTCGCCAGGCACAGAGCAATGAAGGGCCGCCGAGTTTACCCCTGAAGTGTGCCCATGCTCGGGAACATCCGGTACCTTGTGACTGGAAACCGTCGACGAGATCTTCCCTCTTATCCTCTTGATTTTCACCATCCAGCTCAGCTCCACCACCTCGAGATTCCGAAGATCATGCGTGCATCGGCCAGCATTGCTATCGTGGCTACGGCCCTCCTTTGCGTTCTTGGCGCCCCTCGTGTCAAAGGTGAAAATCCATAGCGTGCGCAGGCCCACTGATCGTGACTACACTGACACAACTTCCTGCCCTTCTGAGACCAGGAGACGATCCATCTACCTGCGGTCTGCTGCGCCCCGATGGCGAGCTGGCCTTGTGCGCGTGAGTGACTTTCGTAAGCTTCAGTCTGCCATCACTCGCTCGCTGACACAAAGCCCTGGTCGTTGTTTTGCAGTCCCAAGGCTGACTGCATTCTTTTCATGGACGTACCCCTTTGCACGGGCTCCAACGGAAAGTACCTAAAAGGTGAGTCAAAGCTTTCACGAGCCAGTCAGCGATGCTGACTACCCGCCGTCCCCCTCGCGTCATCGTCAGGTCCCGTTGGAGGTACGTGCTACTTGGTTGGAAACCCCTACCCTCCGGAGATTGATGCGTGGGACACGAAGGAATGCAGCTACGAGTGCTCCGTCCAGGGGAAGACCAAGGTCTGCAAATGAGAAGCCGGGATAGCACCTGCGCAAGATGTTCCACGTCTCCTCTCTACCTGCTGTCCGTCGTGAAATTCGTCCTTGTCTCTCTTGTCTTCCCACTCAGAAACATTGATCATGAAGCATTGGTCATCAAGCAAGTTGAATTCCTGTCCTTCTTTGCCGGGCGTGCAGCGGACTCCACCGACGAGTGCAGGACGCAGTGCTCTGTCAAAGATGAAACGCTCGCCGCTCTGATGAACCCCTGCCCTGATGCAACGAGCACTAGCATCGTCTTTTTTCTGCCTAGGGCGTGGTAGCATTGTTCGCCGCGATGAGAGTCTGCTCACATCGGTCCTCGGCTAATGGCCTCGATCTATAGTGCGCTTTCGTCTACTGTCGTCAATGGTGATGGGTCTTGTCTACTTCCTCTGCTTCAGTAGAAGGGCTTGTCGTTGTGCTATATGATACACTGCTTCACAGGAGGCCCAGGCCGAACCTCGGCTATCTCTTTGTGCGCCAAACTCACTCCGGGGCCGTCGGACAGGATACCTCCGGGCCTTGGCGGTCCCTAGGCACCAATAGCACTCATTAGCCGCCGCCAGTTCCCCTGAAATGCGATGGCGCTTGTGGCCAGGGGCAGTCAGTAGCTGGCTGGGACTCGGTATAAAAACCGAGGGTTACTTCGTCTACTCTCCCGTTCCCCACCCACCTTGCATCCAACGACCTATCTCCCAACCATGCGTGCATCTTCAACCATCGCTGTTCTTGCTACGGCTCTTCTCTGCGTGCTTGGTGCAACTCAAGTCAAAGGTGAGACCGGGACGTGTGCACACCGAGTCCTCGTGGCTGCACTGACACACTCTCCTGCCCTTCCCGAGACCAGGAGACGGAACTCATGCCTGCGGCCTGCTGCGTTCCGATGGAGAGCTGGACTTGTGCTCGTGAGTTGCTTTCGGATGCGTCAGTGTTCCATCATCCGCTGACACAAAGCCATGACCGTTGCGCTTCAGCCCTACATCGGACTGCATTCTCTTCATGAACCGGCCGTACTGCCTGAATTCCCTCGGAAACCCCATCATAGGTAGGTCAAAGCTGTCAAGTCCCGGCCAGATTGCGATGCTGACTGTTGCCTCCGAACCTCATTGTCAGGTCCTATCGGAACCTCTTGCTACCTGATTGGAAACCCATATGAGCCGAAGGTACATGCTTGGAACACCAAGATCTGCATCTCGGAGTGCGGCGTTACGCATCCCAGGGACAATGTCTGCAAATGAGAAGCGATGAGATCACCTGCGCAAGATGATCCACTTGTCCCTTGCTGCGAACTCCTGCCCTCAGATGACGCCCACAATTCACCCCTCCTCTCTGTCTATTGACTCTCGTGAGGTTCTCCCTTGTCTGCTCGTCTGTTCAACCAGAAAGGCTCGCCCCCATTGTTGACCTGATGTTCCCTCACATGTGTACCCCATGCCACGTTCACTGTCTTACTCAAACTCTGCAGAATAAATCAGTGTAGACAAGAGTGTTGAAGCAGTGAGTACGCCGACGGGAAAGTAACGCAGCCCGTGTTTCCGTGGGTATCTCTGAGCTGTGCCTCGGGTTTTGGGTGGCCTTCCAAATCCGCTCGATGGCCAACGTGCCTCATGCGGCTATCTTGATCCGTCAGGCACGGTGAGCGGCCTTGCGACGTCCTGCAATACCGCGTCGGATAGAAAGAGTTGTCAGTCACAAAAACACAGCCCTTCTTCCGTCTCTTCTCACTACGTCTTAGCCCCTCCTTCGAGCTTTACCTTAACATCATCCCTACATTTTCAACCCCTCCAAATGCGGTCTGTCTTCCAGACCCCAGTGCTTGTCACGGCGCTGCTTTGCATCTCAAGCGCCACCCTGATCCACGGTGAGAGAGGTGTACTATATATGATGCTTCGCGGCGCTTTGGTCCATTGACGAATTGAGTGCCTTGTCTCAGCCTGGCACTGTGCTGTCCAGAATTACGACAAGACCTTTACTCGATGCCCGTGAGTCTGCAATGCCGAATCGTCGTGTGCGCATACCCTGATGCAACAGGCTGAAGGGCTCTATTTCCCCCAAACAGGGACCAATGCGATGTCACCACGATGCATCGACCTGCTTGCAAGGACGGAATTGGAGGGTATCACTTCGGTCAGTATCGATCGTAGACAAGTGCAAACACTCTGACCTAACTCCAGCTCTCCTTTCATTGATGCAGGGTACCAGCAGACAGGATGTTGGCTCATTCTAGACGAGCCAGGAGAGCTCAATCAAACGACCAAGTGTCCTCTGCATTGCTCGCCGACGAACGGAAAGGAAGGATACGTCTGCGACTGAGGAGCACCAATTCTCAGCCCTACCTTGTGCGGCGGGGTTACCCCTGAACGACTCTTGTGCTCGCATGCATTGCTCCTGCACGCCTGCAGGGGCAAAGCGGAAAGGCCAGACCTTGCTTCCAGCGCGTATCCCCGAACCGTCATTGCGCCCCTCCCACTTGTATCTATCCCGCTATTACAATATCCCTCTTCGTCGCCCTCCGCTTTTTACACCGCTCTGCTTGGCAGCAGCGTTGAAGAACTTTCACCAACATGCAAAGCCCTTTGTGCCATCCTCTAAGCAACTTTCTGAACGTGCACGTCGCGGCGCGGAAGCAGAGGGCCGCGGGCGGAAGGGCTCCTGGGAGGTCTCACGGCAGTGGCGTCGGGAAGAATGCCTCGTGCTCGAAGGACTCCTGTTGTATCGGTGCCGTAACGTCGTCAACAGCCGGCGGCACTGCTCCTCTTGGCCAATGTCGGACCGAAATCCCGAGCCGCGAGGTGCAAAATCGCCAATCTCTTGCCTGCCACCCTGATGGATAGGGGGAACCTATTGACGTGTATCGCTCTTCAAAGCATGGCCTCTGCAGCTCCATTCTTCTTCCTTTCTCAACCATCACTTCAACTTTCCTCCACTCTGAGCTTACACTACCTCCTCATCTTCAACTTGATATCATGCGCTGGTCAACTCTCAATGCAACCCTCTTGGCGGCGGCAGCGCTCTGCATGTTGAGCGCGACGAAGACTCATGGTGAGCGAATACTTCGCTGATCCTGGAGCACCGCTCTACCGAGACCGCTGACATGTACCCTCTCCCTGTCCTGCACATAGCTCTTCACTGTGGCGTAAGGACCGGCGATGGAACGTATGCTATTTGCCCGTGAGTCTAGGATCCATCTGAAGAGGACAAGTTGGGCTTGTAGCTTCGCTACAGACTGCTGAACCAGGCTTTTTCCTTATATAGGGAGGACTGTGACGTGGATACGGACCATCAGCCGGTTTGTAAAGATGGAATCGGAAATTACCACCGAGGTGAGCAGAGTCTCTACCCATGGGCGCGCTTTTCCTAAGCTCATGCTGCATCATTTGATGCTTTCTACCCCACATTTTCTTCAGGCTGGAAGGGTGAAGGTTGCTATCTGATCCGAGACCAGCCCGGCGAAGGCAACTCGAAGCAGGTGTGCCCCACCCACTGCTCACCTACGAACGGTCATGCGGGCGCCGTCTGTGTTTGAGAGGCATCAAATCCATTGCGACTGGACGCGGATGGTGCATCCTACGCTGAGAATCTGTTTATCTGGTCCGCTCTCGCAGGTTTGAAAAGGCCATGCAAGACAGACATGCCCCACGCTCTATACTTTCATTCATTGCCATCCTTGTGCCCATGCCTTCTATAGTATCCTATACTCCGCTATCGACAACATCACATTTTTGCCACGCGGCTCTGTCCCGCATTACTCTGCTCGTCGAGTGCCTCGTACGGCCGAGCCATGCCAGGCTCTTCTGTCTGAGATGATGGTCCCTGTCGTGTCAGAGCCGCAAAAGCCGACGGCCGGCGGAAGTCCTCCCCTTGGTCAATTTCGGACCGAAATGTCCAAGCGCGAGGCGGTGACACACGCGCTTTTCCGTGCCACTCCGGTGGGGGGACACCAGACTCGTTGAGCTTCGAATTCTATGCTCTGAGAGTCGTCTTGTTTACTTCTTATCATCGCTAGATTTCCCCCAGTCCGAGTCTGCAATACCTCCTGATCTCTCAATTGAAATCATGCGTTGGTCATCTCTGAGATCGACCATACTGGCGGCGGCAGTCCTCTGCATTTTGAGCGCGATACGAATTTACGGTGAGTTGCTTCGCTGAATCTGGTGCAGCAGGGTGTTGGAAGCTTCATTGTTAACGATTCCCGCCTTCCCCATCAATATCTCTTCATCAATAGCTCTTCACTGCGGGGTGAGGACCGGCGATGGAACCTTTGCTATCTGTCCGTGAGTCTGACCGCTCTTGAGCAGAAGAGATCGGTCTTCTGACTTTGCTGCTGTGTAGAGTACTGATGCGCCTCTTTGATTGCCTAGGGATGCCTGTGACGTCACTACCTTCCATCAACCTGTTTGTAAAGATGGGAGAGGAGGCTACCACCGAGGTGAGCGGACGTTTTAGCCACAAGCACACTTTTCTTGGGCTCACGCTGCAAACCTCTTCGCACCCCTTGTCCCTCTAGGTTGGGTGAATGAAGGCTGCTATCTGATTCGGGACCAGGCCGGCGAGGGCAACAACAAGACAGTGTGCCCTTTGCACTGTTCCCCTACGAACGGTCATGCGGGGGCAGTCTGCATCTAGACGGACCTCTCAGATTCAAAGAGGAGCCCTTACAGTCCCAGTACCCTTCCGCCGACACTGTTCATAGCGAAGACTCCATCCTTTTCTCCGATTCTGCGAGCCATGTCACTGCACGCTACTGCCAAAGCGAGCGAAAGGTCAGGGTCAATTCCGAAGCACGTTTCTTGTACAGCCCATCTCCATTTTCCGTAGACAAGTACTCAGGCACAGCTGTATAGAGCCGGATGCAACGTGCGCTGGGGTCTGTAGGCAGGAGCAGACTCGTCTGTGTTGCCACGGAGTTTCAGGCACCCGGTATTGATTGCACTGACGAGCCGTCCACGAAGAAGCCATCTGAAAAGTTCAGAGCCGTGACGAAAGGCACCAAAATACGTCTTGGACTTTCAACTTGATCCTGAGAATCCTTCACCCCTTTCCACCGAACCCACTGAGCTGCCCCCTGTCATCATGCGTTACACTTACACACTCACTGTCCTGGCGACAACTTTGCTCTGCTTGTCTAGCGCAAATCGGGCTAGTGGTGAGCAAATGCCCACTGTGGCCTTGTGACCACATGTGAAAAGAAGCTGACTTCGAGGACGCTTCTCCGTCTCCCTCTCTCGATTACAGCTTTGCACTGTGCCGTCAAAGACATCAATGGGGAATTTGTAACCTGCCCGTGAGTACATAGCTACGCTCGTCAGTGTCGATAATTCTTCAGTACACTGACACGCTCTTCCTACCTGTCCACAAAGGGCGGGATGCGATGTCGATACTCTACTCGATCCGGTCTGCAAAGATGCGGCCGGTGGCCATGTGCTGGGTCAGTAGGAGCTTGCTGTGTGTGGAAGTGTACGTCGCGCTAATCTTGCTCTTCGCCCTTCACTGCAGGTGCTAAAAAGACCGGCTGCTGGGTCGTGTTCAAGAACCCAGCGTACTCACCCTTGAGCTGTAAATCCCAATGTGAGGCTAACACTCCAGGAGCAAGGTACAACTGCGTTTAAAGTCATGGGAGCTATACATGCACTGCAGCGCGTAAGACCAAGGTCGAATGTAGACCAGGATGGTCACTTTCCGAGATCATGTAGACACCCAAGCACTCTAGTATCAACCGTGCGTACCGCAAGCCCTTCTTGGTGTGCACCGGCCGATCCATGTAGCACTGTGACCGTGACTCCATGCGGACCGCAAGTCCGTAGTCTTCGGGGCCCTTGAGAGATGTCTGAGAGCAACGCCGCGTCGTCGCAAGACCTAGGTCCCTGAAGTGAGGTACCGGGCGGCGTACAGCCGTCCCGGAGCGATCGCGCCGTTCCTGAAGACAAAGTATACTGGGCTGTGTCGGAGGTTCAGGATGAAGGATTTAAGGAGCCGACTTTCGCTTGACGACCGTTACCTGCCACCAAAACTCCACCCACCCACTCACTCGTTACCAATCCCTTGCTATGCGCTACACTGCCATCACTTTTGCCGCCCTTGCGACAGCTCTGCTCTGCATTTTGAACGCAAGCTGTGCCGACGGTAAGTAATCGTTGACTGCGCATTCGTTGAGGAAAATGGCAAGGAATCTGACCTTCAGCGATTCCTCGCCCCTCTTCGTATCTATCCTTCACAGCTATCTCATGCGCCACGAGGGATAGGAACGGCGTGTACCTCCCCTGTAGTGCTGGATGCGACGACATTGCGGGAACCGTGACTTGCAAACGTGCACAGGGACCCCCGTCCTCAGGTCAGTACAGATTTTCGATTAACACTAATGTACAAGATGCTGACGAGCCCCTTGCCATTCGAATAAACGGTATAGGGAGATGGTACGGCGGGTGCTGGCTCATCAACAACGGCTCAAATGGGGACCAGAAATGCAACACAAAATGTGCACCACCAGACTCATCGGGTCAGCCGACCTGCGTGTGAAAGAGTGGAGCAGGTTCTTGTAAGAATGAAGTATGCGGGCGATCACGCCTGCCAACGAGACGGCCAAAGCCACACTTGGGCTCGAGCCCCCTCTTACACTCTGCGGCCAAGCGGTATCGCAGACGATTTTTCTTCCTTTCAGACTGTACGTCCTCTTGATCTCATAGGCCACAATAGTTACGACGCTTGACGCGTATTCTTATGGCTGTTTGTCTAGCACCTTCCCGCTTGTGACGGTGGTTCCTCGTCTGATGCTGAAAAACCATTGCATTTGAGCAGGCCTGACAGCAAGGCTGTGGCGTCGGAAAGCCTGCGTCCGCAATGTAAGGTACAGGGGTAGTGTGAAGCCGACACGAATTGCCGACGTCGGTCAAATACTCGACCTGAAGGGACCAAAAGACCCACCATTCCTTCACGACACTTGCTTCCCACAACGTTCCGCCCTCCATTCCTCCCCACTCGACTCGCGATGCGCTGCGCTTCTCTCGCATTCACGGTCCTAGCGACAACCCTGCTCTGCCTCTTCGCAGCAAGCACTGCCAAGGGTGAGTGAGCTGGGCGATATCGCTTCATTGGGAGGAGTTCGCGAGCGTTCTGACTCACTGCGAACCGCCACTGGCTCTTCCGTCCTCTCATCCATAGCTTTCTTATGCGCTACACGCGACGCCAATGGCAACTTGATCCCTTGCGGGTGAGTGGCTGGCCACGGCTCTCGGCGCAAGAGCACAGCAGACTGACAGCTGCCATCGCCCATGGGTACGGAAGGGGTGGATGTGATGTCAGTAGTCAGGGCGATATCACCTGCAAACATAGGGATGGTCCCCCTACCGGAGGTCAGTAGAAAGTCTTCGCAAGTGGAAAGATTTTGTCATAAAGGACGCTGACCTGACTTTGGTATTCGAGTCCGTCCTGCAGGGCTTAGAGGTGGCGGCTGCTGGCTCGCCTTCAGCAACCCAGACTACGACCCCCAGCTGTGCAAAAGCAAGTGCGACGCACCCCACTCATCGGGCCCTCACACCTGTTGAAGACAAAGTCACCTGCACGCGCGAGGTTTGGTGCCTTGTTGCACCCTCCGCACAAAGTATGCTTCCGACATGTATGACCTTGTATCCAAAGCAGGTAGATGTACGTGCACTTTTTACCGCATGAACAATGACATCGCCAATGACTGAGAGCCTCGATGATTGTTTCAAGAAGGCCCCAGTGGTGTATACAGTAGTCAGGACACCCGCACCGCATGTCCGGTGGGCCGGAAGTCCTAGCTCATTGCTCTTGCGGGCCCCGTGAGAGCAATGCTGTGCCGATGATGACTCTTGCGCCCCGGAAGAGGGACGATACCCCTGAGTGAAGTCCGAGCTGAGTCACAGACAACATGAAGCCGTGGGCGCGCCGGTCAGGAGTGTCAGCCGATGCTGGGCAGGCGGTCCACCTTGAAGGGATAAAAGGCGTAAGACCTCAACGAGAACGAATGCTCCTATTGCTCACCGCTCTTCGCCAGCCCCACAGCACTCCACTGTCACCAGCCCTACATCATCGTCATGCGTTACACTTCTCTCACCCTCGCCGTCCTCGCGACCGCTTTGCTATGCTTGTCAAGCGCAAGCACTGCCGATGGTGAGCTCGTCTTGACTGAGATCTCGATAAATCTTGTCAGCAGACTCTAACCTCTTCTCTTCGACTTGGCAGCCCTCGTTTGTGCTTCCAAAGACCAGCAGGGCCGCTTCATTGCTTGCGAGTGAGTAAAGATCTTGCCACGTAGCTTTTATGCTTGCTCAGGAAGCTGAAAAATGCTCTCCCGCAACGACGCTCTAGCGGAGGCTGCGACATCGGCGCGACTAAATCGGTGGCCTGCCGACAGAAAGATGGATCATACAGAAGTAGTGCGTACAAACTCTTCGCAGATCGGCAGTGAAAGAAGCTAAGAGCTGAATAACGTCTCGCTCTCTATTGGTGTCAGACCCTGCCTTGAAGGGGTGCTGGGCCACAGATTTTCAGGGTATGGGCCCCGGCATGTTCTGCACTCTGTCTTGCAGCAACGGCGTCTGCTTGGCATGAAAGGAAGCCGAGCTGCAGCACTCCTCCGAAGCATTTGAATTTTCATGTACTGCTGCTGTACCGCGAAGATCTCACGAGAAATGTCCGAAGTCGAATCCTGCCCTGTACAGTCTGGGTTGATCAGCTGTGCATATTGGCGACAATGGCGTTGCGTCTTATGCTGCCAGTGATTCCGAATTCATTGTTCTTGCTTCTCGTAGAGTGGTCTGTCAGCAATGCTGTGCCGGAGAACAATTGCGTGGCCCGGAGGACAGGGGCAGTACCCCTGAGTGTTTTCCGAGCCGAGGTGCAGCGGCACTCTGAATCCGCCACCGTGCCTGGTCAGGAGTCACAGTCGAAACAGTCTAGAAGGGTCGCCTTGAAAGGATAAAAGAAGCGCTTCGTCGCGATCCCTGCTCCTTCTTGCAGGCTTTCGTCTCTACGCTTGTGTCTACCCATTCCCAGCCCAGATCAATCGCTATGCGTTACACTTCCCTCAGCCTGACCATCCTCGCAACCACATTGCTGTGCTTCTTCAGTGCAAGTGCTGCTAACGGTAAGCCAGCATTCGCGGTTTCTTTATGAAAGCTGACAGCACGCTGACTATTTCTTTCGTCTTTACAGGTACCAATCTCATTTGTGCTTCTAAGAGGGAGAACGCCTTCATTGCATGCCCGTGAGTAGCTACGTATAGCAGTGCCCATCAGCAGACACGTTCGCTCAACAAATTTGAAGCCCCCGCCCCGCAAAAAACCAAAAGAGGTGGATGCGATGTTGGTAGTGACAAGGCAATAGCCTGCCGACAAAGCGATGGAACGTACAAGAAGGGTCCGTAACAAGACTTGTTCGATTAACCACATGGCGGGCGCAGAGCTGACTTGCTTCTCCATTGTCATCGATTCTCCTTCAGATACCTCGATTCAGGGCTGCTATGCCGCTGATGAGCAGGGTCGGGGCACGGGACTGATGTGCAAATTCTCGTGCCACAGTGGCACTTGCCTGGGAGGATCCTATTGAGCAGAGATGTGGCGCTGGATGCAGTAGAAGGACCAGAGCCGTCACGCAGCCTATGACGAGAGCGTTATATCCGATTCGAGTCCCTATCCTAATGTGAGCCCCTGTTGAGCCGCACTATCCCAGTGCTGTGCAGTCTTGCACCATCGAGAGTCGTGGCCCCCGTCTGATGCGAGCCGGAAGATGGTGCCGTCACCACAGAGGGCCCATCCTGCACTATATGATTGAATGTCAGGGCAAATTTGAAGCAAAGGCACAACCAAACGAGGCATGTGAATGTGAAATCCCGAAATAGTTCACCGAGCGCGGTCCGAGAGGAGAAGCCGAGGCGGTGCACTTCAAAAGGTGAGGCTAAGGAGGGACATCGTTCCCAACTGGTCCAAGATAATCTTAGCATCCTCATAGAAGCACCATGCGCTACTCCTCCATCACGCTCACTGTCCTTGCGGCAACGTTGCTTTGCTTGTTCCACTCGAGCGGTGCCAATGGTAGGTGACTCCGCTTTACCATCGGCAGACGCCGTAGACACCCCTGAGTTGAAGGCTCTGACACTGCCATTTCGACTCTTGAATGAACAGCTATGCAGTGTGGTACGAAAGATGCGCATGGCTTGTTCGCCTTCTGCCCGTGAGTAGCTACGAACGGCGTTGATGATTGCTCAGGAGACTGAAGCCCTCTCTTGCATCATTACGGTAGTGGAGGGTGTGACGTTGGGACCAAGCAGGAGGCGGCTTGCAGAGCTGCAGACGGGACGTACCCAAGAGGTGAGTAAAGAGCCCTGCCAGCGTGCAACTTCACCATGAACTGTATGCTCACTTTGGTTTCCGACTTCCAAATCTGTGCCTCAGGTCAAGGCAACACGGGTTGCTGGCTCATCTACAGCAACCCAAAGGAGAAGCCCAAGAGCTGTAGCCTTCAATGCAGCCCTGGCGGTGCAACAGGAAATTTTGGCTGCATTTGAGCCTGCCAAAGCCGATCGGGCTCTGCAATGGGGCTATTGTGGGTGCTCACTAGCCCCAGTGTAGACGAGCTTCTGGCCTTAGCCGTATTGTCCTTGTGACCCGTCCTGAAATCGACCTTGGTCCTCGACCATAATATACATGCCTACGAAAGCGGTGCTGGCCTCAGGGGTCCTAGATTGGCTCGATGTTGTGGTGAATGGAGGATGTGCGTGCTGTTGTGTGGCCATTCTAATGAGGACCAAGCTTGATGATGATCATCAAGGGTGGTCTAGGAGGATGTATCGCGGGGTAAGAACCGTCGGCGGTGGGAAGAGACAGAGGCCGATACGACTTGGTCTCCACACTCCAAGTGCCAAGGCTCGAAAGGACGTTGGACTGTGCGTTCGGAGACTTCGAGTGGAGTGGCAGCACAAGAGCCACACGTGCACGAGGGCTCTCTGGAGGCCGGAACGGGGGTCAGCGCGGGGCCCCGTTGCACGTGTGCGGGGCGCCGCAAGCTCTTCTCGCCCCCTTTTTTCACCGCGCTCGCCCATGAAATTTTCATGCCTCGCTGCCATGACTTCTCTTCCAATCCTCACAGTCAATCATTCCCTCTCCTAGTAGTTGTCACCCAACCTGTCCAGCGCCTTCCGACGATACCACGTCAGACTCACGTATACCCAGAAGGTAAGACACTCTCAACATGAGGGCAGCCCGTCAGCGAGTCTCGCTTATGCATGCACGTTCGGAGAATTGATAGTCGCCACTCTTCCACGCTCCGCCTTGCCTTTTTTAGACAACATCGGACTCTGACAGCGGCAGGCCAAGGAGATCATCTAATCAGCCTACTACATCGACACCATCGTCGTAAACGAAGGATCTAGTCAGCCATCTTGCATCACTTTCAGACGGACAAGACTGAGCTTGCGTCAACGGGAGCAGAGCGAGAGCAGCAAAAGGAGACAGGCCTGTTCTCTCGTGGGAAAGCTTCCATCCCTTCTTCTCGACAAGAACAGCAGCAGGATCAACGCCCTGTGAGGATCAAGTTCCACCTTTCACCCATCAACGAACCTAGCCACAGCAACCACCGCATCAGCATCAACGCACTACCAGAGCAACTGAACCTCCTTCTACGCCTCAACGACTGCTGCCTCTTCTTTTCACCGAATCACCCTCAACATCTCTGCAATCACAAGTGCAGGAGCGTTCCGATTCGCAACAGTACACGGCAACCAAGCAACAGATCAGGGGTCGAGTGGCCTAGATGCTAACGAACAAGCCAGCACACTACGCACGATGTCAACAATCCCATGCGTCCATTCAACCTTGTACCAACCTTGTACCTCCAACCTTGTACCCTCAACTTTGTCATCAACCGTGCAGAGACTTGACTCTGGCAAACGAGGCATGGGAAACTGTCTACGGGGCTTGGCCTTCATGACTTCCAACTTCATGGCTTGTCATCACCTGGGTCTCTGTGTCTTTCACGGTCACCATTCAATTCACACGATCGAAGGTATCGCAGGCAAGTTCGTCCCGAGTTCTACTGGAAGCAATCAAGCTCTGCTCGATGAGCTTCTTACAAGGCACAAAACATCGGTCTTTGAGGTGAGTCATTCCCATGCGGGCAACACGAGCTCTATGCATGCAAGTCGCACTCGAGACACCGCCATCTCGCTTATGCATGTTCGAAGAATTGACACTCACCGTTCCTCCGCGCACCGCTAGACACCTCCAAAACGACTGAGGAAAAATGGCTGTTCAACTGAACACATATAAAATTCGGTTCGGCAGCATTGTGGTCAATGGGGGGTCCCCTGTTATCGGTGGAATCCAACAGGGCCTGCCACCCTCTGCCCAAAGGTCGAGCAGAAAGCATCGTGGACGCGATGGCTCGTCTCGCAAACGCGCCATCGATTGTGCGTCCTATACCAAGTGGCCCACAGCCGACGCCAAGACGCCACCAGGGCTGATCGCTGGGCATCGCTGCTGAGTCGCTTCAACAGGAATTCGATGCACCACAATGTCTGGAAGCGTCTGATCACCGGCTTCGGAGGTGTCGTGGCGGCTGATGCGGGGCCACAGCTGGTGCGCATTGCCGGTCGGATGGAGATTGAAGAGGTTGAATCATTGGTGAGCAGACGATACGTGAGGTACAGGTGCGGGAAAGCAAGGATGCAGATCACTGAATAGTCAGCTCCACTCGCTTAATCCCGAACACTCAGATACCCGCTTTCCGACCCCACGAGTCAGTCATGTCTTGGCTTGCGCACGTCAAACGTGCTGCTACTGCCCCTCTTCAAGCCAACACTTCGACGTCGGACGTACTCTTGCCAAGGTTTCCCTGGTCAGCCCAGAGGATTGGAGACAGCTGATCCCCTCGCATTCTGGTCGAAGAAGCGTTACGAGTGCTGGAGGCAATTGTGCGATACTTTGACGAATGCAGCGACCTTGATCAGGCGGCCGCTGCGGTACACTTGTACTGTACTACGACACGCCATCCATAGTCAAGATGCTTTGCTTCCTGTTTCTACAAGCATACCACCCGCTTGCTAGACAGGATTGGTCCAGGGTGGCTGACAGTACCGTTGCGCGTGCCCTCGTGGAGACGGATCAGCCCGTCTATGCAACCACTTTGTCGCACATCGTTCCTTACGAAGTCGAGATGCTGGTCTGGCAGAAGGAGTCAGATCTCCTGGGAGCTTCAAAGGGCCGCAGAAGGTCTGGTTGCCAACGCCCAGCTTTTTCAGAGACTTCAAACGGTTGCGTCGCTGACGACGTCATCCCGCTTTCGGCCAGGAGCAGCTGTCTCTTCTCTTTGCGAGCACTACAGGCCGTCAGTCGCACGGGCATGGGCCAAGGACATCCGGATCGCCACTCGGAAGCTCATCGCTTATATGTATCTACGAGCGAGGCATTCGTTGAGGAACCCTGTTGTCGGATCTGCGAGGCAGAAATGGTGCCCTCACTGGGAATGTCTCCCTATGGCCCAGGCACCATCTTGCCAAGCATGGTACTTGGACGCCATAGTCCCGCGCAGCAACAGAGGCATTTACTCGGACGACAACATCCACCTCTTGCACGTCGGATGCAAATTCGTCAAGCAAGCCTTTGACCTCGAGGAGGCGATGGTGTTGATTGCGCATCTGGGTGAAGATTGCCGCTTCGAAGTGGGCGCCAACGGGATGCTCTGCCCGGCCGTGTTGTCAAGAGTGGATCACGAAACGATGTCTCTCGCCGTCGTCGAGGCTTGGGCAAAGAGGCCTGCGAGGCCAAAACATCGCAGTCACCACGTTTCTGCCATTGAGGGTCCTCTGACGCTCGAGCAGATCGTCCGAGTGGTCAAGCGCGTGATGGTCACAGAGACAACGTGCCGTGACCCTTCTGGCTCTGAACTGCCCCTCCCCCTGGCATCTCTGGATCGAATCAATCCAAATGGAGATTACACCGAGGACAACATCCGCTTGTTACTCTTAGGTCTCAACAAGCTACGGAGGGTGTGTGTTGACGAACGACCGATTGTTGATTGGCTCAAGCGGATCTCGCCCGCAACCATCAGCAGGGGTAGGCGTCTGCGAGAGCAGGAGCACGTCCGGCTGCCCTACAGCAGTTGGGGAGAGAAGCTCCTGGCTCGGGTGGGTGTTGACGAGATAGAGGCTCTGCCGATGGAGGCGATGGAGAGCCAAGAGGAAGGTCTCGGGGATGAGGATGCTGAAGAGCGTGAGACTTTCGAGGACGTTTTTGCTCACTGAAGCGGACGGGAGCACAATGGAAGCCATCTTATAGGCCCAATCTTAGAACCCCGATCTCGTCAGTAGGCACGTCAAGGCTAAGCCCTTGATTGCTAAACAAGGCCTAGACAGTTGTCATGGTCTTTGAGCAACAACAAGCCCACATTGGTCGTAGCCTATAGCCTTGTATCTACCAAAGTCGCCGTGCGAACCACACGCGAGCCTTTAACCCTGTATACATCCTACGATCAATTCACAAGTAGGCCATACTTTCTTGCTTCTCGTCCATGTAGACCTTCACGCACTCTGCGTGTCGCATGCGAAAGAATATCAACAGCGCTTGGTGCAAACTGTACTTTGTACGGTGAGCTTATCGTTGGGACACGGTCATTGCATCCGGTGTGACCCGGAAGCTCGTGGAGAGCGCGGTTCGGCCCGGAGAAGTGGTGTCGTCTCCATGAAAGCTAGGGCGCGCGGAAAGGTACATTGATGTAGGCGAAGCAACAGTGTGACGCAGAGCTCCGAGCCCAACTCGTGAGATAGCCGATGCAAGTAGAGCAGCCAGGCTGTGTAGTCGGTGCAGTCTACTCTTGCATCCTACTTCACTGCTTTCCACCTTGTGATTCTGCATTTCTACGCCTTCATCGACCCAAGATGCGTCATACTGCCATCACGATCTTCGTTCTTGCAATCTCTCTGCTCAGCTTGATTAGCCCAAGCAGCGCAAGTAGTGAGTGAGCTACACCATCTCATCCGCGACCGCTGTCAGGACCGTGCTCTGACACGCCTGGCCCTACCCTTGGCTCTTTTGCCCTACAGCAAAGACCTGTAACATCAAGGATGCACAAGACAAATTTTACAGCTGTCCGTGAGTGAGCTACTGCATGACGAAAGGCCACGGCAGATACGTGGCGAGCAGACTCAACAGAGAGACCCCCTCCTATGTCCACGATAGAGGAGGATGTGATGTAGACACATCCAGGGCGCCAATCTGTAAACAGACCAATGGAGACAAGGCGATAGGTCAGTAGAACACCGGTGGCGAAGAGATGTATGGGGCGCTGACCGTCTTTGCGCCTTTTCTCTGGCATCTGTTGTTCTAGGTATTCGAGGCAGTGGGTGCTGGTTGCGCTTGAATGATCCCCAGGAGACAAGCAAGCACTGTGATCTTCACTGCAGCCTGGACAATGGCCCAGTGGGCTACTCCTGCGTTTGAGCATCGTGAAATGCCCGTGAGCCTACGGGACGACAGCTATGACCTAGCTCTACCACTTGTGTCAGCCCTCTCAGGGGTATAGTGATTCCGTCACCTCATGACGGATCGAAACAGCTCCCCTTTGACAATGTGTGCTTCCCGACTGCCTGCAAAGGCTCCAGGCTGGTGGTGTGATGCAAGTCGGCACTTGACGGTCTTCACTTCGAGCGCCAACCCTCGCCGAGAGAACTTCTCTCAATGCCATGAAAGTCAGGGCACAGTATGCCCAAAGGTACAGTACAGCGAGTGGAGGTACAGACACATATGAAGCCGGTCACCCGGCCGGGCGAGACAGGTGTGCAGTGTAGTACAAAAGATTCGGTCACGGCGAAGCCTGTACCTTTTCAGTCGACACCCTCTCCGTACTACCCATCTCACCTCGCAGCCTCATTGTGTCACAATGCGCTTCGCCTCCATCACGCTTTCCGTTCTGGCAACTACGTTGCTCTGCTTGCTCAGCGCGAGCAGCGCGAACGCTGACATGTGCGCTGTCAAAGATGCCAACACGGGTACCTACTTGGGATGTCCGTAAGTAGCTACCCTTGATGTTCAGAGAGAGATGTGCTGTTGCTCAGCATACTCAAGCTGAAACGTGTCCTGTATTTCCTAGGGGAGGTTGTGATGTCGACACAATGAAATTTCCTGCCTGTAAGCTGGCCGATGGCAAGATCGTCAAGGGTCAGTATAGAGTGCGGTACGACGAGAGTGATCCGGTAGACTCTGACCCGTTCCCAGCTATGTCTTTTCAGGTGTCCAAGACAGTGCGTGCTGGGCTCTCTTCAGAGATCGACAGGACGGGCCCAAGCGCTGCCCCATTCATTGCAGTCTCGACAATGGCGCCGCTGGTATCTCCTGCGTTTGAGCAACCGCAGGACCGCCAGAGCACGTAGGAGAGTAGTCTCTTGAAGCGTTCCTCGTTCTGACTACGACATACAAGCATGGCTTGCTCGTAGTACTGCAGTACAAGCATGTGTTGCACTTATGGTAATGATGACCCTAGAGTCCCTGTGAACTTGTGCTCTCCTTATTTTCCATCGTGCAAGACCGTGTCGCTTCGGCGCTGAACATCCGTGACTGTTACGGAGCGGAATAGCTTTGATGAATCAAGTGCCGTTGGAAATACCTGCTGTCATCTTAATCAGGGCCCGATGAGTGCCAAGGAACGCCGAGGCACAGGGAGCAATCCGGAGCCGCTCACTAGGCCAGGTCGGAGGGAGATGTCCGAGGCAGCTACAGGAAACCAGCCCGCGATACCCCGTCTTTCACTCCTTACCACATCTCTTCACGACAGCTCCACAGCCTTACTCGGCGAACAATCTCACCATGCGTTTCGCTTCCATCATCATTATGGCTTTTGCAACGGCACTCCTTTGCGTAAGCGGTACCAGTGGTGAGAACTGAACTTCGTCCCCATGCTACTGGCTGTCTTACGCTTGACCTGGAGTTCTCAGTCCTCTGACGATCCCCCCTTTGTGTTCGCGGTGGTTCGGCAGCCGCTCACTGCGCTAGGAAGGATAAGGATGGAAAATTCATTCGATGTCCGTGAGTTGAGGGCAAAAATCACCTCCTGTCACCAGGTTCGCCTGCTCACCAAGGCTCGGTTCATCACATTTCCTCACCTGAATAGAGATGGATGTAGATTGGATACTTTCAGAGAGCCAGTCTGCAAAGATGAACAAGGAAAGTGGACTATCAAAGGTCAGTACAGGTCATTGCAGATGATGGGAGGCATTGAGCTGACCCGAATCCTCCCCGTTCTATCAGGCCCCCGAGGCAGCGGTTGCTGGGCACTATTTGAAAGCCGAGAGGGAACCACCAGGCGTTGTGAGATGGACTGCACGCCCGTGGGTATACCTGGTAACGTCAATTGCTGATGAGCAGCACTGGACAGACTGCAAGACGAAGCAGAGCCTGCCTCTGTATGCAGATCCGTTTGCGTTTCTCCCTCGACTGCGACTCATGATCCGGCCGACATCAGTGATCGTGAATTGAATCAGATGTTCTCTTGAGTTGCTATAGCATCACACAAACTTCTTCAATTGCGTACGGCAGTTCATCTGACGCATTCCAGTTGTTTCTGCCCTGCGAGCCCGAAGACCCCTGTGAAATTCCGATTGCCTCGATCCGGGGAGTAAGGCAGACCCTCAGCGACCCCATATCGGTCCTCTCAGCCGGCCCAGGCCGGAATTCCCCAGCCGTGCACATTGAGGTCTAGGGCCACAGATTGGCCTGCCCGGTCAGGGGTGCTTGCCGTCGGTAAACAATCGCTTGCTCTGGGCAAGAATTTCAAAGCGAATGGTGGTTCCTGCATTGGAACTCATCGTCGTACTTCACCGGCGGACCACTGTCTGACCCAGAGCAAAGGGCACCCTGTCCGGCTCATGAAGAAGCCTCGATCGTGGTGAATCTTCATTCGTCATTCATGTCTGGCTAGCCGTTGTTCAATTCATAGCATCCCGTTCCGTCCTCCTTCGAACTTCCGCTCTTATTCAGTCCGGAGGCGTGCATTCAAGCAAGAAAGGAAACTCGATGACATAAGTTACGTGCGAGCAGCAAAGAGCGCAGGAAAGGTACCGATGCTGCGTAAGGGCGCGGTACACTCGTTCCATAGAGAAGGCAGATGACAAGAGAGACGAAAGCAGAAGCGAGATCAAGTCGTGACGTGCCCAAAGCTCAAGGGAAGTGCCTACTTCCTGACTGGGCTCCTCGGACCCTTGACGGTCGTCTCTTCATCAAAGAGGACTCGTCCGCCAATGAAGCTATAAGGGTATTCCCTCTGGTAGGTATTGCAGACCGTTCGTCTTCCAGCAACACTAGGCGTGGTAGCCCAACTGCCACCCAGCACCACGTCGTGTTTCCCATCGAAAAAGTCGGCCGAGTAAGCCGGGTAGAGTGCAGAGGCACGGAAGCCTGGATAGTCCATGAATGCCGTAGAGGTCCACTCCCACACACCGCCATTGTGGCCTGGGATGACAAGGCCGTCCCCGTCTACGCGGGGCAGATCAGCAGGGACGGGGTGCCAGTTGCGGAAACCGACGTTGGTGCCTGGTCGGTCGACGCATTGTGGTGAGGTGCTGGCGTCGAGGAAACGGCGTAGCTCGGCGTGAGTGGGGAGTCGACCTCCCTTCCAGGCTGCATACTTTCGTAGTTGAGATCCAGAGCCTTGTACAGGCCAGAGACGGGCGACGGACATTGGCACTGGACCGAAGACGGTGCGGACACTGTACGGAGAGGTCGAAGAGGCGGTTTCGATCCAAGAAGAAGGATAGTCGCTCGATCCAGTGGCCTTGAGGAAGGAGGCGTATTGTTCATTGTTGACAGGAGTGGCCATGATGGAGAAGGCGCCCGTCTGTACTTTTCGCACAGGAGTCTCATTGTCCCATCCAAATTCAGGTTGAGCGAGCTGGGCATTGAGGGATGAGACATCGTCTGAGACCTTTGTCGTACGGATATCGAAGTCTTCTTCGTCATCGTCGTTGTGACCAAGGTCGACCTTATCGGCTTTGAAGTAGAGCAGAGCCTCGCGAGCCTCTTGACCTCCCTGTCGAGCGTCCTGCTGGTCCCAGACACGGGAAAGAGAGGCCCAGTCGGGAGGTGAGACGTCTTTTGGAGGGAGTGTGTTGGGGGACTGTGCAAGCATGTAGAGGAGCGTCTCTTGATGGAGCTCAATGTGCTCCATTGCCATTCGCAGGGTCCTCGCTAGCCGACGGTCCATGCTGCGCTTGCCACTAGCGACGTCGTGATAGATGTCTTCGACCCTCCTCATCACCAGTTCGCGATAGGCGAGGATCTCTTCAACTCGTGGCCAGTCTTCCTCTCGCTGAGGTACCTCGCTGTGAGCATGGCACTGCGTCGGATCATCCACATGCGGGTCAATGCCACGCTCGAAGATGGCATTGTAGTGCTCGTCGATGGCCTTGAGATCCGGCAAAGTCTTGAGCAGCATAATGTCGACGAATGCAGGGATATGTCCGATGTAGAAGAGGCAGATATGTCGCAGATCAATCGGCTTCTGGTGGAGCAACTTGCGAGAAATCATGGTCAAGGTGATGGTATCCCAGCTACTCCAAACCTTGCTCCACTCCGACGCAGTCGGGATTCCCCATGATCCCCACGAGATGTGTGGTTGCGGACGAGGACCAACGGCCAGTGATGAAGCACCTCCGTCGGCATCGTATTCATGGGAGCCATTGCTGTTGTGAGCTTGCGCGACGGAAAGGCCCTGCGAGAGACTCTGCCTCCAGCCAGTGCACAAGCGCGTCGACTCGAAGTGGAAGGGTGGCTTCTCGAGTAGCCACAGGTCGTAGTGTGGGGACGAAGGAGTGGACCACTTCTGGACAACGCGGAGACCTGCGTGATCGAGAGCGTCGAGGGTCTCTCTCTCAGAGTACTTGTACGAGCGCTCGATGTGGATAAGCTCGCCGGCTGCCAGATGCACGGTACTGCCGTCGGGCAGGGAGTGATCCTGCTCTTCCAGCGAGCGGTAGTAGCTCTCGTGACGACCTTCGAGGACATTGTATCGATCATGGTACTCGAAGCGAGCAGAGCTGAGAACATTGCCTCCCAATAGCCTGTCCGCATGCTTGAGGCCATTCATGATAAACGATCTTGTCACGCCAGCAGGGTCATTGTAAGCAAGCTCAACGTCCCGAGGAGTGTTGCGCCTATCAATTCCGACGAGCATAGTATCACCAGGTCGCAGAGCCGTATCAGCACACTTCTTGAGGAACTCGGCAGCGTCTCTTCGTTCAAAGTTTCCAATGGATGAGCCCAGCCACATCAAGCAACGACGAGCGCTTTCTGCAGCGTCCAAGCCATCCCTGCCGACCAGATCGAGACCTTGGTCATAGGTAGCCCAGATGCCTCGGATGTCGACTTTACCAGAGAGGACAGTGTTGGGATCGTCCGCCGAGGTAGCTAGTTGCTGATGCAAGTCGGAGAGAGTACGGTTGAGCTCGGCCTTGTCCAGATCGAGGGCATAGTAGTGCGTCTGGGGTACGGGCAGGTCCTTCAATGCTCGCAATAGGTGAATGGTCTTGCGGAGCGAGCCCGCACCCAGCTCCACGAGCGTGGGCGAGCCGCCAGCGCTCTGAGCCGATGACAGACGTGAGTTGAAAGCACTTTCCCCAACTGTGGAGTGACCGTTACCATTGGCCTTTTGCTGGGAGTTCAACTCTTCGCAGACTCGTCGCGTGTCCTGTGGGGTATGCTGAGCATTGTCTTTCCGAAGCAGGTCGTGGGTTGCGGGTGTCTGAAGGCCAAAGAGTCGATGAGCAATCTCTGCGCCGTGTTGCTGTAAGATGGAAGTCTCGGCATTCCAAAGGTAGTACTCTGGTACATTGACGAGCTGTGCAAGAACGTGTAGGCAGCGTGGAATAGGCACAGCCGGTCAGCAGGCCGAACAGAAGTACTGCACATGAGCTGCAACAGCATCAACACGGCGAGCTCGGCACTCACCTCATCATACAGCCTCAGCCCCTCCTCGTCATACAAGATCATCGTCGGCAGCGTCTTGTTGTAAGCCCACTTGACATCTTCAGCATCCTCCGTCGAGCCAGGCACAATAGAAGTCTTGGATCCCTTAAGTCCATGTAGGATCTCTGCCCGCAGCGTGTCCGTCTGGGACTGCTGTCCTTCAGAGGAGCCAGAGTAAAGATCGATGAGTGGATGAGCCTTGCCTGAAGAAGAGGATGCCGATTTTGTGGACTTTTTGGGGGTTGCGTCAGATGAAGGGAGAGTGCTGAGCTGCTCGGGCGCAGTGGAGGTAGCAACGGGGGCCATGGTGGGAAGACTTGAGCAAGGATTAGATGCAACGAGAGAGAGGGAGGAGGAAAGAAGGGAAAGTATGGATATGCCACGTCACCACGTCAGACCATACGAGAGGAAGAAGGAGGTAAGTGCTGGGAATGGGAGGAGTGAGTAGCAGTGGAGGCTCAGCTGGAAGCAGGAGGTCAAGGTGAAGAGCCGAGTGCGGGGGGGAGCGCCTCGCACTGAACCCTTGTCCGCCTCAGTCGCCGTGTGGAGGCGGCGTCGTGGCCAGCCGCCGGTGTGCCGTGCGCGGAAGGCAGGAACGGAAGCCGGGACTCATGCATGGAAGCACGACGCCTCGAGGGAGGTAAAAGTCTATTTATTCTGGCTCAAGGTCTAAAAGGTCATCATCCACTCGGGAGATGGAGCACGACAGTACAGTGTAGACAGTGAGGGAAGGGGATGGAGCAGAAGTAGTAGATGGGAAGTCTAGCGTCAAGCAGCCTCACCACCTGCTCATCCGAAGTGGAAGCCGGGCGGTGGTCTTGCGCCTCCAAAGCCACCGCCGCCGCCGAAGCCACCGCCGGGGAAGCCGCCCATGCCTCCCATTCCACCCATACCACCCTGTCCGAAGAGGTCACTCAGATCCACTCCACCACCGCCGCCGAAGGGGTTGGACTGCACCTCCGACTCGGGATCATCAGCTCCACTGTCATATCGTCTCCTCTTTGCAGGGTCGCTAAGGATATTGTACGCCTCTCCAATCTCCTTGAACTTGGCTTCGTCGCCTCCCTTGTCTGGGTGATGCTTGAGAGAAGCGACTCGGTAGGCCTTTTTGATCTCGCTCTCCTCTGCATCGCGCTTGATGCCAAGCGTCTTGTAGTGGTCCTTGCGCAGAGATCGCTTCTGCAGCATCTGCGCTTGCTGCAGCTCCTTCTTCAGCTGCTGAGTCTCATTCTGTTCGGTAGCGGTCTCAATGGCCTCCTTGAAGTCCTTGATCGCATCATCGAATAGATCGAGCGCTAGACTAGTACGCGCTCGAGTCCGAATGGCCTTGGAGTAGGACGGGATGAGGGACAGGGTGGAGTTGCAGTCTGACAGGGCTGCGTCGTATGCCTTCAGCTTAAAGTTGGCAGTTGCCCGATTCGAGTAGAGTGTAGCTCGCAGCTGTCTCGACCCGCCCTCTGTGAGATGCAGAGTAGCCATGGGCGACTTGTCACTACCAGTACCATTGGTCTGACCATTGGGCTGATCATCGCTGCTCTCGGCCTTGAGATCCCTCAGAGCCTCTGTATACTTGTCCTTCGCTGCGCTCCACCTTCCTCCCTTTGCGGCAGTATTGCCCTCCTCTTTAGTCTTCTCAATCGCCCGCGAGAAGCGCATCAGGTCCCTTGCAGCAGTGAGATCCGGATCGTTGCGAAGCGCAGCTTGCGTATGTTGGACAGTCTTTGTCAGGTCTCCTTGAGCGAAGAGCACTCGAGCACGCAGCAAGAGAATCTCTGGATGATTCGGATCTGTCCGCAAGAGATCTGTGACTTTGCTCGAGGCTTGCTGCAGCGAGGAATCGTTGCGAATGTAGAGGAGGGACAGGGACAGGATCTTCCAGGCGAGAGGTGGGGCAGGGACTAGAGAGGATGATAGGAGCTGCTCGATTGCGAAGCTGGCCATTCGAAGCTCTCCGGAAGCTGTGTCCCTCTGTACAGCCGCCCAGCTGGCGAGCAAAGGCTGCAAAGAAGAGCTGAGGGACCGGGTCTCGGCAGAGTCGGGCAGCGAGTTGAGGCGAGATTGAGCTTCGTCTAGCTGTCCACATCCCACGAGGGCTCTGCACAACCGGAGCTGACTCTTGACAGAGGCCTCGCCGTCTGCCTCCTGCTGTAGCTCAATAGACTTGCGGCAGTCGCTCACTGCCTTGCCATGACGGTTCAGAGCCATGAGGGCAGCAGCGCGATTGAGATAGAGGGAGGAGAGCGAGTCGGCAGTGGCGCCATTCGGGGCGGAGCCATTTGTCTGGCTGCCTGCTGCTCCGTTGGCCTTGGCCTTTCTGCTAGCTATCCTCTGTGTCTCCTCGAGATCAATGGCGGCAGAGTACTTGTCCAGAGCAGAGCCATACGCCTTTGACTTGAAGAGCTCATTGCCCTCGGCTCGCAGCGTTGCAGCATCCAGGGGAACAGGCGAGGCGGATCGGGAGGAGCTGGCCGAATTCATCGAGGCATCGGACGAGGATGACATGATGGGCGAGGAAGAGATGTAAGGTGAGCACCGAGGATGGCCAGGCAGAACAAGGTCGAACCAAAGGGTGATGGACGATGCCGCTGCGATCTGTCGAGGAGGAGGATGGCAGGAAGAAAGCTTCCGGGCCACGATGGAGCCAAAATCACTCGCGGCCACTCACTTCGACTCGACTCACGCCCTGCCGCGCGCCCGGGAAAAAGTCAACGGAGCGGAAGCAGAGGCTCAGAGGCAACTCCTCGTACAGCAGAGGCCGGGACCATGGAAAGCGAACAACCTCACACGAGCGCACACCTCGAGCAGCAGCGGCAGCAGCAGCAGCTAGCTGAAGAAGAGGCGATAGAGGATGCCTTCCTAGGTAGTGCAAGGCTCTGCAAAGAAGCAACTCATGGCACCCTCCCCATCACAACTCCTCTCTCGTTACACAGCGATTAGTAAGATGCCTTCTTCGACTTCCCGCACTACGTCTGCGATGGGTGGCTTGTAAGCCCTATTCTCTGCCACATTTGCAATGATCATTCAAGGAGTATGGAAAGTAGAATCAACATGCACGGCGCGAGTGAGATGTCGAGAAGAAGGCAATGACAAAAGATACGACAAAGACTATGTCAATTAGGCGCCAGCTCGAGACACGAGTGGAATGGAGAAAGCAGACGCCGACGAGAGGAGATCCTCCTGTTCGCCCTGTAGGGATGGGCCAGGCATCGATACAGCGCGAGTGTGACCGCTGCCGGATGCTTCAGCTCCATTGTCCTCGTGGGAAGATTGCTGGGCGCCACGAAGCCGATCCACATGGGCATTGTACCCCGGGATCTTGGACAAATCTACATCGATTGTAGCGACTCGCCTTCGCTTGGCGACAGGCGGAATGGTCGGTGCAGAGCAACCGGTGTGAGCAGATGCTCCTTTCCCTGCAACTGCTGTCTTGTCATCGAAAAATGTTGTGAGCTGTCTCACGTTATTGATTGGGCCGGAAGTGTGAATGTTCCTTGCCTTGTTGATTATGACAGGCCTGGTTGAAAGTGACGGGCATCGGAGAGACATCATTCAGGGGGTCAGCATTGTATTCGTCTGGCTGGACGTCGGGTACGTCACTGGCGAAGGGCTCTTCCAATTGCTCGATTGTACGTAGATCCCCGGCCACTCATGACTCAAGTTCATAGCCTTACGCTGCTCTCTTTGGCCGTAGCCGACGAGGGGCAGGTGGGCCACTTGCGACGTCTAGCCAGCGCTGTCAAGTCTACCAGACGTCTTCTCTGGGGCCTCGACCTCGACCGAGGCCCCCAAAGGTAGTCTTGCTGGAGAGCCACGTCACTGTTCACGTTGAACCGAGCACTCACCTTGGCTGTGTAACCCTCTTCTTCTTACTGGGCGTCGACGGAGGCGAGGTAGGGATCTGAGGCTCATCCTCCTCAGACTCAGGAAGAGGACGTTTGGCGGCAGTCGCTACCGGCGAATCGTGCTGAGACCCTCCGGCTGAGCTGCTTGGTACCGTGCGGGGAAAAAGAGACGGGAAGAAGGAAGGCAGGAAGGCAGCTAGCGTGCCGCCGTGGGTGGACTCGGACGCCGGAATCTTGCCAATCATCTTGCGGGTCTCCTTGATCTTGCGTTCCGTGGCCTCGAGTGAGGCATTCTTCTCTCTCAGCCGCTCCAGATGATACTGCTGCCGTAGTCTAAGAGTGAAGACTACTTCAGATCATCGCAAGACCAGAGTCAGGCAACTGGATTCGCTGTCGGTAGAACCATGGTCATGTGGGTGTTACAATATCATGGCACGTGCCGAACGGCGAGGAAAGATCAGTAGAGAGCACACACGTGCTTTCTCCTTGTCAGAAGTGACTCACCTTAGTGGAATAGCGCTAGCACTGTCCTCATGTCTGGTAAAAAGAAGAGCCACAGGAACAGGAAGTAGAAAGCAAGAGATGCTAGACAGAGGCAGGCCGTGGTTCTAAGCGTCGCGGCGTGACGGCCTCGGCATCGAAGCAGAGCGCTGGCGACCGCTGCTTGGTGCCTCGGCGTCATCGCTCTCGTTTCGCTCCTCCTTATTTCCGCGCACTCGCGCAACATGGGCAGTCCACCCAGGAATTCCCGATGTGTCCACATCCTGTGACGCAATCCTGAGACGCTTTGCGTTGTTTGCCATCGTCGCGTTCTTCTCGTTGAAGCAGGTTGTCAGATTGGCCACGCCGGAAGTTATAGGCCCAGAGGTGTGGAGATTCCTCGCCTTGTTGATTACCACTTGAGGCCTTGTTGATTGTGACAGACATCACGAAGACAACAGTCAGAGGGTCAGCATCGGTTTGGTCGGGCTGAAGCATCGGAAACGTTACTGGTGAAGGGCTCTCCCAATTCCACAATTGTAGACGCCCGGACTCCCGTTGTTCGGTCCTGCCGTTGTTCGGGCCATGCAGTTCGTAGCCTCACGCTGCTCTGCTCCTGATCAGGAGAGGGGGTAGGGCCATGGCCAAGCAATGAAGACCTCTTGCGACGTCTACCCCGGCGCTGTCACGTCTACCGGGCGTCTCCTCTGGGGTCTTGACCTTGGTGAGAAGCCAAGACCAGCAAAGGTAGTACTGCTAGAGAGCCACGTCACTGCTCACATTCGACCGAACACTCACCTCGTCTGCATTTGCTTGCCCTTGCCCTTGTGGCGGGGCTTGATCGGGCTTGAGGGAGGAAAGTTGCGGACCTCATGGGGATGATTGTTAGGCTCAGCCAGTTCCGACACCGAAGCAGCACGCTTTTTGCCAGTCGCTGGTGGCTCGCGGTGCTCGACCTCGGTGGCTAAGCTGCTTGAGGATGGCCTCGGGAAGAAGGCGGGGCATAAGGAAGGCAGGAAAGATGGCAGAGTGCCAGAGGTGGGGCCCTTGGAGACCCGAGGGAGTAGTGCAAGCATTCGTCGAGTTTCCTTAAGACTCTCCTCACTTGCTTCGAGTCTAGTGGTAATCTCGATGAGCGCCCACTCTTGCTGTCGCAGACATCTTGGACACATCGACCTCCACGGAGGCGATTCGTGAAGGCTTCGTCTGCGGCACGGGGGTGGATGTAGAGCAGCTTGCGTGACTGGATGAGGGCGTCGTCTGGTTGACGACGCTCGTCACATGGGCGATGCCATGGAGAATCGTGCCTGAGGTTGTTAAGTGGGTGGTCTTGTTGACCGTAACTGAGCGTCTTTTCGAAGGTGATGTTTGGGAGGCAATCATCCAATCGTCAGCAATACACTCGCTGGCTGGAGCAATCGGGTACGTCGGTGGCGACGAAGCTCTCCAGGTTCCACAATTGTAGTCACCCGGCCACCCGCCGAGACGGGGTAATGCAAGTTCGTAGCCTCACGCTGCTCTGCTCCGTACCGTGGTACGAAGAGGGGGTAGGGCCCAATATCGCAACGTCTACCCCGGCGCTGTCAAGTCTACCGAGTGTCTCCTGTGGTGGCTCGATCACGATCGAGGCCACGAGAGGTAGTACTGCTGGAGAGCGACGCCACCGTTGACATTCGACCAAAGACTCACTTGTTAAGTGGATGGGTATTCTTGGCAATCTTCTTGTGGCGCGCTTTCTTGGCAGGTGGCGGAGAGCTCACCGTGTAGCTGAACATCGCAATAGCGCGGGCAGGAGGTCGACTGGGAGATCAGTGGGGGGCAGTGGACGCGTTCATTCCGAGAGAAAGCTCACCTGCCGCTTTGATCGGACCAACCAGGATGACATAAGGAAACGGAGTGCTTCATGAGCCAGCCTTGTTGTTGGACGCTTGCCGTCGCTCATTTGCGCCAGTAATCGTTGTGGATGTCTTTGGCGAATCGAGTGGGTAGGGAGCTCGGGAGAAAGCTCAGTCCTGCACCGACGAGGGCAGACCCAGTAGAAGCGTGGGTGGGTCGGTTGACAGCCGTAACGGTAGCCGTAGAGCTGGGCTCAAGCCTGGTTGAGGTATACAGTAGGAGTATCCATTAGAGGGCAGAAGTACATTAGGGAAGAAGTTGGTGAGATGAGCTCGTATGGAAGAAGAAAGAGGCAGCAGGCGAAGGAGGAGGAGGGGGAGCAGGAGGGGGAGCAGGAGGAGGGAGCAGGAGAATGGAGGGGGAGACCGAAGGAGGAAGGGGAAGGGTCACGGCCACATGGCAAATCAGCACCACTTCGGACCGCCCCGGGACGCCGCTGCTGCCTTTGCTTCCACGCTCCAGAGCAATAGGCATCCTCGGCGTAAGTCGGGTGCGAAAACAGATCTCATCGAGTCGTGTCTCACGCCCTGATCTGGAATGAAGCCAAATGGACATTGACTAACAGAGTCCGCCGCCGGAGAGGCAGGACAGGGTACAAGAGACGAGGAACAGGCATGAGGGACAAGAGACAAGAGACGAGCCACGGAGAGAACGGGCAGAAGATGTGAGGCTAGACAAAGCCGAGGCACAGGGACGACCGCCGGGAGGCGAGAGACAAAAGAAGAGACAGAGGCACAAGACAGAGGTCGTGGAGAAGACCACAGAAGACGTGGGCATTGGACACGACGAAAAGCAGTGTATGATTGACCCCGGAAAGACAGAGGGGAGTGAGTAGGCCTTTGCTCTATGCGCCGCGATGTGACGGCACCGGCATCGAAATGGGGCATTGTTGACCGCTGCTTGCTCCCTCGGTGTCATAGCTCTCTTGTCGTTGCTTCTTGATCCCTCGCTTTCGAGCTACGTGTTCCTTGTACCCTGGCATCTTTGCTGTGTCGACGTCTACAGAGGCGATGCGCCTCTTCTTAGGCTCTGGGGCCGGGGTTGGGGTAGTGCACTTGGCATGCGCGGAAGAGCCACCCTCGTTGTTGATGGTCTCTGCATGCGCAACGCCGTGTAAACTGGTCCCGTAGGTGTGCAAGTTGGTCGTCTTGTTGACGATGACGAGGCGACTGTCGAGATTGAGAATACAAGCCAAGGAAACAGCACTTGTCAGTAATGCATCCGTCTGGCTGGATCGTGAGTACGTTGGTGGCGAAGAGGCTGTCCGGGGTCCAAGGTTGAGACACCCTGCCACTCGGAGAGCGTGCAAAGCAACTTCGTATTCTGACGCTGCTCTTCGCCACGTAATGATGGAAGGACAGAGCCACTTGCGACGCCTACCCAGCGCTGTGAAGCCTACCGGGCGTCTCCTATGCAGCCTTGACCTCGACTAAGACCACCAGGGGTAGTATTGCTGGACACTCACTTCGCTGCCAACATCTAACCGTACACTCACCTTGCTTCATGCGCCTTCCCCTTGCTTTTCTGCCTCTTGAGATGTGGAGCTGCAGAAGTGTGCGCACCGGAAGCAAAGGTCGAAGCAGGGTCGCAATCGGCCGGTCGTCACTTCACGTCAGCCCTTTCGCCAGCATTCGCAGAGACGAAGGCCAGCACGGAAGCGGCATGTTGGCGCTTGGCCTTAGGGGTTGGTATTGAGGACGCAGAGCAGCCTGCATGGCTGCAAACCTTCTTCTTTCCATTAACGACAGTCGTCGAATAACGATGCCGCGAGAGAAAGTTGTCGATATCGTCACATGGTCTCATTGACCGTGACACAGCCTCTTTTCGCAAAGTAGGTGCTGGAAGCATCAAACGCAGCCTGATGTGAAGCATAGACAATCGTCTCCGTTTTCCCAGCGCACAAAGCACACTTGTTGGGTACGAAGGCATGTGCAGAGGCTCTTGGACAAAAGCAGATGCCTCCAAAAGTCAGACCGAGGACGCTGCTTTCCTACAGCGGTGATTTGGGCCGCGATAAGTGGTCACCTGCTTGTGAGAGTGGCGGAGAATGTAAAGGCGCGTGATGGTGGTGTCAGTGACGATGGCCGCTGGAAAAGTAAGTCCTGGCCCGCAGCCAGCAAAGGCTGCAATGAAGGCTCTAAGGACGGTACTCTGAGCGGCCTTCTGGCACAAGATTTGCAACGCCGGGTATGATCACACGTTCGAACACTCATCAACCATCTTGTTTGTTACATTCCCGTGATAGAGTTGTTGCGCCTCAAGGTCAACGAAGTCAGCGATGATCTTCGCAAGCGATATGAACAGCCCTCGAGGTCCCTCTTCCCTTTGTTTACCCTGCAAGAGGGCACTGGCAGGCCTGCAATAGTCTTACGTTGGCGCGTATGGTGTCCTGCGAAGTCGTGACAGCCAATCAGCATCAGACTGTCCCGGCCGAGCGGTCAGGGATTGGAAACGCGGCGATGTATCTCCAGTGAAGCTCTATAGGTGCCGAGCATCTGCATGGTGGCAAACGAGGCGAGCAGGAAGCCCACTTGCTGTATCTGTTCCACGAGATTACCTCACCTCAACGTCACGGAACGTTGTCCTTGCGGCCGAGGTCGACAAGCATTGATGTGCCAGGGGGGGTTCTTGAGGCCACCAGACTGCCTAGCGTAGATGGAAGTAGGGAAAGGGCTGTAGCAGAGACGACGCAAGGATGGGTGCAGAGGACTGAAGAGTTAAAGCGACACCGTGATTGTGAGGCAAGGAGGAAGAGCAAGTGGGGAAGAAAGAGGAGAAGGGAGGAGGGAAGGACGGAGAAGGACGGAGGGATGAGAGACAGGAAAGAGAAGAGTGAGTCCTCACTGGAAGAACACCACGCCCACAACGCAAGCCAGCACCATCTCGGACCGCCTCGGAATGCCGATACCGCCTTTGCTCCCGGGTCACTTCGCAATAGTCGGCGCAAGCCGGGTGCAAGGCTGATGGTGATAATGCGGCGAGTCGCTCCACAAAGACCTCGATCACGATGTACAGGATGCCTCAGGATGCTGAATCGATAGTTGCTGAGTAAGTCTGCCATGTGGACGACAAGGTGGGAGAGACAAAGTGAGATAGATAGACAGAAGACAAGCCGAGGGAAGCAAGGACAAGAGATCGGGGACAGGACACAGGACATAAGAGGCGTCGACGTAGACCAGGACAGGCGACGGCAGACTCGAGAGGAGAGACACGAGACACCAGAGAAGAGACACGAGAGAAGAGACACGAGAGAAGAGGCACGACAGGGCTAAAGTTGGATTGGCCTCAGATCTGGAGAGGAAACACGAGGAAGAAGTCTTGCCTCCTATACCTCGTCTTGGGGCGGCGCGGGCCCGGAAGTAGAGCGTTTGTGGGCACCTCCTTCATCCTGCTCTTGTGCACGTCGGTGCCGGCTCACATGGGCTGACCACCCCGGGATCTTGGACGTGTCGACGTCCACGGACGCGATCCGTCTACGTTTGGGCTCTGGGGCCGAGCTCGAAGAAGCGCACTTCGCGTGAGCCGACCCAGTGTTGCTGCTGCTGACGTTCTCTACGTGAGAAACGCCATGCAAGTGAGTGCCCACGGTGGTCAGGTTTTGTGTCTTGTTGATAATAATCGAGCGACTGTCGAGTGTGACGATGGCAAGACAACAAAGACTCGATCGTCAGCAATACATTCACTGGCTGGAGCAACGGGTACGTTGGAGGCGACGAGGTTCCCGAACTTCCTCAATTGTAGACACCGGACTCCCGTTGTTCGGTCATGCCATTGAAATGTCATGCTGTTGTTCGGGCCTTTGCAGTTCGTAGCCTCACGCTGCTCTGCTCCTTGCCGCAACAAGGAGAGGGGACAGGGCCACTTGCGACGTCTACCCCGGCGCTGTCAAGTCTACCGGTGTCTCCTGTGGGGCCTTGACAGTGACCAAGACCGCCAAAGGTGGTACTGGTGGGGAACCACGCCGCTGCTAACATTCAACCGAACACTCACTGAGGGGCCTGTTTCCTGCCTCTGGGCATATGCCTGGCTTTGCTGCCGATGACGGGCTCTCTGATGATGACGACGACGACATTGATTGATGACAATGGGGTTAGGATCATAGGGATCAGATGAGGGAGATCAGCAGGAGTCAGAGGAGAGGCTCTCTTCGAGACAGTACTCACCCTGTGCTGCTCCCTTGCTGAGGAGCATTATCATCATCGTCGTCCTCGTCGACAGCAGTCGACGAGGCAGAGCGCTTCGTCCGTGGCTGCTCCTGTCGTTGTTCTCGTTGCTCTTCCTGTTGTCCTTCCTGTCGTTCCTCTTGTGGCGCATTTCGTCGTTGCTGCCGCTGCTCCGCGGCTGGGCCGCTTGAGGATGGCCGTTGCAAAAAAGCCGGGAACAAAGAAGGCAGGAAAGACGACAGAGAGCCAGAGGGGGGAGGCTCGGGGTCCTGAGGGAAGAGGGCCAGCATCCGTCGCGTCTCCCTGAGTTGCTCTTCGGTCTCTTCAAGTCTTGTGGTAACTTCTCCCAATAGCCACTCCTCGTGGGTCTGCTGCTGCAAGAGATGCTCCTGTTGACCTTCAAGGTACGAGCGAAGACTGGACAAGATTGAAGGATCCATGGCAAGACAAGGCTTGGGGCAGGTGGAATCAAGGTGGTGAAGACAAGAGAGTGTTGGTGGTGACGATTGTGTCGATGGTGTTGGTGGGTGTTGGTGGTGACGAAGGTGTCGATGGAGTCGATGGTGTCGATGGGAGTCGATGGTGTCGATGGTGTCGAAGGTGTCGATGATGGTGGTGACTGAGGGAGAGGCGAAAGTGTCAACGGACGAGGGAGGGGGGGAATCATGAGGGACTCGCCCCTGCCCGCCTCGCCTGCCCCCAACGAGCCTCGCCCGCCAGGCTGACCGCCCGGCCTGCCATCCATTGAAGCAGCTCACCCCGGCCTGCCACCTCCACCGGGTCGTCCATGCCGATGGCCGGGTTTCCTCTGCTCTAGTGCCTGAAGGCCGGCCTGGCCCGAGGATGCGTGGGCGGGCGCGAGGGGCGGGCGCGGGTGGATGCAGGGTGAGTATTGGTTGGGAGGACCATTCAGGCGGAGGTGCACCTCGTGGGGACTCTCTTGCGCGCTACTCTTCGCGTACGAGTGATGGTTCCCTCTAAAGTGATGTCAGAGTAGAAGAGGAGGTGGCGCATCAGATGGGACTCTTTTGAGCGTCGAGCTTTGCTCCTGGTGTGCAGGAGAAGCGCTCAAAGTTCCCAGGCGGGTCCTCTGTGCGGGAGAGCGCGCCTTGTCCTGCCTCAGAGTGGCCCAAGATCGCCTCCGACACCTCTCGATACAAGTTCATCATCCTATTGAGTGACTGATCTGATAGCGAGGAGTGATTTGCTTCGTCCTAGCCTTTCCATGAGAATCAGTCCAGAATCAGGTGTTTCGTCCGCAGTGAAGAGACATCCAAGACAGTCAGACGTATGATATCTGCAGAAGAAGTAATTGCGTTATTCTCTACTATCCAGGGGTCAAATCCAATGAGAGGGTCATAGTAGTGATAGTGTGAGAGATTGCGATTGTGGTAGGGCCCCAGTAAGATAGAGAGCCGATGGTGAGACTACCTCCAAAGCGCAATCTCTCCTAAGCACCTCTCCGCTTCCTCTCTCGCAGCCTCCTCCATCCCTTTGAGCAGCTCCATCCCCTCCTCTTTGACCTTCGGTCCCCACAAGCCAACTCCTCTCAGTGGTCCACTCTCCCCAAGCAGGTACGCCTGCCACTCATCGAGGTACACGCGCTCATCGTACCCCCTGAGCGAGAGGTCGTGCTCGATTACGCGGCGTGCTTTAGCTGAGAGTTGGCTCCAGTTGGAGGAGACGAATTGCCGGTAAGTGGGTGAGAGATGGTAGAGGGCGTGGAGACGCTCGTGAGGGAGGGAGGTTGAGGAGATGGATGAGAGGGAGGAGATGAGGTAGGTAGGAGGAGCTGAGGGTTGAGCTGGCTTGGTGTCGGGTTGTGATGCTTCACTCGTGAGGAGATCGACTGCGCCGAGGCTTGCTAGGTATTCGAGAAGATATCGCTCTTCCGCATTGCAGAAAGGCTCGTACCACGGGCCAGTAGCATCGGACGCCTGCTCTCTACCCTCTCCCACTTCAGCCCTACGCATCTCCCCAATCCACCTCCTCACAATCTCCACTGGGAAATTAAACGCCTCATACCCTCTACAAATCTGCCTTCCCTCTGCCCTAATCGTAGCCCAAGAGAGGTACTTCCCTCCACCCTTTTCGGCCGGAGCCTCGTAGAACGTCTCGATACGAGCGAGGGCGGCGTGTTGGGTTTGAGCAGAGGAGAAGAGGAGCGTAAGGAGGGGCCCTTCTTGCGTGGAGGTGAAAGGGGGAGAGGTTGAGGTGTACGAAGGAAAGGCTGCGAGGCCTGAGGAGGAAGAGGAGGAAGGGGCAGTACTGCTAGCGCTGAAGCTGACGTTGTGCTGCTGCTGCTGCTGCTGCTCCTTGAGACGCGCCTTGAGAGGATTGACGCCCTTCTTTGGCTGCTTGCCCTTCTTGATTGCGCTTGCTGCCTTGCCTTGCTCGAGGGACAGAGTGCCCAGGGAAGCCGTTGTTGAGCTCAGGGAGCCATCGGGTGAGGAGGACGAGGGGTCATGGGCAGTCATCCCTTGGCCGAAAGCTCTGAAGGTCCGCTACCTGTATCTGGATTCAACGCTGCACCTCGAACGCTTGTGATGTGCAGACAGTGCATCCTCCGAGTCTTAGATTGCTAAGAAGGACATGGTAATGATAGACAATTGTGCAAGGAAGCAAAGGTGACACTGAACCCAAGTAGGGAATAAGACTTCTCCTTTCCGCTTCGCTCCGCTGCAGCATCTCCCCGCACACGCTCCTTCCGTTCCGACGCTACAGTACCTTCCCCCACCCCAAAGCGACTCCTACGGTGCCTCTCCCCTATCCTCTGCCGTCGGTGTGCTCTGATCCTCAAAATACGCCTTTTCCCTCGTCCTCTTTCCAAACATTCCCATACTCTTGACCCAAATGTCCAATCCATGAGACTTTTTCCCCTTGTCCTTGGTAGCTTCTGCCGCGCTCTGTCGAGGCACACCAAAGAGGTCGTCATGTAACTTGGAGCGTCGACCGAGGACTTTGCGTGCTTCTTTAGAGGAGAGACGGAGTGAGGTACGAAGAAGAGTCAGAGAGTCATCGCAGTCCCTTCTTCCCGCAAGGGCAGAGGGAGGTGGTGTTTCTCCTGCGAGACAGACGTCTAGTGGGCCGTACCGAGGTGGTTCTTCCACCCACTCTTCTGCAGCTACCTCGCTCCTACTCCGATGGCCTCTGCGTCGATCTCCACCTCGTCTGCTACCACTAGTCCGGGTACGAGCCTGACCACGACTGGTACCTCTAGGTCGTACCTGCCCCGTCTTTCCCCTATGAAGCAGACCCTTCTCAGCAGCCCTGCGCAGCATCTCCTCTGCGGCCTTCTCATTAGCCTTTCTCTTCTTCTCCACATGCTTCGCAGTCTTCTTGAAACGATTGTCCCACTTCTCCTGTCCTTCCAGGTAACGTCGTACAGGCCCTTCACGGATCGACCCGATCAGATTGGGATGATCGACAAAGAGGCGGATGGACTGCAGTTCTTCCTCGGGCTCAAGGGCTCGTACAGCTCCTCTCACATCGACTCGCTCGCGGATCATGTGCTCTTCGTAGGCTGGACGGATAAGGGGGACCTGTCCACTGTAGTCGTTTTGCACGCCGAGAGTCACCTTGCGCCGCTTCTCGAGTAGGACACTCTCCCTCTTGTCGACCTTCGAGGCATCGGGACGTTGGTCCAAGGAGCTGGAAGAGCTAGCGCTTGCATCCGGTGCTGGAGTGGTCCCGCGTGAGGACAGTCCACTGGATGAGGAAGGCCCAGTGGGCGCTGCAGATGAGGGACCCGAAGGGGTTTCATTCCTTGGTGCTGATCCACTGCTGACTGCACTGGTAGTGAGGGGCCCAGAGGGTAGAGGCGCGTTTGAGTTCTCAGACTGTTGGCTATTCGAAGTCTCGGCAGTCAGAGCAACGGGCGAATCGGTAGTTCTGTCGGTCCTCAGTCCCATCGTGGTCGTATCAAGAGGGGATGGTCTACTTGCCGAGATAGTCCGGCTGACCTCCTTGCCATTGGCAGATCGCTCCTCTTTTGGTGGCAGAGGACTGAAGACACTTGAAGACGGGCTGGGTTCTTGAGCAAGAATGGGAAAAGGACTGCCCTTCGAGCTGGACCAGCTACCCGCCTCAATCGTCTCAGCTCGCGTCACATACTTGCAGAAACTGGCAATAGCCCGATAGGCGAACCTCGCCGCGGTAGTGAAGGAGAAGAGGGTTAGGACGTGACACTGGTAGTCAAAGACTTGCAGATGCACCTGAGTTGGCTGAGAGTTGAAGCGCTCAGCCGTTTCTCTTGATCTCCCATTCTTGGCTAGAAGATGCTCAGGTAGTGGATACTTCTCGGGTCGAGCGGCACGATGGGCCAGCATGATGACTTCGTCTCTCAGGACCTCACCATCTCCAGCCAAGATGTACAAGGGCGGCAGACCGCCTAGAGAGCCTTGCAAGATTGGCGAGCAGAGGGGATGATAGAGCTGATTATTGGTGGCATACAACTGGATCTGCTGCTTCAGCTCGATTGGGTCCTTGTGACCCGTAAGCTCGACGCGGATAGGCTCAGACTGCAAAGGATGGGGAGCTGGCGGCACCCCCGAGAAGCGGGAGTTGGCCTGCCCCTTGGCTGATGTCTCACCGCTGTTCTGCTCTGCCCCACCATTCGCGGTCGACTCTGTACTCGACTTTTCTGAACTGTTCCGAGTGGGCTGCGATGGTCCCGAGGGCTCATGTGTTGCCCCACCTTCTGGTCCTGGTGATCCTCCAGGTGCGTCAGTAGAAGCCTTGGGCGTCTGGTTGCCAGGTGAGACATTGTTGCTCTTGGGCACATGCCTCGAAGGCTCATCGTGATTTTCCCCCTGTTTGACCTCATCTCCAGGCACGGCAGTATTTGCAGGTACGGGCCAGAGGGTAGAAGGCTTGTGTATGAAGCCATACGGCGGGATGATATCTGAGTCGGTGTTCTGCATGATTGAAGGGAAGGAGTGCGTCATGTCGCACCAAGGCGAGATGAGGACGGCACCTGCAGGCATAGGCATTCCAAGATCCCTCAGCACTCCAAGCACAGCAAGACACATTCCACCACCGGCTGAGTCTCCAGCCAATACGATATTCTTTGGATCGATGGCCTTGTGGCCCGCGCCCGGCGGCGGATCAGTGAGGTAGAACCAAGCGGCGAGACAATCTTGCAGTGGACATGGCCAAGGAAAGCCTGGTGCTTTGCGGTAGTTGGGACAGAAGGCTCTTCCTCCCATCTTGCGGGCTAAGCGGGTGATTTGATAGCGGTGCGTATTGCAAGAGCCAAAGTAGTAGCCACCACCGTGAAGATAGAGCATGACTCTACGCAGGCGGTCAAGCTCTTCCACTGGGACTTCCCCCTCGTCCTGACCATTCTCTTGGGAGGCAGCAGCAGGCTCTTCAGCCGCTTCATCCTCGTCGTCTTCGTCTTCCTCTTCCTCTTCCTCCTCCACCGCCTCTTCATCCACTTCTCTCTCCTTGCCAGAAGAAGATTCCGGCTCCTGCTGTGCAGCAACTTTAGCCTTTTCCACCTCTTGCTTCGATCGTCTCTCATGTCTCTTGTTATACTTGGCATACTTGGCCGCTCTAGCCTTTGCTTCCTTTTCAGGCATCTCATCTACCACCTTTGCATGTTTCCAATCCTTGGTCATCGCGACCCATTCTGCCTCTACTCCATTCAGCCCACGAACCTGCCACCATCGCTCCCCTCCCACGACATTCTTGAGGTCTTCTTCGCCAAAGTACTCTATGAGAGCCCTAGCCGCCTGATCGCACGAGTGGAGGGGTATGAGTGTAGGCACAAGAGTGGTAAAAGGTTGAGAGGGGATCCGTGTGTTGGTGAAAGCTTGCAGTGCTTCGACTGTATCTGCTGTTCCTAGTGAGATGAATCGCTTGACAATGTGGAAAGCTTCATCGAAGAGGAGTTCGTCGGTAGCTTCGAGACGACGATCCTCTTTGCTCTTCTTGGCTTGCCGGAAGTAGTGCTTGAAGAAGGTAGAGATGACCGTAGGGGAGATGTGACGGGCTGCGCCGACCGTGGAGATCGTCATTGTGGAAATGAGCTATCGAGTGAGATGCTGACGGTGCTGCGAATGAGGGAGAAGCCGATGGAGGACGTGGAGGTGCTGTTTGTACAAGGTAAGGAAAGGGTCTGAGACACGGTGCAGTATGGCTAGCTGAGCATTTGTAATGAAGCGAATGATGAGGATGAATCGCGTGCAGTGAGATGGACTAAATGCAAGATGAATAGATGACCAGAAGAGTGAGTGGGTGAATGTGGGTAAAGGAGTGAAGGACAAGTCTTGTCTATGGTTCTCCCAAGGCGTGCTGTGCTCCACCAGGGCCCTTGAGTATATGCATGTGTGTCTGTATATGCGGCAAGGTCTCCAGGGCCGAGTGGAGAAGCAGGCAGCAGCCAAGGCGCGGCGCGGCGGCGGCGGCGGCGGCGGATGCACCACGCCCGGCCCTCTGGGTCCGATCACTCACTGCAACAGAGCGAGGGAGCGAGCGGAGTCGCATCCCCAGGCACGGCGGGGCTTCAACTGGCGGGACGGGCCAAGGCGAATTCCAACTCAAAGCCCGTGAATGGAGGGGGGCGAAAGTATGAACGAGCGAACAGGCAGGCAGACAACCAGTCAGTCAGTCAGTCCATAGACAAGATGGAGGCAGCGCTTCGACAGAGAACGACAAGCCAGACTGGTCTAGAAGTGTGGGGTAATCGATCAATTGTCCATTGTAGTTATTTCGACCTATTCGGCCAGAGGATGAGAGGATGCAAAGATGGAAGGGAGTGGAAGGCACAGAGAGAGAGTGTGTGTGTGTGTGTGTTGAGGGAGGAGAAGTGCGCCATAGGCGAAAGAGGGAGAATCTCTTTGGAAAGCGAAGGAGGGTAGCGAGCGAGGCATTGATATGTACATCGAAACGGGATACCGAGACTGAGAAGGCAGATGTCGTGAACCACACGAAATGACAGGCAGTGCTAAGATGAGCTGAGTGAGGGGACTGAGATGGCCCGGCGCGGCAGTGAGGTCCGGAAGACTGAGGGAGGGGTGCAGAGCAGATACTAGGGATGGCCCGATTGTGCAGATGACGTCGCGTGCGTGTCGAGACATCCTCAGAAGCGCCGACCTCCTGCGGCTGCCTGGGCAGGCGAATTCGCACCGGAACCCGATCCGAACCCGCCCCCGCCGAAGCCGTCACCTCCGTAGCCAGATGCAGGCGAGTTGAGAACGATGCCTCCTCCTCCAGGCGAGCGTCCATTGAGAGCACCCATCGGCCTAGCTCCTCCGACCGCGGGGCCACGTTGCGAAGGTGGTGGTGCTCTGCCTTGCATCTGAGGTGATGGAGCCTGGCGGTAAGGTTCCTGATATTGACCCTGAGGAGGAGCACCCCTAGATGGCATCTGCAGCGGCGGCGGACGAGACTGGGACTGCTGAGGAGCGTACTGCTGCTGTGGCATGGGCTGTGCAGCTTGACCGTAAGGGTTGGGGCGTGGGAACGCCTGTTGCTGCTGTCGCTGAGGCTGCTGTTGCGGAGGTGGGGGACCCCTAGCTGGCGCTGGCATAGGCACAGGGAATTGTTGACGAGGAGCAGCGGCGGCATTGCCGCCTACGCGCGGGGAGACGGATGGTCTCGAGGAGGGTACTGCTGTACGACTGGCGGAAGCCCCGCTAGATCCAGACGTCGAAGAAGCGGCTGGCGCTCTCTTTCCAGGCGGAGGCATCTGCTCAGCTGCTGCCTTGATGATCTCCTCGTCCAACACGTTCAAGGCAGCACACAAGACGATCCACTCGACCATGTCCTCGTTGCCCTCTCCCAGCGTCTGCCAGACTGCCTTCTCTTCTGCTGACTTGCCGCTGATCGTCACCCTTGTGCCTCCTCCGCCTCCGGAGCCCTGAGCAGCATTCTTCTGAATCTTGCCAAACTCGATGCGCTTCGGCGGAATGAGGTGACCAGCGTAAGTGAAGTAGAACATGGTCCAGTAAGGAGCCATTGGGTTGGGCTTGGAGATCTGGAACAGGGGTTGCTCGTGGCCTGGTGCATCCGGGTTTGGCAACGTCAACTTGTAGACTGGCGCATTGATTCCGGTGTTTGTGATCGACCACCTGAGATTACGAGAAGCCTCGCATCGTACCGAACGATCTTGGGAATCACCGCCTGTGCTGTGGCCTGGATCTGACCTGATATCACCGGGGCCGCCTGGACCTCTTGTCCCCGGTGGTGGTACCATCTTTGCAACGCATAGATCACCTTGGGGAGAAGGTGTGAGCAGGTATGTCTCCTTGTTCTGGTTGGTGTGGATGTAAGAGTATCTAGACGTAGCAGAGAGACAATTGTGGAACGTGAGTACTTGTGGATGGGCGCCTGTCACTGTCATTTGTGTAACTCACAGTGTGTGATGCGGCTGACCTATGGTTCGCAATGGCAGTCAAAGGAGACGGAGAGGATTGACCGGAAAGAGTCAGCAATGACCCTTGTCTCTAGACATAGAGTCTCAAGAACTCACCGTGAGGGGTCACGATCAGTGTAGGCAAGTGATTGGGGATAGGAGCATGATTCGGCGATGTGAAGACCGAGTAGCTCGCTGCAGGAGGACGAAGGGGAGATGGGCATATCAGTAAGCTTCCAAGCGCCTGCCATTCTACTGCTTGAGGTCGCCTGTCTACTGACCAGACATGTTGGGTAGGGGACCTTTTGATTGAAGCCTGGACCTGGGATCGAGCGGGCGATGGTTGCGATGACTGCACTCCTAAGTGCGTGTCTGTATGCAGGGTATTCGTCCGCTGCTACAGAACAATAGAGGGGGTATGCGACGCTACTGCAGCCTTTGCAAGGTCTGAAGCCTGACTTTGTATGAGGATGCGGGGTGATAGGGGGTCCTGTTGTCGGACCGAGGAAAAAGGGTCACGAGGTGGATCCCTACTTCCGAACGTCAAGGGCGGATGAGAGGTATTGACGTGCCTCTTGGGTGTGCAAGGCTTCTGATTCGGAGTGACCAGAGTGCAGCGTCTGAGTTGCGCTAGTGTGACAGTCGAACGTATGCAAATGAAGAGGAGGTTGTGATAGAGGAGGGAGAGAGGCGGGTTTCGTCAGGGCGGGTATGATTGGCGTTGGGTAGGGTGAGGGGGATATTTCTGGGCGAAGAAGGGAGTGTGGCTGAGACAGATGTGGATGACAGGCAACAAAACAGGGCGCGGGCGCGAGGCGCACAGGGGCCGAGGGGCACGCGAGACACACACGCACACACACACACACACACACAAGCAGCAGCCCAGGTGCAGCGCCTAGTCTGCCGCCGGGACTTGCTTGCTTGCCCTGTCAAGCCCAGCAGCCTCTGGCAAGACAACCTTGACAGTTCCGCTCCTGGCCGCACACAGCCCTCCATTGGCTTGCTTGTACGCCCACTGCCTGCGTGCGACCTTTGAGTAGATCATCTCTGTGTGTGCAATCTCTAATGTCCATACTCGGCCGAGTCTCGACGTGGGAACGGTGAAGAAGCCTCTGCGAGCCCGGCAAAGCCACACCTCGGCTTAGGCAGCGCGATCGGCAGCATCTGCAGCCAGAGGAATGGTAAAGTAGAAGACGCGGACAGCCACACTACCTCGGCTGCTCCTTGCTGGTAGGAGCGCTTTGTCATCCAGGAAAGAACAAGAGCAACGGTCCTTCGGATTGACCACGCTTGTCTGCTTTCTCCCGCCTGAATTCATCGGCAAAGCTTGAGCCACACAGTGGGCCCAGAAGCATCAGTGGTGGGCAGAGAGGGCTGCGTCAGAGGGGAGCAGATCTCATCAGTCCAGACGTTGAGTACTTTCGATTCATGGCGAGCAGTCAACGCAAAGATGTGCTGGTGAAGTCATCATTTCGTGCTAGAAGAGGATGATATGGAGAGATTGTGTACATGGTGATGATGGGGATCGCAAAGTGACGGTGCAGAGCTACCGTACAGTCAACAGTAGTCAGGAGGCAAATCTGATGGCCTCTCGGTCTCCCAGACTTGGCCCCCTCTAAACGTGCTGCCATTCTTTCCTTCCTCCCACTGTCATCGACCGCAATGCCGAAAACGCGATACAGGCGCTGGTGCTTAGGCCACGAGGGTGGAAGCGGTAGCAGCCTCGTACTTGAAGTTGGGGGCAATGGAACCGATTCGCCTGTAGTAACGAGAGAGCCTGTGCACACGTGACTCGACGAGAATCAGACGGAACTTGGAGTCCATGTCCTTTCTGTTGCGCTCGAGGTGCTTGCGGATGCTGACGGCCTTCTTGATCAGGTGGTACAGGTCCTCGGGGATGGAGGGGGCAAGACCTTCCGACTTGAGGATTCGGAGGATCTGAAGATAGAGAGGGCAGAAGGAGATTGAAGATGGTGAGATCAATGACGCTCATACTGGACAAGTCTCGTTTCATGTAGTCAAAGACTCACCTTGTTACCAGTCACAAATCGGACCTGGGCAATACCCTGCGAGTCACGGAGCTGAACACCGATCTGCGAGGGGGTGAGACCCTTTCGGGCGAGCTTGAAGATCTGGTTGGAGACCTCCTCAGGGGTAGTCTTGAGCCACGAGGGGGGAGTTCGTCGGTATGGCAGGGCAGACGAGGAGATACCCTTTCCCTTGGCTATGATGGAAGAAGAGGGGGGACGAAGAGGGATCAGTACATGTGGTGAATGTCAGGGAAGATCTTCGTCGCAGCAACTCACAGTGCATGCGACCCATGTTGGCTATGAGCGGTTTCGGGGAGTATGAGAGAGATGTCTCTGGTCAGCATATCTGCCTTTTGGCGGCAATGAGCGCAGTCCCTCTTTGCACAGCGAACGTCTCCCTTGGTCCTGTGACCTTCTTGCGCCCCCTCTGTCCCATCTGTATCCACCTGGCATTCCCCAATCGTCCTACACGGGACTCTCAAGCTTCATGTGCAGCTTACGCCCTCATGAGTTGGCAGCCCCGTTGCTGCATCCCTTCCAAGCCCACACCTGCCGTCCCGTCCACATATTCCTGCATTGACTGCCACTGCGACAGGCCCTTGGTCCCTCTCATGCCGTTTCGGCATAGACTCTGCCAGCATATCCTGCCAGCAAATACGCTGAATGCTCTCCAAGCAGTCTCTTTCACTGCTCTTGATCCATCCAGCCTTCGTCTTCCTACTCTCGCGAAGAGTGGAACCAAGGTCCACACTTCTTCCGTATCAGCCGTCTGCAGATGCTCACCTGCGAAAGAGATGGGTGATGAGGATGATCTGTCAGCAAACGCTTACGAAGAAGAGACTGATTCTAGGGCACTCACGACTCACCTAATTACTTTCTTGAGGGGTGCGAGGGGGTGATGAGGACGGATACGATGATGGTTGGTAGAATCGGACGAAGTGGAAATTCGAGGTTTGATGGACGAGGCGTGGTGCCCTGCCCTTGGCTGCCTGCCTCTGCGCCCGCGCCCCTGGCTGGCCTTGGCCCTGCCTGCCTGCCTGTCTGCCGCCCACGCCCTCGCCCGCACGCACACACGCCTCAGCGCCCGTCTTCCACCGCAGAGCGCAGCCACCGCGCGCAACGTTGAGGCTCCGCCTCCCGCGAGCGAGGAGAAATCGCCAGTGGTCCCGCTCTGGGCTGGGCGGGGGCGTGCTGAGATGAGGCCAGCCTGCCAACCTCCCTCCTCTTCCACGACCATCTCCATCATCCTCATCCTCAAACCCACCCTCACCAAGGTGATTATCTTCGTCCAGACGACTATTGCACGCACACTCGATGGACCGCTTTTTCGTCTCTGTCTGCAACCCGAGGCATTCGATGATACTTCATGCAACACGGGAGCAGAGGAAGCGACCAGTGCCCTACCGTGACTCGGCAGGGCAGCATCGCTCTTCGCTGCTATGGGCATACTCGTGACGCTAGCGTTGCTGAGGTTGCGAGATGGTAGTCGTCGCCGAGGATGTAGATGGAGTCGGTTGCTCAGACGGCAAGCACACGAATTAGAGAAGCTTGCCAGAGTTTGATAAGCCGAGGGCGCGCTGAGGGTATCTGCTGTGGCGTAGACAAGCATCACTCGCACATCTGCACTACGAAGAGGCTTCTCACATCGTTGCTCAAGGTCACTCTGATCGTAGTGGCGGTCGGGGTGCCTGTCCTGGCCTGTGTAGCCGTGGGATTGGCCCACTCCCGCCGGTGGGGCTGGACGTTGGAACGATGCAATGTTCCGGAAGCCACGTCTCCTTGAACCATTCACTCACACTAGATTTCTCTCTGCTATCTACTCCAGTAATTCAACATGGGAAAAGTCCACGGATCCCTCGCTCGTGCCGGTAAGGTCAAGTCGCAGACACCAAAGGTCGAGAAGCAAGAGAAGAAGAAGACCCCCAAGGGAAGGGCTAAGAAGAGGATCCTTTACAACCGCCGGTGAGTATTGAGGCACGTGAAGAATGAGATGCGAGGGCTGGACAGGACGCATCGAGTTGGGCAGCAAAGGAAAGCCGATGGGGAGCCAGAGGATGAGATGGAGAGACGGGGCGTATTGCTGGACGTCCTTTGGGTAGCTCGTCCACCGTTAGTCCCATCAGGCAGACGGTCATCTGACACACTCACATCCGTCTCACCTCCATTAGATTCGTCAACGTCCAGCTCGGCCCCGGTGGAAAGCGCAAGATGAACTCGAACGCCTAAAGAGCGTCGTCCTTTATCGGTCGCTTTGTCAGGTGCATTCTGTGCTCTCGAGTCCAGCCGTAGACGTCTGCCCTCGATCCACATTGTATTTTCCTACCCTCGAGTCTCGTCTCTCATTCTACATTTCACCAACATCAATCAAGCGACCCCTTGCGCATTTAGTCATGTCAGCGTCACTTTGTGACACTCGTGATTGCCAGTGGCGACGTGCTACATGTGACGACACGAATCAGAAGGCGACAGTGCTTCCGCTTGACACCTACAGGGTTCTCGCCTGCCTGAGTGTGGGATGGGTATCGCAATGTGCCAATGGGCGTATGTGTGAAACCGCCGTAGAGGCCAGAAGCAACTCAGCTCAGGTCAACCCTTGCCGTATCGACTCGGCTATCTCGCGTAAAGTTGTCCTGCAGCGTTGCGAGATCTGTCCCGAGGGACCAAGCGCGCCCTGCATTGCTATGGCTATCTCTGTGTGTATGTGTATGTATCTGAGAGTGTTTCTTGTCTTTGACAAAGGGATAAGCGTGGTCAGTATCGTACAGTGAGCAGGGACAAGAAGCTGTGTTGCCAAGTGAGGCAGGACCTGGCTGGTACAGTACAGTACGCAGGAACAAGACGCGCTTTGCAGATAGGAGCCAGGCACCGACCCCTTCTCGGTCTGGTATGATAGGTCAACAAAGCATAGCTGGTAATGACTCAGACGTGGGAGTGAATTGCGTCCATCGACTGCTATGCCACTTGTATGAGTCATTCCTCAGGCGTTGCCATCGAAGAGAAGCCAGTCCGGCGAGTCAGTGGAGGGTGCTCTGAGGTTCACGCTGATCAGCCATGTCCATGGGCGTCAAACCCAGATGCTCATCGGCGATCGTTCTTCCTAATTGTGAGGAACAAATGCTTGAAGGCACATCTACGCACATTGGGACACGTGGACACTTTAGGTGTAATACGGACACTCGGCCAGTGCAACGCTGGAGTGATCTACGTGAGCAAATTCTGCGCCCAATCGCACCCCTCGATGTATCTGGTATTGCGATAGCCGCGAAGTCTGAGGCACCTAGATGACGACACGCGAGACATCACCCGGGAATTCGGACAAAGAAAAAAGGGTAGAGCTACTGCAATCGAAACCGGGCGTGGGAGTCTTGAGTGAGCAGATGCAGCTAGACTTGGGTAAGGCAGAAGCTCCCCTTGCTGCGCGTTCATTTCGGTTCCGGGCCGATAGTACTTGGACAAATGCCAAGTCGATCGGCATACTGGTATCGCTGTGGGGCTCGGGAACACAAGCTATCGGAGCTGTGATAGGAGCTGAATCAGACGAGGTCCAGAAAGGCAAAAGATGACTACGAGATTGCGTGCTCTGTCATGTCTATCATCATCGTTACTCTCCGCACAGCAGGTCTCTGAGCGACTTCCCTCTCTCTCTTGCTATGGACAGAGTTTCTTACACCACCAGGTTGTCAAAGCGGGGCTGCCAATGCTTGCTCGGAGTATCGATAATCGCCAGCTTATGACGAAGATGTTCCTTACCCCGATGAAGCATACGCACCGCGACACGTCACTCTAAGGGGCGCGTAGTGAGCTGAGAACAAACCCTGTCCGGTCAACCGTGGGAAGGACTCAAGCGTGTGAAGGGTTTTGACCAGTCACTGGGTCGTTGCAGCAGCGGGAGTGACCTGCCTGGTAAGGCATAGTGCGAGTACCACTGACCGGTGCTGCAAGCTGAGCTGCATGCGGATGAGATGTCAGGCTCGGCAATCCGCGCGTGTAAGAATATCCCCGAGTGGCTTCCGTCCTGTCGGCGCAAGGACACTGCTGCAGTGCCTGGCCCTGCAAAGGCCCGCGCCACGGCATGTGTCTTTGATTGCTCGGCAGGCGCTCCATCGAAGATCTACTCGCTGCCAGGGCCATGCAGCTGTCTGGTGCCTGCGCTGATGCAATTTGCTCATCCTTCAACCGTAAAGACCCAAATTAATTGCACGGAGCTTCGGACAGAGAGAACAAAGGCCGATTGGTTCATCCGCATTGGCCAACCTAATGCACACACTAGTCACCTTCGTCTTGGCTCTGGACCAGTCTGACTGCAAGGAACACAAGACGCCGTCATGTTGACCGAGGTCACCTCAAGTCTCAGCCGTGGGTCATACAATGTTGAGAGCAATCTGGGGATAGTCTGGTAGAGGCCGACCACCATCTGGTTCTCCTCCAGCCCTTGCGAATCTTCGTCCCTCGCCCAGCACCTCCATCGCCGCCTGCGTATATAGAGAGCGATACCGGAGGACCCAGATCCGCGTTCTCTCCCCTTCATCGGCAAATTTCGCACATTCTCACCTCTCGAACATGGCTCGCGTATCCCTCCTCGCCGTCGTACTGGCCCTCGCTTTGGCCCTAGCGCCCGCCAATGCCTTCTGGATCCTGAGCCACCACCCTCTCGTCTCGGAGCGTCTTGATATGATCGTCAGCCCCGGCGCTCTTTCTGGCCACACTCACACCTTTGTAGGTTCTGCAGCTGTGACAGTCGGTCAGAACAACAGCGACTACTGCACAACAGCCCCCGTCAAGGCAGACTTGAGCAACTACTGGACACCACAGCTTTACTACTACCGGGGTGATTCGGTGAGTGATTTTATACCAGCCTGTGTGGCACATGGCCATGAACAAAATTTGCAGTAGCTCACCTTAGACTGGTCTTCTTGCAATTTTTTCGACAGAACACGTTCGACTCGGTCCCCCTCGGAAGTGTGAATACATACTACCTCAACCGTGGTGGGCCCAAAATGGGAGAGAACTCTTCCCTGCTGCACCCTTTCCCCAAAGGTCTGAAGATGCTCGCCGGTAGTGCCACAGCCTATGATGGCCCCCTTGCCGACTCTACCGCCGCCAAGGCCGTCAGCTTCGTCTGTCTCAACTACACCGAAGGAACTGGCAGCCCACAGACCACGACGCTGCCTTCGGGTCCTTGCCTGGACGGTATGCGCGCTCAGATCATCTTCCCTTCCTGCTGGGACGGTGTCAACCTGGACTCTTCCAACCACCAGTCTCACGTCGCCTACCCCATCAATGGTCAACCAGACACCGGCGACTGCCCCACCACGCACCCAGTCAAGTTCATGACCCTCTTCTACGAATTCATCTACAACACTGGCTCGCTGCAGTCTGTTTCCAATGGAACTAGCAGTAGCGGATTTGTCCTTGCCAACGGCGACGCAGTAGGCTACTCCTTCCACGGTGACTTTGTCAGCGGGTGGGATCAGGAGGTGCTCACCGACGCCATCGACCAGTGCTCTGGCAACTTGTTCGGCGACCTCGATTCATGTGCACCCTTCCTGCCAACTCTTCATTACGAGACTTCTTCACCTAACTCTGACCCCGACGCAGGCTACTGTACAACGACTTCTTCCGTCAACGAAAAGGTCCTCGGTACTGGCTTTGCCAACCTGCCCAACTGTCAGGTGGTCCGCAACGGTCCATTCAAGGGCGCTGGATCGTGCACAAACACAACTCAGGTCGTCCCCACCATCACCGTGGTCTCTAATTCCACTGGACCCACCAACGCCAACTACCAAGGCTGCTACAAGGACCCTACCGGCGGACGAGCCCTCAAGACGAAGCTGACCTCGCTCACTGCTTCGAAGATGACCATTGAGAGCTGTCAAGCGGGATGCACAGCCGCTGGCTACTCTGTTGCTGGTCTGCAATACGCCGATGAGTGCTGGTGCGGAAACTCCTTCACTTACGGAACGACCAAGCTGAAGGATGAATTCTGCAACATGGCCTGTGCTGGCAACTCGACGGAGATCTGTGGTGCGGGCAACACCAACAGTGTCTACTCTACGTCGCCCGTCACCACTCTGTCCCTCCCCGTCATTCCCGCCACTGCCGGTTCAGCAAACTACTGGGGTTGTTACGCAGAAGGTACTGGCTCTCGTCTATTGAAGTCTGCCTCGTACGCCAACTCATCCAACACGCCCACACAGTGTGCCAACTACTGCACGGCCAAGGGATACCCCTTCTCTGGTACCGAGTACTCGAGCGAATGCTACTGTGGAACAAGCGCTATGATGAAGTCGGCCGTCTTGGGATCAGACAGCGGATGCAGCATGCTGTGCTCTGGAAATGCTACTTCTTACTGTGGAGGATCTTCCAGGCTGCAAATCTATTCTGCAATGGTCAACCCGAATGCTACGGTCAGCAACTCGAATACTGTCGCCAGCAACTCCACCAACTCTACGATTGTTTCTTCCACGACGCAGAGTACTTCGAGCTCGTCCACATCGACTCCTCTCAGCTCTTCGACATCCCTGAGCAGCACCTCGACTCCCCTCAGCAGTACCTCGACCTCAAAGACCAGCACCTCGACTTCGACTACGAGTACCTCGACCTCGAAGAACAGCACCTCGACCTCGACGAAGGCCGCCACATCCACAAAGGCTAGCTCGACGACCCTGCTGGTTCTGTCGACGACGACGATTCGCATCACCTCTACTAGCACCGGTCTCGCGACCACCAAGACCACTACAAGGACCACAACGAGCACCATTACCAAGACGACTGTAGTAGCCGCCAATGGTAACGCGGTTGCTCTTCCTACCGCTACCTCTTCCTCCTCTTCGTCGTCGTCTTCGTCGTCGACTAAGAGAACTACATCTTCTACAAAGAAGACTACTTCGTCCTCAAAGAAGACGACGTCGACTAAGAAGCGAGCACGCTCCCTGCCTACGCGTCTCCCCAGCTACTCGTAGATCATCCGCTCGCTCTCTCCAACCATCGAACCTACTCCCTTCCCTTTCTTCTCTTTCTCCCACCACGGACAGTCCTTCCCCCTTCCCCCTCAAAGCTCTCCAATTCAACTGTATCAGTACGCCCAACTCGCTCTTCTTCCTTCTTTAGACTTCTTTAGAGCTCGCCCTCTCCTTTCAATTTGCATTAGACAAGAGGAAGGAGAAGAGGAAATGACACACATACCCACCCTTTTTTATTTGGCCAAAGTACCTTGATTGGAGCGTTTGAAGAGAGTGTGCGTCTTGTTGCTTACTTGGGTGATCTGAAGCGAGGAAGAAGCTCACAGCAGCAGCATCACCCACTCTTCTGCTCTCATCTAGACTCCACTGTGCTCCTCTTCTGCTCTGCTCAGCGAATGTAATAATAAAGAATCGTCTATTTTCATCTTCTCTCTACTAGCTTTCACTCTAGTACAACTCTAGCTCCGCTCCAGTGTGCTCCAGCGCGTCTCGAAGCTCAAAGCTCAAAGCTCAGAGCTCCTCATGAGTATGCGCTCCACCAGTGGTTGCCTTGAGTGCTTTTCTTCCAAAGGCCTTTTCGAGGACTACTCGAGAGGCAGACACAGTAGGAAGATCAAGTGGTTTGGGTGTCAGTCTTGAAGCATTGTGCAAGTGCTCTCTCTCTCTCTCTCCACAAACTCACCCTTGAGCATATCCCCCTCAACCCTCTCCGGCAGCACCAATTCATACTCGACGTACAAGTTCCCCCTTTTCCCCTTTGAACTGCGTATCGGCATCCCCTCTCCCTCTATTGTCCCTACCCATCCAGTTTGAGTGACTCCTGTGCGACTCAAGGTGATGTTCCGTCCATCCATGTGCTGGAAGGAATCTGTGAAGCCTAGCAGGGCGTCGGGGAGGGTGAGGGTCCGGGTGAGGTAGAGGTGGGAAGAACGACGCCTGAAGAGGGAGGGGTGAGAGCGGTCCGAGCTGTAGTGGAATGAGTTGGAGGGGGAGGATGATCAGTGATTGAGCTACATTCGCCGGTACCGTCTCTTCGACTACTCACTTGACTCGAACAATAATATCCCCCGCCTCGATTCCACTATCCACCTCCTCGTCCGCCTCTCCTTCAAAGACGTACACCTCTCCCTCTTCTGTTCCCGGATCAATCTCCACTTCTAGCTCTGCCTTTTCAAGAATGAGCTTCTGACCATTGCACTTGGAACACTTGTGGGTGATTTGGATACCTGTGCCGGAGCAGATGTTGCAGACTGTCTGCATTTGTGTCCGGACTGGCGGAGGTGGGAGGGAGCAGAGGGAAAAGGGAACTCGATCAGACCCTCGCGTTCTAGTGGAGGGTCTCTACGCCTCCCTCGTACGTCCACTCACATCCAGGCATAATCTCCTGTGTCACAATCCTCACTCCCCTACCTTGACATCCTCCACAAGTCCCCATATCCTCTTTACTCCTCGCCCCTGATCCATCGCAAGTATTGCACACCACTTTACGTTCATACTCGAGGTTGAAAGTGTGTCCCAGGTAGATCTGTTGTAGATCCAAAAGGAGGTTGAATTGCTTTGATTGTCCCTTGCGTACTTGTTGATCTTGCCGGCCACCGCCAAAGAAGTTGCGGAAGACGTCAAAGGGGTCGTTGGAGGCCTGGCATAGAAGGAGTGCGAGGCAGAGGTCAGTATTCCATCGATGAGCTCCCCTGTGCCTCGTCTTTTCGATGAGCTACCCACTCCTCCTGCCTTTCCAGCCTGATGTCTTTTGACTCCATCCTCTCCAAATTTGTCATACACTTTTCTCAGCTCCTCGTCACTCAACACCTGGTACGCCTCTGACATCTTTACAAATTCTTCTTCCTTTTCAGGATGCTTGTCAGGGTGAAGACGCTGCGCTAGACGACGGTAGGCCTTCTTGATGGTCTTGGCATCGGCAGAGGGATCTATATCGAGGAGCTTGTAGTAGGAGGGAGAGGAGGCGGCGATGACCAGGGTGGTCAGGGCGAGGAAGAGGGCTAAGAGGAGGAAGAGGAGGGAGGAGTGCAGCCGAGTACGCCGTAGTGGCCGTGAGCGCCTGCTGCTGCTGCTGCCGCCCAATGAGGGCGATAGTAGAAGCATGGCGTGATGAGTACCAACGTCGAAGGTGCCAAGTAAGTCTGCGGCAACGTTCGTCGTCGTCGTCGTCTGTGTCTACGTGGAAGGAATGAATGGAGTGAGTATTGCACAGAAGCACGTCCCTCCTGGTGTGTGTCTTGTGCCTCTGCGCATTCCACACTCCGCCCACTCCCATCGACACTTTACGCGTATCCACGCAGACAGAAGAAGTGAAAGCAGGGGAGACCAACACTTGCACAACACCATTGGTATTGCCGCAGAGTAACCATCACGAGCATGGCTACTACATCTCCCTCTGAGCGACTGGTCATCGCAGGGCCATCCTCACTCCTCCATCCATCCCCATCCACCTCTTCACCAAAGCAGTTCCTCCTCCTCCCGCACCCGCGCACAGCACTCCCAGCCTACTTTCTTCCTTCCGCCGCCTCCTCCTCCTCTACCCCTTCTTCTGCTGAGCCGACTGCCGAAGAGTACGATGAGATCTACGAGCTACAAAGTAGCAAGAGTGACCGGAAAGCCAGGAGCTGGTTCTTGGGCGGCTCAAAGGGCGAGGGGGATGAAGAAGGGGAGAGTGCAGAGACGCGTGGCCTGGCTGGCGAGAAAGGATGGGTGATACAAGGTGAGTAGAGAGCAGAGGAGACACGCTTTCCTAGTGCGGGAGGAGCAAGAAACTCATCGCTTTCTTCTCCTCCTCCTCCTCCCTGGTAGACTTCTCACTACACCTCCTCTCCCGGATAGATTCCGCCTTTCTCCTCCTCCCCATGCTAGACGTGCTCCTCCCTCCGCCCACTCCCAAATCAACCACGGAGCCAGCTCCTACCTCAGCTCCCGCTACCCTCCTAGTCGATAGCGGCTCCTACCTCCCCGCAGAAGACCTCTTCGAGTCAGTCGCAGGGACGATGCACCGTCGTCTTCTCCAGGCACGCAGCAAGCTAGCCGGCAAAGGTGCAGCCGCTGCGCCTACCGGGGTGGACGAGGAGGGCAGCTGGGCGGACATTCCCTCCTTCGGCCAACTCTCCCTAGCTCGCAAAGCCCTCGAGAAGCTTTGCTCTATCCAAAAGGCAGGAGAAGTAGGGACAGACGGCAAAGGAGAGCAATACTTCCGTCCCTCTCCCCAACGCATCGTCTCTTTCCTCCAACGTAAAGTCCTAGCCCTCTCAACTCCAGAAGTGTTCCATTCTCATCCTGCTACGCTTGGAAGGATGTTGGATCGCGCAGTGGATGATCCATTGGTGGCGATTGCTAGGGCCAATGGGACGCTTAATGCTCAAGGGGTTTCAGGAGGAGGAGCAGGAGCAGCAGAGGGGAACGAAAAAGGGGATCTCAAAACGCGTAAGGTGAGGACAGAACTTGCGCTGGACCTCGTGAGGGGGTATGTCCCCACTGGTGGAAGAGTGGAGGAGCTCTTCGAAGTTGTTGTCAAGGGTGGGTTGATGAAGGAGTTGGATGGGGAAGATCATGGTGGGCGGGATGATCGAGAGGCATATCAGGTCAGAGAGGACGAAGAGGATGCAGATGCAGATGCGGAAGATGCATTGAGGGAGCAGGAGGCTGGTCTTTAAACAATTTCCTGTGTACAAGAGGGAATCAATGTCACCACATCCTTCCAATCTGATACGGAGCCAGATGTCCTCACCAACCTATCCAGCCCCTGCCTGGGCCTGGGGCTTCACCGACCATATGTCCCCTTCTTCTCTCCATTCCCCACCACCTCTCCCCTCTTCCCGCTCTCCCTCTCGCGCTTCATCTCCTTGATCACCTCCACCAGCTCTCGCGCAGCAGCAGGATCTGTCTGATGGTGGATCACCACGCGCGGTAGACCTGCCTTGATGGGGGTGGGATGGAGCGCCTTTAGACGGGCGTTTATTGCTGCGTTGCTGAGGCCGATGGGAGAGGGGTCGAGCCAGAGCTGTGGTGGGAGAAGCAAGATGGGGGAGAAGAAGAAGGAGTGAGAAGTCGTTAGCCTAGAGGACCCTGTGCGTGTGTCTGTACATCTCCAACATACCCCACGCTCGCACTCACCATGTTCGTCTCCACCTCCTGCAACATCCCCACACCCAACTCCCGCAACTCTCCTTCCATCCATTTTGCCAATTCATGAGTTCCTTTGAGCTTGTAAAAATGCTCCTCGAGGGCTACACGAGCCGCTGCTACTACAGGACCAGTCTGACGAAGTCCACCACCGAAGAGTTTGCGGAAGTGGGTGGCTTTCCGGATTATAGACTGGGGGCCGATGAGGATACTGCAAGGGAATGGAGGTTGGATAGAGGGAGGGTGAGAGTGAGCTGGGCAATTCAGGAAGATAGTGTCATCTCTTACCCCCTACTCACCTGCCCACGGGCGCTCCAAGCCCTTTGCTGAGACAGAGACTGACGGTATCAAAGGGCTCACAGAGCTCCTCCATAGACATTCCCGTCTGTGCCGCCACATTCCACAGTCTCGCTCCATCCAAGTGCAAGATGATTCCCCTCTCCTTGCATCCCGTTGAGATCTTCAGAATCTCCTCTTGCGGGAAAATGTTCCCTGCCAGAGTATTTTCGAGAGAGACGACCCTTGTAGGTGCAAAGTGGACATCTCCATCATCTTCCACCAAGTTGGGCAGGACATCCTCCTCCCAGCGGAGATACTTGCCATTGCTAGGCGTGAGAGCAATGGAGGTAGCACCAGAGTGGAAGGCTAGCCCGCCTGCTTCGTACTTGTTGACATGACTGCGTACGTCGAGCAGGACGGAGTAGGGCGGTTGCATAAGGTGGGAGCGCAGGGCGAGCTGGTTGGACATGGTGCCGGAGACGACAAAGAGGGAGGCCTCCTTGCCTGTGAGAGCATTGATGGATGCTTGGAAGGATGTAGTCGTCTCGTCTTCCTGGGCGATGCAAGGCAAGAGAGCGCCTGTTGAGATGCGATATGTCGACAGTCTTCAATTGACTCTCCCACTCACCTGATAGACGTCATCGCCCCTACTGGCGAGCTTCATCGCCTCCATCATACTGTCCGTTGGGATAGTCAATGTATCACTACGGAAATCTCGACTGATGCTGAGCAGCTTGGCGTCATTATCGTGTACGTCTCGATGGCCGGACACTTCTGGCAGCTTGAAGCGGGGTGTGCTGGACGCGGGTGTGGGTCCTAGATAAGAGGCAGAGGAAGGCATTGCGGAAGACGAGGATGAGGAGGAAGACGAGGAAGACGAAGCAGCGTATGCTCTGCTGATACTGGACTGGGCTTTGGAGCTGCGGATGGAGATAGTACGGAGGGAATTGCGCAAAGCTGCCATCAGGGCGGGAAGGAGGACGAGGAGGAGGAAGAGGAGGAAGAGCGGCAGCAGCAGCAGCGAGGTGCGAATCTCAGTCCATCGTGCGAAGATGCGAAGAAAGCCGATGACTGACTGAGCGGCGCGTGCACGAACCACTCGACGCTCGCGTGGCCCTTTCCGCCTGGGATGGCTGAGGGAAGACTGAGCGGAGAGCGGCGCGTTTCATTCAAGGGAAGGACGCGCTTGGCTCAGAAGTAAAGGATACAAGGTCATCCTCCTCGTCACACATCCATCAAGATCATCCTCGTCTGCACTCATCTCACCCTCCCTCCTACTCCTCCTCCGACGCCGCGCAGCAGTCGCAAGGGACATGCACCGCAAGCACAAGTCCACAAAGGTACCCAACGTCAAGCTTCGCCCTCGTCCCGCCGCTTCTTCCTCGTCCCTTCGCGATGCCATTGCCGATGACAATGAGTCGTCCTTTAATCAGATCATAGAGGATCGCAATAGGCTTAGAGATGCTGAGTCGGATCATAGAGAGGCGTTTGGACCGGGAGCGGCAGCAGCGGCCGAGGAAGAGGTGGATGGGCCGCTCACTGGTGCCAATTTCTGCTTTACTGGTGTGACAGACGACAAGGTGAGTAGCAGGGGCGCAGGGAAGTTGCGCATCCCTAACATGACGGACTCACTCCACCTACCCCGCTCCACCTCTCTGCGATGGTAGACTGCGTTGGCTCATGCTGCCTACCAACTCGGTGCCAAGGTGGAGGGCAACCTCACAGAGTCCACGACGCACCTCATCGCCCTCAATCCTCTCTCCTTCAAGTACGAATGCGCCCTCTCCCTCGGTCTATACATCCTCCTACCTCAATTCCTCTTCGAATGCATCGACCGCTGGAGAGAAGCCCAGGATCTGAATGTAGACGCTCTGATACGCAAGTACTCCCTCAAGCCCCTTCACAATCTCAAGGTCGGCATCTGCGGCATCGAGGACAGACGGGAGAGGGAGCACATGAAGAGCAGACTCAAGGGACTGGGCGCCACCTTGGTCTACCCTATGCTCATACAGGACGATGTCACCCACCTCGTGTGTGGTACAGCAGACAGAAGATCATCCAGCACGCTCGAGACAGTCTATAATCTCAGGAGGGGCAAAGTGGGTCAGAGTGACGAGAGGAGAGCAGCTGATCAGCTCAAGTGTGTACGAGTGGAGTGGGTGGAGGACTGCGCTTCAGTAGGAGGTGAGTAGAGGTCAGCACGCAAGAATATCAACATCAGCGGGGTGACTAAATCAGCGCCGCCTCTCCTTTCCTCGCTAGGCCGCTTGTCTGAAGAGATCTATGACATCTGGACCCACCGCCAACCACCTTCTCTGGCCGAGAGGGCTCAAGTGCGGACATCAATCCCTGTGCGCAGCTTTGCCGAGTGCAAGAAGCGCTTTCAGAACACCGTTCTCACTCAGCAGCGTATCAACGAACGGCTGCAGAGGGAAGAAGAAGAGCAGAGAAGAGCTAAGCTGGAGGGTCAGTCGAGTAGAGAAGCCTTGCTCAAGAAGTCTCTCGCCAGTGTCGCAGTCTCGAAAGACGCAGACAAGGGCGAAGGTTCCTCTAAGGCTCCGTCGGGAAGCAGTCTGCTCCGAATGGGCAGAGCTGTCGAGGAAGCGAAGCCTCGAGAGCCAGTCAGACCCTCGGAGCAGACTCGAAACGCCAGAGAGCAGGCTACGAATGCTCTAGCTGCCAAAGATCAGTCAATCACATACAACAAGAGCCTTGAAAAAGGCGATGTTGACTTGGACACGCCGCCGACGCTCTCGAGTCTGTTGATACGGCTGGACTTTGCCCCACACGAAGCGGCCAGAAGGACGATCATCCAAGGAGCTCTCCTTGACAATGGGATTGCACAGCGGAACATCCTGACATCTTCTGACCGAAGTCGGCCTGCTCAGTACTGCGTGACCTCTATGTCTGGACCTTCTGTGCAAGAGTGGAGCGGATATGGTACGCCAGTGACTGTGCTCTGGCTCGAGCAGTGCATACACTACGAGCGCATCATCGACCCCTCCGGCTCTTCCTCTCCTGCCTATCTACGACCTGCGAGAACTGAGCTCCCAGTTCCAGGGGCGGAGAATTGTCTTGTCTCCCTCACTGGCTTCCCAGTCGAGGACGAAGAGCCGGAGAGGAGCCAACTGTCGACATGTCTCAAGGAGATGGGCTGCAAGGTCACCGGGCCCTTTTCGAGAAAGAACACCCACTTGCTTTCTGCCCATCCGGGCCGCGTAGACGTGGCTGGGAGCAAAGAACGTAAAGCTTCCGAGTGGGGGATTCCAGTGGTAGGAGTGGACTTTGTCGAGCGGATGTGGACCAGCGGCGTTATCGACCCTCTACCCACTGCTACGCTACCTGCAGCGGTGAGGGACAATACGGTTATGGCCGAGTCGCTCCCGATGGCCGAGACGCAGGAAGGGCGTATGCTCCCTCCTCCATCTGCATCTGCGAAGAGGGCACCCAGCAGCCTCTGTAGGGACATCACGAATCAGACAAGTCGGCCTCGTGACGAGGACGACCTCGAGGTCACTACAGATCAGCAAACGGACAAGACTACTAGTCGAGCCGAAAGCATGGAGACACAGGTAAAGGAGGAGCGGCCAGTCAAGGTCGAAGCAGCTGCCGCTCTGGACAGCCAACCTCAGCCACAAGATCAGGAGAAAGGTACTTCAACACCCAAGCTCGAGCGTCCTCAAGCTCGAGGAGCACCCGCAGCCCCAGCTTCTCCTCAGGAGACCGTTGATACGCAGGCCTCTTCGCTGGCCGGACAGAGCATGTGGGCCACCCGGATGGAAGGCGAGGTGACCGCCTTTCTCGCTGCGCGGAAGAAGGCTGGTGCTGCCACTACCTCCCCAATAGCTCGACAAGGCAGCGGTGCAGCAGACATGAATCGCTCCGTCTCTGGTGCTTCTGGCAGCGAAGAAGTGGGCGCCATAGCTACTCCTAGCGCACCAGGGGCGAAACGCAGGGGCAAGCTCCCGCCAAAGTCAAGACGTTCCGCCTCTGGGACAGCTGCTTCGCCTGCTCCGGGCAGCAGGAGGGGTGGGAGTACTTCGCCGATCAAGGGTAGTGCACACGAAGGGGAAGAAGACGAAGCAGGGGGAGAAGAGGAGCCTGATGCAGCGCAGATCCTCCTTGCTCAGCGAACACTTGCTGCTCTTCAAGCTCAAACCAAGGGACAGGGCGAGTCCTCCACCTCCTCTACGACGGATAGCGCCGGCTCCTTTGCTCACCACCGCCCCCACTACCCTGCATTCGGACCGGGGGACGAGGAGGAGGCGGAAGAGCGCGAGGTAGACGGAAGTATTAAGATTACCTATCGCGACCCGCTTGCGGAGAGGGAGAGGCGCAGGCTGGAGGATCTACTCGAGGGGAAAGGACCGGGCGCTGCTGCTAGTGGAGCAGCAGCGGGAGGGAAGAGGAGACGTGAAGAGACGGCGGATGGCGGGAGTGTGTCTGCACTCGTTGCAGCTGGGGCGGAAGAGTCGGGAGAGCAAGAGGAGAGCAGCGAGATTGTGCTCTTGGGTGGTGGTGGGCCGGGATCAGCGGTGGATATGGGTGTGGGTGTAGCTCCAGGTCGGGTGAAGGAGACGAGCCCGAGTAAGAAGAGGGTCATGGCGAGGAAACAGCCTGGGATGGGTAGGTAAGAGGTAGCGGGCAGGGCAAGGCAGAGAAGACAAGTCTTGCGGAAAGAGCACGTTGCTTTTTGTATTGCTATTCCAGATCCCAGAACCAGATCCAAGCGTCGGCTGGGCCGCAGGCCTCCTTAATGTGACATTGTATACTATCCCCAAGCCTCCCATGCCTTCCCCGCTCTGCACCTCATACACCCTCCTTCTTCAACCCCATTCCAGCCTCTGCGCTCCCTCTTCCTTCCCCCAACCCAAATCTCCACCGCATCACACCCTTTAACAGCGGCCAAATTGCCTTTGACGTCTCCCCCTTTAGACTGACATATACGCGCTCATCGTCTCGCGGCTGGGGCGCTTGACTCAGTGCGAGGGAGAGGGGTGGACAGGAAGAGTGGGAAGCATAGTGGGCGATCATGGGGCCGGTTTGACGGTGGAAGGAGGTGAGGCGGGAGGTGAATGTTTTCTGCAGGGAAGGGGTGGGAAGGAAGGGAGAGGGTGGGGGGGGGGAGTCAGGGGGGGCCCGTAGGGGCAATAGATTCGTGCGTAGCGAGTCTCACCTCGTTATCGTCGGGACGTTGTACGAGGGGCTCGCCAGTCTCGTCGTCTTTGCCGGCTACTTTGGGAGGATTATATTGCGAGTTGCTGTTCGGCGGGAACGTTTCAAGGTTAGTGAAGCTGTTGAATGAGGTGCAACAAAGGTTTTAACTCACTACACTCTGCCAGACGGGGGGTGCACCCAGCGATCTGTCCGGGCGAGAAGGGTACAGCGTTAAGCCTGCTGAACTGCGCAAAGCGCTGGTCGTCCGGTCTACACTCCAGGCTCACCCAATATCCGCTTCAGGATGACCTCTTCTGGCACGTCCAGGTTGACGACGAGATTCAGTGGACGTCCTTGCCGCTGCAGCGCTTCGTCCAACAGGCGAGCCTGCCCTGTCGTACGGGGGAAGCCATCTAGCAGCCAGCTCTGTAGGTAGAGAGCATGTTGATATTAACTGCTAATCCGTCTCGGATACATACCTCCCCCCTTGTCTGGCCGACTCACCTCAGCCCCCTTCTCCTCGACCTCCTTGCCCACCATCTGCATCATCGTCTCATCGTCCATCAAATCGCCGCGCTTGATGATCCCATCGGCCTTCTTCCCCAGCTCGGTACCCCTCTCTATGTGCTGGCGGAGCAGGTCTCCGGCTGAAATGCTGGAGAGCTCTGGATAAGTCGAGTGAAGCAGGGAGGAGAGAGTGCCTTTGCCGGAGCCCTACGAGAGAGAACGCAGCATAAAGCAAGTCAGGGCGGAGAGAGTCAGTATGCTCCTAGCTCTTCCGGTGCGAGGCCACCAACGGTGAGACTCACCGGACATCCCACAAGGAGCATCCGTACCTGCGTCGGTCGAGCTTCCGCCGATGCAGCAGAGACTGTCTCCTGTCCATGTCCCGAATCTACCACAGCAGCAAGAGCGCACCGCCGCGAAGAGGACAGGTTGCGGCGCCAGGCTGTCTGTGTGAGCCGAGGAGCAGGGCGCAAGAGGGGGACGAGACGAGCAGCGGCGGAGGAACACGATGCTACTGCCATGGTGCTCGTAGAGTGTTAGGGGAACAATGAGTGGAGGAGTTGGGAAGTGGGGAGCACGGCAGCAGCGGACGGACCCAGGCCGACAAGATCAAGTGTCGGAAGGGGGACCGACGCCCGAAATCTGAGATGCGGGGTAGTAGCCTCGGCTCTCTCGGCGTGCGGCGCTCGGCCGGCGAGTATATATTTTGTTGCTCACCGCGTGCTCTTCATCGAATTCTGTGTGGTTTAATGGTTAGGACGTGCGCTTGTCATTCAACAAGCCCTCGGTTTCCGAGGATCCTTCCTGACTGCGCGAGCTCGGGGTTCAATTCCCCGCACGGAAGTTCACTTTTTGCTTCTTTCTCGGACGCGTTCTTTTCTTGCCTCATCTGGTCATCGAGGCCTTTTGCCAAAGCTGTAATTTGCTCGATTGATGACAAGGCGCTGAGAGAGGGAGAATGTGATGCATTGTTGTACAGATGTGTGGGACGTGTTGCTGATATGCGAGCGCTGCAAAATTGATCAAGCTCCTCTTCTCAGGCGAGCTTCCCCTTCTTCCTCTCCCTCTCTTGCGCAGCGAGCTCTAGTGCCTCACTCGCTCCACTCTCCCGCTTCCCCGCCCCCTTCCTCTTGCGATGCTCCGCCTCCCAATCGCTATTCCAGACAAAGTAACCACACCTATACTCCCTTCCCGGCTCGCCTTCAGCTTTCCTCTCGCTCCACTTCTTTTCGTATCCAGGTCCAACAGGACGAGAGCACAGCCAAAATTTCCTACCAAAGTTGTTCTTTGCATCCCGCTTGTTGACAGTGTACGATGTGGCTTCTTCCTTGTGCACTTGACAGCGTGGGGGTGGAGGAGCGGAAAAGAGGGACGACCAGGAGGAGGAGGAGCCGCTGCCGATTTTGCTCGTCGAGGGCGAGCCAGAAGGACGCAACAGATGTGTTGATGTGGTGGCTGGGGCGTCTGGATCTGGAAGAGAGTAGAGGTAGGCCCAGTCGACCTCCTCTTCTTGGATTTGACCTTTGCCGTCCGACTTGACCGGAGACGGGGTGGTCTGAGATTGCTCAGCGTTGACAGTCGCCTCTGAACTATTAGCTGTGGGAGCAGAGCCAGATGCTGGCGTACCGTCGACTGCTTCAGCCGCCGGCGGAGAGACTCGTGCTGGAGCCGATGGAGCTACAAAGAAACTCCCCAATTTCAGCTGCTTGGGCTTCTTGGTTGACGATGCAGTGTCTACTTCGCTCTTGCCTTGCTTGACGCCATTCTTCTTGGTACCCACAGTCGTTGTGGCCTTTGAGAGGTTGGTCTTGGCGTTGGACTTCAGTAGCGATGGCGGACGGCCAGGAGTTGACGAGCTGACCGTCGATCCCTGCGCTGTAGGCAGCTCTGAGGCTTCTAGAGATTCCGATTCCTTTGTAGAGAGAGGCGTCGGGTTCAAGTCACCACTGCTGGCCTGAGACTTCACAGGTGAAGCGCTGACGTCCCTTGAGGCCGCACCAGGCCGAGGGGGAGGCTGATAGATGGCAGCTGAGGAACCGCTTCGCTTGACCGGCGATGCAGAGCCTTCCTGACTGAGACTCCCCGTCTTGGTTGCTCCGCCGGCGAAGAAGCTCTTTAGATCTCTCCGGTTCAGCTCTTCCCACCTCGAGGTAGCTAGGGCAGGAGAGCTGGCAGCGTTGCTGAGCAGATCCTTGAAGCGAACCAGCTTCCCATCGATTTCTCTCTCATCATAGAAGTCCACGTAGGCTGGACAGTGATCACTGCCTGGTACTTCTTGCTGTATGTCCGCTCCTTTCACCCAGTCCCTCAAGCCCGGACTGACGAGGGTGTAGTCTATCCGCGTACCATAGTTGGCTGGCCTGGCGTTGATGAGCTGACTCCAGCAGGTGTACATGCCCAGACGCTCTGGGAAGATGTCCCTCTGCACGTCATGGAAGGGTCCGATGGGGTGACAAAACGAATTGAGCCAGGTCCGAGTCTTGCTGGACAGGTAGTACTCTGCTCGAGCTACAGAGTGAACAGCGGGGTCAGATGCATCGCAATGGTCTATTGGCTGTCGGGCAATGTTGATGTCTCCGACGATGATGACTTCCCTGCCTTGCTCGAGAAGCTTGCGAGACCGCTCATTGAGAGCAGCATAGAAAGCTTCTCTGAAATCTGCGCGAGACTCGTTGCCTCCGACTGGGCAGTACAAATTGAATAGGACGAAGAGGCCGAAGTCAACCACTACTCCACGTCCTTCCTCGTCTAGCCGATGGAAGATGGTTGCGTCCTCGGGGTGATCTTCGAGCGAATCTTGGAGAGTGGCAGGAAAGCCGCCAATGGGCGTTGCAGTCGTATAAGACGAGACGGTAGCTGGCGTGATGCCTTTCCGTCCAGTCACGCCCAGCTCCGCCTTCTCTGGATGTCCGGTCACCTCCTTCTTCCAATAGACGACTGTCCCACTGTAGCCTCTACTGGGGTGGAAATCCCATACAGAATCCCACTTGCCATCTTCTGGAAGCAGCATCGTGCGCTCCTCGAGCGCCTGCTTGCGCGTCAGCTTTGTCTCCTGTAAGCAGATGACATCTGCCTGGAGGTAGGCCAGGATGCGAGGCCATGTGGAGAGGCCGTGAAAGGGCTGGTAGGTCTTGATTTTGCGCCAGCCATTGACGTTCCACGTCAGGATGCGCATCGCGGCTGCAGCGCGGCGCGGAGCAGAAGGGAGGTGAGACCTCCTACAACGGAGTGTCTGCCCAAGGTGAGGAGTCCTCTAGCGCGAGGATGATGGTGCTGATGGGAGTACAGTCAGCAGGCGGTAGTGGCGGGGCGTGCGTGGGGGTGGCTGATCCGCTCTTCCGCTGATCCGCTCTTTCCGTTGGTGCGTCGGAGATGGAAACCGAAATTTGCCTCTTGGCCGGTGAGAAGCATTGAGCATTGACGGAGGGACGAACAGACAGACATCGTAACCATCGTACAAGTCCCCTCAGCAATGACGTCGACGTCATCCTCGTCAGCATCCTTGGTGCTGCCGCAGCCATCGATACTGCTCTCGACGAGCGGCAGCAGCTCTTCGCCTGGCTACCTCGCCCTCGTTTCTCTCTCCAACCCCTCCGTTACCTCCCCCCTACTCTCCTTTAAGCCCTACGTCTCTTCATCTCCACACGCAATCTCGATCGTTCCGCCGTCGGCTGCCACCAACACTGAAGGATTGCTTGCCACGCTCGAGGAAAGCAAGAACCTGCTTCACGTTCACTCCATTCCTCTCGTGCAAGGTGTCACCCCAGTCACCACCAGGTTCATCCCACCGCAACGTCTTTCCTGCCTCTCCCTCTCGCCGGACGGGTCGCTGCTCTGCGCTGGAGCTGCTGATGGTCATGCTTATCTATGGGAGGTAGCTTCGGGACGCTTGCTAGCCTCATGGGAGCCTCACTTTCGCAATGTGACTGTAGTGATCTGGGACGCTAGGGGTGACGTGGTAGCCACAGGTGGAGAGGACGGTCGCGTGTGCGTATGGTCTGTGAGCGGGCTCGTACACCCTTCTGCGGGTACTTCGAATGGCTCTGCAAGCACTCCATCGCCGTACGCGACTTTCTCGACGCATCTGCTACCCATTACCTCCCTTGCATTCTCGCCCGCCTCGGGAGTGTTCCCTGCAAAATTGCGTCTCTGGTCCGCTAGCAGGGATGGAACTGTCAAACTCTGGGACCTTCGCACACGCTCCCTGCTTACCAACTTCGAAGTCGGAGGAGGAAATGGAAACGGAGAGGTGACATGCTTGACTGCCGACCCTACTGGACGCTTTTGCTTCGTGGGGACCAGCAGCGGTAGACTCGAGAGGATCGATCTATATCGTAGGATAGGCGGAGCAGACTCCGGAGGATTTGAAGCCAGGGGAGGCGGCGGCATGGAAGACGTGGAGAAGGTAGGAGAAGAGAATGACGGGCGTGGCAAAACCGGCATACAGCTCAGGTGAGAAGAGGACAGCCTCGCAATTGATGTAAAGGATGCACTCTGACCGCTCCTACTTCTATCACCGTACGCGCAGCTCGCCCGCCAGCTCGCTAGCCCTCCTTCCCTCCTCCTCGCACCTACTCATCGGCACATCAACCCCTCCTGCACTGCAAATTCTCGATGTGCGGTCCCTGCAAATCATTCGCACCACAGCTCTATCAGAGACGGCCAGCTCTACGGCCAGCGTGCCCAATCTCATCCCTTTCTACCGGCCGACTGCTGGTGATGCAAGAGGCAGCAAGGCAGCCGCCAAGAGGAGAGTGGTTGCAGAGCAGTTAGAGAGAGCAGTCAAGCGTGGACAGGACGCAGAAGAAGACGAAGACGAGGTTTACTGGAGCGAAGTGCCGGCCGGAGACGCTGAGGAGGCGAGTCCTGCATTGAGGCACCAAGCAGTCGAGTGCGCTGCTGAAGCTGACGACTACTTGCCATTCCCACAGCTCGAATACTTGACACCGCCCGCCCTGCTCCGGCCGCAAGGAGTTACAAGTACGGAGGTATCGCAGACTTCCTCCAGCGCAACAACGTCAATCCCATCACAGTCACAGTCCAGCGCAGCAATGCACGACTTGCAGACCCAGGTGGACTCGCTCAAGTCAAAGTTGGCGCAGGCAGAGAAGTGGAACAAGGACATGTGGGCGGCCGTTGTGGCAAAGGGACTCAACGGGAACGCCGAAAAGGCCTAGTGTACTATCACATTGCAATCTGACCAATCCTCGCAGGTCTCTGGTAGAGCCCGTTCAGGTGTCCAGGCACTTGAACTTACACTTCCTGACTGCGAAATTCTTTGCAACGCCTTTTACAATCTTTGCCGAATTCTTGATATGCATCGCCGCCTTCTTCAGTCCAGCTCCAGGCAGCTGATCGTCCAAATCGACCAGGCGGGAGTACTCTCCGCGATGGATCCGAGCGCTGTGGGAGCGGTAGAGGCCCTGGTGCAATTTGCTCATGCGCGTAGTGCTGGAAGGGGTGGTTGAGAAGAGATCGGAGCTGAGACCATCTCCTGGCCCTAAAGGTGGAGCGAGGCGGGTTGGCTGAGCTTGGGCGGTGGGATGCGTGGCGACGAGGAGGCAGAGACAGAGCGCAATACTCGAGGCGAAGGAGAGTTTCATGACTGCTCAAAGGGACAACGAGACCAGCTCGAAGACGTCAAGGAGTGTGGCGAAGTGAGCAGGGGAGCCAATTTGGGGAACACTCTGCTGAAGAAGCGAACGTAGATGGGAAGCTGCTCTCCCGCCTTTAATCACGTCCCAACACAGATGTCGACGCAAGCACAATATGTTCGAAAGAGGACCGTACCGGTTACTCGTCGACTTCGGTGCTGTGTCTTTGCCAGCAATGCCGCTGAAACGGACAGAATCGGGCGTGATAACAATTGCTCTGCGGCTTGTCAAACCTGCCGCTAGATTGTTCCAACGATCTTCGGAAGCGGCAGACTTAGGCAGGCGTACAGCAGCGTCTGCTCAATCTCCGCAACGTTTGCTGCGAGCAAAGGTAGATTGCCGATTGCCGATTGTCCTATTGCTCTCGAGTCTACTGTATCCGAAGCGCCACCCGCCTGCTATCTAACGTGACCGTTCCCGCCATCGAATGCCGCAAGACATTCTATCTGCTGAGCGCCTGCCTGCTGCCCTGACGTGGACGCGATTGCCATTCGACGTGAACCTTTCGTTTGCCTGATCCGTCAAATCGACTCGCTGCATCATGACAACCCTTTCGATGTGGACACACCTCTAGATCGCAACGGAGGCGGACACACATGCAAATTGATGATGACGTGATGGTCACCCGGTGGGGACCCGACTGCTCACCTGATGTGAATTCAATGGCGTTTATCATCAATCCCACTGGCTGCTTGCTGAGTAATGCTAGCTGAGGCGGGCCTGCTGGGCGGCGAGCTCATCTGTCTGCCAGCTGGCGTCCCTCATCCATGCTGCGAAGACGCTTGCTGCCAGATGTGAATTCGTCTGCCGCCATATAAGAATTCAAGGGCTCCCTGACGAGAGGACGTTTGCTATCTGATGAGGCGCCACCCGCTACTTGGTGGGGACCCTAGCGGACCTCGACTCGACGGATTACGAAGAGAATCTTGCGAACTCGCCACGCAAGCTAGGTGACCAGAAGCACGTCGACAGTTGTTATAAGAAGGTAATATTTATCCCTTCCGATCTCAGCCCCCTACATCACTCGAAACTCACCGTCTGCTGACAAGTTGCCAGCTGGCAGCATCGAGCTTGCATCGACGCCCCATCAATTGGCCTTACTCATCATCCGTCACTTCACTTTGCTTCTTCGCGCCTTCAAGGACATAATCATGAAGCTTCAAGTCCTTCATTTCATAGCTATGCTGCTGGCAGCCGCTATCTTCTCCTCTTCTTCTGCTTCTGCGCTTCCCCTACCCAGCGAGGACAGTAGCAGTAATGACGAGGCAGACTTCCCCTTTCGACCTCACAGGATCAAATACTGCTTTCACGGAGACAATACTCTATGCGGGCACGACTGCTTCCAAGAGCACTACGTAGCTAAAGAGCAGTACCTGCGCCATTCTGGGAGCCTAAAAGGTCCGATGCCTCCGGCAAGCCCCAGCCATTGCGAGAATTCTGCCGGGAGTCAGTCTGGTTGGAGCAAGTTCCGTAAGAAAGTAAAAAAGGGCACCCAGGCGGTGGCGAAGGCGATGAAGAATGTGCGCGGGTCTAGTAGAGTTCATCCGCAACCAAGACGTCGCTAGCCACTGCTGCTGGCTCAGGCGAAGAGTGTTGCGGGGGTGTGGTAAGGCGAGAGCCAACGACGGACAGCTCTGCAGCACAGAGCCAGCCTACCCTTGTCGTCAGCGATCATGGAGATTTCATCAACAATGGCGACGCGTCACGATCAGACTCTCCCTCGTCTGCGCCTTATATCTGAAATGAGTCCTTGATGAATCCTCTGTCGGCTAGATCGCACGGTACGTCGTTGAGCTCTGGCAAAGTCAGCCAGCCACACGCGGGAAAGTTCAGAGCTCAAAGGCCGGGCCGGGACCTGTGCCGTGACCTCTGGCGAGGCGCCCTAGCCGAAGTGCCTTTCCCCCGATGCTGCGAGAGACGCCACGCCCTTACTCCGCCAAAATGCCCTTACAGCACCTGCCACTGTTTCCCCCCTCCGTCCGTTGTCGAGTGTTCCTGACTGATCCTCATCCGTACCTCCTGTTGGAGAAGCTCGACGTCCGATTTCCTCCCCTATCGGATCCTCCAAGCCCACCTCTTCAGACCCTTTGAGCCCTCCGACCAACCATCAGCTGTGGGCGGGATGGCCGCCGAAGTCGATTTCGCATGTCTCGAGACGATGACGGCAGCGATGGCCTTTGCGCCCGTTGCCTTGGTCGTACTCGATCGGAAGCGTACGCTGCAAAGAGCCAATAAGATGGCGGAACTTGTGAGTTGTCGTGAGCTCTAATGAAAGCAAGGCGATGCTGGCGGGGAAGGTCAGGCACTTCTCCGATGACTGGGAACCAGGCATCTTGATCGGTACGATACGAGAGCTGAGGGGAAATGCCGAGGTCACTCTCCGTTTGCACAATTCCGGGACTGACTCATTCGTCTCAACGCCCGCCTGAAATCAGGTTCTTGGTCTGAACCCTTCCCAGTGTCAAGGTGAACAGTTCGTCAAATGGTGCGCAGAAGAGAGCTGGGTATCTCTAGACAGACAATTCGAAAGGGCAGCTGAAGCGAAGTGGTCCCTTGGAGGGGGTAGATGGAACAAACCACAGCCAATCGCTGTGACACTTCGAACCCGAGTTACCGGCCGGGATCCGCCAGGGAAAGTAAGTGAAGGCGGCAGGTGGTACTTTCGAATCGCGCCCGCTTTCCGAGCTGATGCACCGGCCTTCGTCGACCTTGCCTCCTACCAGCCCTTTTCTGCCACTCTGTCGTGCTCGTCCTGCTTCGTTGGCGTTGCTAGTAAGCCGAGGGAAGATCTGCATCATTCGATGGAAGAGGCGTGGTACATCGTCAGCATCGTTCCCTCGGCTGCCGCCTCTTCCCGCACTGCGACGTCGAGCGAGGGCAGCCAACATTCGCTCGGCGTCGAAGAGGATGATCTAGAACCCGGCGTTGAAGCTTCAGAGATGGCCAGCGTGTTGAAAGATGCCCTTCTGGACAACATTGGCTACCCTTTGCTTGCTCTATCCTCTGATGGCAAGACGAGTGTCACCAACCGGTCCGCCGACTTGCTCTTGCGCAGCATCGCCGATCTTGGGGATAGAGAAGAAGGTACTGGTCCGAATACCGCTGGCACTTACTTGGAGGACGAGGTCAACTTGAACTGGCTCTTCGAACAATTCACACTGTGCGATCCAGACACCTGGATTCCGCGACACCCAACGCAGTACCCAATGTACAAAGTCGCCATCCTCGGCCAGAAGCTGAATGGTGACTGCGTGGGAGCTTTGACTAAACGCGGTAGCAATCGGAAGCTCGTCTCTTGCGACGGGTTTCCTATGTATAGCGAGAGTGGCAAATTTCTCGGCGGCATGTTGCTGATGCGCGATGTCACACACAGATTGGGGAAGTCTGTCACAGACAAAGTGGAAAAGCCGGCTTCTACTGAGACGCCGGAACATTCTCTGCAGAAGTCAGAAGACCTCGAGCCGGGGAACAAGACTTCTAGCGCTGCTGGAGAGCAGACGACTCCCGAGCCGGATACAATATACCACAGCTACCGAGCCTGTCTCCAGCACCTTGGCATACCTGCATTCACAACCACGCCAGATGGAACGATCAACTGGTTCAACGACGCCTGGTACCAGTATGTGAGTCTTGCTGTGGTAGGAGAGCGTGATGCGAGCTGCGGAACAATCACGCGCCGTGACCGCCATGCTGAGGATCTTGTTCCCTTCCATTATCCCTAGAGTGGTACCTCCCGTCATGACACAATCGAAAGCGCCTGGGATCGTGTGCATCCGGAAGATCTTCAGGCTTGCAGAGAAGCTTGGAACGCTGGTGTTTCCACGCGCCAGAGGACCTTTGAATTTGGGAACCGGCTGTTAGACATCCATGGACAGCATAGACACATCATCACTCGTATGCAGCGTGTCACAGGCCCCGACGGCGCTGTGTTGATGTTTCTCGGATTGACGTCGGATGTACACGAGTTGGCCACCGTCTCTTCAGCGCATCGTGAGGCTCGGGACAACCTTTCAGACGCGTGAGTAGATGGGGCGATACATTAAGTAGGTTGAGACCCCAGTAACTCATTTGCTACAACGGAAACGTCCATTGTCCTTCATTCTGCGAACAGACTTCAAGTAGCGGACATCACTCTGTGGTCGGTGGACCTTCAAGGCATCATTACTCTTGCGGAAGGCTCTCTCGCTGCGCCATCATCAAAGGCAGACTCACGACGTGGCGAAACTTCTTCTGCTGACGATTCGCCTATCATAGGTCGTAGCATATACAAGTTGTGGGGACAGGATCAAAGGACACCCATAGAACAAGCCCTTCTGGCTAGAGAAGTCGTCTACGAGGAGACAACTATACAGGGGCGCTCGTATCGCACTCAATACCGACCGAGATGGGGCAAACCCAACGTTTCCGTCAGCTTTGGCGCGCCCGACACACAGGAACAAGGGCAAATCCTGGGAGTGACAGGCCTGAGCTTTGATATTACTGAACGATTACGGATGGAGCGCAAGTTCGAAGAGAGCACTCGGGAAATTGCCAAGGCAGAATCGGCCAGCCAGGCGGCCGAGGAGGCCAGTCGCATGAAAAGTCAATTCCTTGCAGTGGTTTCGCATGAGGTTAGTAGCAGCAGTGGGACCTTGTGTGGGACTAAGTGGTTGCAAATGATCCTGACCCGCCTTGGCGACGTTCCGTGCTTTCAGATCCGCACTCCGCTCAATGGCGTCATCGGTTTGAGCGAGCTACTGCTCGATATCGAGTCGCTCTCTGAGGAGGCACGGGGCCTCGTCCAATCCATTCTTCGCTCCTCGGGAGCCTTGCTGACAGTGATCAACGATGTGCTCGACTTCAGCAAGGTGGATGCAGGGAAGCTTGACCTCACACCGTCACCCATGTCCCTGCGCACGGTCTGCCTAGATGCGATCTGGACTTACCGGCGAATTTGGGCCTCGCAAGGAATCGCATTTGACGTCGACATTGATCAGCTGCCGGAAGAGAAGGTCCTTGGAGACGCAGGCAGGCTGACACAAGTGCTCAACAATCTCTTTGGTAACGCCGGCAAATTTACCGAAGAAGGTACGATCTCCTTCTTGGCGTTCAAGATCCCTTCTTCAGCTTCATCATCTACGCCGCGATACTCGTTTACCATCACGGACACCGGCTGCGGAATACCACAAGACCAGCAGAAGATGCTCTTCCAGCCGTTTCGACAGGCCGATCCCTCTACGTCACGCCGTTTTGGCGGTTCGGGGTTGGGACTCGCAATCTGCAAAAATCTCATAGAGTTGATGGGAGGCACCATTGGACTCGAGTCCGAGGAGAATGTAGGGACCACCATTCATGTTGAAATCCCTTTCCCTCTTTGTCCCCCTGACGCGGACTTTGCCAGGCTCGAGGACGCTGCTTACACCGACCCGGCCAAACATCCATCGTCTGCACCCCTACCCAGTCCCGACAAGGAGCGCCCCTCCATGACACGGCCACAGGGCCAACCAAGTGCAAAGGCCAGGTGCGAATGTCAGCCCATCAGCGGACCGTCGAAGGGGCACATTCTGTTAGCCGAAGACAATGCAATCAACGCACAGATTGCAGTCAAGACACTGCACAAGTTGGGCTACGATGTCTCCTGTGCCGAGAACGGACTCGAAGCACTCGAGCTTCTGGAAAAGGAGAGCGAAGAGAGGCCGTTTGCACTAGCTTTATTGGATATAATGATGCCAAAATTGGACGGGCTGCAGACCTCCAGACGTATCAGGACCTCGGAGAATGCTCGTCATCGCAACCTTCCAATCATTGCCGCGACCGCTGCGGTCGTCGGCGGTAGGGAAATTTGTCTTGCCGCGGGCATGACAGATTTCCTGTCGAAGCCCATGCGGAGAGCCGCGCTAGATGCCATGCTGACGAAGTGGGTCGGAAAGACTCACGAAGCTCTGCAAGACGTGGGTGTCAATCTGTGAGAGGGATAGGATGAGGCCGTAATATACCAGAAGATCGGAAGGAGTTGGCAGTCGTGCCGGAACGGAATCGCAAGCCACAGGCCACGTGGGCCGGACTAGGCAAGCGACAGCCGTCCGCTCAACTCACCCAGACGACACGCCCGGAACGGAACGCATCGCAATGTACCATGGAAATGCGTTGACTCAGCTTGTACCGAATACCATGAACAAGATTTCTCAACAATAGATGACCGACGCATTGATTTTTCATGACGGGGACCGAAGTCGACCTGGTGACGATGCCAGAGCGGCCGGGGCGATCTCCACGCCGCATCCTTTGTACTCGACGAGACCGTTGATGCAAAGGCTGCAGGTCTGTCCGGTCATGTGGGAGAACGCCGCAAGGTCGTATTGACAGCGTAAAGACATTGCACTCGTCTCTGTACTCGTCTCGTGAGGCTGTACAGCAGAAGGATACGACACACTGACACGCTAAGGGAAGAATAAAATTATGGAAATTCATGCTCAAAGGTATACAGATACACACGCGTAGAGAGCTGAACTCCAGTGATGGGTGGTCTGATCTCCGTTAGCCCTGGTTCGATTAAGAGACTTTGGCCACATATTTTTGGGGAGCAAGCTCTTGGCTCGATATACAGTAGAGATTGAGACTTTATGTGAAGCAATGAGTACGATCGAAACGAGAGCACTAAATGAACTGGGAATATGCCAGTGAGATTGAGGATATACCAGTCCTGTTCAGCTCGCCGGACCTGTCGGATCTCTCCCCGGTGCGAGTCGGGGAAGTCGTACGCATGCACCGAAGCCTTGGCTTGTCCAAGATCCGGTATGGCGAGCGGCAGAGCTGTGAGGAGCTCTGCCAGGATGTGGTCGGCAACGATGTCACCCAGCGCGGGCCTCAAGACAAGGTTTGTCAAGACAGCATCTTCGAAGATGCCTGACTGTCTTGCCAAGGAGCCGGGGCAGCGAGCCTTATTCCTCGCCCAGTCAGTCAGACGGACGTTATCAGGCTCATGACATCCAATGCGACCTCGATCATCGACTTGGAAGGCCCAGATCCTGTCAATCCTTGCCGTTGTACTGCTGAGTATATTCTGTCGGTCGAGCTGCCGCTCCACTCGAATGCCACGGGCGGGGGGTAGAGAAGAGATGGGCATCCAATCTGGCAGCACGCCAATGGCATGCGCGCAGAGGCTGACATCGTCGTCATCGCATGCCAGGATGACTGCCTTGACCAGTGCGATATCGATGTCGCCGGAGGAGGAGCTGATCACGTCGACAACGGCGATCAGACTGAGTGACAGTCGAACGGGTTGCACGAATCTGGCGGCTTTGTTGTCCGGCTTGTAGACCTAGCGCGCCCGTACAGACGCATGGTCGGCAAAAACGTTGGCATCGTGATCACAGCACAGTCTGCCCGTCGAAATCCCAGAGCAGGGAACAGACTCTGCACGGCCATGAGGATGCCGGAGATCGAATCGCTCGAGTGGGAGTCTGAGCTCTTCGGGAATCATGAGGCTCAGGTGTGAACTGGTGGCGCAGCCTTGTCCAATCCCTTGGCGGTAGCAAGATCCACCGGGCATGCGGCAGCGCTTGTAGCCCGTGCGCCCTCGAATGGTCGTCTTGACATTCCCCACGCGGTGTCGCCTGCGCCCTTGTAACTATTCCACCAGAAAGGTTGCAAAGTGCACGGTCTCTAGCCAGACCTTCCAGACCAGCTCTTCCGAGCGACCAGCCCAGACGGGATCCATTAGCGCTTGCACCAGTAGTGCTCCATCTTGGCGCATGCACTCCTCACTCATGAACGTGATAGCGCCAGCGATTCCCTCCGCTCGATCCGGATTAGCGTGCCTCAGTCGAAGAACCCAATATTTCTCGCGTTGCGTTGGTGCTAGATACGACATGCTCACGTTCCTTTGACCTGCGCAAAGGGAGCTTTTGACGGCCTCGACGACAGCTGTGTATAGGCGCTGGATGCCGGTGACAGTGTCGGCATCCGTCTGTCCAGCGGCAGCAGCAGCATGTAGCGGCCCGGCAAAAATCGCGACCAACAAGCGGCCAGCCACATCAGCGGTCGCTTCATCGTGGCCATGGTTGACAGTTCCCCAGATGTGCTGCAGATTGTACGCGCTCTCGATTTTCGTCCAGCTAGGCACCCACGCCAATCGATCCGGGTCAAGATCTGCTGCTCATAACGACTTCACAAGGCCATTGTAGCTGTAAAGGCAATTGCGACGAGTACAGACGTCGAGCAAAAGTCAGCATGTACTCGCGCTGATCGCATACACTATGAAACAACGCCAATTATTTGCAACTCACCTGCACTTTACGTGCCAGTTTGTGGGCGAGACTGGCCCGACCGTGAGACGTGACGGGGCTGGCTTCGGCTCCAAGCCGCTGGGATGTCCCGTCGGAGCAGGGCAGCAGCGGGGTGTTGCGCTACGGGACCGCGGAGATGGCGCCCCGCGACATTGGAAATATGAGCAGCTGCTTGGTCTGAGCGCGAGCGGGCTCTTAGTGCTTGCACCAGCATTTGATGAACAGGAAGCGGGCGCGCCATGGCAGCAGACCGAGCCGTCACGATGTAGAAAGGGCCATAGACTGTGGTCTCGCACGGATCCTCAACATCGTCCACTGGAGCGCTTGTTATGTAGCATTGTGCTATGCACTGGGCAGTATTGGCTCTGAAATTGTCGAATACTACTGTTGTTTTCTGCTCAGATAGCTTTGAAACTCTGTAGTCGACGTATGGAAGAAGTGTTGTAGGAACGGGTAGTAGAGTGTTTGCATCTCTTGCTTTCTTCTTTGTGTCGTTAATGTCGTCCGCAGGGGCGCTTGAGCTGTAGTGTTGAGCCATCGGCGGTGGCAGAGGACCTCTGAGCTTGTTTATCACCGCTGGAAGGGTCGAATGGCTGCTGTATCGGCCGGAATGGCGAAGGTGTGGAATAGGAAGCTTCGTCTTGACAGCAAGAGGTGGGCTTCGAAAGTGTGTCCAGGGTGACGATGATGAGTGACGGCTCAGCGCATCCGCCGCACAGTGCCGTGGACAGGGAAAGTAGGGAAGTTAGAGAAAGGGGCTCCTTATGTAGTAGGACAATGTGATGAACAAAGGGCGCAGTGAATCTGTGTCGTTGCGAATCACGCCATAGTTCGTTCAGCGGCATCAGATTGGTATACCACAAACCCTTTGGTGCCGCTGGGATTGCGGTGCACCCTACGCCCGTGCCTGGCACACTTTGCGTACCTATAGATCTCAAAGTCTACAAGCGCCTACCAGCACCGACCTCATCTTGGAGTACCTTCTCCAAGTGGGAAGTGTAGGCTATGGCTGCCCGTCGTGCTGCGTCAAGACGGTATTGCACCGGGGTTCAACAACAGAGATTCCTGCCGCTCCCGCACATCCAGAGCTGGGCGGTTGCTGGTGCTGCCACTTCACGGGCTGTACAGATGCCTCCCCGATTTGCTCGCACCCCGTTCTCCCTCCTTGCTTGCATCCTCCGCTGTCGACCCTTCCTGCCCTGGTACCTGAGATCCTGGTTAGCAATTGCCTGCTCGCCTCTGCCCCCGTTCCGACTGCTCGGCTTCCGGCTCCGATGCGCGCCTGCCTTCCGCCTCAGTCCTTCTCGGTCTCCGCCTAGGATTAGCTCTCCTACACCACATTTTTCCCTCGGCACGAGCTGACCATTATTCTAGCAACGCTTCTTCTCGCAAGAAGATCCCCATCTCACCTCCTCAACATGGCGTCGCCGACACCTTCAACGCTCTCTTCGCTCTACCGGCATCTGCTGCGCACCTCGCGCTCCACTTTCCAGGGTGACCAGCGTATGCTGACTGCCTGGCGTCAATTTGTTCGACAGAAGCTGCCTGAGCAGGCCGGTGCTAGGAGTAATGCAGCTCTGCCTGACGAGGTGGTGAAGGAGTGGTTGGATGTGGCCAAGATGCTCAGAATGAATGTTGTGCAGGGGGTCAAGGATGACCAGGACGAGGTATATCGTGAGTGTGGCTGATTTGGGCGGATGAGCGAACGGTAGGTGCGGAGATGCTGACAATTGGTGCTTCCCTCTCCTCTCCTCTCCTTCAGGTCTTCGCTTCACCTCGGATACGGAGCTGGGCACTAACGAGAGCATCAAGAAGGGTCGCGAACAGCAGCTGGCCAACCTAAAGGCCTCAAAGGGCGTGCTAGGCTGTGGTGGTTCCAGCCGCCCTTCTGCCTCCTCCTCTTCACCTTCCACTTCTTCCTCCTCGTCCTCCTCTGCCCGAGCCTTTTCCACTTCGTCCAGCCGCTATGCACCTCGTGACCCAAGCAAGCTTAAATCACCACGCCCACAACCACTCCCGCACCCACCTGCGCACTTTCCCTCCATCACACTCCTCGCCGACGGCTCCTCGATCTCTCTGCACACCACCTCTCCTCGCTCTTCGCAGCGCCTCACAAGAGATCCGACGAACCACCCACTGTGGAACCCTAAAATGGATGCGAGAGCCGGTAGTGGAGGTGAAGACGAGGCTGGGCGCATGGAGAGGTTCAGGAAGAGGTTCGCCGAGGTCGTGCAGGAGAGTCAGGGTCAGGAGGGCTCAGAGGCCGGAGCAGGAGGAGAGCAGCAGGAGCAGGAGGTCAGTCTGAGCGAGGGAGAGGCAGAGGCACAAGAGGCGGCTACGCTGGGTGCTGGTGGGAGGAAGAAGAAGGCCATGTTCGAAATGGAGGATCTGGACTGGATGTCCGAGGGTGGTAGGCAGGCAAAGGCTGCTGCTAGGCCAGTGTATGGAAAGGGAGGAGCTGGTGGCAAGAGGAAGTGAGGAGGGAGGAGCAACGGGCGAGAATGGTAGAGGACATGACGATATGCATGCTTGAGAGCGCAGAGCGTATGTCAAAAGGAACGTCGCAACTGCATCTTCCTTCTAACGACCGTCCTCATTTCGAGTACCAGCATCATTGGCTCCTTGCCTTTTACTGTGTGAAGCTGTATTGCTTTTGTGCTCTAGTCGCTCTCACTGCCTTGTACACATCGCCCTCCCCGCTCAAGTAGTGCCCTCGGTACCCGTAGTCCCGGCTCCCTGCCTCAGCTCTCCCTCAGGCCTGACTTCTCCTGCCCTCTCTGTGTCCTTGTTGCTCAACCCCTTTGTCCTGACTTCATACCCGTACCCTTCTCCAGGCTTGGCGCCCTTGGCCGCGGGGCCAGTGGGACCATCGTAGTGTAGATCGGCAGCGTCGAGGTTGCCGTGGTAGATCCAGCCTTCGGGCTTGACGGTGTATAGGTTGAGAGACTAGCGAGGGGAAAAAGGTAAGGGAGGAGAAGGCGTGGGAGGTCAGCTGACGTGAAATGACGCTGAGAACCTCTCCGGTGCCTCTGGCGACTACTACTCACGTTACCCGAGTAGGCGTCCCGGTGCGTAGCGGCATAGATGCTCCTTCTTCCCAACTCCATGGCCTCATCATCGGTCAAGTCCCACCTGTAACCCTGATCCAGCACACCATACGCAAACGTCGATCCCGATCCCACCGAGAAGACGTCTCCCTTTAGTCTCGATCCATCCGAGTCAACGTAGAAGAGGGCAGGTCCAGTCTTGTCCCAGCCACAGATCATAGTGCCCATACTGAGTCCCATGCCTTTGTAGCTGTACACCAGATTGGCGAGGTACTTGCTCGCCGCTGCCACGGAGATCCTCTCCTTGTTCCTAAGCTCGTGCAGCCTGCACTGGATGCCCAGGTACGTCTCCCAGTACTGGCAATCGGCTGCTCCTCCGGCCATTGTGCCCAGGAGGTAAGGGTTGATCTCAATGACCTTCTTGACAGTCCCCGAAGCAATGTAAGATCCCGCCGTAGCTCGCGAGTCGACACAGACCAGAATTCCGCCTTGGTACCGGAAAGCAAGTGTAGTGGTACCGTGGTGTAGCTTGATCTTTGCTCCGGGGTTGGAAGAGTCGACGTCGGTGAATTGGGAGAGGAAGTCGGACGAGGGAGCACCAGAGGGGAGGCTGAAGTGGTTGGCCAGCATGCTGCTATCGTTGAGCAGGGCAGTCGAGTCGTGCGCTGACGTCGATGCGCTACTGCCGCTGCCGCCGAAGCGTGAGATCATCGAGCCCAACGACATGGTATGAGGGAGAGAGTGTGTGGGTGGAGCGGGTGAGATGGTATGACAGTGGGTGACAAGACGAGGTGAGGATGGCCTGAGCTGACGGTGACGGCGAGGCCGCGAAGCCTCCCCTCCGCTTCCGAGGGCGCCACACGCGGGCAGGCCAGAGTTGAGCCACGGCACCTCTCCCCGCTCCACACCCAACGCACCCGTTTTTTTGAGAAGATACAGTGCGGCTTCTTGATTCTACCCCCTGGCTAGCAGTCGCTCCGTATTGCATTGATTCGTATCCGTCATGTCCTCCTCCTCCTCTTCCTCCTCATCATCCACAAAGGCCCTCGTGGTCATACCTTCCTCTATCAACATAGATGAGACATTTGCCGTACGCTCCATCGTTCGCCCAGGAGAGACCATCTCCTCTACAGGTCTCACCTCTCGTCCCGGCGGTAAGGGTGCAAATGTCTCCGCCGCCCTCGCCCTCGCAGGATGTGACGCTTGGTTCGTTGGCAATGTAGGAAAAGATGCAGACTGGCCATTGGAGGAGTTGAGGAAGAGGGGAGTGAAGACGGACCTGGCCGGTGTGCTGGATGGTACACCTACCGGGAGGGCGTTTATCCAAATTGCCGAGGATGGGGAGAATTCGATGTGAGTGTCTTTCGCCGGACAGGATACTGCGTACACTTCGACGACCTTTTCATCTCATACAAAATCATTTTGTTCTTCTCTCGTTTCCCAGTGTCCTCCTTAAAGGCGCCAACTACCCTCCCGCCCCTTCTTCTCCCTCCTCAACCTTCTCCTCTCTCCCGCGCCCCGCGACCCACTTGGTCCTTCAAAACGAGATTCCCCTCTCCACAACGGCCGCCTACCTCTCCCATGGCCACTCCCAGGGACTCAGCACGATTTGGAACCCTTCCCCCTTGCCTACGGCAGAGGAACTGCAGAGCTGGCGCTGGGACCAGACAGACGTCCTCATTGTCAACCAGGGCGAGGGACTAGACCTAATCGCCGCTCTCACTGGACGCAACGTCAACGAAGGAGAAAAAGCGGAAGATACGCTTGCTGCTCTCGCGGGACTGAAGCAGCTCAAGACTCTCGCTTGGGTCGTCATGACTCGCGGGGCACACGGAGTGCTCGCTTCTGTGCTACTGGAGGAGAGCGCAGAAGGGGAGAGTAGGACAACCGTCGCCCTCTCTGCGTCCAAGCCGCGACAAGTCCTCGATACCACCGGCGCTGGAGACACGTTCGCTGGATACCTCGTATCTGCTCTTGCGGAGCTACATGAAGAGAAGAGTAAAGCGGGAGCCGGAGCAGGAGCTGCTAGTGGGGGAGCACGACGTAGGCCCTCGAGCGAGGAAGAGGTGCGAGGCTGTCTGCACCGGGCGGGTGTGGCAGCGGCTATGGCTGTTGAGGTGAGGGGGGCGATGGAGAGTATACCCAAGAGGGAGGATGTGCAGCGTAGGCTCGAGGAGTGAGGGTAAGAATGAAAGTGCAAATTGCACTGCGAGAGAGGGACAAGAGGGCGCAATAGAGATAGAGCAGCGGGCAGATGTGATAGTAATCAGACTCGCACAGTACTGGATTCGTATCAAAGTCTCAGTCATAGACAGCCACAGTAGACTTAATCAACCCTCTTGCCAAGAAAAGCCACTGCAGCTGCATCTCGCCCTCATCTTCCAGAGCAAGCTCTCGACAGCACCCACTGGCACTCGGAATCTCCCACATTCTATAGGCAATTGGGCGGGCGGGGTAAATGCACATTGCTTTGTATAAGTAACGAAAGACTCTAGGAGACGCAGAACAGAAGGAGGAGACAAAGACTGCCAGGCGAGACCGGTAATTAGGTACAAAGGGTAGGTAAGAAGAGGGAAAGAGAGAGATTGAAATAGAGGGGGGCTCTTGGGAGAGGCTTCCTTCATACACGGGTGGCTTTGCTTGGTTCGTTGGGCGCTCCACAGAAGCGTCTCTCCTCAGACCCCAGTGTGAGCTGCACCTCAAGCGCACCACGAGCGGCACCCGCTACATCGCCCATGTCTAGTGTCGGACCGAGACGTCATTCGCAGGGGCATGCTCCAGTTTCTTCTCTGCATCGTGGCTGGAGATTTCGGGCTTGTTGTTTCCAGGCGTATTGTCATCCGTAGGTGTCCTGTTGTTCGACCCTTCATCGTCCCCCTCTGCCTCAAGTTGTCTAGCCACGCTGAGTTTCCCACCCGAAGGACCTCCAATGTTGATCGCATCGGGTCCCTCGTAGATGTGTGCATCTCCTCCACTCTCCTTGACCTGGTCGTCGTCGGCACGCCAGTCGTAGGCCCATTCGCCTAGCTGCTCCTCGTCCATACCAATGATCTCGGCCGTCTCGGTAGGTCGGAAGGGTCCGATTCCGGGAATGTGGTCCAGGACAAACATAATGGCAAAGGTGACACCGGCGGTCCAAGCAGTCGTGGCGACGATCCAGGCAATTTGGTAGGGCAGCTGGATGAAGTTGCCGTCCAGCCAACCTCCGTCGATGACCAATGAACCGTCATTGTAGGCAACGGAAGCCTGTGCGAAGATTCCAGTGAGGAAGAGACCCACGTAACCAGCCAAGGCGTGCACTGCAAAGACGTCCATGGCGTCGTCACACCTCATGTGAACCTTGAGTCCAGTAGCAAAGTTGGAAATGGCAGCCGAGAGAACGCCGATGAGCACGGAAGCTGGCACGCCCACAAATCCTGCTGCCGGGGTGATGGCTACGAGTCCAGCAATGGCACCAGTGCAGAAACCAACGACGGACCACTTGCGCTCCAAACGGTAATCGAGGAGCATCCAGGTGATGGCAGCGGTACTTGCAGCGGTGTTAGTCGTCGCAATGGCCATTCCGGCACGCAGGGAAGCGTTGAAGCACGAGCCTCCATTGAATCCGAGCCATCCAAACCAGAGGAAAGCGGTGCCCAGCACGATGTGGGAGACGTTGTGGGGCTTGAAGAGCAGACGCTCCGTACCGTATCCACGACGCTTGCCGAGGTAGTAGCTGATGGTCAGACCAGTGATACCAGAGCAGATTTCGACTGGTCCACCACCGGCGTAGTCCAGAACGCCCCACTTGTAAGCCCATCCCTGAGGAGCCCAAACCCAGTGAGCAATGGGATCGTAGACGAGCGTAGCCCAGATAAAGGTAAAGATGACAAATGGCCAGACGCGGGCTCTCTCACAAGCAGCTCCAATGGCAATGGCAGGTACGAGGCAGGCAAACATGCACTCGTACATGGCGTAAATGATCTCTGGCAGCTTGTTCGAGGATCCCGAAGCTGGTGCCTCGAGGACGCCCATGAAGCCGAAGTTTCGCAGATTGCCGAGGAAAGCTCCTCCTGTGGCAGAAAAGGTGAGTGAATAGCCCCAAAAGAACCATTGGAACGAGGTGACGGCGAGGGTCATCATGGTCAGGAGAAGCATGTGGAGAGCATTCTTTCTCCTTGTCAGACCAGAGTATAGGTAGCCCAGTCCGGGAATCATCAGCAAGACTAGAGCTGTGCAGGTCTGGAGAAGGGCAAGAGAATGGCAGCAGAGGAGAGAGCGAGTCAGTCGGGACTCAATAGCGCCGCCCCAAACACGATCTCCCGCCTGAACATTTCACTCACCAGGATCCAGGCCATGTCACCGGGAGCGTATGCTGCGACCATCTGAGCGTCAGCAGGGCCGTACGTGACAATCATGTCCAATCCAGCCGTCTGGATGGCATTGTCGACTGCATTAGCCGAAGCGGAAGGAGCATTGACTGGAAGACGGAGGAAGAGAGAGAGAGAGGGCAGTGTCAGCCATGGAAGCTTTCAGGGAAGCGGCTTGCGAGAGGTGTACTCACGAGCTCCGTACTAGAGGAGAGTAGCAAAGGGTGGGTAGAAGGAAGGAACAGGAAGTCGCAAGAGTCAGTCACGCATTCAAGAGGCTGGGTACGTGTGTGCAGGATCCCGGTTCATGGCATAGCAAACACTCGAACGACCCGGCACTTGCCGATGCACGGTAGCTTTCGCGACACTTACTGTGATGTTGACCATCTTGCAGGGCGGGGAAGCGAAGCGGCGAGATGGTGTTCACCAGTCCTAGGATGAAGGAGGAAGAGGAGGAGGAGGAGGAGGAGGAGAATGCAAAGACACGAGGAGGAGGACGGGGAGGGAAAAGGACTTTGAGGAAGAAGCGTTAGTTATTGAGTGTCGGGACAGTGGCGCGGAAAAAATGGAGAGAGTGAGGTGGGGCGGGGCGGGGTAGTCGAGACGAGGTGAGTGGGATGATGGGCCGCTCGAAGATCAGCAAGGACACATCCGGGCAGAAGCGGGGCGTCGTCGAGGATCGTAAGAAGGTGCATCGGTAAGGGCTCATCGACAAGCAGCAGCGGCGGCGTGAGGGCAGAGGGCAGATGCAAGGCAAACCAAATGCACCCATCCATCCATACGGACGACACCAAGGCTGCCTCTGTGCCCGCACCCACGCACGGCCCGCGATCGCCGTCTGTGGGCAGACGCCGTAAAAGAGAGGCGCATCGCGGCGCATTCAAGGCCGGCCATGGCCTTGGGATCACTTCCAACTCCGATCGCTTGCAGCTCCCTCGATCGACGTCAGATGAAAAAAAGGGAAAAGGACAAGAGGCGCGCACACCCTTGGCTTGGGCTAGTCTACTTCAGCACACTGGCACACAGCGCTTCGCTTCCTCTGGCCCCCGGCCCCAAGCCATCGGTCCTGAACAAAAGATAAGGAGCAAAATAGAGATAAGACGAAGCCCGTCTGTCACGGCTCCGAGGTGTGCGGAACGGAGGGCTAGCTATATTTGGGGGGGCAACGGACGTGCTGATGGTGACCTTGGAAGCGGTACGAATGAAAAAGGGACAGGGTCCTGATGCAGTCATAACGCCGCATGACGACGATCGGGGTCCTACACGATTGATGTCAGACAACGTCGATGAAGGCGGGCACAAGGGGGCAGGAAGACTGAGCAAAGGGGGGGAATGAGGGCAGTTGCCAAAGAAGCCGAGGTCGAGCGATAAGAAGGACTGAGTTCTTGGCAATCTACCCAGAAGCCTTATCTCTAATTACGCCTCACCCCTCCTCCCCGCCGTCGTCGCACCACGCAGCGTCTCCTCTCATCGGGGTCAGGGTCTGTGAGAATTGTTTGAGCGGAGATGACGAGGAAGAGGAGCAATGACGATTGGCAGGCAATCAGATGCACGCCTTTCCAAAGATGACGACAGAATGAGAGGATTCGCGACGTGTCCGGCCGCTTTCAACCCTGCCCTGTCCTCTCTGCCCCTTCCTCCCTCTGCAGAGCTAGTTAGAAGATCAAGAGTACATTTGTGTCTCTCTGTCTGCTCCGACGACGATGGAAAAGGCCGATGCACCATCTTCCCCACAGTAGCCGAAACCCCGCGTACGCCTACGCCTTATCTCTCTCGGTCTCTCTCTCTCTCTCTCTCTCTCTCTCTCTCTCTCTCTCTCTCTCTCTCTCTCTCTCTCTTCCACCTGCAAACAAAGCAGTATCCTAAGGTATTCCGCGTAAGAATAGACCCGCAATAGAGCTTGGCTGATAGTCAAAAGGCCGATCGACACTCCCTAGTGGTTACCCACCTCTTGGCCCTCGCTTATCGCGCTCCTCGCTTGTAGCTGTATCGATCATCTACACTGACTTTCAAGGTCCTACTCGGCCGAAACCAGCTAATGAAGACCACGAAGATCGAGTAGACAATCAGGGTTCACAGTAGCAGAGCGAGCGTGCAAGCGAGCGTGTGAGCTAGCGAGATGAGAGTTGAGAGAGCAGAAGTGAGAGGTACTGGCAGGCGTGGGACTCAATCGGTAGTCACGTCGTGTCACGCGGACATGGACTTTGAGAATCACTACTACCTGATGTCCTTACTAGTGGCACGAACAAGACATATCACATGTTGGACATCAAAGCTGTGAGGTATATCATGATAACAGATGTGGCAGAGAGCCTGTGAAGTATCTAATTACAGTCACGAGCCTCACGCAACAGACGGCGGACAGAGGGCCCAGTGCACCAACGACCAACTCATAGTCCCACCTCGTTCTGGAGGCGAATCTCATCGTCCCTCTCCTTGCTGAGCAGATTGCCAACAACTCGGTAGCCTCGAGGAGCGCGCTTTGCTTCTCTGCCCCAGTCAATAACGTCTCCCTTTGCGTCGACCCACACTGCATCTTCGTCCTTGACAGAGGCGTGCCATGCGCGAAGCTCCTCGGCAGCATCTTCCTCGCTCAGCCTTCCCACGGGCGGGTCCAGCCTCCTGACATTGTCGACGTGAACGAGCTCCTTGACGGCTAGGATGGAGCCAGCGACAGCTTGATTCTGGGGCAGATAGACTGACTGCAGACGCTTCGTCAATTTCATTGCAGTCAGGATCTTGCTGAAGCGCGAGGGCAGACCAATGGCCGATCGTCGCAGGGTGACCCGGTAGTGAGTAGTGGGACCCAAAGGGGCTTGCTCTAGAGGCGTGGCAGCATTCGTTGCTGTAGGTGCAGGCTGGTGACGCAGGCTAGTGGTGGAAACAGGGCGGGCTACCCAGCCATTGAGGGTATAGGCTGATGTCGAGGCCACTGGTGATGCCCTAGAGCTGAGGAATGCCCTACGGGCAGGTGCGAGGAAATGAGACATATTCGACGAGGGGCTTGGAAGGGCAGTCGGTCGTCTGTGCAAAGGGAAGCGAGGGCGAAAAGTAAGCCATGTAGTCGATGAATGCGTACTTTGCTCTTGATCTTGCCACACGCGTTCGCCTCTGTCGTCACTGCTCAGGTAACCATTTCTCGACCTTGCGACACCAGGCGGCCAGACCACATCAAGCAAAGACTTGCACGACGTCTCCGGCTTCCCGTTGACCTCTCCCGCGCAGAACACCTCTTTCTCCTTGCCACGCAGTCGCTGCCACTAACGGTACCTCGGGCAAGAGGTTTGCGTTACCCTCGGAACAGATGGTCGTGAGACCATTGCTCGACAAGGGAAGCGCGAGTCTCTCTCCAACATAGCCGACGGTGAAAGGACTCCGATGGCAAGGATCGAGAGGTGTGCACGTTGGAGAGTAGCGCCGACGAGGTGGTGACATCGTATGATGCGTGCTTTGCGACAAAGGTCGACCAAAAGCCAGGGCGCTCACGACGGCTCTTCCTGTGCTGTCTGGTTTGCAGTAATGCTCATCATGCAGGAGCGAAGGAGTTGATCGACGGGCTGAGAATAATAGGCATTGCGTACGCACAGTTCTGGTAGTAGTGGTAGTAGTTGAAGAAGATAATGTACACGTAGAGAAGCAATTTACCTGAAGAACGATGATGCAGGAGGCGGCATGGTCAGTACATGTGATGTTGGGAACGCTGGCGCTCTTCATCTCCTTCTGTCCTCGATGCTCCTCAGACTTCCAAGGAAGGTCTGCAAACCCTCATCGAACAAGGCAGGCTGCAATCTCCGCCGATGCAAACGACCAAGACGAGCGCCACTGGACCACCGGCACTCCTGGCTAAAGGAGGGTTCGAGCCGGGGCCCTCCTTCACCCGAAGGATCAAGACGGACGCAAGTCGAGCGGTCTCTCGACGGAGAGAGCCAATAAAACCCCACCCCGAAAGAGGTGCCAAATGGGTCCTAGAGTGGAAACTGCGAATGTTGGCTGGAATACCATGTGCTTCATCACCGGAGGCGAGAACAGAGAAGAAGGGTGTGTGTGAGATGTTGATACTCACAATTAAGGCGTTGTTGAGAACAGGATGACTGAGCGGAGAGCTTTATGATTGGCAGAGAGGCAAAGGAGCAGTGATTGATCAGTATAAGATCGAGATGCTGGTGCTCTCTGCCCAGAGTTGCTGCGACGCGAACGGCCCCATCAGACGAAAGTGTGCTGGCAAGCACAGAAGAAAAAAGATAATGCTCGACAGCGATCGAGCGCCTTTATCGTCTCGGCATGGTCGTATAGGCCGGGGAAAGGAGGTAAAGAACATCATTGGGAAGTTGCCGGCACGAGCTGAGGGCAGTCGATGCGATGGAGAGGGAGCCCCTAAAGAGTCCTGCCTTCGCATCGCATCGAGCACCTCAGCCGTAGCTCTGCTTGGCCGCATTGCAGATACAGGCGCATGTAGTACCTTGTACATTCGATACTCACCGGTGACGATGTGGCAGGCTTGTCGGTGAGGCGAGGGAAGGATTGACTGAGTAGTGGGGCAAGAAGCAACGGAAGAAAAAAGTTGGGTGATGGGCTGAGTGAACAATGGAATTCCCATGCAGCGTCGCGCGCAGGCACAGGCGACGCAAGTCGGATCGGATCAGGCACAATTGTCGCATCCTGAACTCGCCTCCTTCCGAAGGACCTGCATCGATCCATTCCCCTCGATATCCTACTCAGCCAGATCAATCCCTGAGGACATCCGCCATGGTGAGTCAGAAGAAGGCCTTGATGTACTGCCATAGATCATTCCCACTAATATGAGGCTCTCTTTTGGGATCTCTCCCTCACAGAGCACGTATATGTCGGCGAACAAGTCAGGGGCGGCGGAGAAGGGGTCAGAATCCGCGGAGACGCCCATCCTGTGCGAGACGTGTCTAGGACCCAATCCATTCATCAACATGTCGAAGCAGCCGCATGGCAAGGAATGCAAGGTGAGTCCTCGCCTCCAGATACCGAGTCGAGATTGGCGCATGCGCCACTGCCAGTGGCTGGAAGGTATACGTCGGTCCAACCCTCTCCCGTTGCTCTGAGGCTCACTTGCCACTCGGCCTTCTCTTTTCCGTCACTCCCCTCCAGATCTGTTCTCGTCCTTTCACAGTCTTCCGCTGGAAGCCAGGGCAAGGCATGAGGTTCAAGGCGACCCAGATCTGTACCACTTGTGCCACCATCAAGAACGTCTGCCAAACATGCGTCTTGGACCTGCAGTACGGCTTGCCTGTGCAAGTGAGGGATACAGCATTGGGGCTTAAGAGCCAAGTGCCGAAGGGTGACATCAATAAGCAATATTTCATGAACAATCAGGAGTCTCAGGTGAGTAATATTGAGCTAGCTCGGGGTGAGGAAATGCAGATCCCCTTACACTCGGTTCGTCCCCGTTCTTTCGTAAAGCTCGATGGAGGTTCGTCTTCCGCTCTAGGTGCCATCGGTCCTGCCACCTCTGCAGGGCATGACATGTTGAAGCAACTAGCAAAGCAGCGCTCAGATCCCACCGCTCGTCCGCCCAATTACAACCGAAACAAGCCGCATCTGTGCTCATTCTTTGCCAAGGGAGAATGCACTAGGGGCGACTTGTGTCCTTTCAGGCATGAGCTGCCGATCAACAACGAGCTGAGCAAGCAAAACATCCAAGATCGGTTTCACGGGCGCAATGATCCGGTTGCGAAGAAAATGTTGGGGACAGCCGCTTCAGATGCTGGGTTAGCCCCGCCAGAGGATAAAGAAGTAGTGAGTAGGCGCCTGTTCGCTGCTCACAGCTTCTCTTGCCCTGTATTGAGCTAATCAGTAGTCCCCTTGCAACCCTCTCCCCGCAGACCTCGCTCTTCTTGTCGGCCCTTCCGCCCACGATCACCGATGCCGAGATCCGGACGTGGTTTGTGACGAATGTCCCCTCGCTACAGCCTCACCAGATCAAGTCGATCACTCTCGTCCAGACATCAAAATGCGCTTTTGTGAATTTCAGGACCAGAGCCGCTGCCGAGGAGGCTGCGATGAGATGTGCAGCCAAGGTGGAAATGGGAGGAAAGGAGGTGAGGATAGCTTGGGGCAGGAGCCGGCCAGCGAAGAAGGCGGGAGGGTCTGCAGCAGCAGGCGAGGCTAGGGCGGAGAAGACCGGATGAAGCGCCTCTCATACCGAAAGATCCCTCCAGACCGATCATTGTTGTACTTCTAGCATCACTTACGACTCCCAGCATTATCATCGTTATCCTCACCATGTCTGCCCTCACGTTCCGGTCCGAGGGCGCAAGCGGAAGTGGCTTCGCGTCCATTTGATTTGAATTTCCGAAGGAAGCGGAAGTGGACTCAAGGCGGGGCTCAGTGGCGAAGGCAACGAGGTACAGTGCTCGCCTCGATGTCACTTCTTCCTCCTTTCTCAACCCCGTAGCAACCACAACAGAGCATCTCTTCGACGTACAAATCAGCTCAGTACAGTGGTTCTTATCGTCCTACGTCACACTTCGAACGGCTTCCGTTGCCCCTTTCCGCGACCATGTCGGACATTCGAGGACCCACGTCCGCCCTCACCTCGTTCCTCCGGGACAAGAACATTCGCATTCCCAATGCCAACCGCTTCCGTCGTAGAGACGAAGCAGCAGCTGCAGCGGCTGCAGCAGCAGCCGAGGCCGCCGATGGCGGCGTTACTCAGAGCACTCAGGACACACTAGACGGAGCCGTCGCTGCCTTGCAGGCCGAGGCTTCACGAGAGGCTGGGCCCAGTGGGAGCTCTTCCCCGGCAGCTGGAAGCTCTCGCACTGCCAAGCGCAAGGCTCCAGTCGCTTCTGGTAGCGCTGCTCCTGCCAAGAAAGTCAAAGCTGTCAAAGGCCTATCTATGAACTTTGACGAAGAAGATGAGGACGATGAGGAGTACATAGGCACAGGTAGTGAGGCTGGAGATGCAGATGATGCAGATGAACAATACGTACCTCGTGCGACACGTAGGAGGGGCGGTGAAGTAGCTGCGCCTATAGCAGAGGCTGATGAGGAGATCAGCAAGTGGTCTGCTATCCAGCAAGGTGTCGAGGGAGGACCTTCTAGGAAGCTCACTGCGACTGGCGCAGTTGACAATTGTGCTGGCTGCTCGCGCAAGTTCTCACTTACTGGCTACACCGTCCAGACTGCCTCGGGCGGCCTGTGCCACAAATGCGGACCCGAGTACAACAACTGGCAGATCACCGGCGGAGGGGCAAGGACAGCCCGAAGCAGCGGCTCAGGTAGCCAGAGCCGATCCTATTCAGTCTTTGATGGCGCTGGTCCTTCAGGCAGCAGGAAGCCTGCCCAGAAGAAGAAGAAAACTACCATCATCAAGCCTCAGGACAAGAAGGAGCTGGCAAACTTGCAGTCTATGTGCATCAATGTGAGTGTCTCTCTGAGCAAAGCGCTGATGGTGATTCGGCATGAGCTTATGCTTCGTTCCGCCCGCCAATCCCTCTCAACAGATCATCTCGAATTACATTGAAGACGTTGAGGCCTTGGGAGGCATTGGCAGACAGAGCATCGACGCCTTGAGCAAGAGCATCTCAAAGAATCGTCGCCTCACGCCTCAGACCGTACAACTCTTCCTCGAGCCTGACATCACCAGTCTTTCCTTGTACGATTGCTCTAAGCTCGACAATGACTCTCTCGCAAGCATTGCGACTTTCTCTCCCCGATTGCAGACCATCAATCTCCAGCTTTGCGGGCAGATGGGCAACATTGCCCTCGACGCCTGGTCGACCAAGATGCACGATCTCCACAACGTCGAGCTCTATGGTCCCTACCTCGTCAGGATCGACGCCTGGCATCGCTTCTTTGAGCGCATTGGGCAGCGCCTGAAGACCTTCAAGATACGCGAGTCGCCCCGTTTCGATCTCTCGTGCGTACAAAAGATGGTCGAGCACTGCCCGAACATCACGGAGCTGGGCTTAGCACAGATTGGTCCTCTTGACGGGAAAGCCCTAAAGCCACTGTATACTTACAAGAATCTACGCTACCTGGACGTGAGCGACCCCGGTGTCTCTGGACCCGGAATCCCCGCAGAGTCCCTCAAAGACGACGATTTGATCGAGCTGCTATCCCACGTCGGCGCGAGTCTCGAGGTGCTCCACGTGGGCGGCAATGTTGATCTCAGCGATCGCTTCGTCCTCGAAGGAGTACTCCGCTACTGTCGCAACCTGCGCGAGCTCAACTTGAGCCATTGTGAAAAGATCGAAGGCGACTCCCTCACGATCCTCTTCGATGTCTTCTCGGCTAGAGGCGATGCTGGACTGGAGAAGCTCGTCCTGCGAAGATGTATCCAGACGAGCGACGAAGCCCTGCACGCCGTCATTACGCACTCTGGCCACTCCCTTGTTGAGCTCGACCTGAACTCCTGCGACAAGCTCACAAAGGATGCCCTCAAGTCCCTCGCCCGCGCACCAGAGACTGTCGAGGGCGAGAACGGTGGCTGTCCTCTCTTGGAGAAGCTCGACTTGGGCTTCGTTCGAGCGACGGACGATGATACGCTCACGACCATTGTGGATGGGACGAAGAAATTGCAGGAACTCAAGGTCTTCGGAGATAATAAGCTGACGGACATGATTGGTAGCACGTCACGCTGCCGTATCATTGGTCTTGAGAAGCAAGCACTCATTGCAAAGAATGTCAATTGAGTACCGCGCTGGCAATAGCGGCAACAGCGCCATAGAACCACGAGGAAAGACACACATCATATACATCCAGTGATACCTTTGGAGAAGAAGAAAGAGGTGTCAGGCCGCTTCCCATCACATCAGAGCCTTTCACCAACACCACGTTGGACCTTCTGTCTATATACATGACTCATTGCGGCTCAAAGGTACCAACGATTCATTGTCATTTGACGTTTCCCTTCATAGCTTCCCCACACAGACTGCGCTTTGTTCCTTTTCTCGCTAACAACCGCAGCGCCATATAGACAGCCTCTCCCAGTCGATCAGTGAATGACTTGAGCGTCACGTCTGACTCAGAGTGCAGAGATCTGCGCCTCTTGGCAGACCTGACATGAGGACATGTATTTGAAGAGTCCTCATGTCCAGGAGAAGGGCCAGACAGTCTTGTACACCGCGTCCATCTGGGTCATCAAAGCGGGAATGAACTTACAGAGTCAGTAAATGTACCTCGTTGACGCTCACTGCCTGTCCAGCTCGACTCACCCTCTTGCCCACCCAGGTCAGTCCCACACCTTGCCCTTCACCGGCCATCCCGCCGCCGCTCTTGGTGAAGAGATGGCTGCCAGCCTCCTCGTCCCTCACAATACCCCAGAAGCCCAGCAGGACAAGTGCAGAGCCCACGAGAGCGGGCACCAGAGGTCCTCGTTTCCTCTTTTTCTTGCTCGTCTGTCGAGTAGTCACATCACTCTCACCCAGCCGCGCTGCTGCCGCCGCCTTCCTAGCCTTGTACTTCAGACCCCACCTCCTCCCAATAATTCCTGCTCCGCCAGCTACATGGTATGCAGCTACTGCCGTGAGGGCTACCATCGATGTCGTGTAGAGATGTGGGTATAGAGTGGCTCCGAAGTGGACAAAGGAGTAGTCCAGCTCTGAGGGGGAGAGGGAGTTGATGGGGTATGAGCTGGAGAGGGGACGCAGCCTATGGAGGGTGAGGTGTGAGAGGAGGAGAGGGAGGAGAGCGTAGGCACTTAGGGTGTGAGATGATGGGAGGGAAGAGGAGAAAGAGAACCAGCGTGGGGCTCCTTTGGGAGACGATGAGGTGGCATGGGCCGGTGCAGGGAGCAGTGGCTCCTCGCTCGATATGCCTGCCGAAGCATCCTCCCCGGCCAGAATAGCCTGCTCCTCCTTCTCTGCGGCCTCGCGTACTGGATCACTCCCAGTCTTCCCTGCTGTCCGCCGTCTCTTGCGTGCAAGATACACCATGATTCCCCTCTTGGCCACCGAGCTGAGCACATGCAGCAGTGCCGCTCCCCACACAACAACAGGCTCGCTGAGTGCTCCCTGGTAGTAGACTCTCCCCAGGAGCTGCCATCTTGAAGCTGCCTCTGTACACCCAGCACTTGCACCCGCACCTGTAGCGGTGGAGCTGGTCAAAGTGTTGAGACCGAGCCGGAGTGTAGAGGCGAGTGGGGCGCCGAGGTGCACGATGAGAAAGGAGGAGAAGACAAGGGCGGAGATGTGAGAGGTCGTGGTCAGGGTCGGGACGAAGCGCGCTAGTACCGATGGTCGCGGGGCCGAGGGCGGAGGCGACCGTGAGCTCGCTGAGCTCGAGAGACTAGTCATGGGTCGATGACCTGCTCGTCTACCAGACTGCAGATACTTGAGGTAATGACAAGTAGCGTGAAGGACAGGAAGGACCATGTTCGCAACACTTCCGCTGCGAAATCAGATTTCAAATCTGCGCACGGACGCCCACAAATCACAGCCTATCGAGCTCGTTGCGCAAAGGAGACACAGATACATAAGCAATAGTGCGTTGATTGAGGTACCATTGATACAACTTCAGACTGTTTTTCATCTGCTTCCCACCGCTATGGTCAAGGCGTGACTCCCGTACGCCGGAGCAGGAAGCACCAGTGCCTCACCTCTGGGGCATGCACATCCTTCTTCCCATTTCCATCACCCGGCGCTTCTACAGACCACTTACTCTCCACCTGCCATAAAGCTGTCAAGGACGTCAGCTTGCCTGTCTGTTCCGCCTCAGAAGACATTGACAGCTTCCGACTTTCTGTCTCCAAGAAGTCAAAGCGAGTAGCCGAGTAGCTCAAGGCAGCCCAGATGCCGCCCGGTTGGGTCACTGCTGCAAGATTGTACGCCAGCATCTCTACTGGCTCTAGCACTATCTCGTTGGGGTCCCGTATCTTCCTTGACGTCGGAGGACGAGATCTGCGATATCCATTGAGCTCCTCGTACATTTCCTCCTCTGGCGCTTTGACCGCCCACCCATCCAGGAATGACCAGCCAGAAGTCGAAGCTCCCCCTGGCTGCCGCAAGCTCTGGGGCAGCAGCACAAAGTCGGGTCCGGTAGAAATTGCGTCCGCCGTCGACTTGTCGTAAATCGCATCTACTATCAGCTGTTGCTGGGTCTCCTGTCCTGGAATCTCGGGAGAGGTGGGAGGTAGAGGCAAGACGGCGAGGAGCGAAGGTAGAGAGAGGAGATCGGCCACGACGTGCTGCATCTTGACGTCCCCGAATCGCTGCAGCTCTTGCTGGCGGGTTAGGACGAGGGACGAGGGAGCGTAGTCCAGATTCTGCGGAGAGATAGACGGAGGCAGGGTGTAAGTGAATGTCAGAGATAGCCTGCATTGACCTCAGCATACACACCATGATCCGTTCAAGGGCCCATGGTCTCTGCTGCAACTTCCGGGTGCGGGCTCGCTCCTCCCACATACCCCTCATTCTACATCCCACGTCCGAGCTTCCGCAGCCAATGTGCAGCACCAGTGGTCCGTCTTGATGCCCGACCGCTTCTACACCTTTAGCAATTTCTTGAGTGCTTTTCCCCACACCATCGTTGACTCGACTCCTTCTCTCGAGCCCCTCGACTAGGCGAGTGAGCAACTCCTCCCCCGCCCCAAGCCACTCGAAGGCCTCTCCCTCTCCCTTTCTCTCTCCTTCCTCCTGGCCATTTACTTTGCCAGAATGACCATCTACCTGTTCCTGCACTGCTGACGACGGCTCTTTCTCGTCCCTCAAAATCGAAGGCTCCAGGGAGAAGCGCTCCTCCCAATACTCCCTCGACCAGAAGTCGTCTCTCCGTGGACGTCGTCGAGTCTGCGCCCGCCGTTGAGGCTGAGAGCCCATTGAACTTTCTCCTGCTGCTGCTGCTGCTGCTGCGATATTGCTGCTGCTCTCTCCTGCTCCGTCGCTGGGGTTGACACCGCAGCCAGGAGTGGCCATTGCAGTGTTCAATGTCTACAAGAAATTGAGCAACTCGGGAGTGAAGATGCGGAAAGAAAGGCTGCACTGCACCATTGCAGACTTTTCTTCTTGAGGAGCACTTCAAGAGCTGGAATTTTCGCACGGGCCAACGGGGGAGCGGGAGAGGTTTTCGAGCATTGGTCGTCATGAACGGAAGCGGTATTGCAAAGCAATGTAAAGAGTACGGAGGAGCGATACAGAGCAGAGGACACAAATTTACGACTGGGCAGGCTGACGTTGGCAGCAGCTGAACTAGGGTCAGACCCATCTGACCTCAGGAGACCTGATACCCTTCAGTCTTGACATCTCCCCGCCTCTCCGCCTCCCTCAAGCCTACCCATCCTTCTCCATCCTCCCGAATCTCATTCCCAGCCCCTGCAACCCTCGACGGCCCCCCTTGCTCATCAGCTCTGATTCTCACCTCCCTTTTCCAGACCGGCACCTCCTTCTTCGTCTCCTCCAAGATCCACTCTGCAACTTCAAACGCCCTGCGTCGGTGTGGCGAGGAAACGGCAATGAGGATCGAAGATTCCTTGAGGGCCACCGGGCCGATGCGGTGGATGAGAGCGATGCGGACGATGCTCAGTGGGTTGGTAGGACGGGAGAGGGACTCGTCTGCTTCGTCGGGGAGCTGCAGTGTGCTTTCTTCTGATGATGAGGGAAAGTCGGGGGAGAGGACCACCTCCTTGAGCGAAGCCTTGATTGCGGCCTTGTCTTCACGGGAAGCAGGCTGCGGAGGCCATTCCTCGGGTGGGCAGGCCTTGGCTCGAGAGACAATGGAACGCATAGTCGCCAGGGCCAAGGGGGTGTAGGCTTCGTACTCGAGACGAGCGACGGAAAGTGTGCGGCCTGGAGGGAAGGCAAGAAGCGCCCGCGGGTCAATGTACTGCGTTTCCTATTGGCCTCTCCCTCTCTGTTCACACTCACCTTCCTCTTCTCCCTTACCAGCTGTCCGATCATCCCTCGTCATCCCCAGAAAAGCCACGACTGCTCCGGCCCACCTCGACGAAACCTCCTCGGTCATCTTGCCAATATCCAGCGGCTCATACGTAATCTGGATAATGTCACCGTCCGTTTCAGAGAGAGGAATGTAGCCTGCTGGGCAGTGAGGATATGGCGAAGAGTTGGTCGGATCAGCAGGTAGTGACAGGGGTAGTGCGTCCTTCGCTTCTGCTGATGCCACTGCTACGGACGATGTGCTAGAGCTAGCTCCAGCTAGACTGTTGAAGACGCCTTTCCTCTCATAGTCCCAATCCTCGACGCCGATATCGATCTTGGCATACTTTTGCAGTCGCTCGACGAGGGGTGCAGGATTCTTGCTCATCGTTGCGCCCGTCCTCACGCCAGAGTGGATCTTCTTGTCTCCATTCTTCCGATCAAAAGCGACGAGCAGACTGACTTCGGAGATGACGCGGGAGGTCATCAGGTAGCCAGGATCGGCTTTTGAGGCCTTCCATCGGGCAACGCTAGCAGCAATGGGCGTCCGCTGTTGTCCGCCCTTGACGTCGTCCACCGACTTCCAGCCTACGACGAGCGTCTTCATGTTCACAAAGCCGTCTCGCTGTGCCTTCTCAGAAGGACCAGTACCCACAGGTACGAGCTTGGCAGATAGACTCCGCACGAGGGCAGAATTGGCCATCAAGAGCGCCACGATGCGTACCGCCGAAGAGGCGATGATGGCAACCAACCAAGAGATTGGCGAGGGGGCTCTGGCTGCGTGTACCAGCAAATCGACGAACTGGAATGTGGGGCTGTACTTTGTCTTGCGGTCGTCGCTGTCTGGCTCCACATTCAGTAGAGCGGCGGTGTGGTAGACAGCTCGGGCATTGTGGATGCCGAGGGGATTGAGTGCTCCGTATCCATTGCACTGTGGCAGCCATTGGGCATAGCGCAGTAGTATCTCAGATGTAGGCTTTGGACTGGAGGACGATTTGTAGAGAGAGTCGCAAATGGCGGTGGGTTTCTGCCACAGCATCTGCCATGGATCTGACCCTGACACCATCGATCGCCAGGAGGCAAGAGTGCCACCGCTTGCCTGCGAGGGTGAAGAGACAGACGCGATAAAGGGTCAGCATACACAAAAGCTGGACAATAGCGCTGGCCATCTCATATGACTCACTGAGCCCATGACGCTGCCTCCAGCGGTAGCCTCAATATGACCGACCTGTGCTCCCTTCTTCTCAGCGTTCTCCAACACCCGCCTCGCGCCAAGGTAAACGGACAGATCCGCCGGCAGCGAGTCGTAGCCCACACTAGGCAGCAGCGTCGCCCCACTCTTCTTGGCCGTCTCGTGCAGCTTCTCCACAAGGTTCTTGTTGTACAGGGACTCTCCGCTCAAATCAGTGTACGAGACACCATGTTGCGCACAGAGCTCAGCGAGGTGGAATGAGCCATAGTCCGAATAAGGCCCCACAAGATTCATCACCACTCTACTCTGCTTGACCATCTTCTCCAGTCCACCCTCCAAAGGCTTGGACGTGTCCGCCTCAATGATGCCCACACTGGCGGGGAGAGAGTACTTCTGCTTGAGCGAGTAGAGTTTTGATGCAGAACGACCGGCAATGGCCCATGTGAAGGCGCCAGAGGTGAAGTCGGGATGGTCCACGAGGTGTCGGATGCAGAGCTGGCCGACGAAACCAGTTGCGCCGAAGACAGTCACGTCGTATACGCCGCCCTGTGGTAAAGAGACGGCTGTGGACGACATGATGAATGGGAGGTAAGCAGCGAGGAAGGAAGAGAAAGGAGCTGCTATCGCAAGGTGAAGGAAGATGATGAGAAAAGACGAGGAAGAAGGTTCGGAATGAGCCTAGATCTTCCGTCGGGCTCGTCCGAGCCGGCAGTCCGCACTGCGCCTCCACTCCATCTTTCACAGGCGCACGCGTGACAAAGGCTATGAGCAAATGTAGAAAGGGCCTGCTTGTATTTCCTTGTTTTGCGTGAGGGTGTGTGTAACGCCGAGATGGTAGATGGATACATGAGTGGATAGAGTGGGTCGCCTGATGAGCGCAACTGCGACAATGATCATGTAACTTCTCGAGATGATTCGATACGTGGGTAAATGCTTCTTCCTGCCTCGCTTCGCTCCCTAAAACCCTATACACTCCTTGCCTGCTTTTCTTCCTCCTTTTTTCACCTTTGACTTTCTCCCTTCTAATTCGTGCCTTGTCATCACCTTCCTTCCCCTGCCAGACCCAGGAGAACCTGAGCCGCATCCTCCTGTCGCTGGCGCTGTTGCACCTTCGTAGGACTTTCGACACCACCGAGAGCTCGACCGCGGAAGCCCGCGCCCTTGGAAGCTTTCGACTCCATGGTCATCCCACCTTCCTCCTCGATGAGTTCATCCAGCTCCGCGTCACCGTCAACGAAACCAGAGTCGTCTGCATTGGACCAGGCAGGCGCTTTGTTGCGGTATGCGCTTGTCGTGGGCGTCTGAGGGGGAAGGGCGCTGCTGCCCTTGCGAGGGCTGCTTCGGGAGGACCTGCGCAGGGCGGGAGCAGCCATGCTTGCGTCTGATGCATCCTCGCTGGAGAGGGAAGCAAGAGAAGGTAGCGCTCCTCGGCTCTTCTCACTCGCCAACGCTGCAGCATTGAACGTGGGAGGGGGAGGGCGAGTGGGCTGCGACTTGATCTTTGCAAAGGGTACCCTTTGTGAAGCGCCTTCAGCGCTTCGGAAATTGTTCTCTTTCGCATCTTTGCCACCCTCCGCTCCCCGACGCTTATCGCCTCGCAGACTGGGTGTCGCTCCCAGCATCGATGCTTCGTTTCCGCCTTTGCCAATGGGACTCCAGGTCGATGCAGGACGCTGCGTGACTTTGTTGCTGTTGGATTGAGATCCCCTAATGTCCCTTGAGCTCGAGGGCAGGTATCGACTCGCGTAAATTGACGATCCTGCTGAGCCGCCACCGAACGGTGTCTGCAGAGCAGCACCATACGGCGTTTGTCCGCCACCTCCGTAGCCACCGGCATGTGTCAAGCCCAGGGTGAAGGCCAGGCTTCGTGGAGTCATCTCTCGTCCCCCGGAGCCTGCATCTGCGGAGAGAGAGGGGGCGTTCATGGTGCCAGATCGGCTACCAAGCGAAGCGGGCGCACCCTGGTGCTGGTGACGGCTTGCCATAGAGCTCGGCAGCGGTGTGCTTGCGTAAAGCAGCGATGGGTGAGCCACAGCCCGCGTGAGCGGGGTCTGGTGGACGTCGTGCGCACTGGCGGATTGAGCTGACACAGAGCGACCAAAGGCGCGCTTGTTGACGAGACCCGAACGAGGGGTGCCGAATGTCGACAAGCCATTGGCATCGCTGATGCTCTCGCGATGCTCCGTGGGGGCTATATTCTCCTGATCTTCACGTGGGACTTCGGTCGAGGTCTCGACGCGGCTACTGCGTCTGCCTTTCTTCTTGTTTGCATGGCTTCGCAGCTCGTTCTCGTCGCCAGATTTGCGCTTGTGCACCTTGTTTTCTACTGACGCTGTCCTTTGAGCAAGTGCCTTGTCTGGCGCAGCCGCAACGCCAGCTGAGGACGGCGTTCCATGGCGGGATACGTGAGCGAATGGTAAGCGTGGTATCAGCGTGTGGGGATTAGGCTTGGAGCGGTCCCTGCTCGCAGCCATATCTAAGGAAGGCATCGACCTCCTTCCCTGCGAAGCTGGGCCAGAAACAGAGCGAGCCCAAGGTCGAGCCGTCATGTCGCTGAGAGCATTCGACTTTGGCGGGAAGCACTCCTCCCCTTTTGCTTGGGCTTTGGCCAGTCGTCGATTGGCTGCAAGACGAAGCGTGCGCTCCTCGTCTTCTTCAAGCAGATCGACAGTCGATGTGTCCTGACGAACGTCAGATGAAGTACCACTCGAGCTGCTTGTCATCTTGGCTAGGATCTCACGGCTATTGCGGTCGCGCTGCGCGGCTTCCTCCAATGAAGCCAAGTCTTCCACTTCGCAGGTCTTTTGCTGGCGCGGCTGGTCATCGTTATGCGTCGAGATGAGTCTGGCCAAGACAGGAGGCAGACACGTGCTCATTGACAGTGACTTGATGAAGGGACGCTTGCGAGGAGGCGACAGTACGCCATCGATGCAGGCACGACCGCCTTTGGAGGTGCACAAAGACTTGAATCTCCGCGCAGAAGAGTGGACGTGGCGACGGTAGGCCTTCTCGATGGCAGTAGTCGAAGACGAGCGAGTGATGACTTGATCCATGCTAGGTCTGCTGCTTTGGACGCCATTTGCGCTGACACTTCGACCCAAAGTACGTGGCCGGTCGGAGGGCGACGTTGACGCGTTGGCGGTGACCTTTGCGTAGCTTCCGACATCTGGCTGCTCGTCCTCGTGACAACTGTCAGGCGGTGATATCGGCGGAAGCGAATCATTGCCGAACACGAGATCTCGAATATCCCTCAACACCTGGCGGGGCTTGCCTTTCGCAAGGGGTGCAGCAGGTGCATCCGAAATTTGCAGACTCGCTACCACTGGGCGGTTCTCCTTGTCTTCTTCAGTCTCCTCATCAGTCGTGGGAGGCGACATTGGCACCAAAGAATCTGAGCGCGCGGTACTTTTGGCTAGGCTGGAAGCCAATTGAGCCCGTCCGTCGTCACTCTCTGGCGACTTCCTCTGGGCAGAGGCGACGTCGTCCAGAGACGGAGGCCATCGCTGTACTTTAGAGTCGGGTGCGGCAGCAGCTGCGGCAGCGATGATCGATGTGACGTTGTCGGAAACAGAACGAGGGTGAGCTGACGTGGCTGCACTAGGAGACAAGACGGCTGCGCCTTCGCTAGAGCCAAAGCGACTGGCGCGTTTCCGCTCTGCCTGTCTGCGGTTCTGGAACCAGATGGAGACGGCTCTGAGAAGGTCGAGATCGGGTGTTTAAGACATTGTTAGGACTCGACTCCGTACACTGACCTAGACTGACGTGCTCACCTAGTTGTCATGCCAAGTTGATCCGCAAGCCGTTGTCGCGTAACCGAATCGGGAAAAGCAGTCTTGACGTAGCTGCGAAGCGCGACGAAGCGGGGTCGATCGGGATATGGAAGTTTTCCGTCAGCGTATCTGTGGGGTCGGTCTCGATGGCAGCCTCCATACTTACATGGCAGCCAGAACGTCTGCTTCTTCTTTCTTCGTACGCCGCCGCCGCTTCTTGCCCGATGCGTCTTCACCATCTGGCCCTTGGTGATCGAGGGGTAGCGTCGTTTCAGATGCCTGCGACGCGTCGGCTGTGGTGTCCACGCGAGTTGTGTCGGTCGAGGTCTCAGCTTGGTCAATGACTGCGTCGCGAGCTGCCTCCTCCTCCTCCTCTTCTTCTTGGTCATTCGCGTGACTACTTGAGGCCTGCCAATTCGGACTTTGCAATTGGGCGGGCTCAGGCTGAGAGAAGGCGAGAGAGGGCTGCGACAGCCCATTTGTGAACAAGACCGCATCGTGTTGAGCTCCGTCTCTAAGCAGCCGGAATGCTCTGGCAGTCGACTCTTCGTTTGTTTCTCTCTCGTCGTCGCAGTGGACAACGAATTGTGAGGCTCCTGCTATCCGCTGATGTGCTTTTGGCGAGGCGAAGGTGTCTGTCCACGGTAGCCTTGCCATCGAGCCAGACAGTCCAGAAGGCGTGCTTTGGGAGGCTCGTAAGCTGAGCATACCGGACGCAGCTGCTACATCATCGTCCTCTCCGAAGGCTTCTTCTGGCCGGCGTGGAGTCCGGAGAAGAGGTGTCGCGTCGCGGGAGGCCATGGTGGCTGCCGCGTTGACGTCTCGAGGCGCCAGGGGTGAGGAGGCTATTCTGCCTGCCCTCACATCTGCTAAGCTGTCGATGCTCGAGACTGAGCGACCATCAGATGAGCGAGCCTTGGTCTGTCCTTCGAGCGGGGACGAGGTTGCATGAATGTATGCAGAGATGCTGTCATCCGAGTTGGGGTGACGTGGAGTCTCGCCTTCGGAGCCAGTGGCGCCTGCATCCTTCTTGCGATTCGATTGCAGGGTATCGCGACCATTGTCCGTGTTCGATGCCACCACGCCCGATTGATCGAGACGCGGTGGTGAGGTGGTCATAGCTTCCGGGGGCGCAGGGCGGCGCGGCGGAAAGCGGGCTGGGCGCGTGGACGAAGTGGTTGGTGATGTTGGGTGGGCCCTGTGGTCGTCTCAAGTCATACAACGAAAGCGGTGAATGCTCAAGGTGCTGATGGAATCTGCTTCTGGCGCGAGGGTGAGCCGCGGGGGAGGGGTCCGAAGGCGTGGCTCAATGGCGTAAGAGGGAAGAGGTTGACGAGGCTGGTGTGGGTGATGGAAGCAAAGCAGGGGGGGGGAAAGGACCGAGGCGCACGAGGGAAGAATCTACCACCTGCCACACTACCTCGTGTCCGGCAGCTGCTTGTGGAGTGTGAGTACAAGTATGGATAGATGGAAGAGGTGCGTACAGGGGGGGCGTGAGTGAGTGTGTGTGTGTGTGTATGGGTGGTGTTCGGTGGTGAGTGCGAGTGGTGTGAATTAAATTGGTTGCGCCTGCGCCTCGTCTCTGCGCCTCGCGTCTGCCGCGCCTGTCCCATTTCGGTCACGGGCCGCCAGATCATGTCGGGGCGTGAGCGTGCGTGCGTGTGTGTGTTCGTCCGTCCGTCGTGCGCGTGGCCCCCCTTGGCGGTGCTCCTCTCCACATGGCACCCAGCACAAACCACTCAGCGTCCCTTCCTTCCCTTCCTAGCTAGCCCTTTGCACTACTTTCCCTATTCACTTGCCCCCCTGTCGCCGATCATGTCATTAGGCGTAAACCTGTCGTCTCCAGCCATCCGCTCGGCCTACGAGGCTGTCCTCGATGGCAAGAAGGACTACCTCGTACTCACCTACGAGAAGAACTCAAATGATCTCCGAGTACAAGTCGCAGAGAAGGGCGATCTCGACTATCTCTCTGAAGAGTTCTCCGACGGTCGCATACAGTATGCTTTTGCCAGAGTCATCGACCCCAACTCCAAGCTCCCCAAGTTCGTCCTCATCAATTGGTGCGGCGATGGTGTCCCAGAGAACCGCAAGGGCCTCTTCTCGTCCCACTCGGCATCTGTAGCCCAGTTCCTCAAAGCGTATCACGTTGCCATTCAAGCCCGCTCCGACGCGGACGTCGAGCCAGCTGTTATCATGAAGGTGAGAGACGCTTCCACTGCTCTCTCAACGTTGCGCACAGTTTCTCCATCCAAAGCATATACTGACTCTGTCCGCCCCACTCCCCATGCCCATGATGCAGAGGGTGACCGATTCTTCTGGAGCAAAGTATGGAGCTGGCGGAGACGCTGCCAACACTCAACGAGGGGGTCCCATCGTCCCAGTGGGTAGCTCCTACAAGCCGGTAGGAGCGCCAGACATCAAGAGTATGCAGTCTGGCGCCAAGAAGGATGTCATCGAGCCAGTTGGTTCCTCGTACAAGCCTATTCGCAATGAGCTGTCCGACATCAGATCTGGAGCAACCTCAGCGCCATCTGCGCCCCCTCCTGCTCCTCGGCAAGCCCCTATAGCTGCCCCTAAGCCAGCTCCAGCCCCAGCCCCAGCTCCCGCGCCAGTCCAAGCGTCGGTACCTCCTGCACCTCGTCCAACAGCATCAGCAGCAACGGCGCCGCCAGCTTCCCAGCCAGAAGACGACAGGATCAAGCCTGTCGGTACATCCTGTGAGATACTCATTGTGTGCGCTGCGTACGATTAATGTCCGCTGACCGTTCACTCTCCTCCATATGCCCACGACAGACGAGCCCGTACGAATGGGCAAGCCGGGAAAGCTAGGCTCGCGATCCTTTCCCTTCAACCAGGCCGCTGCCGAACCGGCGCCGGCTGCCCCTGCTCCTAGAGCCGTGAGCGGTGCAGGGAAGCTGACTTGGTCTCAAAGACAGGAAGCGGCGAAGCAGGAGCGCGAGGCGGAGGACCGAAAGGCATCAGCAGCGATGGCCGGCTCCGCTCCCCTAGGAGCTTCTGCCGTGGCCGCTCATTCTGTTCCCCAAGCTCCTTCACCGCCGCCGGCTCCTCCCGCTCCGCCAGCCCCGCCTGCTGCTGCTGCGGCCCCTCCAGTCTCTCAAGTCGCAGAGACACTTGCTACTACCAAGATTGCCGATGATGGACCATCCGGCCATGGCGCAGGCTCCGATTCTGGCGACAAGGCAGTCGTCCTCTACGACTATGAGGCTGCAGAAGAAGGCGAGATCTCGCTGGCGGAAGGTCAGACGATCACTGAAATTCAACAAATCGACGAAGGTTGGTGGTCCGGCGTCACCCCAGATGGTCAAGAAGGTCTTTTCCCGGCTACCTATGTTGAGCTGGTACCTGCCGTAACCTCTGGAGGTCAGCCTGAAGAAGACGCAGCGCCACCTCCTCCTCCTCCTCCTCCGGCCCCACCTGCTCCTCCGATGCCCGTCTCGGAACCTGAGCCAGAGGCAGAAGCGCCCCCTCCCCCACCGCCGCCCCCTCCCCCTCCCCCCGCTCCGGCAGCAGCGGCCATACCCGAGGCTCCCCCAGCTCCCCCCGCTCCTCCTGCTCCTCCTTCTCCTCCCCCCGCTCCAGCGCCTCCTCCTGCACCAGCTGCTCCTGCGCCGCCAGTCAGCAGTAGTGGTCCATTTGCCATTGCCCTGTACGAGTACAGCGCTGCAGAGGAGGGCGAATTGACCTTTGAAGAGGGGGACCGCATCGAGGAAGTAGAGTTTCCCAGCGATGAGTGGTGGAGTGGGCTCAATGTCAGCAGTGGTGAGAGGGGCTTGTTCCCAGGGGTGAGTGAAACAGAGGCCGTGGAACAGCATGCCGTAGCGAGAGTACACAAGACTGACTCCACCTCTCCCCTTTACCTCTGGACTGACCAACGAACAGAACTACGTGGAGTATCACGAGGAGTAAGCGACGGAAGGTCACGGAAGCGTTTCGGCAAGGGAAGGTACGGTTGAAGGGCTCTGCGACGTGTAGAAGCTTCTCAATGGCAATAAGACTTATACATAGTGCGGCCCCAAAGTGTCCGTCTGCTCTGTGTTTGAAGGCGACGAAACCCCCATTGGTGGTACTATCGGCCCCCTGCCCCCCCCCTTTCGGCGCAATGGAGTTGGCACTTTGCAATCGGAGTTGAGCCGTGACGTGCGTAGATGGAGGCGAGGTGGGTGAGAATTCCCCGGTGAGTGGGTAGTGGCGGTGTGGCAGTTGGCCTGTGCCGCCGGGGGCGAGGGAGAAGGGCGAGTGACACAGGCACAGCAGCGACGACGCTCAACCCGCACGCCCGCGCCCGAGGCCCCTTTGGCCCGGCGTGCGATGCCGAGGGTGCGGGTGCGGGTGCGGGTGCGGGTGCGGGCGTGGGCGTGGGCGTGGGCGTGGGCGTGGGCGTGCGTGCGTGCGTGCGTGCGTCCCATCCACCTTCGTCGTCCGTCGTCCGTGGTGCATCCTATCCCTCCTCTGCGCAAACAAACATCACATCTCGACGTCCATTACCATCCGCCGCAATCGCAATCCTCCTGCTCATCACCCTCCTCCTCGCAGCCGCATCAATCTCGCATCCCTAGTCAAGGCGCATATACACCACCTCAGCCCCTCTCCATGACATTCTCACCTTTCCTCATCACCTGACCCCTACAAATAAACCAAAACGCGAGAGCTGTTCTAGCTTCTCCCCCCTCTCTGCGCCTCAGAGGCAGCGAGGTCGCTTGTCTTCTGCCTGTCCGGTAGCAGGTCAACTATCTTTCGAGCATGGCGCACCAGACAGGTGCCAACATCCTTGCCTCTTCCTCGATGACTGGCGAGACGCCCCTGTCTCCGCCACCTTCTTCGCCATGGAGGAGGTCAAGGACTCCGCGACTGAAGCGAAGGAGGTGTGATGAGACTCATTCGGCGGAAGAAGGGACGATTCCATCATCCCTGTCATTGCCGTCATCCTCGAGAATGACTCAGCCATCCGCGAGACGCACCTTTCTGGTAGCTCTTATCCTTACCCTGTCTCTTGGTCGTACGGCCGCTGGGGTGCAGCCATCGCAAGACACCCCCACCCCTCAACCTCCCTCAGTAGCATCGCAGCCTCTCCTCTCTTCTGTCAAGGGTCTCCGGCTCAACACTGAGCGTGACTCGACACATCGCCTCCACCCAGCCAAGGTTCATGGCACCCTACAATATAGCAGCATCAGCAACGACCCCGACGCTTCCACCAAGGCAACATCAATAGTCTCGGCTCCCCACTCTAAGAATACCTCCGCCGCCGTCTTCACATTTGCCAATTCGAGACATCAGTACAACAGCAGAATTACCAACAGCAACGGTCGTGGTCGTGGGTCGGACGGAAGCCAGTCCTCCGCTTCACCTTCTGCCTTGTCGGAGCAGCAGCCTCCCAATCGCCTGGCCTTTGCCTACCTGGAGGACATGGGCTTGAAGAATCGATTGCCGTTCAAGTCTTCTATGCCGCGAGCTGGCGAGTCGTGGAATGAGGCGGGCTTGAGACCCAACATTGATCCCAGACTGCCGAGCATCTATCGCAACGACAAGGGCGAGAGTCGAGAATCTGGGAAGAGCAAGGATAGAGAAGAGGACGCTCTTGCCGAGGACGAGGACGTGTGGGGATCAGAGGGGCGGGACAAGGCCCAAGATTGGACGCAGGCCTCACAGGAAGGTCGGCAGCAGTACCAACAGCTACAAAAAGGAGGCGCTCAAGACTCAATTGCTCGGCCCATCACCAAGCCTATCGGGAAAGGCCCTTACGGATCGATCCCGCCTTCGCAAGGATTGAAAGGTCTGCAAGTAGATGAGGCTGTTGTGGTGGGGACTGTACCAACAGAAGCTGAGGATGGGGCCGAAGTCTCTGACCCGGACCTCCTCGACTCTCTGTCTGCAGTGACGGATTCCGTCGCCTCTGGAGGGACAGCCGGAGCGAATAGCATCACGCCCGAAGTGCTGAGATGGAGCAGTCTTCTGATCAATTCTGGGAGGATGATGTTGAGCTGGATCAAGAGGGCGCAGAAGGATGAGCATGGCATCGCCTTGACGATGTTGATGCCAAAAGTCTCGAAGCCGGTCATTGCGTGAGTAAAGGAAGAAGAGGGGTCCTGAGGTCCGTCCGCGCTTTACCACCCGCTGACCTCGTCGATTCGTTCATCCTGACAGCCGAAGGCCTTGGATTCCCAATGACTCAAAACGGGACTTCGTACTCCTGACGATCGCGACAATAGCCGTCTGTGGCGCCCTCTGCATCCTCTGGAACTCGCGCGTATCGCCCGAGGAGTTTGAGCGGGCCCGACGTCACAAGGAGTATGCCGCTGATGCGGCCGCCAAGGACGCAGCAGACATCATCTACGAAGAGCACGAGGAAAACCTACCCACTGGTCTGTCCTCCTCCTCGCGGCCAGTCCCTGGGTACAGCCGAAGTCGAGCTGGAGGGTCGACTATGAGCAGGAGACCGAGAGCGGCTGGTCCAGAGGACACACACGGTGCCCTGCAGAGCGAGGATAGTGACGGAGAGTATCTTCAATTGACGCTGGACAGGAGACATGGAGCCTCGGTTCCACCAAGAGGAATGAGGAGAGGTAGCTTGCTCGGTCCCACCACAAGTCCAGTTATCTCTATCAGTAAGACGGGCAACGAGGGCCTGTTCTCCTCTTGGCTCAAACCACTCTACAGATGGTACGGACGGCGGGACTCCAACGCAGAAGTTGTCCTCCCTCTCTCGAGCGATCTCAGCAGGAGCTCAACGCCCAATCCTCTCCTGCAAACCACTGCTCCCGGCTCGGACGCAACCTTGAACGCCATGGGTGGGGGAGCCGGGCGGCGTTCACGCAGCAACAGCATTACGAGAAAGTGGAAGCTCCAAGCGCCCAATCTGCCACGGCAGCAGTCTTCTGTCAATCTCCTTCCCGCATCGATGGACTCTCGTACCTCCTCGTCCTCTTCGCTGCAGTCCCTCGCGCAGATCGTACCCTTCCGGTCTATCACTCCCCAGCCCGCCACTTCGCGTCAGCGGGAGCGAGAACGGGAGAAGAGACGCATGACCATGCTGGAAGTGGAGCGCAGGGGCTCGGTCGCCTCTGGCACGTCTGGCCGGTCTGGGTACGAGACTTTGGACAGAATGGAGAATGGCAAAGGAGATTACGTCCACGATCCACAAGATGACGCAAGTGGATCGAGCAGCGCCAGTGGAAGTGTCAGTGGAGATGAGCCGGGCATGCTGAGGAGGCCGGCGAGTTTCACAACACAGGGAGCTTGGACTGAGGCGCTCCCCGCAGTAGGAGCAGCAGGGACGGTCTCGTCATTGCCGGCACCGTCTTCAAGCAGCAGCAGTAGCGCGAGCCGTACACAACATCCTCCTACTGCCAACGGCCACGCAGCCGTCCGCCTCGCCCCACCTATGTCCACAATCGACTCCTCACCCCGCATAGGCAGTGGGGAGAGCACTCCGCGCGCTTCGGATCTGCAAAGGGAAAGTGGAAGTGCGAGTGGGAGTGGCAGTAGCAGTGCGACTAGTGGGAACACCTACTTTGCTGCTTCGCACGCGAATGTACATGGGCTTGGACTTGGGCGAGGCTATCGCTCGACAGCAGACGATGCTCAGCAAGAAGGCTCGGAGGCAGGAGCAGTGGCAAAGTCAGAGAAGGGCAGTCATCCCGCTATACCCCGAGTGGCCATCGATGGGGACCCTTTGCACGCAAGTCTGAAACTAAGTGAGGCGGAGGAGGAGACCTCTCGCGGCAAGGGCAAAGAGAGGCAGCTCGATCGACCCTGAAGCACGAATCTTCGATTGCCGATTGGGTGGGTGTGTGGGCCTGCTTGACGATAGTCTGAATGTAGGCCATTGTTTATAATCTCCCAGCTCGAGCTCCCATGATTCTCTCTTCCAGCATCATCATCATCATCATCATGGTCTCCGCCTTCGACTACGCATGTCTCCTAGTGGCGTCTCGACTTGTCTATATATATATCCGTCTTCTCGTCCCTTTGCTTATCCTCGTCCCCATTCCCGTCCCCGTCCCCGTCCCCGTCCCCATCCACATCTCGTTCTGAGTGATCGTTGCATCATCTCCTCTCCGAAATGAAAGCAGTGGCTTCGTTTGAAGACCCGTCGAGAACAGTCTGCCTTGATCGCTAACAATCCTATCACTGCCCACTACTGCTCCATGGATAGATGGCTACGAAGCCTCTGTATTTCATCTTGACGAAGAAAAGAGGACGTCTAACTGCTCACATCCTTGTCGTCAGCAGCTGCAGACAAGGTGAGATTTTCTGTCCTACTAGTCAACTCTCCCTCACCGTCCGTCCCTTCCTTCTTAGCACCTTCCGCTTGCCCTTTCCCTACAGCTCCCCCCTGCTCCTCCGCATCAGCAGCAGCAGCAGCATCAGCAGCAGTGGCCGCTGCCCCTACCTCACCACCAGTAACCATATGTCCCAGGAGGAACTGCACAACGTCTTCCCTCTCGTTCATCTGTGCCTCTGAGGTAGGTCCGCGTCCGAAACGATTACGAATGTCCCAGAGGGAGCGCTCTGGCTCGGGTTCGAGATCGAGATCGCCTTTGCTCTCTTCCTCTTCCTCTTGCTCTTGCTTTGCTGAAGTTGTATTTGTGGTAGTTGTTGTTGTAGCTGGAGCTTCCTTGCCCTTCTCTTCCCGCTTGAGTGCCAGTCTTCTCTTCTCCCTCAATCGTGCCTCCTCTTCATGCTTGAGAACATTGATCCTCCTCGCCTCTTCGGGGTTTTGCTTCTCCAGTTCATCGATTCTCCCCACTAGCGCCTTGACGATGGGGAGGTGACCATTGAGGCCGGCCCAGTGAAGGGGAGTGTTGCCCGATGCGTTCTGATGCAGGAGGAGGGGGAGTGAAGAACTGGGGAGGAGGAGGGAGAGGGTGGCTATGTGTGTCCAGGGCGAACAAGGTGTAGAGTGAGCGGACCCTTCGGTGGACCTCTAAGCGCATCATGCTACTCACCCAGGTGTCCATTCGCAGAAGCATAATGCAGCATACCATTCCCACCCTCATCCAGTGCCTGCTCCAACAAGGCGCCTATCCGCTCCTCCCTTGACCCTTCTTCCCCATCTGCACCTGTACCATTTGCCGCGGCTGCTGCTGAGGAGGAAGAAGAGCTAGAGGCGGCGAGAAGCTCGTCAAAGTAGGCCACTAGATCGTCCGTCTCCCCCGCCCGGGCACAGTAGAGCAGATCGTCGATTTGCTCTGGCGTGAGCTTGGTCTGCGGTGTAGTCGGCATGCTGCGTGATTTGAAGGGGCTGATACTATTCTAGCTTGTAAATGGAAGTCGGTTAGAAAGAAGCGAGAAGCGAGGTGGTGGTGGTGTGGCTCCAAGAATCAAAAAATTTCCCCGTGGACGCAGGCACGGACGGACCCAGTGCGGAGAGCGGATTGACGATTGGCAGGCGACGACAGCCTGGATTCAATTGTTACCACTTCTCCCTTACCATCGACCATAGACTTCACTTCGTCTTGCCTTTAGTGCTTCCTCCCTCCCACCAATGGCTCGAGTCGGCAAGAGCAGAGCCACGCGCTCGCTGCGTGTCCCTTCCTCACTCCTCTTTGCTGCAGTGCTGCTTCTCCTGGCCAGTCCCGAAGCTCGGGCCGCAGATGTCAAGAGTTCCAATCCGCTGAATTGCGATCACCCGCTTGTGATCAATGGAGTCACATAGTGAGTTCAGCGAACCACGGTACCATTGCAGATCCTGGTGTGAAGTTCGATCAGCTGACATCCTCATAATCTCGCTGCTCTGCTCTGCTCTGCTCTCCCACCCTCCAGCGACCTATCGCCCCTAGCCGCCCTTGCCCAACCTATCATCCTCACTTCCTCCCTCCCCACCCCTCCTTCCGTAACCCGCACCTCCGTCTCTCTAAACGTCTGCGCCAAGCTTCCACCCCCTTCCTCCTCCACACCCGCAGACGAAGCCTGTCCCAGCTCCTCCCGCATCTGCCAAATCATCTCCTCTGCCAGGGGCTCCAGTCCAGAGGTCATCACTCAGGTGATCCCACTCGCGACAGAAGACTACGGTTATGAAGTCACACTAGGGGACCGTGACGGTAGTGGTGGTGAGCAGAACCTCGAATGGGAGTTCCACGGTCCTACATACGCGGGGAGGCGGCAGGAGGTGGAGATCAAGATGGTTTGTGACCCAACGGCTTCGGCTGCTGATGCGGGTAAGCTGGAATGGAGGGGGTACGAGAGTCTAGAGGGAAAGGCAAAGATTTATTGGAGGAGTAGCGTGGCTTGTCCTGCAAAGAGGAGCGATGGGTCCTCGGGAAGTGGGAGTGGAGGGAGTAGCGGGGGAGGGAGTGATGCAGGGGGAGGGTGGGGATTCTTCAGCTGGTTCTTCTTCCTGTGAGTGAAAGGCGAGGGCGAAGCTCAGCGTCCCGTATGAGATGCTGACAGTCGACTGCTGAGATTTTTTCTCCCTCTCTATCGCAGCGTCATTGTTGGCTTCATCGTCTACTTTGCCCTGGGCACATATCAGAACCACCAACGGTATGGTGTTGCAGAAATCCCACATCGGGACTTTTGGCGAGAGGCCCCGTATCTCGTACAGTGAGTACATTCAAAGGCAAACCATGCTCTGGTGGTACCGTTGATCCGATGCTGACTCGCTCACGCCCCCTCTGCCTGTCACTCTTTGCAGGGATGCCGGTCGACATGCATGGAAGTCCGTCTCGGGTCAGGGCGGGAGTAGGGGAGGAGCCTATGAGCCCGTGTAGAGGGAGACGTTGCCATGAAATGCCTCAGTCACCATTCTTTAGCCCTTTCTCTGTATAGTGTTCCGACTTGTGATGATCTCTTTGCCAAGCAGTATGATCCTTGCGATTGTGGCCTTAGCCTGGACCCTTTCCTCGACATGACCTCTGCTCCACAAAGGCGTCCACTCGCCTGCACCTCTCCCTTTCCGCTCCCCGCCTTGTCAGTTCATTCTGGCCTGACATCCATTCCACCCTCCTGCTCACCACGCCCCCTTTTGCTCAATCTCATACGATACCCATCACCCCCGAATCATGTCTCCGAGATGAAGGATGGCTTCTCGCCCTGCTCACACAGACCAGGACGATGATGATGGTGATGATACCCGCGAGGAGAAGGAACAGAAGCAGAATGCGCCTTCCTCGTCCTTTGGAGCGGAGGATGATGCGGCCTTCCTCGATGCACTCGCTGCTTGGCCGCTGACTCAAGCTGTTGGAGTTCATGAGTCTAGGTCGATCAAAGTTAATGGAGAGGAACAAGAAGCAATCCCCACAGATCTGAAGAGGGGCGTTCCTGAGGAAGAAGATGGGTCAAAGATGGCGACCATGAAGCTTTCCGAGGTGCTACCAGAGCACTACAATGGCCAAGGTCTGCCGAGAGGTGGCGGCACGTCGTGGCGTAAGCGTGCTCGCTTTTCAGAAGCTGAAGATCACTCCGAGGCCGTCGCAGAAGAGGCAAAGAATGCCTCCTCGGCTGCACCCACTTCGTGCTACCTGCAAAGTGGCGCATACGATGCGCTCAAGTTTGGGGATTTCAGCACTTACATGCGCAACAAGCGAGCGAAGCTAAAGGTGCAAGAGCATTCTCTCAAGGAGCAAGAAGAGGCCCTATTAGCTGCTGTTGGCTCATCAGCATCTACGGCCGAGATTCCCTCAGCACCCCCGCTGTTTCAAGGCTGCACAATCTATATCAACGGGCATACCGTGCCGCCTTATGCCGAGCTGCGACGCCTCATCGTCCTACACGGAGGCAACTTCATGGCCTATCTTGATCAAAAGTCTCCCGTTACACACATTGTCGCTTCCAATCTCACTCCAAAGAAAAGGGTCGAATTTGCAGCTTACAGGGTCGTCACGCCCCAATGGATTACGGAGAGTATTCGGCTTGGGAAGAGGTTGGCATGGCATGACTTCAAGGTTGAGGCCGATGCCGGAGGGGCGATTGGGAGCGCAAAGCTGCCTGGTGCCAAGCCACTGGTGCAAGCGGGAAATGCTGCAAGTTCGGCCACTGGACAGGGTATGTCCTCGTCCTCGTCTTCTTACCTCGCGTCTGGCCAAGTAGGACAGAAGTCACTGGGCGCTAGGGCGGGCGCTTCACCATCGACCTACCTAGCCGATGCTACTCCCTGGGGGCGAGTGTCTGCCCAAAAAAAGCTGACGGGGCTGCAGCGCACGCGTGGCGCTGAGAAGACAAAGAAAGGCGAGAAATCAAGAAATCCGTCAGGAGCAATCGAAGCTTCGAAGTCGACGAGCCCTACAAAGCCAGACGTACCGCCGGCTCTAGCCGCCGAAGGCACGGTTCCGCCCGAACAAGACGACAAGCAGGTGATTCAAGCTGATCTTGAGCCGATGGAGCCGACAGCCGAAGGACAGCAGGAGCAGGCTCCGGAAAAGGAGACCCCGCCAAGTGGACCCCCTCTCACCCCTGAGGATATGGAGTGGTTACGGAATGTTGAGACACCACCGAAGCCCAAAGCCAAGACGGGACATGACGCAAGGGATGTGCAGCAGCTGAATGGATCAGCTGAAGTGGCAGATCCTGACCCTGTCATCAAGGATGCGGCTGGAGCAGTGGGGCTCTCATCCAATATCAGTCCCGTAAAGCCTGAAGGCACTGAGACATCCGCACACCCTGTGACGCCCACTAGAGTCAAGTCATTGGAAGCGACAATAGGGACAGACCCACCAAGTCGCAAAGCGGCCGAAGCAGCGGGGTTTACGCACCCCGGTCATCCTTACTCGAAGCGCCCATCAAATACTCACGCCGCGAGGCTCCTGGCATCCCCTTCCTGGCGTGAGCAGAATACAGCCACGAGCGAATCCTTCTTATCTGGCTTCTTCGCAAAGTCTAGATTGCATTACCTGAGTACTTGGAAAGGCGAGCTGAAGGATTTGGTCAGTCAGGCTCTCAAGGATGCCGGTAAGGAGGAGGGTAGTCAGACCCTGCCCAAGGGAATGCACAGAGTCATTATGCACGTCGACTTCGACAGCTTCTTCGTCAGCGTTGGCTTACGAGACCGCCCAGATCTCAAGGACAAGCCAGTCGTGGTATGCCATGCTGGCTCTTCCGAAGGTATTGGGGCAGGTGAGAACAGCACCTCTGAGATTGCTTCGTGCAATTACATTGCTCGAGAATTTGGGGTCCAGAATGGCTGGAGCTTGGGTCGTGCTCGTCAATTATGCCCTCATATCCATCCGATCCCGTACGACTTTGAAGGGTACAAAGACATATCGATCGTCTTCTATGCGCTACTACTTGCCCATGCGGACGCAATAGAAGCCGTATCGGTCGACGAAGCTCTGATCGACGTTTCCAGGCTACTTCACTCGATGCGAGAAGCTCGGGACCGTCCGCTTGACGAGGAATGCGACGAGGAGCGTCGCGCTTTATTGTCCGCTTACAGAGGTCACGTCAGTAGTCAAGGAGTGCATTGGACGGAGGAAAAGCAGTTGGCAGAAGCGCTGCGAGATGTAATCCGGCGTCAGACGCGCTGTGAGGCCAGTATCGGGATCGGCGAGAATGTACTCCAGGCTCGTCTGGCTACGCGGTACGCAAAGCCCGGCGGCTCGTACCATCTACGGGCCGAGGATCTAGAGACCTTCCTGGGCAAGCTCGATATCGACGATTTACAAGGTGTAGGCTACAATACTCGCCGCCGCTTCGAGACCGTCTTTGGCACGTCCAACATTGCCGAGCTCAAGAAATCTGCCTCCCAATCTCGCTTCGTAGCTGAACTTGGACCCAAGCTTGGAAAGCAAGTGTGGGACAAGATGTATGGTCTCGACCGCGCTGAGCTCGAAGGTGCCAAGCAGAGGCAGAGCGTGGGTGCGGCAGTCAACTATGGTATTCGTTTTGCCAATCAGGACGAGGCAGAGAAATTCGTGCGCAATTTGTCGCAAGAGGTGTCGAATCGTCTCGTCAAGTACAAGCTACGAGGGCGTCAGCTCAATACGATTATCATGGTGCGAGACCCAGCTGCTCCAGTCGAAGCGCCCAAGTTCCTTGGTCATGGCATCTGCGACGTCCACAATAGAGGTCAAGCAATGAGCGGACCTGGGGGCGTAGCCACGAACGAGCCCGATGCCATCTTCAAGGTCGCTTGGAAGTTGATCAAGTCGCTAGGAGCGGATGCGAGAGAGTTGAGGGGAATTGCAATGAGCTGTACAAAGCTTGAGCCAACGGAGACTTTTGGCCCACCGAAGCCACGTGCAGGCCAGTCCTTGCTCAATTTTCGAGCGGAAGTCTCGCCGACAAAGCAGCCGACAGCGGCCGTCGTGGCCCCAAGTCCTTTGCGATCGTCTGTGAAACGGGCAGATGTTGCAGAGCAAGAAGTGCATATCATACCGCCTAGCGAGAAGGCTTCCATGCAGCGAGGCAGAGCTGGGCTTACTGATCAAGAAGCCGAAGACGATGAGGATGATGAAGGAGAAGAGACGTTACAAGCTGGTCCTTTCGAGCAGATACACAGTCAGAGCCAGCGTCAGCTCACGCCCTTGCCAGAGCGTCCACCGAGTCCTCATGTCAACAAGCGCCTCCACGTCGCGCCGTCTGGACCCGCACCGTCTCGAGCACGCTCGGCCGAGCCGATCTTGCGCAGCCAAGAGAGACAGGATCAGTCTAGATCGAACACAAGCTCAGAAGCGCTCGCACTACCCACAATGTCTCAACTCGACCCTTCTGTGCTGTCCGAGCTTCCGCCAGCCATACGAAGGGAGGTACTGAGAGAGTCGAAGCGATTAGCAGCAGTAGGCTCGTCTGCTTCCAGTGGGAGAGATCTTGCCCTGCCTGGTCCGGCAATGACGCGCTCTTTGTCCTCGTCACCTGCCAAGGCCAGGAAGACGGCTTCTCCATCACATCAGCGCATACTACCCTTTGTCACTACCCGCAGTAACGCCCTCCCACCCCTTCCAGCACGCCTACGCTCCGAAAAGCCTCAAACCCTCGCCCCACCTCAACCAGCCTGGATCAAGGACCCATCAAAGGCAACACGCGCGCAGCTCCTCGAGCTCGAAATCGACTATGACGTCTTTCGAGCCCTGCCGGAGGGGATGCAGCGCGAGACGCTCCTCGAGCACTCGCGCACGCTGAAGGGAAAAGAGGCAAGGTCTAAATTGGCTGCGCATAGGCAAGAGAGGACGTTGGCAGAGGAGAGACGGGCGGAGAGACAGAGGGCGGCAGCTCAACTCACCGCCGCCTCCTCGAATGTCGCGTCTGCTCTGGTGAACGGTAGCAGCGAGATTGCCCCCCTCGAGCTCGGTCCTCGTGCCAGACGCGTCGCTCAGTGCGAGGAGCAGGCCGGCCTTCTCCCACGGATCCGCGATCGCTCAGCGACGGAAGAGGTACAGGAGCTGCTCAGTAGCTGGATCCGGCGACATGCGATGCAGAGACCTAGGAGTAACGATGTAGCCAAATTCTCTGCCTTTCTCACTAGGTGCATCGCCGGTAGTGACGGACGTGCCGCTGCCGATTTGGGCGCAGGGTTTGCCAAGGCCAAGAAGGCGAGCTCGACTCCAAGCTCAGTGGAGGTAGTCCTCGTAGGTAGCACGATGGACGATCTGGAAAAAGTGGAGCAGCTGCTGCGCCACTGGCAAAACGAGCTCAGGGATTTAGTGGGCCTGAAGATCGACTCTTCGAGCGGCAGCGGCGATGAGGAAGATCTGAGAGGGATGCAAAGGAATAGCAAAGCTCGTGAAGGGTGGTGGGAGGCTTTTGAGTCCGTACTCGATGAGGTGAATCGGATCGTGCAAAGGAGATTCGGTGGGAGTTTGCGGCTGGTGTAAGGCCTTGGGCAGCCGTAGTGGGAGAGACCATCGTCTGCTTTGCTCTGTTTCACGAGATATTTGTTCTGTATATTAATATTACCCTGGACCTCGACGTAACAATGGCACCATTCCTTGTAACCTTGGGATCACTCAGTCTACACAGTCTACTTTGGCAAAAGCGTCTAATCCTCCTCAATACGTCCCGAATCTTTACACCTTGACATTTCCCCACACCGCCTCGAGCTTGTCATCCAGCGCGCCCGCATCTTTCAAATGGCTCATCACGCCTCCAACAAGATGCAGACTGCCCGCCACGAGGACGTGGCTTTGGTTTTCCCGTGGTTGAGAAGCAGCCACAGCCTTGACTGCATCTTCGATCGTGGGCCAGATCTGCACCCTCTTCTCCTCCTCCTCCTTCCTTTCAGGTCCAGCAAGCTCTAGCCAAGCAGCCTTGAGCTCTCGCTGAATGCTAAGCGCAGAGAGGTCGTCTGGGTCCATCGCCTTGGAGGTTAGATCAGAGGAGAAGCCACGCGAGGAGTAGGTGACATTTGTACAGAAGTGCACTTGGGTGAAGTAGGATGTGGGACTGCTGCTACCAGTCTCGGCAGAGATGGTGGAGAGGAGAGAAGAGAGAAGCTCAGCAGCGCTGCGGCCATTGGTGCAATTGAAGATCAGGTGTCTCTCCACCTGCGCAGTGGGGCTGTCGCCGCCACTGGACTGCTGCTCTGCAGCGACAGATGCGCTGGCTCCGATGAACCATCTGGTGCACAGAGCGAGGGAGTCCGTCGTGTGTGCTCCATCGAGGAAGTACGTCGGCTGAAGCTTTTCATTGGCGGATGAGGACGTCTCGACAGGTGCGGGACGGACGATCTGACATCGTCCCGGCCACCGTGCGTTGCGTAGACTTTTCTGAGCCCATTCTGCAGGCTGCAGGGTATCCTTGTCGGACCATACCGACGTGGGTGTGGAGAAGGTGGCGGTCTCTGCCAGGAAGCTCTCCACGAGGGAGAGAGCCAGGTGGGCGTTTGTCACTTGATGTGGGCCAGGCAGACCGAGAGAGATCTTCTGTAGGGCTGCGGATGGAGCTGGAAGAAGCGTAAAGGGAGCCTATGCAGGAGGAAGACTGCTGGTGAGCGCCAGATTTTGAGCCTCGGTACATTCACAAGGGTCATCAACTCACCCCGACTTCTTCAGCGCATCTCCGTAGTACAGCCTCTGCGCTTTCTTTGCTCTGTCTTACAGCCAACGCTGGACGCCGCTTCTTGTATATGCCGGCTTTCTGCTCTGCAATCTCCTCAATGGTGTTGCCCAGCAGCGCAGTATGGTCCAAACCCAGCGTTGCAACACCACATACCACTGGTGTCTTGACGATGTTCGTCGAGTCGTACTTGCCCCCAATACCTACTTCGAGGATCACGGCCCGGAGTGAGGGCGTGGTCAGGAAGGTATGGAATGAGAGAAGAGTCATGAAGCGGAAGTAGACGGGCCGAACTGGAGTCACATCTGGGCGAGCTCGCTGATATCGAGTGTACATCACGGAGCGAGGGATGCTACGTCAGAGCGCTGCTGATGGTGTCTTGTTTCTTGTCGCCTACTCACCTTGTCAGCCGTCTCTCCGAGCTTGTCCCAGACGTACCAAAAGTCCTTGGCGAATCTCTCCTCGCTGAGTGGTAGTCCATCAAGCCGCATCCTCTCCCTCACCAAGAGCATATGAGGCGACGTGTATAGCCCCACTTTTGGCCCTGATGCGTCTGCTCCGCTTTCCTCCGAGAGCGCATCGCAGACCAACTGGGAAGAGAAGGCTGCTGTGCTACCTTTGCCTTTTGTACCGGTGATATGTATGATGTTCAGTCGGTCGAGGTCCTCTAGCGAATAACCGATGCGAGATAGGTACTCGACCATCTCGGAAATTGCGAGATCGTTGGCCTTGCCTCCCGACGCACGGATAGCTGCAATCGTCGCAGCATTGGACTGCAGAGTATTGAGGGCCTCGATAGCTTCGGCGTAGGTACGCGACCCGGAAGCAGTGGAAGAGGCCATGTTGTGCGGGGCTCTTTGCTGCAAGGCTGAAGCTCCTGATACGAGGTGACGGAGAGGAAGATGCCTGCAGTGAAACAGGACTTGTGGTCGTGGCAAGGAGGAGAGTATATGCGTAGTCACAGACACAGACGTCAGCCTGAGCATGCGTACGGGGTCGATGCAGGCGTGAGTACAAAGGACGAGGTCGACGTCGTCGGTATGCAATGCACCACCGAAGACTTTGTCCCTCAGGCCGAACCGAGCTTGCACCCAAAAAATTCAAACCCCGGCCAAGATGCGGACAGGCCGACGGGGGAGACAAGGAAAGGAGCACAGGCAGGGCAGCGCACCACCACCACTACCACCACCACCATCACCACCATCAACACCCCTATCGAGACCAGACAGGGGCATACAGGCAGTGCAGAGGCGGCTGTAGACTACCTCTCTGCGTCGGCAAGGACCTCGAGATCGTCAGAGTGACAAACCATGTCCTCTTCCTCCTCTTCCTTTGCGTCTGGCAGCGCACGACAGACGGACGATGGCCTGAGCACCCAGGCCGACGCAGGGGGCAGCAATCACCTTTCGCCACTCTCATCGAGAGCTCCTCTTCATCTCAATATCCCTGCAACGTCAGCAGGATCGACTACGACCATGTCCATTCCCTCAGCAGCGCCCAGGATGCCAGTATCGCCGCCTACACCAGCCCCTTCCCCTAGGCCACGGCCTCGTAATCAGCCTTCCAGATCATACGACGCCAACGAGAGCATGAGCACAGACGATGATGCTGACGATCCCCTCGACGAGAGCAACCTCGATCTCGCGGCTTCGTCATCTACATCCAATGGAGTACTCACCTCTCCTCAGGTTGCTTCCTCCTCTTCAGCTTGGATCATGGACCCACAGGCCCTCACCAGAGCGGCTACCCTACTCCTCCCCACTCTACCTTCATCGTCACGTCTTACAATCGTATCAGACCTTTTGATGCTTCTGAGCCCAGCTGAGCTGGCTCAGATTGCCGCACTCGTCAGCTCCAAGCTCAGGGTAGACTTCCTTTCGGCGCTCCCAATAGAAGTCAGCCTCCACGTGCTCTCCTACATAGAAGACCCCCTCACCCTCGCCCGCGCTGGTCAGGTCAGCCGATTCTGGCGCAGTCTGGTCAATGATGAGCATACTTGGGAGGCTATGTGCTCAAAATATAGATACCGTTATCGTAAGCCGTCCACTGCCATTTCAGCCGTGGCTGCTGCTGCCGGTAGTAGGGAGAGGAGCGGTACCCCTACTTCGGGGACGGATCTGCTCGCCTCTTTGTATAGACGCTACAGGCAAAGAGGTCTCGATCCTTCCAATGCAAGAGACGAGCTCAGAGCTCTGCATGACCTGTTTCTCGCCAAGCAGCAAGAGCAAGAGCAAAGTAGTAGTGGAGGTTCGGGCAGACCTGGAAGCTCCAGACGTCCCGGCGCGACGGCACCCTCAATACCCTCAATGTCCAGCGCTGACCTCCGCTTCTATGAGCAATTGGAGCAGATCGTACAAGAGGAGAGCAGAGAAAGGTATGGCGACGGAGGCCCTTCTAGTCCTGCGGCCAGCCTGTCCACAGGCAGAGCTTATGAGACAGACTCTGGCGCATCCCGTATGGGTTGGCTATCTGCTGGACCAGCTGCGACGCGCTTCCCTCGCACTCCTCGTGCATCTGTACAATCCAGACTCCCCGCCCTGAACACTGGTCCTCCCGAATTGGCTTTCGAGCGGACTTCCGCTCCGTCGACGACCAACGCTGCACCAGCGCTCAGTGGACCGTTTTCAAGCTGGACAGGGGGACTGGGACTACCTTGGGGTCTGAGCGAGCTGATTCATCTTCCTTCTTCTCTCACGGGAGGACCGCCTCCTGCCACAGCTGCGATCTCAGCTCGGCAGCCTGCCATCCCTCCCCCGCATGCTGCTGGCGGAGCTTCTCGGCTGGCCACTACCGCCGGCAGAAGGACAGCTTCCGATCAGTGGAACCGCCGAGAGGTTTCAGTGCCTCGTTCCACAGATGCGGTCGGCCTCGGTCAGCCGCCTACCTCTACTTCCAGACCAGCTATGCGAGCGGCTACGTACGCAGCCAGCAGCTCCGCCATCGATCCTGGCTCTGCACCTGGCTCTTTCAGCTACAAAGCTCACTTCAAGCGCAACTACCTCACCGAATCAAATTGGCATCGCGGTGGAAGACTGCTTACGAACCACGTATCGAACGGGGGTGACCCAACTTGCACGTGCATCGCAATGGATGAGAGGTATCTCATTATCGGCATGGCTAATGGCAATATCCATATCTTCGACTCCCGGAGTGGGCTCTACGAAAGAAGCATCAGAGGGAGACCCGAGAATGGTGTGTGGTGTATCGTTCTCGTCAGCAAGACGAAGGGCGTTAGGAAGGATGCAGGGAACGCAGAAGAGGCAGCGGCTGGAAAGGGGAAGGGCAAAGACGATAGCGAGGGAGCAACACCGCCGTACACCGCAAGGCAGGACGCCGAAGGTCGAACTACCCACATCACAACTCATGACGACCTCACCTTGGTCAAGCACGATGTCAGATTGACAGAGGAACTCGAGGCCCTGAAGCACGGGCAGAACACCAAGAGGAAGAGGGGAGGGCAGGGGCGAGGCAGCGCAAAGTCGAATACTACAGGGAAGACAGGTCAGGCGTCCGGAAGCAATGGTGATGAGACTAGCGATGATCAGACCCTGCACTGGTTCCACCAAGCCCGCAAGGCTCTTCAGCAGGGATCTACTACGTCGTCTACTGAGGCCGCTCGAGGTACAACAGAGAGCATCCGCCACTCTCGCGAGCGATCAACGAGTGACGCTACAGACGACCCTGACATGATCGGCGGCTATCCTCGCGACCTCGTGGAGGCGGGGCCTGCCTTCATCAGGGACTCGATGCAAGCTCAGGCTCGTCGCTCAGGCTCCGGGGTCTCTGCCGCGGACCGTCAGCGATGGGAAATCGCAGTGCAGGAAATGGAAAGAGACATTACTCGTGTCAGGGAGGAGCACGGAATTACTGGTCAGAGGCGCATTCCTCGACCTGGTCCGCGTGCCAAGGGCAAGAAGCGAGCTGATGAAGATGTTGAGATGGGAGAGGAGGCCGGCTCGTCGAGTCAGCCCGCGACTCAGTCTACGTCAGATATGGACGATGATGCTATGGAGGAAGATGGTGAAAACGCTGCAGAAGACGACGACGACGACGACGCTGACTCCTCGGCTTCCTCAGGCGAAGAGTACCAAGGCTTCTCCATGGGCATCGGTGGTACAGCCAACGGTCTTGGCACTCTCTGCGGCGCCACACGAGGTTTCGGCAACTCCTCTGCTCTGCTTGTCTCAGGCGGCTGCGATCGCGAAGTGAAGGTCTGGGATGTGGCGACAGGCAAGCTGAAGTTCACAATGCAGGGCCACGCCTCGACGGTGCGTTGCTTGCGTGTTCTAGACGGACGACCCATTGCCATTTCTGGAGGAAGAGATTCGACGGTGCGCGTCTGGGACATCTCCACTGGTAAATGTCTCCGTGTCCTTGCCGGGCACCAGAACTCGGTGAGATGTCTCGAAGTGGCGGGCAATAGAGTCGCAACAGGCAGCTACGACTGTACCTGTCGAATCTGGAATGTGGACACTGGAGAGTGTCTTCACGTGCTTCGCGGTCACTACAACCAGATCTACTGCGTCGGCTTCGACGGTAACAAGGTCGCCACAGGCAGTCTCGATTCGACTGTCCGAATCTGGAGTGCTGAGAGTGGAGAGCCTCTAGCACTCCTGCAAGGCCACACAGCTCTAGTAGGCGTTCTACAACTCTCCAACAATCTCCTCATCTCCGGTGGGTCAGATGGACGAATCATTGCCTACTCCCTCTCGGACCTCTCCCTCCTCTATGCCATTTGCGCCCATGACAATTCCGTCTCCTCTCTTCAATTCGACGAACATTTTATCCTCACCGGAGGAAATGACGGTACGGTTCGTCTATGGAATTTGGCCGATGGAAGTTTCATTAGAGAACTCGTCAGACCAGGAGATTCGATTTGGAAATTGGGATTTAGAGAGGATAGAGTAGTCGTGGTTTGTAAAGAGGCGGATGCGAGTTTGAGTATGGAAGTGTTGGATTTCAGACCTGTAGAGGGAGTGGGAGAGGTGCAGGGCTAGGAACAGGAGAGATAGATTGAGGGAGCGAGCGAGCACGTTTGGTCATACCACCAGAATGTATATCCTCGCTCACGCAGCAGCTCTGTGTTTCACTGGCATTGAGCCGACGTCAGAATTCTAGATGCAGTAGCATTGAAGGTAATGAATAAAGAAAAGAAAGGTGGAGCATCATTGACTTCTTGCTGACCGCCGACGAACTGTGTCTCCATTGACTCCAGCGTCTCTCGAGCTGGATATGGACCCAGACTTCTCGCTCCCCTCCGCCTGGGCCTCGTCGTCGCTCTTGACCAATTTCCCTTTCCTGGCCGCCCCTCCACCTCCTCCTCCTCCTCCACTACTCGCCCAAGCATACCCGACCGTACCTATTCCCACAGCCACCGCTCCCAGACTCAACGTCTTCATATCTCCACCTCTCGCTCCTCCTACCAATAGAACAGAAATGGCTAGACTGACTGCCTTTCTCACCACGAGGACGAGGGTGACGCCTACGGAGGATACGCGTGCGGTTAGTCTATTGACGCCATTGATGCATGCTAGTTGGGTGAGAATGTTGAGTGCTAGAAGGGGAAGGATGGAGGGGAGGTAGAAGCCTGCGCTTGGCAGGAGGGAGGAAAGCTGGCGGATGGGGAGGAGGATGGAGAAGTCCCATATGCCTCCGGGTGGGGGCCAGCTCCCCTTCGAGGCGAGACTGCTTTGGCCCGCAGCATTTATCCCCAGCCAGGCCTTTTCGCTACCCATTGCCAGTCCTACCTCCTCTTTGAGATTTCCCATTCTGAGCCCGAGAAGAGGCATAGAGAGGGCATGCGAATAGAAGATGGCCTCCTGCCAGTGATCCTTGCCGTACCGCTGAAATGTGATTTCTTGCCAGATGCCCATGAGGGAGGACAGGAAGAGGGCGAGGAAGAGGAGAGAGATGCCGATGAAGTATTTTGATAGGACGGCTGGTGATGGCGAGGATTCGCTGCTTCCTGAGGCTGGAGGAGAGGGAGAGGTGGAAATTGTGGATAGGATGACGCCGAAGGTGACCAAGAAGACAGAGGTGATCTGCAGCAGTGAGTACCTGGCGAAGATGGGAGCCGTACCGCTTCAGTGTCAGCCTTTGGCCACTGAGCTACGGTAGAGCCTCTTGTGTGCCCGTCTGCTCACCTCTTGCCCCTGACCAGCCATCCCATGAGCATATTCACCACCAATCCTCCACTCCTGAAAATGATATGCACCGGCATGGGCACGTCGTAGGCAAACGCCGTATTATTGAGCAGCGTCGTCGAAGCGTATAGTAACACCTGCACTCCCCATCTCGACAGTGGTACTCTATTACGCCTCCATCTGATTCCGGCGAGTCCGCCTTTGCCACCCGAGCTGGTGCTGGAGGCAGACTCCAGCTGCGAAGGTAGGGCGAGGAGCATGGTGAAGAGGAATTGCAGAAAGGTGATAAGTGTGCCTAGGTTTGGGATCTGCGAGGTGGAAGACTCGAGGTAGTAGGCGTTGGAGCAGCATCCGACGAAGATCAATGAGAGGACCCATGTCCATTGTGGGATGACCGAGAGAAGGAGGGACGTACTTAGGCCAGAAGTGGAGGGAGACTTGTTGGAAGGTGAGTGGGTGAGGTGTCCGTTGGGCTGGCCCATGCTCTGCTCATGACGGGAGGAACCTTCGCTGAGCCGCGAAGACGATGGTGCCCTCGACTTGTCTACCATGTAATGAGACTATAGCTGCGGACTGCGAGAAAGAGGGTAGTAATGGTGGAAAGAAGTGAGTGCTTCTGGTATTTCTTTCCTCGGAATTGTGGCCCCTGTCATCTGCCGCGTTGCTCTTTCCGTAACTGCAACACCAAAGACCAACCAGAGATCTCCGCTCGCTTCCTGAATACTGCCGCAACTCCCACCGGGACCATAACCACCACCGATACCATCCATACAGAGCAGAGACTGGGGCGCTCAGGGGCAAGCACATCACACCCTCAGCGCAAGTGACGCCTGCGATGCCCAGCCTCAACCCCACATCGTCCTTCCAATCGCCCATAAGCGGGACAGACTCTCTCTCCACCCTCTACCAGATCCTCTCCCTGCTCAGTCTCCACTACCTCACCCTCTCCATCTTCACACCACCCTTCCTCTCCGCCCTCTCCTCGACTCCAGCATCCACACTCACATTCGATTCACCACTCAATTTCGAAGGTGGGGCAGCTCAAGTGGGGATGGTCCTCGATTGGAGGGAGGTCTCTTCGCGAACCACATTCGATTGGTCTCCCCTCGGCGAGGATTTCTTGAGTTGGAGGAAAGGATTGACTAAAGAGCAACTGCTGGAAGGATTGGACGAAGGAGATCGAATCGTAGCGCAGCACTGGAAGATGGGCAGCGTCTGGCTAGGAGATGTCGCTGGCGCCGGTGGCCCCCCTCCAGTGCTCATCGATGCACCGCGGGTAATACGCCAGGGGAGCAGTGCGGCAGCTCAGCAGGCCATCAGCGGCGAGACGGCTCAGGAGATCAAAGATGAGCTGGGTAGTTCGGGTGGGTCAGAGGCGGAGAGCGATTTACAGCAGTGGGAATGGAAGGCGACGAGGGATCCTTGGAGGGGGTGGGCAATCGCAATGGCTTGGGCATTGGCCTGCGCAGTCGAGTGAGTATGGCTGAGTACATCTGCACATAGCAGCTCGCTCCCAAACTCATCGGCTCACACGCCTCTTCTCTTCACACCCTGATCAGCGTCTTCCTCCTCACAACAATCATCCGTCGCCCCAAGCACATCCTAGATCACGTCTTTACCCTGCATCTCCTCAACCTCCTCCTAACCTCCTGGTACACCTCATCCATCCCCACCTCTCTCTTCTGGTGGGGCGTAATGCTCCTACATGGCGTCTGTTGTGTGCTTTGGAGCGAGAGGGTGGCCATTGGGAGAGAGATGAACGTGAGCGTTGGGGAGGGATTAGTGGGTAGTGGAAGAGCCGGAGCGGGTGCGGGTGGGGATGGACCTGGTGATGCGGGGGCTGCAGAACAAGGCGAGAGTGGGAGTGGAAGTGCGGGGGCTCCACACGTCCTCTTTGATGAAGAGACCGAGGATGTAGAAGAGGAAGAGGCACGAGAGACGGATGGGATGCTCAAGAAACCCACAATGGGCGCTTTTGCTCCTGGTGGAGGGCGGAGCAGTCCTTTTGGCGGGAGAGGCAGAGGGAGTGGGAGACAGACACCTACAGTCGGTGGTAGAGAGGCAGAGGGAGAATTCATCGAGATGGATAAGATGCGCTCCTCTGGCCCTGCTCCTGGCACTTGATCGACGAACACTATGTAAAGGGAAATGGTATACCGGTATCAACGAAGTAGTGTGCGTGGTCAAGACTCGGAACAGTGACATGAAAGAATGTCCTCTGTAGGAAATGCATAAGATGGTATCATTGTTAAGGTAAAAAAGGTACAAGAGAGGAACAGCCTCCAGATATTGCCGGTCGGAACAGGGTGGCTCGAAGGTTGATGGGAGGCAAGGGGCGGTGGCCGTGTAGACCAATGCAGGAGCGGTGCTGCCGAATCAAGACGGAGCGCTCTGCTTGAGCCTTGAGATGCCCGGAACAGCAGGCCTGACATATTCCTCTAGATGTACAGCTCGATCGCGCTGCTCGGCTTGTTTGGGCTAGTCGAGATCCTCTGTGAGCAACCGTCCACCGGACACGTGAAGAAGGCTACTACCCGCTCCGATTCGGCAGTCTCTGATGCCTGACCCTTGGTGCTGTGACTACTCTTAGTTGAAGCCTTGGGAGACAATTGTGGATTGCCTGACCCCAGTGCCTCACTTTGCTGCATAGCGCGATGGCGCAGAGCTCTGCTTGTACTAGAAGCGCTGCCTTCGCCCACGATTACCGCAGAGGAGGGCAGGGATGGACTGATGGCACGATCTTTTCCTTTAGGATCGAGTGCCTCCGGACCTGTCGCCAGTCTGACTGATGGGTGTGGTAACCCGTCCTCGTCCTCCGTAGAACTACTGTCTGCTTCGTCGGGGTGGGAGCGCTTGACGCCAGCGAGTAGATCGGTGATCCTGGTGTGTTGCTGCTCCCGCTGCTCCCGCTTCTCCCTCTCTACTTCACCGTGCGCCAGCTCCCTGGCGGTCTTGGCATTGACGCCTGCGCGGTAGCGCTCGTAGCATCGTCCGTCTACAACATGACCGCACGGAAGAGCCCACATCCTCTTCTTCCCATCTCCACCCAACACTAGAGCACAGTCACAGCCAGCGCAAATTGGGCTTGTGTCGGGTAGAGCGCCTCGTATGATCCGAGGGTCCTCTTCGAACGTCTCGACGTCCAGAGGCGGCTCGATGATCCCAAAGGAAAATCCCACCTTCACTGGCCGCTCCCTGTGGTTCAGCACCATCTTGAAGTCGTGCTTGGTGGGAATCTGCAATGCCAGATGAGGGGACTGGCGTGGTCGATGGCCTCCTCGCGCAGCTGCGCCTCCCCGTGCAGGAGCATGATGATGAACACGCAGGAGGTTGGTGAGATTGTGCAAGTCGAGGCCTCTTCCATCGGCAAAATTGAATAGACCACCGAAGAAGTCACCATCTTGGCCTGGCAGAGCTGCCCATGGACCGCGAGGCCGAGCTGGCGCAGGCCGATGTGGACCGGGGGCGACACTGTCGTGCACTCTCAGCATCGTCTCCCAGTCTGGCTGCCCATTGCGTTCGGTGAATATTCTTCGCGTAGGTGGAGCATTTCCAGTCTGGTTGCGAGTACCTTGAGATGGGCCTGCGCCGTAAGAGCCTGGCGTACTCCGAGCATTGGCAGTGAGGAAATCTGGCAGGCAGAGGGAAGAAGAAGCAGGAGGAGGGGGAGTATATGTCAGTTGCACTGATCTTGCTTGCGAGCCCTCAGATTGATGCTCTGAGCTGTGCCGGTCTACTCACCTTGCCTCCACCGCTGAGATTCCTCTGCCTCTCGCCGGGCCCTCTCTGCTGCTTGTCTGGCGCCTTCCGACATTCCCGTCAATTCAAAGCCATCATCAGTAGGATCCCTGACCATGGGTCTACGGGCGCCAGGTGTAAAGGCGGTTGCAGCTGCAGCGTCGGCGAGACTGACGGGGTTAGAGGATCGTCTCCTGTTTGTTGGGCGACCTCTCCTTGCAGCTGACGAGCTCGAGCTGCCACCTGCATCATTGAGGAAGTCACGATCACGGCGAGAAAGGACGGCTCCAGGTCTTGCGGTCGATGCTGAGGAGCTGCTACCCCCTGGCCTCCGTGAGCCTGAGCTGCCCTGAGCAGCGCCACTCGAGGATCCTGAGTTGCTTCGTTGGGCAGATCCATTTATCACTGTATCAAGAAAAGATGGTGGAGGTTCTGAGGCTATGGCAGAGCTACTAGGGGTAGCGGTACCGCCTGTTCCTCTGGCAGGACCTGTAGGCGTCCCTCTTCCTACGGGTAGACTGAGTGCTGGAGGTGCAGGCCTAGGAGGAGAGTCTGCGTCCGCTGTCAGATCAATGGCTTGCGACATAGTGTTGAAGGGTGACAGAATCTACAAGCCGATATGACAGCCTGTTGCTTCACCACTTGCTTGAGCCGACTAGGCCCGGAAGGCGGGTGGCGAAGCAAGCTCTGTTGCAATGGGCTGCACGATGTTCGTAGGAGGAACAATATGAAGTGGTGGGCTCAGCAGCAGGTCGGTACCGCAAACGGAGCGGCAAAGCGCAGCTTGCTGCCAACGAAGGGGACAAGAGGTACAGTTGCGGACCGATTCAGATGGTAAGAGTGGCACCACTAGACGATGTCACTGGTCGCCAAGGTGTAGAAGGAGGAGATGGTGTTGGCGGGTGGAGGAAATACGGAAGCGCCTTCAGCCTGCTTGCTCAGACGGACTGACGGCAGGCGCGGCCGGGCGGGGCGGGCCGGCGGACAAGGGACGGAGACGAGGACTTGTAGTGGATCCCCCCTTTGCTCGCCATCATCGTCCTACCATCCACTCCCACTCATACACATCCTCATCTCACCTCGCCGTCATCGTCCTGCTTGGACAGCGGGCCTCACCAAGCGGCCTCAGTGCCTCTCGATCCCTCCCTGCGCTCAGACATGGCAGCCTCAGCCGTGTCCCTCCTGAGGTCCACCCTCGCAGATCAGGCTGCGTTTGCCCCGCGTAGCAGCGATTGGCAACAACGCGGAGATGGCGGCAGCAGTAGTGGTGGCATCGAGGAGGTGCTGCAGGGCAACGGCTTGGGCATGTCAGCCAGTGCTGCCAACAGCCGTACAATGCGCTACCAAAAGCCTGTATACCAGACCGATGCGCCATCTGCCCCTGAAGTGGTATTCGACATCCTCTCAAAGAGGCAGGCTGAGTCGGATTCAGCAACAGTGACCACGCCATCCACTACTACAGAGCCCCTTGAAACCGCCAGTGGGACGGTACACCTTCCGACTGGGGTGACCGACATCTCAGGACAGCCCTCGGCGACATCAGAGGCGGACGCTCGTGACAATCTCTTGGCAATCATGCCGGCATTTGTCTTCTCCATGCCCGCTCAAATCCTCGTCACCGGCATCAACATCGCCCTCGTCTCTGTCATTGCCGTGCATCTGCTATTTACAGTCCAGTACCATCTACCTCTCAGCAGGGACAACTGGATCTTGCAGATGTGCAGCACGCTGATGCTGCTGGTGAGCCTCATCGTCTATCTAAGTGTCGTCTTCTCGTCCTTGCAAGCGCAGAGCCATACTTGGCCATACACTTTCGACTATCTAGCTGCTGCGATACCGCCCACCGATGGGTCTTGGTCAACCGTACGGTGCGCCTTCTACCTGATCATGAGAGCCTTGACCACACTTCTCATCCACCTCACGCACATTCAATATTTAACGCTATTGTACCCATCTGCACTCGAGGCGCGCTTGATCCTTTGGATGCTGGGTCCACTGGCCGTCATTGCAGCTGGCATGGAGTTCACGGCACTCTCCCCTATGGACGACGTCAAGACTAGCGATCTCGGAGATGCTATCCGTAACATTTGCAATAGTACCCTCACCCTCCTCTACTCATGTGCGCTGCTCATTTGGGGAGGCCTCGTCAATCGGAGGAGAGCTTGGCGCAGCGATGGCGGCACAGCTTCCTTCGGAGGGGGGGCCATGGGTCTCGCGATCATGAACACAGTCATGTCATTTGTACAGATCCGATATGATCGCCTATGGTGGCTACCGGACATCTGCTGGACCCTCACACTCTGGCAGAGCTGGCTAGGCTTCTGGTGGTGGGTTGGAGCCGGAATGGGCATCGGAGAGGTCGAGGACCGAGAAGAGAGAGCTGAGAGGAGGAGAAAGAGGTTGGAGCGACAGAAGAGGAAGGCGGAGAACCATAATGGTGAAGAGGGATCCGAGATTTTGACCGGCTTCAAGAAGCTCAAGGACAGATTGACTGGAGACAGCAGTCAAAAGACGACGTCTTCTTCATCGACTGGTGGCACACTTAGCAGACGAAGACCCAAGAGGGCCGACTCAGCAGAAGATCAAGCTGTCCCTGCCTCGGACTCTATGGAGTTGCAAGAAGTACGGACCTCGCGCGAACAGGGTACCCCGAAGAGCAACGCTGCCCCAATACCAGCCGCTGACGGAGCCGGATCCCACGAGCTGACTAATGTCTCCGTAGTTGCGCCCGACCACGATCAGAGTCTTGAGACACAGGACGACGACACGCCCGTCTCCGCCGCAGGAAGTTCCGCAACGACTTCTGGGCGATCATCCTCTCGTGGCCTGGCAGGGCGTGCTTCGATCCTATTGCAGGCCTATACTCCTCATTTCATTCAGCAGCGCATGAGGAGGCTCAGAATTGCCCACGCTGCAGCCGCCGCAAGAGCTGCCGACGAACAGTCGATTGTGAGGAGTCAAGTGCTCGGAGGTACGCGCCAGCCAGGGCTTAGGGCCATGATGCTAGACCGGGATCAAGATGTTTCGCAGAGTCGCAGAAACAGTCGTGCGACTGGCACAGGTAGCAGACGACAGTCTTCCGCTACCGTGGGGACGAGTGGAGAGAAATCGTCCATGGCTGTAGACGGACGTGCGTCGAGCGCATCTAAGAGAACTTCTTCAGCCCTCGGTCTGGCCCCTTCTGCCTCAGCTACCAGCCTGGCCGCCGACCCGCTCACGCCCAACAGCCTCAGCTCCACCGCCTATCCCGCCTCTAGCGCGTCAGTCTCCGCCTCAGCCTCAGGTTCCAGCTCAGGCGCACAAGACCAAACAAGCATCCCCCGCCCTTCCTCGACTACATCAGGGAGCGGACTCCCTCGGGATACTGGCGTAGGAAACGCAGACACTTCTGACCTCTCGGACGACGAAGATGGCGTGTGGGTCGAAGAGGAAGGAGGACCGCACGACGTGCGTGCCCAGCCAGACGGCGCAGAGAGGTCCGCGAGCACTTCTGGCTCTGGAATCGCACTCGCTTCTTCTTCCGCTGCTTCTAACCGTCCAGCAACAGAAGCGTCCCCATCCCGACAGAGTCTGCATTTGCAGACGAACAACCCGCTGAGGGAAGAAGAGGAGGAGGAGGAGGAGGGGGAGGGGGAGGACGAAGAGAGACACACCAGCAGTTCAGGCTCAGCGACGGAGATTGCTCCTGGTCAACAGTTCACCAGCTGGACCTGGCGGGGTGGACTGAGCAAGGCGCGATTAAGGGATCGGAGGACATATGAGTAAGCTGCCTTTCCCTCTTTGCTCTTCAGTGAGAGAGTCAGCGAGCGAGGGAGTGAATGAGGTGCAGAGTTGCTACCTTCATATCTACTTGCACGCGCGTCTTCTGGCCGCTCGCCTCTTCTTGTATCTATATTCTTCTTTGTTGTCGTTGTTCTTGTTGTTGTTGTGGTGTCGATTTCCTGGCTCTGGATTCGGATTCCTTCTCTTGTATCAATACCAATATCGATCTCACCGACTCTACATAGCCGGCCATAGTCGTAGCTATAGCCATAGTCGTAGCTATAGCCATAGTCATAGGCATAGTCATACTTGAAGTCACACACTTCTCACTCAATTCCCAATCGTCTGTGCAAAGCTTCCTTTTCTTACATTCAAGTGTGGTAAGAGCGTGGCGGTCTGCCGGTCTGGCCTACAGTTACAAGGATACCAAGTAAGGTCTCGCCTAGCTAGCGAGAGTGTCTACGAGGTCGGGCCGCGATTCTCATTTCCTGTACTGCTGCTGCTGCTCCTCACACTCGCATTCCCTCCAGCAACCCCAGCCCCACTAGCAGTCGTACCGGTAGCGGTACCTGTCCCAGCACTTCCATTGAGCGACGCAGATGCGCTCAGATTAAAAGGCTTGATCTTTCCCAGTGCTCTACCCTGCCCTCCCCCGCCAGCCCCAACCCCAGTCCCAGCAACACCGGAAGTCTTGAGCATCATACCTGCTCCCACTCCCACTCCCGTGCCAGAAGTGTTAGAGAATCGACTGAGCGTAGAGACTTTTTTCCCTGCCCCTGCTCCTGCCCCTCCCTGAGCACCACTCCCGGCTCTCACTCCACCCTTGAGGTATCCCCCGGCCCCGCTCCCGCCCACTTGCGGGGTAGAAGGCCAAGCGCTAGCAGATGTGAGATCCGCAAGGGACGAGGTGGACTGGGCGAGGAGTGCCAGGTCTGCATCTGTTAGAGCGCTCGAGGTGGAGTAGGGCCGCTTGAGAGAGTTGCTTGTGCTGCTGGCCATGCCCGTATTGGTGGAAGAAGAAGAAGAGAGGGAGGGTCTGCTTGTGCTTATGCTGGAGGAGCCGGTGCCAGTCGAGCTTCCGACGGTCGTGGTGCTGCTGGACGGTCGAGAGGTGCCAGTTGCAGCTTGATTGCTGCCGCTGCTGCTGTACGACTTGCCCGCAGTGGCAGGGAGAGCAGCAGCCTTCGAGATGGTCCCTGTCGACGGTCCCGCTCTCTGCTCCACCGAGGGAAGGGCTGCATTTGCAGAGACGCTCCGTTCCCTTACGGCTGCTGGGACTTCAGCACTTGCAGTCGAGGTGGCAGAGGGGACAAAGGGTCGCTTGCTACTCGTCGCAGCCGAGCCGATTGATGTTGCTCGCAGAGGAGCGTGAAGGCGTGACGAGGGACCAGACTCATTGCTTGTGGGAGCGGGAATGGGAGCGGGATTTGCTGCGGGCATCGTGACATCGCCATCCTCGTCATACTCCTGCTCTGTCGCACTGCGAGCCACCTCAATCTCTTCCTCCGAGTCGGTCGATGGAGCTGCAGGGGCAGCAGCAGGGCGAGTGGAAGCAGATCCGGCTCGTGCAGAGCTGGACGCAGGCGGTACAGAAGCGACAATGGTGTCCTCGCCCTCGTCCTCGCTTTCCTGGTACGAGATGGGCGTATGCGATTGAGTCCGACGGCGATCCCCTTTGACTCCGTTCCTCGGCCAGCTGGGAGCAACTTCGTTCTCCCTCTCGTCGGCAGAGCTCTCGAGCTCGCTGTTGAGCGCACTGCTCCTGCCGCGCTCATCGTCCCCATCTGCATCCTCGTCCTCACTAGGGCCCTCTTCTCCATTAAGACGCGAGCGACTTCCGTTCTTCGAGGGCCGACTCTTGGCAGGACGAGACACAGAGCTCTTGCGTGCAGCAGACGAGGCAGAGGTAGTTGAAACGCCCTGCCGCATCTGTCTTTCTCTCTTGATATCCTTCAAGTCTCCATTCGCCTCTCCCTCACCCGTGCCGACCAATGTCGCAGGACCATTCAGCGCGGCAGAAGAGAGACCGGATGTCCCTCTGACCTCTTCCGGATCGGGCTTGCGCATCTTTGTGTTCAGCTTCGGCAAGGCATAATTGATGGACGGTCTCGCGCGGACAGAAGAGCGTCTAGAGGAGCGACCGCCAGAGGCTGCAGGTGCGTCTTCCTCGTCCGTGGCAGGGGTATCGTACACGTCTTCTAACGGGTCTGTATATGTGGGCAAAGCCAGAGAGGTAACGTCGGTGAGAATCGTTGGCTCTCGTCCAGAAGAGGGTTTCCGCTTGCGAGAGGTGGTGCGTGAAGGGCTGGGTTCGTCGGCGTTCACTAATGTCTTGCTCGAAGATGCTGAACTGACTCGTTGCTTGGAGGACTCGCGGACAGCAGCGACTCGCTCAGAGTCTGTCACGACGTTATCCTTCGGCGCACGCTTGGACTGTGTCTGTGCAACATCTTCCATCGCCTCATCCAAGTCCTCTCGTGATGCTGAGCGGGCTTGAGGCTTCCCCTGCTCAATCATCGTAGCCGGCTTCCTCGGCTGTTCTCGCGACACCTTGGTGGCTGCCAAAGCCCTGCCGTTGGGCTGGTCTTGCCTATGGCTAGCACTAGAAGACAGAGGTGCGACCTTCTTGCCCTTCATAGCCTCGCTCTTCTTGGGTCTGGCAGCAGCCTGGAGGGATGACTCTCCATTGGATGTGGGCGGCAGGAACGAGGTCCACTGAGGGGCAGAGCGTTGAGGGGCGGGTTCGGGAAAGGACGTTATGCGCTCGGGTTCCGGCCATGCAGGCGCTGATGGCTCTTCCTGTAGGAGAGAGGCTGCTGGTGAGGCTGCTACTGACGAGGTTCCTGAGCCATCGATCTCATTTGCCGCGTGAGACCACTCGTGTAACCGTTCATCCTCCTCGTATCCCGCATCTTGATGTTGAGGTTCCTCCATTGCTTCCTCCTCAGACTCCTCGAGGATCCCTTCCTCTCCCGGAGCTCTTGCAATAGCCCTGACCACACCACCCGGCAAGCTCTCCGGGTCCAGCTCAATCCTCACGGAAGCCATCGATGGTGCTACCGGCCGTCTGAGCCTCTTCCCAATTGCACTCCCGCTAGCTCCAGCCTCATCATTGAGGAATCCCATACTCTTTCCCAATTCCAACCAAATATCTCTCCCATTAACACTGCCCTGCTGTGAAGCTTGATGGAGCTCATACTTCAACCGCGCTATCGCACGATAGTTTTGATGCTTGTCTACCTCCATGGATTGGATGCGAGATTCAAGATCGCGAATGCGGAGCTGCAGAAAGGCGTTGGATTTGATGATGTCGCGATTCTGGGAGATGTGTTTCCGCTTGACTGTGGAGAGAGAGAGATTGGGAGTGGGTGTAGCATCGAGTCAGTGGCGAGTACGTAGCAGTAAATCGCAGATCGGCTACTCTGGTTACTCACACTGCTCAAGATGCTCTAGGAAGTACTCGATGTTAGGCCCCCCACCTCCTCCCTCGCGACCAGGCGTCTCGCTGCCGTTATTAGTCCATCCGCTACTCCTCCTAGTATAAGGAGGCATGACCCAAAGATCACTTGATTCGAGTTCCTCACTCGAAGTCTTTCTTCGCAAGCGCTACCAGGACAGAAGTTCCAGAGGTGTAGATGAGGCTGGGGTATCAGTGTTGGTGTTGGTGGTAGTCTAGGTGGAAGCGGTGCGGAGGCGATGGATGCTTTCCAGGTTTCGGAAGCAGCGTCGAGGCGAGGCGAGGCACGCAATCAACACTGGAAGCGTGAGCCAAGGCGCGCCTCGCACACAAAAGTCACGGGCAGCCCATGCGCCAAGCCATGAGTGGCTCCTCCACGCTTCGCACACGCAGGGCGGCTACGGGGAAACACCTCGGTAGCATGCAAGGCGACTTCATTCAGCAGTACACTCAGACAGATGCTCGCATGGCAAGCTGTAAAGATGGGATACCAGATCATTTCATCCAACAGGGTATGATGGGGAAGTAAAGGCGGGCATTGCAGTCGACTATACTCTGTCTCTCAGGCCGCTGCAACCTCGGCAGCGCTGCCCTCGATCTTCGACTTTGCCGCCCCCAGCCCACCCAAGCTGAAGACCGGCCCCTGACCCTTCAACCCATAGAACATCAACCAATTAGCCACCTTGGGTGCCTCCCTCCCTCCGACCGAGTTGAGAATCTCCTGCGAGAGGATCCCGCCTAGAACAGCAGTCGTGGGCGCAAAGTCGGCGGGCTGTGTTGGGTGTACTGGCAGAGCATTGGTCAGGAAGGTCTCTGCCCATTTCTGAGCGTCAATTCCTTCTGCGGACCACAAGAGATTGACGTCTAGTTTGACAGACTTCATGAGCTCCTCGACCGTTGCCAGGAGAGTAGAAGGGAGAATGTCCTCCGGACCTTGAGCAGAGCCACTCTCTTGCAGCTTCCAGATGGCTGTAGAGCGTTGAGACAACGAATATCATCAGACACACGCTGCAAATTGTTGTCTCCTTGACGACCGATCAACTCACCCCATGTTCCCCACATATTCTCACTACCCTTCAGCGACCTCTTGACAGCATTAGCATTTCTGGCCTTCCAATCATGCTGCAGCGCTGCAGTCAGAGGTACAAAACTCTGCTCTTGCAGCTCTGTCCAGGTCTTCTCCACTGCTGCATTCTTCTCGTCTCGATGTGTGCTCTTGCGCTCTACAAGGAACTGATGATCATCTCCAAGATCTTGGAAGATCCAGCCATCAAGTCCTTGTGAAGAGGATGCGTGGAACTTGACTTTGGCTGACCTGCATTCGGCATTGAGTTGCTGGAGTGATGACTGGCTGAGGCTGGAAGGTGAGAACGGATTGGAGTTGGTGTACACGACTGCCGATAGGACCTTGTCTGAACCAGTCAGGAAGCGAAGTATCGACTCTGCGGTAGGCGGCTTGACCACTGTGGTGATTGTGACATGCGGATTGAGAGAAGAGAGTCGAGCATGTGCGGCTTCCACCCGCTAGTAGATAAAAGAGAGCGTTAGATGTGAGCAAGGTCCTCTCTCGGCGAGTCATTTATCAGCTCACCTTTTGCCCCACATCCTCCTCTCTCCAGACAAAGCCAGCAGTCAAAGAGTACCCATCTACATCTCCATCATCGAGTAGAATGACCTCCTTGACTCCTGCCAAGATGAGGTTCTTGGCAGTCTCGATGGCTACTCCACCTTGGAAAGGAGCAATGAGAACGCGACACTGGCGGATGCGGGATTGAGCGACGGATCCCCACAGTCTGAGCTGTCTATCATAGAGAGCTGCCTCCTCTGGAAGAAGGTAAAAGGAAGTCATAGAGTAGGCAGTCGGTACTCTGTGCAACTAGCTCTGATTCTACCGCCTCCACCTGCCCTGTCTCACCTTCTGTCATCTGCTCGTCTGCTTCCTGTCTGTGGTTGGTAGCGCCATTGACAGCTGAGCCGTTGCTGGAAGACGCAGTGTCTCTCTGTGCAGCTTCAGGAGCAGCTGCTGATGTCGATGTTGCCGCAGACATTGTTGCGTATGTGTGTGAAGAGGTGGAGAGTGAAGACGACTCGTTGTGTCATACGAGGTGTTGTACTCTTCCCCCTTTATTCTGATCTTCGGAAGGAACAAGGACGTCGGGGCGGAACGAGTGTCTGCACAGGCCTCTCTGCTCCAGGCTGGCCACAGTCTTCCCCCGCCTTGGGTGCATCGACGCGCAGCGCAACACTCCGCCTCGACGGGAGTGGAGAGGCGACGACGACGACCAGCAGAGACGATCAACGGCATCACCACCACACTCGCCGTCACCATCCTCACCCCTCACAACACCACGCGCCGCTCCTTGGCCCATTCGTCCTCTTCGTCTGGTCTTGCCATACCTGGTTCTCGTCAGCAAGCATCGAAAGCAGGCAGAAAGGCGCATCGCATCATCTCCTACACAGCATATAGCCTCCCTTTTGGGGCGACGTCGTCAAGATGACGTCCCTCTTCACCCGCTCACAGCAAGTCGCCGCCCTCGACCCTCGTCTGGGCGGTCTGATGGCCTCTCTGGGTCTATCCAACCTCCGTGCACTCATAAAGGCTATTCGAGCGTGCAAGACCTACGCCGAAGAAAGGGCCCTGATCCAAAAAGAGTCGGCAGCGATCAGGACGTCCTTCAAGGACGAAGATCCTCTGCTGAGACACAACAACATTGCCAAGCTCCTCTATATCCACATGCTTGGCTATCCAGCTCATTTTGGACAGATCGAATGTTTAAAGCTTGTAGCCACGCCCAGATTCACAGACAAGCGTCTCGGCTATTTGGGAGTGATGCTCCTCTTGGACGAAAACACCAATGTGCTCATGCTCGTCACCAATGGACTCAAGAATGACATGAACCACTCAAACATGTACGTCGTTGGATTGGCGCTGGCTACATTCGGTAACATCGCCTCCGAAGAGATGTCGCGAGATCTGAGCAACGAGATCGAGAGGCTCATGGGATCTAGCAACACGTACATCAGGCGGAAGGCGGCAATCTGCGCAATGAGGATCGTGAAAAAGGTGCCGGACCTGCTGGAGAACTTTACGTCCAAGGCAAGGTCTCTGCTCAACGATAAGAATCATGGTGTGCTCCTTTGTGCAGTCACGCTTGCTATTCAGATATGTCAGGACGAAGAGGCAAAGGAAGAGTTCAGAAGCGTGAGTAAGGACAAGCAGGCAACTAGGAGCAGACGATACTCCAGCCGTCGCGAGTCTTGTACCTTGAGCTGACTCCGATCGATTCACTCGGCTTTCCAACCTGCAGACCGTTCCCCTCTTGGTTAGACAGCTCAAGTCGCTCGTCTCTACTGGCTACTCCCCCGAGCACGACGTCTCTGGCATCACAGATCCCTTTTTGCAGGTCAAGATTCTCCGCTTGCTACGGATACTGGGCAAGGGCAACGCGGCCGCTTCTGAGGCCATGAATGACATTCTCGCCCAAGTAGCCACCAACACCGAGGCATCCAAGAACGTTGGTAATGCCATTCTGTACGAGACTGTCTTGACCGTACTGGAGATCGAGGCGGAGAGCGGATTAAGGGTGATGGCCATCAACATTCTGGGCAAATTCCTCAGCAATCGGGACAACAACATCAGGTGAGTCCGGGACAGTAAGCTCTGTTTCTGCGAGGAGGTCTTCTCTGGTGCTGACATACGTCTCTGATGCGCTCTGTAGGTATGTGGCCCTGAATACTCTGAACAAGGTCGTTGCCATGGACACAAATGCCGTGCAGAGGCATCGCAACATCATCCTTGACTGTCTTCGAGACGGCGACATTTCGATCAGGCGGAGATCATTAGAGCTTACTTATGCTCTCATCAACGAAGCCAACGTTCGGGTACTCACGAGAGAGCTTCTCGCCTTCCTGGAGGTGTCGGACAATGAGTTCAAGCTCGGTCTCACTACGCAGATTTCATTGGCGGCAGAGAAGTTCGCACCGAACCGTAGGTGGCATATTGACACCGTGCTTAGGGTCCTGAAGCTCGCAGGAAACTATGTAAGAGAGGAGATTTTGTCTGCTTTCCTTCGCCTCATCTGCCACACCCCCGAGCTGCAAGCTTACACAGTTCAACGACTGTACTCTGCTCTTCACGAGGACTTCAGTCAAGAAGGTCTGACCATGGGAGCAGTGTGGACAATTGGAGAGTTTGGAGAGCTTCTGACACAGGGAGCAAGTCTGGAAGACGAAGAGCTCGTGAGAGACCTCAAGCCCAGCAATGTCGTCGACCTCATCACATCGCTGCTCGACTCTCCCTACGCCAACTCGCAGACAAGGCAGTGGGTCCTCACAGCGCTCGCAAAGCTAGCTGTTCGATACTCTTATGATGGATCACAAGTGACGAAGATCCACCAGATCTTGACGCGCTATGAGACGTCGGTGGACATGGAGCTGCAGCAGCGATCAGTCGAGTTTGAAGCTCTACTGAAGCGGCAAGACATCAGAGAGGGCGTCTTGGAAGCAATGCCTCCTCCTGAGATCAAGACTACAATGGTGGGCACGGTCAGTGAGAAGAGGGCAGTAGGCAGTACAAGAACAGACAAGGATGCTCTGCTAGACTTGATGGGAGATGAGATGCCTGCTGGTAACAATGGCAATGCCGTCGGAAGCGCCAGCAACGGCTCGAGAGCAGGGGGAGCACCGCAGAGCACGCAAGACCTACTGGCGGACATCTTCGGTGGCGGTGATTCAAGCGGAATGGCGGCAGCAGCAACGTCGTCCGGACCGAGCGGTACTGGTGCAGCTGGGGCTTCTAGCAAAGCCTCCGTGAATGATATTCTGGGACTGTTTGGCAACACAAGCAGCAGCAGTAGCAGTACCGCAGGGCCTTCTTCCGCCAGTAACGGTCTGGCAGGGCTCGATGGTCTCGGAAGCCCGACTGGCGCTGCCAACAACTCGGACTCGCTCGCTGGACTGGACATCTTCGGCGGCGGCAGTGCGGCTGCATCTACGCCTACGTCAGCGCCAGCACCAGCGCCGGCCAAGCCTACGCCCTCTCCTGCTTCGACGAGTTACACGGCCTACGATGCCAAAGGTCTGAAAATCACATTCACGCCCAAGGTCAGCCCCGCTAGACCAGACGTGGTGAACATCTTGGCCGAATTCACCAGCTCAACGGATGTGGAGGGCGTGACACTGCAGGCTGCTGTGCCCAAGGTGAGTTCGAGAGGAGCAAGAAGACATGAAGAGCAGGGCAACAGTAGATTGACTTATTTTTCCCTCCCCCTCACCTTCATCCATTCTGTCCTCTCTTTCTGCAGTCACAAAAACTCCAAATGCTCGCCGCATCCAACAGTACGGTCCTACCAGGCAAGACGGAGACGCAGCAAATGCGCGTAATGGCTCCTTCAGGCACACAGATTCGTCTACGACTTCGTATTGGGTTTACAGTTGCGGGAGCACAGGTGCAGGAACAGGTGGATTTTGCGGGATTTCCTGCGGGAATGCACTGAGGTGTTAGTGGAAGGTTGGTAGATTGTGAAAGGGGGGAGAGAGAGAGGGAGAGAGAAGGTGGGGGTGGCTTACGGAGAATAGGGGCGTGTACTTGTAGAGCAGGAGGTAGGGAGAGACGCAGACGCAGAAGTGCAAAGATCAATGAAGACATTTTCCCTTGCATTGAAGTGAGCACGAGTGATCTCGAGCGAGCGATCGATCATAGGCGCGGCGGATCATTCTATTTGCGAAAAGGGGAAAGCAGACAGACAGACAGACAGACAGGCAGGTATCCAATCAAGACGACTTGACTCATTCCTCCTTTATGCACAGCTGTGCTATGCTATGCGGTCCTGTACATGTGCCGTGCTGTACATGTGCTGTACATGTGCTATGCTGTGTATGTGCTGCGCATGTAATGTGCTCTCTATATTGATCTTAATCTCCAGCGAAGCGAAAAGACGCGAGCAAGAGGAAGCGAGCGAGCAAGAAGGAGTGAGGGGGAGGGAGCGAGTGAGCACTAGGCAGAATGTACAGAAGCGAAACGAGAGAGATAGAGCGAGAGAAGAAGCGAGGGAGCGCGGGAGCGAGAAGTATGGAAACCGAACGGAGAGCAGGGAGCAGGTAGCAGGAAGCAGAGAGCAGGTAGCAGGAAGCAAGCAGGAAGCAGGTCTGTCTGTATTGATGAAGGAAAGAATTTTGCAAAATGAGCGAGATGAGAGAGAAATCCTTGGACTGTAATGGTGACACTGTATGAGAGATGATGAGGCGAGATGAGAGAGGATGCGAGGAAGAAGAAGAAGAAGGTGAGGGTGATACAGCAAAGCAAAGCAAGGCAGAGGAGGAGAGGGGATAAGAGGAGGTATACGAAGCACTTCTAGAACGTTGCCCCAACTCTACGAGGCTTGCCACGAATCAAGCTCACCCTCACCCACCCTCCCTTGGTAGTTGTACAGTCCTGCGAGCTCAAAACTCGCCCGTGGGCGTAGCCGATCCACTCTGGTGCAGCGGGCTGGGCAATCCCGCCGCGTTGCTCCCAGGAATCGTTGCGGCTACACCTCCCACGCTAGGGAAACCTCTAGGGGAGGGACTCCCATTGCGGCTGCGACCACCACTGTTATTCCCACTACCAGTGCCAGAAGCGGAGACTGAGCCGATGCCGAGGGCTGAGCCAGCACCTCCTCCTAGCCCTAGGCCTAGTCCGGGAACACTATCGCTGCTCCAGCAATACTTCTGGATCAACTCGCTCAGGTCTGCTGCAGAAGTGGGGAGCTTATCGGCAGGAGCAGTGATGCTGCCTGGGGGAGACCACCTTCTCTGCGATACAAGACGGGGCGTGGAAATGTGCGAAGCATCATCGCTGCCACTGACACTGCCGCCGCCACTGCTGCTAGTGCTGTTGCTGCTGCTGCGAGTACTACTGCTGCCACTGCCGCCAAAGGCACTGGGGAGACCATCGAGGGACGCCATGTCTGGTGTGACCAGGTCAGAGGACTCGCTCTCCATGGAAGAGACGGATGTGCTTGGGGAGAAGAGGGACGAGTCGGACATGTGCGATACCGTCATGGGCCTCGTAGGGGACTGTGCAACGGGCGGTGAATCGTAATTCTCCAAGACGAGACCATCGTCCTTCTTCTGACGAGCCTTGAGAGTAGAACGAGGCAGTGTCAGGATTCTGGCTGGAGGAGGAGCACGACTGCTTCCGCGAGTATCGTCTACCTGATCTTCCTCTTCGTCCGAGTCTGAATTCTCGAGCGAAGTCTGGCCCGAGGCCAATGGCGACACGTGGCCCTTTCGAAGCGGGGCAAAAGGGAAGAACTTGTTGCCACCAGTAGGAGAGCGTTGCGTAGGCGAATTGCCATCGCCTGGACTCAATCTGCCGTCCCTACCAGCCGCTGCGACTGCGAGACTGGCGGCGTACATCCTGTCTGGAGAGTTGCTTGCTGAGTTGGCCGCCGAGCCTTCGAGCGATGATGCGAGGGAGGCGCTCAGAGAAGGTGAGCTGACTGGCTGATGGTGTGCAAAGACGTCGCCGACAGCTGGACTCAGCATTCCAGCACGAGTCTGACCGAAGTTGTTGACCATCGGCGTGGACACGACACTGGAATTTTGAGACGGAGGCGAGGCAGCAGAGACGTAGAGGGACGGAGCATTGGAATCGACGTCGCCCATGGCAGAGGCCGGGGGAGGCGGCTTTGAGTTGAAGTAGTCATAGACAGCGGGGCGAGAGCGTGCAGATGAAGAGGTGGAGTTGCGGAGAGACTCATTCCAGTCGTAGCGGGCGCTCCACATTGGTGACACCCCGTCCGCACGAGGTCCGGGTGAGCCTGGAGGCGATGCCGTAGATCGCTTCTGCCTCAAGCCAGCAATGGGACCACCGACGACTCCCGTCGATGCCACAGCCGCAGCCATCTTCTTGGTGATGATGGGCAAACGGTCGTGATCTTCCTCGTCAGACTTGAGCTTGTCGAGCTCTCTCCTGAGATCCTCGACGAAGCCTCCACTGCCCTTGCCACTCTGAACACCATGACGTCGGACCATCTCGATGACGCGCGCTTGCTGCGTAGACAAGGGACCACTGAGGGTCTGAGCTCGTGTAGATGGTCGAGTCGCATTGGGCGTAGGCATGGGGGTCGACGGAAGCTGACGTTTCCTGAAGTCCAGCTGGTAGTTCAGGCCGTCATTGTTGTCCCAGTGTTGTCCATCACAGGTAGTGTAGCGCAAGCAGAGAAACATGGTCTTGGTCTCGTGCTGACCAGCGCCTCGAGGCCAGTCAAGGAGCTCATTGAGCTTGATGGAGAAGGCGAAGCGATCTGCTGAGCCATCTGCGAGGGATTCAGAGTACTCGGCTGACACCTCATTGACAGTGACCCAGTTGTCGAGCGTGAAACGGATTGCAACCCACTTCTCAAAACTAATGTTCCTCACTCTCACTGTACCTTTGACTGAGCGCAGATCTTCGGCCAGGTAGATCCTTTCCAGGAAGACCGTCTTATCAACGGACAATCGAGCCGAAGAAGGGAAGTTGGGCAATCGGAGAACCAGCTGTTCTTCGACTGGTGCCTGACCAGGGATGCTGCTGATGGTGGGCGTGGTTGCACTTGGGGTGCCACTTGGCGGCGAGGGACCCTTGCGACCGTAGTTGACAAAGGGAAAGAGCTCCCTCTCCTCCTCAGTCTCGGTTTCCGTCTGCTCAGGTGAGCCGGACCGTGAGATGGCGGTGGGCTTCTGTTTGAACTTGAAGACCTTGATGTGCTCTAGATGTGAGTCAAATTGCACCACCTTGGCCACCGAAGGAGTGTTGGGAGTGCTCTTTGCTCGCATCTGCGCCGCGCTAGCAGCGGACGCTGGCATGCTGTCGGAACGGCTCATCCTGGTCACTCGTCCGCCGGAGGTGCCACCGACGAAGGAGCTGTTTCGGAGAGCGGGCTTGATGAGTCGACCGCTCTTTGTCCGGACTTCGTTGGGTAGATCAGAGGTGCTCTGAGGAGCCGATGCGTCTCCGACGGCTGGTTTGGGCAGGTTACTCATGTCCAGCGACAAGGCAGAGGGAGGTTCCAGCGGTGGGGTTCTGGGTTGACCTCTGATCTGCTCCAAGACAGATGTGAGACCATTGTCATCCTTATTTGATTGCGAAGAGGGCGCTTCATCGGTGGAGCTGGGAAAAGGCAGACCAGGTCGACTGTTCTTGGAGGTAGCATCACCGGTCTGCGGGATGCGGTTGGGCATACTAGCATAAGCTGGTGTGAGCCGCATCAAACGAGGTCGACGACTAGCTTGAGCTTCGAGTAGAGCCCTCAATCGGCTCTCGTCATCTCCTGGCAGAGCCGAAAGAGAGGTCCTGATTGCAACGGGAGAGCCTTCAGTGGAAGAGACGGCCGTGGATGATGCTGGGCTGACGCCATCGTCGTGCTCGTCATCACGGTCAGGAGAAGTGTTGTTGCTGCTGTTGTTGCTGCTGTTGTTGCTAGAGGACGATGGTGTACCAGTACTCGAGGAGGTACTGGACCCAGACGTAGCAGCAGAGGCAGTGGGTGGGAGGTTTTGACTGATCGACATCTTGAGATGGTGAGAACCCTGAGACCCATGACTGGGCCGTCTTGGTGGGCTGAGGTTGAAGGCGGTGACAGAAGGAAACCGCGACGCTTCTTGCGATACACTGCGAGCGTGGTGGCGAGGTCGGACGGGTGACTGCGAAGCTACACTCTGCTGTTGCTGCGAGGATGCAGCAGAAGAGGAGGAGAATTGTTGGTGCGATGAGGTGGCAGTGGGCGTAGAGGCAGAGGAAGAGGATGTGGATGCATCGGCAGGGCCACTACCGCTGTTCCTCCTCGAGGAGGAAGCAGAGGACGTTGTGCTCATCCCGCGATGATTGGCCGTGGAAGAGACGTTGCCGTCCGACGAGTTGAAGGGGTGGTATGGCAATGACCTCACCGTTGGCGACGATTGACACAGCATCCAATCTTGCTGAACGGAAGGCGGGTGAAGGAAGTGGGGGTTTGGGTCACTGTCTGGACCAATGCACAAGGCGATGTTACAAGGGATGAGCCGAATATGTGCAAGGCTGATTCCAGGGTATGGTTGCGCTTGTATACGTTCCTCTTGCGGTAACGAGGGGTTTGAAGTGGACCCTTTTTGCGTTGACTTTGCTGCAGGGGCTCTAGGCTGAGCCGTAGGATTATCGGATCGAATGAGGAGGCAGAAGGAATGGACCAGAAGGATATACCTATGCTATAGTTGATGCAACGCTGACGGCGATGCTGGAGTAGATGGGCGGATGAAGGATTGCGAGAGAAGAAGCTACAGGTTGCGGCCTTGGATCGATGGGAATAGAATGGTGGGAAGCGCCAAGGAGGACTTCGCGTAGCACAGCACACCTTGGGTGGGGCGGAGAATCGGGCGACGGGCGCCGGTGGCTGGCTGCAGCGGTGACTTGCGTGAGAGCAAAGAGCGGGTAGAGATAAAGGCAGCTTGGGTGATTGTGGTCCTCGGCCAATGGAGCAGACCCACGAATACACCAGATGACGGAGGATGGCAGAGGAGAGTATACAAGAGTGCGAGAGAGAGAGAAGAGCAGAAGGGTAAAGCCAAGGGAGGAGGGTCGGATGGAAGCCGACGGGGTAGGCGGAGAGGCAGGCAGGCAGTGAGCCAGGCGACTACGAGGACCTTTTGCAGAATCTCTCCTTGTGCGTGTGTGTGTGTGTGTGTGTGGGTGGGTGTGGGTGGGTGGGTGTGCTGCGTGCATATGCCGCCTGCGTCTGCCTGTGCCCTTGCCGTGGCGAGTTTTGGGGCCAGCGGTGCGGCACCAGAGCAACTCACGGCCCTCCGCCACGGCCTTCATCTCCGTCAGACATCAGCCCTTGACTCGGCCGCCGCACTCCGTCCTGCTGGGGCAGATGGAGCCGATCGCCCGACGAATTCCTCGATCCACGCCAACACGACGCGGGACATTGACATCCTCCCCCCCACGCACGCGACCAGGCGCCAACCAGCAGCAAAGAGCGAACTCGAACGCAGAGGGAGCATAGCCGCCTCACAGCATTTCCCTCATATCTAAGACGTGACGTGATCCTACCTAGCGATTGCCATGTAAAGACCCGTGTCTTGGATAGAAATCTGCGCAATGATAAGAAAGACATCCAGGCCTCCCACCTTGGTGCTTCCATTGTCTCGCCACAGTAACATCGCTTCTTTTTCTTTTTCTTCTCTCTGCGGGGAAGACAGGCAGACAGCACTGGGGAATGGAATGGAGATGCATTCTCCCTCTTGGCCAATCGCCGTCTTCTCCTCCTTCTCCAAGGCGAGCGGAGGGGGGGAATGAATTCCAGCAAAGGGTCAAGCGAAAGGGCTAGAGGCTGACGGACTGGAGCTGAGTATTCACTGCAAAACTCCTCTCCTTGGCCAGCCCTACGTCTAGGAGCACCTGGGGATGCAAGGCACTGCAGCGGAGCGGGGATTACTCTACTCTTTCGGCTTGTTCTTTTTCCCTCGCGTGAATCCTATCTCCGCCCTTCCCTGATCCAAAGCCCCAAGAAACGGAGATAGGGTCCAAGTCAGCAGGAGGGGCGGAAAAGGAGAAGAGCAAGGTGAGGTAATGGGGGGGTTGGAAGCAGCGGAGTAAAGGGCGGAGCGGTAAGCCTCTTTCAGCCAGTCGTCGATGCCATGCAGCCTTCCCTATGCCAGGGGCGGACAGCATGCCTGCAGCACCACTGGCCTGTATGCAGCACCCTGCAGCGGACTATCAATGCAGCCAAGAAGCCACTGGACCCTGAGCCTGGTTTTGCTCGTGGTCCTCTCTTCCTGCTACTGAAACATTGGTCTCCTTGACTACACCAGTCGGCCGACTTTGATATGAACCCCACTCGACCCCCGCACGCGGACGCACAAGGCGCTCTCGAGGGCTACAGGAATTTCAAAAGAGGCACCTCGAGCCTTCACTGCTTTTCCTCATGCATCCTTAGCCCCACACCGCTCCCCAGCCTGCAACCTGTGAGCGCTCATGGTCCTCCTATGCCATGCTAGCTAGAAGCAGGGGCGCCGTGGGGGAGGGGTTGACACTTCTTCATGGCATGACAGTTAGGGAGCCCCGCATTACTTTGCCTTTACGCTTACACCTGCATGACGTGGGCTTAGTGATCACTTTAAGCCTCGTAGACGCGTTGTGTCTCTGCTTCTGGGAGGGTCTCAGTGGCTTGTGTAAGTCAAGATGAGCTTAGCTAAGATTGAAAGGGGAGATGGGAGATGGGAGATGGGAGATGGGAGATGGGAGAGACAGGTTCCAGCTGACGGCACCAAGGGACCGGGTCAGACGAGACGAGGAGATCATTCATCCAAAGCCCCTGGCGACCGACACCTTCAGGTCAACTCTTCGTATTCTTTGTGCCTTACTTTGCTTCTCTCGCCAATCACTCCTGTCCTCCCTCGCTTACATCTTTCCCAAAGAAGAAGAAGAAGAAAGGAAGGAGCCAGAAAAGTACCCGACACGAAGGAACGCCCGTCCGTGCGCCCCATCAGGGCCGAACCGAGCCGAAGCGAACCGAGCCAAAAACAAAATCGCAAACAAGCTCAAAGCTCAATCTTCCTCTTTTTGGAATTTTGCTATACTCCGCCTCTACTCTAAACTAAAACAACCCCAATCATTTCTCATTCCTTCTTTTTTGTGTCGGTTTTTTTTTTCATATTCCTTTCTCGTTTGTGCTTGGATTTTGAGTTCATCCTTGTGTCCTCTGGTGGCTTTGAGTTTGAGATTCCACAAGGGGAGGAGGTGACGGGGGTAGATCCCCATCCCCATCCCCATTGGGGCTAGTGGAAAAAAAATTCCTTTAGCTTTGACCGCCTTTTGCCTCCTGGAATGTCCAGGAAGAGTGGAAGCGCACATACTAGCTTGAGGGGTAGGGGGAGGGGGAGAGGGGGACGGTCGGAACTTCCGCTCGGTCCTTTCTGGAGCAGAGCAGAGCAGGGCAGAGCAGAGCAGAGCAGAGCAAGGAAAAAGGGGCGATCAGCAGCGCACCGACATGGGAAGGCTCTCATGGGGAAGCGAGGCGAGGTGCAGCAGGCAGAGGGAGCATGTACTGCTACTGTTGTTCGTTCAAATTGACATCTTCGTTATGCTCGCAGAGCAGATGAGACGGTCACCAGTGATATGGATCTCGAGACTGCAGAGCTCTCTATGCTGGCAAGATTGAAAAAAGTGATTCTCATTGTGATAGTGATGCTAATGAAGTGGATTGATGTGATGTCAAGTGAAGTGATGCTTTAAGAAGCTTTTTAGGTGCTGTAATGAGGCCGCGAACTTGGTGACTGGTGACAAAGAGAGAGCGTTTTTGTGTGTGGACATCTGAATGTGTGAATGTGTGAGAATGTGTGGGTCTATTATGAGCAAGAGAGAGGGGTGAAGAGGGGCCTGAAAGTGGGTACGAGAAGTGCAGGCGAGGGACTGCGGGTCCAGCGGTATTTAGCCGGCCCGGACTCGAGCCCCGAGCCCCCCGTGCCCGTATGCTGATGGGATGAGAAGAGGCACCGGCTGGACCGTCATGCTGAGGGAAGGACGGTCATCGTGACTTGATTGTCGTGCTTGTCTGATGAAGACTGCTCGCCCCATCTGATGGAACCAGAGCGAACTTTTGACTGAATGCTGTGAAGTGGTGGTGTCCCTTATTCGCCTCCTTGCCTTGTTGTTTTGATGTGTGATGTGATGTGTTGATATACAAATGAGTCGTGTCTTTGGTTTTGAGTGAAATGCTTCTGGTTCTGTTTGTTTCGCGAGGACATAGGATGCGAGCGTACTTTCTCACGCTTCCAGCTCGAGATTCTCGATGTCGTCGAATCCGGGATCGACTTTCGCTTCGGCATCGTAGCCGCTGTAGTCGACATTGCTGTCGTGCTCGGCTTGGCTTGCACCCGCCCCCCTTCCACGGGACTCATCGAGCACAGCAGAGCACTTGTTGTTGGGACTGGCCCGGGACATCTGCAAGGCCCTTCGCGAGCGCTCTACGGGAGATCGCCCACGGCGAGGTTCATCCTCGTCGTGATCCATCGAAGCAGCTCTTGACTCTACTCCGTCGTGCAGCGCTGCGCCCGGACTGTCCTCCTCATCACTCCCTCGCTTGGACGGCGACTCGATGGCGATGGGGTCACTCCTAGGGCGCACAGCATCGAGCGGTGGAGAGTCTGGGTTGACAGCCTTGCGTTGGCGCTCTTCGCTTTGCAATGCCACGGAGCGACCTCGAGCTGCTGCCCTAGGTGGGCTGCGACTGCGCCGAGAGACAGAGCGTTGACCTCGAGCCTTTGAACGACCTCTTGAGTTGGACGCAGGCTGATCTTCGTTCGCGAGATCCACTGCGGCATCTTGCTCGGGTACGGCAATGTTCTTGGCAACATCTTGTGCAGTCTCATCCCTCCGAGACTGAGCTGGAGTCATTGCCAAGTCGCTCAGGCGTGCTCCGCCAAAGTGCTCATGAATGCTGAGGCCAGCTTTCGCGCTGTGGGTATGCTTGTGTCGAAACATTGAACGACGAGTCGTCTGCTCATCAAGCTTGACCGAGGCGTCAATAGCGCGTGCTGAGTTTGCAGCACCAGTCTGCTCCGTTTGCGATGGTGCGCTGTTCTTACGGCCGAAGGAGAAGGACGAGGTGTTGAAGTACGAGGTCCCGAAGCAGCTGGAGAGCGAGATAGTGAGGAAAGGATCCGAGACGTATATCAGTACCGCGGCAGCCATGGTGATAACAATTTGCTTGTATGAGCAAGGAACAAGTATGAGGAGAAGAGAAAGGTGATCTGCTTCTATCAAATATAAGACACTCACCCTGGTCGTCCGCAGACTTCATTTGAGGCGGTCAAAGAGCCGGGACTTATTGCTCGCATGGTTCGTGCAGCGGAAGAACTTCCAGAGGCCCCTGAGTCGTGCTGTTCAGGGGACGCTTCGCCCTCCGCATGAGCCTGTATCTCTGCTGAGGGGTCTGACCGCGTCCTCTGAACGCGCATGCTCAGGCCAGTGTCCAGTGGGGATCGGGCAGGGGTGTCGACTGAAGCTGCCGAGGCGCTCGGACCTCCAAAAGACCCGCAAAGGCCGGCCTTGATCTGATCAAAGGACCTTCGCAAATCAGACCGGCTTTTGTAAGATCTTCGGGTGACCGTGCCCTCAGCATTGACCGTGGAATTCTTGGCAGCCAGCACGGGCGAGTAGAGGATTGGAGCGGGAACATTTGTGCTGCCCGGTCTTCGAGCAAATGCAATGGTTGAGCTAGGAGCAGCGCTGGCCGTCTCGCAGCCATCACCGACGCTTGTCCTGGGTCGACGAGGATACTGGTGTTGCGTGGGAGAGACTTGGCGATCGCTACGACTTCGATGGTGGTACACTGACTGGTGGTTCGCAGTGAGCATGGCAGCAGTGGCCGGCGATACCGAAGGAGGCAGACGAAAGTCGCTGCTGTTGAGATCCTCATCGTCGATGCTAGCATTGGAGCGATTGCTGGAGGCAGAGTCACAGCCCCGGTTGGCCATCCCTGGCGAAGGCGTGCTGGGGTCGGTAAGGAAGGCGGAAGATGAGGCTAGCGAAGAGTCGGTCGAATCCGCAGAACTACGTCGTGCAAGTGATGGCCTGATCCCGTGAAATTCGCCCCTGCTGGAGGTGCGACTGACGTTGCGAGGTCGGTAGGAGACATTGCCCTGTGCGCCAAAGAAGTTCGTCGGAAGGTTCCTCTCGCCTGGGGTAGTCTTCCGCTGAGCAACGAGGCTGGGCGAAGGTGGGCATGGGTATCGGAAGCGTTGGAGGCTATCGATGTCAGCTGCCGTGGTGTTGGGAAAGTAGTGTCGAGTTGATGGAGCCAGCTTGGCTGTTGGAGGTGCCGACGCAGGAGTCAGGAAGGAGCTGCCATGGGCGAGGAGATCATCCTGATGGTTGCGATGGTTCTCAGCTCCCTCCTTCTGTCTGCAAGCGTCGGAGCAGTAGAGCTGGGAAGCCTTGACCTGAGCTCCACAAGCTGCACATTGCTCGTCTGGTAGCCAGGAGAAGAGCTCCTCGGTGGGTGTAAAGGGCGTCTCGAGACCTGGCGAAGGGGCTCCTCTGCCAGGAGAGAGGGCATACTTCCTCCTGGGCAGAGCTGAGCTTGGCATGTCAGCTCAGGATTGGTTGGCAGAGCCGTGGGCAGTGCAGTGTAGGCTTGTCAGCTATCAGAGAGGTGTTCTGTAAGGCTGAGCTGGTAAGGTGAGGTGAGGAGGAGGAGATGAGGAAGGAGTGGTGGTGGAGGAGGAGGAGGTCTTGTAGGAAGATGTGCCTGTTGCGTCCGGGCTTGGGGGGTGCGCAGCCCGGTTGTGATGCTTGGCGTGAGGGCGATAGGAAGAAGGCAAGTGTGATTGTGACTCGGACTAACGTGACCGCCCTAAGATTGCTGGAGGTCAAGCTCTGGGGGATCACTTGACTGTGCCTTTGCGGGTTTGTTCTCCTGTCTTTGCCCAGCCAGCCCCTTGCAAGGATCTTCCCTAATCAAGGGTGGGCCTGAGGGTGCGAGCGTGAGGAGCCCGGGGCGGGTCGGTGCGAGAAGCCCGGATGCAAGGGCGGAGTGAGTGTGCAATGCTTCTTCCTTTGTCAGGAACAGAAGTGGCCGAGGCGGTGATGGGTGTTGCGCTCAAGGTGAGGGGCGCGGTGGAAGTGATCTGGCGGCGACGAGGGGCGTGTGATGCTAAAGTGGTATGAATGGATACGATGGGAAAATACAAGTTGAGCACAGCAGCAGCAGCAAGGGCCTGCTACCCACGATGAGGACCGCCAAGAAGTGTGCGTGGGAGGAGCTTGCCTGGGGGGGGCCTACCACCGGCCATGTTCCCCCCCTGAGTCATCTGCACCTCTGCCGCCCTCGTGCGAAGGGCTGAGTTCCATCCCCGTTCCGTAGAGGTCCGCACAGAGCCGAAAAGGCCATGCAGCCGCCCACGCCAGGGTCCGACCCGAAGGGTCAGCAGGCAGGCGCATCCATCTCCTGCACCCAGCCCCTCGGTCCCCATCACGCCATTCATCACACACCCACGCCCTCCCTCCACTCGGCACAGCAACAATCTCGGCCTCGGCGCCGACACACCAGCGAGGGGGGTAGACCACCTCGGAGAAATACCCACCCATCGGCATCCCAAGCATCGCCCTATCCTACCACCACGAATGAGATCCAGGCTGCAAATCCACGTCATTCATACATACATCTAGGGCCTACCATCTTGTGACTTTTTCAGCCGATACGGCATCGCCCTCGCCCACCCGTGGCGGGTACAAGGCAATCGAGTGCTCAACTCGGCGCGGTCCGTTGCGCTCCCGGCTCTGCACTGCTCTCGCCTGCGCCTCGGAACGTGCTCGCTGAGCACAACGTGGAACCAACGTGCGTGCCTAGATATGAAAAACGCTCCGACAAGAGCAAGGCTCGCTCTGCTCTGCTTTTCAGCGACAACAATCTTCTCGAAGCCTCTATGAGCATTCCTTCGACTTGTTGTCCTTGCTACATTGCAACGATCAGAGAAGAAGTCCGAGACAAGAAGCTGCAACGTTTCCCGATTTGCGGAGGCGTCGCGACTAATTGACTTCTTGGCAAAATCACCGCTGCACGGCGGGGTACCGACTGGGGGAGCTGCGCGGCCCTTCCTGTTACTTGGCAATTTCAGTGACTCGGCAGACAGAGAGAGTCGTGGGATTGCACAGAGTCAGGTGGTCTCTGGCTGCCTCGTCGTCGTCGTCGTGACCGTCTGCCTATCCCTGTGCTGTTTCCCTGTGCTGTTGAGGGCTTCGGCAGGGCTATGATTCCATGCTGCCCTTCCGTTCCGACATCGCGAGCGGGCGCACTCCCACTCCACACCCCACACTCGCTTCGGACCCTGATCTGATCCGCTTCTGCTCCGCCCCTCGTCCTTACCACACCTACCGTCCGCCTGACCCACCGCATCTGAGCCACCTCATATCAGGATGCTCTTCTCTCCTCTTCATCTCGCCTTTGCTCTGTTTGCAAGCCTGCTGACTTCATCGGCACAGGCAGGCCTTATTCTCCGTCCAGATGAGCTAGTTGGGGCCAGTGCCGAGCAGGCTGCGCACGTCCAGGCACTCGATGTAGGTGCCAATGGTCTGATGAGAAATGGGACAGCTGCACCAGTCCGTGTGAACGTCACTCTGGGCGTGATGAGTCGGTGAGTATGACAAAGCTTGATATGATTCCGAGCAAGCCGGCATCGCCTGACCCAGACTCTCGCTCTGCTCTTTTCTCCCTCCATCCCGTCGCCTGCCATGCTCAGATGTCCCGACGCCATCGCTGCCGAGTCTGCCTTTCAGTCTGTCATTGATAGGATCAATGAGAAGATTCAACTGGAATTCAGCTACATTGGCTCGCTGGATGAAGAAGAGGACTACGGCGTCAAGTGCATGCATGGTCCGCAAGAGTGTGAGTGTGCACACACGATGAGCTGCTAAACATCCCATGACTGAACCAGTCTTCACATGTCTCTTGCTCCCTTCGCCTCCTCATCAGGCGCTGGCAACATTCAGCAGCTCTGCGTGCAACGCATCCTCCGCCCTTCTCGCGCCGGCCGGGACTTTGACCTATCCCCCTCGGCAGCCCAGCGTAAAGTCTGGGACTTTGTAGGCTGTCAAGACTACGACGGCGCAGCCCACATCGGCTCTCCTTCCCTCGCCAAGGAATGTCTCTCCACGATCAGAGGCCCACGCTGGATCGAGGATGGGGTCAAGGAGTGTGTAGAAGGCAAGCAGGGGCGCAAGCTACTGCAGGAGAGTGTGAAACGTTCTGAAAAGCTCGGAATCACCAAGAGCGCTACGATTCAGCTCGAGGGCAAGACGATTTGCATTCGTGATGGAGGACAGTGGAAAGATTGCGACGGCGGTCATGAGACGAGAGACTTTGTGAGGCAGATCGAAGAGGCGTGGGACGAGAAGATGAGGCAGAGGAGATTGCTCGACTGAAGTCGTTGGGAAGGCGAGAGAGATAGCCGGGCTTGCGTCTTCAACAAGCCAGCAGGCCATCCACGACGATGATGTTCCCACAGCCAAAGCTCTATCATGACCCCTTGTATTATTCTGCTGCCCTTAGTGTCCATACTTGTAATCGTATCTAGTGCTGACCGCGAGTGACCTCCACCCGGCTCAAATCTTTCCCTTTCCGCTCCTCCTGGCAAATTACCCGGAGCGTGTTGTACGGCTCGCTAATCACTACCTCGCAATTGGATCGTACACGTGCCAGGTGGGCCTCATCATTCGTTGTAGTCCTGTCCCTTCCACAACTCCTCACTCAGACCTCTCTGCCCTTCATCAGTCTCTCTCACGCTTTCAGGGCGAGTTCACATCAGGTTATGAGCTCCGCCTCAGCACGATGCTACGACTGCATTATCGCAGGAGCCGGCATCAGCGGTCTCGCAGCCGCTCAAAGGTTGACGCAAGCGGGGCGTAAAGTGCTTATACTTGAGAGTCGTAATAGGACGGGAGGGAGAATACACAGCGTTGAAACATCCTCCGGTACCACTGTCGGAGCGCCGCAAGGGAGTGAAGGTGGGGCAGATGCCTCCGGCTCAGGTCAGCAGAGGACAGAGCCCTCGTCCTCTAGAAGCTCTGCTTCCTCTTCGGTCACCACTTCCACCAAACTCATCGATCTAGGTGCAAGCTTCGTCCATGGTATCATCGATAATCCTCTCACAGAGCTAAGCCACAAGGTCCCTTTTGACTTGCATCTCCCCTCACTCGCAGATGGGAGTGAGGCTCTCGCCGCCTATCCTCCCGAAGCGCACGGTAAAATGAGGGACGGCGAGGAAGCGGCTCGACTGGAGTACCTCTCCCACTTGGTCACTTTTGAGCGTCTGCACGAGTATGCTCAGCGCGGAGGTCCCCATGGGCTCGCACCTGAGCCGAGCGAAGAGGACAGTATCTGGAGTGAGCTCCTCCGACAGCAGTCTGGTAATGGCAAAGCAGACAAAGAGGGCGTCTGGCGTGGAATTGATGCACCCACGAGGAAGGAGGTACTCAAGATGGCCGGTCTGTGGAGCGGCTGGACAGGAGCGGAACTAAAGGACGTTTCCCTCAAGTACTGGGGATGGGAGAGGGAATTCAGAGGGGAAGACGCGGTCGTGCTTCCTGGATACAGGAAGTTGGTCGACTATCATGTGCGCTTGATCGAGGAGGCTGGTGGAGAGATCAGATTGCAGAGCAAAGTAGACAAGGTGGAACTGTTGGAGGAGGAGGAACGGGTGAGTATTCAGATCATCGGAGATGATCAATCGAGGGAGACCTTCGAGGCCAAGTACTTCCTGTGCAGTCTACCGCTCGGTGAGTAGTCGCGACGGTCACGAGTCATCTTGGCTACAGCCACAATGCTCACTTTTCCCCCCGGATGCCTCATTTGCATTGCAGGCGTGATGCAACAAAGTCCTCCACACTTCAACCCACCTCTCCCCTCTCGCAGAGTAGCGGCCCTCAACCGCCTCGGCATGGGTCTCCTCAACAAAATCGTCCTCACCTATCCCACTGCGTGGTGGCACTCTTCTTCCTCTTCCTCTCCGGAAGCTCAAGCCAAGAAAGGCAGCAACAGTGAATGGCTAGCTCTCCTAGGAGATGACGAAGACCTGCCTGAGGACGCCTCCCCTCTGGAAAGACTGCGTCGAGGTCGCCTGTTCGGGCAAGACTACTCGCGCATCAACCAATCGCCCACCATCCTCTTCTTCATCGGTCCGCCACTGGCGCAAGGCATTGAGAGCTTGGAAGATGGAGTGATAGAGGAAGTAGTTCACAAGCGCCTTGTCTCGTGTCTCGCACCCAAGGGGGAGGAAGACAAGGTGCCGAGCCCGAGCGCAAGACATATCACTCGATGGCTCTCCGATCCACACTCCAGAGGATCCTACTCGTATTTTCCCAATCGAATCTCACCTCATTCGTCTGCTGAAGGTGGTGGACAGGAGTCAAGAGAAGGCGGTGGACCCCTCGATATGCTCGAATGCGCCCGTCCTCTCTGGAGCGAGAGGCTGGGCTTTTGTGGAGAGCACACGGAGGAAAATCACTTTGCGAGCGTCCATGGACCTCTTCTTACTGGCTGGAGGGAAGCACGCAGGCTGGAGAGTCTGTTGAAGGAAGAAGAGGGAAAGAAGGAGGAAGGGACGGGAGACTGGGAGGTCGTGCCTTGATCGCGGGTTGAGTCGGAGCGGCTATTCTGCAGTGGCTAGAGACGTCCCAACGCAGGTCTCTCATCCATCTGACTCAGATTAGATACTTTGTTTCGATGCCAAACGGTGATGAATACAATCCGGAAAGTGAAGGACAAGTAGGGAACGGCGGTGAAGTGGTGGATACGAACATTGGGTTTCTCAGTTAGATGGAGTGATGCCGCTGTTTTGAGTGGGTAGAGGATCGGACAACTAGCCATATCGCTCTACAGAGTCGCAGCTGAGACGTAGATTCAACGCACCATTGCCGCCCTCGAATCCGCCCTGCAACAGAGCGTACTGCTCCTCCGTCCCGGAGATCTCCTTGCGCATTGCACCGCGGTTCTTCTTGACACGAGCAGCAGACGGAAAGCTTAGTGTGGGACAAGTTGCCGCACTCTCATATTCGTTGTAAAGAGCCAAGTGACCTGGACCATCTACGTTGGGGCTCTTGAAGTCGTATTCGGCGGGGACCTCGGACCATGAGCCAGACTGGGAGAGACTCGACTGGGACCCCAAGGTAGACATATTGAAGCTGTGGGGAGCCAGAGTGTCACCACAAGTCGATTCAAACTCCTTCTCGTCCTCGACCATCGACTCGTGATCAGTGGCGCGCGGTCCTGTCGTATTGTGTATGCTGCGAACGTCCTCAGCTTGGTTGTAGCCGAACAAGGGGACTTGCTTGATAAAGAGACTGGCCACGAAGCCAGCAAAAGCGAAGGGCGCAAGGACGATGAAGCCGACTCGTATGGCTTTCTGATAGCTGTCACTGAGAGGCTCTCTTAAGCTGTCCGGCAGTCCATAGAGTCTATTGACAAAACTGATGACATTGCCGCGGTCGATGCCGACATTAGCAGCACCTGCTATCTGCACGAGACGCTGGCCTGCCTGCGATTGGAAGGCGATGAGAACAGAAGAGACACCCCAGAGTGCTCCTAACGAATGGACAAAAACAGAGGCCCCAATCGCTTGTGCTAGCTCCTCGGCAGGCATGGCAGCGCAGGTCACCGGGAACGTCAGCGAGTGAAGACCTCCGAGGCCGATGCCTCCGATGACTTGATAGAGTGCCCAGTCCCGAGTCAGTGTCTCTGGGTCCATGCAGATGAACGAGAGGAAGCTCAGAGTCATCAAAGCCTGACAGGCCGTTATCGATCCTTTGTACCTTCCCGTCAGAGCCGTGAGCATGCTTGTGATGAAAGCGGCAGGCACGAGAGGGACGCTGAGAGGTAGTGTATCGATGGCCGCCCGGAGTGGGGTGGCTTGTCGAACCTGAAAGTAGATGACTAGCCCCTGAAGGGCTCCGAAGAACAGAAATCCATGAAAGAAGGTGAGCAGGTATGCGATGACCGATGAGCGGTGTCGGAAGAGCCATGCCGGTAGTATCGGGTCTCGCACAAGTGGGCTCGGTACGGTTTCCAGTACGCAGAAAAGTATCACGCCTGCTCCGCCTATGACGATTGATCCCCAGACACTTGCGGATGTCCACAGACCATATACACCTCCATCAATGAGGCCGAACAGAAGCGCAATCGTGGACCCGAATAAGACGATGGATCCTACGAAATCGAGTCTGCGGATCTTTTCGTGAAGCGGGAGTTTAGGCTTCGCAAGCTGAGCGGGCCAAAGCAAAAGAAGCGCAATGACCCCGAGAGGAACGTCGATGTAGAAGGCCCACCTCCAATCGAATGTCGCAAACCATCCTCCAGCGATGGGAGCTACGATAGCCGCAAGCCCGAATGCTAGCCAAACATGGCCGAGAAAGTAGCCACATTCACTTGGTGTCGTCAGGTCTGACATAACGAGCTGTCCGATGAGCAGCATACCGCCTCCGCCTAAACCTTGCATTCCGCGCCCAATGACCAAATCGAGCATACTGTGTGCCAAACAAGCAACAAAAGAGCCAACGAGGAAGACCATGAGCGCAGACACCAGGGCTTTGCCACGATCGATAGCGTCGGCAAGGCCTCGGAAGAGTGGTAGGAAGCTGATAGAGGTGGCTAGAGAGGTAGAGGCAAGCCATACGGGGGAGATTTTGCTCGGTGGCATGTCTGCCGCGATGAATGAGATGATGGGCGCGATGATCATGAAGTTGACAGCGGATAGGAAGGTAGAAAGGAAGACTGCGGTAAAGGCGAGCCAGAAGTCCATGCCACGGCCCTCGGTACTTGAGCTGGCGCGCTTGTGCTTCCAATTCAGCGTCAGACTGAAGCGCTTGACGGGCCCACCTACACATCTTAAAGGTGCTTTTGATGGGGTTGAGTGCCGACTATGGTGTTGAGCGCTGTCTCCCGTTACGAACGGAGTCTCTTCTGAATCGAGTCGTTTGTCTGAGGTAGGTAGCGGCTGGCCCAGCTGCAGACTACTCGAGTCGGGCCGAATCCAGCTTTCTGTCTCCAATTCTTGCTCATCCAGCCTATCGAGGACGTGGCCGTAGGACTGAGAGGCTCGAAGGCTACCTCTTCGGGGCGGCGGAACAGGCGCTGGAACTTGGGCTTCTCCAGGTACAAGAGACAAAGGATTGAGCACCTTGAGAGGAAGAGCTTCGAGCGAGATCGCGGAGGCAAGTGATTCGCTTGACTCGTGATCCGACAATGAGGATGACCAACGCACCCAGCCGGGTCCGTCAGAAGGAGACTCGGCAGCATGTGGCTTGGTATCCAAGAGTAAAGGGAAGTCTAGGGCTTCAGGTGTCCGGGGGTGATGAGCCATGTTGAGACAAGAGGGGAGAGGAGACACTCAGGCCGGTCTAGGTCAAGAAAAGGAGGCGAGGAGGTACGACAGTGGTAGCGAACGGAAGGAGGGCAATACAAGAGTCGACTGCTCCAGAAGAGGTGCTTTGCTTCCTCCCAGGTGCATCAGCACCGACGTGTCGCTGCCACCCGATGGGCGATCATGCATACTCTTACGCCTGGCTATCGCGCCTCAACCCTCGCTTTACACAGGAGCGATGGCTCAGCTTTTCACAAGCGACGCGTATAGACTGTTAGATGAATACAATTGTCGACAAGACTCATCTGCTAGGGTACTCCATGAACCAAGACGGAAATAATTACAGTGCTAGAGTGAAAGGTCGCGCTAAGGTTCCTTCTCTGACGTGGAAGCCTTCGCCTCCGCGTCTTTTATCAATTGGACCAGCTTCGGGCCAAACCTGATCTCATTATGCCCCCGCAAAGGATTCCCCTTCAATGTCATTTGAATCGGACTCGTCAAGTCGGTGCGAATGAGATATCTGACCTGTTCGGGATTCTGGAGCAGCTTCTTACTAGCAAAGTGCCAGACCCTTTCGAATGCCTCTACCTCTCTGTCTTCGGGAACCCGACCCAATGTGTTGCCTTGAAGGACTATGCCCAAGGCATATCGACCGTGGCCGATAACGGTGAGCGCTCGAACCCTATCGAAGCCGAGCACGTCTCGCAAAGCCTCCAGGAGGAAATCCTCCAGCTCCAGTGCTCTTACTGCCGTACCGTGAGTGCAGCGAAGCCAGTCGTCTTCCCTTCCGGCAAAGGTCACAAGATCATCGTGCTCACCCATAGTGGGCAGCTTGCGAAAGGTGTCGAGAGTATTCCAAGCAAGAATCTTCGGGTCCTCTGGGTATGGCACGATCTTGTCGGAGGGACAGCGCAGACCGGGAAAGTCCGATCGAAGCCAGAGCTGGTAAAGCTCGGGGTCTGCCGCCGTCTGTCGAAAGAGCATGTGAGTTTTCTTACTGGGCAAGGGCTTGAGCCAAGTGAGGTGGCCGGTGTGCTCCTTTCGGCCTTGAAAGAGCAAGCCAGCTTCTGTGAGCGCGAAGACTTGCAGTACCGACAAGCCGTGCCGCTCGAAGCAGTCTGCTTTTTCGACGCTGACGGGTGCTCCTCCCGTGTGGGCCTCCTTGAGATTCCTGACTGCCTCTCGCCAGATCTCCTTCGAATTATGCGACGCAGCCTTTTCAAGCATGGCCTGTAGTAGGTCAGGGCTAGCATAGACTATGTCGGCTTTGGAAAGGTAGAGAGAGTCAAGAAGTTCTGGAGGATCTGGCACCAATTTCGCCATCGGGATTGTAGTGAACGAAGCGCCTAACACGGGAAACGCACAGGCAGTGCCACACATCAGAGATCGCCAGACTGGGTTCTGGAAAGATAAGTGGAAGGGCAGCTGTGGAGTTAGAACATAGAGGAGGTTTATATCGTTCAGCCGCTGACTACATATCGAAGGAGGTGGTTGTTTGAAGATCGCACTCACGCTGGTCTGCATCTGGCACTTCCATCGCTTTTCTACGGGCTGCTGATGACACCAGAAGGCAGCATCCTTTGCGCTCATATTGGCAGCTTGGTAGTCGATGGGATACAGCTTCGGGTTGGCTGTGCTGCCGAAGGTGTGCAGATATACGACTGAGTGGGGCGTTCAGGGAGTGTCCGACTGGGTCAGTATACGAGCTGCATTGACCGTAGCCCTACTGGAGCGTGTGGACTTACATGGTTGAGGCTTGACCGCGTGCAACATCGGACCGATGACGCTAGGGCTCCTGGTCTTCGTTTCTGCCAGTGTCAGAGATGATCAGAGCATCAGCTGCAGAAGTTCCGGCTTGGTTAATGGCAACTTCGAGGGAAAGGCTGTCGCTGGCGACTCACTTCTGAAGTGCTCCACAATCGGGACGAGGAGCTGGTTTGAAGACAGCTCTCTGAATTCCAACGGCTTACCTGATTCTCGGGTCATAGCCTCGACCTCCTTGATCCAGCCGGAGTCCATACTATGATGAAGAACCACGTGAGCTTGACTCGCTCTGATGAGGCTCGCAACGATTTTGGGCGTGTGCAAGGGTGAGATGAATTGCACGGTGAAGCCAAGAGCCGCCATCGCGAACCAGGGATTGATGACCTCATGATTCGGTGCAATGAGGAAGGCGAGGGTACACTCGCGGGTTGACCCGCCTAGACGGCCAGGAGCTCCCACGGCGAGATCGCAAGCGAGCCAGGCCGCTAAAAGGTTTCGGGCCTGCATCCACTCGAAAAAGGTGATTGTCGCCATACCCTCGGCCGGTATCTCACCTCGGGGGATCTTGAGGGCTGGCTGATCTGGTGTGACGGCAGCCCAGAAGTCCAGCGCTTCTATGACATCTTGAGGGAGCTCAGATAGAGTGTACTTGTCGGTGATCGAGGGCTCGTAGGGAGCCATGAAGTAGGGTAGACTTGGGTAGAGTGTGCCGTGCGGACGTCAGTGGTGGTAGGCTTTGTAGATTGATCGGCTGGCGTAGAGAGGATATGGGGTGACACGAAGGGGCAGAATGAGGGACGAGAGGCAAGTCGAATGGTGTTCACCAATCGCTTCCTCTCTTGTTGGGTCAAGGACACCATTCTAGCCGCCTGCACCCGCTGCCTGAGATGACACATCGACCAGGCTGTCTGCCCATGCGCCTACGGTGACTTGGGCCATGCCGAAGACGATTACTTAGCACGCTCAGATGGCGAGGGCAGCTGTTTTCTTTGAGAATGATCTTCGACGATCTCTTGTGTACTGCTCATGATGACCACCGATGTTGATGAGACCATTCACGATACAGATGACCAACAAGGGATCAAGTGGTATTCTTCCCCAGCGGGGCGCTCCACACCCGATCGTGTCTGGCGGAGTCTGAAACGCGTGGGTGCAAAGAGGCGCGATTTTGATTGGCCCGGAGGAGCACCATCGATGGTCGACTATACCTACGAACCAGCTGGTAGACACGGTCAGATCGCAAATAGTGCATTACACTGCTATGGACCTTCCTGTGCTGCAACTGCCTCTGGCGTGACGTGATCTGGCGACCAATGCGCAAGAATTGGCCTGACTTCGGCCCCGCATAGCACTGTGTCAAGGCGCAGAGGAGACGAGCTTGGTGCGACACCTCCCACATCACCCCATCTGGTGAAGAGAGGATACGTCCAGTGCTCCGCTCAATACAACATGATCCCTCAAGAGATGAAGTCGCCGAAGTGGCCTCGGGAAGGTCGTAAAGCGAGGGGCGGGCTGACCTTCCTTTGAGACTGCCGTGGCCCATTACGCCGCCTGCATCGGCCAAGGCGACCCGACAGTAGCCGCTGAGCGTACGTGAGTGTGCTGATACTTCGCCACCCTCACCGTCTAGTCCCTCTTTCCTCCTTCTCCTCCCCCTCTACAATTCTGGCATCCACGACAATCACTTTGCCCTCTGCTCTCCTCCCACCATCCCGTATCTTAATACTCAGCAGTAGATAGTGTGCCCCTTGTGCTCCACCCAACCAACTTGCACAGATAGCAGACTTGCAAGTCATGAGTCTCCTCAACGATCTCGGGACCTGTCCCGCTCCCACCTCGATCTTAACCCCATCCTTCCCTGGTTGCCTTACTGCTCAGCCCTCCGGGCAACCTTCGCCAGTCAGTCTCGCCATCAACCTCACCGCCTCGGTCCTCGATGCTCGCTGGCAGACGCCATATGGCAAGCCTACGAATCCGTTCGCTTCGGCTGTCCCAGAACATGTCATCGTCGCCCTCCCTTACATTGGCATCGCCGCCTTTGTCCTTACCATCGCATACTTTACGCTAGCTGTCACCTACTTCTCACCCTTTCAACGTCTTCAGAGGCCACCGATGAAAGGCTTCTGGTCGCTCTTCATGGGTCATCTGGCTGAGATGCAACAGTACGAGCCTGGTCATATCCAGATGGATGTAAGTGCCCTTACCGACTGGGCCTGTGTGAGCCCTTCGAAGATCGCCGATAGCCCACTGACGCGTCTTCGACCCCTTGGCTATCACAGTGGACCAACGAGTACGGCGGTGCCGTCGTCTACCGCGGCCTGCTCGGGACACCTCGAATCCTCCTCTCAGACCCTTTGGCCCTCTCCTACGTCTTGACCAACGCCTACAACTTCCCCAAGCCAGCGGGTGCCCGGGCTGCCTTGTCGACTTTGCTCGGCGACGGTGTTCTCACTACCGAGGGACATCAACACAAGGTACAGCGCAAGCTCGTCAATCCCACTTTCAGTCAGAACTCCGTTCGTGCTTTCGCCCCATTGTTCCACCGCCATGCTCGTGCCCTCAGCGTAGTTCTCAATCACCTTATCAAGGCTGGGGATCATAGCGAGCTGGCACCCGCAATGGGCGAAAGACGAGCTAGGATGGCTCAGCGTGGCGTCGGCCCCGTCGTTGACATTCTCCACTGGACTTCTCGCACCACCCTAGATGTCATCGGTGACGCTGCCTTCTCGTATGACCTGCAGTCTCTCAAGGCCGGAGAGCATGGCGGTGGTACTGCCATTGCTGAATCATTCCAAGCGATGATGACTCGGGTGGGTCAGCTCACCATGACCGAACGTGCTATGCTTCACTTCGAGCAATTTCGCATCTTCGATGGCTGGCGCCCTTTGCCCACTTCCTTCAACAAGGCCGCACAGCAGACTCAGAAGACTGTAGAGCAAGTTGCCGGAGTCATGATCGATGACGAGAAGAGAGCTCAGGTTGTCGACGACTCTGATCTGCTCCAGAAGCTCCTGGCACTCAACGAAGATCCCAAAGTGGCTCCCGCTAACAAGCTCTCACGCAATGAAGTGCTCGGACAACTCACTACGCTGATCCTCGCCGGCCACGAAACGACTAGTACTGCTCTCACCTGGGCCCTCTGGACCTTGGCCCATCACCCAGAGAAGCAGACTGCCCTTCGCAAGGAGATTCGTGAGCACTGGGTCGATGGTGAGGAAGACTTTAGCTTCGAAGAAGTCCACAACCTCGACCTTCTGGATCGAGTCACGAGTGAAGTCCTCCGCTTACATCCACCCGTCCACTCTACCAATCGGGAGTCGGGACGAAAGGATGTCATTCCCTTGTCCAAGCCTGTCCGTCGAATCGATGGAACTTACGTGAACCGCATCGCCGTCCCTAAAGGCCAGCCCATCATCATCTCCATCGTAACCTACAACCGCCGCAAGGACATCTGGGGGGAAGACGCCGAAGAGTTCAACCCCGATCGATGGCTCGACTTGCCGGACACGGTCAAGAACAATGGCATCCCCGGCGGTCACCTCTCCTTCATTTCGGGTCCTAGGAACTGCGTTGGATCCAAATTCGCCCTGACCGAGTTCAAGATTATCATCAGTCACCTCTTGAGGCAGTTTGAATTTGCGCCCTTGCCCCCTGATTTGGCCACGATTAGCTCGAAGCAAGTCGTGGTTACGCGACCGCGTGTCAAGGGGCTTGAGGAGAGCGGGACACAGATGCCCCTGCGCATCAGTCGAGTCGAGGACTGAGCAGGTGAGCTCTAAGCGAATGCTCAGCCATGTAGAGGAGTTCCCTGGAACGACTCGTTCTTGGCGAGCGAGCAGCACTTCCCACCGCTCCTGCACCGTCCGCTTCCCTCTCTGGAAGCCAGCTCTGGCTTTACATCCCCCATCACAGTCCCACACATTCCCCCTGGCGTAGGGTTGTCCGTCCATCCGGACTGAAAGATCATGTATATCCAATGTTTTCCATCACGTCACGTCACCGCGCTCGGAAATCGTATCAAAGTCCATCCATTACTCGCACACCACTGACTGTGGCTTTTGCCTGTCTGCCTGCAACAAGATTTGTACAAGCTTGCCGAGGAGGAGAAATGCTCAAGGTGTCAAACTTCTGCTGTTGCTGTTGATGCATCTCCCCATTCAAGAGGTAATGGAGCGGAACTTGTCCGTGGCGTAGATGAGCTTGTCTGTGATGCCGGGCTCCTTGGCCGAGTGACCTGCATCGGGAATGAGGAAGAACTGCCGAGGTGGGGATGAAGGGTGAAGGACATAGTCAGCGCTTCCCAATCCACAGCCTCATACCTGAAGACAGCACCTCGTCTCATCTCGTATCTCCACACCACTCACTTCCAGCGTGTCCTTGCCACCGGGCGCCTGCATCCACACCTCTCTCAAATCCCAAGCCGTCTTTGCTGGACAAACAACGTCGTACCTCCCCTGTACCACTACCGTGGGGATATGAGCAACCTTGGCAATGCTCTCCTTTTCGAGAAGCTGTCCGTCGCGCATCCAGCCGCGGTTGTGGAAGAAGTGAGACTCGATGCGGGCGAATTGAAGGGCCCACTGGGAGGGTGGGAGGCATGGGGGACAAAGGAGAGATAAGTGTGAGTGAGGAGTGAGAATAGGCGCTCAGAGGGTTGACGCGATAAGCTTACCTTGTCGTCGTCTCCCTTCTTGATGTGCTCCTCATCCAGGTAGAGCTTACTAGTTGCATTCTCCCACGTACTCCATCGCCTTGCTGCCTCCAATCTAGTCTGAGCATCTTCACTAGTGAGCCTCTTGTAGTAAGCAGCAATCATATCGTCCCTCTCGTCTGTAGGGATGTGATCCAAGAAGGGTTTGAATTGTTCTGGCCAGAGAAAGCTGGAACCTTCTTGGTAGAAGAAGAGGAGCTCGGCACGACGCAGGGTGAAGATGCCACGGAGGATGAGGGCGCTGACTCGCTCGGGATGTGTCTGAGCGTAAGCTAGGGAGCTACAGAGGAGAAGTGAGGGTACAGAACGTGAGTCAGAAGGATATGAGAACGGTGGAAGGGGTGCAAAATGACTTACAGCGTCGATCCTGAAGGGGTGATCGGCACAGAGCGCGGGAATGGGGACAGTCAGCGTCAACATGGGTCCTACCGACTGAGCTGTCCGATTGACCTTGGCTCACTCACCCCAGCTGCCTCCAAAGACGTGCCACTTGTCGACCTTCATGACCTCTTTTCTGAGCCTCTCAATATCCTCAACTAGATCCCAAGTCGTGTTCCCCTCGAGCTCAGCAGCGGGTGTGCTCTTTCCAGATCCCCTCTGATCAAAAGTGAGAATCTGGTAGTGCTGAGGGTCGAACCACCTTCTGTCTCCTTCGGAGATTCCACCACCGGGACCACCATGAAGATAGACGACGGGATAGCCTCCTTCCTTTCCCGATAGTTCATAGTAGATCTCATGCTCGATCGACTTTTCCGCTGTTGGGGGAAGCTTGAGGGTGCCAGTCTTGTAGGCCTGCACGGGAGGGTATTGCTGCCTCAAAGTCTCCTTCTCAGCATTGAGTGAGCGGGCAATTGGGTGATACGATGGGAGGTTGGATTCAGCGCTCGACATGATGGGTCGTGAGAGCAAAGGTGTGGAGGAGGTGTGTGAGTGAAGCTGAGCAAGGCGTGATGAGAAGGATATCAGAAGAGGACTAGGGCGCGACACCAATCGTTGCTGCAGCTGCCTTCGCACAGGCCACGTCCTGGCCCTTGCGCCTCTGTCCCTGTTGCGCGTCATCAGGTACAGGCAGCTCCTCCCCTCTGTGATCCTCGTGGGACGGATCATACGCCGGAGATGTGATCAGGGCAGAGCAGTTGCTGTGGGAGTATAGCCGTGCTTATCCGGACTCTCACACTCCTTCTGATCCTCCGGAACATTCGTCGGAGCAATAGCAACCCGTCGAGACGGAGAGGCACCACGATGTTCTGTGCACAAGCGAGGTACCGGCGGAAGCGTGCAGCCGTGCTTGTCACTCTAGCAACGCCTCCTTCGGCGATTCGGCCCGACGAGGCAAGCTGTGCAAGGGGACAAATGAGAGCGGAAGGAAATGAATGAGATTTCCGGTAGCGACGCAAGAGTCGAGGGAATTCCACCGTCGCATCCTCGCCTCAGTTGCGAGGAGAGGGGAGGAGCGGTGGTCCTGAGATCTGACTTCATTCATTTGATTTATCCGTCGCTACTCCACCGTCACACACACACACACATGACAGGGCAGTACTCCGAAGAAGATCGGGAACGAGGGATTGGGAGTTGTTCTAGCTTCTTCTCACCACATCACCGGCCACCCGCCTTTACGATCCTTCGTCAGTCTCCTCTACGAATATACTCATCGCTCTTCGTGCAGAGGCACACCTAGCGAGGCCACACTACGGCTCATCGGCTTTGTCGTGGCTCTCGCAAATCTTTCCGAGCTCCAAAGGACACCAGCGCGGCTCCGCGGTATCGCATAGGGATCAAGAGCGGAAGACAGGAAAGGCAGCGTAAGTGAAGAGTGGTCAAAGATGGCATTTCGGATACACCCACACACGCACGCAGCCCCACGCACTGCGACACTCGCGAGCACCTCTGAGTCGGACATTCGAGGTCAGGAAATAGCCATCAGGCAGTAGACGAGCGTCAGGCCACCACGCGCCACGCCTTCTTTTTGGCAGCCAGTGCGGCGCTGCTGCTGATTCGCCCATCGGCGTTCTCGCCGTCAAAACGCCAAGAGAAGGCCAAGATGGAGGGAGGGAATTGCAGAGGGGATGTCCGCCGGTGCTCGAGTGCGGAGCGGGGAGTCAAGGGCTGATCCCCCAGCGCCTGGACTTGATTCGGAGCTGCTAGAGATGGCCAAGCTTTAGCTGACCTCGATAGTCTACTCTACCCCTGTCTCAATCATGGTCACCCTTGCCTTCTCTTAGATCGCTACAACTTTACAACCCCACCCTTTGCCATCAACCTCGTTGACGCCATCCCTTGGTCAGACTCCACCGGGGATCATCGTCTGGCAGGATACCCGGCAGATCTCGAAATGACTGCCCCCATTGCCTTCATCGGGAGACTTACAAGTCCGTCCCCTTCCGCCCCTTCATCCTCCTCTTTGTCTGCCTCACCCACCTCTCCTACCTCGAGAGGCTTGGCTAGTACTTCGCTAGCCGGCCGCAGATTGTACCTCGCAGTCGATTGCGGTGGCACAAAAGCTGCTGCAGCTATCTCCGTATCCTCTGCAACGCCTGGGGGCCCACCCGTCTTTCTCTCGAGAGGACATGGAGGTCCGGCCAACTATACCGATGTAGGACTCTGGAGATTTCTCAAGAGTGTGCGGCAGGCAGTAGAGCATGCGCTGGACAATTCTGGCATCGAATGGAGGAACGAAGCTTCGACGATGGCCGATGATAGAAAAGTCTCTGCAAGCCCGAACACCGTGGATGCCGCCGAGTGCCACTCGGCTTGCTCGTCCTCGTCATCCAGCTCACCACGGAGCACTACTTCCTGCTTGGACGACTCCGATCGCGCCTCATCGAGTACTTCTCCCTCATCTCGAGTACCCTCATTCACCTTCCCACCCATCTTCTACGCAGCTTGGCTCGGAGTAGCCGGCGTAGACTCTCCTCAGAATATTGCGGTCCTCTCACCTCATCTTGCTCAAATGCTGTCCATCCCATGCCCATCATCAAGGCTGATTGTTGCCAATGACACCAGTCTATTGGCCTCGCCCGTGATGGAGAGGGACGGTGGAGATGAAGATGTCAAAGAAGGCGTCGTTGCCATCGCAGGGACAGGAAGTATCGTCATGTCCTTCCGGAGTCGAAAGCAACAAAGCAAACAAGGGGACAAAAATGGGCGCAAGGGCAACACGATTCCGGAAGCTGTCGGCCGGGTGGGCGGATTTGGTTGGCTCCTTGGGGACGAAGCCGGAGGCTTCAGGGTCGGAAAACAAGCCATTCGAGCTATACTGGATCAGGTCGACCAAGAAAAGTTGGGTTTTGACGATGACGATGACGACGGGGTTGAAGACAGCGAAGGGTTTCAAGACCGCAGCTTCGACAGCGTCTCTGCGAACAACACCACCCGCGGTGGTCCCATCCTCGAGGTGCCCTCTGAAGGACCTGCCGTGGACGCTCAGCATCTTCTGCGCGACCGTGTTCTGGCAGAGTGGAACCTGGACAGTGTGGGAGAGCTCTTGGACGCCGTCTATGCTGATAGTCCGGGTACGCCAGAGCAGCGCCTTCGCGCCAGTCAACTACCATCCCTCAGTCCTTCTCAAGCTTCAAGTGAATACGCAAGAAGCCGAGCAGGAAGCACAGGGGCCGTGCCTGCTAGCGTAGTATCTCAGAGATCGACGGGGCACCTGCTCGAAGTGCCTGAGCTGACCAGCAGCATGGATGAAGCAAGTCTAAGCTCGGACACACAGAGCTACCCTGCAACACCTACTACTGATAAACCACTTGAGGTTGACGTACAAGGTCTCACGGAGTCGCTCGCAACGCCTAGTGCACTCACACTGATGATCGAGGGTCACAAGACATCAGCAGCTTATGCAGAGGCCGGCGACGATGTCTTTACAAAGGGCATGGAGCTCGGCGCACCACTGACACCTCAGGCCCGACCAAGCTCTCGCAGCTCGAGTCACAAATCTTTGTCTTCCACCATGGCGGCTCGTAAGCAACGTCTGGCTGGACTAGCACCCTTAGTCTTCGATCTGGCCTTCAACCAGGGAGATGAGTTGAGTCTTCAGATTCTACGCGAAGAGATTCGAGAGCTGGCAAGTCAGATCTCTAGACTGCTGGCTAAGCCTTCGAAGAGGTGGACTGGTGCGAAAAATGCCGGCCTTCACGTGCCTTCTCGAAAGGACAAGGAGACACTCGTCCAGCCACACCGAAGTGTTCTGTGCCTGGGCGGGTCTTTGCTGGGCGTATCAGGCTATCGTCAGATGCTGGTAGATGAGCTCAAGTCGAGGGGATGCGAGTTTCAGAAGGTGGTGCATGTGGAAGACGTGGCAAGGAGGGGGTGTGAGGCTCTGGCCAAGGGCTGGGAAGGAGAAGGCATTGAGGTCGTTGCCTGAGTCCGGCATGGGAGAGGTGAGCTGCTGCAATGCTCAGCAGCGCTTTATCCCTATCCATGCTCGCTTACATTGTATCATCTACGAAGATTCGACATCTTTCGTTTTTCTATTTCGATCTATCTTATCTGTACATATCGTCAATCTCTCCCACTGTCGCGTGCTCATTTGCAACTGCTTGACATCAGTGTCCAAATTTTGTCAATCTGCTCCACATTCTCCTTGTCGACTCCCTCTCCCTACATTCCACCCGATGGGATGACAGTGTAGAGATGGTGATTAGGGGAGGGCCGTCTGGGCGCCTTACGCGCGCGGGGCGTAGACTAGAGAGGCCAGAGCGCGTCGCCTCCTTCGCTTCCGCCAGACCTTCTCGCTTTCCGATTGAGCCTCCTTGTCCTCGAGCTTCTCATCATACTACCACCACTACCACTCTTGCTAGTCTCCCCATCAACCATCGCCTACTCATCTTCTGACTGGCTGGACTAAGAGGCATGGCTCCCTCCATCCGCCTGTCTCGCTCTCGAGGCTCCACCTCCAATCTCGCCTCTCCTGCCAACTCCTCCCCCGCACCCGCTCCAGGCGATCTCTCCCGCCGATCCTCCGGCCGAGCAGCGGCTGCCCGCATCTATCAGACCACACAACAACTAGCTCGCTATGCGGATGAGGAGGAGGACGAGGATGATGACGAAGATGATGATGAGGATGCGGAAGGGGAGGAAGACGATGAAGGCGTAGGCCCGGCGGCTACCCCTTCACGAATTGCCGGCGGGTCTCGCCGTGCGTCTAGTGGCAGAGCTGCAGCTGCTCGAGGTCGCGGGCAATCAAGCGGTACTACTGTCCGTCTGAGGGGCAGGCCTCCAGGTCGGGCTGCTGCTTCCCAATCCCGCTTGCCCTTTCCTCAGGCAGAAGAAGAGGACGAAGATGAAGATGAGGATGAGGATGAGGAGGACGAGGAGGATGAGCCGATGCCTGAAGCAACGCCTTCTGCTTCGAGAAGCCGGGGAAGACCCAAAGGGAGGGTTTCAGCAGCTAGAGGTACTCCGCGGGGACGAGGCAGAGGAGCGCGAGGTAGACCCAGTCTCTCCAGTGCTCGAAAGGTCAGCGATGACGAGGAGGACGGGGATGATTCAAGGAGCCATGCTGGTGAAGAAGAGGAGGAACGACCCGCCTTCAAGAAGCGGCCATCACGTCTTCAGGGCTTCAGCCTTGTACTCGACAATTCCCAAACCCTTCTCGCAAGAATCCCCAATCCGGATCCAACCGCCGATGATAAAGGCCGGCGCGGCAGAGGTGGTCCGAGGGGCCGAGGTCGACCACGCAAGAATCGCTCGCAGACTACGAGGATCATAGAGGACTCTGAAGACGAGGACTCGGATGATGATCGCCCTAGACCAAAAGACCCAAATGAGGTCGAAGTGGATGACGATCATGCTGTGCCGCCTGACGAGAAATTCAAGGTGAAGCTCATGGGCAAAGAGTACATTCTGGATTGCGATGAGCTTGAGTTGCCGGGAGATGAGGAAGGAGATAAGAAGATTGACGCGAATGGAAATTTGCTTGGTGGTGAGTAGCCGAAGTAGATCCCCACAGAGACGTACAGAGAGGCTGACGTCCTTACTATCTTCCACACTCCCCTTGCAGGTCGCGTGTGGAAGGCTGCGCCCTTTACCTCTTCTATGCGATCCAACCCTCACAAGGTGTATCTACTCTCGGTCGATGCAGCTCGAACAGTCGGCTTCCGCGACTCACTTAGTCTCTTCCGAAGCCATCTGCGCCTGGTCAAGCTTGCATTACTACCTCAGGAGAAGGACGATCTCATTGCGGCTGGAAGACTCAATGCCCAGCTGAGGGGCCGCAACGTCACCATTGTCACTGCCAAGAGCGTCTTTAAGCAATTCGGTGCCAAAGCCATCAAAGGCGGACGCGCAGTCATTGATGACTACTATGAGGCCGACGCGAAAGCCGCCTTGGAGAAGTCTGGTCGACACGAAGACCAAGGTCAGGTCGTAGAGGCAGAGGACTATCGTTCTCACGCTGAAAGACGTCGAGATGCCGATCGGGAGCGCGACCGTACCCGTCGACCTCCCGATGCGCACACTACGGCTCTGTACGACTTCCACGGTAACCTCATCACCACGACCTTTGGCGACAATGGCGCTCCTCCCTTTGTGCGCAGCTCTGGCTGGCCCTCTAGACGTGCAGCTCAGATCCGTGCAGATCTCAGCGAGGAGAATTGGATGCTAGAAATGGCTCGCAATGTTCAAGGGATGAATGCCGAGCTGGCTGAGAATCGCAAGGAGAGATTGATGAAGTTCACCGATCCTGTCGAAGGAGTGAGCGCAGCCTATGCCGAGGAACAACAACGTCTGCAGGAGAAGCGCAAGGCCAAGATGCAGCAGCAGTATGGTCAAATTCAGCAGCTTGCCCCCTCGAGATTGCAGCTCCTACCGGGAGAGTTGATGGATGTGGACGGAGTAGGATCAGCTTCAGCTGCTGGCGGAGAGGACGGCTCGGCAACGATTGCTCCAGTCCATCCCGTCGACCTTTCCGGCCAAGCTTCGCCCACGGTGGGTGATGCCGAGTCAGCAGTAACGCCTCTTGCACCAGCGACGACAGACGAAGTCGGGGACGATGATGACGACCATGAGGCAGACAGATACAAGGATCTAACCAACGTCCTCGCTCCCCCGGTGGGTCTGTACGACCCCACTACCAATCTCCCACACTTCTCCTCGAGCACGCAACCACGTGCTGCTCGCATCGAGAAGATTGGCAAACGACCCCTCTTCCAGTCGCTTACTGGTCGAGAGGAAGAGGCAGAGAAGGAGGAAGAGGTAGCGATGCAGAAGAGACAGAGGGAGAGAGCAGTGCTCCTTGGGACGCGCATTGGGAGTGGAGCGATGGGCGTTGCTAGCTGGTCGACGGCGGTGGATGTTGGCGTGCTGAATGGGGCTGGAAAGGCTAGTCTGATACCAGCAGGAGGTGGCGGTGGGGAGATCTAGGCTGATCATGAAGGGTCGGTTCGAAAGTAGAGTATACCTGTCACGCACTGGAAGGGCGCTGTATCACAAGAATCAATCTCCAACTGTCACTTCGCTTGTGTGGTGAGAAGAACGACATCTATGACAATCGCTCTAGGTGCAGAGAGTGCGCTCGCTGCCTCTCCTCGAGCACAGAAAGCTCTACAATGACCATCTACATGAAGTCCAAGTCATCTCCATCATCCAGCACCTCATCTCCATAAGCTCCCAAGTCATACGTGTTCTTTGCACTGGCAGTGCCCACCGTCTTTGGCTTGGCAGCTCCAGCCGCTCCGCCCGTGGCAGCAGCAACGGCCAAATTCGCCCTTCCACCACTCTTTTTTGCCTCTTTATCCGCCTTTGTCTTCTCCTCGGCCCACGTCTTGACCGAAGTAGACAACTTGCGAATATCCACATCGCGCGTGGGAGCTACCAATTGTCGAGTGAGGGCAGGGACAAAGTGTTTTGCGTAGCCGGTTGGATCACGAGAGGATTGGGTTTTGAGAATGGAAACGAAGATTTCTGCTGCGAGCTGCTCCCATTCTTCCTTTGAAGAGGGCTTGGCGGCGCTCAGCGAGGTTGCGGTCGAGTCTGAGTATGGGGAGGGAAGTGAAGGTCAGTCGGAAACACTACTGGCGTGAGCTTGGGAGCGCCATCCCCTTTACCCTCTTGCCTGCACTCACCCTTGCTGACACTGGCAAAGCCCAATAGGCTCGCTGCCGACTCTACATCTGCGTCAATCTCAGCCTGTTGCAGCGCCCTCTTGCGAGCAATGGGGTCGTACTCCATCGGATCCACTCCATCTTCTGGCTCCTGTCCCATGGTGAGAGCCTGCTGCGCTCTCCTCCTCTCCTCCTCCTCCTTCTCTGCAATCTTCTGCTTCACGCTCTTCTTCTTCCGAGGAGGTGGTACAACAGCAGAAGAGGAAGAGGCAGCTTTGTTCTTGGCCTCGTCGTCGGAGGACTCCCAGTCGTCCTTGATCTCTTCTTCGGCATCTTCGTCGTCGAACCTGCGTCGAGGGACTGCTCCGGCGCCAATGGGAGCAGCAGGGGCGGCTTTGGGAGGGGCTTCGTCCCCAGAAGATGCGTCCCAGTCACTCATGTTGCAAGGTGAGGCTGTGAGCTGATTCAAGGAGGGGTGGAAGGGGCGGTCGTAGGTGCTGGTATGGCGAACAAAGTCGAAAGAATCGCCAAACGGGAACAGCTGCTGCACCTCTTTGGTTCCTTTTTACTCTGCAGCTCTGTCGCGCCTTTGTTCCGTTCCGAGGTTGGTCCCCCTTTCTGACTCCTTTCCGCCGGCTTGGGCTGCCTCGCCTTGGCCTGGCCGCTGGTGCCTACCATCCGATCCATCTAAGTCCAGGAACAGAGTCGTATCACTGCAGCAGCAAATAGGACCATGACCATCAAAGGGGTGAGTAGAGAGATAAAGGAAGTCAATAAGACTCCATCCCCTCGTCCTTTCCTTACGTTGGCTGCTACCATCTGCCAATCGTTTGCAATGACTCACATGCAACTCTCTGATTCGTATCAATTCCAGCCTGCTCCCAGTCCCTCCCTTGCAGAGGTCACATCCCTCCTGCTAGGAGGTGATGGGACCTCATCGCAAACCTCCAAGGGCAACACCGTCCCAGTCTATGTCACCATCCCCGCCGATCTCATCACGCCAGTGATGGCCTACCTTCGTCTCACAAAAGGAGCCCAGAAAGACTGCCGGAGTTTCCTCTGTGAGAGCGTCACAGGTGGAGAGAAGATCGGACGGTATTCCTTCGTGGGCGCAAATCCCTACAAGGTCATCCGATCCGGTCCTTTGCCAGGCATGGATGTGCAAGGGGACCCGCTTAAGGCCGTAGAGGCCGAGCTGCAGGACATTCAGTACGTTGCTCTGCCCGAGCTGCCCAAGTTCACTGGAGGAGCGATGGGATACCTGGCCTACGACTGTATCCAACACTTTGAGCCAGTCACAAAGACGACTCTTAAGGACAACCTCGGCATTCCCGAGTCGGTATGGATGTTCTGCGACGAGGTGATCATCTTCGACCACATCTACCAGAACATCAAGGTCGTCTCTCACGTCGCCCTACCCAGGGCGAGAGCATCGCAGCATTCCAATGGCTCTGCTGCGTCGTCCAGCTCAGCTGCTGCTGCTGCTGCTGCTGCTGCTGCTGCTACGCCCGAGCTTGTCTCCTCGCTCTATGCTGCTGCATCGCAGAGGGTCTGGAACCTGCTCTCCGTCATCACTTCCGACCATACGCCTTTGCCCTACCAGCCCAAGATCACTGGCGATCACGCCGCCGTGTCCAACGTAGGCAAGGCAGGCTACGAAGGCTTTGTCACCGCTCTGCGCAAGCACATTGTTGCCGGCGAGATCATCCAAGCTGTACCTTCGCAGCGTCTAGCCAAGAAGACGGAGCTGCACCCTTTCAATGTGTACCGGCATCTCCGGCAGGTCAACCCTTCGCCCTACATGTTCTACCTGAACGTCGGCGACGACTGCGAGATCGTTGGTGCCTCCCCTGAGACGTTGTGCAAAGTTGAAGCAAACAAGGTTAGCGTGCATGCCATTGCCGGAACAGTCAAGCGTGGCGCTACCGCCGAGGAGGACGAGCGGTTGGGAAAAGAGCTGCAGGGCAGCGACAAGGATAAGGCGGAGCATGTGATGCTGGTTGATCTGGCGAGGAACGACGTCAGCAGGGTTTGTGACCCGAGGACGACGACAGTGGAGACGTTTATGCAGATTGAAAAGTTCAGTCATGTCATTCACTTGACGAGCAAGATTACTGGTATGCTCAGGGCGGGCAAGAACAGGTGAGTTCGTCGAGCTAGCGTCGGCAGACTGATGGCCCGTCACCAGGACAGCAAGAGATTTCGGCTGCTAACTCTGCCTCCTTGACTCTTCCTTTCTCTCTCGGATCGCTCTTGCCACAGGTTCGACGCCCTTCGCTCCATCTTCCCAGCAGGCACAGTCTCCGGTGCTCCCAAGATTCGAGCAATCGAACTCGTCTCTTCCCTCGAGCAAGAGACTCGCGGCGTCTACGCCGGCGCCGTCGGACACATCGACTATGCCTCTAGTGAAATGGACGTTTGCATTGCCATCCGTACCATGCTCTTTACAAAGGGAACCGCTTACCTACAGGCTGGTGGGGGGATTGTTTATGATAGTGTAGAGGAGGATGAGTATATTGAGACGATTAACAAGTTGGGAGCCAATGTAAGGACGTTGCAGAGGGCCGAGGAGTACTACCGACGTTTGCAGGAGCAGGAGTAGGATTGGGGCGCAATGCAATGCCCCAAGGCTAGTCTAGAGTAGTCAAAATCGCCTTGAACAGCCCCTCTTGTATAGCTCACCGAGGTAGAGTGATATAATAGAATGGACACTCCACTCTCACACACAAGTGCCTCGACGTCTACACCAGCGTGACCGTCCATTCATTTGAAAAGCACACTTGCATCGTCTGATTCAACCCCCAGTCTACTTCGGCCACATGGAAAAGGTTGAGAAGTTCAAGCAAATTGGATGAAAACATCAGAAAACAAATTCGATGCGATGCGATTCGATTCGAATCACTTCAATCTGACGAGCTGTGGAAGTTCTTGGATTGGTATGCTAGAGCAAGGGGGAAACAAACAAACCAGTTCGTGCAAAGAAAGTCGAAAACCTTTATCGACATGGAGAGAACGAGACTGAGACTGAGGCCAAGGCCGGGGGGTGAGTTCAGCTCGCCGGGAGCTGAAAGAAAAAAGGAAGATGACGTGAAGCGAAGCGAATGGAATCGAAGCTGAGTGGAAAAGGGGGATGGAAAGCGATCCTTGTGCCTCTCCTCTACGACAAGGAAGAGATCATGAGGAGATGATTTCCGTGACCGATGAACCGAAGATGGATAAGAACGAGGGAGGGAGAAAGAGCACTGCGGCCGATCGAAGACGAAAGAAACATGAACAGAGAAGAAGGGGTAACGGCCGGATCAAGCGAGCGTACGTGGGAGCCTGACGATGGGAATGGGCCTGTACGTGGTAGAGACGAGATGGTGGACAGAGGCTACTTCGCCCAGGAGACGAAGCTTGCCACGAGCCGCCGTGAAGCTCGCATTGTGCAGTCCCAGAATGTCCTCTCTAGGAGTTGGCGAATTGAGCCAGCTGAGCCATACCGGCGATGACGTCGCTGAGGTTGTTGACGTTCTTGGGCTCAGCGGCCTCCGATGCAGAAGCAGCGGCGGCAGCAGCGGAAGAAGATGATGCGGCCTTCTGTGGGGACAAAGTAAGGAGAGAGGGCGAAGGAAACAGAGTCAGCTGGTGATCTTGATGGAACTTAGCTGTCGGAAGGGAGACGGTGGCCGCCCCTTCCATCGCATCAACAAGAACAGCACGGGATGAGGGACACGAAGATGCCCATGCCTAAGATGAAGCAGCCGGTAGCCTAGGCCTCAAGAAGAGTCTGTAGCCAAGTACTGAGCCGTCCAAGAGACATCGGCTGGTATGATCGTCGTCAGACCATTCGCCAGTCCTTCGTCCTCTTCCCGTCTGTCTATGCCGCTTGTAGATGAGGGATGTTCTACCACTGGTGAAGCGCCGACTGTGGCCATTGGGCTTCACCGTAAAGGGAGACAAGACGGGGAGAGGACCAAGGACCGAGGAATTGAAGGAGCGAGTCACTTACCAGCTCTGATGCCTTGGAGTGCTTAGCAGCTACAGAGGCTCTTGAGGCCGAAGCCAGCGACTTGTGCCTGTGCACAGAGGCAACTGAGGCCTTCGAAGCAGATGCTCTCGAAGCGGCCGCAGATGCTTTGGAAGCAGACACAGATGAAACCGATGCTCTCGAAGCAGACGCGGCTGATGCTGACGCCCGGGAAGCAGAAGACTCGGATGCGAGACTCGCCTGATGAGACTTGTGAGCCCTCGACTTGGAAGCCTTGGCTGCAGAAGAAGCCGAAGCCTTGGCCTCGACACTAGAGCGTGATGCCGCTGCTTCAGAGGCCTCCGAAGCAGAGGAGATCTCTACAAAGTTGCGAAGCCCAGGTGGGAATTGTCAGTCGCGTCGCACTCATCATTTTTGCTCTTGACAGCACTCACTGGCCAACTTCTCGACCCTGCTGTCAGACGATGCGGCTGCCTCGGAAGCTGAGCTCCTACTGGCAGCGGAAGATGCAGAGGCAGCAGATGCAGCCGAAGCAGCAGCCTTTGTTGACTTGGCGTATGCGGCAGCTTCTGAACGACTGGCAGCAGCGGCAGCGGCCTGTGAAGAGTGGAAGCCGGTTCGAATGTCAGCGGTCAGAAGATGACTGCGTGGTCCTCTACGTGGGTACACTTACTCGTGACGCGCTAGCCTTGGCTGATTTTGCTGCAGCGGCATCGTCATCATCATTGTTGCTGTTGCTGCTGCTGTGGCTGCTACCGCTGTTGTCATTGCCACTGTTGTTGTTGTTATTGTTGTTATTGTTACTGCTGCCCGAGCTCGAGCTGCTTCCTCCACTGGAATCACCCCCGAACCACCACTCCATTTGGAACACTCCCGTGCCTGCCGAGTAGAAGTAGTCGAACAGAGCGGGACTCATGTCCAGGGCACCGTAATGACAGGTCTGGGCGCTCTCTGGGCATTCGTCCTGAATCGTGGCGGTGTGAGTTTTGCCGTTGGCACTGATGGTGATCGTCTTTCCACACCATGCGTCGGTGTACTGTCCGGAGTTGACAGCGACGGTGTAGCCGCTGTTGCTCAGGTATTGACCGCACGAGCTAGTGGTAAATGAGAGTTCAAGCAAGATCAAGAGTTCAGCATCGGGGCACATCCGAGACAGCGAGGTCTGACTTGATCGCACTGATCTACACTGCAACTTACCCCTGGTTTCCAGTCTCGGTGTCGTACCAAGTTGCCTGCCCCGAGTATGACCTCTTCTGCAGGTTGTGCTTGTGGCCTGCCAATGCCCTGTTGCTGTGCCTTGCCGACGAGGCATCTACAGCGGCTGGTGAGATGGAAATGAAAGCGGCAAGTGCGCCGAGGGCAGTGAGAGTAAGAGTCGACTTCATCGTGATCTGTGTTGTATGAATCTAGGTTGAGGGAGGATAAGGCGAGCTGAGATGAAGAGAATGCAGAGGAAGTAGAGGAGGCTGTAATGGAATTCGACCAAGTGAAGGACAGTGATGGAGGAGCCGGCGTAGACTGAGGGATGAGTGACCCGAAGAGAAAGAGCGAAGTGGGTATCGAAGAAGGCGTCGTGGCCGCGGCGGGGGTGGAGTGCTTATTTGGAGGGAGAGAGAGGGAGGAACAAAGGATTGACGATGAGTACGGGGAGCAAGGGGGAGTGTCGAGGTTGAGGGGTAAAGTATTTGCCTAGCCAGGGGGTCTGACCCACCCACCCACGCCGAGCCCCATTGTGGGAGAGTTGCTTTCCCCTTTGGCGGACAGGCGCCGGTGCTCCGCTCGCCTGTCAAGTGCGATAGGCAGGAATCCCTGTTTGCGTGCCTGTGTGTGCGATGGCATTGTTGCTTCGATGCAGCGAGTTCCCTTGGAGACCTGGATGGCCACCTGCGTGCTACTGCCCATCTGCCCTCGGGCCTCCTCCTTGGGCGTCGAGGTCTTGAGATGTGTTGTTCTCCCTGCCACACTGGCGTGGTGCGTATGCAGCGCCTCACATTCCTCAGCCTGCGAGACGCGATGCAGCTCCCTGGGCGCGTGGCGCACCGCCAGAGGGACGCCAAGGACTCCCGCTCGCTCGAGCCTCGTCAAGTGAGACGTCGATATCGCGACTCTCCACGCCTCTCACCACTCCGTTCTTTGCGCTTCGCCTTGCTCGCTTGGCCTTCGCTTGGCCTTGTCGGCAATGCTGCGAGACTTCTCTTGCATTGTACCGCCGCCGCCGTAGGGCGAAGCAGTTTCTGACCGGCACTCATCCTGTTGATGGATCTCACTTCGATCGCAGTTCCCTTCGGGGCAAAGATAGCCTTGGCTGCTACTCTTGTCCAATTACCCGAAGATTCCGCCATCTTCGGAATCATTCAGGAACGTTGTTGATCATTGTCAGACAGTCTACATTGACTCCCATCGGCGTTCCTACTCACTTGTCTGAGGCGGTAGTCCAGTGCTACGTGTGCCGATCCAGTGGTTCTACCATTCCTGATCGACTGCCAAGACTTCCTGGGCATGCTCTTGTCGGGCGTCTTTACCTCATTCCCGCTTTTCAGACGTGAAGTTTCGACGTGTAAAATACCTAGCCATGAAACTCTAGTGGGCGAGCAGCATAAAGTTGTCCAGGGCAACCTTGTCCAGGGCACAACAAGCAAGCGCCAGGTCTCTAGCTCGATGAGTAAGGCGACAGCAAAGCCAGGTCCAGCGTCTGCTCACGTATTGTAACAGCACGTGAAATACATCCTACTTGAGCTACTGGTCGCCTCGAGTGCTTTAGTTGCTGTTGTGACCACGACTTTGTAAGGCCAAATGAGTGAGCCAGGCATTCCATTCTTACATCGGCTACCACCGACGCTCTTTGCATTGGGCCAGACAGTGCGTCTGACCGAGACCCAGGATTCGGTGATGACCGAAACGTCCTTGGAATGCAGAGCAGTGAACGCAGAATGATTGACCTAGACGTTCCATTCGACGACTGACATGCCTCAGAGCAAGCTGTAGGACGTGACAGCCACTCCAGGCCTTACCGCCTGATCCTACCGACGACGGCTTTCCGTTCCGCTTTGGCGGCCGGCGCTGCTTCCGTCGTGTCTGCCCCGCCTCTTCTTCCTACCGACCATCGCTGCACGTCCCTTTTCTACCCGAACAGTCCACTCCACCGCTCCACCATCATGTCCAACGGCGAGGGTAGTCAGAGCGGGCAAGCAGCAGCGCTCGCAGCTGCGCCGCCGGTGCCCGCGGTTCAAGGCCCTCCGGAGTCAGTACTGTCTGAGGTACCAAGAGGCAAAGACACGCGGAAGCACCCAATTCAGTATAGCCACTTCTATCCCCCTCCGCCTATGAGCACAAAATGTAAGTAAGAGTTGAATTCTTTGACTGACTTTCTGAGTGTTGACGCTCGCTGTTTTCGGCTCCTTCATCAGATGTCACCTCATCGTACATCAAAACAGACCAGCAGACAATCGCGGGCAGGGAAGCAGCCAATGGAGCCAGAGTGACATGGGCGGCGAGGAAGAGGAAAGCTGGCTCAGTAGAAGACGGTGATAGTGATGAAGAAGGCGCCGAGGTGAGTGCATTGTCTTGGCCGAGAGCCGCCACAGACTAGCGATTGTGGAGCTCACTGCAGATCCATCTTCCCTGCAGTCCGACAAGAGCCTCGCAGCCCGTACCATTATCATTCACCCTGGTTCTACGCACATAAGAGTCGGGCTTGCAACGGACGTGGGTCCTGTGCAGTGGCCCAATGTATTGGCTCGGCGTACTGAGAAGGTAGGATCGCCTTCGAAGTCACCCAAGGCCTCATCACCAGATGGCCCGCAGAACGGCACGAGCGGAGTGGTGCAGCAGGGCGAAGATGAAGAGATGGAGGGAACTGTTGAAGGCGAGGCCAAGAAAGCTGATCCAGTGAGTTGCCACCGCGTACACTGCTCAAGAGCTGCTTCTGACCCTGACCCTACCTTGGCTCCAGCTGGAAGCCCGGATTGGTCTCCTTCGGGCCGACTTGCGCTCGATAATGCGCAATATGAAGCTACGAGGCGTCTCGAATGGCAAAGGGCTGGCAGCAAGCTACAATGCTCAGGTGCAGCCAGAGAAAGTGCCCTCACACAACGACTTCGGTGATGAGTGGACACCTGAGAAGCCAACGACGTCCCGTGATGTGGAGCTGGGAGAAAGAGCGCTTCGTATACCCTCTCTTTCTCCATCTCCGGGCAAGGAGGCGGAAGTACAAGCAAAGCAGGCTGGGAGACCTTGGAAGCTTTACCGTCCTTTCCGAGCTGGTAAACTCAACTATGCGTCATACATCGACGACTTCGGCTCAGCAGCCGAACGTGTGCTGCTGAACGATACGCAAGCGATCTTTGAAGGCATCATCTCTTCGCCTCGGGAGGACTTGTCCGCGCCTGGCAAGTCGGTCGAGGGCATGGGGCAGACCCTGTACGGACTCGGCATCCCTCGCAAGCAGTACTCTGCTCACTCTGTGATCCTCCTGGTGCCAGATCTATTTCCGAAATACGACTTGAGAGCGCTCACCCAGCTCCTTCTAGTCGACATGGGCTTCTCTCAGATAATTGTACAGCAAGAGAGCACAGCTGCTACCTATGGCGCTGGCATGAGCTCGGCATGTGTCATTCATGCCGGAGGCGAGCGCATTAGCATTTCGTGCGTCGACGAAGGCCTGCTACTGCAGGAGACAAGGATGCATCTGGACTATGGAGGTGAAGACGTTACTCACTTCCTTCATCAGCTTCTCACCAGAGCCAACTTTGGCTACAAAGATTGCTCGCCCGCTCTTCGAGTTGCCGATACGCTCGTGTTGGAAGACCTGAAGAAGCAAATAATCACACTGGATGCTTCTCAGATCGGTCTCTTCATCTTCAACTTCTACCTTCGACTGCCCTCAGTCGCAACGAAGAAGTGGGAAGTGAGAGTATACGACGAGGCAATTCTGGCGCCGATGTCCTTCTTCGGTCTGGGAGTGAGAGTCCTCGACTTTGCCAAGAAGGACGACGAGCGCAAGGCGGAGGCCGAGTGGGGTCAGAAAGATGACGAGGACCTGGATGATGGCTCGGAGAGAAGGTACGCGATCACATCGGCTATGAACAGCTCGGTGCGCCATTTGATACCTCAGGCAGCTCCCACACCGGCTCCAACAGCCCCAACGGCAACAAACGGTGGTGAGGAGGCAGTCGATGGCGCCACGCCCAGCCGTGAGACGAATGGGTCTGCCCCTCCCGCCGGAGCGAGTAGCATGACTCTCACTGCATCCAACGATGGCCAGCAGAAGGCACCTACGCCAGCGAGGTCTACCCCTGTCCCCCCGCCATTGAGTTTCTTCGATATTCGCAAGGCCTCATCCCAGCTGCCCCTCGATGTCGCACTGTATCACTCTCTTCTAGCCTCCACAAACGCTGGTGGAACATTGGCCACCGGGGAGGAGAGGATGAAGAAGCTCGCCTCCAATGTCCTCGTTGTCGGCGGGAGTGCCAGGATACCAGGATTGGACAGTGTGATTGAGGCACGGTGAGTCAGCGCTGGTGCCACACATTCTGTGTCGTGCCAGGGAACCGTACGCTAATACGGGAACTGACACCTTTGGTTTCTTCTTCCTCCTACTGCAGTCTCATCCCCCACCTGGAAGCCCACGCCGCGTCCAAAGCAGAAGCTACTTCCGCCGCGATGGCAGCGAATGCTACAGCCATCGGAGGGGCCACTGCACCTGCTCCTAGTGCGCCAGCCTCCTCAACAGTAATCTCCCCCTCTGTCATTCCACCACCGCGAGACTTGGATCCGACGCTGCTAGCATGGAAGGGTATGGCCGTCTTGCCAAGGCTGGAATCTGCCAACGATATGTGGGTGACGAGGAATGAATGGGACGCTCTTGGGTGGAAGGGGGTCAGAGACAAAGCGTGAGTGACAGTCGTCTCCGATGTGATAGAAAACAACTCAGAAAAGTCTCGGTGCTCACGTCCTCCTATGGTTTCTCGCTTCCTGCAGATTGTACCTCTGAGCAAAGTTGTACTGACCAGCTAGATGGACCAAAGAAATGCATGAACACATGTATGTCAATCTAGCGTCATGATGTATCGCGTAGAAGTCTCGGGATGTCTTTCTTGTGTGTGATCTCGTGTATGATCTCGTGTTTGAAGTAGTCGGGGAAGCCGTCTTTCGTGGTGTCTCTGCAGTTCATCAGGGTCCAGGCGGGCGGCGCGGGGGTGCGTGGGCCGTGCGGAACGTCCCATGTCGAGAAATGCGTTTCCTCGTTCGCTGCCATTCCCGATGTTCCCTTCGCCTCCCACTTGTCACCTTCAACTTCCCTCCAAGTAGCCAGGATGTCCCATCCGTCCTCAACGTCATCTCCCTCCGCCCCATCTACTCTCAAGATCCTCACACTCAACGTCTGGGGTCTTGCCTACATTTCCAAAGCCCGCCAATTCCGTATCCGCTACATCGCCGAGCGCCTCGCCGAGGGGGACTGGGACATCGTCGCCCTCCAGGAGATCTGGGTCGAGAGTGACGACTGGCGCTTCGTCAGCGCTAGATGTGCCGAGAGACTTCCGTATACAAAGTTCTTCTATAGTGGAGCCTTTGGATCCGGATTGGCTATCCTGTCGCGCTTCCCCATCTTTGCGACTCATACACAGCCTTACACCCTCAATGGTCTTCCCCTGAATGTTGGACAGGGGGACTGGTTTGTGGGAAAGGCAGCAGGTTCGATCTCCATTGATCTTGGAGATGGCATATTGGTAGATGTATTCAATACGCATACAGTGGCAGCGGGAGGGGAAGATGGACCAGAAATGTTGAGAGCTCATAGGCTCATGCAGGCTTGGGAGCTGTCAAAGCTGGTGCAGAATAGCGCTGAGAAAGGCAGACATGCCATTGCAGTAAGTCGGAAAGCAGTCAAAGTCCTACGGTGTCTTATCTTAATCTGAAGTGGTCTCTTTGCATCACACGCTCAGGTGGGCGACTTCAATTCGACACCCCCATCTCTGCCCATTGCAATCCTGCGGAATCTTGGCAGTTTATCGGATGCCTTCCTCAGTACACATCCCTCTCTGCCGCCCAATGCCGTCACACTTCCAGGCCAGGCCGCTCTTGGCAGTACTACTTCTCCCGATCCACACCTCGCCATTGCCAAGCTCGGGGTGACATGCGACTCACCGTTAAATAGCTGGACCGAAGGGAAGCCACTCGATGGTAGAGCTAGAGCAGCAGCAGGGAAAAGATTGGATTACATCTTCTACAGAGGACCATACTCTGCCGACTCAGAGGGTCAAGATCCAGCAGCAAGATACACCAATCATGGGCGTCTCAAGCCCGTGGACTGCAAAGTATGCTTTACCGAGAGAGTACCTGGCTCAGACATGAGCTGTACAGACCACTTTGGCGTTGAGGCTACCTTCGAGATCCTTCCTCGTTCCATCGGACAAGCCACAAAAGACACCGCTCTCAACACACTTGCCGACCGCGATCTGACCTCTACACTCAACAGCGCCGTCTCGGCTTTGGGCGCTTATATGCATCATTGCAGTAAGACACAGCGCTCTCACCTTCTGGGCTTCTGTGGCTGTGTGACCGCTGCCCTTACTCTAGCTATCGCTACGCCATTCTTGGGCTATCGCGGGTACAATCTATTCGCTGCTGGGGCAATTGTTCTGGCCATTGCTGCGGGTTGGGGTGGCACGACTCTGTTATACTCTGGCGTCATTTGGGGAGAATGGGAGAAGCGTGAGTATAGTACGGGGAGAGACAATGCTGCTGTTAGAAGTCTGATAAGCTGACATGACACGAGGCCGATAATGTGATTGGTAGGTGCTCTGAGGACAGCCATCGAGTCTATGGAATTGGACCTTTCGCACCTGTCCCAGAGGCAGTCGCTCAATCGACCCAATGGTCAGAGCCGAGAAGATGGATCTCCTACCAGGGTCAGGCGAACTTCTCGAGACCAGCGCTCGCATGGTCCGGCAGCAGAGGCAGAGTCTCTAATTTAAAGCCACCACGCCTGCCCTGAATCGGGCGCCCTGAGTCAGGGCAGAGCTATAATCGTCATGGCGGGTGATGATGAGGGTCGAGGTACCTGATTACCTGGTTCGCCCTTCGGACCCAATTACCTCCGGGTTCCCGACCTCATCGAGAAACCTCTTCGCCTTCACCGTTGGCTCACAAATACCTCTGAGAAGTACTGAATCTCTGCACTGTCACTGTTCGCATGACCACACGTACTAGACCTAAGAGACCCTGCCTCGTCCTAATCACATATGCACACACTATCCTTCCTCGTCCTCCGACATCTCTCTTCTTAAGCACCCGACAAAATGGCAGCGACACCACTCCCTGGCGATGCGGTGATGACGACGGTGCAGGTGCTATGCTACTCGACCGAGGAAGTCAAGCAAGAAAAGGCCAGCTTGGCCTTCCTCATGAGTCTGGGCTTCTTCCACTCTGCCGGCTTCTTCCTCTCGACGATGTGCTTCATCTCTATGGCAATCTTGATGAAGTCCAGTCGGCTGCTACGAAGCCCCATCTTCTTTCTGCTGCTCATTGCGATCATGTCGGGTGCTGCTAGTACGCTCATGGCGGTTATATCGCATCAGCATAATCTGCTCGATGATCCCAAGATGATCAAGGAGGTGTGGTCGACGAAGATGATGACTATATCATTGAGTTTACTTGGATGTGAGTGTCAATGAAAGGGAAGAGAGGCCACTAAGACGCGACTAATCCAATATCCTTCTACTTTGCCTCGCACCAGTGGTTCCCATCTTGGCAGACACGACGATGATCTTTCGCATCATGCTCTTCTATCCACGAGAGGACCCAAAGCTCTTCAGGAAAGGCTTGCTGGTCATTGCAATACCCATCATCTTCAAATTTGCTCGCATGGGACTGCAGACCATCTCTCGCATTCAAGCTCTGCAATTGTGGAAAGCACAAGATATGACGGCTCCTTTCGCCTGGAACGTCTGCTGGATTCTCAACGCACTAGACCCAGCCCTTTGCACTATCTTCATCTGTTGCAAGCTACACCGCATGTCGCTTCGCGCCCGTAGTAACAAGAGCAAAAAGGGACCAAGTCGGATCTACAAGTATCTACGTACGGCCTTGTGGACGTCTGCTGCAGCCGCTGTGAGTAGAGGGACGTCGTTGCTGCTCGTTGATGGCGTGCCGAAGTACTGACAAGACTCACATTCTCTGCATAGGTCCCACCCATTGCCTTCGCGGTCACTATGGGAGTCCTGCTTTTCAGCAACCAAGGCTCAACCGCTGTCCGACTTTACGTGGCCCACTTGTACGGGTGGTCTATCATCATCGCCGCATGTTTCTCCTCCTTCTGGCCAGAGATCCAAGCCTCACATTCGAAAAAGGGCGAAGCGACTGCACCACGCTTCGTCATCGGATTCGACAATGACCTTCATCGGGACATTCATGATCCTGTCACACGATTGCCGGCTGGCACTTCAGGCTCGCCGAACGAGGCAAGTAGCTTCGGTTCGGCCGCAAAAGAGAGACAGATGGGCGAGAGAAATGGTTTGTCCGCGTTGGACTTCCACGATGGCGTGCAGACCATGGGACTTCAGTCGTACGGCAGACAGGATCGTTTGCAGACCCTCGGCGTCACATCGGGGGTGAATCCGAAGCATGCCCACACGTGGGCTTCTCCTTCTCCCGAGGACACCAGCGTTGCCTTTACTCGTCGACCGGTGAACCTCACGCCTGAGCTCACGTCGGCTGCGCTACCCAGTAATAGTACCTCGAATGCCATGTTCAAAGGCAAGCGTCAGCCTGTCGATGCGGCCGAGAGCAAGCAGGGTCACCTTGCCCATCCCCTTGACTCGCCGAGCACCTACTCTAGAGCCTCCATTGAGCAGGAGCTGACCGCGGATCAACCCTTGCAAGAAAAGAGGTACGGTAGCAGCAGCAGCGAGAGCAGTGCCTATCAACCGCATCTCCCACTCACTGGAAATCCGAGAGCTTCGTCGACGCCTTCCCTCGCATCCACTACTGAGGGCTGGGGCTGCGCACGCCCGGTGACAGCCCTCGAGGGGTACGAAGAGATTGACATTGAGCACACAGAAGAGCTGGCCCCGGGAGAGGCATTACCGGCCCGAAACGTCTCTCCTTCGCCTGTCCGTACTCGCGATCTGGCCCTCGTCACCAAACAGCAGCAACGGAATGCACGCCCTACGCTACTCCGGCAGTTCTCCGATGGCGCCACCATCGCCTCATCTCTGCCCAAGTCGCCGGCTCTAGTGAGGAGCGCATCGCAACATGTCCCCCACTTTAGGCAGGCATCGCATTCCTCAACAGGATCAGCCTGGAGCAAGCTCGATCCCACTGTTTCTGCCAGTACTATTCCTCTCGCTCGCCGAAAACCCTCGTTTCGCCTTCAACACTTACCTCCCTCGTCCTCGAGGGCAGAAAAGGATGAACATCAGGAGCACGTGCAGGACGAAGCAGGTAAGAGGGAGTCGCACTATGTCCTTGCACCTGCACCTGCTTCGACTTCTGGAGATGCGGTAGACGAACCCGCGATGCACCACTGGCGAACCGCCTCGGCCGCTTCTGAACCCACCGTGGGCGCGGGAGCCGGCGTTGGTGCACCTCCCCTGATGCCTCCTCGTAGAAGGGCTGCCAGCCCTCAAAGCTACCAAGCTTCGCACCCGCCCTTGAGCTCACAGCAGCAGCAGCAGCAGCAGCAGCAGCAGCACTACCACCACCACCAACAACAACAACAACAATACCGTCAGCAGCAACAACAGCAGCAGCAAGTACAGCAGCAGCGGCAGAAGCGACAAGAGGAACAACGACTACGAAGTGGCAGCGCCTCTTCTTCTTCTCTCTCTGCCTCTGGCCTCTCCCTCGCACCACTACCCGCGAGCCTTTCTGCCCGAGCTCCTAGGTCGGCACCTGCTGCCCCTTCTTCCACTGGGAGCATGGGTGCGGCTGGTTTTGCGGGCCAGCAGCAAGTGCAGCAGCTGTCACGACGAGGCGAAGGGCAAGGTCAACGGCAGGAGCCAGAGCCAGAGCGGGAGCGGGACTACTACGAGCAACCCTACCCTCCACGTGTCCACAATAACAGCCATGGTCATGGTCAGAGTCACGCCCACGCCCATGATCAAGGGCACACTCAAGGCCACGGTCGTGGACTTTTACCCAGCCCAGGCGCCAGCTCAAGCTCTACCTCTACCTCTACCTCTACCTCTACCTCCAGCCATGGCACCCGGTCGGCCTTTGGGTTCAGCTTCGGCCACGGTCAGAAGCCCCGTCCCCTTTCCATTGGTTCAGGCCGCAGCTTAGGCGTCGGCACGGGCAGTGGGAGTAGGAGTGCTGGTGGTGCAGGAGGCCGAGGGGGAGGGGGAGATGCTTCACCGGTCGATCTGGGAAGTATTGGTATTTTTACAGAGACGTACGTGAGAGTTGAGTGAGTGTGGGGAAGGGGAGGGGAGGGAAGGGAAGGGAAGATATGGAGAGGAGGGTGGGAGAGGGGAGAGGGGAGGGGGAAGAGGGGAGAAGGACAGGAGAGGCAAGGGGAGAAATCACATTCCTTGTTGTGCTCGTTCCCATGCTCGATGCTCGATGCTCGATCCAACCACTAGACTAATTAATCCATCCATCTCTTGCGTTCCAAGGTTCGCTCAACTCAACTCAGCACCACACGACACGACACGACACGACACGACACGACACGACCTGACCTGACCTGACCTGACCTGATCTTCTAGAGTAGCTCGAGTAGCTCCGACCGACTTACTTACTCGAAGAATGAGACTGAACATGACATGACCAAAAGACGTCAAGAAAGAAAAACGAACAAGGGAATGTAGATCAATGGATGTGGATTTGTGGATGTGGATGTGGATTTGTGGATTGAAGATTAAAGCGGTATATAACAATTGGGGTAAAGAAATTGGTACTGGTAAAGAAAATGTTCGGCATTCCTCTTCTTCTTCTTCTTCCTCTTCCTCTTGCACTCCCCTCTGCTCCGTGCCCCTCTCTCTCTCCTGCTTCCCATTCCCTCTCTTCTCCTCTCTCTCAAGTCCTATTCCCAGCCTTTTCTCTATAACTCTCCATATTCGTCGTGACAAATGGATTTTCCTCACCAGCAATAATCTCCTCTGCAGACTTTTCTGCTGGATCCTGTAGGAGGGTATTCGACGACGAAAAGGTGTCTGTGCCTGCCTTGGCGCTGGCGACTGTCCTCCGCCGTAGCTCTGTACGTTCTGCATCCGTTGTGCGCAGAGTGGTAATGGCGGAGCCGTTAATGATGGGCTGTTTTCCCTCCTCACCGCTACCGCTACCGCTCCCACCGCTGCTACCGCTGCTCTTGCTAGTACTACCGCTCCCTCTCGACTCTCTAATCTCATCCCTAATCTTTCTACTAGCTGCCTTCATCTTATCAAACTTCTCTACTCCAATTCGTGTCCCAAAGAGTACATCAAAGTGTACAAAGAAGGGTTGGGAGTAATTGAAGCGTAGTCCTTGCATTTGATGATGCACATCGTGATATTCTGCGCAATTGGGGAAGACTAGATGGAGGGGATCCAGCCACCAGGGGAAGGCGTAACCTCCGTGATCGCAGACGGTCTTGAGGGTGGAGAAGGTGAAGAGGAGGATCCCTTGACGGATCGTCATGAGGGCTAGAGCGTGGGAGATGGCTCCTCCCGCCGAGTCTAGGAGGAGACCTTCGAGAGGATGGTTGTAGAGGGCGCCAAAGGCATAAGGGACGTACAGGCGGTGGTGATGGGAGTGGAAGTGCCTGTAGAGGAAGCGTGACTCGTGGAAAGCTCGGTGGAGGGCATATTGCCATGCGTCCATGACGAAGCTGGTAGGGTGGGAAAGCGACATACAGAGGTTAGCGATGATTGGAAACAGGCACTTACTGTGATTAACTTCATCGTCGTCTCTTGTACTCACAAGGCCCACCAGAATTGCACAAAGGGTAGTCCCCACCAGTACAGCCACTGTACTGCCTGCACTCCCACACCTCCATCCAGTATCCTCAGACCAGCCTTGTAGCCAAAGGTCCCGCACACAACCTTTGCCAGGTACACCCCCACCTTTTTCATCCCTTCTTGATGATCAGCAAATACCTGCCTTCGAGCAGCCTCATCGTCCTCTAGTACAAAAGCGCCCAAGACGGTCTGCACTGCCTGTTGTAGCAGTACCATTGCCACGACCGTCGAGGCAGGCACCTTGTTCCTCTTCCTCACCTCTTCTGGCTCATGCAGACGGTACTTTTCGAAAAAGGGAATCTGTGCATGGTCTAGAAAGGTGAACCAGAGGGATATGAGCCAGTAGATTGCTACTGGACCGACTAGGGAGAGGTACTTGTCTGAGATGAAGGGTAAGAGGGACTCGTGTGGGTAGTAGTAGAAGGGTTTCCATGACTCGGAGGAAGAGGGAGAGTAGTTGATGTTTGTGAGGGAGAGGGGAGAGACGCCGAGGAGGGATGCGGCCTTGAGTGTGAGGTTGCTGGTCATGGTGGTCGTACTCGTGCGAGGTGAAGGAGGCTCGGTATGACCCCAGTGGCGGAGGGCTCTGTATGGCCGAGGCCCAGGCCTGAGTGGAGATGTGGGGCTGCTACAAGAGTGAGGGTGAGGCTGAGGAGGATGGCGGTATGGGACAGATGCCACGCAGTGTGATGGTAGTGGTGTGCAATGATGAGATGGAACCAAGAGGGAAGGAAGCGTGGATGCTGAGGCTGCTTATTTCCTTGTGTGTATATGCTGCTCGTGTGTGTGTGAGTGTGAGTGTGGGTGTGTGCATCTGATCTCGGCTGTTTGGATGCCCGCCCCTTTGGACACTCGTCAAATCTCATCTCCATCCCGTCCGTCGTGCGTACGTCCGTCTGTCCGCCCGCCCCCCGCCACTTTTCCTTTCCGGTTACTTGAGCCGACACGGGCCAGGCCGCCGCCCCGCGCCGCGCCACTTTGAGGCTTGGAACGGCGAGGCGGTAAGCCGTTCCCGCACGACTCTTGGCCAGGGGGGAGGTGGATCGCTTAGCTCAGCAACGGACAGGAGGATTGTAGACAGACGTCGAAAAAAGGGCAAGGATTGAATGCATTTGTCCCATCTACATCTACACTCCATAAGACCGCACAGTGGAAAAATGAAAGGGACGATCATGCTTTTGCGGCAAAGGCAGCACCTCGCCCGTAGACAGATTGATGGAGCAGTACTCGACCATTTCCATCTTGTTCCACTTGCCGCGACTGGTGCATCGCAAGGTGAGGACCATACGAAAGGCATACTTGGACATGTGTCGGTCTGTGAATACACGTAAAGGGGGAGAAGGAAGGAAAGAGGGTCTCAGCAACAACTTTGCCTTTGATCTTCTGTCCTCCGCTCTGATTGCCTCACTCACCCTTGAGATCTTCGATGATCACTCTTGCTCCACCTCGCCTGCGTCTCTTCTCCTTTTCCACCTCCAACTCCTCTCCTGCGCTTCCTCTGTGAGCCCCTTCAGCACCATCAGACATCTCCACTCTCCACCGTCCCACTGCGAATCCCTTGTCGCCATTTCCCGCATACATCCTCCCAACCGTCTCCCTAGGCGGGTCCGTCGTCAGAAACGTCAGGGCCTTCCCATCAGGGAGAAATCGGATGGATCGGTAGAACTCCACAGTGTGGAAGACGCGAACCCAGGGATTGTCCACACTTAGACCTGGGCGCGAGTAGTGACAGGCGGCAATGTAGCAACCCGTTTCGCGGATGCGGGGGTGGTGGATGAACAGCAGGCGCGGATTGGCGAGGTTCGGTAATGTCGATGGCAAAGCAAGTTGAGGAGCGTGGTACGTCTCGCTGATGATCAGTCTGGTAGAGGAGACCAATATGGGAGGGTCAGCCAACCGTGGACGGGGGATCTACCTTCTCCACTCAGTCACTTCGGTGCCGAACTCACCTCCAGATGCCTTTGACCCTCGATGCTAGACGCCACTTCCACGAGACTCTGGCCAGCATCTCCAGACTTTGCCAATCAGCTCCAGCCAGGACCATGCCCACGCCGGCGGGGCCCTTTGCAGCTCGGGTAGCTGTAGAGTCATTGCCTGAGGGAGGGGGTCTCTCCTTGTCGTGAACTGCCTTGTCCTCTCCCTTCCCCGCGACCTGAGCTCCGTGCTTGTCCTGCACGCCCTCGATCCGGGGCGGTCGGATCTTGGTGCCGCGCTGCCCTCTAGGCTCCACTACAAGCCTGCAGATGTGGGCTAGGATCTCATCGGGCAGCCTGGCTATCAGAGGCGGTGGTCCTTCCTCGCCTTCTTCTCCATTGAGGCGTGCCTTGTCCAGCTTTTCTGTAACATCGCTGACTGCCGGATCTGCATCGGTCTCCAGTGGCTTCGGCTTTTGAGAGAGCCTGACAGGCGATGGACGGCCGGTGAAGGAGATTTGTGAGAGATCCCGTCCTTCGACTGCCGTGCTCGATCTGGCAATGATAGCCTCCAGCTGATCATCCTCTTCAAGGGTAGGAGGCCCCTCGTCGTCATCAGCAACGGGATGAGCTTCACTCTGCTTGCCATTGTGTGGCAGCTTCGCTTCAGCAGCTGCTCTACTCTTCTCCTCCCGCTCTCGCCTTTCCATGGCAATCACCCGGGAGTCGTCAAAGTCCGTTGCTCTGCGAATCATGTCTCCCACTTCCGAGCTGGCCAGAAGAGCGTCTGATTGTGCATCCCATGAAGCTCCCACGGACTTGCTTCCATCTATCTTGAGTAGGGATTTAGCCCGCTCATATAGCTTGTCAGGAGCCGAGTCCAGCCGGAAAGCCCTCCGGTAGTGATGTGTAGCCTGGTCGAACTGGCCCTTGCGCTCCATTTCCGCGCCCAAGGCATACGCCTGCACGGCCGCCTTCATCTGCGATTTCTTAGAGGCACTGGCATTCGTAGGTGCTTCTTGATTGAGCTTCTGCCGAGGTGGACTGCGAATCTGTGGTGGTAGGGTTGCGCCTTGCTCCTCTGCTTCCTGGAGAGCTGCACGGCGTTGCTCTTCTGCTAGCTGTAGCAAGTGCCGAGTCCGACTTGGGGAGTGAGGCTGAGCTTCCTCGTCTGAGGACATGTCTGCTTGTCCAACACTGTGCTCCTCCTCAGGATACCCATTGGCTCTCGACAGACGGGGCTTCTCTCTATGTTTCTCCTTGCCCTTAGCATTCGCAGCCGGTATCCGGAGTGGCGGGAGGCTCGAAGGTCCTGCTTGGGGCGCAGCGGGTTCTGCCTTCCTGCGCTGAACCTCGGCCTGCCATTCCCGCCTAAAAACCTCTAGCTCTCTCTCATCGTACTGTGTCCCATCTGCGCGCACCTTGCTAGGTGATGCTAACGGTTGAGAGTGGGGCGAGGATGATGACCCCTCTTCGCCTGGGGGAGGGGTGAAGCTCGGGGTAGGGTAAGCCGGCGTACCCTCGTTGGAGCTCATGTTGAGCAGCACGATTCAGCTGGCCCTGCCTTAAGCCAGAGAATGAAGCTTTACGAGCTACCAATGTATGCTGAGGTAGGTGATGCTAATGTCAGAAGGGAGAAGGAATGTCTGCAGAGACACGGACCTCGTCTCTACGAGGCTCACCGGAAGTGGAGCAACGGCGGCGGAGCGGAAAGGGCAAATTGGCTCACTCTTCCCGAGTACGACTTAGTTCTGCTATCCATTGCAGTCAAGCCAGCGGGAGCTGATGGCGACGACCTTCTGGAGACCAGGCACGGCCAGGCCGGGTGAGTAGCATTGATACTGACTGGGCGGTTTCTCCTGCTTTGATGTGCTTAATAGTGCGACTCCTTGTGACGCAGGTTCCTCCCTCGACCGAGCGACGGAATCGGAAGAAGTTCTTGATGGTGCCGCCATTGCTGGACAGATACAGGCAGGTCATTTGGGCATACAAGCGCAAAGGTCTCGACTACCAATTGCAAGGCACAGGGAGGCTATCTCGTATGCTCTAGAGAAGTACCCAGTCACCATTGTAGTAGGGCAAACAGGTTGCGGGAAGACAACGCGTGAGTGCGATGCAGCATTGCATGACGGTAAAGGAGACTCTGACTGATGTCCGTGTATCTGGCAACATCGACAGAGATCCCTCAATATCTCCTCGAAGCTGGCTGGGCTTCTACAGGGCAACAAATCGCGATCACTCAGCCACGGAGAATCAGCGCCATCTCAGTCGCCTCGAGGGTAGCAACAGAAGTAGGATCGGTCCTGGGAGATGAGGTCGGCTACTCGATTCGCTTCGAGGAGGTATCGAACCCGCTTCGGACACGCATCAAGTTCCTCACAGACGGAATGCTATTCCGAGAGTGTATGCGGGATCCTTTGCTCAGCAAGTACAGCGTCATTATGATTGACGAGGCTCACGAGAGAGGCGCGTACACCGATCTCCTACTTGGCTTGATCAAGAAGATTCGCAGGAAGCGGCCAGAGCTCAGAGTCATCGTTTCCAGCGCCACGATCGATGCAAAGAATATGCTCGACTTCTTCGCCAACGGAGAAGCGCACGACGAAGCGACAATACTTTCGCTAGAAGGACGAACCTATCCGGTTGAAGTCTCTCATCTCGGCAAGCCATGTAGTGACTACGTCAAGGCGGCTGTGGACACTGTATGGTCCATTCATCTCAATGAGGGCCAAGGAGATATACTGGTCTTTCTCACCGGCAGAGAAGAGATCGATCGTTGTCTGCAAACAATAGCAGATCGATTGCTCGACTTACCGAAGGGCTCGTTACCACTCGAGTTGCTGCCGCTTCATGCAGGGTTGACCTCGGAGGAGCAGATCGCCGTCTTTACGCCAACGGCAAGGGGTTCGCGGAAATGCATTGTAGCTACCAACATCGCGGAGACAAGCGTGACGATTGAGGGGGTCAAGTATGTTGTTGATTGTGGCTTCGTAAAGGTGAGCTGGCGTGGGAAGGTCTCAGGATGCTGCGTCAGTATACTTACTCTCCTCTCCCCTGTCCGCTCAGGCACGCCTGTTCAACCCAATCTCAAGCATGGACATACTTGCGACGGTCCCCATCTCACAAGCTTCCGCGACGCAAAGGGCAGGGCGAGCAGGTCGTGTCTCGCCGGGCAAATGCTACCGCTTGTATACATCGTCGGCCCACAAATTCCTGCCTCGTACGACGTTGCCGGAGTTGGCACGGACAGACATCACTCCCTATATATTGCGGCTCAAGGCCCTCGGCATCGACAATCTTGCCAACTTTGAATACCTGCCACCCGCTCCGCCGAGCGGTATGATGGTCCGAGGTCTCGAATTCCTCTCTGCGATAGATGCTCTCGATGAGTGGGGCCGCCTTACGCCTGTAGGTGAGAGGATGGCAGAGTTGCCCGTCGAGCCGATGACAGCCAAGTGCTTGCTGGCTTCCCAAGAGTTTCGTTGCACTGCTGAGATGGTCTCGATAGCAGCGATGACTTCGGTTGCCTCGCCCTTCACTATACCCGACGAAGGTCGCTCACGAGCTGGGGCGGAGGGCGAGTTGGAAAGAAGGAAGTTCACAGCAGAGGAAGGTGATGCACTCACTCTCCTGAATGTGTTCAACACATTCGTGAATCCACGGGTGGGCAAACAGTCTGCCAGGTGGTGCTCCAAGCATCGCCTGAACTTCAAGGCTCTTTCAAGAGCAGTGAGTATCCGCTCACAACTGGCCAGGTACCTTGAGCGCTTCGGGATCAACACTGCAGTCAGCTGCGAAGGAGACGCAAAGAGGCTGAGGAAATGTCTCACAAGTGGATACTTCCGCAACGCCGCCCGGAAGGCCGGTAACGGGGAGTGGAGGAGCGTGCGAGACAACACGCTCCTTCATGTCCATCCATCATCGGTGCTCTTCAGCCGGGAGCTCCCCGTCTCCACCTGGGTCATCTTCTCCGAGGTTGTGCTTACTACAAAAGCGTTCATGCGGGACGTGACCGTGATTGAACGGGTAAGTAGGCTCGCTGCCGTCAGCACCACGCGCCGTGATCAGTCCTGACCTTCGCTTTCCATCATCTCCGTTTCTGCAGGATTGGCTACCGGAACTTGCGTGAGTACAGTTCCTTCGCTTCAAAGACTAAAGTATGTCTGTGAGACTGACATGCCCCATTTGTTTGCTTATAGGCCACATTTCTACGAGCTGTCGGATGCCAGGCTCCCGGCTCACTGACGAGCGACTCAGGAACGTAACTCGACGCGTGCCTGGCCCTGCCTCAGCAATCAGGGGCCGTGCTGTACCTCAGTGCGTATGCTCGCGACCGCGGCTGCAGCGCCCCCCTATCCAGATGCCGGTCTCCCTCGCGACTGCTCCTGTTGTGCTATACCGTACTCCCCCACACCCACCCCGTACCTGTCTTTTCACTGCCAACAATGATACCCTTTTCATTCTGCCTCATCACGCTCGTTTTCGTCGTTGCTACTGCGACGCAAGCTCGCAATCACCACAATCATCCCCTCCCTCGCACCACACCAGCTGCAGCAAAGGACACAAGCCATGTAAGCCACGTCTACTCGCGCAACCTCACTCTTTCTACCTATGAAGACTTCCTGGACTTTTTCATCTTCAACAACATCAAAGACCCTTCTGGTGGCATCGTCACCTATGTGGACCAGAAGGAGGCAGAGCGACTCGATTTGGTCGGCCCAGGCAAAGCGGGAGGCATTCGCATCGCGGCCGATCTCAGCGAGAAGAATGTGACTGCTGGGAGGAAGTCTGTTCGACTGAGGGGCAAGGAGGCTTTCGGGGTGAGTCGCAGCATAGTGACAGAAGCAGACGAAAACAATGTGACGAAATCTGACTGCTGAGTCTCACCTCGTGCACACTGCGCTGTCTGTAGGAAGGTCTTTTCGTCTTCGAGATCGCTCACGCTCCTGTCGGATGTGGTCTCTGGCCGGCAGCTTGGATGACCGTCGACGAATCTGTATGGCCAGTCGGTGGCGAGGTGAGTGTCTCAAGTGCTTCGACAAGTGATAGTGTAAGCAGGATTGGCTCACATTTCTTTCACCTCACGTTGACCCCCAGATGGATATCTTTGAGTATGGCAACGGTCTTCGCTATGCTCCTGAGCAGACGCTGCATCTCAATGGAACCTGCGTGATGCCACCTCATAGACTGCAGACGGGCAACAACACGGCGTGGCAGGACTGCGACAGCTTCGAAGGCTGGAAGACAGGTAATCACGGATGCGGAGTAGAACTGCTCAATGATCAATTCGCAGTACCTGCCCTACTCAACCGCAACGGTGGAGCCGTCTTTGTCATGGAGAGGAACGCAGACCACATTCAAGGCTGGGCATTCCCCTCCTGCAGCCCTCATGCTCGAGCTCTCAAGCACCGCAGGAAGATCGACACGACCAAATTCGGCACCCCCTCATCTTTCTTCCCTTCTACCGACACATGTGCACTAAAGGAGAAGTTTGGCAAGCTTCACCCGATCATCAACATCTCCTTTGGTGGACATGCAGAGGCTTCGTGGGTCAGAGACGGTTGCCTGGCACTTGCACCTAGCTTCTACACGGGATGGGGAGTGTCGGAGAATTCGACAGAGTATCTCAAACAGCCTGAGAACAGCGTCGAGTTCCATGTCAGCTCGTACACCTACTTTGCTCCCACTTAGAGGTTACCCAGCCAAAGTTCATGTACAGTGCCATCGTAGTCGCTCAATTAGAGCGCATCTTGTTCTCCCCGCTGTGCATTGAAGCTGCAGAAGATACAGAGACGTTGTCTGCGTATAACGGGCTTGTGCGCCTGTTCCGTTCCCCGCACCGCGTTCCGTTCCGAGGCAAGTGTTGGTCTGGGTGGGTGCCTGCACCTGCCACCTTGTCCTTCCGTCTCACCCCAGATCTCATCCCAGATCAACACCTTGCTCCACTCCTTTCTCATCCGAGCTTGCTTTAAACTTCCTTCCTCCCCTTGCACATCCTCTACGTGTGTTTCGACAGCTGAAGTTCCCCCTTCGGCAGCTCAGCTTCACAATGGCTACGTCTGGTGACGATGGCAAGTCACAGATGAGAGTAATTGAGGATACACAAGTTGAGGGGACCAGCGAGGACGTCCCTACCTCCACTCTGGCCGCCATACCAAATCCTACAGTGCCCCCTCTAGACACAGAATCATCAGCAGCCACAGCAACAACAGCAGAAGGAGCGGTAGAAGCTGAACCGCTGGCGTCAGTGGCTAGTAACTCCTCACAGTCAGAGAAGTTGCCAGGGGAGACGCTGGAATCAGCTGAGACTTCGACTTCAGATCCGAGCGTGCCGCTGCCGGCTGCTTCACCAGCAATTGGAGCAAGCACTGCCCTCGAGGAGTCCGATGTATCAACACAAGCGCAGAAACACCAAAAATTGGGCAGCGAATCGGTGCCATATCGGCCAGATCAAGAGGGGGAGAAAGGAATAGATTCAACAGTCCAGAACACGAATGAAGAGCTCGTGGCAGGGGATGCCCAAGAGAAGGCGATCATGGGTGCAGAACAGGAGTCCCTCCCTGATCCGGTAGATGACCTTACAGCTTCGCTCGACAAAAGTACGCTCTCTACCAATGATCACGAATCGGTAGCATCTACCTCAGCGGCGCCAAGGGATGAACATTCAGCATTGACCCAACAGGTAGTACTGTCGCCGCCAACACAACCTGAGGCGAAGGAAGACTTGGCCTCCCAGGCCTCTCACCCTGGCCATGATCAGCAGGTGAATGACAGAGATGGACAAGGAAGCGCAGGCACAGCTGCTCCGGAAGAGCCGATCCCGCCGGTACCACAGAAGGAGAATGCTCTGCCTGCTCCACCGCAAACAGGCATTGAGGCCGAGAGTGGACCCTCAAGAGCTGTCTTGCACTCCATCGCCACTCCGGTAGCCTCTGGAGAGCATCTAGACGTAAGCAGAAGCTTTGCGGTTGACGAAAGAGCTTCTACAAGCTCGTCTGCTCAGCCCATCATCGAGAAGCCAGCCCCTGCTACTCCAGCAAAAGGTGACGGTACACGACTGCGCAATACTTCTTCTGCTGGTATCAAGATCGGTAAAGGACCTCCACCGACGACCAATCCTCAGGAAGAGAAGCCTTTTGATTTCAATATCTTTCTTGACCAAATGAAAGACCCTAGCGCAAGGGGAGTAGGCGAATATGTTCGCAGCTTCATCAAAGGCTTTGCAAAGAAGCCGTATCGTACCCAGGATCAGATCAAGCTCATCTTCGACTTTCTCGATTTCATCTCCGTCAAGATGCAACAATGTTCTGTTTGGTCCAACGTCTCGGAGACGGACTTCGAGAACGCCAAAGAGGCCATGGAGAAGCTGGTCATGAATCGGCTGTACGGCTTCACATTCACCCCCGCGGTGGCCAAAGAGGGGAAGTGGACACCGCAGACGGACGATCTGGAGCGTGATCGTGTGCTGAAAGAAAGAATCGAGCTCTTCGACTGGGTCACGGAGGAGCACTTGGATGTTCCGAAGGGGGAGCATTCGAAAGGCTTCGTCGACTTTGCGATCCAAGGTGAGCAGTTCCAGAGTGTTGACAGGTATCGCAAGAGTGGCTCTGACCGACTGTGCCTTTCTCCTCACAGAGCTGCTCAAAATCAATCACTACAAGGCGCCACGCGATAAGCTCATCTGCATACTGAATTGCTGCAAGGTCATCTTTGGCCTCATTCGACATCTGAGCTCAGAAGAGAGCGCGGACAACTTTATACCCATTCTGATCCTTGTTGTCCTGAAGGCCAATCCCGAGCACCTGATCAGCAACGTCGAGTACATCGGTAGGTTTCGCAACCCTGACAAGCTGTCGAGCGAAGCAGGTTACTACTTGTCGAGCTTGATGGGGGCTACGGCCTTCATAGAGACGATGGACTACTCAACGCTGTCAAACATCTCGCAAGAAGACTTTGAGAGGAACGTCGAGCTAGCCGTCCAGAAGATCGGCACACAGCCTCGGACAGAGAACGTTGCCTCTGCAGGGACATTGGCTCCAGCACCCAGAGTACCTCACTCTCGAAGCGTCAGTGCTTCGGACCCTCATGCGCCTCCCGCCGCTGGTGAAGAAGCTGCACGTACGCTACCAGGCGCTGCCGGACAAGCGCCCAACTTTGCGGAGGACACGAAAGCTTTCTTCCAGCGTACTGGAGAGGCAGCTCGGATGGGCTTCACCAACAGCGTGGGCAAGCCCATAGGTGCCCTCGGGAAGCTCTTCGGCGAGAGTCTCGACGGCATCAGAACGCCACCGAATCCGGACATGAGCGCACCTGGCTCTGCTGGCGCTCAGACGCCCAACAGAGCTGACTCTCCAGGTCCGAGCGCGTCGCCAGGTGTAAGAAAGAGCGTCTTCGGCGGCTTCTTCGGTGCCGATCAGCAGCAGCAACAACAACAGGCGCGTAGCGTGAGCGGATTCAATCCTGCGTCCTGGAGCCGGGGTCTCAAAGGCGTCAATGATGAAGACGAGCCACAGACGCCGTCGATGACCGATGCGCGTCAGGGCCCATTCTCCTCTTTGGTCAGGAATCCTGTCTATTCTGATGCTGTCCCACCAAGTCGCAAGATTGGACAGGCTCCGGACGCGCCTAAAGCGAGAAAGGGTATCCCACAGCGTGGTGACTCGATTGATCCCTTCAATTACCCAGACATCTCTTCAGGGTCTTCAAGCACTGGTGTGAACAGTAGCCCAGGGATTGGCACCCCAAGCGATGGTAGCGACGATGAAGGAGATGGAGACGAGAGTGCTCTGCAGCGTGCCAGGAGGAGACTGCCAGACCTCGGAGCCTTTGTGCCCTTCCTTTCTGCAGACTCTCCTGCCCCTGGCAACCCACCGCAAGCCAGCCGTTCCGCATATCAGCATCAGCAGCATCTCACCCGCGGACCGAATCAGGCTCGACCTGCACACTTAGGCGAGTCGTCCTTCCTACAGCCCTCCTCGGATCCGGCTGCTCCCAGCAGTGGAGGTAGACCGGGCAGTCCGAACCTGGCAGATTTGAGCGCGGATGTCGAACGAGTGCACGAGGAGCAGATGGAGGCGGGCGTGGAGACGCTCGCGAATGTGTTCCCCGATACGGAGGAAGAGGTGAGGCGGATGGTCCTCGAGGTGAGTACTTTGACAGCACAAGCTCCGAGGTGGAAGTGGAACCTTTGCTCACCACACTTCCTGCTTCGGCATACCCTTGCATTCTCTTGACCAACAGGCCTGGTAAGTCGTCTGTAGGAAAGGACGTACGAAAAAATGACGCATCCATGCTGACCACATCTCGTCTCCTCTCTTCTCTATCCTTACAGCAACGGAGATGTTGGACAAGCAATCGACAGGCTACTGGAGATGGGCTGAGTGATGCCAAGAGATCATGTGAAACCCCCCCGCTCTTGCAGTCACCACCTCATTGTACTCTCACGCATGATACTGACGAGACATGCTATATAGATTACGCAATTTTTGTAAGAAACAAGTCCCGGAGAGGCAAGGAGAGCAGAGAAAGATTGCCCAGCGGGGCGGCAGGGGTGTGACTGGGCATGGGAAGACCAGGATGGGACTCTATATCGGCATCGACGATAGCACAGCAGGCGAAGCAGCGAGCGCATCCGATTCGGATGCTTTGAGCAGTAAGCGTTTGACGACGCTATCGAGCTCAAGCAGTCTCGCGGTGATCGGCCGTCATTTCCTGCTGCACCGCCTTGTACAAGGCTCCACTCCTGCGCGTCGTCCTTCTTCTCCTCCTCATAACCCTCTGCATCGCCTTGAGCGACTTAGTAATGGGCTGCACGAGGTACAACTCCGTGAGGAACGAAGCGGCAATATTGACTAGTACCGTTGCTGCTAGTCTCCAGTGGAAGGCTCGTGGTAATTCTACTAGCCCAAGAAGATCAAAGGCGGGTCCAGAGGGGACAAAGAGGAAGTAAGTCGAGAAGATGCCCAGGACCAGTAGGGAGATCATCAGCCAGGAGTTTGTGTACATTGGCTTGCGGTACGGCGGACCAACGCTGAAGATGGCTGCGACGAGGATGTACTGGAAGCTCGAGACGAGGAAGAGGGCACTGTTCTCTGGGTTCACCACGTTAAGCTTGGCTGGGTTGACCACAGGAGGCTCGTACCATGGCTGCGCTCTTGTGTAGAAGAAAGTAAAGCCTTGCACGGCGGCGCAGATGACCACTTGAGCCAGCATAGAGACCAGGACCTTCTTCGATACCAGGTTGGCAGTCGGCCTCTTGACCGCTAGATCCGGGTAAGGTAGGGTGCGGGCCATTGCCACGGCTACTGGGAGGATGATGAACAGATCGATGTACAAGAATTGGAAATCGCCCAAACTGCTTGCAAAGCTGTACAGGATCTCGATGCTCGTGAACTGAATCAGCGAGTACAGAGCCATGTACTTGAAGCAAGAGAAGGATGTAACCAATGCTGCCCTGCCTTCTTTGATGACTTCGATTACACAAGAGATGTCAGGCGATCGAGAGGTGAATGGAGCGGCGACGGATGCCTCGGCCTCGGAGAGGGAGATACCAATATCTGCCGCCTTGAGAGCACCACAGTCATTGGCACCGTCTCCACACATTCCCACGGTGTAGCCGAGTGCTTGCAGGCGCTCGACCAGCTCGTGCTTCTCATCCGGAGACATTCGTGCAAAGATGGTACCCTTGATAAGCATTCGTCGCAATGTCTCCACCGGAGCAAAGTCGATCATCCACCGGAACACATCTCCGGTCAGTGCCAGTTGGTAGTCTGCCAGGTCGAAGCCATCGACGTCGAAAGCGTGCGGATCGTTGACGAGTGGCTTGAGTCGCAGAGGGTCTAGCTTGACTTGATCATCGTCGACGCTGGACCAGTCCAGAACAGCCTTTGGCGAAGAGGAGTTGCCCTCGAGGAAGGATGGCAGGAAGACATGAGCCGAGTTGGCAATCATGCCACACTCCCTTGCAACACTGATCGCCGTCCGAGGGTTGTCACCAGTAGCCATCTTGCAAACGATGTTGGCAGCCGTAAGTGTTTCAATGACCGGCGCGGTGCCTTCTTTGATCTTGTTCTCGAATATGATAAGGCCCAAAAAGCGCAGATTAGATTCAGCCTGCTCTCGCTTCATCCTCTGAGCCTTGATCCAAGTCATTCCAGTCATGCTCTTTCCGGCACAAGCGATGACACGGTAGCCGTGCTTGGTGTAGTAGGCCAAGAGATCGTCGTAGTCGGCAGGGAAGGAAGAGGGGTCGCAGATGTCCGACATGACTTCAGGCGCACCTTTGACGAACACCTCGAGAGACTGCGACTTGAGCCGCTTGACGATGACACTCATCCTGCGCAGTTGAGACACGAACTCAAAGGTACGCAGAACACCGAGCTCAAGGAAGTGAGCGTGTCGGCCGGGCTTGATAGCATCCTCAGGCTCGAATGCTTCGCCACCAGGTGGACGAACCACGGTCTGGACGAGGGCCGGAGGACGCTCTGTGAGCCTGCTCTTGCCATCTTTGGCCGTTCCGCTCTTTGTTGTCGCCTTGGCAGCCTGGTCGCGGCCTTCATCCAGCGTCCAGCCAGTATATTCAAACATCTTGACATCCAGAGGATCACCAATGACTTCGCCGTCAACGACCTTGAGACTGTGACACGTAGCCAAAGCATACAGAAGCGGCATCTTCTTGGCGTCTGCGTCCTGCTTAGAAGCATATGCATTGACTGGCATCTCCTCCATGGTCTCGTGGAGCTCGCTGAATCGATTGGCTCGCAAGTCGATGGTCCTTGTCCCGAGAACGTCGAGGCCATCAGCGGTGAGCGTACCCGTTTTGTCGAAGCAGAAAACATTGACCTTGCCCCCGATGTTGACTCGGTTGGGCGAAATGCAGAAAATCTCCCTCTTGCGCAAGCGCGAGATTGCGAACGTTGTTCCGATACTCATGGTAGCAGGAAGGGCGGGTGGGACGACGACGGTGATGAGATCCAAGGCTCGCAGAATGATGGTGTGCCAGGCAATGCCCAGCTTGACGAAGTTGTACGAAGACGCGAGGAAGCCGAAGGCGGCAATACCGCCCAGGAAGCCGATGAAGCGGAACGAGTCGCGGTAGAACTTGAATCCCATGGGCTTCGGGAAGAGCATGCTACGGACGAGGGCACCCTTGGTCGTATCAAAGCCGGTACGGACGACCATTGCCTTGGCTCCGGCATCGTCGCTCGTCTTCTCACTGCCCGAAGTACCGCGGATTCGGATGATCCTCGTACCCGAGAACAAGAAGTGCTTTGCAAGTTCCGAGTGGACATCCTGCCCAGTCATTTGCAAATACTGCATCGAAGAGTCCTGGATAGGCAGTTTAGAGACTGGCACAGACTCTCCGGTCAACATGCTTTCGTTGACGATGGCGTCTCCGCTCAGCAGGACGCTGTCGGCTGGGAAGAGCAGCAAGCCAGACTCAGCGACGTCGTAAATGTCTCCAGGCACGAGCTGAGAGCTGTCGAGGGTCTTCCAGCTTCCTTCCCGCAAGACCCGCACGGGCGTGTTGAAACGTGACATCTCCCTCATTCGGGCGACTGTAGTCCTGGTCTCAACCAGAGTGGCAATGATGGAAGCCAAAGAGATAATGGCGATACAAATGGCGTAGTAATAGTAGTCATCGATGGACCAAAGGCCGATTGACACAATCTGGAACACTGTGAGGCAAAGAGAAGGGTATGTCAGAAGTCTGAAGGAATGGTAAGTTGTCACAAAGGCACTCACTGTAGAAAGGATGCAAGACCTCGTCGACAAGGACTCCGATGATGCCTTTGTCCTCGATCTCAATCTCGTTCTTGCCAAACAAGCTCATCCGGTCCTTTTCAGCGTCCCAAGTCACACCTTGAGACACGGAAGAGTTGCTGTTCCACATAGGGTCTCGCCAGTCTTTGATCATACGCCATCGACCAGAGGGTGGGTGCAGGAAGAATCGCGTATACCGATATGTCATCATCGTCAGGTCCATGAGCTGCTCAGTCTCGACACCAGCCATGATAGTGGGGAGCACATCCTGGCCGATCAGGCTGTCATTGCCTTGCAAGATGTTGCCATTGCCGGCCTTACCGCTGCGGATACTGCTCTTGGCACTTGTGACTTTACTGCCCGACCGGCTTGCAGCGGCCTTGTTGACGGTCTGCAATTGAGACTGGACGGCCGACTGGTGCTCCACGAGGGTCGAAGGGGGGTCTCGAGAGGAAGGAGGGAAAGCGGTGGCCAGTGGACGTGCAAAAGGAACAGTCTCCGGCCTGATTAGGTGCAGATCACCGAATTGGTTCTCCACCACAACAAAGTCGGCATTGTCGAAATTGCACTCTTTGCATGTCCAACGAAGCCAAACCTTTGGCAACCATCGACCAATCAGGTAGATGATGCCAATGGACAGGATGCAAAGAATTGTCCAGATCACCTTCTTGGCAGGGACAGCCTGGTACCCAGTGAACCGGATTAGAGAGTCTTCATCGGGCAGGTAGATCTGTTGTCGTGCGCGAGAAGTTCGATCAAGATAGCTCAATTCCTCAAGGGCCTTGCGCGTTGCTTCTGGGCTGCGTCCAGACTCGACATCGACCGCGGGACCTGAGGGGCGGCCGAAGCCATTAGCGGTGTCCGGATCGAAGTCTACACCCTGCAGCTCAGCATCCAGCTCGTCCTCGGGTTCTCGGCCAGTACTGATACGCGAGTCACCGAAGACCGGGTCGACTGCTCCACTGATAGGTCCAAAAGCCGACGGCATGATACCGCCTCGGCCATCTCCGCCGTCCTCGTCTGAGGTGGTACTGCGCATGCTATCGCCAGAAGAGAAGTCATCATCATCTGTGCCGTAGTCAATGTCAAAGCCGTCTTCGTCTTCTTCGTCTCCTCGAGAACTGGCTCGCCCTGAGCCAACGCTTGAGGAAGAGCTTTGCCTGCGACCGATCGAAGGGCGACGCGACCCCCGACTGCGAGCGTCGTCATCTTGTACCTTGTCGCCTCGGATGGAAGCCAAGAGAGAACCTAGCATCCCGCGCGATTGACCCTCGGTTTCTTCATCGTCTCCGGCTGCGGGGATTCTACGCTTCCTACCAAAGTGGGAGTTGGCACCAGAGCTCCGCACGCTGGCCCGCCCGCTGGTCGCGGATGCAGCATCATCGAAGTCTCCGCCGTCGCCATCCCCGGAGCCATTGTATCTGCGGCTTGATTCCCGAGAGATCCGACGACGGGACCGACTGGATGCACGCCTGCCTAGTTCCGGACGTGCCATGGTGTGATGCATGCTCGAGACGCTGCTTGGTACGGCACCGGCCACCGGCCCATCGAAGATACTCGCAGCGTCTCCGTAATTGCCCACTTGACTGTCTCTCCTCTTTCTGATACGGACTGAGCCAGGTGCTGCACCATCGTTGTCCTCTTGTGCCATACCCTCATGGGAGCGAGCCCAGGCCATGGCTTCTGCATGCTCCTTGTCGTCGAAGAAGGGCGAGGATGCCATATCCTCTGCGTCATCATCGTTGGCCTGCGTCGCTTGCTTCGATGAGTTGCCATTGCGTACAGGCATTGTGAAGGGAGCCTGGTACTCGTCGGCAGCCGCCTCTGGCTCCTTCTTGCGACGTGAAGGCATATCGGCGGTGATGTACGGGGAAGACGACGCAAGGTGTGAGGATGGAGAGATGAAGGGGGAGGCGGGGAAAATGGAGGCGGGAGCGGTGATCGTGCGAGTGGCTGCTCGCTGCTGCTGCGTTGCCCGCCCCGCCCAGAGCGCAGGGCCGCCTGCCGGGCAATCGGGACGGAAAGAGACACAGGCGGGGCCGGCAGTCTTAAAATTGGCACAGGCTCACTCACTTCTTCTCGACTTGCTTCTCCTCGTCACACTCATTCACTACCTCGGAAGCATCGCAATAGATCATGGCAACACAAGGAGGTATCAATGTAGCCATCGTAGGTGAGTCTTGGTGAGGTCCGTGATAAATTGCCTGGCTCGCCGCTCATCTTGCAGTCGCCTCTTCCTACCTCTGTTCTCCTCTCCACCAGGCGTGGGGCTCGTCGGCTCTTCCGTCATCTCACAATTGACGACCATCCCCAGCTTGGCCTCTCAGCTGCACATCGTCTGTCTACAGAATTCGAAGAAGACACTACTCTCTACCGCTAGCTCTCCCTTGTCCTTGACTGGCTCTTCCGACTGGAAGTCGCAGCTGGCCAACTCTTCCACCTCGGCTCTTCCTCTGCCAGACCTCGTCAAGTCCCTCCAGAGGATTACTCAGGACAGCAAGAGGCACACCGTCGTGGTGGACAACACTTCCAACGAGTCTGTTGCATCCCTCTACCCTGAGTTCCTCAAGGCTGGTCTCTCCGTTGTCACGCCCAACAAGAAGGGTCTCTCTGGCTCCCTCGACCTCTACAAGGCCATCTTGGCCAACTCTTCCCCTGACGCTGGGCTCAAGGGCCCGCTCGTCTACGGCGAATCAACTGTCGGAGCTGGACTTCCCATTATCAGCACGCTGAAGGACCTCATCCAGACCGGTGACAAGGTCAAGAAGATCGAGGGAGTCTTGAGCGGAACTCTGTCATACATCTTCAATGAGTGGAGCACCCCAGCTGGCGGATCCAAGAAGTTCTCAGAGATTGTCAAGATCGCCAAGGACAATGGATACACAGTGAGTATAGGCTGGCGGGCTGCGAAGCCGACTAGAGAATGTTTGGCTGACAGTGACTACCTCCAAAACGCATTCGCACCTTACTGCCAATAGGAACCCCACCCAGCAGATGACCTTTCGGGCTCAGATGTATCACGCAAGCTGACTATCCTCTCAAGGTTGGTGCCTTCTCTGACGGGCAAGCTGCCCAAAGGATTCGAGTCTGTGCCTACGCATAGCTTGACGCCTGCTCCTCTAGAGTCTGTGACGTCTGGAGATGAGTACGTCCAGAAGCTGCCTGACTTCGACGGCGACTTTGACGCACTCAACAAGGCTGCAAGGGACGAGGGATGTGTGCTGCGCTACGTCGGAGTCATCGATGTCGAAAAGGGCGAGATCAAGGCAAGCCTAGAGCGGTGAGTGTGGTAAGGGGAGGGAGATCCACGGGAAAGCACGCCATTCTGACATGGCAATGCCGGCCCTTCTATTGTGCAGATACCCAAGCGACCATCCCTTTGCAACGTCGCTGTCGGGTTCGGACAACATCATTGCCTTCCACACGGAGCGCTACTCGGCGCGTCCGCTGCTGGTGCAGGGTGCTGGAGCCGGAGCGGAAGTGACGGCCATGGGTGTGGTCAGTGACCTGATCAAGGTGGCAGAAAGGAGAGGGTGAGGAGGAGGCGGGGATCGCTGCGTACCGGACTTCGGACCTCGGGTGTAAGGTCGAAGCGGGACGTGTTTGGACAGGGACTTGGAGGAGGAGGAGGAGGAGGGAAGAATAGCAAAAGCGGCACAAGAGATAGACGGACGTAAATGAAGGTCAGCTTTGCCTCCGTGTTGTCCGTAAGAGCAACTCTCTGCTCGCCTGCAGACCACACGTCTGCTTGCTTCGCAATACAATGCCAAGTGGACATGGTGACGCAATGTGCCTCTGCCCTGATGTTCCTGAGCCGCTGCCAAGCACCGAGGTAACCTAGAACTCGGACCATTGACGGAGGCTGATGGATCAGCGTGGAGCCCCACCCCACCAAAGGTCCACGTGCGTGAATGTACCTACCTGCCCAGGGCTACAAATGATCCCCAGGTGTCTTCGCCCTGACCGCACTCCCGCACCAGCTCATATATCTCGTATCTCTTGCCCCTTCTTTCTCTGAAATCGCCCAGTCACCATTCTCTGTTGTTCAGCATACACAATCGAAGCACAGCACGAGTATCACACTTGTGAGAAGAACGACTGCCAAGAATGCCGCCATTCGACGCCAAGGCCCTCCACGTGAGTGGCTTCCTCGACTCGACTCTCCTTCCCGCACGGGCCCAGGACACCGCCTTAATTTAGACTAGACTAACCCCTTCACCCTACTACATTCTCTAACAATAGTCTCGATTTCAGAAAGCAATAGACGATGGGGTCGCTCCGGGAGTCCAGTATACCGTCTTTGACAGGGACTCAACGCTCCTCTCTGATGCGATCGGGTACGCCAGGGTGTCCGCGACGGGGGAGAAGGAGGTCAAGATGACCACGGTGAGGCGCACGGGAAAGCTTAAGAGATATGCGCTGGCTGTCCTCGGCGCGAAAGTCATGACTGATCAATATCTCTCTTCACTCCTTGATCGTCTGCAGAACACCTTCTGTTGGCTGGCAAGCTGCTCCAAGTTGAGCATCTCCCTCATAGTCCTCCATGTCCTCGAACGAGGCCTGGCAAAGGACGGCTCCTCGCTCGCGGATTTAGATTCTTCCCTGGCTCTCTTGCGAGTGCTCCCAGAATTTGACCCCAAGTCAGATACATACGTGTCCAAGATCCTGACTGGGTGGGGATCAATTGATCCAGCGACGGGTAAATTGACGCCTCAACTCACACCGAGAAAGACGATCCCTACGATTCGCCAGATGCTGCTTCACACGGCTGGCCTAGCCTACCAGTGGTCATCGAGCAACGGTCTCCAAAAGTGGTACGCACCGAGTCCAGGAGAAGGAGTTCCGCAGGCCGATATGCCTTATGTCAAAGGCGATATTGCCGACCTGAATGCTCCTTCTGTCCGTGAGGCAGGGGAGGACTGGGAGTACTCGCCCAGCTTGGATTGGATGGCCATTTGGCTGCAGCGAGTCACGGGAAAGAGCTGCCGACAGCTCCATCGCGAGATCCTCTTTGAGCCGCTGGGAATCGTGGATAAGATCGACACCTATGTTGATGATCGTCCGGATGAGGAGAAGGCTGCTATTCACGTCAGAAACCCAGAAGGCAAATTGGTCTCTATTCCTTTCGCAGTGTGGTCCTGCCCTGATCTCCCACCGAAAGGCAAATTCAACTTTGGTACTGCAATGCTACACGGGTCGCATCAAGCCCTAGCAGCTACCTTTCAGGCTTGCATGCGGAGAGACGAGCGCATCCTCAGCGCATCCACCTGGGCCTTGGCTCTAGCAGACCATCCCGGATCAGTCAAGGCCTCGCTTCCTTCACCGCTGCTGGAATCCATGATCCCGGCGGTAGTCACATCTATGAAAGAGCTCAACCCAGGAAGCACCAATGTCCCTTCCCTTCTTTCAACTTTCCGCAATTGCACCACTACTACTTCGGGCAAGCCTGCAGGCTCGCAGACATGGCTTGGGCTGGCCAATTCGTACTTTGCCTTTAATGAAGAGGCGAACATTGGGTATGCCTACGGGTGTAGTACGTTCCCTTGTGCTTCGGAAGAGTTTGTCCGACTGAGGGAAGACGTGGAGAGGATCGTCTTTGGGCAAGGTAAAGGCCAAGGCAAGGCTCAAATGAATGGATGTCGAGTGCAGGAATAAGTCGCAAGTGATGACGGGCATACCAATGCAGCGCCAACGGGCGCACGCTGTGCGTCGCTCTACGCTCTCTGCTTTGATGTCGTGCATCTACATTTTCCGTTCTCTTCCCTTCGCTTGGTACTATGTACATTGATCTCCTGCTCCATTGCTCTCCCTCCTTCTTTCCCGAAGTACCGCATCATCCAATGTACCTTGAGATCGCTCTTCTCCTCTCCTCATTGGCACTTTCGTATTCCTCCTGCGATCCACATGTCGAGACGTCTAGGCGCTGCCGAAGGTGTTGGTAGGTGCTACCATCCACTTGTCTTTCCTTTCCGTGTCGATACTATAGGAGTTAGAACAACGGAGAGGGAGAGGGATGGCCGAATCAGTCAGCGTGTGATCTCCCTCAAAAGGTAGTGGCTGAGCACTTTGCGCTCGTCTCGACACTCACAGTACTACCATTTTTCCATTATGATCCCCCTTGAGCAAATCCACCATCCCCGGTCCCAACGCGTCCATCCCCTCTCTCACGTCCTCCCTAAACTTAATCTTTCCATCTCGCAGCAACCCCGGCATACTCTTGAAGAAGGTCTCTCGTTGTTCCTTCAAGAAGCTCGAGACGATGAATCCCCTCACGGTGAGTTGCTTGACCAGTACACTGGTAGGGAAATTCTTAATGGCAGGAGCGGGCGAGTCGGCAGTGGCGTTGTAGGCAGAGATGACACCGCAGACGATTACGACTCCGTACACTGCAGCGTGATTGAGGTATGCTTCCAGTTGAGGCCCACCGACGTTATCAAAGAAGTAGTCTATTCCCTTTTCACCACCAAAGGCAGCAAGCTCAGCATTCACATCCGCCGTCTTGTAGTTGAAAGCCCGGTCGACGTGGCAGTCCTCTTGGAGAAAACGAACCTTGTCGTCTGAACCCGCAGAGGCAATGACTTTACTTCCTGCTTCCTTTGCTAGCTGACAGACGAGAGAACCTACAGCTCCGGCGGCAGAAGTGACGAAGATGGTCGAGTCCTTTTTAAAGTCTCCGATGATGGCCTTGAGTGACATCCATGCTGTCATTCCAGGCATGCCCGCTGCAGACACATAATTCGTAATGTTCAATTCCGGTACTCGATCCACCTTTGCAAAGAACTCATCCGTAGAAGCATCCACTTGCGCTCCAGTGAGAACAGAGTATTGCGCCATGATCGTCTCACGACTGTGAAGCAGATCTCCCTTTTTCCACTTTGGATGCTCGGAGCGCAGCACCTCCGAGACACCAAATCCCCAAATGGGCTTGCCGGCTTCGTAGTGTCTCGCGTAGCTCTTTTGACCTATGCGCATCGAGTTGCGAAGGGTAGGGTCGAGGGACATTGTGATGGTCTTGAGGAGGATGCCGCCTTGGAGGTCGGCGCTTTCGAGATTGATGGAAGAGTCGACGAGTTTGAGGTCCTCGCCGTACTTTGGCATGCCCTGAGGCTCCTTGACGATGATGAGAGATTGGTTTGGTGTGCTCATTTTGGTTGGTGGGGTGGGCTGGTGTGGATGTGGTGCTGTGGTAGGAAGAAGAAGCACGATTGGTGTTGCACTTCTTATAACCAAGGCAGCAAGGGACCCTTATGGCCTTTGCTCGGTACTACGTCGAATCTTCTTAAATCCGGGTGGACCCCCTCGGAAATCGCGCCTTGTTGTGCATGTGGAGACGTCAACCACTCGACGACAACCGAGGGCCGGACAATTTGCATCCGTCGCTGCGTCGCCCCGCCAGTCACTCGCCGCGACACTGCACAGACTGCCGGATCTAAGTAGACTGACCGACCCTCCACCCTACCAACCCTCAGTCAAGGCCGAGTCCGAGCCTGGCAAGGAATGTCTGCCCTGAGCACATCGCAAGTGGGATTGCAGCGCTCCCTGCCCCTGCGGCGGAACATCGTACAGCTCTTCCAAGGTGAGTACGGTAGCCAGAAATAATGTGTTTCCCCTCTCTACTGCTTGCGATCGTGGTGTGCTGAACTTCTCTCTCCCCCTCCCTCTCTTTTGGCCTCCCAGACATTCTCACCTCCCCGCAATTCTGGGATGGACTCAAAGTCTTCGGTGTGGGCGCGGCCATTGCAGGCAGCAAATGGATCGCCGAATCGGCCTTGGCTGCAGTCAAGAGCTTGGTTCTGTCAAAGGCGGTATTCCGGGGGGGAGATGAAGCGTTCGAGTGAGTTGGCGAAGAGGGCAGCTTCAGCTTGGAAGGTACAGCGTAGAGAAGGATTGATTCCTGACGTTCTCTTCGCCGTCTCTCTAGCTGGGTGATGCTTTACCTCACTCGGTACGGACAGTGGTCCCATACAGCGCGAGAAGTTGAGATTCTCTGTAGGCCCAAGCTCGGCGGAACGTCTCACGATGAAGGAGGGGAAGAGGCAGGGGCCAAGGCGCTCAGTGTGGGAAAGGATGGTCTCAAAGGAGTGCACTTCTACCCAGTCGAGTCAAGCTCGGTCCAGTGAGTAGGCGAGTCTCAACAGCTGCGACTCCAAGCTGGGCATATCTTTACTGAACCCTCGCTCCTCCCACAGCTTCACCTTCGAAGGCGTCCACGTCTGGGCCTCGCGCTCCCGAACCCTCGTGGGCGAAGGATTCGAAGAGTCTCTCACCCTCTCCTTTCTCACCTTCTCCTCCCGTACTATCCGTCGCTTCCTGACCCAAGCCAAGGAGTCCTACGACACGCATGAACGAGGTCGTGTGCAAGTCTTTACCACCGATCGATACTCCTACTGGGCGAAGAGCAAGAGTATCACTCGACGAATGGAGGACTCGGTGCATCTTCCTCTGGGGATGAAGGAGAGGTTATTGAAGGATGCGAGGGATTTCTTTACAGAGGAGATGCGGATATGGTATGGTGATCGGGGGATTCCATATCGTCGCGGGTTCCTCTTTTGGGGTGTTCCAGGGAGCGGAAAGACGTCTCTTGCACACGTTGTGGCTAGCTCGCTAGAGCTACCCATCTACCAGCTAAGTCTCAGCGGGCATGGAATGGACGATGCAAAGCTCGTAGAGCTCATGGGCTCTGTACCTCCGGGATCCATCGTGGTCCTCGAGGACGTGGATGCTGCCTTTACCAAGCGTCCCGACTCCTCTTCCACTTCCACCGCAAAGCAAAACGATGGACCCTCCTCCTCCGCGGGCAGCGCACCCTCATCAAGCATCTCCTTCTCCTCCCTCCTAAATGCAATCGACGGGATAGGCGCTTGCGACTCTCGACTACTAATCATGACTACCAACCATCGCGAGGCGCTGGATGAAGCTCTGATCCGACCGGGGAGGGTGGATCTGCAGGTTCAGTTCAAGAATGCCGATAGGGAACAGGCAAGAGACCTCTTCCTGCGGTGGTTCCTGCCGGCACATACCGCTGTGGGTCGACTGAAGGGGGAGGGTCAGCATGGCAGGATAGCAGGGGGAGGTCAGGTAGACAAGACGAGTACAGGGGACAAGCGAGGCGGAGCAAGCATAGCGAGTCAAGAGCAGCACGCCACCTCGGATGCAGAGCTGGGCAGCAGCGACGAAAAGAGCCTTGCGGGCCTCGCTACCTCAGCAGCAGCCACATCGCCCTCAGCTCTTCAACCCTCGGCAGAAAAATTCGCCTCGACCATTCCAGAGGGACGCTTTTCGGTAGCTGCTCTGCAGGGGTACCTTCTCACTTGTGGTGGACTTTCGCCTACACAGGCTGCGGAGGGAGTGCAGGGATGGGTACGGGAGCAGGAGCAATGAGAGGGGTAGTGGTAGTAGTAGAGGGAGCAGTAGAGGACTTATCCGCGGTAGGCGATGGTGATTACACAATGTGTACTCAATAAAAGACCTCCTCACTAGTCAAGCTGGTTTTGGTTCTTCTCATGTAGCATCTTCAGTCATAGTCCCCATCTGTTTATATTTACGTCTGTGTATGTATGCATGTATGTATGTGCGAGCCTTGGCCGATTGAGGACCAGAGTGATGGTGGTTCTTGGTACACGAGCACGAATAGAGGAGAAAGAGGGAGGGAAAGTGAGCCTTGATGCGCAAATGGAAAGGGACGATTGTACAGGGTGAAAGCCAAAGGGGGATAAACGACCTCTTCGCGGTCGCTACTAGCTGACTAGTGCAGACTCCATCTCACCTCTCGGCCAGAAAGGCAGGGAGGTAGAATGTTGATGGCACCTGTTTTTCGTGTCGAGGGGGGATTTCGTGTCGAGGTGGGAGACAATACAATCTCAACAAGTCAGCCGACCATCTCTTCCATCTTCAACCCCAACCGTACCGTAGTCCCAAGCAAAGACTCACCTTTGTCTTCCCCTTTTTGTCTGCCCCACTATCCTGCATCCAAGCCTCTTCCCCTCGTCCCAATCCGAAACCAGAAATCGGACCAGCACCACCGCCAGCGCCGCCGCCGTTGTTGCTCCCGTTGCTGCCGCTGGGTCTAGCTCCCTTCTGGTAGGCAGGATGATCCTGTGGGATGGCGACGTGCTCGTTGTGTAGCTGAGACCAGACAAAAGTCGTTTGACGCACGGCAGATTCGATGAGTGGTTGAGAGGGGCGACCTGTCCGGACTGTAGGGTTCGTCAAGAAGGCGGAGATGTCAGAGGTGTCAGTTCAGCTGCCATAGTCGAAAGATTCATTGCTCGCAAGGTCTGCTTGCAGTGGTGCTTACACATGATGGCGCTATTGATCTGATCCGCCAAGGACTTTCTCCTCTTGACATCTAGGTACTTCTTCAGTGGGCTCCTCTCCAAATCCTTATAAGCCAGGATAGCAGTGACAGACTCCAGCTCCTTCTTGTAGAGCTCCTTATAAGGTCCATTCCTCAGCCGCTGGACAGAAGCGTACAGGAGCTGGGCATTGCCTAGAGCAGACTGCAGAGCAGTGGGCATCCCTCCCGAAGGGTGGGAAGCTGATGAGGAGGCGGACGATACGGAGGACGGCGCGGGAGAAGAAGAGCGGGAGATGGTTGCGGCAGCGATACCTGGTGCGGACTGGGCCATGTTGTGAGGAGCTGGTGAGGAAGCTCGTAGACCAGCATCCTTGGACGCTGTCGCGCTGCTGCTGTGACCGTTGCTCGTCAGCGAAGAGTGCGAGAGCATCATACTTCCCACGCCGTTGCTCGGTGTATTCGCCGACCGCACCGACTCGATGAATGCTTGGATCTGGAGGTTGAGAGCGAGATGTTCTGGCTCGAGGGAAGTGGGACCCGAAGGCAGGCTCCAGATAGACCCATTTGCCTTGCTTGGCTTGCTACGTGCGTAGGTGGGTCGTTCTTCAGCATTGAGGACTGTGGGGAAGTGGGTGTTGAGAACTTCGGTAGCGTGACGTATCCGACCGGCCAGGATATGATCGCGGATCTCTGCAATAACAAGGAGGAGGGAGGAGGAGTGTAAGCATCAGACACAATTGCTCTGTGGCACTGCTTGCGCCGCTTCCATTGTGCTCACCTTGCCTCAAGCGTACGCTCTGTAGGTCTTCGTCGGAGAGCTCAGATCCGAGTTCCCCGCTGTGAGTAGCTCCATTGCCATTGGTGCCATCGTAGGTGGCACTCCCACCATCTTCCTCTCCATCGTGAATGCCTGCCTCTCCCATCTCGGCATCTTCGTCAATCGGACCAGGGCCTCCAGGTATGGTCCCACTTGCACCACTTCGAACATTGTACGTCGAAGAGGATGATGCGGAGGCGAGGAGGTGATCGCCCTCCACCTCCATCGATGAGTCTTGCCTCGAGAGCGGAGGAGCCGAGAGCGGGTGTGTACCCCTCGAGCCTGAACTGCTGCCTCCTGCTCTAGGTGTGCTACCGCCAGTGGAACCACCAAGGGGAGCGTTGCTGTACCCTAAACTGGGCACGGGGGTAGCCGCTGCAGCCTCTCCTCTAGCCGTCTCTCGCTCCTGTTCCAGTTCCGCGAGGAGCCCATCATTCGACGCAGAGGGGGTGGAAGCTCCATCTCTGGCAAATGCGTGGGCAGTGTCGATGTAGCAATGGTGGAGGAGATAGCTGAGGACCAGCTTGCGAAGGGCAGTGGGCGATGTGAGCTCTTCGATGCGGTCCGCGGTGCTTAGCTGTTGCTCGTCTTTATCTTTGTCCCCGTTGGCGCCTGTGCCGCCGGTGCCGGTGCCGGAGCCAGAGGCGACTGGGAGGACCATTATTGTGGGCCTCTTTGAGGGGGGGATGTGGGACGTGTCAGAGGGGCGACGAGGAGCTCTACACAGGGGAATCGAAGGAAGGGCTCGATGTGAGTATCGATTGATGCGAGGATGGCTGGGGCGAGGGATCAAAGGAGGCAGACGAGTGAAAGCGCCTCTGCCCGCTCCAACTCGCCGAGGCTCCGTGCGAGACGCGCCGCCATTCTGTGTCGCTCCCCTGGGAGAAGGGTCCTCCCTTCACAATCATGACCTCGAAGACAGCAAGGCGAGAGTGGATAAGACGAGCGAAGAAGCCAGGTAGCGGACATAAGCATATATACACACAAACAAAAGCAATATACAAAAAAGTGCGATACATGACAGTCTGCAGTACGTGGGCCACCCAGGCCGCTAGGGACGCTGAAGAACAGACACAGCAGTATCGACCCTGGCGACACTCACGTCGCATTGGGTACAAGAAGCGCCGAAGACTTGGAGAATGCAAGCAAGAAGGCGGTCCTCACAGGAAGGAGATTTTGAGGGGGCACTGAGAGTGAGATGCAAAGCTTGTGTTACAAACGCACCAGGCGCTGAACCTGATCTTGGCATGTGTTCCACCTCAGACCCCAAAGTAGGCAGTGCCTTCGAATAGCGGGAATTGAGCATCTGCTTCAATGGCTCCCATAGGTCGGGGTACGGGATTACCTTGAAGCGTGGGATTCTTCGTGGGTTCACCCATAGCACCGGTCACAAAGTAACCTGTACCTGCAGCGAACGGCAATGTGGAGCCTTGCGGTAATGTTCCTCCGGGCGCAACGAAGCCCATCGGAGACTCGCTTGGTGTGGCTAGACTTGAGGAGGCGAGCAGAGGCGTACCATCCGTGCTACTAGCCGATGCAAGAGTGCCGTGGTCATCTGTCCCACGTCGATGGTGGGAGTACGACGAGGCCGATAGCCCAGGCGTTGAGCTCTCCCGAGACGGCAGAGGCCTGCCAGGGTTGCCAATCGAGGCATATGGATTCATGGGAGGAGACGAGGGCAGGGCCGTAGTCATCGCGTTCCTTGCATTCTGAATACCATTCGTCATCTGCATTCCAGGTAGGAAAGGCGTGATCCCCTGAGAAGGACCACGTGAGAGCGAGGATGAGCTGGGCTCCTCTAGCGAGGCGAATGATGGTTGTCTATTCGTGAGAGTAGATACCAACAAGTGGGGCCGCTGCTGCTGTTGGTATTGCTGTTGTGGTGGCATATCTCCCCGCCCGGTTCCCATATAGTCCCATTGCATGGGGGCTTGATTTCCTGCTCCCTCGAAGCTCATGCCCTCGCGATCAGGCCAGCCAGGAGGGCCCGGGATCGCATGGAATTGGGGCTTTGAAGGCGGAAAATTGGTAGCCCTTCCCGCTGCCAAGGGATAGGGTGCGATGGACCTGTGACCATTTCCTTCCTCCATCGAAGAGGAGGAAGCGAAGCTGGCGTCATCGAAGGTTCGCTGGGAGAACCCTCCGTGTGAGACGCCATACGCGTCGATACTGCCCCCTTGGTGTTCGAAATGAGCAGGCGCTACGTAATGTCGCAGACCAGCAGAGAGTTGACTCGCATGCTCGGCCTCCATAGGTGATCTTTGTACAGTCGCAGCACCTTCCCTCTTCGCAGAAGGAGGTGCTCCCGCAGAGGCTTGGCTGCTCGACTTTCTCCGGATGGCCTCTGTGAAGGATTCTTGGTCTGCTGGTGTTGTTGCAACGGAGACAGAGCCGCTGGATGAGGTCGGAGACACCATCTTCATGCTTTCGACGGTCTGTTTAGGGGATCGACCCCTGTTTCTCTTAGCGCCTCCCTTGCCATTGCCCGAAGACTGCCCACCCGCAGAGCCGCTACCTGTACCCGCCCCATGATTGCTGAAATCGCCAGATGGGCCAGTCTGATCGGAGAAGAACCTGCTTCCCTCATCGCGACGGCCCCCTCCGCCCATTCCTCCACCTCCCGAGGAGCCACCAGGGCCCCCTGGGCCCCCAGGACCACCAGGCGGTCCTCTAGGATCGTACGAGTCGGGACCAGCATCGTCTCCTTCGTCATCTTCATCGTCTCCAGTGGAGTTGGCAAAGTCTTCTGGGCCCTTGTGCTCGACAGGACCTTCGTGCTGTTAGAAGAGGAGGATTATAGCATAGAGACTCGTCAGCACGTTTGTGTCGCTCACTGACCCACCCACAACACTCGGAACATCCGCGCACCTCTGTGTACTTGAGCAAGACTGCGTCCATGTCTGCAGAGCAGAATTGAGACAGCCTCCCATTATGACCAAAGACGATGACGGCGACTTGCGAATCTGTCAGAGTGGCCAGCTCGTATGCCTTTTTGAAGAGGCCTGCCTTTCGTTTGAGGTAGGTGACTTGGCGGTTGCGACCCTCTGCGGATCGAGCGGTGTAGAGTGTCAGCAGAGCCTCTCCTTTAGCATGCGAAGTCTCTTCAATGTCTCTCTGGCGCTATTTTGCAAGGATGCAGTCGAAGCGATCCGTCGGAGGGGGTCCCGGTCACGACCACGTGATAACACTTGGCATACGGATGGACTCACCTTGAATCGGCTCGATCTTGATCTTCTTGCGGCCCATGTTGGCAGACTATTCCATGTACAAGCCTCAGTCCTTCTTTATATGGTCCTTGAGTGGAGGGAGTGGAAGATGATGATCGCCCGAGAGAGAGGAGGGAGACGACAGAGGCCCGGGAGCAGGCGAGGAGCGCGTATGGTGGGTGTGGTAGGATCGCCTAGCTTTCAAGAGAGAAGGAGGAGAAAGATAGGGTGGGTACGAGTGAGCAAGAGAAAACGAAGAGAAGAAGATGACGTTGGGAGGTGGAGAGAAACGAAGAGGCAGCGTCCACAAGAGAGCCGATCTGTTGGGTACAGGCAGACCAGGCAAGCAAGCAGGCGGCTCACGGGTCTTCCGACCGGGCGGGCCAATGTGCGCCAGGGTCCTGTTGCCGAGGTCGCGCTGCTCTCACGCCCTTTTTCCACCTGCCTCTCCCTGATCATCCTCTTCCTCGGAAATCTCACTCACCTGTTCCTTTTCGCAATCACACACACTCACTGGTAATCAGATTGGGTAAACTTCAGGGAGAGAGGGGGAGAGAATACACAACGAAGGACATTCCGGACAGTGCTAATTGTATGAATTGCCGATGAGCGAGGAACTGTCTCCACGAGGTAAAGATAGTGGGTGTTTCAGGGTTCCGAGGCTCGACTCTATCTCACCCAGAAGCAAAGACTTGAATCACCCCTCGGGCTTTCATTACATCTTGGAGCCCAACAATTGCCTCCTTGCGCATTTGTGTAGGTCTCATCTGCCTCTCGCAACCGGTGCTATCTCTCTCTCTCGCGCATCCGCTACCTCGGCTTCCTCTTCGCGATGGATCTGGCCCCCTCACCCCCTCGTTTCCCCGCCTGAATTGTTGTGATCGATCGAAGCTCCTCCCTACTACCCCGCGACCTTTCAGCTGATCATTTTGCTTGCCTTGGCCCTGCCTGCCTGGAATTGTCTTCTTTCTCTGCGCAATATAGAGGTGCATTCAGGGGTGCGCGTGCGCGACGCTCTTTGCGACAGGAGCTGGATCAGTGTACCCAGAGGAATGGGCAAGACGCGGAAGCACGACTGCAGCAGAGGTTTTCCAGATTTCGATTCTGCCTCTGCTCATCCGCCTACTCACCCACTTCTGCTTGCTCAAAGGGCATTCAGACCAGACTCGGAATAACCGGATGAGTCCTCTACCTTGCGCTTCGACGGAAGGTCGACATAGACCTCGGGTACGGGTACCTGAGGGTGCATGTCTCAGTCTGTATTTGTCTGGGTGGGACGACAGGGGAGGGTCACACGCTCGACAAATTGACGCCAACGTAAGCCCGAGCACGTCACCATCCCGGCGTCTAAGATCGTAAAGTGGTCAACGCTTTGTGCGCTCCAGAGAAGAAGAAGAAGGAGAGTAGAAGCACAGTGCGGAAGGACGAGAGCCCGAGAGAAGTGCATGGTCCGACCCCTCGGATCGCAGCTTCTCCTGCTTCTCCTCTTTCCTCGGCTAGCGCACCTCTCTGAGTACCCGCACCTCGCGTCCGAGGCGAAGCGTGGGCGCGGGGCGTCCAGGGCGTCATCATGGCCACGCGACGCAGACGTATACAGCTCACCGAGCCCCTCGCCCTTCGCCCAAGCTATTGGTGCCAACAAGGCTGGGATCGGAGCCTCGCGCAGGAGTCCAGGTGACCTCGCTTGGTCAAGTCGCTTGTCACTCACTACCTTCTCGATCACCAGATAGTGGCAAAGCCATCCGAGAGAGATTGCCGTAGATCAGCTCTGTCAGAAGCGAGCGAGTTTCGGAAGCAGGGTGGAGGTCACAAGATTTCGGAGGACACGGAAGCAAGGATTGTCTTCTACGCTGAATTCCGAATGATGAATGGGAGCCGTAAAGAATGTCGAGAAAGAGGGAAAGACAAGAACTGAAAGAAGATAGGCATGACAACAACAAGTGGAGGAGAAAAAGGTGGCCTCGCGCTGAGTTCCAGTCGCGAGCGGCGCACAAAAGACAAGGAAGTGTCCGGACGATCGATATAGACCAAGAGCGCGGTGGTAAGGTGCGAGCGGGAAAAAGGCGAACATTTGACATAGAAATGGGCGCCCTCTATCCTAGTGGAGAGGACTGGCCCGGAAGATAGACCGGCTATCGTTGATTCACTGCGCTCAGCTGCGAGGTGCTGGTCTGATTGTCCATTCTAGTAGACTCCGCCGTAAGCAGTATCGCTATTCTCTGAGGCTGCCGAATTGCGATTGTCACCGCGGTTGCCATATTGATCGTACCTGCCCCCTTGTCCGTCACCTCTACCGGTGAGATTGCGAACTTGCAGCGCAGGAGGCGGTGAGGAGGACATTGGCATGCCATGCTGTTGTTGCTCTTGCTCCTGCTGCTGTTGTTGCTGATGTTGGTAGTACTGCTGTTCATCATAAGGGTTCAGCATCGTTGGGTAATCGAGAGTGCCCATGGCAGACTGACGGCCAGAAGGGTCAGACGAGTGTCCCTCTTCAGAGCCCAGTGCGTAGGTCTGTTGCACATTCGGCAGTTCGGGCGTTCCAGACCGGTTACCATCGTAGCTCGTAGGTCGGGCTGCTGCATCCTGTGCATCAGATCGGCCGTAGCCGCCGTCACTGCCACTGGCTGTGCCGCCGCTGCCGTTGCGCTGCAGTTGCGTCCCTTGAGAATTACCACTGACGTTGCGGTTGTTGTAGTAGTTGGCAGCCTCCGCAGCGTGGAATTGCGACGCCGACAGACTTCGATCGAGGTGGGCGTAAGGATTGTCGATATTCTGCATCTTCTTCATGCCACCGGCTACACCGGCTAGAGAGTATGGATCCTCTCCACCGTAGGCCATCTGGGGAAATTGTGGTGGTGCGGCAAAAGCAGCTTCGTACGGAGCGCCCGGACCCACAGAGTCTTGCACTTGGTAGTCTCGGTAGGCATCAGCATGGCGGGCCAGCATCGTAGGAGGTCGTGGAGCCCCGCTCTCATTGTAAGAACCACCGTATGCCCCGGCGGCGCCAGCCATCATACCGGCGCCGCCAGCTGAAAGTACGTGCCCACCATAGCCGCCGTCATCGCCGCCATAGCCTGATGGATCGAAGTCGCGCTCTACCATTGAGCGGTGTCCATCATCGCTTTCGAAGCCTTCGGGAATCATAGCAGACTGCCTTCGGAACTCGTCCTTGTCAAACGGATCGCCTTCGAAGGGTTCAGTCTTGCGACTGGCCTTCTTGACGAGGAATCCGACGACTGCAGCCACGACCACTACGCCCGCCAAAGCAGCTGCAACGATGCCGATAATGAGACCTACGCCTGGACCACTACTGGCAGCTGCGGTGGAACTTGCCGTGGCACTTGCCGTGGCTGCGGTCGCTGATTCTGTAATCACTTGGACAGATGTGCCCCTGGAGCTTGTGGCAGTAGTGATAGACGGCAGCGCAAGACTGGTAGTGCCACTTGAAGAAGACAAAGCCGTGGTGGTCGCGACTGCACGCGAGCTGGAAGAGGATGTCGATACTACGTCCTCTGACGAGGTCGATGAGGTAGAGGAGGATGAGGTGCGAGGAGCTGACGATGTCGACGTCGAAGATGGTGTGACGATCACTCTCGTTGAGGAAGGTGTTGTCACGCTAGACGACGATGTCACCGTCTTGGTGGCTGCAGTTGTGGTTCGCGTAGAACTGGACGAGGTAGCTGTGGTCAGAGACGCCGGGGTGAGCATGAAGTTAGTAGCCCAGAACAATCTCAGACTTGTGGCTGCCTAGCGCCTGTACTCACTACGAGAGCTGGAAGTGCTGGTAGTGGCTGATGACGTGGGCATAGTTGTGTCTTCGTCTGTGCCCTCGTCTCCGTCGTCCAACTTGAGCCTCTGCCTCCTCTCTACATCGGCGCGGATCCTCCTTGCCAGCTCGCTGCCATCCCTCTCGACAACATTCTGGGCCCATGGCCCAGAGAAAGCTCCCTCGGGGCGCAATTTGCGTTCTTGCTGCATCTGTCGATGTCGCTCCATTCGAGCGTGCATTCTGTCACCGGCAGTCATGTTTGGATACTAGTGGAGTGTAATCTCGATGAGAAGACGACGATTCTAGCTGAGATTAGCTCAACTGATAGGCGGGTCGCTGGGTCTTCGAGGGAAAGGCGTTAGGTTGCAGACCACTGAGATGAGGGTGAGGTGAAGGAGTGTGGGTGACTCAAGCCGTGGGTAGCGTCAAGCGACCAGCACAGGAGTCTGTAGAGATGGGAAGACGAAAGAGCGAAGGAAAGATACGGAAGCCGTGGTCGCAAGGATGGAAGAGAATGGAGGAGACGAGTGTGAGAGTGATGAAGAGGGACTGACAGGAGACAAGGAGGGAGAATGCGTATGCTGAGAGGGGCAAAAGGTGGGAATAGGGGCCGCTGCCAGAAAGGGGAGGCCAACGCTGGAGCAGGGAACAACAAACAGCATCGGAGTTGGAACGCGTCTGGAGGCGTCGTTGGCCCAAGTGCCTGACATGCCACACCTGCCTTCTCTTGCATAGAAGCGCATCCCACCACCGCCGACGGCACTCCAGCCAGCCACCTCGACCACTCGGCAACGCTCCCTCGCTCGGTTGCTTTGCTTGCCAGGCAAGGACAGACAAGAGACTTCTTGGCTAGATCACTCGGAGGCAGAGCTGGTGCAAGCCATTCACATTGCGATAGTCGTGGTCAGCTACACCAATGCAATCAGTACTTTCTCAGTGGAACTTCCGCGGCTTCTTGGTCCACTTGACAATCTGCGCCTGTTGGTCCTCCTTCAGAGCGCCCGCCTCGGCCAGTAGTCTAGCCGGTGACAACTCCTCTCGACTCAACTGCCAGAAGCGAATGGAGCAATCGATCTCTTCCCAGTCGCTGACGATTCTGTCCAGAAGCTCCCATAGGTCTTGATCAGGGACGGAATCCCCCGGCATGCCCAGAACAGTCTGTCGATTTAGCCGCCACCCATTATTCCTCCATTCGTGAATGTCATTGGTGATACCTCGCACGATCCAACTCTGGGCGACTCCAACGACGATCTTGTCGAAGCCTTCCTCCTCCCATCTGATGTACTCCAAAGCTGCAACAACAGCCCGCAGAGCAGCTCGCCTCGCAGTGGTTTGATGAGGGAAGCTGACACGCTCCATCCGCTTTGAGAAATTAGCATCGAATCGCGGCGAGGCCTCTTCTGACTCCGAGGGAGTGGTCGGGTCGGGTGGACAATAATAGACGCCAAGACCGCCTCGAAGGTCGGACGCATCGTCGCCGCCTAGAGCAGCCAGCAAAGACTTGCGCTGCTCTTCTTTCCATAAGTCTTTTGTAGCCCCAGCGGCGGCTGCAGCTTCCATGAGCTTGACCTGCTGTAGCTCCTTATGGCTGAGCGCTACGCCCGAAGCCAGTACAAGCATCTGCCTGGGGTCACTCCGCCTGACTAGACGCAGAGGCTTGTAAGGTCGTGGGTCAGGAATGAACAGATCTCTGACTCGCAGGCCTTCAGCACCTCCTATTGTTGTAGCTGTGCTTCTGGCAGTCCGTATGGTAGCAGCATCCGAGAAGCGAGGAGCGTCGCGTTCTGCATTCGTGTTGACTTCTTCCAGAGAAGGCGCGTTGCCCTCCCCGGAGATTTCCTCGAACTTAGTAAGACCCTTCTCCCTCTCTTCCTCCGTTAGTCGTTCAAATTCACGTCGTCCGTGTAGTGCAGTCACATTCCACGGGTCTACGGAACGTGTTGTATCGCCAGAGATGGAAGGTGGCGGACGAAAGGTCGAAACAATGGCAGCGCCGTCCCTCACCATGGTAGGTTGTTGAAAGAGGCCTTGCTTTCGGGCAATGTCTGCCGCCGTAGTGGTCGAGCGATAAGATCGAGTATCTGACGGTGCCATCGAATATCCATCCTGAGCAGCAGAAGAAGATTCGCTAGGCGTCTCTTCAGTGACCGTTTCCGCAAAAGAGACGACTGGGCGACTTGCGTCTTTCGAGCTGGATCCGAGGGCAACGGATTGAGCATATAGTTGTGCGTCGCTCTGTGGTTGATTGTTGTGGTGTGCTGCCTCCCCGCCTTGATGTGACTCTGCTTCGGCCGAGGTGTCATCTCCAATAGTGAACGGTTGCTCGGTTACAGTCGCTCGATCGTCACTAGACTCTGCAGCGCGCTGGCTACGCATGCGCTGTGCGATTTCATAGCCAAAATCATATTCGTCGTCCACTGCTCCCTTTCTTGGGATGAACAGACGACGCTTGGCATTGTGGGTGGCTAATTCCGAAGGCGCATAGGTCACTCCTCCGGGTGCGTCAAGATCCACCCGGTATGGCCTGTCGGTGGAAGATGAAGAGGATGCAGCTGGTGTCTTGGGAGCACTAGCTGCCCAGAGCTGGTAGTAGCGCGGGTCTGCGGCAGACATTGCGGCGGCGGGGACGAGGTCAAGCGTTTGGTAGAAGGTGAAAGTGACACAAGCGTTGGACGGCCGGCAGTCCGGCGGGATTGGCTCCGACACGGAAAGGGACGCGTGTGAGGCGCTTTGACGATCTTGAGCTTCCCGAGGTCCTTACATCTTCCTAGGACCGCAACTACCACCTCAAGATGACCTCGGCGGCCAGAGAAAGGGTCAAGAAGGCCATTCTCCATGGTGAGTAAGGTACAAAGAAGACTCATCCAGGGCGCTGCGCTGACCATGTGCCCGCTTTCGACTGCCATACAGAGCGGCAGGAAGAAGGCTCAATGCTATGCGCACAGCATGCACTGAACAACCTCCTTCAAGGCAACTACTTTGACGCCGCTCAGCTGGCAGAGATCGCCTCCCAGTTGGACGGACTGGAGAGAGAGAATTTGAACATGAGCGATAGCGAATGGGGTGAGAGAGACGCAGCTGGTAGAAACGCAGACGAGACGGGTAAGTGCCTTGATGATCAGCCTGCTATCTTCCGAGCTCAAGGATTCCCTCGAGTTGCAGCGCTGACTACCCATGCTCACTCCCGCTTCGCTTCAGGGTTCTTCTCGGTCGGCGTCATCGAAACTGCCCTACAAGTATGGGGTCTCTCCCTCCTTCGCTGGAATTCAGCGGACATGCGGCAGTTTCACAATGCGCCTGAACAGCAGCTGGCTTTCATCCTCAACTTGCAATCACATTGGTTCTGTTTCCGAAGCTTTGGGTGGGCCGACAATCTCTGGTGAGCCCATTGCCACGCATACGAGTCTAGTAGTCTGACAGCTGCCCGCTGACCTTGGCACATCACATATTCTCGCTGTGTCTATATGCGCCCAGGTTCAATCTCAATAGCTTCTTGAAGGAACCCACATGGGGTGAGTAGAACTTAAGAGCACGCTCCAGCCAAATGCGCTTCGTCTGACCCCACGTTCTCTGCAATCGCGCCCGCTTCACGATGAGCAGTCGGTACTGGCTACTTGGGAGCACTCCTGGATCAGAGTCAGACCGAAGGATACTCAGTCTTTGTTGTCAGACCGACATCGGCGGATACACAACAGGCACATAATATTGTCTCGCAGATCAGGTCATGTTCCGCAGACGTCGCAGCGTCCTCAGCGGAATCATATGCATCAGACTCTGACGAAGACGAAGAGCTCAAGAAAGCTTTGGCAGCCAGCTTAGCATCTCCCGAAGCAGAGAGCTCCACCCATGGAGCATCCAGCAGCGGAACTCTCAATCCCAGCACATCCAAGTCCATGCCTCGCAGAAGGAGCAAAAGACAAGGGGACGACGATCTCCAGGAGGCATTGACAGCTAGCATGAGAGCAACGTCTTCCAGAGCAGATGCTGGCAGGCCCTCAAGGCTGGGAGAAGCAAGTGGCAGCGGAAGTCGGATTATCCGCAGCGGCATCACGAGGGACACTGCGATCGATCTGGAAGAGCGTAGCGTAGACGAGGATCTAATTGCAGGTCTCGAGTCTGCTCGGTCTCCATTTCTGCATCCCTCCCTTCGCGATCACGTTGGCCCAGGAGATGCCATTGAAGATGAAGTGGAGGAGCTGCACGCTCTCGATGGCTCCGCGAATGGCCGTGCTGCTAGACCTAACCCGTCAATGCCGCTTACCCGTCCTCAGCCCCACGGTAATGTGATCGAAATCTCGAGCGACGACGAGGACATCGATGCAGACTTCGAAGAACAAGACTCCCTTGCCTGGAAGGCTGCCACTGCTGCATTCCAAGATCTACGGGATCGAGACTATGACGACGAGGATGCAGAACTGCAAAGAGCACTGGCGGCTAGTATAGCTGCTGGGCCCTCCTCTGCATCATCGACCTCTATCGCCCAGCAAGGACGGCAATCAAGCCCCGACTTATCAGGCGGAGTGAGTGCCGAGGAGCAAGCTGAGATCATGGCTGCCATTGCGGCTGCACGAGGTCAGAGGAGCCCCACGCCGGCCGATGTAGGGCGGATCGCGAGGATGAGGGAAGAAGCGAAGCGAAAGGAAAGGGAAGCACGCGAGCGGGAAGAGAGACGAGAGAGGGGCGTGTATACTCCGGAGCCCGAGTCTGTGCGCAAGATGATGGCTAGTGCGAACCAAGGGCAAGGAACCGAGGGGGCAGACGAAGACGAGGAGGACGAGGACGAAGATGAGGATCGGGATTCGAAACAAATGAGTGCAGAAGAGTTGAGAAAGATGAGGCTGGCTCGCTTCGGCAAGTAATCTACATGCGCCGCCCGTGGAAATTGCGTGGTGTGAAATGCGAACGTTCTACCCTAGAATCCATCGAGATGATCTCGACGTCACCAGGTCGAGCTCCTACCCGTGGGAAGTGGGAAGGGCGGCGAAGGGGCGGCTACATCGGTGGCTGCGCGTGTGCAAAGAGGATTCTGAAGGCGACTTGTCACCCATGGAACACCGTCGTGAGCCTGGGGCTGTTGGTGGTGCTGGTAGAGTGTGTGACTTATTTCAGGCGTTACGGCGTCTAGACTGTCCAGAGCTACAGAGTGAGTGGGTGCGGGGGGCGGCGGGTGGGGGGCTTGTCCGCGCGCGCGGTGGGCCGCCTCGGAGTTGCGTTCTCACATCTGCACCCGAAGTGGCTGAGAGGAAGAGCTTGGGTTGGGCGTCCGAGCAGGCGGGCGGGCGGGCAGGCGGGCAGGCAGGCGGACGCCGGACGACGGACGCAGTGGGACCATCCTTCGGTCCACGGCTCTTCTTCCTGAGCTCCTCACCTCGCCTCGCCCAGCCTGCCCTCGGACACCGGCAGCAATCCATGGTCTCTCTCCTGCCTACTTCCCCGTACCACCACTACCTCCACCACCATATCCTTACTACCTACAGGATCATTCCCAACGTCCTGCTGTCCTCTTCCGTCTCTTACTTTGCGCGGCCAAGGCGCCAGTCAGATCTTTTGACGCCGAGAGGAGCGAGCGCCTGCCGCCGGCATTTTCTGTCATTTTTGCCAGGCCAACTAGCCACCGATCCCCTCTGCATCCGCTAGCTAGCTAGCCAGCCAGTGGACTGTCAGCATCCATTGCCTTTCTAGGCTCTAGTACCTCTATCATCGCTCGATCACCCGCAGCTCTACCACGCAATCAGCGTCGTTCACTGTCCAATCTCGAGCCGCTCCGCTCGAGATTGACGGCAGAGTCGATCCGCCAAGACGGCTCCTAACGATCTTGACTTCTCTGCCCCGGGCTCAGACCAAAGACGCCCGGAGGAGGTCAATGACTTCGGTAGCTCCTTAACCACACATCCCATGACTGACTTTCAGGAGCAACATCAGCAACCTCAGCCTTCCATCTACCACCGGCGCTCACAGACGGCTGGCAATCCCGGTGACTTTTCGCAATTTCCTCTGCAGCCCGTTCAATTGAAGTCGCAGCCGCAATTGCAGCAGCCTACCCCGACTTCGATCCCGAGTACCTCGCCCACACAGCCCACTCTCACCGAGGATCACGCCGATCATCAGCCGAGAGTCTTTGCTGCTCTACCGTCACAGCGTTCTAGTAATGGGAACGGACGGCAACCAGTGACTTCAGTAACCAGTGTCCCAGGAGAGCCTACGGCATCCTCAGCAGACTCCCCCGCCATCGCCTCATCGGGCATGATTGACCCTATCCGACATCGTAGTGCAAGTGGGTCGGTAGTACAAAGGAACATGGCTCATGGCTTGGGTCCTCCCTTCTCCCTCAGTACGGAACAGCTGCAGCTGGGCGGCAGCCCTGCAATGGGCGGCCCAAGTTGGGCAACAGATGGCCATCCTGCCCTCTCGACTCCGCAATCCCCCATCGAGGGAAGGAGAGGCGCAGGTGTCCTTTCCTCTAGGCTCCAGGCCCATCTACAGAACATTGCTCTCCAGAGAACCGCAGATCCGGACTTCGAGAGCAACGGAAGCAAAGAGGTGATCCAGGAGCAGCCTTCAGCGCCGAACGCACCACAACAGGACCAACTGTTGCCAGCCTCAGTGATCACACATCCCGGGGAGCCCTCACATCGCGTACGCACAATGAGCAGCTCCTCTACTTCATCGAACTCGAGACGTGCATTGGAGCTCAACGCCGCGTACCCCTTCACAGCGTCTGAGCCGCCCGTCGCGCCGACCCCGCTGCTCTCGCTAGCTCGCATCGGGCGACTCGCCCCAGAAGCGACGCCCGCCGCAAAGCTGCAAGCAGCTACACAGCGGCCTCCTCTGAGCGCGATTAGCACTGCGTCTCTACCTGACCTTGCCGGGAGATCCGTTGAGCGGCCTCTGTCGGCTCACAGTGGTCCCTCCCCGCTTCGCCTTTCTGGCGATGGCCAGGCGCCCCAGCAGAGTGAGCCAGAGACCATCACCAAGATTGGCATTCTGCTAGACGACGTCGTTGCTCTTGCTGCCAGCGCTCGGGACTTGTTCCTTCAGGGCAACCATGGCCCGTCATCAATGTGCCTGGGAGAGCTTTCTCGCAGCTTGGCAAGAATTGGTATGCTAGGCACACAATCTCTGGCCAATATCCAGCAGCACAACGGTGGAGGCGGCGAACAGCCTGGTGTCGATCCGAGGATCAAGAATGGCGCAAGCGAAAGCAGCGGAGAGCCACATAGCCGTAATCACTCTGATAGCGGCGCCCAATCCGGTGTGACACTGCCACCTGAGAGTCCCGGTATACGAAAGAGGCCATCAAACCCAATGGACGAGCTCCCCATCAAGACGATGCGGGGCAAGAACGGCGAACCTGTTGAACCGCCAGCGGCACCTCCGTCTGCACCTCCCACTACGGGACCAAGAAGCGGAAGTCGCGATGGCGAAATCGGCATGAACATGCAGATGTTCCAAGCCATTAGGCCAGCCGCTCCGCCGCTTCTCCACGCGACATCAGCGCCTCTGGTCCCGCAGCTCAAGAATCTGGGGCCTTCTGACGCTACTCAGCCTCAACTGCAGCTGCAAGGCTGGCACGACTCTGGGTCTGGCTCGATGCCAGCTGCCGGAGGTAGCGTTGGTCCTACACCGAACCAAACACCGCCGTCACCTCAAGACACGGCCACCTTTGCGGCTAACACAGCAAACGTCACGCCTCTGCAACAACAGCAATCGAACACACCTCTGCACTCGCTACCGTCCACGCCTGTCAATGTCAACACTCCACAGGCGATCAAACATACTCGCACACGCTCTCTTCTGGAAGAAGCTTTCTCGGCGAGCCGTCGGCAGTTTGAAGACATGGCTCGCTCGCCTTTGCTAGCTATCCGCGACGACGACGCTCCATGGCTCGATGATAGCGGTGGTCAATCGCCTGCTGAGGAGGCGTGGACTCCCACAGAAGATATGGATGACCCCCTAGGCCAGCTGATGGGTGCCGCTGGCAATGGCCAGTTCGACACTTATCATAGCATCAAGACAGAGGCCACACAGGACCCCAATGCTCCAGCAGCAGAGTCGTCTCACGTCATGACATTGAAGGGTACAGTAGACGCACCAGATATGCCCGGGCGGGGTGCCATCCCGACGCTGCCTCCCCACATTCAGGAGCGCCTCGATGCCCTCTTCTATCGCTATCTGCGCTATGTCTGCTCTCACAATGATTGCTCTGATGCTCACGGTGAAGGCATCCATCAAACATTGATGCCCAAGAGGATGTCGCGATTGAATCACAGTGAGGACTTCCGTCCTTTCAAATTCCGCATTCAGGCGTTTGTCAATCGTTGGCAAGAGGAAGTGTACAGGAGCGGTATCACAGAGGAGCAATGCTCTCCTAAGCGTCTCAGACAATACCTCTGGACGCAGCCGTACATCTCTCGCTTCAACGAAGATGGTCGGAAAGCCAAGAGCAAAGGCAATCACGTCTGGATCGTAGAAGGAAGGAAGCTTTCCGACGAGGAATGGGAGTTCCAACGCTTTGAACGCAAGATCGTGGGCCCGGCGGAGAGGATCGCATTCCACGACACTCCTTGGCACTGGATTCTTCGTGTCTGGGACCCTCAGATGTCGGCAGCTTCCATCAAGCCCACCTTTTCGGTGATCACCAAGCCGGATTGGCTGAGATTGAAGGACATCCCAGATTCGCTAGAGAAGAGCCTGACGGGAACACCCAATGCTGGCAGCCAAGGGGGATTGGTAGCGGTTTCCGCCCAATGTCTGCACGGCAATGGTATGGTACAGACTCTTCGGATCGAGTTTGAGCTTCAAGTGGCTTCCTCGCCGAAAGATTCGGCTCCCGGCAGAAGCAGCACAATGGCTACTGCCATCGCCATTGGGGACCGGCAGCCAGTATTCGAAAGGAAGATTGAGAGGAGAGGTGCTCCTTCAAATCCAGGTAGTGCAGATATGCCTGCTCATCCCTACCCTGGGGCGAATCCACTAAACTCAACAGGAAACTCGTCGGCCAATCTCACATCAGTGACATCTCAGTCGATGCCGCCTCCGCCTGGGATGGATTTCCCTCAAGACATGGGTCGACCAGGGGCTCCTTTGCAACACATGCACCCTCTGTCGCAGCCCGCTACCCATGGTGACCTAGGGCCCTTCCCAAATGGCGGTCCTTCGATGCATCCGGTGCAACCTCATCAGCATCAAATGCAGCCTAACAACGCGGCATTTGCACTACCTCACCAGGCTACTCAGATGCTGCCACCGGCTTTCCCCGCTTCTGCGACTGCGTCGGCGCCCGCGCGTCAGGGTCAAGAAGGCAATGGCTTGTTCCCATCGTTCGACTTCCCCTTCACCGCACCTGAGGCCTATCCATCCAATGCACAGCAAGTCCCCGTCTATCTGGATGGCCAAGGTGACTCACCAATGCTGCCTGTGAACGACCATCAGCCGCCCTTCCAGCAGCAGCAGCAGCAGCAACAGCCCGCGCAGACTCAAGCTCAGGCTCAAGCAGCTGCAAACGCTGGGCTCCTACCTCAGTTGAGCGCACCCCAGTTGGGCGGTGCAATGACTCCGAATGCCTCACAAGGGAACACGCAGCCTCACGATCATCTTCACAAGCTGCAAGTGCGAGCTGTGATTGAGAAACTGCAAAGAGATCAGACTGCTGAACTGTCTCTAACTCTGCCGACTGAGCGCAGGAAGTCTCAAGTCGAGCAGGAAACGGACCAACGAGACTATCATCAGCAGCATCAGCAATATCACCAGAACGCAGTTGCAGCCGCCGTGGCCTCAGGACAAGCCCACGCTCACGCTCAGATGCAGTCTGCTCAACAGATGCAGCAATTACAGCAGCTACAACAGACCATGGACCAGCACGCCTTCGATGCCATGTCCAGCATTGCGCCAAATGGTCTACCTCCACCTGCTCATCACGTCTTTGACCATGGTCTTGGTTTGGATGCGGCTTTGGCCCTTTCTGTCAATATGGACACAGGCGCGTTCCCACAGCTGAGTTTCGATCCACATCAGCAGCAGCACCATCAGCAGCAGCACCGGGATCAGCAGCAGGGGCAGCACTAAGGGCAAGCTTTCCCGTCTGTCAGCAAGCATCACCAACATGTTCAAACTGGGTACATATTCTCGATTTCTACCTTCGATTACGGTCACGCTCTGCTTCCCACATGTATACTACAAAAGCAAACGTCTCGCTGGGCCTATGTCACCTCGTCAATTTCTCTTCAAACTTCTTCGCAAGTCGTCCAGGCTGCTTGACTTCTCATCTGGAGGATGCCTTTCAGGGTCAAGATTGTTCCCCATGTATCAAGTTCGCGGAGCTCTTCTCTGCTCTTCGATTTTTCCCGGCTCACAATCCCGCGCTGGCGTGTAGAGCCCCTTTACGGTCACGAGGATTCCATCTAGCGGATTTGCATGGCGTGGAGGCTTTCAATCGGTCGAGAATTGGAGGAGCGAGTCTCTTCCGTAGCCACGTCTGCAAGGCCTGAATTCTCTACCTTGGGTCGTCAATCCCCCTCCTGCAGTGCTCGCAAGCGAGCACTGCAACAAGTCACTCTGCTCTGCCCTCAGCCTGGTCTGTGGTCTGAGCTCTTGCCCCCAATTGTTCCTTATAGATTCCGTATGCGTTGTATGCAAGTCCCCACACACCAGAGATTTCTATGTCTCTCTGCTCCCCTTTGTTTCTCCTTGGTCATCTTAGTCACGCGTAAACAATCTTTTGCTCTTCCTCACCTTGTCGTGACTGTTCCTGCACGCGGATTCGTCATTGTGGTCTAGCCTCCAAAACCAAAGATGGACGCGTGGAGAAAGAGAGTCAGCAAATAGTAAAGAAGGAGGGAGGGGGGAATATCCGAGTCCACCGGCCCACTCGAGGGTAGTTGAATGCTACCACCTCGAGCAAGGGCGCTAAGACGACTCGAGCGGGTGAGATCTCCTAGGGAGGGCCCACGCGAAAGGGTTGCGAATCCACTTTCTGGCGTCGCTTCCTCTCGGCTTGATGCTTGACACTCGGTGAAAAACCCGAGGTAGAAGAGTTGCCACTGTGCCAGACCAGCGCCCGCATCCACTCGCCGAGACAAAAAATGTAACGACTTGAAGAAGAAGGCAGAGGAGCTGACACTGGAGGCGCACTCGGGTGAGCAACACGGTTGATAGCATCGCCTTGCCGCGACCGCGCGAGGAAGCGCGGCAAACAGTTCCAAGCAAGGGTACATGCGTGTTTGGCAGACAGATTTCCCTCTTTTCTTGCGAGTGGAGGCAGGGAAAGGAAGCAACCAAGCAACCAAAATATTGTTCCGAGTCGTGTGCAGACCTCAACCTGCCCTTTGATCCCCATACGCCCATCCGGCATCCTCCTCCTCATATCTCACCTCAACTCATCTACTCAAGTCAGCCATGTCATCCTCATCCTCCCAACCCATCCAGATCGATATACGCTCCCCTGCTGCAGTCGCTCTGCAATCCTCCATCCAGGACAATCTCGTCTCGCGAGGATGGGTGGATGCCTCGGACCCAATGATGGCAGAGTACGTCCTGGTCATGCTGGCCAATGCCAAGGGACGGGAGCAGATCGATCAGGAGTTGGCAGAGCTCATTGGAGAGGGGGTCTACGAGAAGGACTTCACACAGTGGCTTTGGAGTGAAGCTGCTAGAATGCAGGGAGCGGCGCAGGGGGAAGAGCAGCCCTCGGGAAGCGGGAATGCTGCGATGGAGACTGCTCAGCAGGAAGGGGACAGGCGGAGCAAGACTCGCTCGCCGACGACCTACAGATCCAAAGAGTCTGAGACTAGAGAAGTGGGAGGTTCAACACGAGATGAACGCTCGCAGCGGGGCTCGTACAGGGATCTGGGCAGGGAGGACGCCAGGTCGCGATCCCCGGGCTTCAGGAGATCCGCTTCCCCTCCGGTCAGGTCGGACAGGCAAACCTCAAAGGCGGCAGACCACTGGGAGCCTCGCAATGCACGGGGAGAGGACGGAGAGAGATGGACTCGAGGTGGTTATCGGCAACAGCGACGAGCGCAGAGGTGAGTAGGAAAAGCCCCTAGGTCTCTCTACTTGTGGTCTCATTGCTAAGCAGGAGTCTGCCTCCTCATTTCTTCGCATTTCAGACAACCAAGGGAACTCTTCGCTACAGCAAGATCAGAACTTCAAGATCCCGCTTCCAGGCTGTCGCCTCCCAGAACTGACTCCACACCGATAGATGACTCGATGCAAGAAGATGCCACCTCTGCTACAATCCTACCTACTGGCCCCAGAGAGATGAGAATACGAGGGAGCGCTCCCTCTAGCCAGGCGAACAACGCAGGGAGGGAATTATTTTCTCGGTCCATCAACGCTGCGTCTGCCTCAAACTCTGCCTCGAATGCTCCTCCAACAGGTCCACGCCGGGTGACCCCTACAGGGCCTGCAAATTCAGGCCTCAGCCTACTAGCCCGCGCTGGCATCCCTGATCCTCGTGCGCCAGCCTTCGTGCCGAATTTCCAGCCTCAACCAACAGCAACTGCTGTCCAAGGTCCTTCGCTGAGCTCTCGTCTGGATCCAATGCTACCAGTCAATGCTCCACTCAGACCATCAAGTGACCCTGCAACTTCGACGCACTCTACCGACTTCCCTACCAAGCCTCTACAGTCCTCCCTTTGCCGGTACGCCTCAGCATGCACGAATCCTATGTGCGAGTACTCGCATCCATCGCCCAAAGCCTCCCTCGCAAAGCGGCGAGGAGAGATCAAAGAGGATCCGATCCTGACGAGCCAGACGCCCTGCCGGTTTGGAGTGGAGTGCAACAATGTAGAGTGTACCTTTAGCCACATCTCACCTGCCGTCTTCTTCCTCTCGCAAAGAGGAGGCAACAATGCTGATGGAGTGGGGATTGGGTCGACGGCTGCTGGTGCAGCAGTCAGTATGGGGGAAAGCACATCAATCCCTTGTCGATTTGGGGAGAAGTGTTCTAACCCTAGCTGTGCATACAAGCACGTCGATGCGGCAGGCAACGTCATCCCCAGTCCAGCCCTCACACGACTGCTCAACCCTTCGGCAGCGGCTCCGGCGGCAAAGGAAAACGGCAACCCAGCAGCTGCAGATGCAGAAATGAGCGAAGAATTCGCGGCGGAGGAAAAGGGAGACGTGGACATCTCTCTGGGGGCTTCGACTGGAGTCCAATCGGGGAAAGGACCCGATGGCAAACCTCTCGCCTTGGATCGACCCTTAGACGACTCTTCTTCCTCATCATCCTCAGGAGGAGTTGGTGGTGGAGGCGGTGGTGGTGGTGCAAGACCCTGCAAATTCGGAATGGCCTGCACGCGAGAGGGATGCTGGTTCTCCCATCCTCCCGGTCATACTCTTTCGCATTCCCAATCGCAACAGACGAACAGTACTGCAGGCGCAGGCGCTGGGAAGATGCACATTTCGGATCGTCTTAGTCGCTTCAATCGGGAAGGCGCAGAGGACGCTAATGGAGAAGGGGGAGTGGAGAGGATCATCCCAGCTGTTTGATGGGTTGGAGCGTTAAATTGCATTCGTCTGCCTGTCTAATCTACTGCTCCTGTTCACAATTATATCCCTCATAGAGCTGCACCTCACAAGAACGAATGGTATCATTATCTATTGTCTTTCCCCTTAGGCTCTGCACGCCTTCACAAACCCAGCACTCCATTCGTCCCTCCACCTCTGACCGAAGCATTCCCCACCCCCGATCCAGATCTCGTACTAGCACTCAGAAGCCTCTGCATCTCCTGTGCATCCTTTTCCACACTCCCAAAGACGCTTCCCACCACGCTTGCAATTTCCAATACGTGCACCCTCCCATCTACACCCCCCACTGCGAGGTATTTCCCTGCTGCACCTCGATCGAAGCTGAGCTTGTTGAGACCTTGTGAGGAGAGGGAGGAGCTGACTAGGGGTCGTTCCGAGTCGCGGAGGAGATTGTAGAGGTGCACTTGACCCGAGGCGTCTGCTAGAGCGAAGAGGGAAGGGCTGGTACGGTGCCATTTCGCATCCATTACATAGTCGCTCGTCTCCTCAAAGGAGAGAAGAGGAACGATTTCAGATGAGGAGGAAGAGACGGAACTCGAGTTTAGCCCAAGACGAGTAGAGGTTCCAGAGGGGAGACTGGAGGAGACACTTCGACCGCTCCCTGTGCCATTGGAGGAGGAATTGCTGCTCTTGATTCTCCATAGCTTGGCAGTCCAGTCCATGCTGGAGCTCAAGAAGAGGTCGGAGAAATCTGCACTTCCTTGCAGAGCAGAAGCCTTGTGGAAGTCGATACCAGTGATGGGCGCAGCATGACCCTTGTAGATCTCGCCGAGCTGGAGACCTGCCTTGGAGCCAGCTCGGTCGAACCTAGAGGCCAGATAGATGTTACCTTCCTCGGTTCCGACCCAGAATTGGGTCGTCTCTTGCACTGGGAAATCCAGACAGGTCACCGCCACCTCGTCCGTCTTTGGCTGATTTGAATTGAGGAGATCCAAAGACTCTTGGGGTTGGGCGAGCATGTCGAGCATCCAAGTACACACCAGACCGTCTGTGGAGGCAGTGATGAGGTGATTGGCATTCTGAGTGCCAACCACTTGTATGTTGTACACCGGGTGGGTATGACCTGCAGCTCCGAGCGGCGTCTTCAAGACAGGCAGCTGCTTTGCCCTTGTGTCCCAAATCAGAATCTGACCAGAGTAGGTACCGCCGATGACGAGATTGGGATGAAAGGGTGAGAAGACGGCAGAGAGCACATCTGTTTGAGCTTCGAAGATGAACTCTGGCCTATCAAGGAGATGAATGTTCCAGACGAGGACCAGACCGTCTGGCGAGTCCCCACCTTGCTCGGAGCGTGAGTACGAGGCTACTACGAGCTCAGGGTGCTGTGTTGGCAAAGCAGTATGGTCAGTACATGGGATTCTCTCAGGAGCCCAAATGCGCTACTCTTCTCACCTTGCTACTCCAGTCCAGGCCTGTGATACTCCTCCCCTTGCATAGCTTCTCATCCCAAAAGCAGCGCATCTGCTTGATGTCCCTCCCCTCTGACACGTCTGCCGCACTTCCGACGATTGTGTAGTCTTTGAGATAGTCATAGGCGTCTGTCAAGGCCCTTTCAACGATCTTGGAGGAGCTCTCTACGAAGTCTGAGAAGTCTGTGGTGCCAAAGATAGCTTTTGCCTCCTCGGGTGACAATACTGGCGAGCAGAAGAGGTCACAAGACGTCAGTTGGTATTTCCATCGTCACTCCACGCGGGGTTGACTCACTCCTCAGCTCTTCCTGCAACTGTCTCTCTAGCTCTTCCTCTTGCCTCTTGAGACTCTCCTGTGCCTGCCTCTCGCGTTCCAGCTCTTGTTCCTCGAGGATCTTCCGCCTGATGGCTGCCTCTGTCGCAGCCGAGACTGCTGAAGTGCTGCTTTCAGTTCCCGGCCCGACGTCTGTACCATCTTGACCTGCCTCATCTGTCCACGTCGACATCGTCTGGACCTCCTTGGTATAGTACACTCTCTCCTGCGAGATGAAGTGGGAGCAGGAATGGGGCAATCAGCGAACTGATCGGTCCGAATGATTTGTATTTGCTGGCTCACCTTCTGTGGGTATTCGAATAGCTCCGTCTCCTCATCCACCAGGTCTGGCAATCCCCTGATCGACGACTGACCACTAGGTCCAGCTGCCTCCCCTTCTCCCTCGTTCTTACTGACAAGGGTCGTTCCTGGGCCCATGACAGAATCTGATCCTCCGAATTCGCTGCCACTACCGATCCCTGGTCCGGCAGCAACGCTCTTTCTCGGACTAGAGTAGGAGCTGCCAATCTGCGGTAGCATGCTCGGTCTAGCGGACCTTGGCCCAGAAGGAGTGGAGGGGCTGCCAACGAGATTGGCTACTAGATCATCGAGGTCCTTGCGGGCGCTTGTGCCTCCAGTCAAGATGGCAGAGGGCTGTGTGTAGCGATGGCGCGTATGTCAGTCAGATGAGCAAGCGCAATTGCTTAGAGGAGCTCAGCTCTCATCCGCTGCGTCGTACTCACCTCGCTGCTAGGTCCTGCGGCTGCGCCTGCCGACGAGGTTGCGGTCCTTCCGCTCTGCAGTCGACCGCTCCTCTCCTCCCTCTGCCTCCTGAGCTCTGCCAACTTTGCCCTCTTTGCCTCAATCTCTGCCTTCCTCCGGGCATCGCCGCCCGGTGTGGCTGACATTGTGTGAGCGAGATGCGAGGTGTGAGAGATGCCGGGAGTAGTTGTATGCGATTGTGGTGGTAGCGAGGCAGTAGGGAGGTGTAATGGTGGTGCGTGGTGCGTGGTGCCTTGGCTGCAGCAGCGGAGACCAACACGAGCCAAGTGACAGGAGACACGCTTCCGCTCCGTCGCGCCCCGCCTGAGTGCAGCAGCTCCACCTCCGCGTCGTAGTCTACTCATCCTGCCAACGCCCTACCAACTCGAGGTAGATCTCAGAGTTCGTGCAGCCTCGCCTTGCGCAATGTTATCGGGCAAGGCGGCGGGAGGATCGTCCCTAGACCCGGGCAAGTACGTCGCCTTGGGCCTCACCCACGTCCAGTATGATGGAACAGACAAGCTGGCCAAGCTCCTGGCCCTCGTCACCCTCTCGCCCATCTTCCTCTTGTGCGCCTATGTCACCATCATCATCTATCGTAGGGAACTGACTTTCATCAATGCCCTCGTGGGGCAATTGGGTTGCGAGGGCATCAATTGGGGGCTCAAACGGCTCATTCGTCAGCCCAGGCCATACGGTGAGTGGCCGGTCCGGGTGCGGAGCAAAGCCTGGCAGCATTCATCTAACAGATTGACCTTTCTCACCATTCACTGACAGGTCACCTCGGCAAGGGCTATGGGATGCCTTCGTCGCACTCCCAATTTATTGGCTTCTTCTGCGCCTTCTTCCTCTCCCATTTCTACCTTCATCACCCAAAGGCAGCGGTACCGCGGACCCTGGTCAATACCATGCGCAGATTCGAGCACCTCTTTGCCATGCTTGCCATTGCCGGCCTGACTGCTGCTACTTGCTACTCTCGGTACCACCTCTCCTATCATACCCCCCTTCAAATCTTTGTGGGACTCTTCACAGGACTTGCCATTGGCTTTGTGTACTATTACCTTACCGAGTACCTACCTCGCCAGCCTTTACGGCTACCAGCCCCCTTCCGGTCTGCGGCGGCGAGCCCTGAGTCCTCACCAGTGCGGGAACCTGTCCGGACCACATCACTGAGGAGAAGATCTCGCAATGGTAGCAACGATGCCACTCGACCCTCTGAGCGCACAGCGCGCTCCTCACGGTCGGCGGGCCCCTCTGCTTCATCCGCACCCGCTGCACCCCCTCGTCAGTCCTCACTCAATACGCATCGGAGGCGCTCATCCCTCTCGAGTCTCCTGAAGACTGAGCTCTATCCAGCTCCTCCTATCAGACAACTCATCCTCGATCATCCCCTCGCTGTGGCCTTCCGGCTGCGCGATAGCTGGACCGTCTGGCTCGACGGTGGAATCGAGGGCGAGTACGAAGCGTGGAGGTCAGAATGGGAGAGGAGACGCAAGCCATATCCATCTGATTGGAAGCGCGGGATAGGTCAGGATCAGCAGCAGACCAATCAGAGGCTGAACAGTATTGCTGAGAAGCTCGACGGCTTCATGCTCGATGGGCCAGGTGATGAGCAGTCTGCCGTGGCCAAGGCAAAGGGAGGCGTCGCGATGCTCTCGGGTGGGCCCTCGTCTTCGGGGAGCAGCAGCGGCCAAGCATACTCCCAGGATCTGGAGACGAACTTTGCAGCCGACACAAAATCCAATTTGGCTGACGGCGGTGCGCAAGGAGCCGCCAGCGGCAGCGGGATGCCCTCAACGTCTGCAGCTGGGGCTGGGGCTGTACCTACCACGTCTGCCGCTACGCCGCTGAAGCTCATGAAGCTCGCCCTGCGCCAAGCATCGCGCTGCGAGCCAACCTCTACGGCCTTTTGCGTCGGCTGCATCATCGCCGTCTCTGGCAGCGAGGAGGTTGTCGCTACGGGCTTCTCTCGGGAGCTCGAGGGGAACACGCATGCAGAGCAATGCGCACTGGACAAGCTCGTATCCTCTCCGGGTCGCATCGAGGGTGAAGAAGCGAAAACGGGAGAGGAGACGGAGGTGCTGGAGCTTGACCTCTACACGACCATGGAGCCCTGCTCGGAACGGCTGTCGGGTGCTACACCTTGCGCTCAACGAATCCTCTCCTTCAATCAGGCCTCTCCTCTCCTCTCCCTTCCACCCTCCTTGGGCACGGGAAGTGCCACATCACCTGTACCCCGACAGGCGCGAGCGCGTATCGTACGTGTCTACCAAGGCGTAAGCGAGCCAGAAGACTTTATCAAGGACAATGTCGGCCTCAATCTTCTCCGGGGTGGAGGAATCGAGGTAGTGAGAGTCGTCGAGGGCCAGCAAAGGGAGAAGGGAGAGGAAGAGGGGTGGATTGAGAGAGAAGCATTGAGATTGGCCAAATGGGGACATGAGGATCAGGCGCACGAGAAGGAGGGGGAGAGTCGCTTTTGGAAAGAAGAAGGAGGGGAGGAGGTGTGAGCGAAGAAGAGGAGTGAAGGGGTAAGAGTTAGTGGATAGACAGCTTGAAGCAAAGCAGAGACATATGTAATGAGATTGACGCGGTCCCAATTGACAGACAGACAGATAGATATCAGATACAGCCCACCTCTAGCGAAAAGAGACTACAACTCGTCTTTCCGTGTCCCTGACGCGTGCTGATCCTTCTCACTCTTCTCGTCCTTCGTCCGCTTCCTCTCCTCCTCCTGTCGACGGAAGAATTCGTCTGCCCTTTCTGCAAAGCTCGCTTGTCCAGCAGCACCAGCACCAGCACCAGCACCAGGGTTAGAGGGACTATGAATGGCCGTCTGGGCATGCGTCTGAGTCTGGGTCTGGGTCTGCGTTCCGGAGTCGCCGACCTTGTTACCCGGTCCTCCTCCTCCTCCTACTGCCTTTTGATCTTCCACCTGACCTGGTTGTGCAGATGACGCCAAGAGTGCCTCTGTCTTCCTCTGCGCTTCCCGTACACGGGCAGCACGTTGCTCGGCCATGCGCTGTACAATCTCTTCCCGCTTGGCCATCGCAGAGCCCGTAGTGCCGTCCTTTTGAACTTGCGCACCCTCCTGCGGAGTCGAGGCTGGAGCATTGCGCTCCTTGTCCGCTGCAGCCAGGAGGGCTTCAGTAATCTTGTCCAGTCTGGCATTCAACGCTTTCTGCTCCTTCGATGCCTGCTTGTTCGACTTGTCCTCGTCATTTTGCTTCTGCTCGCCTGGAGGCTGGTCGGCTCTGCGCTCTTTGACTCCCTTGAGCTTGTTGAGTTCTGCTTCGAGGGCACGGGCAATGACGCCTTGAAGGTCCTCGGCGCGAAGACCAAGGAAATCCCCGTCGTGCTGAGGACCACCACCGCCGCCGCCGCCGCCGCGTGGTTGCTGACCGGTAAGGAGCTCCAGGTCTTCCAGATCGAGGCGAAGCTCAATGGGCTCTCCTGCTCCAAGAATCTCTCCTAGATCCATGTTCAGCATCCCTGCACCGCCTTCTCCATCTCGCAAACCGCCACCGAAGAGGATTTCCAGGTTCTCACCGAGGCCAAGTGCAGCTGCGTCCCTGCCGTCGACTGCAGCTGCGCCGTCTTGAGCCATGCCGAGGAGCTGCGCCTCCCATGGCTCAATGCCTTCCACAAGGATGTTCCCCTGCTCGTCTATTCCCGCGGCGAAGAACTTTTCACTTCGGCCGTCTTGCCCGCTCGACGGTGGGACTTGAGCCGAAGCACTTGAAGTCTGACCTGCAATAGACTCGGCATTACCGCTTGCTGTGGACGAAGCACTTTCGACAGTGCCCTCTTCTCCATCCTCGACCACCCGTCTACACCTCCACTCTCCCATCCTAGCACTTTCTGTCCTCTTGTCCTTGCCCACTCGTAATTGCTCTTCCTTGCAGGTGAGTGGTGTCTCGACAATGAGTATGTAGTTGCACGTCGTCGTCTCCTTGATCAGGGCAATACGTGACGTGGCCAATCCGGGCTCGCAGTGGTACTGGACCTCGACGGAGCGATGCTCGTTGTTGATGTCGCAGCGCGTACCGTCTGACCAAACTTGGGAGAGGTAGCGCTGCTCCAGATCTGGTGAAGAAGCCGTTGAAGAGAAGCGGATGACCTGCATCAACTCTGTTCCGCTTCCCGAGTCTTGAGCATCCAGGAGGTCGGACAGTCGATGGTCTGCCGAAGGTGAGAGAGTGGAGCTCAATGCTTCCTCGCGTGTGATACCAAGGGACGAGGCTAGCTCTTGTATTCTTTCCTCGCTAGGTACGCCGTCTGCTCGCTCCGCTGCCTTTGCAAGGGCGTTGCTGTACAGCTCCCCTCCCACGATTTGAAGCTGATCCCTCCATCGCCCGAGGACGTAGGCGTCCTGTGTGGGGTCAGGAGTGGGGACCCGTCCCGGACCGACGGTCTTGCCTGCTGCTCTGAATTGCTTGATCGCCTCTCCGAAGCAGAGGCTATAGGTGAACCAATCAAGGGTATAGTAGAGACAGGTCCCTTGGAGCGGAGCTAGGAGAGACAGACCAGAGTTGATGACCCGATGTCTCTGCGCTAGGAGATTAGCGGGCGAGAGGGCCAGCCGGGAAGGATAGGTGATGTTGGCAGAAGGCTGGGTGAGCGAGCAGAGATGCGCCGATGTAGGCGAGGAGTGCATCATGAAGTGCCTGGAAGCATGATGAGGGCCTGAGGGGAGGCTGTATCCCGATCCTACGGCATCGAGGTCGAGGTCCCCACTGCTGCTGGTTCCATTGGCGCTTGCGCTACGTGAGAGGAGACGCTGTGCCGATGTGTTGGCTATTGTACGCTGCTCGAATACCACCTTGTATGCTGGCTGTGCTAGCAGGTCCTCTGGGAAGCGATTCGCTGTGGCGGAGGACAGGCCGGCAGTGGTGGCTGGCTTGCCTAGGCGAAGGGAGGATGCCCGGTCGGCGATGACAAGGATGACCAGTAGAGAGACCGAGATGGTGGACCAAACCATCGCCAGATTCGATCTCGTCATGATGGCGGAGGATAAGGTACTGACGGCAGCTCAGTCTTCGTCGTGGTTCTATTGATGGTATGGGTGTATCGGTGGTCAGGAGCCTTTGTTCGCCAGGCGGCGGTACGTGGAAGGTGACGCCCAGCAGCCGACGGAAGTGGCTCGGCGGGGCGGCGGTGACTCCACTTGAGACCAACACCTTCAGAGGCCTCGGCCGTAGTGGAAGCTGCTCCCTCTCCTCCTTCCATACCTCACAGATCTCACGCCTCTCGTTCGCAGCCAGACTCTACTCATAGCAAAAGGTACACACAGCGACTGTAGCCACGACGTACGACAAGATGGCGAGCTCAAAGAGGATCTCAAAGGTGCGTCGCCGGTGAAGCGGGATGAGCTGCAGTAATGTCTGAACCTATTTACCTTTCCCCTCATTGCTCACTCCCACCTCTCCCTTCTGCTACCCTCAGGAGCTCGCCGAATTGACAAAAGAGCCCCTCGACGGCATCACCGTAGCAGCCGACGACTCTAACATCTACCAGTGGACTGCCATCGTCGAAGGACCGTCGGACTCACCCTACAAAGGAGGACACTTTAAACTCGCAGTAGACTTTCCCGTAGAGTACCCCTTCAAGGGACCTAAAGTCAAGTTTTTGACCAAGATCTACCACCCCAACATCGATGCCGATGGGAACCTCTGCTTGGGCATTTTGAAAAGCGAAGCTTGGAAGCCCAGCACAAAGGCTGCCACCGGTGCGTGCTCTAGGAACAAAGCAGACAGTATCACTTCTCCACGCGCTGACACCTCACTGACATGATCTTTGACTTTCGTCCGATTCTTCAGTGCTCCAGTCGATCCGACAGCTGTTAGAAGAGCCCAATCCAGACGACGCCCTTGTCGCTTCAATTGGTGAGGAAAGAGAGGGGGCCCGTTTCCCCTTGTACAGTCCCTTGCTCACACGACTATGTCTCCCAACACCCCTTGCAGCCGAAAAGTACAAGACAGATCGTGCAGGGTACAATAAGGCTGCCGCCGACTACACGAAACAGGTACGTAGATGTACTGCTAGCCAGAGTTCGAGTGTAGCTCTATACAGGGAATTGACATGCAATCCTGCCTTTACTCCGCTCTGCTTGCTTTCAGCACGCCAAGAAGGCTTGAGAGCAATTCAAAAATCACGTCTTTCACGAGACCTTGACCTTCCAGCACAGTCAGCAACTATCTTCATCGGAGGGCGAAGATGTCTTTCCCTTGTCATGGCCAGTCATAGGAGGGCAGCATAATGTCATACACACCTTGTTCGCTTCGTCGCTCTGAATGATTCCATTGATTCGGTACGTGTGATACAGGAAAGGACATGGGCGCATGGGTTGGCTCGTCAATATATACATACGCAATGGCGCAGAGCTGCCTACGAGTCCTGGAACACCATCTAGCTGCTCCCCTCCCCTCTCAACTCTCTTATTAACCGCTCACTTTCGGCTCTAACATCCTCTCCCTCCTTGAAGAAGTGGATTTCCGTCCCAGCAGGCATGATAGCCAGAGCTTTGTTGATCCTCACCTGCAAAGCAGGCGAGCGTCGTGTAGTTGTGGTAGAGCCAGAGCGAGGCGCAGCCGACGGTAAGGTTACGGGAGGCGTAGAGGCAGGGTCGAGCTGAGAGTCTGCCAGACGAGGCGCGGACAGGGTCCGTTCGGTAGGGGTGCCCGTCCGGGTCTTTGCCATCGTAGGACGAGGCTGCGGTGTCGAGGAGGCAGAAGCCGCACCGCTGCTGACGTCCTGCGAAGAGAAGAAGTCCTTCGCCCCTCCACGCTCTGCTGTCCTGCTGAGCGTAGGGCTTGTGGGTCGACTGCTCGCCCGTGACGAAGCCTCAGCAAAGGCCTTGACGGGTCGCTTGATCGCCTCGCCTGCTTTACGAGCCGCGGCCTTTCGACTTCGCTTCTCCTCTTCTCCAACATTGAATTCCTCCCTGGCAGATGTTGGACCGACGTAGCCTTCCGAGGTAACATCTCGCAGGTAGAGAGCCTTGATCTGGTGAGGCCGCTCTTTTGCCAGCTCGGAGTAGAGCTCGAGATCCAGCTCGCCCGTGTCTCCGACGAGGAGGAAGCCTGTCTCGGGGAAATCGTCCAGAATGGATACAATGGCAGCTCTTTTCCTGGCCGAGGCCGGCTGGAGCCAGGTAGAGAGCAAGGAGGCTTTGCCTGCGCCGGTATTGGCGACCGTGGGCCCATCACCGCCAGAGCCGCCTTCGGAGTCTTCTCGACTCTGCGAGCCTCCAGTATTGGCAGTCACTGTAGCTCCCTCGAAGTCAGAATTGTAGCTCTTGAGGTGAAGGTGGCCAGCAGGCATACCGGCATGATCGAGAAACTCCTTGATCGGTTTCCAAAGTTCGATGGGCGCATTGCTGACAAAGTGGATCCCAATCTGGTAATCTTGAGCGAGGGAATGGTACCACTCTGCCATCCCTGGTACGACGACTTCTGAATGAGGGAGGATGAACACTTGTCGAAAGACGGACTTGAAGCCTTGTACAACGCACGTTTGACGAATCGTGTCATCCACGTCCGATATGAGTCGAATCGGCGTCTGAGTCGAGGCGGAGCGGGCGAGGCTCAAAGGACACCATGGCGTAGTTGGGGGCGGTGTCGCAATAGCCTCCAGCGCGGCATGGGTAGTTGTTGGAGCCACATCTTCGAGTAGGACGGCCCTCGTGCGAAGGCCTTGCAGCCGATCCTCAAATACGCCAAGAGGTCCGAGGTTGACACGAAGTCGGAACATTCCGTTCAAGTCACTCTTGAGCTCCTGAGCTAAGAGTGTCTGCCAAGTACGCTCCGCTGTTCCTGGCTCGACAAACTCTCCTTGCACCTCGACCCGGACTTTACGCATGGCAACTCTGTAGATCCAGAAGTCGGCTAGACGCTCATTGAGGTTGTGGGTAAGCTGGTGAATCTCATCCAGCGTGCGGCTGGCCCATGCTTGCGATCCACCTACCAGCTGGGCATCGGCAGCAACGGTAGGATTTGAGGAGAGGGACAGCAGGGAAGCGGTGGAAGGCGTCCGACTTGGTGCCATGCGCTTCAGCTTTGTCAGTCGTGAAGGTCCTGCCGAGGGTGCTGAGCTCGAAGAAGTGGCTGTAGTGGAAGTAGCCGTAGTGTTCGAGGTCGCTGCCGACGAGACTGACGTCGTCGAAGGAGAAGTCAGGGATGGTGCTGAGCCCCCCTCGGCTGCTCGCACCGACTCCTTGACCGTCGAGGATCCATCGATCTCACCTGCTCTAGTCTGCGACTCTTCGACTCCTCGCACTCCTTGTTGTGCGCTGATTTGCGCCAATTCGGTCTTGGGTGGGGGTGGTGGAGGCGATGCAGCTTCTTCGTCCGAATCTGCAGTGTGCTTCTTTGCACCCGGCCCTTTGTCAGGCTCATCATGTACTCCGCCTTCTCCGTCAATGGGAAGAGCCCCGAGTTTGGAGACGAGCTTGCCCAAAGTCTCCTCGTGCATCCTATCTGTGATGCCTTCCACAAGCCTTTCACTGAGATGCTGCCGCTGATACTGACTCTCAGGTGACGTGAAGGTGCCGCTGGGCGTCTCGCCAGCGGGCGATGAACTCGCCCAGCCTTGAGGTACAGAAGGGAAGAAATGAGAGTCATCGACTGAAGTCTCACTGGGATGGAGTAGGAGTGAAGTGGACGAGGCGGATAGAGGCTTCGGTAGGCGAGCAAGCTGCTTGGCCATTAGATTGAACATGCGTTGTGCCCGACCATGAATTGCAGGTTTCCTGGCTACGAAGCCGCGAAGCGTAACGATGAGCTCCTCGTCTCCTCCTCCATCGCGACGCGTGAAGGTATATCCTGGGAGCAGGACGGGGTAGATGTCCTCTGGTGGTGAGTCCTTAAGACTCAAAGAGGATGTCGAGAAGCCGGCTGTCTGCGATGAGGTCACAGACTCGGGAATACGCGCTCTACTCCGGGGCCGGTAAGGAGCATAGCCGAGTCCAGGTGCTTGAGCTGCTGAGATTGAGCTGCTTTGACTTGCTCCTCCGTCGTTCCACTGCCTGATTGCTGGCCGAACCTCAGCCGCTTTTTGTTTTGCGGAAGCCTTCCAAGAGGACCAGTACTCCTTGCTGCCCACCTGGCTTGCCCCTTGCGAGACGCGCGCCCTGATATGGTAGCCCGTGATGCTCGTGGACGACGTCGAAGGTACATTCCGCTGCCCATCAGACTGTACCGTTTCCCGATATGAGCTCATTGCTCGTTGTGGATGCGATGGACGCTGCAGGCTGACTGAGGGTATATGGAGATTCCTGACGCAGACCAGCCGGCTGCATGGCCTCATCCAAGGTGTGATGTGCCGTCGTGAGATTGCGAGTGGATGGGGTGAATGAAGGGGTTAGATGATAGTGACTGCTGATCCCATATTCGACGAGCTATGAGTCTTCTGTCCTCGCAGACGGCGCCAGATATTGACTAGAAGGCCCTCGGTACTGCCGAAGGAGGCGGGGAGCGGTGCTGCCTGTGCATCTCCTCGTTCTCAAGCCAGGACCCTGACGGGCGGATCCGCGCGAGAGCAACAGAACGGACCGGAACCAGACCAAAGCCTGCATCGTCGCTCCCGCCTTGCAACCAACTACTGCTTCCGCCATTCGCGCTCGCCGACGACGTAGCTCTGACCTCCATCACTATCCCTCTGTCATGGCGTCCAACATCGACGACGAGCTCCTTGCACTGGCTGGTGGCGGCGAATCCTCGTCAGACGGCGAAGGAGCCGCCGTCGCTGCCTCTAGCCGTGGAGCTTCCAGTAAAGCCAAGAGGAATCAGAGGAAAGTAGCCGCTCAAGACTCGTCGGACGAAGATGCAGAAGGCAACAGTGACGACGATGATGAAGACTCCGGGCCTCTGTATCCGTACGATGGAAGCTACAAGGATTACGAGGACAAGATGAGGTGAGTCAGCAGCGAGGGGGTGAAGTCAGCAGAAGCTGCTACTCCTGCGTCGCACATTGTTCTCATCCCTTCTCGTCCATCGCACCGAACTCTCAGAATCGAGGCGCTGCCCCTCATCGAGCGAGAATCCATTCTGGCAACTCGGAGAGATGAGATTTTGTCTCGCGAGCGAGCTCGTCAACTGCGAGGGATGGTAGCGGCACAGCAAGGTCGCAAAGACGCATCTTCGAAGAAGAGAAAAGCTCCGAGTGCGAAGAAGGCAAAGTCGACTCGCAAGAAGCAGGCTCGGGCCGACAGTGACATGGACGAGGAGACGGATGATGAAGATGAAGAGGATGAGGACGACGATGAGGAGGAGGAGGACGAAGACGATGATGATCGCGCCGCTCGCAGTAGTGGCCGCGCTCGCAAGACGGTTGGTCAGAGTGAGACCCGCAACAAGACGCTACAAGAGCTTAGCGCCAATCGTCGCAAGAGGGCTGCGGGCAAGGCCAAGAGCGCAAGACATAGGGATGCTGATGAGTCGCGGCGTCGTGGACGGCGTTCCTCGTCCGACTCGGAAGATGAAGAGTCAGAGGAGAGCGAGGGTTACCTCGGCTCTGATACCGAGGCAAAGAGGACGAGTGGACGTCAGGGCAGGAGTCGGAGGGAAGAGGGTCCATTCGTTGCCCCTGACCTCGAAGACGTCAACAAGGCCCGCATTGGACGAGAAGACATCCTCAAGGTCATGTACCGTAAAGGTTGGGAGGACAAGCTCATCGGCAACTTTGTTCGCGTCGTTGCGGATGCTCAGAGGGACGAACGTACAGGCAAGACCGTCCAACGCTATCGAGCATACGAGATTGTTGGCTGGAAGACTGGCTCAAAGTGGTATCAAGTGGACACTGGAAAGTACACAAGGGTGAAGCTCGAGCTGAGATTCGCCCGCGAAAAGCACGAGAAGCAAATTCTCTTTGTTAGCAATTCGGACATTACAGCGGAGGAGTTTCAGCGTTATGAGCTGCAAGCTCGCGAGAGCCCTCAGCGACCTTCAAAGCGACAGGTGTTGGAACAAGCAGACGATTGGGAGGACTTTGTGAATGAGCCCTGGTCGGAGGAGGTCTTTACAGCCGTTGTCAAGGCGAGAAAAGCAGCGAAGCAAGAGGCTGAAGCTGCAAGGGGTGGTCTGACCAACGGGAACGGGAACGGCAAGCCCTCTCCACTCCAAAGAGCTCAGCAGCCTACGAATGGCGTCGGAGGAGCTGCAGCTGCGTCTGCCGATGCTCCGAAAGGTGAAGACGTTCTCCTCGCTGAGCTCAATGAACGCAACAGGCGCTCGGACCGCGAGAGGATCCTGGAGGCGGAAAGGAGACAGGCTGAAAACCGTCGTCTGGCTGCAAAAGCTGCTTTAGCTCGAGGCAGTGCCGCTGCAGGAGTCAACAGTGGGATAGTCTCTGGTAGCTCCACGCCTATGAGCCAGCTTGGGGAAGGAGCTGGGGTGAAGAAGCCCAGCGTTGTGGATGTGGAGATTGACCTGGGCGACTTCTAGAACGGACACATGATGGAATCAAATACCTTATTTCCCACCATATGGGTACAGTGATTGCAGTTTTTGGCGGAAGCGAGAGGAGCGGGAGAGCTGTCTCCGATGGAGGAGGATTATCGGAGACAGCGAACGCATCGCGATTCTCCGTATTGGTCGCAATGCTAGCATGGCAACGACAGCCATGGCGTGATCTCCGTATGTATGTGTAGCTTACCCGCTTCCGATCCGTCCGGACATAAGTCCCTGCACAGACCATTCCATCCGGACTCGATGTTCGTGTTGCGTGGCCAACTCACCCACTCACTCACTGCTGGCTTCTCCTGCATCACTTCCTGAACAACACTGTCACTGCTCGCATCTCCCTTCCACCCCGCTCATAGATTCATTGCCCGCCTATCTGACTAGACAAGACAAACAAAAATGGCTTCCATCGCAGTCATCGTCTGGTCCCTCTACGTGAGTAGAAGCTGTGTGGATGAGTGAGGACTACGTCCCTGTGTTGACGTGCAAGGGAGTCTCCTTCTGACCGTCTCGCATATACCGTTTCCTCCTACACAGGGCCACATCTCCAAGCTCTCGGAACCCATCATCGAGGGTCTGAAGAAGTCGGGCGCCAATGTTGAGGTCTTCCAGGTGAGTAGTGACAGTGAATGAGGTGAAGTCGTGCGGCGGTTAAGCTGATATGCTCACCTCTCCTATGTGTGAAAAGTTCGCTGAGACTCTCCCCGGCGAGGTCATTGAGAAGATGCATGGCAACAAGGTGCGTATACGAGGTGTCAGAGCCAGTCCATGCCTTGCTGGCGGCTGATCCTCTCTCCCTGCTCTCCGCATCTCTCTCCTCTTTGCTGCAGGAAGCCACTGCCTCTCTCCCGGTGATTCAGCCCGACGACCTCAAACGCTTCGACGGCTACGTCCTCGGTTTCCCCACCCGTTACGGACGTGCCCCCGCGCAAGTCTCATCCTTCTTCGACCAGACCGGAGCTCTTTGGTTCTCTGGCGCCCTGGTCGGCAAGTTCGGTGCCATCTTCACCTCGACTGCTTCCCAGCATGGAGGACAGGAGACGACTGCTCTCACCACCATTCCCTGGTTTGCCCACCACGGCATCATCTACGTTCCTCTTGGCTACATTGCACCTGAATTGAATGACGTCGAGAGTGTGGGAGGAGGGTCTGCCTGGGGCGCTTCAACTGTCGCTGGCGATGGCAGCAAGCAGCCCACCAAGAATGACCTCAGCATTGCCTTGCAGCAGGGTACACACTTTGGCAAGGTCGTCAGCCAGTACGTCAAGGGAGCCGCCAAGTAGAGGGGCGGAGACTGGCGTTTGCAGACTATCAACTCTCACTATAGAGTCACATCAGTCCTCAACGTAGAGCCTCGCACATGGATGCAATGGAATCGCTTTGTTTCGTTGGTGAACAATCGGGTCTACAATTGTGCCATCATCTTGCCTGCATTCTTGAGTTCCCTCAGCACCTTCATCGTCTCAATCTCCCCCTTACCCTCGGTCCCCACCTTTTTCTGCACCTCTGCATCTCCCACGAGCATAAAGACGTTGTGCTTCTTCTCATCCGCAATGGTGTACACGCCTGTAGTCACACCGTTGTTCCTCTTGTTGCGCAGATCCTCGGCCAGGGACTGGATGGCGGGGCGGTCCGGCAAGACGCCAGCGCTAAAGGCGACGTTGCTGCGTGTGTACTCGTGTCCACACATTACGACTGTGTCGCCGGGGAGAGAAGCGAGCGTCTTGTTGAGGGAAGTGTGCATCTGCTCTGGGGTGCCTTCGAAGAAGCGACCGCAACCAGAGATGAAGAGCGTGTCACTAGAAGAAGGAGGAAGGAAAGGGTACGGTCAGACTTTCCGACGCTGAGCGCGTTGCCATCTTAGGATCTACCCACCCAGTAAAGACGGCCCTCTTGACCTCTCCTTCCGGTACGCTGTCACGCTTATCCTCGAGGAAGAAAGCAATCGAGTCCTGCGTGTGGCATGGCGTTGCATAGCACTTGACCTTGATGCTCTCTCCAATGTCAAACGTCGAGCCATCTTTGACGAGCTCATTCATCACAGGCGTGTCGCTTCCAGCCCAGATGGTTGCCTTGGGGTAGGCCTTTGCAAAGTCGCCGTTCCCGCCAGAGTGATCCTGGTGGTGGTGCGTGGTGATGCAGCCTTGCACCGACGAGAGGCCAGCGCTGGAGGCGGCGGATTGCACCTTGGACAGGGTGAAGGGGTCAATGAAGACACCCGAGTTGGATGGAGTGTCGACTACGACGTAGGCATAGTTGTCGTCGCGGACGGGGACAGGGATGACCTTCATTGTGGAGCTGAGCGGACAGAAGGGCAAGAGAAAGGGGAAGGTCAGCTGCACGGCTGGCGGTTGGACAGTCTGTCTGCCGAAGAGGATCACGACCTCCCATACCTCCTCGTCGCACTCACCGAGCTGAGCTGGAGAAGGATCGTAGGCCGAGGGAATGTGAGAGTCGAGGGATGCGCATCATTGGAAGGGAAGCAATACCAGTCCGGCCATCTCCAGAGTCGTATGACATTAGGCGGGCGGGCGCACGGGCATGCCGATCCTTCGCCGGCGCACCTCCACCTGCGATGCGGAAGCGAGGCGGTGGGCCAAATGTGCGGAAGCCCAGGCGCGCGCGGCAGAATTTTGCGGGAAGGCGAGCAGGCCGTCTGGCAAAACGCAGCACCCTAGCACCAAAGAGCAGGTCTCCCGAAGAACGCAACGAAAAGAGATGTACGAAATGCAAAAGGTATGATCGTTGTTGCGTTGACGGGGAATCGAACCCCGCTCTCACGCTTAACAATGCGAGTTGTTATCGCAGATTGGAAGGCGAGAATCATAACCACTAGACCATCAACGCCCTTGGATGATATTTCGAATGATGAAGGCCTACAAGAAGGTCCTCTGCTTGGAAAGGAAGCCTGAAGCGGAGCCCTTTCCTTGAATTGCTGCTTCTTCGTTGTCAGCTCGTTGAAACCACAGATTGTACGGCAAGAATCATAACCACTCGACCATCAACGCGCTGGGATGATATTTCGAATGTTGAAGGCCTACAAGAAGGTCCTCTGCTTGGAAAGGAAGCCTCGGCTTTGCCTCGACTCCCTGAATGTCCTCGTTCGAGCTACTTGCGCCTCACCTTGAAACCCTGCTGCGTCGGTATACTTGTCCAGCTGCGCTAACTTCCGCCTGGTTCCGTTTCGGCTACTCCCGCTGCCGTTTCAACGGGTTCCCCCTCCTCTCCCGTTCCGAATCCTGCGCTTCCGCCTCCGTTGCAGAATGCCTTGTGCCGTTTGACTTCCTTGCTCTACAAAGGAACGGCTGTTGCTTCCCTCGAACAATGGAGCGAGGCTTCGTCAGGCTCATCAAGGCGTACCCATAGGTCACCATGGTATTGCAGTCTCGATGTTCCTGTCATGAATCTTGCTGCATACGACAGAAGGGAGCTTCGGTCAGCAATGCAACGCAGGGTGCACTCGCTACGCCTCCCTACCAGTCACACGCGCGCGAGCGCAGTCCATCGACCTTTGCGTTCTCCAGGACCGCTCAAGCCTTACCGTTGCTGATTGTTCATTGCTGTTGCGATTACAACGGGCTCAAGTACCTCTCACGCTAGTCGCCCCAGTGCAAACGCGGGAGCGATCGGGACCGCTATGCTCCGATACGTTGCCATTGCTTCGACTCGACCCTAAGTTCGAGTACACTCGGCTTCAGCGGTCATTGTCTACACCATTGTCGCTGTGAGACGGCGTAAGTACCGAATGGCGGGATCAGATTGGTTCGCGCCTCTCGCAATAGCAAGCTGACTCACACCGGCGTGCGAGCAAACGGAAGGATGGACGGACGATGGTGGTCCGGAGTCAAGAGGCATGGGAAGCGGCGCTTTCGCCGCTTGACCCTCTCGCCCTCCTCGCTCACAACCTCCTTCGCTCTCAAACGTCCTCTATTCTTCCCCGGCTCCTCTCAGCCGCCCCAACGACTCACACCGTCACATGCACATGGTCACACGGGGCAGCACGGACTTCTCCGGCGGATGTCGGGAGGGTACGGGTGATCAGAGAAGTTGTGCCTGATGAGTCGCTACTCTGTGCCTGATGAGTCACGGCCTCGTCCTTGGACTATGACTTCAGTCGTCTGCACTCGTGCCCATGACCTCCGCCTCTGCTTGTTCCCTCGCTTTCGTCAACATTCTCTCTTCCCATCTGCATCACCTAGCAGGTATATAAAGCCGGCCTTTTGACCTCGTCGCAGCCGTCTCCCCTTCTTCTCTCAGAGCTTCACGACAACCCACTCCCTCTACCGATATCCTCCACCGACCTGCCCCTCTCCCATGCTCTCCAGGTCTGCCACTCTCAACATCCATCGAGACGTCTGCCCCAACTCCACTCCTCGACGATCCCACTTGACACTGCGCCTTCTCCGTGTACTATGCACATCACAGCCAAGATAGCATACGAAGCTTACACACTACCACCAAAGACCACGATCCTCACCGACTCAACTGCAGACCACTCACGAGACAGCGAATGACACGGCACACAGATGTTCAATTCTTCACAGCACTCGGGCAGAAGCTGCAAAAGCATACATACTCCACTACCTCCCTGCTTGAGACACGCGCAAGACTTAGGAATTCTGCCAGCCCTCAGCACCAAAGTGATGAACCGTTGATCTACGGTGACTGCACAAGACGCTGCTTGCTGTGCTTTGGGTTCATATGGAGAAGAAAGGATGAGAGGCCTTCGACAACGGAATACTCAGTGAGTTCGGTGAATACCTGCGAGAACAGGAGGAACAAGAGGCTCACACCTCCGCGTTTTCTGTCCAATGACTCAGTGGGAGACAAATCAGAAGGGAATCGAGACCTATCGATATAACGCTGGCAATTAGAGATTCAAGCGCTCGAATCATAAGATTCAGCTCAGGACATAAGCAACACTATGAGCCTCATATCGCCGATGCGAGATAGAGTTGGAGGATCTAAAGAGAGGAACGAACGACGCCCACGAGGCGCACTACGAGCACAGCCAAGGCTAATGACCCAAGAGATTCGAGAACATATAAGGGCTTTGACTCAAGGGAGAACCGACTTTAAGCAGATCAACGAGTCAAGGTGAGTAGCGGTGAAGCTACGGACGCATCAGAGTCGTTCGCACTGACACAAGACGACCTTTCACACACAGACATCAGAGTCGAAGTACCGCAACAATTCAGCAAAGGCTGGAGGGCTTCGGCTCCCTCCCCTCTCTCATTCACTCGTCCAGTCATAGCCTCACACCTCGCAACCCCCTGCTACCAACAAGATGGTTAAGGCACAGGCCTCCTCAGACAGACCTGTCAAGTGAAGTGCCAAGGAAGACACTCCGGCGCCACTTCCCTGCCACCCAACGCCTCAGCACGGTGGCCTCCAGTGTGAACCCCACATCGCCTACCGCGACTGCACGTCGACCGGGCACCTCGTACAGGCCATCTTGGCTTGCGAGCGCCTCACCACCGCGACATGCTCCACCCCCTCCTGGATCGGCGTTTGCCCCCCGAGCAGTATATGCCTTTCAGGATGTCTGGCCTTTCGAGGTCAGCAAACCCTCAGGCCGCCGCTGGAGGCCCTCCTTTGCCTTCTGCTCCTATCAGAAGCCCTCCTCTCCCTCTTCTTGCCGCTGGAGGTCCTTCCCTACTTCCTATTGCTACTTCTGGAAGCGCTCTTCCTGGCTTTGTGGCTACCCCACCCCTCGCGACAGAGCTCACAGCTGCCGCTGCCGCCCCGGGCACAGTCAGAGAGGCCCTCGCCGCCGCTGCCACTGCGCTCGCCATGGTAACGACTGCCGTACAGGAAGCAAACACGGCCGTAGAGGATGCCGAGATTGCCGTACAGGCCGCATCCGCCACTGTAGCCACGAATACACCTGCCTCGTCCTCCGCCCGTCCTCAATTCATCGTCGCCTCACCGACCGCATCCTCACTAAGCGCCGCCTCCAGAGCCACCTCTCGCCCGCCCATCTTCAATGCCTCTCGCCGACCCACAGCCTCTGCCTCGAGACCCGGCTTCGATGCATCTAGCGCCGCAGCCAGCGCTCCCTCTCGCCAGCCCACCCTCAATACCTCTCGCCAGCCTGCTCAAGATACCGCTCGCCAGCCTCCCGCCAGCTCCTCGAGGTCCGCCACCCCTCGTCGCACCGCCAACGCCTCCAGCCCAACCACTCGCCGCTCAGCGTCTACCTCCCCGCTTGCTGCCGTCGCTGCTACCCTTGCTGCTGGTGCATCGTCTACTGCACTTCCACCTGCTGCCGTCATCCAAGCGCAGCGTCTGAAGCGTAGCGACATGACGGAATGTAAGCCGGCAGAGGCATACAAGCAGCTGGAGACAACAAGATCGCAATGGCAGGGCTATCACGCTGCACCAAGGCCCAGCACAGCGCCGGCGTCTCATCCCTTCTCTGCGCAGATCTTGCAGCAAGAGAGGGCAAAGCGAGCACAGACGCCGCTGGAAGATGCTGAGGCAGAAGCGATCTGGCAGCTGTGTCCGCCAATCTTCGAGACGCTGGCACAAGGAGGCCCACTGGCACCGCTCATGGACGATGGCACCCTGCAAGTCAGCAGCAGCGAGGACGTCGGCTCACGAGCACAGGCACACGGCACAGGGCCAAGCGCTCGCGGACATCAGCATTGGGTGACATTCTACGTAAGAGAATAGACTCCTAACACTGGTGTGACAGTAGGGGCAGTTCTGCAGGCGTTCGAGGAGGCCCATCCAGTGCAGAGGCACTGGGTGGCAGAGGCTAAGCGGGCTCCCAACCAGATCACGATCAGATACGCAGGGATCTGCATCGATGGCGAGCCAGCATGGCGGCTAGAGCAGAATGAAGACTCGGCAGAAGCTTCTGAGGACTCTTCGAAGGGGATCACCACCACTCGTATCCTCAAATTCATGTCAAAGTTCTCTGAGCAGGGGATCTGGCGGACCTATGCTGTGCCAATCCTTGAGCTGCCAGCACTGGGCCCAACAAGGATACCGTTGCAGACGCTGGTGGATTCCTACGGCTGGATCTGCGCTTCCATTGCACCCACCACTCTGCCCCTGGCTGTGACACGGCAAATGCGTCTCAAGCAAAGCAATGCCGTCGTTGCACCCAGGGAGGCTGCGCTGATTCACTGCGGAGCTATAGGCAGCCCAATGTTGAATTCGGCCAGTCACGGCGGACTGGGCACTCTGGACGGCGTGGGGTTCCCTCCCAGAGTGCAGGCGCTCCGGCTTCAGGTAGCTCAAGCCTGCAGCGGTCCCCGTCCTCCCCTCGGCGGCTTCGGGCAAGAGGTATTGGAGAGAATTGCGCAGCTGTTTCGCAGCACCGCTGCTGCTCTGTCTCTTCCCGTGGCGTCGCATATCATCGCTTCGACCACCCTCTACGCCGCGGCTCCGGGCAGGTCGTTTCACATCCTCAAGGACGTGACGGCCGAAGACATCGCCGGTGAGGCTACGCGATTCGGAGCGTTTGCTGGACCTGGCTTGTCCTCTTTCCGGAATGCAATGGCCTGGGCAACTGGTCAACGCAGCGAAGGAGAGAGCCTGGAGCTGATGGGGCCCAGTGCGGACATCTGGCCTTTTGCTGCCCCCCGCATGGACCACCTCGTCCAGTACTGTGCTCTGCTGCGGGACCTCCTCACGGTGCGAAAGAAAGCCGGCTGCTCGGACGTCCTTGTCATCCGTTCGGGTGACGGCTACAACTGCTTGATCACTCGCCGCGGCCTGTCTTCGCGCTCGCCCGACCACAGCCCAGGGTCGATGAAGACAGAGGCAATCTTGCAGGAGGCCGGGACGTTACACGTGATCGAGGTAGGAGAGGATCGCATGCCCTCAATCGTAGTCTTCCATGCGGGCTGTATAAAGTACAACGGTGACTACATGGTGGAGAGGGATCTGCAGGTGCTTTGCGGGCTGGTAGTCCTGAAATACCTCATTCTCCTCAAGCATGTACGGCCGCGGATTGATCTAGGGGATTCTGTGGCTGCAGCACAGGCAGAGTCGCACATGCTGGGTCTCGAGGGAGCTGGTGGTAGTCCGCAACAGGGTCTTTCGCCGATACAGCTCCCTGTGCTCCCGTAAGCTGGCCTCGTGTGGCAGGGCGCAAGTCGCAGCTCCCGACGCTGATTTCTGGGGGGCATACGGCGATTCAAGGTGCTGCGAGAAAGACGCTGGTGGGGGGCCTCGTCCAGATCAAGACGAAGCCGGCAGGCCCTCAGCGGGAGACGCAGTGGGAGGCCCTGATGGTCGAAAGTGGTGGGACGCTGAAGGGACTTCCTCTCCCGAAGCACGTCAAGACCAGGGACGACCCAGCCGACATCGCCGCATACCGCTCTTGGTTCCTTGAGCGACCAGACGACGTCGAGCTGCATCAGTCAGCGGTGGGGACCCGGGAGGAAAGGGGGGCAACACGAGCGGCAAAGAGGCATCAGATGTCGCCTCGCAAGGTGGCCCTGGTCGTCGGCGCTGACCGCCATGGCAGGTACTTCAGAGCACAATCGCCTCAGACTGCTCGGAGCGGACTCGCCCGGTGCAAGCGACGCTCAGGTGCCTGGCTAGAGGAGACTTGGTACAGCTGTTCCACTGTAAGAGCTTGAGCTCCATTAGGCTGCACACCCAGTAGTAGTCACGAATAGTGATACGAGTCATAGCCGAAGTCTATCTCAACCTCTTATGCACCGTATCTGCCTTCACAAGTCCTTCACCTTGATTGAGCCGAATTGATGTCATTGTACTTAGATTGCGATCAGCACTTGTATCTCCTTGCTCGCCACCAATGATACTTTGACGTTCATCATTAGCTTAGACACCATCTGCTGTAAACTCCTCGTGTTGCAGAAGAGCGCAGGAGGAAGACTAGCAGCCAAGCTCTGACTGCTCCACCGCTCCACCCGTCTGACACTGATAGTCACAGCATGGCTGTTTGATTTGATTCCCTCTCGACGAGAAGAGGCGATGAATTGAATGGGTATGAATGATGTACAGTGCACAAGGATCTGTCTATAGCGTGTCCTCTGCACCCGCGGGCGATCAGCTTCTCACCCCACGGGTAGCGCCCCTACTCTTGAGTACCGAGCTGGTAATCTTCCATTGTGCCCTCTGCACCGCTCGTATCTCCGGCGTGGGGCTCTTTTCCTCCCTCTTCGTCCTCGCATAGAAGCTCTTCACCGGCAACTCTCTAGCCGGAAGCCAGTAGGGGATCTTTTCTCCAGCTAGCTTGCCGGCCCGCTTTGCAGCGGCTACTTGTGCGGATTGATCGTTGAAGAAGGCGGCTACCTCGTCTTCGTCTACACCTCCCTCCCGGAGCTTCCTCTTTGGCCTCTTCCTCGCATGGCCCTTGAGGAGCTCATAGACGACGTCATCTGCGTCCTCTTCCTCATCCTCATAAGACACTTCGATGGTTCCGTCGTCCCGTAGTAGACTCGGTGCAGAGTCGACCTGTTGCTTTGCATGACTCTTGCTGCGTCCTGGATGATTCTCTGGTGGCTCTGGACGAGATTGACTTTGCGCTAGAAGGGCAGAGTGGGATTCGGAAGAGGTCGATGGGGTCCGACCACGTCCAACACCGACACGTTTGCCGAGTGCGGTCGCTGAGATTGCTGTTGGCCTGGCGCTCGAACTGTCGTCAGACCTAGCGCTAGGCTTGACTACCCTTCGTCTTTGTGACACCGGCTTGAGTGAGGGCGGCGATACAGAGATCCATACGTTCCACTTCGACTCTGCTGAGCTGGAAGAGCTTGCGCTGGCCTGATCTGATGCTGCGAGTGAGGTGTCCACCGCTGCTATCTCTTCTCGCGCTTTGTGTAGGACGGTCGGCTCTCGATTAGGAGCCCTTCGCAACCTCCTCGAGGGTCGCCCCCCAGCAGATGACTCGAAGCCGAATGGCTCAGCTTCGCTCGCACCGCTACTCGACCCACGAAGCGGATCCCGCAACGTCTGCCCACGAGCTCTCTTCCCACTTGAATGACACTGACTGGAAGAGGCCAGAGGACTAGTGGCAGGGCTTGCCGCTTCATCGCGAGAGATCCAACTCGGCTTTGCGGCAGAGTCGTGGTCGAAGATGCTGGAAGGTGGCTCGGATAAGAGGGACGAGGATGTGGATCCGCAGGGGGATGGAGGATCCCTGGGTGATGCTGGGGGCGAAGAGAGGGGCGAGCTGGTATCGGAGCGCATATCTGGTGATCGTGTGAGGGAGGATGCTGTTGCTTGAGTTGTGTGGCGGAAGGTGCTTCCTTGCGAGGCCGAAGCAGTGGCGCCAGTGCGCCAGTCGAGGTGGTCTATGGGAGAGCTGCTAGGCACGATCGATCGAAATCGCTTTACTCCTGAAGATTCAGCAAAGTAACCATAGCATCTCTGAGGTGGCCTGAATGGATGTGCAGAGTAGGAGTCGTCGCTGGTGAGAGGTTGCAATTCCTCTGCTGATCGGTGAGGCGCGTCTCGGAACTTACCTCGCCCTGGAGAAAGGTCCGGAAGAAGACTCGCCTTCCGGTTGATCACCACTTGGCCGTTGGTACTGCAATCCCAGCATGGCGATGAGGATGAAGGACCTGCCTTCAAGGCCGGAAGTGTGCAGATCTGTGGTAGGTACCTTAGAAAGAGCTGCTGATGAGGAACCATCGGAAGCAAAAGGCAAGTCCAAAAAACGCCGGACGTGTTTCGCGTCGTGTTGTGGAGAAGGCAGCCAATTTCCCTCGGCCAAGCCACGGCGGCGTAGGGCCACAGGCGTACATTTCGACATTCTCCCCTACCATCGTCCCTTCCTCACCACTCAACACCTCCTCACTCATCATCTTCTACCACTGGCCTCGACTTCCTTGTGCAGCCCAATATGGGCTGCTCAATCTGTCTCGAGGGATTCACCGAAGAAGATGTAGGGGACACAAGACCAGCCTGCCTGCCATGTGGGCACCTCTATCATCTGGCTTGTGCAAAGACGTGGCTACAGACCAGCCAACGCGACTACTGCCCTCTATGCGGCAAGACGCCTGGTAAAACGACCAAGGTGACAGACCTCCTATCCCTCTATCCAAGCGCTCCTCACGACGTCAATGCCATCCAAGCGGCCATCAACAGCGATGACACGAGCTGGATGTCGGCCCTCAAGGGCTTCACCCATGCCGAAGCCCACCAGCTCTTTGATAATCTCACCGATCTGACCACGGATCTCCAGACCTGGATCTCGGCAACAGTAGGCGTCAGGGTGGTAGCAACCAAGAGAGCAGGAGAGAAGGTGTACAGACTCATCGCTGCGACGGCCAACGATGAAGAGAAAGTTCTCGCTTTCGAGGAAGCTATGTTACAACTCGATGAAGTGATTCAGCTTTTCGACGAGAAGGCTTCGAAGTTAGACGAGCAGATGGAAAAGGTCGAAAAGCAACGTTCCGAACTAGCAGCCAACAAGAAGCGCTTTGCCGAACACATTGCGAAGCACAATGATCGTCTAGCTCGCGCTGCAGCTCACGAAGCCGCAAACGAAACGCGTAGCGCTGAGCTTCGTGCACGGAAGGAGAAGCTCCTTGCTGAACAGGAAGCATGGGCCGACACCAAGAAACGCATGGAAGTCGAAGTCTCAAGGGCCAAAGAGAAGGCACTCGAGAGCGCCCAGTCTGCTACTCGAGCACACGTTGAGGCTCGACAGACAGTAGCAGCAAAGGAGATAGAGGTGCAGCGCAAGAAGACCGAGGCCGAGGAAATGGTTGCCGCTGCCGTGGCACGACAGAGGGAAGCCGAAGCGGAGCGAGAAGAGACCAGGGCAAAGAACAATGCCTTGGCAGAGACTATGAGGACCCTTCAGAGGCAACTTCAGGAGCAGAGGAACTCCAGACTGGAGGAGAAGAAGAAGCGCCGAAAGGAGCAGGACGAGCATCACACAGAGGTGCAACGACTGCAGAGTCGTCTGACCGCTGCTGAGGCTCAGCTTCGCACTCAAGGACCGGAAGGCAGTGACAGGCTAGCCAGCCGACATCACTCCCCTAGTGCCACTGACCTCTTGCAAGCCTCACCCGTTCTTTCTCGAGGCCACAAGAGGTCAACTCCATCGGTCTCAAGTGTAATGGAAGCAGACGGGTCCATGTCACTGGTAATCGAGATGCCCAAGTTGGGCAAAGCATCACGACGCGGAGCTGACGATGGATGGGACTCAGACGAAGTCGACTCCTTACCAATGCCGGGCATGCCACGCCATCGCGGTGCTGCTTCCTTGACCAAGTCATTTTCGCATCATAGTTCCCTCTCGATGCGTCAGCCTCTCACAACGAAGTGCAACTCAGTAGACACCAACTCTTCTACCATCGGATCTCTCGCCGCTGATGGCGTACCCAACCATCGTCCCGTGGGCAAGCTTCGCAGGACTGACCCGGCCACGGCGGATATGAGCAAAAGGTCGGCCGCCGGACCTAGACAAAGGGTCAAGGAAGGCGGGTACTGATCCCCCACTCGCGTGCACACGCATAGCATACCACACCTTTAGGTCTCTAGAACCAGCATCGTCTCGACTCAGCATTCCCCACCCTGTATACTCTTCCTCAAGCAAGCATGATACCTGTCACCCAATTGTCTACATAGACGACCCTTAGAGATCCAGCTCCATTCTGCGAGGCGTTTTCAATGTAAAAGTTTGTCATTGCGAGGCAAATCTCATCCGAGCAGGCCTGACAGACAGGATGAATCCGCATGTCCTCCTCGATGTGTGTGTGTATGTGTATATCTACTGGTTCTGAGAAGCCTGCAGCTTGGCGTAGTAGGCGTCGCGCCTCTGAACCGAGGGGAGGTGCACTCCGTACCTGGATTGGTGGGAAGGATTTAAGGGGGGTAGGAAAGGGCATGGGGGGTGAGCAAGCCCGTCTGGATATCTGGGATACTTTTCGAGGCGCCAAGACTAGTGTCGAGCCTAGAAGACACGGCCGTTGAGTGTCATCTACCCCTCGCAACGCCCAAAGCAACGCTCTCCCTAGGAACGCACCCCCACCTCATCAAAACTGGCCTACACCGGCGTGACTGCCCATGATGCTTCACCCTCGCGTGTTCTGTCGTGAGCAGAGTGATTGCCAATCTAATTGCTCTACTCACCAGTATCCGTAGCCGAGGGCTGTTCCTCCTCCGAGTGCGACGGAAAGGTCGAGGATCAAGCGCTTGCGCAGCTTGCCGGTGATAGCAGGGATTCCGTAGGCGGGCATCTGTCAGTGGGGAAAGGGGAAAGGACACGGGAATAGTCAGGAAGGTATCTGAGATATGCTCTCTGGCGTCGCGTGTACGCACTGTGATGTTATAGAATGGTATGAGGTGCGGGTAAGGGCTGGTATGATGATTGGGATTGGTGAGACGAAGGTCGTGGCTTGAAGTTGTCCTTCGGCCAGATCCGCCTGCCCTGCCCTGCCCTGCCCGCCCGTCTGGCCGGATGATTTGCGCGGCTCCGAATCCATCGGCTGCTTCCGTCCAGGCCAGCCTGGCCCAGTGGCCGGACGCACACCGCTCATCTCCGGCGAGGGGGAAGCCTGCCTGGCTCCACAAGATCACCGCCCGCCCGCTCGCCCCCCCGATCCCCGCCTTCCCCATCTGAACATCCCCACGCCATTCCCTCTTGTCCCATCAGCCGCAAGCTCCTTATCACACACCTAGCACTCAATTAGAAGAAGCACTTTGATCACCATCTCTCACAAACCTCACACGCCAGCGCTCACAGTCAACGATAAGCTGTTGAACTTCCTCTGATCTGCCCGCAACACCTTCGCAGTCCGGGACCAATTCCCCCCTCTCTTCGCCATGGCCTATGTACAGGTGGCCAAGGCACTGTACGACTACGAGGCCCAAGGAGAAGACGAGCTCAACCTCAAGGAAGACGACTCTCTGTACATCTTGGAGAACGACGATGCAGACTGGTTCAAGGCCAAGCTGCGTCGGCTCAATCCTGATGGAACTCCCGTCGAGCAAAGTGATGACGAGGCAGAGATTGGTCTCGTGCCGGCCAACTATGTCGAGGAAGCTGAGCCAATTCGGCTCAGTCGGGCACTTTACGACTATGAAGCGCAGAACGAGGACGAGCTGTCCATTGCAGAAGACGAATTGTTGAGGGTCTACGAGTCTGACGGTCTCTGGCTCCTCGTAAAGAAGCAAGGACACGATTCGCTGGGCGAGGGGGGAGTCGGCAATCTGGGTTATGTGCCTGCAAACTACGTAGACGAGGTGAGTAAGGGATGTGCTATGATGTCTGATATGCTACCACTAATGCAGCATCCCTCCCTTTGTTAGATGGAAGCTGTGGACACTGATGGGGCAGCAGAAGTTGTAGACGAGCCTCCCCAGGCCAGTGCATCATACTTTGCTCCCCGGTCCACCAGTATCCCTACCATCAACACTTCTGCACCAGCAGTCGACAAGACGGACGAGATTAAGATGTGGGCCGTCTCGATACTGGACGCCAAGAAAAAGAAGAAGAAGGGTACCCTTGGAATCGGCAACGGCTCTCTCTTCTTTGCTTCCGACTCGGACAAGACCCCAGTTCAGAAGATCCCGGTGCTGAAGATTACCTCTTACACGATCGAGAACAAGGGCAAGCAATTACGCGTCGAGCTTGATTCAAGTGCTGGAGTAGAGGGAGATCTGATGACCTTTGCATGCGAGAAGAAGGAAGGGGATGAGCTCATCAGCAAGCTGGACGAGAGCCGCGGGAAAGCAGAAAGGGTAGCAGCAGCAGAGGAGCAGAAGCAACAAGCACCCGAAGAAGAAGAGGAAGAACAGGCATACGAGACCCCAGTCGCACCTGTTGCACCTGCTGCATCCCGGCCTCCAGTCGCAGCAGCGGCCCCAACTCTGCCACCTCCTCAGCGTACCAACTCTTCTAGTCTGCTCCCACCTCCGCAACGTCGGACAGGCATAAGTCCGAGTGCGTCTTCCCCATCAACGCCCCTCAGAGAGACACCGCCTGCACCAGCAACGAATGGTCACTCGCGTGGCGAGCCATGCGTTGCTCTGTACGACTTTGAAGCCCAGGGCGACGATGAATTGGGTGTAGGAGAGAATGAAAGCCTTACACTGCTGGAGCGGGAGAATGATGACTGGTGGAAAGTTCGTAATGCTCAAGGTCAGGAAGGAGTCGTACCGGCTAGCTATATTGAAGTCGCAGAAGGTGGAGCTGCTGGTCAGGCAGAAGAGGCTACTCCGCAAGACGCAGAGGCCGATGCAGAAGCTGCAAGGCAACGAGAAGAGGCCGAGAGGGAGCAACTTCTCGCTGCCGAGCAACGTCGAAAGGAAGCTCGCGATAGGTTGGCCAGGGAGGCTGAGGAGAGACGCAGGCGAGAGGCTCTCAAGGCTCAGCCTGCTCCTACACCCCCTACCACAGCCAGGAGCACAGTCGCTGCTGACGGTGCTCGAGCAGCGGCCAAGGACGTCAAGATCCCCGAAGGGCGATCGGCGCCTGCACGGCCAAAGGAGGCCGGCAGCAAAGCCAAGCCTGCCCCGAGCAGGACTAGAGTCTGGCACGATCGAAGTGGCCAATTCAGGGTCGAGGCTGAGTTCTTGGGCTTCAATCAAGGCAAGCTTCGCCTGCACAAGCTCAATGGAGTTGTCATCGAAGTCGCCATCGAGAAGATGTCGAAGCCGGACATCCAATATCTCGAAGAAGTGACCGGAAAGCCTCTTTTGCCGAGAAGGGACAAGGCTGCAGCTGAGTCTAGTCGTGGGTCTGCTTCGGGCGGTGGTAGTGATCCGCGACAGAGCGAGCGAGAGCGGGAACGGCGAAAGGAGAAGGAGCGTGAAGCTCGCCGGCGACAGGCGGCCGCACGTGGACCTCGTCGTAACATCGATTGGTTCGAATTCTTCCTGGCCGCTGGGGTAGATGTGCATGACTGCACGCGATATGCAACTGCCTTTGAGAGAGACAACATCGATGACACTATCCTGCCCGACATGGAGCCCACAACGCTGAGATCTCTAGGTCTGCGAGAGGGCGACAATATCAGGGTCATGAAGTTCATTGAGCGCAAGTACAAGCCTCAGCGCTCAACGAGCGGCATGACACAGAGCGATATCGCAAAGCAGATGAAGGCTGACGAGGAGTTAGCAAAGAAGCTGCAAGAGCAGGAGCGTGGGGCTAAGGGAGGTGGATCAGAGTCTCCAGGCCTCTTCTCTGGCCCAGACGGCGCCCTGAAGAACAACACTCGACGAGGCAGACCGACTCCCAAGGCATCGACGAGTGGAGTCGATGCGGCCTCCATCGCTGCCGCGGGCGAGAGTCTGGATCGCATCACCAGTCCGGCCCAACGTAGCAATACCTCGAGTCCAAACATCGATCGCGGATCCAGCCAAGCCAAGGCCACTCCTTCTACCAAGTCCAGTGGCTTCGATGACGACGCTTGGACACCCCGTCCCAATAGCGCAAAGCCAGCTTCGCCACCACCGCCTGCAAAAGCGGCCACTCCTGTTCCACCTCCCGCCCCTAAAGCCCCTACACCTCCTCCAGCTCCAGCCCCGGCCCCGGCACCTGTCGAACCTGCAAAGCCTGCTGACCCCAATTCGGCTCTGTTCGAGAAGTTGGCCGCTATGAAGGCTCCTTCTGCCGCAGAACAGCAGCGTCCAGGTGCTAGCCCGAACTCTTCTTTCATGGGCTCGGGCGGCTACAATCCCAACGGTGCGCGGGGGCCAATGGCTCCAGTGCCACAGAATCAGGGCCTGTTGCAACCGCTCATCTCCACCCAGGGTACTGGCCAATTTGTCCCAACTCGCAATGGCATGATGGGCCAGCAGGCAACGGGGATGATGGGCCAGCAGCCGACGGGTTGGGGAGGTATGCAACAGCAGCCGACTGGCTTCTACGGCGGCAGCGGATTCCAGCAGCAGCAGCCTCAGCAGACTGGCTTCGGAGGCATGACTTCTCAGCCCACGGGCTGGATGGGCTCACAGCAGACTGCAATGTCTACCAATATCTCTGGATTCGCTTCACCGCAACCGCAATCCTCGCCTGCGTTCCAGAACCAGCAGCAGCAGCAGCAACAGCCTCAACAGACGGGCATCTCTGCACAGCAGACTGGTATGGGTCAGAATGGAGGCGCAGCTGGAGCCGGAGACAAATATGGAGCTGGCAACATCTTTGCTCAGATGAAGAGTGGTCAATTTGGCAAGGACACCAACAATGCTGCTCAGCCTCCGGCCAAATATGACGCTTTGAGACCACAGCCCACTGGCTGGTCCCCGGCAGGTGTGCAGCAACCTCAACAGACAGGCGCATTCGGAGGAGGAATGTACCCTCAACAGACGGGCATGGGCATGGGGATGATGCAGCCGCAATACACTGCAATGCAGCAGCAGCCGGGCGGGATGATGTATGGGCAGCAGACTGGGTTCAATGGCCAAGGCCAGTATGGGCAGCAAGGCTATGGTTATCAGCAGCAATACTGAGCCCGCTCCCCATTACGCATCGAGCGTCGGGATTGCGCGTCTGAATCGTGCTGACAATTGCGGTCGTTGTCCTATCCTGCGTGTTCAATATCCGTTTCCTGCTCTACCATCCTTGTTTCATTGACGCCCAATGATACGCCATGTTCACGATTGCCTCTATCCTCCCGCATTGAGTGTATGTGCCTTGCTGCGCGCATGTGATTGTATCCTCGCGTCGTCGCGTGGTGATTTATGTCTAGCCAGGTCCTGCCTGCAATTGGGCGTCAAAAGCAGGTTCAGGTCTTATCTCGCCCTTTCGTCTCTACGGCTCTTTTCCTCATTATTTTCCTCTGCTGTGCGAAGAGGCCGTGCTTCCTTGCCGACGTCCCTCCCCGCATGCCAGGTCCCGTCCTGGTCAAAGCACGGAATGCTCGCTTCGTTAACCGAGGTTCAAAAATGGCCACAGGCATCGACCAGGAACCACAAGATGGAGCAGCTCGCAGTCTTCTCGCGCCCTCCAAGCTGATCTCGTGTGACTAGAGTCTCCTTGGATGCGACTTTACACTGGGCAGGGGGCTCATGTGCGGAAAAGAATGTCCAGCCAGCGATCTTTCTCGGGATCTTTCCGAGGTACATCGACGGAAGTACCGTTGTGTTGGAGCTCAGAGGGGTGATGCTGAAAGCGGAGCGTGCACCCACAGCGGAGCGGAGCGGGGGCCCTGGCGCCCTGACCAAGTCTTGCTCTGCTCTCTTTCCCTCTGTGGCATGTGCCGTCAGAAGGGACGTCGGGCGTCGGGGGGTTGGGTAGACGGCAGGCGCCAGGCGGCACTTGGCAGGGAGCCAGGCAGTGCGCTTGAGCTTCGGAGCGATCGGCGGAGCATCCAAGGTTCGTCGCGTGGCTTTTGTAGTTAGGCGGGCAGGCAGCTCAGCTCTAATGGTACCACATGTTGACTCAAGGAGGGGACGAGCGCTGCCCTGGGCTCCCTACCCTCTCCCTCTCTCTCTCTCGCCTCCCGCCAATCGGGGATAGAGGCATGGACCGCGTGCGAAAGGTACCGTAGTGGTGGTGTGCGTACCTCTGCCATGATATCTCTGTAGTGGCACTTTGGTTGGTAGACAGGGGAAAATGAGAAGTGACAATGCCGCCCCATTTAGCCACGTCCAAGACCTCGGGGTTAATGCCCGGCCTGCCTGCTCTCCTCGCCCGCCGGCCCAGCTGGGGATGAGACAAACGCGCCTTTACCATACGTCTCGCCTCCCCTTCTGTCTATCGCTGCCTACCCTACCCCCCTGACCCGTCTTGAGCTCGTCCCCTCTTCCCACGATCATCTCTCTTTTCCTTCTTTCTGAACGCATTCACCGTCCCAATTCGACGCCACTTTGCTCATACCCTGTGTGCTTTTACCATCAAGGCCGCTGCCAAGACATCCGTACCACAGACTCACGGCACGCACACGCAGGCAGGGTCTTCCAACTCAGCCAGCAAGCGACTCCTTCATCGCACACATCTATTCACGACCAGAATCCGAAACCGGGGAATCCGAGCAGCAAAGCACTCGGCGTCCCCATCTCACCCAGCCTTCGGCATTACCCTCAAGGACGCACCACTCGGCCCCACTTCATCTCCTCCTCCTCCTCCTCCTCGACGTCATCTTCATCACGATACCACTTGTGCCATAGCATTGTCAACCTCGCCGCCTAGCCGCCCAATCCACGCTCGCTTCATCACCGGTATACCCTCCTTCACCGGGCAACCTTTACGCGGGCAAGACGGATTGGTCTCCCCTTGCTTCCTCGTCTTTGCTTCTTGTCCTTCGAGGATCAGGTACCCGTCCAGCAGCACGGCGTCTGGGCTGTGCCTACTCGAAGTGACCGGCTCAAATTTCGGTTCCTTCTCGCGGCTGGATACGAGGGCTACTTCGCCATCGTAGGCGCATCCCGGGAGCAAAGGGTCAGGCACCAGGGGGGGACACTATCCTCCCTCGTCGCGCCCGCGCCCAAGGACCTCTTTAGGTCCGGCCCCAAGCAGGATCTACAGCCTTCATCGACTAGATCATCCTCGTCTAAAGGCTCGCATAGCCATCCTCTGTCCCACTCTCTTGCTGGCACTCCGCGTCACCAACGCAGCGCATCCAGCCATTCCCTTGCGAGCAGAAGGGACGTGGCGGTGATCACCTTGCCTTCTGCCATCGAGGCAAAGCCAGGTAGTACCTTCACCTCGAGGAACGCTCTTCCCTTCGCGCAATGAGCAGCTCTCTTTTCTCCAATCCAGATAGCTCATCTACCGCCACATCAAGTACCACTTCTGGACGTCAGTCCGAGAGCACCTCTTCAGAGGTCGCCTTTGCAGATCATTCTAGCCACAGCAGCAGTAGTGGAAGCGGTGTCAAACCAGAAGCAATGGCAGTTTCGGCCGCTCATCACCACCAGGGACCCTGGCCTCCTGCTCCTTTGCCCTTGCACCACCAGGTCTCTCTGGATGGACAGCAACACGGAGGAGGAGGAGATCCCGAGCTAGGAAAGCAGCTATATGCACAAGAAGCAGAAGGTCATCACTTCTCGAATGCTCACCCCGCCCTCCAAACACCAGCACAACACTACCAGCCTAGCTCAGAGGCATTGGGGGGAGCACAAGCAAGCGGGAGTAGCAGCGCCTCCGCAGGTCAGAGGCCTCAATATCCTTCGAGTTTGCAAGCACCGTCTCGCCATAGCCAAATGGCAGAGTCCTCTACGCAGAGCAGGCCTCCAAGTCTACACCCCTCTAGCAGCTCGTACCATCCAAGTCATCTCTACAACCCCTCTCAGTCCACGTTCGCAGCCGGCGCCTGGAATCAGTATGATACCTCGTCTCGTGATGTCTCTGCCAGCGCGAATCTGCTCTCTCGCCAGCCTATGCAGTCTCGTTACTTTGGTCTAGGCCCGACGCTGCAGATGCAGAACTCACTCGCAGACCCGGCATTCTTCCCAGGTGGAGTCATACCACCTCAATCGACGAGCGCAGGCGGACTGGAGGCCAACGATGGCGCAAGCGGATCAAAGGAGGTACCTAGCTTCAGCGTTGAGCTCAAGGCGCGTAGCTTCGATCATAGAGGATACCCAGTATACGGCGGGAGAGCAGCACCAATCACTGGAGTCATCAGAATGTCCAAGTCGGATGAATGCGATGTCACAATCAAGGTGAGTAAGGGGACGGAGATGGAGAGGTTGTTACCAAGTTGCACATACTGACACAGACATTGGCGGCATCAGATTTCGGCGCATACAACCACCGGATCGACCGCAATGGTCTGGGATGGTATCGCTCTACAGCCAGCTGCGAACGGTTCTGAGAGGGTAGTCTTTTCTGCTACCGACACTTTCCCAGCCTCTGAAGGTCACGTCGACTACTCTCGTGCTCCGTCTTCTGGTCCTTCCACAGCTGCATCCAGCTCGTCGACTAAAGCCTTTGCAGAGAGCAATAGTGAAGAGGGAATCCTCGCCATTCCCTTTACGACCAACATGCCAGTGGGCGGCTCTACAAGAATCGTCGATGGAGAAGTGGCTACTGTAGCTGTAGCTCTGCCGCCCTCCTTTGAAATGTCGTCGGAGCAGGATAACAAAGACAAGGCCGTCTTCAAGAGCATAAGCGAAGGTGGAGGAGCGGCTAGCAGCTCAGCTGCGAGTGTCAGGACAAGGATGACGAGAATGACTGCAACGACTGTTAGGGAAGCCGTAGAAGCAGGCCTGCGGCAAGTGTATCGGATCGGCTGTTTCTACAGGATCACATTCACCCTGACGCCTGTGGGCGGAAAGGTACAAGAGAGCGGACGGAAGCTTGCTGGAGCCCTCTTCGGAAGCAAGAAGAGCAAAGCTGCGAAGAAGTTGAAAGGATCGCGAACGTGAGTAGTAGCAGGCTAGGGCTAGGCTGCTCGTAGAGGACCCGCGCTGACGCCGTCATGACTTGCTCCCTCCGTCCAGCCTCTCCATACCCTTTGTGTTCCTTGGCGAGATTGTTTCTCAGCCGGCCACTCCTTCGTCCCTTCCACCCATCCGGCCTGCTATCCTCAAGCAACCAAGTCAACTCCTCGCGCCACAGTGGGAATCAGATGTTGCCACTGCACAATGGTCCGGGAAGTTCTTCACGACAATGAAGCGCAATGTCCAGCTTGAGCTCTTCCTGCCAACCAAGACCGTACAAGCTCCGAGCGTCGTACCTGTGCTGCTCATCATTAGACCAGAGGACCCAGAGATGCTGCCCAAGCCTATCGCCGTGACGTCTACCTCGCCGGTCGGTTCACCTCGGCCGGGTATCAATCGAGGGAGCAGCGCAGAGACCACCCCTGGCCTGCAGAGCTCCAGAACGCCAGCCATCAACGGCAGTATCAATGGCCCACCGAGCGCTGCTGGCAGTACTGCAGGTACTTTAGGCGTGAAGGCAGGCGCTACCGAGCCCCAGAAGCAAAGTGATGAGGCCGCGCCGAAGTCACAAGATAGCAGTCTGTCGCATTCGATGCAGTCGTCCATGTCGATATCTGACTCTCCAGCCCATGCAACCAGTGCGTCCAACCATGGTGCTCCCTTGGCCTCCGGCGCCTCTAACAAGGACCCTGCGCAACGCATTCACAAGAAGATCTCTCGATCGACCTTCTCCTTCAACAAGAGACCGGATTCCTCAATCTCTAGAGCAAGCAGTGATGAGTCAAACATGTCCTACACAATCCGAGGGGGCGGAGCTCCCAGCAGCGTACAGGGGGATGGAGCGGCACAACTTGGCCTGCCTGCGCTGGTGAGGTTGAGCATCTTGCAGAACGTCTACTACAACAGCTCCAACGTCAACGAGCCCCCGAAGAACAAGCGTCGCCTGATGAATGTTGCCGATCTGGAAGAAGTTGACATTGGTCGACTTGCCAACGAACATGGTTACGGGGATCTGAGCCTGCTATACGATGTGCCCAATGCAGTGGCTCTGGTAGCCGATGCAAAGGTCAGTGGAGTGAGAGTCCTGCGCGGTTTGCTCAGGATCCCTCGAGAGGCTACACCGTCTTTCCGTGTACAAGGAATTGAGGTCAAGTATGCGATCAAGGTGGATCTCCTGCCCTTCAATTCTCGCGCTGGAGCAAGACCTGGCAATGCGGTCCTGCCAGGCAGAGCCAATGCGTCTTCAAGCTTCCCGTCTTCCTCAGCCTCGTCCATGTACCCCGGGCCCTCTTCGTCTCCACCGGTCACCCCGCCTTATCATCCATCTCCTCTGACTTTTGGAGCACGAGGCCCAGCCGGTGCCATGAAGCCGTCCCAGCATCAGCAGCAACAGCAGTCCGATGCAGGCTCTTCGGCCTCTTCACAACATCCACCATCTACGAGCGCGTCTGCATCACAGACGATCTGGACTCCCGGACCGGCTGTACCCCTCGGTCTGCACAGCCACACCTATGACCCCTCTGTGCGCATGTCTCAATCCGGATCTAGCTCCGGAACCATCGGTGCCGGCGGGAGTGTTGTTGCTGGCCGAGGCAGACCCTCGTTCGATACCTCTGAGGCCGGCTTCAGCAGGAGGTCTCCCTCGGACCCTACGATCATTGGTGGTGCTGATTCGAGTAAGCTCCAGAAGACAGTCGGAGCTCTTTGGGTCAATGTGCGCTTGGTCAAGGGCAAAGGATCGCTTTGATTGCCTTGGTCAATGTTCAGTGGTAGATGTGCGGCAAGAGTGTCCATACAAGAGGCGCAGCGGGGGTGGTGGGCAAGCATACCCAAAGATAGAAGAAGAGCGTGGGCTCTTACGCAAACCACAAGAGAGTGAGGTCCGAAGGAAACTCAAAGATACGATAGATGCGGCGTCGTTCCTTCGATAGCATTCAATGTCACCGATGGTGGATGAGGAAGGGAGATCGACTGGTCATAGATAAGCAAGCAGATTTGTCCCGGCGTGTAGGTGTTGAGGTCTACTGTCACCTGTTCCTGCTCTTGTCCATCTTCGAAGCCATGTTCAACCCCATCTCTGTCAATCTGCCATCTCTCGTGCTCTGCAACGATGTTGTTTACATCCTCTTTGCACCTTTAGACTCATTTCTCTCCCGTCTGGTTGAATAAGGAAAGGTTCATGCGGTGAGCATCAGCCTGGACGCGTAAAGGTCTTTGTGGAGTCGAGGCGACGCGGAAGCAGCAAGCGTCGCTTCGGCAAGGGCACAGAAATAGACCTAGGCTCACTCACTTGTACAGCCCTCGACACCGGCATATATCCTCTCTACCTCTCCTATTCCTCCCTGCCTTGTAGACTTTAGGCTCCCGCTGCCATCTTTGGAGATCTCGGTACCCTTTGACTCGAAGAGAGGACCTTCCGTTGATAGACTGCGAGAATGTCCACGATTGGACTCGTGGCCTCTCTGGCCATGGCTGTGGGTGCTCCTCTCATCTATGCAGATCAAGGTGAGCTCGTAAAGAAGAGGCAGCAAGAGCTACGAGAAGGTCGACGTCCAAAGGCAAACCCACACTGACCAACTTCTTTACCATCTCTACACTCCCTTCCCAGCATACTCCATCCAGAAGAAGCGCTCCTCCACTGGCTTCTCAAAAGACGTCTGCGCCGTCCTCCTTCTAGCCAACATTGCCCGTTGTTTCTGGTGGCTCAGCGAACGCTTCGAACTCCCCCTCTTGCTACAAAGCGTACTTATGATCATCTCTCAACTAGGACTACTAGGACTGTTACTCAAATATAGAGAGGGAAGCTATGCCAGTAGTGCTTTCACTAGTTCGTCAGAGGATTATGCGGGGGGTAGAGATCCGGGGCCAGCGGGTGCGAGGGGAGGACCGGCAAGAGGTGCTAGGCCTTCTACGACTGCGGGACAGGGGCAGAGTGGAGAGAGGGAGAGCTTGCGATCCTCTCAGCCTGAGCCAGCAGCGCAGGGGAGGGGAACAGCAAGTCGAGCTCCGGCTCCCGATGCTGGATTTGCAGCCCTCTTCAGCGGATCTAGCAGTCGAGGCGGGTACGCCCCCGTGCTCAGCGGTCTGCACCTCCCTACACTGCCCTATCTTGAGCCTTCCTCTGCTGGACCAGAGGTGCATGAGGAGGTAGAGGAGGAAGAGGAGGAGGATCAGGAGCCCACTTCTTTGCTCACACGGACTACACGAAGGGCGCACAAGGTGGCTCGGAGAAGAGGGACACAGCTAAAGACTTTGCTGGGCGTGAGGAGTGATGGGAGTTTGAGGCAGGATGGAAGTTCAAGTAGTCGGCCGTTGGGCTTTTGGACATGGACGACGATGCCGAGGTAAGTCCTACCAGAGAGCTTGAGAGCTCTACGATTCAAGTTCGCAAGCTGACCCTCGCTCCCTCCTTCCTGCCGATCAGCTACCTCGCCTTTCTCTTCCTCTACTGTCTCCTCCTCCTCTTCCTCCACCTCATCTTCTCCTCTTCCTCAACCTACAATAGTCTACTGGGTCTTTATGCTCTCGGTCTCGAATCTGCTCTTCCCCTTCCCCAACTCCTAGCAAATCAACGCCGACGATCCCTGAGTGGGTTCCGCCTCTCCGTCCTCGCCGGCTGGCTCTTTGGAGATCTCTTCAAGACGGCCTACTTTCTCTTTCGCTCCTCTCCCTGGCCATTCTTACTGGGTGGGTGTTTTGCACTGGCTATTGATGTGGGCATCGTAGTGCAGAGTAGGATGTTTCAAGAGCAAACGGAGAAGGATGATCGAGAGGAGGAGGAGCGCAAGAGAGCCGATGAGGCGCTCCGTCTCGAGGAGGAAGCAGCGGCTGCTGCCTATCATGGAGGCGTTGGTGTTGGCGCAGGTGGAGCAGACGTGCTGGACGTGTCTTCGAGGAGGCGGAGAGATGAAGATCTCGATCAGGATCTCGAGGATGATGCGCTTCTATTTGACTCTGCGAAGGTGGATGGTATGTCCGGCAAAGGCAGAGGTGGGGCGGGTGCTGGAGCGGCAGGAGGAGGAGATCTTTCCTCTGGGTCGAAGGTGTTCACTATCGAGGCTGACGAAGACTGAAGCTTGTAGGTCGGATAGCAAGCATCGCAATCAAGTACTGTATATACTCGAGGTCGTTCAGGTAACCCCAAAAGAAGTCAACTCTTCACGTTATTGATGGAGGCGCAGATGAGATAGGTCAATGAGTGTCTGTAATGAATGATCTGCAGACAGCAGAGAGGATCAAGCTGTGGATGATACAAAAGTTGCACTTCCGTCCAGGCCGAACAGCTGCTCGACCCTCAGAACCCTACACCGAGCGGATCGAATTCCTTCGATGTCTCTTGCTGCTGCCGCTGCTGTTGACCCTGCTGGACTGCAGTCTGCTCCACGCCTCTGCCCTCAGCTCCGCTAGATCCTCCACTCCCTGGACGACTGCGATCTCTGACTGTGCTGCTGTTGTGACTGACATCAAGGGACTCCATCCTGCTCTCAAGCCCATTCGGCAAGGCCTTAGCAGCTGCCAATGGCCTCTCCTTTCCGCTGGTCTCGCGCATGGCGGCAGAGGAGGCCTCATCGTCTCTCCAAGGATTGGGGTTCGCAGACGGGCGAGCGTACGCTTGCGTCTGCGGCTGGTGCTGGTGAGGTCGAATGGAAGAGTTCTGATCCCTACCGGCAGACGAAGGGCGAGCATAGGCATCTTCGCTGTAGGACGGGCGAGTTGCAGGTGACGACCCTCGACTGCCTCGAGGGTCAAGCGAATTACTTCCACTTGCTGCCCACGGATTGCTGCTGCCCAGAGAGTCTCGCGCTTGAGGTTGCAGGAAGGACGAGGAAGAGGACGCCATACTGTTCTCCTCAGTGGATCCAGCAGACACGGCCTCTTGGAGGCGGTCCCAACCGCCAATCGCCCACGATTTGAATCTTGCAGCCGCGTCGATTGGCTGCTGCGTGCTAGGGGAAGCACTGCTGCTCCCTGCAGGCAAAGTCGCCGCGCTACGGTTGCCTTGGCTTGGAGAGGCTCTGGGCTTGTATGCGAGCTTCGAGGGATCGATTCCACCGTTGCCGGCCTGCAGCTGCGAGGCGGTCATCAGGTCCACAGCACCTTTACCACCACTGCTGTTAGTGATAGCTGAGCTAGCGTCAGAGCTCATCTGCGACTGCAACAGCGCTTCTCTCCTCTGTTCTTCGAGGAGCTTCCTCTCTTCAGCGTCCTTCCTTTCCCTTTCCCTCAGCCTCTCCTCTTCCCATCGAGCCTTCTCAGCCTTACGCCGCTTTCTTTCTGACTCCTCAAAGTCTAATGCGGCATTTGCCTCTTCAATTCGCTCGCCAAAGACGCCCGACCACCACCGGACGTCATTGCTCTTGATTAGAAGTACTCCCATGTCCGTATCGGCTCTCTTGGGATCATCCAGCGATGGGTCGTACTGGGTGTTGAGGAAGCGCGTCCGATTGGTCTCGCTGAGCATGTATTCCCACACTGAGTGGGTACGTCCCATGACGCTCTTCCCGCCTACTTCGGTAGGCAACTTCCTCTCTCTCTCGCAATTGGCAAGGAAAGTGCCAAAGCGGCACTCGTAAAGCTCCCGATGGAGGGCAGAGAGCCACTCGTCGTTGAACTCGAAGCGATTCGGAAATTGCCGCCTGATCTGCCAGACGCAGTCTAGGTACTGGGTAAAGACGGGCGACGTCTCCTTGATGTTGCCATGACCCTCTCCACCGCCTCCGCCAAAGTTTGACGTAAGCTGCTTCGTGAAGCCCCAGAAGGCATTGGCTGCTGCTGAGGCTCCGCCCACTGCCTGAGGAGCATTGATGACGCCTTCCGGATCATCGCCGTCCTCTTCTTCCGAAGAATCAGCGTGTCCTGCAGCAGTAACAAAGTGTTTGACAAAGCCTCCGTGTCCGCATCGATCGGCGAAGCGATGTCCAAAGGATAGCCAGTCCTTCTCCACCAAGACAGCGAAACCCTTCATCGTCCGATAGTAGGGATCTAGGCACACCTCTGCGAGAGCTGCGAGCTGTGATGTTCGATCCCACCCATCAGAGCAGTGTAGCATGGCATGTGAAGAAGCGATGTGGACGTTGCGGGTTATGAGAGCGGCCCCTTCCAAAAGAGTTGCAAGATGCCGAAGCCAGTTCGACCTCTTGAGTGCAGCAATATCAAGCGGCTGCTTTGCAGGCGCTATTCTCCTGGGCTTTGCCCAGCTGACATCGCCGTCGGTGCCTTCGTTATGGCCGTAGCTCTCTGCCTCGACTCCCACATCCAGCCCAAACGTCGTCGGCTCATCAGCAGCCCGCAGTGCGTCCACGATGCGGTTGATGGAATCTCTCATGACGTGAATGTTCTCGATACCCATGTAGGCCTTTCGACAGCCCTTGTAGTGATCCATGTTTTCCGTTCCGCCTCCACGAGCGTACGTTGCAACAGCATTGGTGGTAGGCCTGGCATCAACGATGAGGTTTGTAGTAGTAGCTCCATAGACTGCTCCAATGCTCCCCGACGGAGAGCCAGTCTGGGTATCAGCAAAGGAGTGAGAGGAGAAGATCGCTTCTACTACCTTCTCATCCTGGACGCTTCTGGCCTGCTTCAGGCCAGGGAGAGGCTGGGCACAGCGTGTGATGGAGCCTCTATTGGCCCAGTGGAGGTAGGTCAGGGCGGGTATCCGCCCTTTTGAGCGATACTTTGCGGCGTATTGCAGGGTCGCATCGCTTATCCTAGCAGGCACAGCAAAGAGTGCCGGATATGTAGGGGAGAGCTGATGGGTTGCGACACCAGTGGTCAGAGACACACCTCTGTGCACAACAACCGAGAAAATTTCATCTGCTCATGCTCACCTCGTATTTCGCGTTGATGTCTGAGAATCTCCACGCCTTTGATCTACTCCCTACCCCTTGCCTAGTGAACTCTGCTTTGAAGTCATATATAGACCAAGCATCCGGGTACTCCGAGGGAGGTTGCGGGGTATAGTAGAATGCGTAAACTTCCTCGGGCTTGGCTGCCAAGGTCAGAACGAGAAGATTGTAAATTGTAGGCCAGGCGACATGGATGATGGCTCTTTGTGCACTCACGAATGACTGCTACTGCTTTCAGACTTTCAAAGACATCAGTGGCCTTGGCCTCGCTGTCGAAGCCTAGAGAGGCGGCATCGAATGTCCTGAAGCGCAGCTGAAGAGGGTAGATACGGCCGCTCCGAGAAGAGGAAGAGAGAGACGCTGAGCCCTGGGGAGAATGCGGTCTCCGTTGTGCGAGAGGAAGAAGGGATGCTTGCCGAGTGACCAGGGAGAGTAATGCATATGGGATCTGGGCAGTCAGGAGCAGGACCTCGGCATGTCAGTAGCTTTCCGGACTGGCATCGTCTGCCTAAGCGCTCAGCATCGCGACGTGACTCACCCAATGCTCCTCGGACGCATCGCTGGGTCTGAAGATGAGGTGATGCTGAGTCAAGTGCAAGCTGCCCTTTTGAACGTCTGCTCCTCGTTGTAGGAAGACATCCTCGACCTTGGCCACAAGTCACCGTTGATCAGGGGGTCAGCACAGGCGCGTCTTGTTTGGCAGCGGACTCCCCGCTGGGCTCACCTTGGACACCCTGAGCTTGTCCATGCCGTAGATGATGGGACTAAATGCGAGCTACGAAGTCTTCTGTCATTGGGTAGCCGTTAAGGATCTCACGGCTTCGAGGCGAGTGTGTTGGAGTACAAGGAGCAATGGCCAGGCAAGTGTGGTCCGCCTGGCCTCCGATCCGCTTCCCGATCAAAAGTGGAGCTGAGCGCCACGGAGAGCAACACTTCCGCACTCCTTCCTACCACTCGTCCCTTGAGCCGTGCCGCAGAGAGCTCACCTCCGCCCTCAATATTCTTGATGGTCCTTGCCTCGGTGGCACTCAGACGAGCTGCTCCGCTTCTGCGGCCATGTCTCCCGCTGAGGTCCCCAGCAGCCGCTGTGAGCAATCTGAGCCGGCAGATTGGGACAAGGCCGCGGTCCTCCCTGCATCTCCCTTCCGCTAGCACTACATGTCGCAACACAGTAGGCTCATATGGTACTTCGTCCATTCTACGAGCCTCCAAAGCCCCTTTCTCTGCCCGATGGAACTCGTCGAACGGCAAGGATCCGTCCACCTCGGTCACCTCTCCCTCCTCGCAGCTGCCCGCCAAGAAGCCTTTTAGCATCAGGCCATACATGGCCCTCAGCAGGATAGACAAGCCGATAGGTTCCTGGCTGCTCTATTGGCCCTGCGGTGAGCACTCCAACAATGTTCGAATATGTAGTGCGACTCCGACTGAAGCTGTTCTGCACATCCTTCACCTCCACAGCGTGGTCCCTCACCCTAGCAGCCCACACACTCGCCGTGCCGCTCCCTTCGCTCCTCTTCAATCTAACCATCTTCGCAGCAGGTGCCTTTGTCATGCGCGGCGCAGGCTGTACCATCAATGACATGTGGGACTCCAAGATGGACAGGATGGTCTCCCGTACCGCCTCTCGCCCGCTAGCAGCTAGGGACATTACCTATCTGCAAGCCTGGACCTTTCTCGGGCTGCAGCTCTCCGTCGGATTGGGAGTCTTGCTGCAACTGAACTACTATAGTATTCTCCTCGGGGCATCTTCCCTCGGAGTGGTGATCATCTACCCACTGATGAAGCGGATCACATACTGGCCTCAATTTGTCTTGGGTCTAGCATTCAATTGGGGGGCTCTACTTGGCTGGGCAGCTCTCTCCGCTCCTCCCGCCTGGTCTACCGTCCTGCCACTCTATGCCGGATCCATCTGTTGGACACTCGTCTACGATACCATCTATGCCCACCAAGACAAACGCGACGACGTTTCGGCCGGCGTCAAGAGCACCGCCCTACTCTTTGGCGACTATTCCCGACCGGTGCTGACCACCTTCTCAGTGGGCTTCCTTGCCCTGCTTGCCAAGTCTGTTGCTACTACTGGCCCTCTCCTCCCATCTTCGCTCGCGCTGCTCACTACTGGACACCCATTCTTCCTTGCAGCGCTGGCCACTGCAGGAGCTCATTTGGCTTGGCAGATCAAGACGGTCGACTTCGAGAGGAGACCAGATTGCTGGACCAAATTCGTCAGTAATCAGTATCTGGGGCTGATCATTTGGATCGGACTCTTCCTGGACTATCTTGTTCAGGTCTGGTGGAGTGAAAGCGAGGAGCAGGAAATTGAAGAGGGAGGGGAAGCGACGATCGCACGGGCATGAAAAGATAAAGATTGCTCTCGCAGCTTGATACCAACATGTTCCGATGCAAATACCATAAAGTTGCATAGAGATGTGCAGAAACAGAGACGAGATATATACAACGTAAGAGACGAGTCCGATAGCAGTGTTCATGAGCAAAGAGATTAAGCAGGGGTATTGCACGCCTTCCACTTCAGTCTATAGACTACGGAGGCAGCGGTCCCTTTTGAATTGAAGTCCTTCGAGGACCTAGTGCAGCCCCTCCGTCGACCGGCGCAGGAGCAGGAGGGTACTGAGCATGCGTCTGTCCCGGCGGCGGCAGCGAGTCGTACGTCGGAAGACCATACCCAGCATTATCCTGGTCGCCGGTGGCAGACCAGACCTCTTCAGAATACCCGCGTTGAGGCTCTTCCGGGAGTGGCTCGGGCTCGTCGTACAGGTGCGCTTGCGGGTAAGAGGGGTGTGGGTCTGGTACCCATTGCGTTTGCGTGTGAGGATACTGCTGCTGGTGCTGCTGCTGCTGTCGAGGCTGATAATCGTGCCGTCGCTGTTGCTGTTGTCGAGTCCGACGAGACTGACGATGACCAGCATCGTACTCAGTGTCAGCATTGAAAGCATCTCCCTCCCCCCAGTCATCCTCCTCATCGTCTTCCTCCTCTAATCTCTGCCTTCGAGATGGAATTGGCGCATGGGGGTTCGACGCTGGACCAGATGGAGCAAGGGCACCTCCACGAGTAGAAGAGGAGAATTGCCGGCTGTGCTGCTTTTGTTGAGCTGGAAGGGCTCCTCCTGAGGGGCGATGTGAGCTGACGGGCACCTGATGAGGCGGACCGGGCGTGAATGGAGCGGGGTGCCGCACAGGCAACTCGGTACGGATCCCTTCGCGTTGAGTGAGGCGAGCGCGGCTCCGCGACCGACGAACGCTGCGAGAATGTGGCCGCATTTGGCAGAAAAGCTTTTACATCAGACGACTCGGCCAGCGTCTGCGACGACGATTGTCCAAGCAGTCTCAGGATACTCACGCTGACCACACCACTGCAACAATGACGAGAAACAGCACGCCGACCCCGGCAACGACGCCTACGAAGACCCAGAAGGACCCTGCAATTTCGGGTGCTCGACGCGAAAGACTCATGACTGGCCAAAATCGATGCTGAGAGACGAGAGAGAGAGACGGAACAAGGACTAGATAGCGAGGTGATGCAGGTGAGGAAACGAGCTATACACGTTCATGTTAATGGAGGGAGGCATGGCTGTGCATGATCAAAAGTCCGCCCTGCAATCTAATCTCCGAAAGCCGACGAAGTGCAGCTGCAGCACGGCGGACTGCACAGCACCATTGGCCAATCGGTCAGACCAACTAAAGAAGAAGGTGTAGTATTCCCGTTGCCTCACGCTCCTAGGCATTCAAAGATACATGAAGAGAAGGAGGTTGAAAGGGGCAGTGAGAGTGGCAGAGAATTCAGGAAGGACATCGTCGCGGGACTCTAGAGCAATCGGCACAGCGAATAGGACCGTTGGTCGCGGGACGATGTCTTGCCTCGACGAGTCCTGCTTTCTTCTCTCCATTGTGTCTCCGCAAACACATGGGAATCAGAAGAGTAGCATTCCGATAGTTCGAGGAATTCACTCTGGCTGCTTGAGAGCTGATGCTACCGCCAAAGGAGACGCAGGTCTGTCCTCGTAAGCTCAGGCTTCGCTGTGCACACGATAAGCACCTCGGCACCTCGAAAGATCGCAAGTGAGTCTCCTGGCTTGTCTAGGCTCCTTGTGTCTGCATAGGCTTCAGAGAAATCTTGATGCTCGAGCCGTAGGACTTACGATCTGGAGCGAGGATCAGTAGGCATTGTTGTGCGCCGTTTGAGATACCTGCGACGCATCAAAGCACAGAGGTCTGCTGGCTCTTCTAAATTGAAGAGGTTGGAAGATGTAGATCAAAACGTAGTGAATGAGCTCTGACTAATCGCAGCCGAGTACGTGCTCGCACCGTCATCATCATCGTCATTGGTGGATGGTTGAGTCTTGTAGCCATCGAGGCTTGCAAGGTCCGAATTTCCACCCGAAGAAGAGGCCATCGAGAGTCTTCTGTTCATGCGATCGTGCTGGTTATACGACACCATTGAAGAGCCCGAAATGGACTCCGTGTCACCCACAGCTTGAGAGATGACACTGCTAGCGTAGCCAGGACCGCTCTTCAGATCGCCGTGACCGTTGAGCCGAGGCTTGCTCGAGAGGGAGGCAAGACCCGAACTGAAGGGAGGCAGATGAGCAGAGGGATACGGAGCTTGCGAGTCCAGGCTGGCAACGCTTTGAGCATCGGACGGAATGTACGACATCGGGTCGTGGGTTCGCAGACCACCTACGCCACCGTTGGCGCGAGCAGCCTCCACGTCGCTGTACTTGTGACGAGCGGTGAGGTCTCCTGGAGTCTGCAGTGGTCGTCTTGGGTTGCTGAACTGGATCATCGATGGCTGCAGGTTCGAGAGAACACCCTCAACAAGGACGTTCTTCTCCTTGTAGTGAGTAAGAAGACGATGCCAGAGCGGGTGCTTGGACAGAACTTTCGGATTGCCCAGCAGCACGAGACCGTACTTGGCTCGAGTCAGAGCGACGTTGAGTCGTCGAGGATCGCTGAGGAAACCAATGCCCTGATGGTCATTGCTTCTGACACACGACAGGATGATATAGTCCTTCTCTCGTCCTTGGAAAGCATCAACACTAGCGACTTCGACCTCCTTGTAGAACTCCTTGCGTAGCTTTCCATGAGTCTGCATGTGATTGACAATGTAGCTCCTTTGACCCTCATACGGCGTAATGACACCGATCTGACCCGGGGTGACGCCGGCCTTGAAGAAGGCCGTGACGATCTTCTCGACGTTCGAAGCCTCAGTACGGTTGAGGAAAGACGTGCCCGATGAAGAGATCTCTTCCTGTCCCAAATTTTGGAAGAAGAACATTGGCATCGTCGGATTTGGCCAAGGGAAGTCGACATTCTTCCTAAGACGCTCAGGCGCCGTTACACCATTCTGTAGCGAGCCTTCGTAGAACATTGTGCTGGGGAAATCGGAAAGGCAAGGATGCATTCGATACTGGATCTGCAGCCGGATAGGACGGTTGCCCAGAACGATGAGACGCTCGAACAGCGACTGGCCCAGGCCGGCCCTAGCGGCCTTCTTGTTCATGATGACAGGACCCAGTTGCAGGTGATCACCAACAAAGACTACCTGCTTGCATCCGAGGATCAAGGGAATCATGCACTCGGGCTCAGCAGCTTGCGTAGCTTCGTCGATGAGGACTGTCCTGAACTTGAGCTTTGACAGACGAGGGTCTCCGCAACCAACGCAGGTACAGCAGATAACATCAGCAGTGTTGAGAATCTCGCGCTCGCCCGCGCGAGTCAGAGCCTTGTACTTTCTCTCATCGCTCGAGCTCAATTCGCCTTGCTCGTTCTTCAGCTGGATGAGCTTCTGCAACTCGGTATTGGTGTCGTTGTTTGCGACTTGCTCGTGTAGGGTCAGGAAGCTGACGGAGCTGTCTAGCGCCTCACGGCTTTTGGCCGTCAGACGTACGACCTTCAAACCAGTAGCATGAATCTTCTCTGTGAGCTGGTCTACAGCAACATTAGAGGGCGCACAGACTAAGACGGGGCCAGGATTCATCTTGCTAAGCTGGTAGACAATGGTAGCCGAGGTCACAGTCTTGCCTGTTCCCGGAGGGCCCTGGATCAAGCTCAGCGGCCGTTGTAGGACACTCTTGACTGCGTGAACCTGACTGTGGTTGAGCTCAGGTAGGCCTGGGGCTGAGAAGCGTTTGGGCATCGACGTACGGAGGACATTGGGCTCGACTTCGTGACCCAAGAGCCTGTGGTAAATGTAGCCACTGACGCTCTGCTCATCAACGGCAAATGTCTTCAGAGCCGATTGCATCCTATCGAAGGATGTTGCCTTCCAGACAAAGTCGGCCGAGAAGTTGTGCGTACAGTGCTCAGGGACGCCTTCGTTACGTCGCAGCTCGATCGCCACTTCATCAGAGACGTTGTTGGGAATCTTGAGGACGTGGCCCAGTCCTTCCCACTTGGCTGCCAACTCTCCCTCATAACGCAGCTTGAGCTCATCACCCACTGCCAGACGAATCTCTCCACTCTCCAGACCGGGGAGAGTACACCAAGCAATCTTCTTCATGTTCAGACCCTGGTCCCACCTGACTACCAAGCCTTGCTGCGTCTGACTCTCCTTCATCTTTCGATCGTAATCAGCTTCGATCTTGACAAGAGGACCAAAGATATTCTGGTACTGATAGGCATCTTCGTAGCGGAGGATGATGCCTGCGGGCTCCTCATCATTGCCCGGACGATCCAGGTCTTCGACAGTAGCCTTGGTATCTCCCTCCTTCCAGACCTCCTCCAGTCGATTGATCTGATGGAAGGTGATCTGCCTAGCTCTGAGCTGCTCGGCTTCGCTCGGGACCTTGACTAGCCAAGAGAGAAAGGATCGATCGGCGATGAGCGGGGCCCAGAGAGAGGTATCCCACATCATGTCCTTTGATGTTGGCAGAGCTGCGCAAGGCTGCCTACATAGCAAGACTACCACACTCTCGCCCTTGGCCGGGATGAAGCCGAGCAAGAAGACATTCTTTCCTCCACAGTTGTAGCATTCAGGGGCCGTGTCCCCGAGTGGCGACTCAGCGTGGAGGGTGACTTCCTTGTGGCGAGATCGTACCAGATGGAGGACAATGTGGGAAGACGAAAGGAGAGAGCGAGAGTTGCAGAACCTGAGAACGGTAGGCGAGAGCAGAATTGTAAGGTCGCATCGAACACAGCGTCTCAAACCCGAACTACTCACCACTTGTTGCAGATGAGACATTTCACCACACAGCTGGTATTGTGAATGCCACAGTAAGCGCAAGCGTGCTCTGGCAACTCCTCCTCCTCTCCTTCCCCTTCTCCATCATCGTCATCATCTGCTTTCACCAGAGCTCCATTCTCTCCATTGAGGTCTACAATGACATCTTCCCTCGTGTCGTCGAAGGCTTTGTTGCGTGTGTTGCGGAGCTTGGGGCCTCTGCTACTGTGACTTGTGGCAGAGGACTGTGATCCTAGGGTCAATTGATTCAGGTTGGAAATGTCCAGGTCGAGGTCTAGGTCGATGGGCCGCTGTTGACCATTGGCAGCACGACCACGGCTCTGCTGTTGAAGATCGGATTCTGAAGGATCACCTACAGTGCTGGCGCCGTCTTCATCGTCAAAAGCCGAGTATTCGGACAAGGCGCTGCTGCTTGCGCCCGAGGAAGAAGCAGCGGTTCCTGGTCGCCCGTAGGACGATGCCCCCTCGAGATGAGCAAAGGGGTCCAGATCCCTCTCCGCCATGATGATGGTGATGAAGGAGGGGATGGAGCTGCTGCTGCTTCTGCTCGTTCAGGAGATCGTACAGAAGGGCATAAAGGGGCGAAGCTGACTTCAACCCAAGTTCATGGCTCAGGCGGAAGAGCAATCCGTATCCGTTCTGCGCGGGACTTGAAACACACAGACCCGTTCCTACTCCTCCTCGCCGTCTCGCCTACCACACCAACTATCCTTCTCACATTCAGAGGTCAACGTCAAGCATCTTCTTGTCTCCGTCTGAGGTACAAACTTCTTCAGCCCCGAGTGGCATCATCCGCAGCCCGCTCATAGTGTCTGCGATGCCCAGCATGAAGAAGAAGATCCTCCTCATGGGCCGCTCAGGATGTGGAAAGACGTCAATGCGAGCCCTGGTCTTCTCCTCTGCCCTATACTCCAACCCTGCCTCAACCCAGAGGCTGGGGCCTACGACAGGAATGGAGCTCAGTACATTTCGCTTTCTCAAAAACCTCCTCATCAACCTCTTCGATTGCGGAGGACAACAGACATACATGGACTCGTACGTGGAGGATAAGAGGGAACAAGTCTTCAAGGATGTTGGCGCCTTCGTCTACGTATTTGACATGGGCAGCGCTAACAACGAAGAAGGCGAAGATGGCTGGCAGGGGGATCTCAGATATTGGAGGTGAGCAAAGCTCCATATACGGTGAAGACGGCAGCATTCTTGCATTCATTGCTTATCCCTCTGCTCTTCTCGCGATCCAGGGACTGCCTCAAGATCCTTCGTCAACTCTCACCAAATGCTCATGTCGTCTGCCTTCTGCACAAGATGGACCTATTAAACTCGGCCAGGCGACAGGATATCTACACTGACCGAGTCAAGGACCTTCGCGGCAAGGCCAAGGAGCTGGGAGCCACTGAGCTCAGCTGCTATGGTACCAGTATCTGGGATGAGACTCTCTATCGAGCCTGGTCACGGATCATTCATGAGCTCATTCCCAATATTGCGACCCTAGAGAGCAACTTGACAGAGTTCACAAAGATAACGGCAGCTACAGAGGCCGTCATCTTTGAGAAGACGACATTTCTCGTCATTGCCAGAAGCGGGGGAGATACAGTCGCAAAGTCGGTGGGCGGCGCAGCAGACAAAGCCAAGGCGTCGACTGGCGCAGGATCTTCGCCATCCTCCAAGCGAGCTGCGACCACCAATAGACTCTCTACCGTCTCGTCCCACGGCACTCTTGCCGATGACAAGGAGAGGGACTCGCTGCTCGAAGGGTATCCTCCTACCGAAGCCGAGAGAAAGGCGCTGCTGGCCCGGGGAGAGATGCACCCGGAGCGCTTTGAGAAGATCTCTGAGCTGGTGAAGAATTTGCGTGGCAGCTGTAACAAGCTCCAGGCAAGCTTTGAATCCTTTGAAGTTCGGGGGGCGACGTTTTCTGCCTATCTTGATGTCTTTACCGAGAATACGTATATCATGGTCATCGTAGCGGATCCGAGAGTTGGTGAGTCCATGGCGGGAGAGGCACAGGAGTTGCGTTGCCGACCGCTGACCATTGCTCAACTCTGATCCCTGCTACACCACAGAGCTCTCTGCGATCAAGCTCAATGTCCAATTGGGAAGGGAACGTTTTGAGAAGCTAGGCTAAGAGATGAGAGGCAAGACTGTTTGTCACCCTTTACCTTCTCCTCGAGGAGTCTTCATCTGCCTTGTACAATACTGCTGTGTCTTGCTCTGCTTCACCATTGTAATTATACCCAAACTACTCAACCTGTTGTCATCGGCCTGTATTTCCCCGCGTGGGGTGTGTGGAGAGGCGAAGCGAGATGTGGTCGGGCCGCCATTCCGTTTGATGCTCCACGTCGGCTGCCCCTCACTGATGATCAATACCCACGCCTGCCACTTCGATACCCAATACACATCTCTTCTATTTCCTCACACCTCTGGAAGTCACCAGTCGCACTTCACGCAGTCGCTATCCTTCACCCGCAAGGAGGTCTCTCTCTCGTGCGGGTGTCACGCTCCCTGCATCATCACCACCAATTCTCCTTACCTGACAAGGCAAGCCACACACGCACAAGGCTAACCTTCTTCAAGTCCCTGGCAATGGCGACGACGACGAGCCAGTAAGTGTCGGAAAATCCTCCCTGACTCCTTGATTCAGAATCAGAGTAGACTTGCACTTACACCTCGCCGTCTATGCCTCCCTTGGTCTGTAGCAACAAGAAGTCGTCTGCCGTAAAAAGGATCCTTTCTGAGGCTAGAGAGCTCGAGGCGGATGGCAGTGATGAGTACGAGGCTAGACCTCTCGAGGTGAGTTGCAGCAAGGCAAAGGCAGGCAGCCAAACCAGGCTCATCTTGCTGACTCATGCTCTCTACGTCCTCGCTTTGGCAGTCGAACATCTTTGAATGGCACTTCACGCTTCGAGGGCCTAGCGGAACTGAGTTCGAGGAGGGGCTGTATCATGGCAGAGTCTTGTTGCCCGTGGAGTATCCCTTCCGGCCTCCCGATTTGATGCTCCTCACCCCCAATGGCAGGTGGGAATGTAACAAAAAGGTGAGCTGCTGATGCAGTATAGCTGGCATGATATCGTGAGAGCCAAGTCTGATCTCCCCTTCCCGCCCATTTCTCTCCTTCAGATTTGTCTCACCTTCACTGGGTACCACGAGTCGATGTGGCAGCCAGCATGGGGCATCCGCACAGCTCTGCTAGGAGTACAAGGCTTCATGAGTGCCCGAGCAGAGGCCGCTACAGGCGTCGCCTCGGTAGACTACCCCATTGAGGAGCGGATCCGTCTGGCAAAGAAATCTCGCGGGTGGACCTGCTCCGACTGTGGCAAGTCCAATGTGGAGCTTCTGCCCGATGGAGATCCGGACAAGAGCAGGAAGAAGGAGGAGCTACCGGAAGGCCTAGTGGTAGATGCTGCTGGAGGGAAGGGAGGGGAGCATGCTGAAGGCGGGACGGAGGCGGCTGGTAGTGGGCTAGCTGCTCAGGCTTCGCAGAGTCAAGCAATGGCAGCTTCTCCGAGCGAACAGGGCCAGGGCGTTGCATCGGCTTCGGCTATGCTAGCCAGCGTATCCTCAGAGCTACCACAGGCTATTAGCAGCTCGAGTCTCGCTGCCACGGCTCTCCCAGATGACGGCGGCAGTAGCGCTAGTCTCCTCCCAGCGGATCAAAGCATGCAAAGGGAGGCCTCATCTACCTCGCGACACTCCATGCCAAGCGCATCTTCTGGATCCTCTACGCTCTCTGGTGACCAGCCAAAGTCCACGCCTGCGTACCGAGGCCAAGTCACGAATCAATCTCCAGCGCCGACGCCTCCTCAGCCTCGAGCCCACAGCTCCTCCCTCTCACCACTACAGCGAGCTCCTCCTCCTCCTCCTTCTTCCCAAAGTCAACACTCTCCTCGACTACAAGCACCTCAACCGCCTCCTCTCTCCATCCCACCCCCAACTCCCGCAACTCTCCGGCCCGTTCCACCAGGCGGACCCGACACCTCTCCAGACGGGCAGCCCTTACCTCCTCTCCCACTCATCAGACGCGGGGTACCCGCTGAGGACCTTCCCGCTCCCAGGAGACCTACACGCTCTGAAGCGAGGGTGGCGCAACTCGATCGTGCCATCTTGACAGTGGTACTGCTGCTGTGTGGACTTGTGGTCAGAAGGTTGATTTGAGGATATGAAGGAATTGGAAGAGCGATAGCGGTAGTAGAGGCTAGCCGCTCTGGATAGGCAGGAAGGCAGGCAGGCAGGCAGGCAGGCAGGCAGGCAGGCGGGCGAAATGAGATGGGTCAAAGTCCCACAAGGCGCGCCCCCCAAGTCCAATCTCGACGATCGTGCTCCTCTCGATGTCCTCCTTCCTTTGGTCGGCTACTTCCATTAGATCATGCCTGTGATCCTCGTCTTGTTGTCCAACTTGTTTCACACGCTTCCAGTCCCGAGGCCGCCATTGGTCAGTCCGTCGATCAGTCGATCAGTCAGTCAGTCATCCATCTAGTCTTGATTAATACCATATTCTCATCTTCGCATCGCATCTAGAGTGAAGGCGAAACGTAGTCACACGCAAAGTAGCTCACACATCCCAGTGAAGGGCACGAAACCCAAAAAGTCCAGACGAGAAACGGGCAACAATGCACAGACTTGCTTTTTGTATTTTCGGTCGTAATGAACGGAACAAAACGTAAGACGATCATGAGAGGGAGAGAGAGAACGGTGGGACTGAGGAGGGCATTGGCGGGCTAAAGATAGCCAGCGTTGTGTTCGGATGGGAGCGACGGGAATGTTGAGATGGTGGTCCCAGGTTGGGAGTTTTGCTTGTCTACGAAGATGGAGATGTCTGCTTGCCGTAAAGAATTCTAATGGTACTGGCGTGAGGACAGAGATGAACGATGGTGAACGTGTTGACGAAATGGGAATGTTGTGGTGTTGATGATCGAACGAAGCGATGATGACCTACGGAGGGACAGCATACCGACATGCGATGGGTGAGAGGGAGCACAGATGACGACGAAAGTGGTCGCGGCGACCTCATGACTTGCCGAAGATGCAAGACGATCAAAAGTGCCAGCCGATGTACGAAGTTCCACCAAGATCGGATCGATGGAAGGGGGGTATCCTAGAAAGAACGTGGTGCTTGTTATCGTAGAGTAGTAAAGCTGTGTCTCGAGATGTTGATGGATAGTAAGCGACGGAGGCTCTAAGCACCTCTTGGGGCGCACAATTCAAGCGGCATGGTCTTCCCGACCCCCAGACCCAAGTGAGAGGCTCGACAGGCCCAGCCCGCTAGTTGCATTGCTCATGTTGTCTGCAGAAAGAGGCTGGATCTCCTTCCTCGGTGGGCTAGAGCCGATGGGCCCGAAAGACGGGACACCGGTGCCCTGCTCGCCGTGAGCCCTTCGGGCAGTGCCGTTAGCCTCATTGAAGATGGGGTCCCACAGTCCATCGGCAGAGACACTGTTGATGGCGGCTACGGCTCCCTCCTTGTTGCACGACAGCTTCTTGGCATCGATGTCGGGAGACTCGGATGGCGTAGTCAATTTCATCGAGGCTTGAGTGACGCCACTGTCATCACGGCTGTCTTCTGGGCTGCTGGCAGGAGTCAGGTCGAAGCCAACGTAGACGGGTTGAGCCAAGTGAGGGTTGTGCTGACTGTCACTGAAGCTCCGATTGAGGGGAAGAAACTCCTTGGCGTATGGGGAAGGCGTAGCATCAGGCCGGGTCCAGTAGTCAGATACACTCTTGCTTGCGCAGAGGGGAGCAGACGCAGCACCACCAGTGTAGCTCGTTGGAGTCATCAGTCGCTCTGGGAGGCCGCCCACAGAGCTGAGACTGAGGAGTGGAGGCATCTGTGGAGAAGTGGACGGCATTCGCGTGTAATGAAGACTGAAAGCGAGCAGCAGTCCGGGACAGGCCATTGTGTGAGCGACAATCACAGCTGTGTCCCATCGATGGTCGACGTGCAGACTTACTTCTTGCAAGAGAGCTGGACACCATTCTGAATCTTGCCATCGAGAGCAGTCTGGGCACTAGCTGCTTCAGCAGACGAAGAAAAAGAAGCGACTCCGTAACCGAGCGACATGCCGTTGACGTCGCGAGACAGTGAGCAAGCAACGACCTTGCCAAAAGGTCGCAAGCTGTTGGCGAAGTCTTCATCGTCCAGAATAGCTACGGGAGGAAGCGGGTAGCAAGTGAGGAAACGCGTGAGTGTCACGACAAGGCCAAGTCAAAGGTAGTGTGCGGTAGCACAGTGTTTTCTGCTCACCAACGGGGTCGAGGCCGGTGACGAAGATAGCTGTGCAAGATAGAGCGGAAACAGCGTCAGGAAGAGTAGCTGTTGAGTAGCTGTTGAGAGGTAGCGACGACAGCAACTCACTGTGAGGATCAATGCAGACACTAGTCTCCGGACCGTTGGCTGCGTGAAGTCGATTGCCAGAGCTGGCCATGCCATCGGTGATGATCGGGTTGAAAGACCTCTCGGAGCTTCCACTGCTGGGAGAAGGAGACGCAGAAGGCTGAACGGGTTGTCGACGAGGTCCACAGTTCCAGCGAGAGCGAGGTACCGTTCTTCGTACGATGTTGGGACCACTGAGAGGACCACCAGATCGCTGCACGATAGCATAGGAGACTTCGATGGGGTATCCGTGCCATACGAAGCCGTTGAGAGACTCGATGGCTTCCTTTGCCTCTTGTGGGGATGACATGTCGATGAACCCTCGTCGGCGAGCCTGAGCATCGAGCATGGCGAGTATGACGCAGTGTACTACGGTGCCGTGAGCACTGAAGAGAGCGGCAAGCTGATCGCTGGTAGCGTCAAGCGGCAAGTTGAGTATGTAGAGATTCTTGTGAGGTGGCGATTGAGCTTGCTCCAAGATGCGATGATTAGGAAGCGAGAGCGATCCATTCCTACGAGATGGGGTAGTCCCGGGGGGCAGGCTGCCATCACCGACGAGGGTGGGGCTGTACGCTGTGTGCATGCTGTCCTTACGTCCGAAGATGGAGAGGTTTTGGAGGGTAGTGTTCCTGCCAGGGCTGACACGACTGTAGAGATGAATGATCGAGGAGGTCCGCAAGGGGATGAAAGAGCAGTCAAGTCAGCTCGAAGGCACTTCCACGACGGCACTGGGCAGTATTCGTAATTGTGGTTTGGGACTCACAGAGTAATGCCAAGGGCAACATAGCCGTCCATGGTGAGAGCAGCACGAGCATGGTCAGGTGAGGCGAACTGCAAATAGGCCACACCGGGCCCAGTGAGAGGGTTGAGCTCTACGCTCTGCACAGTGCCTGTTGAAAGGGCGGGTTGAGCAGAAAGGTGGTTGGCAGTATCAGTACGGGGAGCGATACGTTTGAAAATAGATCTCGGTAAGCTATGGAGGGTCTCACAGATGCGAGCAAAGACCATGCGGAGCCATGCCTCATTAGCTGGGAAGGAAGCAGGTGGGGGAGGGGATTGGTGGGAAGGTCAGGCATTCTCAATGGCAACACCTCTGGCGTCCAAGGGACAATCTACTCACCCTCTCGAGGTAGATTGGTAATGGTGACCCATCGAGCCAGATCGTGAGGAGTGAGCATGTGAGATGGCTGCAAAGCAGGCTGCACTGGGGCGCCAGGACCAAGGTGACTGGGTGGCAAGGACATTGGGGATGGAAGTGGGAGTGAGGTCCCTCCTGCTGGTCGGATCATGGTGGGCTGTTGACTCTTGTGATGAAGTGAAGTCGATTGTCTGGGCTCCAAGGATGGCAGGGCGAATGAGGATTGATGTCTGACGATGTCTGAAGGAGTGGGCTAGTGAGGGCGTGGACAAGGCAAGTCGCGTTATGAGCAGTACGATGGGACAAGGTGAGGTGGGAGAGAGTGGGAGTGGTAGGGATGAGAGGGAAGGAGGATCAGGGCGACACTGGGCCAGGGCAGAGTGTACTTATACGGCTCTCTCGACGAGTGTGTGAGTGTGTGTGTGGATGGGCAAGTGTGGTGAAAGCCTGGCTGGGTGCGAAGGCGTGTATGCTATGCTGCCTTGCGATCTTTTGCAGCCAGACGCAGCGATCGTAGGGTCAAGTCGCGATGGCGTGCAGGAGGAGGTACAAGTCAAGTCTGGGCCTTGGTACCGAGGCTTTGCATTCTGCGGTACGCCCGCAGATCTGGGTGGAAGCAGCAGGCGACCCCGTCTGGACGCGTTGCTACTAGGAATTGCCCGCCCGCTACAGAATGTTGATTGCCCTGACCTGTCACGGGGACGCCGCGGGGAGGCCAGTCCACTCTCACCATCGTACCTGGGTCGATGGCATGGGACCGAGTTGCAGTATGGCGCTTGCTGCCTCTCCTGTCGTGATCTGTCACCCCTAGTTCCTCTTCACCATGACACTCGACGAGGCTCACGGGATAGTCCAAGCCTTCATCCGCCGCCTCGCGCCTCAGAGTCCAACACCGCCGGAATTGTCGCGCAAACTCCGACACACACATTCTCACGAGCCATGCCCTGCCCCTTTCCGTATCCCACCTTTCACCCTTGCTCCCGCGAATCTGCGTCTCACCGAACAGCATCGAAGTCGGTCTGACTCGGAGCAAGCCTCGTTCTCGCACCCTACAGTATCACCGCGTGGCTGCGGCCTCCGAAGCTTACGACTGAGTGCGGGGCAGCCACTCGGACGACCATGATCAGCCTGCTACGACCATAGACCATCCCGATCTCACGCCTCGCTAGGATGGCCGCTTCGGTTTTGACAGATCAGGAAACTGCCGAGCTCAGTCGCTTCTCTCAGGGCAGAGCACACATACAGTCCCACCTTGACCTCCTCGGTTCACGGCCGGCTGTAGATCCGTTTGCGCATTTCGTCCCTGTATGGAACACAAGCAGTGAAGCACATCTTCTCTCCGTCTGGTCGGACCTCGACGCCAGACTAGACGAGGTGAAGCAATGGATTGCAGAGAGGGATCAGATCGAAGACGAGGCCAGCGAATTTGATTCCGAGGATATGGAGAAGCTCAGGAAGATGGCAAAAGGTGAGTTCTACCGCCGATAAGCTACCGGCTCACGGCTAGGCACTCTGACCATGCCCTCCACTCAACCTCTGCAGCCGCGTCAGATGGGGCACAGCTGAGTGCTAGTGACACAGACATCGTAGAGGTTGCTCTAGAAACCATTGTATCACTCGAGAAGCTGCGATCGCTGCTCGAGCTTCGCGCTCTGTCGCTCTCCTTGTACTTCTCGAGATTGATCTGGGAGACTCAAAGGAGAGACTGTTGGACCACATATGCAGTCTTGTCCGAGGAGATGAACGAGATTGTCGTCAGCAAATCGAAATGGCCGGTAGCAGGACCTCCGCATGGTTGTGATTCGCCAAAGGACCACGTCTGGCCGACCAGCACCCAGGCGACTGCGAACAGCAAGACTTTCGACAGGAACATCGTCAGCGAGGTCAGTCAACTCTGCGGCAGAATTCAGCAGTTCGCCGAGGTACAAGTCTCCAGTGCTGGCGTCTGCCTGGATGCAGTCATTGAGCAACTACAAGTCCCCGAAGAATTCATTGACGAGCAGGACAGGATCGATGCCCTGGCTGATGAGATGATGTCTCAATCGCACTTCCTCGGCAATGTGCTTCAGCAATGGCAGAAAGCAGATGAGGTACGTGAGAAGATTCGCTCCATTGAATCACGAGCGAAGATACTCATCTTGCACGTAGAGCATGCAAAAGCTGAGATACCCTCGGCCGCTAGTGCTCACTCTTATGCGCAATCGCTCAGCGAGCTCTCACGACTGTTGGAAGACGTATGTGGCCCTGCCGCCAGAGACTACCTTGAAGCTACCGAAACATCTTCTCGTCGCCTGCGTCTACTGCGTCATCACATGCCACCTGCTCCGCGTCATATCAGGTGGCCAGCGCAAGAAGACCTGAATTCCTCCATGGTCGATGCACTGAATCAGGAGCTGGTAGCGGCAGCGAAGCAAGCGAGACGAGCCAAGAGTGCCATTGAAGCATACCAGGAGGCCACTAAAGCAGCTTCGCAGGTTGAAGAAGCTAGGAGCCGCCTCCTTCGTGCTGTCCGGGCGTGTTCAGGGCTCGACACGGAATGCCACTCGGAGTGGCCAGCGAAGTCTACCTCTTCCTCGAGATCAGAGGAGGCCGCCCAGATCATCTCGAAGACAGTCGCTCTACCAGATACATCACCGATTCCCAGTCTCTCTCATGCAGTTGCGAGGCTACAAATCCGTCTCATCACAGTCGAGGGAGAAGCTGCATCAGCCCAGGCCGATCTCACCGATTCCTTATTGAAATGCAGGTCGCTAGGCTTTGCGTCCGATGCTCAACAGCGTCAAGCCAACGAAGCGAGTGCTGCATGGGCTGCACAAAATGTGTCCACCAAGACTTCTTTGGCTGAGACAGTGTCACTGGTACAGGCTCTGGAGCTTATTGAGAGGATTCAAAGAGACTTGTCAAACGGCGAGACAGACTTGCGACTTGACGTCATGCATTGGGCGAAGGTTGCAGAAAGCTCTCGCTTCAGTCTGAGCAAAAGCAGCAGAACACTTCTCACGCCAGATCCTGATCCCGGTCCTGGCAACCCCCCGTTTGCAGCCTCAGAGGCCGCTCTCGCCTCGTTGGCGGCATTCGAAGGTCACACACTTGGCTCGCTTGTACCCGAGACCATCGATGTGTTGAGGCAGCGATGCGAGCATCTCAGTGCCCAATCCCTGCAGCTTCGGCAACTCGCAAAGTGGGCGGCAGCCGTCACGCACCAAGCAGAGTGCGCTGCGCTGGTGCAAGATCACTTCGACAGACTTTGCCAGGATGCTGAGCATGTTCAGAGCCGATGTCTCCTCTTGCTCTCTGATACGTTGGAATCCACGGACGAGATTGACAAAGTGCAGTACGAGGTACAAGAACTTCAAGCTTCCATTGCGCACTTCACAGCATCCCAAATCCGAGATATTGCGCTGGTTGGCCCGGCGCCAGACCTCAGCTCACTCTCTGTCGAGGGCAAACCAATTCTGCTCTCCTCTAGCGACAGTGACGTTCAAAATGCGAGTAATACGTGGTGCCTCACTCTGGCTCAGAAACAGCAAGAGATCGAACACGCCCTCCAGGGCTTGCGTAAAGCGGTGGTCGACGAACAATCGAGGGATCAAGTCGGCCAAGAGGCGAGCGTCCGCAATCGAGAGGAAGGCCAGATCGATCACACGGTTGCCATACTCCCTCCAGCGATGAACAATGCCGAAGTCTCGAGCCCATCTCCGGCACAGAGTATAGTGGACAACAGAGGGCATGATGACGGTCAATACGCCGAGAGGCCCAATGGGCCTTCGACGGATCCCTCAACGAGCGCAAGCCTCACGTTCCCATCACCTTGCCTTCCGACCACACCTCGACGCTCTGCGAAGCAGCACCTCGTCGCTGACGCTAAAGAGCCGGAGCAAGAGAGGCCACACAGTCAAGCTCAGTCAAGGAGCTACATGGCATTTTTCGCTGCTGTACGAGACTGTGAGCAAGAGCTTGGTCGTAGAGAGAGGTCGTTCACAAAAGTGCTGGAGTCAAAGGCGAGCCGCAGACTACCTCTACGCGCCTTTATCTCAGAGCTGGGCAACCGAAGGAATGATGCTGAAGAAAAGCTGTCCATCCGCCTCGAGGTGGTCAAGAGTGCGCTTGAGCTACTGCAAGACACTGTGGCGCTTGGCGAGAGCTCGTCTACTGTCGCTCAAGCACAACAAGACGCGGCGCGAATTGCCTCAGCAGTGCAGGAGTTGCTGGCACGCTTGGATGGAGTGATACTAGCAGAAGGTGGTGACAGCCCAATTCATTCAGGGCAGCCTTTGTATGTGGCTAGTGAGCTATCGAGGTCAAAGTCAAGTGTCTCGTCCCTATCTGCGGATCTCGAAGGACGTTTCCGAATTTCTGCAGGCTCTGCAGACGTAGTACGAAGCAGGTCGGCCCCGTCGCTGCCACACCCAGCAGACATAGGATCTCTGCCCAATTCGCCTGCGCCCGGTGAAGTCCCAGCTGCAGGACCCAAGATTGCAGACCTTGCCGCCAAGCTGAGTGGCGGGGAAGTCGAGATCCAGACCATCGTCGATGGATTGGCGCAGATGAAGGCCTTCCTGGACCTTCCCACCAACGAGGAAAGCAGACGTGTGCAAGATGAGTGGGTGCAGCTCAGAGGAGAAGTCGAAGCAATTCTTCAACAGCACAGCGCAGAAGCGGCTGGTGCGAATCTGCAGGCTCTGTCGCGGCAAAGAGAGGAGCAAGTCAACCGCTTCAAGCTGCTGACAATCTTTGCTGAAAAGGCGGCAGAGAGCGAGGCGGCACTTGCCTCCTTCTTGGATCTGCTGGATCAGGCGGGCAACGAGTCTTTCGATGACGACCTGCGTGCATTGTCGCCTCCGAATGCCCACTCTATGAAGGAAGAAGACTCTGCCTCGAAAACCCCTTGCTATACCCCTCAGAGTGCGCGCAATGGTGAGGACAGTGAGCTGGCTCTCAATCTCAGCTATGCACAGCGCACCCGTGCAGCTCTTGCAGCTCTGGAGCCCATCTTGGAACAGGCAAAGCAAGCAGCTGCACCTGTCTCCCAGGATATTCGCGTCAAGGAGAGGCTGGCCCAAATCAACCGCTCGTATGTAGACATGGCCGAGATGGCTAGTGACGTCCTGAATCCAGGCTTGCAGAGAAGCTCGAGCGTCTCTTCCTTGGCAAGCACTGCCTCACGGGGGAGCAGCAGCGCCTCTTTGCCTCCTTCGCCCGTCATGAGCATGTCAAGCAGATTCGGCTTCTCCACTACAAGCACGGTCAGTGCGGCCGCGGCACCGGCTTCGAAGGCCGTATCTGCTGCCGCCCGTCCGTCAGTGTCTCCAGCTCCCTCAGTATCTTCGATTCCTCGGGCTAGAAAGATCAGCTCGACATCCTCCACAAACCAGGAGCCTACCGCAACGGCATTGAGGGCACTTCGAAGGAAGTCTGGTGCACACAAGACGACACCATTGGAACATCAAGAAGCTGCTGTGACTCAGATGCCTCGGCGTCGGTCTTCTGCAAGCCCCGGACCAGCGACTCCCAGAGCACCTGTTGCAGCAAGGACTTGTCTGACGAGTATCACAGGATCTCCGGCGACTCCTACTGCGTCACAGCCAAGGGCCGCTCTCGGCAGTGATCCTTTCGGCACACCTACGCCTTCGAGACTTCGAGCGCCGAGCACCTTTGCCCGGCCTTCCAGCATGGGGACCTCAACTCCGCGAACGCCCTCCGTAAAGCCTTCGACGTCCGCTGCTCGGAAACGGCCTGCGTCCGTTGCCACTCCCAAGCTTACAGATCGACCAAATAGCTACCGAGCAAACCCAAAGAGCAAACTCGACGTTGCCGTGGCCCAAACCATCAACCGGTTGTCGGTGCCCGTCAAGATCGAGGCGGTCAAGCCATCGGGGAATGCCACTTACGAGGACCACAGTGGAAAGTACTGGGTCGGACATCCAGACCCACGTCTGTGCTTTTGCAGAATCTTGAGATCACGGACGATCATGGTGCGGGTGGGCGGTGGATGGCAGGAGCTTACAAGGTGTGTATGAGAGACATCTGCATCTGCATGAGGAGAAGATGGCGATGCGGACACTGACAGGTCTCTGGTCATGCCATTTCGTGCCCCATTAGATACCTCATGCAACACCACGGACTCTCAACGGCCAATGTAGAGCTCGGACTGGCTCAAACGTCTCCAGCATCTGCCAAGACCTCACCCAGCGGCACGCGGACATCTGCGAAAAAGACAAATGCCATACCCTGGCTCTCTTCCTCTATGTCCATGGAGCAAGGAGCAGACCGGGCCTCTTCTCCCGCAGCCGGCGGCGATGTACCTCGCAGGCTCCTGAGCCAGAGAGGCGACATTTCCTCGCCCATCTTCTTGCCTTCTCAATGGTCCCCTACTCTCTCGCGCAAGGCTTATACCAATGAAGGTGCCGGCGAGACACCCACGAGGTCGGAACGGAAGCGACTGGGCTCCTCATCGTCTTCTTCTGCCGCCGTGGAAGCCATCGAAGCAGCAGCCGGCCTGGGCCTCGGTGTGGGCCTACGAGCGGACAATCGTAGTCGTCATGTGCGCAAGAGCTTTAGCACCTCTTCACCTGCGCCTAGGCCGAGGGAGAGGGAGCAGAAGAGCTTCCAGGTTCAGATGAAAGCGCCGATCCGATTGCCGTCTCATGGCGGTGCGGAGAATGTGGATCCGGACGACAGTCTTGGCTCTGTTCGCTCGGTGTACTTTCGATAGAGGTGGACGTGGTAGGTGAGGATGGGAGCCTGACTCGTACTCATTGTGGTCCCCTGTCACTTGTTGTACAATGCATTTCGATGAGAGCCAGACGTGTGAGGCTCGATGGAGGGGTTCTCGTCCGCCTATCATTCCAGCGGGTCCCCAAAGACACGAACGAGGACTTGAGCGCTGGTCCCGCCTTGGGTGCAGCGTATGTGTGTGGGGCCGTGCTGCGTCGGCGTCTGCGATCGATCGTGTCTTCCTTTCCGCGTTTGCGAGGCCAAGCGGGCCTTGCGAAGTCGCTCACTCACTCTGGGCCCCTCACCGTCGTCTGACTGTCGTCCTCAGCTCATTCCACCTGGACGTCATCCATTCATACCCTCTCCTCTCATTCATACTTCTTCCTCCCCTCCTTCTGTTTCAGTCATCCCGCGCGCGCTGAAGGCAACTCCCTCCTCCTCTGCTCCTCGGACACGTCTACCCCGTGACCTCTTCTTCTGGACCCTGTTCGCGCCCCGTGAGGTACCACCACCACTACCCTTGAGACTCGCTACACCTACTGCCCCACTCTTCTCCCGGCCAGCAGTCCCTACAGGGGAGCTGAGCCTGCCGCTGCGTCGGCCTCAGGCTGGCTAGCGAAGCCAATTATGGAGGCTACACGGGAGAGCGCCGCGGACGCTTCTCACGATGACATGGTCACCACCCTTCCGGATGGAAGGCCTCTAGTGGACAATACAGGCAGGCCCATCAAGCGGAAGGTGAGTTCATCCAAGCTGCAATGGACATGGAAGGTGGTCCTCCCGACATAGACTGATCAGACAGCTCTTCTGTGTGTGGTCTCACAGCGTCCACAAAGCTGCGACTTCTGTCGCTCCCGCAAGACCAAATGTGTCAGGCCGGAAGGGGAAGCTGCCAACCAGCCAGACAATCGATGTATGCAGTGTAGAACAGCTGCTGTACCTTGTACTTGGTCTTATGTGCCCAAGCGACCAGGTCCGCAGACACAGTGAGTCCTATTGTGGAGTTCTCGCAGCAGACGGCATCGCTGATAATGTACCTCCTCTTGAACAGCCTAAACGGGGGGTCAGGCTCCTCAAAACGCCTTCGTCAAGGGAAGTCCCAGGCCGGTCAGGCCTCTGAGTCTCCAGCATCGTCTGCAGAGCGAACCGTCACCAAGAAGAGTCTCGCTGCAATGGGTTCCAGTCCTCAGGCTGCTGCCGCGGCTTCTAGCTCGACGCAGGCGCTACCACAAGGGCCTTCTGCGAGACCAGGATCTCTGGAAGGTTTCCTCGAGGCCGCGCAGATGTCTGCACACTTCGACAATCCTCTACCCAATCCGTATCAGCTTTCCAATTACGGTCTATCGCATGGACAGACCTCGACGTCTCAAGGCGCTCTGCCTCCACTCATGCACGCAGACGATGGCAGGCCACCATTTCAGGGGCCCTCGCCATCCCACGCCTCTTCGGAGCATTCCACAAATCAGCTGCCACCCATCGATTGGCTAGCTAAGCCGAGTCCTACTTCGCAGCACACGCCCCAGCAGCAGCAGCAGCAGCTCAGGTTCGACCTCCAAAATCTCGGAAAGTCCACATATCCCTCACCTCTTAGCTCGACTTATGGAGCGGGCACGCCCAGAAGTCAAACTCAGAACGTCTTTGCGCCTTCTGGCCCAAGCTACTCTGGGCAGACCGAGTATTCAGCATATATACCCTTGACACCAACTTTGGATCAGAGACCGTCAGTCAGTAGTGACAAGGGCTCTGCCAAGGCGTCTCGAGGGTCGAGCAAATTGGGGAAGATCTTTGCGGCGCCCATCGATCGACCGCGGAGTATCGATGACATTGCTCCCAGAGCGACCTTTCTGTCAGTCATCAGTCTATACTTCCACCACCTTTACCCGCTCATGCCCATCGTACACCAGCCAAGCTTCAGTCACGATCTCATTACCCGTCGAGACGAGAGGGACGACGACTTTCTGTCCTTTGTCCTCAGTCTGACAGCATATACCCTGATCCAGTGCCCTCGATCTGTCATACCTGCACCTTGGCCTTTCTACCGCAAGCTGCATCAAATCTGCCATCTGACGAGTAGGAGGATGCAGCTGGACCGCCACTCTCATGGGTTTGAGCCGAATCTCACGGTTTGCGCCACGCTCTACACTACCCACATCTATATGGGCTCTACAGGTCGAACCTTTGCAGCTAATGCCGTCCACGGTGAGCTGGTGAGGACCGCCTTTTCCATTCATCTCCACGATGAGACCAAGCTTTCGCCAGATGCCGCCGCCGTCTCTGCAGCTCAGCAAAATCCTCCGCAGATCTCAGAGATCGATCGTCAGCTGAGGAGGAGAGTCGCTCACCTCATCAACGGCTCAGACAAGACGATCTCCATCTTGAGCGACGAGCCTGTTAGCTTTCCTATTGGTGAATGGGTGGGAGTGGAGATCCCTGTAGCGGTAGACGACGACCACATCTTTCCGCACAAGATTGCGTCTCAACCAACGGAGCGTGGGCCCAGCATCCTCTGCGGCTTTGAGACCGTGAGCAAGCTGCACATCATCATGGGCGGTCTAGTGGAGAATATCAGAGCGGTGAGTGGCAAGTAGTTGGTCTGCAAGCTGAAGGTCGACTTTCGCTCAACTAATGATTCCACTTACCTTTCTCAGGACCGACGAAGGCCTCCTACGAGTGTCGACGAAGCTCGAAGTAAGCTCAGATATGCCTCATCGATCCTGAGGCGGATCCAAGAGGTAGTCAGTGAGATGCCAGGAGATCTCTTGAATCCCAGCTTCGAGCATACAGAACCGCCTCCACGTCCCTGTGACATTCTGCCTGACCTCGGTCCCTCAATGTACCTCCCGCAAGCTGGGATGACTGGCACAACAGCCGCCCGCAAGGGTAGCTTCTTGGGCAATACCACTGGCCCTGGTGGGGACAGAGGGGTCGGAGGTCAGAGCAAGGATCGCACCACGCTGCCTCCTGTCAATTTGCCCTTTGCTCCTTGGCCTACTGGTACATTCGATGAGAATGGCTTGCCCGTCGCACTGGATGGTGCTAGTCAGGGCTCGAGCTCTGCAGCTGCTTCTCCCATGGGTTGGGGGCCACCAACGACTGGCGGTCCTACCCTGGGCGGTAGTATTCTGCCTCCTTTTGTCCCCTCGGGGCAAACCGTGGACAACAGTAGTGCGCATACGCCCTCTGCTGCTCAACTCAATGCAGCTCGAGATCAAGTCGTCTCCTTTCGTCCCTCTCCACCTCCCATCTCCTCTTCCTCGCAAAGCCATTTCCCCATTCTGAGCGGCTTCGCCATCTGCCGAGCTAACATCCTCGTGACGGAGGCTATGCTTCGCTTCGTCCTCGTCGACTATCGAGAGCAGCTACAGGGTCATCTGAATCGACTACGGCTCGCATCGGGCGAGGTGAACCCAGAAGAAGAGGACGACGCGAGCAAGGACATCGAAGAGGCCGCACGCACTTTTTTCAGTGAAGCCGTCGCCACGCTTCCCTTTGACGCACTCGCGGCCAATGGACAGAGCCTTGTGCTCAAGCTCGTCTACATTGTCTCTGCACTGCTCCATAGGACTAGTACGTCTAGCAGGACCTACGAGTACATGAGTGAGCTCCTGGCGCTGCTTACACAGCTTACGGATCGGAGGGAGGAGAAGCCCGATGACGAGGAGGGAGAACAGTCCGACTAAGTTGCGGTCGGGCCGGGGCGGCAAAAAGAGAGTGACAGAGAGAGAAGGGGAATCAAGAGGGAGTGGAAAGGCAACCGAATAGGCCAGCAGCAGCGAATTTCACTGTATAAAGCAAAACTTGTCACACTAGTTAGTACAATTACCAACAATTCTTTTGGAATTGATCGCCAAACGTGGCGTCTTGTACATGTCTTTGCAGATTTAAATGACGCGAGAGCGGCTCTGTAGGCCATGATGTGAATGAGTTCATTGCGATGCGATGCGACACCATGCCTTTTGATAGAGCTGACTCACTCGACCCTTCTTCCCTTCCCATCAACACCTCCCCTTCCCAATAATCCTCCCAACGATGCTGAATTCGCGCATCTCCACCTTCACCTCTTTTCATTATATCCGGGTGGACCAGCGGTAGTGCTCGCTCCCGTGAGTGCAGGAGCGGGCACTTTCCCACTCACGCCCATTCCTGCATTTGCAGTTCCTCCCCCTACGCCTGACCCCAGACCAGCACCGCCGAGACTGCCTTGTCCTCTGCTGAGACCACTAGTGGTGCTATCACTTTGACTTTGGGTGCCATAGCTGGCGGTATTACCCCCCGCTCCTGATGTCGACCCCGGCGGCGCATAGTCAGTCTTGATTGCGTCTCCTCCCTGCACTCCCTGCTCCGGACTAGCGCTAATCTCAATCTCCTGTCCATCCACAGTCCGTCCTTTAAGTGTACCCCCCGCCAATTTCAAAAGGACTTTACGCCTTACACCACTCACGTCCTTGTATACCAAGAAGCAGTTCTTGCCTACTTGACCAATATGTCCCGAAGCACTTTCTGCTTGTGCACCAAATGTGTGTCCTACTACTTTTCCACTTGAAGCGCCAACGGAGTTCAGCAGACCACCAACGGCCGTGTCGAAGCCTTCGAGGACAATGTTGGCCGCCGTGGCACCTCGCTGAAGCTGTGTCCTCATTGTTCCAGGCTGACGAGGGGTGCCGTCCTTGTTGGTGGAACTACGCACACCGCCGATGCGACGACCTGCACTGTCTGACGTGTCGAGGATCATCTTGCGGGCTGATCCAGAGAGGGATACGGCTCGACCTGAGCCGGAGGAGAGGGCAGAGAGACCCTTTGCGATTGAGGGATGGATGGGCACATTCGTCTTGCTGCTCCTAGCCCCGCTCGGTGTAGAGGTGCCGGAGCCTGCTCCACCTGCCACTCCTGGTCCCCCTGCGGGATAGTCGGTAGAGAGGGCTTCGGCATTGTAGCCTGTGCTGGACTTTTCATCCAGGTACTGCTGGCCTGCGGGAGAGGCCGAGCCGCTTTGAGGGGCGTTGCCGGACTTGCCCGCGGTGTAGCGATTGGCACCCTTTTCGACTGTACCGCCTAGCCAGCCAGTGACGCCGATGAGGCCCTTGGAGACGTATTGGGCGCCGTTGATGAGCCAGTCCTTCTCTTGTGCAGACGCCTGTGTGACAGGAGGAGCACCCGTCGTGTTGCTCGTGGTAGAAGTGGTGGGTCCAGCAGAAGTGGTGGAAGGATAATTTTCGCTGCTAGAGTAGAAGCTCGAGGCGTCGTCGTCGTCGTCGTGGATGAGCAGCAGATCAGATCCTGCTCCTGCACCGCCTTGCAGCTTCTCGGATGAGCGCGAAGGCTGGATGGATCGGTCGAGTGATCCAATGACTAAAGGAGAGGAGTAAGATGGGTAGGAAGGACTTGTCAGTCTTCTGTTCTCAGTCTACTACCACTGTAGCAGAGCTTACTCACCATTGCCCATTTCATCTACTAGCTCAACCCTGCCCCTATCATTACTTCCCGCACGGAGCAGTCCACAATACTGCTCGATGATCTCCTGAAATGCCTCTTCATCCTTGTTTCCCGGTGGGAGCGTCAGGGAGATAGTCGCCCCCTGCACCTCGGACGACTGGATCTTGTACTTGCTGCCTCCTTGTCCTCCAGGCTGCAACTCTACAATCTGTTCCGTACTGAGAATCATCTCGAATCCATCCCTTGCCTTTTCCTTTCCCTGTGCATCTGCGTCAATCTTGAGTAAGAGATAGGCATCTTCCACGGTGGAGGAGAGGGAGACGAGATCTACAGCGCAGGTGCCGACTGCGAGGGGGACAGTCTGACCTTCGTACTCTTGAGCTGCTAGTACGCGGTCCAAGAGGAGGAGTGTGACTGCCTGTGGCTGCGATGTGGAAGCTGCCATGGTGTGAGTGGGTGAGTGGGTGGCGAGAAGGTGAAGAGGGGAACAAGGTGCGTTCTTGGCTGAAGGATCAAGACGACTGGTGGGCATCTTCCTCGTCTACTCCGTCATGGCAGTGTCCATTGCGGTGTCTAGGCGGGAAGCGGTGCTGCCAAGGCGGGGTGCATGTGGAGGCAGATTCAGCCACAAGACGCGGGGCAGCACCACCACAGCCACAGCCACAGCCACAGCAGCGCCCAGGCGGTCATCGTCTACCATGTGGCAATGGCGTGGGCCTCCCCACATCTCGACTAGGCGTCTTCCCTTTCTGGGTCAAGTGGTAGATGGAGGAATATACAATTGCCCTAATTGTAGCGTAGCGCTGTGGGGCAGCATTCGACCTCGTCGTGTCGAAAGTGCGTCTGACTGATGCAGGAAAGAGGGAGTACATGCGATGGTGCGGGCACCTGCAAGCGATGAAAGTAGGATGGAGCTGAGCGCGCTCAGGAGAATCGCTGGGACTGCGGCCACCACAAGAGCCACATCGTCTACCATCGAACAGGCAGACTCATTCCTTCAAGAGCGGAGGTCTAGGCCGAAAGTGCCTCAGCTCCCATCTTGATCTCTGCCTCCCTAAGCAACTTGATACACTTTTCGAAACATTCCCTCTCGATCGGATGGAGCCCAGTCTCCTTCAGTAGGCCCCTGTTCTCGAAGATTTCGTAGATCATGTGGTCTACATCCACACTCGGGTCCCAAGAGCGCGTCAGCAGGTCAACTTCCAAGCAGTCGAACTGGAGCTCGTCCTTCGCTTCGAATTCATCTGCGAGAGCCACATTCAGCTCTGTCCGAGCGTCGAGTATAGCGGTCCGCAAGTCACACATCAATTGGATCCATTCTTCGCTCGCCTTGCTGCAATACTTCATCAAGTTCTGAGAGACGTGATGAGAGTAGCACAGACGGTCAGCAATTCTCACGCAGAAGCCTGCCAGGGCTACTCACATGCTTCCAGGTCACCACGCTGTACCCCCACGGGTCTCGCTTCTTCTTCAGGAGCTCCATCATTTCTGCCAGCAGCTGTACGGTCATACCATAGTAATTGGCCGTCTGCGGTGAAGAGGGCAGGGGGAGACAGAGGGAAACAAGGGTGAGTCAGGTCCTCCAATATGCCGAGAGGCGACATAGCTCACTCACCCGCCAGAAGTGTAGGTATACCGCACTTTCCAAGTCATCGATGTAGCGATGACTGTGCATGGCCACTGCTTTAAGTGCTGTGCGATGTTACCAGAGCGCTTTTGCGATTTTCTTCAATACCTTTGGACGGCTTCCACTGGCACCTGTGTAGGAAGGGCGGTGGGGGCCCTCGCGTGCGAAAGCGAGCGCAGCGTTCCACTCCGTGATCGCAAGTCCGAGATGAAGATAGCAGGTGGGCAGAAACAATTCGTTGGCCGACCTCGTATCGTCGATGGCTCTATCGATGATGGCCTCTGCGTCCGTCAGCCCCAACCTTCCTCGCGGACTCAAGTTCTTGCGCATATTGCCTATGTCGATGATAAGGAGGGTCTTCTCAGACCCCTTCAAAAGGAGAATGTTGCCTTCATTCAGATCACGATAATGGTATCCATGACTTGCGAGGATGAGAAGTTGCTCAGCAAGCTCCATGTGAATGTGGACAAGATGATGAGGCGGGACTTGACTGCTGATGCGATCTCCGAGATACTGCTTCGTGGCCAGAGCACATACGACCCGAGAGGGAAAGTGGGGTGCAGGACCTGCCCCCAGCAGAGTCTCTGAGTTCCATGCTTGAAAGTCAGAGCTTGTAGTATCTACCAATCCAATTGGCTCAGGCGCGTAGGGTAATCTAGACTCTGCGCTGAGCTCTTGAAGGCCGCACATCATCGTCCATTCATGAAATTCGAGAGGTTCTTCCACCCATGAGACCTTGAGCATCGTTCTTTTGTCTCCTTCACCTTCTTCAACGAAGACTGCGGTGCGGCTTCCAAAGGGTGCAGAGCGTACCTCGAGCTCTCTCAGACCCGTGGTGTCGATGCTAGTGACGCCGCTACGGTTTATCGTTTGGGGTTTGAGGTCGAGTCTGACTGCAGCCGCAAGATCCCAATGATCACACAGCTGGGACCTGTGTTCCTCCAAATTCACGAGACGCAAAATCTTGATGATTTCTTCTTGGTCCTTAGTGTCCTTGGTATCAAAAGGTCGAGAACATCCATAGAGAGTAGAGTTGACGAGCCAAAGCCGGACTAAATTCCCACACCAGGTCACAAAGTGGATGTGGGAGGTGGGAGCCCAACGCTGGCAGATGGTGCCCTGATTGTGTCGTCGACCAGCCGGACTAGGCGTCAGCGCCAATCGACGAGTCCTGATTCGAGATCGTGATACCTTTGTAACTCACTACATGGCGCAAGCTTTGCCACAGAGTCGGGTCGATCAAATCCTCCGAGCTGTCCGCCTTGACGTCTACGAAGGACAGGGCATTAGACCAGTACAACTCAAGGACGTCCTTGAGTGCGCCCGGAGATGCAGATGTTTTCTCCATGACCTTACTCCTCGATTGCGGAACTACCAGGTAAGCTCGCTGTACTTGAGACTCGGGAGCCTCTCCTGGTAGCTCCTACACATAGCAAATGAAGGCAATTTTTTGTCAGTGGCAGTCGATCTGCGGCCATTCTGGTCTTCCACATTACCGAAGTCATTGGAAGATTCTCGATCTTCAATAGTCCACCATAGTCTGATGCCTCTGCACCCAGACCACGTCATACTGCTGCGTTGAGCCTGTCGATTCCCTCCAGCAGAATTGCTCGTGTTTCACGTTTGTTCAGGCGCTGCTGCGAAGTAGCGTCCAGGACACGGAATGCTTCGCGTACGTCTGTCGAAGCCATGACCGCCTTTGCAGAAAGATCGACGGCCGTATTTGTCTGCATCTCGTAGATTCCGGGATAATGACGCTTCCTGGCAACATACTTGATCTCCTCTTCTACTTCTGCGGCACCTTCGGTCACTGTACCACTGTCAGCGCGATAGGCCATTTCGAAGAGACGTACAGACCGTGCTCCAGAGTCCTCTGTTGAGTTGTATTGCTCCTCTGACCAGACCTCAAGAAGAGCGTCCGGGACGAGGCTCACGTATCCCCTCATGTCCTGCTCTATCGAACCTGTGGCTCTCGCAGTCCCAAAGGAAAACGTGTACGCTGGGCGAGTATCTGTAGGCGCCTCTAACCCTCTTGACAATTCCTGTCCAGAATTTTGCTCCGACATGGTTGGGGAATTCAGACGAGATCGAGTAGATTGCAAATGTGGTAGAGTCCGAGAGGTGAACAAGAGCGCCGGCAGCGCTTGCCTACTTGAAGCTTTGCCTCCGACGCTAGCTTCCGTTCCGTACCGTCTTGTACTGTGTGCTCCTCGTCTTCCCTGCTCGTGACCCTACAGTTGGTGTTGTTCGAGTCTTCCGGTCACTCTCTTCACTCGTACCCGCACTCTGAAAATTTGCTTCTGAACGCCTTTCATTTGCGTCTGATTGTGACATTTGGCTTGGACCTCAAGTTGCCCTGTACAATGCAATCCGGTGGATCACAGGAGCCTCTCCCGACAAGTACTCCGCTGCCGACGACTCTGACGCCGAGCACGAATTGACCTCAGCAGTCGCATGTCGTTACAATCCCTGTTGCTACTTAAAGCTCCGGCTCTTGCGATATCGACTGTATACAGTCATACAATCCTGCGCCACGGCACGGCTCGGGGTTGCTCGATGCGCGCGAATTGTTCAGACCCGGGTGCAGCCTATCGCCATTAGGTAGTATGGCTGACGTTCACTACATAAGATTCATAAGACTCAGCTTCGCATCCTTTGTATCACAGAGCACACACAGTATCTCACGGCTTCCTCGTCAGAACGTCACGCTTCACCAAAACAAGTCTTCAGGTCCTCGCCTCGACGCTAGAGACGAGGGTGACGCCTGTCACGATCGAGTGTGGCGTCGGAGATTAAATGCATCGGCCAAGCGCTGAGTGCCGCACCTTCGCTTCCTTCCGAAAGTGCAACACTGCACAGACTCACCAACACCAACACACCGCCAGAGACGATCATCGTCCGAGGGAACAGCAGAGGCTAGACGGTTCCCACCAACATGGCCGCAGCCTCACCTCGAAAGAGGCAGCGCATAGCAGCCAGTCCCGACCCCTATGGCTCTGACGATGAGGAGTACCATCCAGAGACAAGCGCACGGGGAGCTTCCCGCACACTCGCCTCCTTCTCACATCCCACCACCGTCATCAAGTGCAAGCCCAAAGCCCGCATTGCAAGGTCGATTGCGAGGAGAGATGATCAAGACGTCACCTATTCCGACCCTCCCCTCTCTGCATTTCCTCGTCTGCGGTCATGGGAGCAGACCACACGATCCGCAGAGGCACGTCGCAGCGCATACATTCTGGCAAAGCGCTGCCTGGACGAGCGCATCCGACAGGCCTTGGACGAAGGCTGTCTGCCTCTCATACAGGAGGCTCAAGTTTGGCTTGATGGACTAGACAGCTCAGAGCACTCGCTGCCCAGACTCGCAAGACGCACAACCATTCCTATGGCGGCAGTCGAAGCTGCTCTGCCCGATTCCTCAACCTTCCACATTCTCACGGCAAAGCTCAGAGCCGCCCACAGAACATCCAGACGAGTGATCACGGCGGTCTTGAGCGCAGAAGAGGCAAGCTCTGGGGCTGTGGGAGTCGTCATCGAGACCTGCTGCCAGAAATGGATGCACGAGATGGCTGGGGAAGCAGGAGAAGGGAGGCAGTCCTCGCAGCGAGGAGCAATGGCAGCATGGCAGCAGATGAGGGCAGCATACGAACAACTTGGTGAGTAAAAGAGACAGATCTACGCAAAGTTAAAAGCCGCTGAACGCCCTTCTGCCGTCTGCTTCGTTCATCGTAGAGACGTCACCTAAGCTTCTGCTTGTCCTGCCCTCGCTGCCTCCTGCCTCATCGCCCCTCTTTTCGACCCTGTCGTACTTGGTCAACCTGCCAGCCTCGAGCACGTCCAAAGTGCCCAGGCTCGCAATTCTTCTGCAGTCAAGCATAGGTCCCGCGAGCATCGACTCACTAGACACCAGTGAGAGGCGATGCCTCGATGTCAGCAGGCTCACGAGTCCAGTCACGGGGCGAGCTTCAGGAGCACAGGAGCTGCTTTGTGACCTCTTCTGGCCCTCTTCTGCGAGCTGGAGCAAGCAGGCCGACGTATGTCCTTGCTTGCCGAGTCAGTGTCTGAAGTATGCGCTGCAGCATGCTGCTGCGTCCACGATGTCAGCCACAACGGCTGCCGGAGAACTTCTGCTTCTGAACAGGTGGCTGACACTTGCGCTCCAGTATCACTACACCCACGATCACCTGTCGGCCTTTCTTTCGACCACTTCGGGCTCACCTCGCACGCTTGCAGACTTTTCTCCTGCGGATTTCTCACCTGCCTTCTTCGTGTCTCTTCGGACCCATATGATTCGCGCGCTCCGAGGAGAGGCAGACAGCGATACACCCGATCTCGCTGTCCTGCCGGAGGGCCTGAATAATGGAAGGGCTTTGCGCAAGCTGCTGATGGATGACGGTTTTCTACTGCAACATTGTTCTTCCATGTTTCGGAGGGATCAAGCGCTGCTATGGGGCGATAAAGAAATCGGTCTGAGTATGCTTGCGGAAATCGTTCTCCCGCTAGCAGATCTTGGGGATCATGCTCCAGCATCGGCCTTGGATCGAGACGCCTCTACGATCCACAAGCAGGCCATCACGTCAGTTCGCTTCGCTCTTCTCGCGAACCGATCCGCTAGTGAGAAAGACTCCCCTTTGCGCAAGAAGGTCAGCGATCTGCTTGCGCCTTCGCTGAGAGCTCTGAGAAGGACAGACTCTGAGGGTGGCCTGTCCATCTCCTTCCTCGACACTTGGCTCGACAAGGCAGAAGACTGGGCACAGGGACTTACGGCCAGTTCTTCTGGCACAGATCTCAGCGAGACGTCCGTCAACACTGCCTCCACCTCGGAGGCGACAGTGGTGCAGGAGCGCATGTTGGAGCAAATCAGGACGCTTCAGCAGAGTCTGAAAATCTTCCGAGATCAAGTCGGTGATGTACCCGCCTCTGGTGATGCCTCTGAAGTAGCTGCTAGTGAAGAAGAGAGGGTGAAGATCGTGCAGAGGAAGCTCAGGACCGAGGAAGGGCTGAGAGCTTTTCGAAAGGAGTGTGCTGATTGGGTCGGAGCAGAGGTCAGGTGAGTCTCAGACGAAAGCCGGTCGATTGCTGGCCCTGCAGGTCGATGCTGATACTCTGGACCTTCTGTCGGATGTTCGCAGATCACTCCTGCTCGGTAATCCTCCCCACACGTCGCTCTTTCCCACATCTGCCTCTGCCTCGGCTCTTTCCTCTGACGCTTCGGAAGAGGCCGCCGGCGAAGACTTTACGGCCACCCTCGAATCGCTGCTGAGCCCTTCGCCGCGTCAGAATCTCAGTCTGGCTCTCGCGCGTCCAGAAGTCTATCTGGCACACTTTCTCACCTCTGCCAAGGCTGATTCGCCATTACCCTCTTCTGGCGTCAAGACTCGTGTCGTAGAACAACTTGCGCCTCTCGTCCACGGGAAACGAGCGCAGACGGACCTGAGCACCGCGTTCAACCTGCTGCGCGAGGCGGGCGGAGCAGGCACGGGCGTAAAGGGCAGACTGATCGAGGTGGTTGACTGGTTCCACGCTTGGTGCTCCCTGCAGCAGCAGCAGCAAACGCGCTCCAATGGGGATGAGACTCACCGCAACGGCAGCTCGAGCACGAGCACTCCCTCCAGCAGAAAGCGCAAATCTGCCCTCGAAACTCCCGGCACTACTTCCACCGAGCAAGGCACAGACGCAAGCGCCCTCTCACCCTCGCTACAAGCGCGCTTCGCCCTCGCCCTCTCCAGCCTCGCTCTACTGGGCTATATCAAGAAGACGGCCAAGCGCAGTGCGAGGGGTGGAGCTGGAGGAGCATTAGTGCTCAAGGTAGGTGGGTGGGATATGATCCCTGGGTTGACGGGGAGGGATGGAGAGGAAGAGTGGACGCGCGATGGGGTCGAAGGAGAGGAAGGGGAGGACTGAGGGAGGATGGGATGCGATGCCGTCAGACGAAATGCAGCAGCCAGAAGAGAAAAGAGAGGACAAGCGCCCCATTGCAATGTTTCGTTCTGGCCGCATTACGACGTCGTCGTCCCTCTCAGATCCACGGTAGCAGAATAACACCTTTTTGTTTTCTCCTGTTAATGCCTCTCTGACTAGCACTAAAAGAGGACCAGGCGACCAAATTGATGAGGACATAAAGTGACAGTGGACAGTTCCGGATACGACAACTTGTGACCCCGACATTGTGGTGGCTCCTCACCTCTATCAAATCCTTCTGAAGGCGGGCCGTGCCTTCTACGCGGGCGCAGGAGCGGGCAGAATCAGAGGAAACCAAGGGTGTGGAACCAGGGAACTTTCTTTCCTCTCCTCCTCCTTCTTTCCACTGTCTCCCGTGCCTTGAGCTTGATCATCCACGCCTAGGTGAGCCGCGATGGTCTCGATGGTCGACAAGAGGCGCGTGTTGAGCTGCCGTCATCGAGATGTACGAGGGAGGCGAGCGAGAGGAGAAAGGCGATGGTCAGGACTGGCCCACACCAATTGGCAGCCGTAGAAAGACCACCTCATCAGGCGCAACTCACCAATTGCGCTTCGGTACGACAGAGCGCCCAACGCTTGTCCTTCTCTATCTCTCGCGTCCTCGCTCTCACTGCTTCCCTGACCTGGCGCACCTGCTCTGCAAGCCCAGCACGCGCCTCAGCCTTTGCCTCTTCTGTACTTGCGAGCTCGACCGTCTTCTCCCAGCCGTCCCAGAGGGAATCTAGCTCGAAATTTGGATCTTGCCTCTCTCCGTCAGGTGTGAAGGTGGGATGTCGCAGCCACTTGAAGCGTCGCTTGAAGGTGGCCTCGCGGTGCGCAGCGGTGAGGACCCAGTGAGGTCGACGTTCCGCTCTCTCTTTCGGCGTCGAGCTATCGAGAGAGGCCAGAGTTCCCCACAAGGCAAAGCATTTTGTGCGCCAGGAGCTCTCCGCGTCGTCGCACGATCCAGAACTACGCTTCTCGTCTACCTCGCCGGAGGTCCTCATCGCCAGCCAGTAGGCAATCGGACGCTCCTCTGGTGCGTAGAGCTCAAGATCGAAACCGGACATGGTGAGCCAGCAAGCCATCTCCATCGTCTGCTCCTCTATGGCTTTGACAAGTCCACTGAAGACTGTCCAGACCTCTTCGGCCCGCGGACTGTCACCTATTGCGCCTGTGGCGAGCTGGTCTCGAATTGTTGCGCCGCCAGAGGACCACTGCCTCCACTCTACGTAGCTTTTGCCAATCATACGCCTCGCCCGCGAGTGGTTGGTCATACAGTTGAGTAGGAAGTTGGCTAGCAGACCCTCTCCCTTTTGCAGCCACCATTCGACGGATTGCGCGTCTACAATCGGATCGGACGACGAGGAAAAATCAGAGCCACCTCTCCCGGAGATTGGTTGGGCGAGGAGATGCTCGAGACCGAGCAGGGCTCGAGTGAAAATGTAGGGAGGCTTGCCAGTGAAGGCGCTCCAGAAGTCCGCGAGCAGCTCGGGCTGCGGCTTCGGCGGTGGACAGAGGCATGACTGCGACATGTGGGAGAAGAAGGGAAGCATTCCATCAGATACTGCAGAGAATAGTGACGGCTACTCGCTTTCATTGTGCTGTGAGCTCACCTGAAGGAGAGACCGGAAGTGTGCAGAAGACGGCTGCTCCAGAGCTAGTGTGCCCATGACTCCCGTAAAGGCAGTCAGCTCTTCCCACTTGTTACCGGTACCCATGACCATCATGCGGTATATGCCGGCGGCCTGAGACCATCCGGTCGTTTTCGACTGCCAGAACTTGACGACAGCTTCTTTCGATGGTAGTTCTACAGGCCGTGGCGGTATGCCACCCGCATTTTGAAGCCGGCGAGAGTACGAGGGATCGAAGACGGAGGCTGCTTCCAAGGAAGGAGCACTTTTGAGATCGACATCACACAGAGTCAGCTTGCCAATCTGCTCTGAGACCTGAATACCGAGATGGCGCAGGCGGGTATAGATCGATGAAAAGCTCTTGCCAGTTGGATCTGCTCCGAGACTGCCCTTGTCAGAGCTCAAAGCAGCAGAAAATACGGTCAGGGCAGTGAGAATGTCCTGCGATGAGGTAAAAGTGATACATTGTCAGTGTCCTTGAGCACGGCAGTACAGAGTCGTAGCCATTCACTCACACCTCTGATGTTGAGCCTGCGGAGGAGCCCTTCCATTCCAGGTCGCTGTTCTCTCGGAAGACGCATCCTGATATGTTGGACCCATGCAATGACCGCCTCTAGCTCATCTATAGCCCTTTCAACGGGAAAGTCGTCGAGCAGTGAGAGGTTGCAAGTGTCGGTGATGGCGTCTTCTCCGTCGATGATGTTGCCCTTGATCAGCTCCTGCCAGGCAAGTCCGAAGCATTTGATAGTCGCTACGAGGTAGGCCCGCAGAACGAACCTGGTGAAGGCCTCATGCGGCTCTTCTACTGACGTCAAAGTGCTTGTGCCGCTCAGTCCTCCCATTTCTTCGACGGAGTGGTACAGTAAGCAGGTGAAGAGAGTCTGAGATAGAGGGGCAGAATCGTGAAAGGCGACCTGACAGTGAGATATAAGAGGGAGCGAGACGGTCAAGATTCAGCAGGGGCAGAGGTGATCCCGGCAAGGGCGATGACTGGCTCACCTCGCAAGCCGTGAGACGATCCATGATCCACACCAAATCTGCCACTGTGAGAGGCCTCTGAGGATCGAACCTTGGCAGGTCATCGCGGGGGATTCTGTCTGACTCGGGTATGAGGTGTTGAGGCGTGGGGTATATGCCCGAGTCCATCCTTGGATCCGAGATCGATATGCAGGTCATCGAGTCCATGAGCGTAAAGGTCATAGGGTGGACCATCTGACCCATGGCAAGCGCTACAGTGGGGAGAAGTGTGATGTTTAGCGTTTACCCGGGCCTTGCGAAGCTCCCAGTACCGACTCACCTGAGCACTGTCTTCGGAGCTCATCGGTAGCTTCTAGGAACAGAGGCTGGGCTCGCTGCTGTCCCACTCTCCTCTGGGGCGGCGGCGGCCATCCTTCCTCGCTCATCGATGGCCAAGCCCGAGGAGGATACCGTTGCCTTTTGACGGGAAGACAAGAGATTGGCAAAAGGTAGCCTCGAGGAAGCGGGGCGTGGGAACATCGGCCAGGAAGGTCTGAGTGAACAGGCAACGGAAGTGGAGTCGGACTTGGACTGCAGCCGGGCGTGGTGGTCATCCTGTGCTTGCTGCCTCTTGCCTTGCTTCGATATCATCCCTGGACTACTCTGCATCACCTCGACGCAGCCTTAGGAAGAGTGCTCCTTTTTGCGTACCAGGCATCGGAGCCTCCTGCGGCTCGATGCCTTCGCGCCGTCCGGACGAATTTGCCCCGGGACAGGAAGCCCGCTCCGCCAACCTCCCCCACCTCGATGAGAGCCTCCTTCGGGAGCAGGACGACGACGATGACGCCAGATCCTTCGCATCCACATCATCCTCTTCCTCGTCGTCGGAACCACCTCCGGTATTAGACGAACAATTCTTGCCACGGATTCTGGCCCTCTTCTTCACCATCTTCCACCCTACCGAGGGGCCCAAGGTCGTCTATCAGGTCCCAGAAGGCAGCGTCACTGCGGAAGAGGTGGGCGATAAGAGAGCCAAGGGCAGGAGAGCTAGTTCCAGCAAAGGCAAACAGAGGCAAAAGGAGGGCGAAGAGGGACAGGGGCCATCTTGGTCGCCACTCCTCCACCATGAACCCCTCTTTGACTTTGACACTCTCAGCGACTACCTCATCCCCAAGGCATCACTGTGTGGAAGGCTGATCACCTGTACCGCTCGCAGTGGGTCTAGTGATCCCAAGAGCTCACGCAGTCAAAATCGCTCAAGAAGTCGTCCAAGAGAACAGTCAGGCAGGTCGGCCAGTCGGACTGGCAAGTCTCCTCATCGACCTAGCAAAGGCAGCACCGCCGCGCCGCCTCGGCACTACAAGGTCGTTTCCCATCCTGTCCTCTTGCAAGACTCTGCAAAGTACGAAAGGAACACCTTCATTTTCAACCTGGCATTCGTATTTGATGGAAAGGCCGATGTAAAGAGCTATGAGCCCGTGATACGAAAGTGCGCTCGCTCGCTGAAAGGACTTGAGGTGGGTTGGCGAGGCACGAGAGCTGGGCATAGACGTGCGAGATGAGCTCAGTCTTACGTCCACCCTTCTCACCTTTACATCTTCCTCAGGAGTCATCGTCCTTCCTCTCATCGCCAAAATCTCAGATGAGGATGTACGACGTGGTCGAACAATTATTTCAGGACCTCAATACCTACTGCGAGGCCTTCGTCCCCCTTCCCGAAGGCCATTCCGTCAATTATGAGAGCAGGCCAGGACGTCTTGGCTCTGACAGTCAACTACCTAGCTTCAGGGGCCCTCGCTCGTGGTCTCAGTCCATGTCTTTGAGTCGCAAGAACTCTGTGAAGCGACAGATGGAGGCTGCTCGTGGTCTCTCGAACACGGCAGAGAGCTCTCTCGACCCCGCAAAGAATGCGCAATTGGAGGAGAAGGATCAAATCGATCCGAAGGATGCTGAAGGAGCTTTGGAGGCGGCAAGGTTAGACCTTAATCTACAGATGTCGCCACTACCTCCGGTCTCAACTCCCAGCGAGGGTATTCCAGCGCCTTCACCTCTTCCACCCACAACTTTGTCGACTGCTCCACTGACTTCCCCGCCGCCAGATTCGAATTTCATCGATTTGGTCTCTTCCAGGCGTTCATCCGCGACCGGCAGTATCAACGGCGCCTCGATTGCTGCTGAAATTAGGAGGCCAATGCCCTCGAGAAGCAAGACCACGTCAACGATCGCGGTCAACGAAGCCTCAGCTAGCGCTACCAACTCTAGGAGACCGTCGGACGGTACCGAGGCAGAGGAGGTTTCTTCCCGCAAAGCAAGCATCGCATCTACTTCTTCCCGAGCCAACGGGAAGACCGCCCCGGTGACACGACATTGGAGCGCTCCCGACGGGTTGTCACAGTCGAGCGATCATGGGGTGATGGCCGACCTCAGCTCATCTCTTGCTTCACTGCGGGTGATACAGGAGTCAGGAAGCACGGCTCAGGCGAGCGAGGATCATCTTCCCTTGGTGGCCAGACCCGTACTGCCGCGATTGGGTCAACGTGAAGCACCTCATGGTCTGGGAAGGACGGTCAGAGACGCTATCAACCTGAAGCTCTTCCCAACCTACCCGAATCCACCTCCCGTCAGCGACTGGGATGTACCCGTCTCCCTGCTGGATCTAGGCAGACGAGCCGGCGGCGACTCCTCGAACTGGGATCTGACAATGGCGAGGGTGTACCCCTTCATCAATGGTATCAGTCACGTAAAACGGATCGCTCAGCTGGCAGATGCTGATCTGGAGCTGACGAGACAATGCATGGAGCATTTGCTTTACTATGGATGTGTGCTGATGGTCGACATCTTCCAATTCTTCAACATCTACACACTCCGCCCTGCCATTGCTGCCATGGCCGATGACCCTGCTATTCAAGCAGAGTGTGGTCCCTACGTTACCCGTCCTGGTCACGTCATACCCGCTTGGCCAACCTTGCTCAGCCTGTACACAGCTCTTCGCCCCGGTGTCATCCTTGATGCCTGGATCGAGGACAGAGACGTCGAGTCGCTGGGCATCGATGTGAGGCGATTCGTGACATTTGGTATCATCAAGGGCTTCGTCAAGAGGGTACATCGATATCCTTTCCTGATCGGTGGGCTTGATAGCCTCGGCGGCGTTGTGCGGAGTCCTGGAGAGTTTCCAGAGGTCTCTGGGATCCTACTGCGAGAGCCACCGGCCCTACGATCAGGACTGGGGCCGGCCGAGCGGATGGATACAAAAGGCAAAGGCTCTCTCGGTAAGCGGTTTGGGACTTTGGAGAGCTATGACAAGGCGAGCTTTGCTTCGAAAGACACCCAGCTACTTGCAGCAGAATCGAATGGTCTCAACGCCTCACTGTCCACACCAGAGCGACCGCCTGCCTCGGCTCGCCAAGCCTCAGAGGCCGCATCGCTACGCACCATTACTGGTCCTTCGACGACCACCACGTCTGCATCGCAAAGCACACAGAAGCAACAGCAACATCCGGTTGTTCCAGTCAACAAGAGGTCCAAGCGTCCTCATACCCCAGTACGTCACCCCACGACGACAGTCGCCGATGCTGCAAATGCCGCCTTTGAGGATCCGGGCAGAAAGGAGGAAGTCAAGAGTCATGCTTCGGGCACGCGACCATCCAAGTCAATCCTGCTGTCTTCCGGCAGCGGAGGCGACGATCAAGCCAATCGAAGCGGCTTCTGGGGTTCAGGAATTACCCTTACTCCGTCCGCATATCAGTACCCAGACACTCCCACAACAGCAAGGGGTCAAAGAAGAGATTCCCAGTACTTTGCGTCATCCGCACACGGTGCTCCCAATGGTGGCATGTTCATACCACCTGAATTGCCCGAGTACCTCGACGGAACACACTGTGAAGACGAGCTCTGTGTCAAGTTTGGCCTGTCCTGGCCTCAGCTCAGGAGAATCCTGATTCACATCGGCAGAGCTACTGCCTGGAGCAGCCTCAATGATGTCGGTCCTGGTGCTGGGATGAGCGGACTTCAGGCTGCAGGTAGTGGTACTCGAGGATCTCACCAAGAGGAATGGCTTATGGAAACGCCAGCATTTGGCAATGCCTCTGGATTTGCTGGTCAGAGCGGCTTTGCTGGCCAGAGTGGATTCGGTGCCTCTGCTTGGCAGACTTCCCACCTCGCTGGAGGGACAGCAGGTGTCGGAGCGTCTGGACCAAGGCCTCGTCGGCCTTCACTTTCCGGTGTGCCTAGTGGCTCAGATGGTGGCATAAGAGGATTGTCGTCTGGCGGAGGTGGTCTCGGAAGCAGTCGCAAGGTGGGCAGTCAGTCCAACCTCGGTGGTCGGCGCCGCTCTTCTGCCGACTTTGGGGGCGCTTCATCAGGACAGGGAACGGTGATGCCACCTTCTTGGACACATCAGCTGGAGCATTTGGAAATTGAAGCCGAGGAGGAGGAGCTGGAGAAGAAGGGCGACTTTGGCGGCATTGTCCTTCTGACTGTGTAAGCATGTCGTGTTTGCCCTCGCGAGCGGTCGGCAATGAAACACTGCAGCGCACCAGCACGCCTATCGGAGGACGCGTGCCGGACTGCTCTTGCATCTCCAACTACCCTCGATTGAAATCTCGGCCCGCTAGAAGGGGTGAAGGGTTTGGTCGTGTGATGAGCGGGAGGGAACTTGGTTAAGTGCGTTGCGTAATTGGTTTTGCCCCTGCGTGGGCGTCGATCAGGAGCAAAGGGACCCACTTTACACCCGCAGTTTTTCATCTCGGCCTTTCCAGGAGCAAAAGAGCAACATCAACGATGTGAGGTGGGCAAGGCAGCAGGGGAGAGGGGGGGGGAGGACGCTGAGCCAAGAGTCTGGAGGGTGGTAGAGGAATGACCTCATCAGCACGCAGGGACAAGCGCAATCCACCTCGTCCTGTACCCAGTCACGCTCCCACGCGGCACCAAGAGCAATGAACATCCGCTGCGCCCTGCATCCGCCGAGGAAGAAGGGTAAGGCGTAAGGACGATGATCATCTCTGCCTCACCTCGCCTCGCTTCACCTTCTTCCCATTCTCCCTCCGATATGCGCTTTCCACAATCACACTTCGGCCCGTCGGATACCATCGCCACCTCTGCCTCCCACTAGATTACAAAGTACCCAATCTCCCCTGCCCATAGCATACCCACAGTAGAACAACAAATCGACAACTGCCTCTTGCAATGAACATCATGACCTTCAAGCTCTTCCACCAGGCCTCACCCTCCAGCAGCTTCCTCCCCGCCCCTTCTCCCATTGCCCCACCCTCCTACTTCTCCCCTCGTCGTAGAAGCCATACCGCAGCTCCTCAGCCACAGCGCTTCAGTCTCTTGCAACAAAATCACTTCGACCCCATATCGTTCTACCTTGCGCCGCCTCGATCAGAGACCCCGAGGGAGAAGACGCAGAGGTTGAAGGAAGAAAGAGAGGCAAAGAAGAGGTCGGAATGTATTGACAAGTCCCTCAAAGAGGACGGGGCGCGAGCGAGGAGGGCGAGGGATGAGGAGAAGCAGATCTTGCTACTCGGACAGGCTGAGGCGGGCAAGGTGGGTCAATAACAATTCTCCTGCTCTATCTGATCTCCCAGCTGATTGATGCTCCTTCTCGCCCCTTTGGCTCCTCAGACTACTATCCTCAAGCAGATGCGACTACTATACAATCCTACCGCCTATCAAGCAGAGCGTGCATCATGGCGCGCCATCATACAACTCAATCTCATCACCGCCGTCAGAGTACTCCTAGAGATATTTGAAGCCTCCCAAGCTGATGAGAGACGCATAGAGCTACCCACCAGACCCGCCACCGTGTCGTCACCAGCGCCATCTTCCACTTCAAAGCGTCACCTGGAGTCGAAAGGCAGCACTTCGACAGCCCCTCTGACCGTACCGTCTACTGCTCCTCCTGCAACATCGGCGGGCAAGAATGCCGCTTTCCTTGTTCGTCTTAGACTAGCGCCTCTGCTTGGTCTAGAGTCCTCTCTACGTACTGAGCTTGGCGCTCTTGGTGAGACTGCGCCTCTACCAGCCGATAGCCGAAGCGTACCCGTCACTCCCCTTTGGGCTCCTCGAAAGGATGCCGCTTCTTTCAAGCTCAACACGACCAAGGGCAACGACCTCTTCCTGCTTGCGGGGTGGACCTCGAAGCTCCGAAGCATCTCGCCTGGGAGGTTTGATTCAGACCGGATGTCAATCGCGAGCTCAACGAATAGCCAAAGGACTATTACCTCGCGGCTCAGGAGAGTCTCTTCTCATCGTGCTTTCGGAGGTGCTCGAAGTGAGAGAGAGCAAGAGGGTTTGGCCTCTAGCGCCAATTCCTGTGTCCTGCCTCCCACTTCAGAGACTACCAGCCTCCTCCTTGCGTGCAAAGAAACGATCAGGAGCCTCTGGAACGAGCCCTTCGCTCAGCAGCTGCGCCAGCAGAACCCCTCTATCCTGAATTCTGGAGCAAGCGATTCGACCGTCTACTTCTTGGAGAATCTCGACCGCATTGCCTCGGTCGACTACCAGCCAACAGATCAAGATGTGCTACACGCCAGGGTGCGCACAGTAGGCGTTACCGAAGAGGTTTTCACTATCGACCAATCGAACAAGGTGCGCGTCTACGACGTCGGCGGAAGCGTCTCACAGCGCCACGTGTGGTCTTCCTACATGGAGGATCTCGGTATCAGTGCCATCCTCTTTCTTGCCCCCCTTTCAGCCTTTGACCAACATCTGACCGAAGACCCTCGCGTCAACAGGCTCGCAGACTCTCTTGACCTCTTTGAACAAGTCGTAGAGAACCCCTTGCTGAGGAATGTCACCCTCGTCCTCTTCCTCAACAAGATGGACCTTCTCGAAGCCAAGCTCAAAAGTGGTATACGTGTCAGGGACCACTTTACGTCCTACAAGGGGCGAAATGAGTACGAAGACGTCTGGAGGTGGTTCAGAAAAAAGTTCAGAGCCATTGCAGATAGCGCTACAGCCCGTGCTAACGCGGCGGCTTCGGCCGCCACTGCCCCCGGGGCGAGCGCTGCTTGTGGATCTGCGGCTGCTATGGCTACGGCTAATGCTACGAGCAGTGTAGTTGCAAGTGGTGACAACAAGAGACTACTCTATGTCCACACCACCGTCGCTATTTCCACGAAGCAGATTCGCGCGATCTTGTGCGATGTCAATGATGCTCTCCTGAGGGAGAATTTGAATGCTGCGGGCCTTTGTTGAGCGGCCGAGGTGAAGAGTACCTCAAAAGGGAGAGATATGCCAGAGTACCTGCCTCGATGTCATTCCAGATCACTCCATCCCTCATCACCTCATCACCTCCCTCCACTCTATAATCGTCTATCCCTTCCTTACCCTACCCTACCACAATGTGCGCACGCACCCTCTTTTTCCGCCTTTTCTCCTTTCCTAAATTGTATGCTTATACGCCAGCCCATTTTTTTTTTCTTGTTTTCCACAGCCTTGACCTACTTCTCTTTCCTTTTGGTCAGGTGAATTGTACACATACACTCTCTCGTCTGACCCGGGTCGGGATGACTGCTGACTGCTGACTGCTGCGCTGCTCTTGAGACGCGGAATGAACTGAAAGTGAAGTGAAGAAAAGAGAGATACCTACCACAACACACTCTCTCTCTCTCTCTCTCTCCCCGGCTTCTGGGCTTCTCTCGCCGACACGCTCAGTCCGAAATCCAGTCCAGTCCAGTCGAGTCGACTCGAAGGAATTCCTCCTGCTCTTTTGCTTGATCAAATCTCTCGCACCGTGTTTGATCGTGGTGGTAACGATGATGGTGGTATATATCTTCATTTCATTCTTTGTTCTTCATCAATCATCGTAGAAGAAGAGGAGAAGCAGGGAGAGACATGAAGAGTGGGAGAAAAAAGGAAAAAGAGGGAAAAGGGAGAGGATGATCGCCACATTGGGAGCGGAGTAGAGCAGAGGTAAAGCAGAGCAGAGCAGAGCAACTACCGGAGGCAATTGAACAGGGACAGGTATGAGAGGCGTTGACAGGGCAGGATGACAGGGAGGGATGAGATGGGAGGAAATGTGAAGAGGAGAGGAGGGTAGTGGAGGAAAGTGTGTTGACTAGAGATGACGTGGAGGTTGATGGACGACAGGCTGGGTGATCTGTAGTCTGGTATGAGATGATGGACGATATATGACCAGCCGAGATAGAAGCAGGGGGTCCTGCGTGGTGTGCTGATGCTAGCTGCGAAGCGAGCTTGCCGCTCAACGGCGGATGTCCATCTTAGGTAGCCTCCCCGCTCCCTGTTCTCGCCTCCTTCGCCTCCGCATCACCTCAAGCATCCGGTAAGCTCTTCCTATGTGCATAAGCGCTCGCTCCAAAAGCTCTCGGAGGACCAAGATCCCCTGCAGTGCATGGTCGTCTAAACTCATGCGACGAGGGTGGGTAAGTCGATGAACTTCCTCCAAGTGCTCGCTGCGCCTGCTGAGAAGAGAGGGGCCTTGTGGCTCCATCACGAGTAGAGGGTCGACCAGTTGGGAGGTGTGCTCGCTCCCTCCTAGTGCTCGAGGTGGTGAGGGGTCGATCCTTGAAGAAGCTAGCTGCGACACCTGTCGATCCCGAACCGTTTCCGGACCCAGAAGTGCTGTCCTCTTTGGTCAGAGGTGGAGGGTGGAAGTGGAAGGGTGAAGAGCCGCCGCCGGCACCGCCACCGTTGCTGTTGGGAGATGTCTTCCTTGCTGTTGTTCCTGCTTGTCCACTACTGGAGGGTCGCTCCCATCTTCCGGCGCGAGAGGCAGGGGCTGGTGCTGCTGCCGCTGCCGCTCGATCTCCGTCTCGTGTCGCGAGGGGAGTGCGGAACATGTCTCCCAGAGCACTCAGACCACTCGAGCTTCCCAGTCCACCCGAGGAAGAGAATGGTCGGAGCTTCTCGACTTGGTGGTGTGTGTAGCCATCAAAGGAGCCAAAAGCTCGTCCGGAGCGCGATGGAGGCGGGAGGATACTCGTACTGCCCACAGCCTCGGGAGGGCGCATTTGTCCACTGAGTGATGAAGAGGATTCGGCTCTACTGCTCGTCACGGGCCGACTCATCCTGTGCAGACCCATCTCGGGTAGATCGAGCATCGAGTTGCGACGATGGAAGCGCATCGAGGCTTCCAATTCTCCAGAGCTAGTCGGAGGACGAGAACGTCCTTCGATGATCGTCTTTGTGCCCCAGCTTACACTTGCTGTTCCACTAGTAGCTGCCTTGTGTGGAGGCGTTGCAATGACACTCGAGGAAGGAATCTGCTTTACCGCCGAGAGAGCATCGGCAGTGCTCTTTGCTGTGGTGGGGCGACTGAGGCTCGACAAGGGCGGCAGCAGGATTGCTGGCTCACCAGAAGCAGTCATCGGTCGGACGCCGCCTTGAGAGCTGCTTGGCAGAGGAGCAGTCGAGGTCGAGGCCTTGGCTGCATCTTCCTTCCTTGTCGGAAGAGCAGAGGGAGCATCTTGAGAGCCAAACACTGTGGGCGCATACCGATCCGAGAAGAAGGTGCCGAAAGAGGCATCCTCTGCCTTGCTATGCGTGTGAGACTCGCCACGTGCCGCATCCAGTGAATTGTAGGCTGGGTGGACATTGTGCTCGTCGTTGATCTGAGCGCGTGTGGTCGCTTCGCTGTCCGCTTTCGACTGAGCACCGGTCTGATGAGGAGCTTGTTGCTGGAGATGTTGGGGAATCTGCTCGATCGCATATGACATCGTTGGTCCTGTACCTCCAACAATCGGCGCCGAATGAGGATACCTGGCCTCCTGGTATGGACTGACATTCTGATGAGGGCCGATAGCGCCCGCATCTGGTCCTAGACTGTATAGCTGCTGTGGGTTTGCCTGCTGCTGCAGCACGAGACCGTCCCCATAGGAGACGTGAATGTATCCTGGCGGTGGAGGTGCCACCGACGGAGCGACGCGCATGTTGTGGCTACCAATGTGGTGCATCTCAGCATCAGCTGCAGTGCCATAAGGGTACGCTGTTGAGTCTGAAGACTCCGGAATGCGCTGAACCGCATTAGAAGAAGCTGAAGGACCAAACTGGTGCAAGTCGTAATGGACTCTATGAGGGTGCTGCTGAAGATGAGAGACCGCCATGCCGTCGGCCCGTGGTCCAAAGTGCGGTCCGGCACCGCCCATGTAGCTTGGATCATGCTGAACGAAGCCCGCAGAATGAGGTTGAGGAAAAGTGGGAGAAGCAGAGCTGTGGCCCATCTGTGCAGCAGTACCGTCCTCGTTGCCGTTCTTGCCACCTTTCTTGGGGCCTCTATGCTTTCTGACGACAGCGCCTTGTCCTTCGGCTCGCTGCAGGAAGGCTTGCGCATGTTGGTCTCGAGCTGCCGAAGCCGCCAGGTGTGCATGGAGATTGGTGAGCTCGGACATCATCAATTCGTTGCGCTCGCTCTCGTCCGAGTGAACAGTCTGAGCGTGTTGCCGAAGATTGTCCAGACGAGAGAAAGCCTTTCCACAGTGACAGCCGAAAGGTCGCTCTCCAGTGTGCTTCCTGATGTGTCGAGCCAGATGCTCACTTCGAGTGAAGGTCATGTTGCAGTCTCCGAATCCACGGCATTGGAAGATGGTGGTAGGTGCAGTTCCATCTCGATCGGTGACTCGAGCGTCGCTGTTCTTACGTTTGGCTAGAGACTTCGGAGCGGGACCACCAAGTGGATCTTCGCGAGTGGGCGAGCGTTGACGCTTCCTGGCCTTGCCACTACTAGTCGGTGAGCGCGAAGGTGAGCCATTTGGCATCTCAGTCACACTGAGCTTTCGAGGCTGGTGGTGACCCCCCACCGTCATCATGTCTGGCATCACTTCGCCACCCTGAGGCTCGAAAGGGTAATTGCCAGGCAGCCAGGCAGTAGGACCGACAAGAGATGCACGGTGCTGTACGTAGGCGGGGTCTGCCGGACCGTAGTATTCAGATGGGGCAGAACCGAACGAGGCAGGAAGGCTGCTCCGGTGAAAAGTCATGGAAGGACCCATGGCGTTTGCTGGGAGAGCAGCAAAGGTGTGCTGTTGCTGTTGCTGTTGCTGTTGGAGTTGAAGCTGCTGTTGCTGCTGATGCTGATGCTGCTGATGTTGATGCTGCTGATGTTGATGCTGCTGCTGCTGGAATTGTTGCATTGCTTGCTGTCCGGGAGGCATAGCCTGCACGTGCTGCTGCTGCTGCTGGGCTTGGTGAACGCTCATGGCCATATGAGGGGGAGGGGGCGACGAGCCCTGTTGGTAGTGCTGGACCAGTTGGTCTTGTGCAAGCTGTTGCTGCTGCTGCATGCTCATGTGCTGCTGCTGATGCTGTGCATTCGGATACTGATTCCATTCTGAATGCTCATGCGGTCGAGGTACCGAGTCGTAGGAGTAGGTCCAAGGCTGCTGAGAAGAGTCCGCTTGAGCTGAGGCCAGATCAGTCGAGACCGATTGGTTCCGCTGTTGCTGCTGCTGATCATGCGAGGTAGCAGTCTGTAGCGGCGAAGGGGGCGAGCCAAAGCCTCCATTGCTTGAAGGATAGGACTGTATCTGTTGATGTTGAGGTGGAGGAAAGTGAGGTCTCGCCTGGCTAGTCATGGACATTGTCGCCCTGCGACCAGGGACCGATGAGCGATGTAGGACAAGAATGGTGATGGAGAGGTACGGGGTGCGTAGATAGGACTTTGTTGACCAGGACTGATATCCTCGAGGAATGAGTGAGCGGCAGTCCCGGAGGGCAACGCTGAGGCGGATCGATATTGCGAGACCCGTTGAAGTTGAAAGGCGAGGGTGGGCCCTCCTCCTTGACAATAGCTTGCCGCTGGAAAGCGAACGAGGGTGGGAGGGCGCAAGATTCGTTTGCCGTGTCCCACTTGCTCACGGCCCGATACTTGGACCAAGGCGCACCACTAGTGATGTGAGAGTGGCTGCCAAATACACTTGAATTCCTTGCCCTCACTGGCCGATGCTCTCTAGCCGCGGAGTGAGATGAGAGTCCTCGACTGCCGTCCTCGTCCACACAAGTGGGGCTATGTGCTGCGATGCCGATGTGCTTGAACCAAGCCCGGATAGCTGCAGAAGGATGATAAGTGGGCGATCAATTCTCGGGAGTGGCCGGGAAGTAGCGTGATATAGGTGACGGAATGGTTCGGCTGGACTGCAAGAGGCGACGCTGCGAGGCGGGGTTGTGGGTGTAGTTGAGGTCCCTGGCGTTGAAGGGTCCAGGGCAGAGCAGATAAGAGGCGGTGATGGAAGCAGGTACGAAACAAGGCGTAGTGGAGCTTCACGGGGGATGGATGTAGTGATGGATGTAGTGATGGCGAGGGAGGCGAGGCGTCTGCCAGGTCAGGGCCTAAAGTGATGCTGAGTAGCGGTGGCGGTGAAGCGACGGAGGGTGGCAGTGGCCTTTGCTCTTTGCTCTCAAGGATCCAGGAACATCCATTAGGGACCTGAGCGCGGAGATCAGGGACCAGCCCGGCGGAAGAACGGTCCGAAGGCAGCAGAGGCGGGCCGCAAAGGGGGAGGAAGAAGTAATGGGTACAGAGGGAAGCAGCGGCGTCGCAGTGGGCGGTGTGGAATAGGAGGGAAGAGGGAAGAGTAGATAAGGTGAGAAGGAGGGAGAAAGGGAGGCCAGTGAGGGGGGGCGAGGCGGTGTGTGGATGTGGGGGGGCACAGGATATTACGGGGCGAGGCAATGAATGGACACCGGCGGGCCGGGCAAAAGGAAGCGGGATGCTTGCCGGATCTTGCTTGCTCCCCTCTGCTTTCGCTCCTCTACTGCCTTTGCAGCACGGCCTTCACGGCGCTCTATGCACGGCGCTGCAGCTGGCCTTTATGCAGACACCCAGATTCACACCTGTCACGATTGAGAGGCCGTGCTGGTGCTGGGCGCGCAGGGCAGGGCAACGGCAGGGCAGCGGCTGAAAGGGAGGAGAACAGGCGTGTGGTACTTGTCCGCGCCTCGAGCCCCTCGGCTAAAGCACCTGGGCCTGCCTCGCTTCTGGGTGTGCGGCGGGCTCGGGAAGGCAATTCGTGCTCCAAGACCTCGCTTGGATGCTGGGCTGTCTTACCTGAAAGGTGCCTGGCCACCATCTCTCGGCGTGTGATGACTGTGTAGGCCGAGGTAGATGTGAGCAAGAAGATGGCTCCCAAGCGAGGGCGACGGTGCAAGGGATGGCCGTCCTGGGCGGTACCTGTGTGCCGAGTGTCTGCCCTGCGTCTTGCCCTGGGCCGAGGGAGGTGGTGCATTGGCAGCAGCGGTAGGCGCTCCTCTGCTCTGTCCTGGGCCGCGGCCCGTGGCCTTGGTGTGGCAGCTCCGCCTGCGCCCTGCGTGGCCTGGGCGGCGTGGGGCGCGCTTTGATCACTCCGACTAAATTAGATCGGCCCCTACGCGCCCATCCGCCCAAGGAATGACTTTGCCTTTACTCATCGTCGCCCGGTTCCTGATGGCCACTTGCTACCCTCTGCCCACCTTGTTCGTATAGTGTGTGGGGTCCAACACCCAGTTCTCCTTCTCACCAGTACCTCCCGCCAGCCTTCGTGCCCCCACGACTGCCCACGGCCAAATCCCGAATCCAGCTGGAGCTCTTGGCACTGGACCTTGCCCCGATCTTGCTCCTATATCCTGCATACATTCGCTTGTGAAGCCGAAGCCAAATGCCAGGACCCTCCCCGGCGATGGCATCCAGAGATGGCGCAAGCAAACAGTCATCGGCAGGCGCCTCTCGAGGTCCTTCGCCCCTACTCGCAGCGCCTCCGATGACGGTGCGGCCGCCGCGACGGCTGTTGAGTCCAGCGATACCCACCCGCAAGACCTCTCATCCAGATGCTCGCGCAGCTGCCCGTGACTTTGCTCCATCGGGTGCTAAGAGAGCTCACTCCTACGTCCGCAATGTTGTGGCCTCACAGGCAGATATCGAGTCTCCAGGGCCCTCCTCTGCTTCGGCCGACCACCCCTCGCCAGCTCTTCGCAGCCCGGTCACGCCAACAGAACCTCACGTAGTGACTCCCACAATGTACCAAGCGCAATCCGATTCTCCTGCGGATTACAAGGCAACTCGAGATAGCGTAATGTCCGTCACATCAACCTTTGGCGGTGGCGGGAGCTCTTGGGAACAGTACGCTGCCTTGGTAGACGGCAAAGGCAAACGAGGGAGCGATAGCCACAGCGAAGGGGAAGACGACAAGGACACCCAGGCAGGGCATGGCGCAATGAGCCGTGCATTCGATGATCCTCTAACGTCTGGCTTGGGCATTGCAGGACTCGGAACAGGACCCTCGCTCGGCGGAAATCAGCATAGGGAAGCCTTTCAGGGTTCACATCCCACCGCTACCATAGGAACGGCCGACAGTGCCCAAGAGGTGCTGCTGGATGCTACAGAAACTGCAAACGCTGAGTCCAGAAAGACATCTAGTGGACTTCCATCACAAAGGTCTCCTAGTCTCTACGAACAAACCCCCAAGCTCGGTCTAGCCACACCAACGTCTTTCTCTTCTTCGCTCTCGAAGCGTAAATCAAAGCCCAACGACCTCATCTTGAGCTCACCAGCAGCATCGCCTCGGTTGCTCGGCAGCAGTCAGAGCCCTTTGCCCCCCAATACGCCAAGAGGTAGAACGCCGCCCCCTACCAATCCACCTGCCGAACCACTTCCTCCACTGCCGGCAACTGCAAATGCATACATCTCGAACTACAGCCGTCCGGAGCTCGTCTTGGAGCCTCGGTCTGCTAGTGCAAGAGATGACCTCACTTCGCCTGACCCAGCATCGTTGGCAGGGATGGGTGTAAGGACTGTATACACGGATGGTCATCTCCCTTCCCAAGCCGCCAGCGCTGTTGCTGGCAACCGGCTTGAGACTTTGGCAGCTACCAAGAACGCGGAAGCTCTTCTCAAGACGCTACAACCCGCTGCGACTTATAACGCACGACTCAGCGATGAGAGCGATGACGACGAGAGCTACGCAATTGAGGACGCCCAAGTCTTTGTGGGCCAGCGTGCAACACTTACGACGGCAAATGGTCTGCGAAAGGGGTCTGCGACTCAATTGTATACACCCACTCCACCACATGTCATCGTCCAAGAAGCATCACCGAAGCCCGAGGTGGAGCGCAAGAATGTGACTTTACCCTCTGGTGGCTTGAAGCAGGATCAGGTCGCCTCACACGACGTGCTGCGAAATCTCTCCAGCCAAGGGTCATCGCCAGTTGCGGCCGCTATGCCTCTGCCGCAGACGCACGACAGCCAACAACGCAACTCAGCCTCAGGCGCTTCGTACCCCACCGTCGCATCTACTCTCGGCACTGCTACTGCCCCTTCTTCCAATACGCACTCTTCCGTCTCTCAGCTCGGCAAGTTCTCGGGCACCTTTGGCGAGATAGCCATTGCGTTCAAGCAGCTTCAAGCAGAAAAGCGGACTCTTGAGAAGGTCATCAGAGCGACTACGCCCCTCAGCGGCGTTGGAGACGGAAGCGAAGATCTCATCCGGTATCTGACTACGATGAATGCCAAGCTCGAGGTATCGTCAACCGAAATACAGAAGCTGCTAGACCTGCTCGAAAGGCAGAGGTCTGTCATGGACTATATGCTCGAGACTCACGAGGCGGAAATCGACTCTCACCTAGATGAGATAGACGACGTCCGATATGAGTTGGACGAAGCTCTACAGACGGTGGAGAGACATCGAGTAGAAAGCACGCAGTTGCGACGACAGCTAGATCAGACTCAGGAGGAGGCGTTCGCTCTCAGACAGGAGGCGAACAAGGCCAAGATTGCTCTCGCAGAAGAGACGAAGCGGAGAGAGCAGGTAGTGAGGGCCATGGAGACGTACAAGAGCAACATGGATGAGAGTTTCAAGCAAGCCCAAGCTTCTCACGAGAGCCGCATCAAGGCCGAAGCAGACAATGTCACACTCTTGGCTGCACAGGAGGCTCTCAGGGCTGAGGTTGTCTACCTCCGTCAACAAGCAAGAGAGCACGAGTCAAGGGCCAAAGGCTCGGAAGCTCGTCTTCAAGACCTTCGCCACAAGCACGAAGAGGAGACGTCGAAAATGGGTGCAGACCACGAGCGCGAGATCTGGAACCTCAAAGATGCGCATGAAGCGGAAGTGACTGCTCAGAATGAGGATGTGGAGCGCATGGCAGAGCAATTGATGGCTCACCACTCGGAGGCGCTGGACATGCTCAAGGGAGAGCATGAGCAGACCGTCGAGGAGCTACAGGCAAGACTTTCCGCTATGGACGCGAGTCAGGAGGCTAGCATGGCAGCCAAGCGTGAGCTGCTGGAAACGGTCGATACGAGAGACGAGCAGATTGCACTTCTCACTGCTCAAGTCGAGCAGCTGAGCGCTCAACTCCAGCAGCAGACTGATGCGGCCGCTGTGGACCAGTCGCACAATTCAGACGAATCGATTCGCGATCGCCAGAGGTCTCGCTCGAATACAAGCTTCACCGACGGCTCGATCATCGAAGGAGAAGACCCTGCCAATGTGCGTCCCAGCAGCAGTATCGTTCCCTCCATCCCTGGCTCGCCCTCCGAGCAGATCCGTCAGCTCTCCGCGCAGCTCACCGAGCAACGTTCGAGAGAAGAAGCGATCCGCGGAGCGTACAAGCAGTTGCGAGACGAGCATCGACGTCTCCTGCAGACGTCTCACAAGGAGAGGCGAGGAAGTACGACTTCGCCCCTGGGAACGTACGGGCTAAGAGGCGTAGGCGTCGGCATAGGCGTCGCGTCCGAGCGGGCCAGTCCATCGCGACATAGCAGTGGTCCTTTCACCTCTGCCGCTACCTCGGGTCGACCTTTAGCCGCTTCAGACCCATTCACCAGCAGCGGTGGCAGTGGTGCTCCTCGCATTCCCACCTCCGCTCCTTCCAACTCGAGCGGAGCTACCAGTCCTCTAATGGGCATCAGTACTCGTGGTTTAAAGCGATTTAGTCTACCTCTAATGGCCAAAGGACTAGGTGGAGCACCTTCGGCTTCTGGTTCGGCTTCAGCTTCCGCTTCGGCGTCAGCTTCGGCTTCGCCTCAAGCCTTGCTCCTTTCGGTGCCTGATGGGAGTGGACTCGAGCAAGCAGGTGGAACAACGATGAGCTCGGGACCCATTGGTCAATCGGGGCTGAATGCCTACCGGAATTCAATCCTCCTCTCTAATGCTCCTAGCGGTAGCAGCATGCAGCAGCAACAGCAGCAGCAGCAGCAGCAGCAGCACGTCTTCCCCGCCGTCTCCCCATCCCAATCCCCTTCTGGCATGCTAGGTCTACAGCTCAACTCGAGCACTGATGCTCCCTTTTCTTCCACCACCTCGACCACTACCTCTTCTACGACCCGTCCCTTCCTAAGACGAGCAAACAGCAGCCGGACTAGCGCGACCGGCCCTGCAACCGCTGCGTCTACTGGGCGCACCGTCTCATCTTCGGCAGGGCCCGCTACTGCTGCTGCTGCTGCTGCTGCTGCAAGAGGCCCAACGGGCGCTTCTGGAGCTGCGCAGCTGCACTGAATTCATCCCTCGGGTGATGCTTGTGAGGACCGCAAGTCAGTTCACGTCACGTCAGTTCAGGTCACGTCAGGTCACGTCAAGCGGGTGCAGCAGAAGAGGTGTGAAGAAAGCGCTTTACATTGCAATGAGAGGTTTTGGGTATGTAAGAAACGAGAAGTCGAAGAGAAGAGATGGAGCATGCTGTGCTGTGCGACAATACGAAGCAAAACGAGGTGAGATGAGATGAGACGATGTGGTAGACGCGGGCAAGAGACAGAGAGGGGGGGAGAAAGAGAGCAGGAGAGAGGGAGGAAGTGCAGAAAGGGAGGGATAGACGGGTAGCGTGAGAAGATGGATGAGGGAAGCATGTGCAAGAAGCGGGGGGAAGGAAGAGGGAGAGGGAGAGACGATCGCATCCGTGCTCTTTTTCTCGTTCTCTGAGGTGCTCAATGTTGTATAGGTACCCATGTATGTAAGATCCGTCCTACCCTCGTCGTGATATATACCTCGGCTGTCCCTTCATCACTCATCTACCCCTTTCAATTGTGAGAGCCGATGTTCAATCTGGCAGTATTCTACCTGCCAAAAAGCCCGCCTGTAGTGCCTGCTCTCACGAATGGTCGTCTAGGAGGTAAGGTCCCTGCTGCTACTGCTGCTCCACCAGTACCAGCACCAGCACCAGTGCCAACACCAGCAGCTTTGGGCACGCCAAGGAGCATGGCGCCTGCTCCGCTCCTCCTACTCCCTGCTGCAGCGCAAGGTGAATCACCTAGACTCCTCTCTTGACTGCCACTCCCACTCCCGCTTCCACCAGCAGCGGTCCCCGACGCAGAAGCAGCAGCAGCAGCTCCACCTGCGCCTGCGCCTGCACGGAGTAGTAGCACGGGTGGTTTCCCCAATTCAAAAGACTCGTTGGAGTCGAAGCTCGTATCTCCTGTACTTCCCGACTCGGGGAGGAGGAACCCGCCTGCTGATGCTGTGCTCTGCTTCTTCACAGCGGCCAGATTCGAGGGCGAATCAGTCTCAAAGGAACTCTCCTCTTCGCTGCACATTGACTGGTTGGGCCCATCGACGTGTTGACCCAAAGCTGAGCGACGTTTAGGGTTGTGCAGGTTGTGCTGCGGTAGTCCGAGGGTAGACTCGCGGGAGGTGTGATTGCCACTTTGCCCGGCCATGGCCATTGCAAAGAAGGAATTGGGCCTGCCATTGCCTTCTTTGCCATTGCCTTCTTTGCCATTGCCACTGCCATTGCCACTGACCTGCTTGGCAGCAGCTTGAGCATCACCGTAGGTAAAGCTGCGATGTCTCGAGAATTGTTTGCGGAAACCATTCAGCTCAGTAGATCTCATCTGTACATGAGCGGGGTCGTCCATACGGACATAGGCCTGAGGCTCACAAATCTCCTCGTAGGTCTTGAAGAAGCCACAGTAGCCACCCTCGAGAATGTAAAGCTCTGGGTAATGGCAATTCGGGTAGTCTGAAGCGAGCGAGCGATCAGCCTGGCGCAGGGCAAGAGCCATGGAGGGAGCCCTCTTGGCGCTAAACTCGCAGTGGAAGACGAGAATGGGCTTGCGCGTATTGCCAAAGCAGTCTGCTCTACCGCTCTGAGATCGAGGCGGGAGTTCCCTGCCGCGAGGACTAGTATTGCAGTTCTTGGTGAGGAAGTAGTTCTTCACCCGGTCTACGGTGGAGAGGTTGATCGCTCCCGGAATATGACCGCCCTGGTGCTCGTAGCCGAAACGGCAATCGACGACCTGATAACTCTCGATCTGATCATTGTACTGGCCTTGCATCAGGGAAACCAAGGTCTGAGGTGTGATACGCATCAGCCCGTCCTCCTTGACGTTGAAGCAGGGGAGTACCTTTCCACTTCTTTCTGAAGCGCCAAACCCTGGCATGCCTTCGGAGCTACTAAAAGGAGAGCTCATCTTGCCATCGCCACTGTTCGGGGAGGTGACGTCTTCCTGAAGACCATTGAGGCCGGTACGTTCCCTCTGTCGACGGCTACCGTAGCCCAAGGGCGAGACGTCATCCTTGCTCGACTGCCGAGCAAACGTTGGTCGACGAGTCGCTCGAGACTTCATTGAAGGTGCCATGGGAGATCCATTGGCATCGAACCCATCTGGAAAGCGGGTATCGCCCGTCGAGTCACTGCTAGCCATCATGTCGATGCTCTCGGCAGAGGAGGAATCAAGCATGGAACAGGGACCTCCAGCGGCAGCAGATTCTCCTCCTAGGAGCATGGGTTCCAGCAAGCCACCACTTGCGGCAAACGGCTCAAAGGAAGAATGACATCGCCGAGGAGCGGGTGCTGTCAAGCGAGGGAAGACGACGTCGCGAGAGCTGCCGGCCGCGTCTGCTACGCCCAAGACGGCCTGAGCACTCTTGTGACATCGCCTCTGCTCTTGAATGAGGGTGCTGGGTCGTCGATTGGCGTGGTGCGGGTTCAGACGCTTTCCTAATAACGAGCGAGATTGGGGCTGCTCCTGGCTGAAGCTCTGTCGAGTGGATACTACTGCAGTGGAGTGAGCTTTGACAAAGGCACGAGCAGGACTGCCGCCATTTGGCACGCCCAAAGATGGTCTCTTCGCCTGAACAGATGCAACTTGATTGCCGCTGGTAGTACGCGGGATGCCGAAGCCGGACGAGGGGGATGCCGCTTCGCTGAACGAAGCGAAATCTAGACTAGCATTGGCCATCTGTCGAGCCTCTGGTGACTGGGGATCGAAAAAGTAAGAGCCGAGGTCCTGGCGTTCCAGAGAACCTGGAGAGGGAGACTCGATGATGGTGGCATGAGTAGCAAAGGCTGCACTTGTCAAACCCATGGCTTCTTGCCTCTCCCGGATGCTCTGAGCGAAAGAGGACACTGGTTCCTTTTCTGCCCCATCGTTGCTGTTGACACGAGAGCGAGGTCTCCTTCGATCTTGAGACTGGTCTGCTGGAGATTGCGATCGACCCACGACATCAGTGCTAGACCTGCGCGTAGGCTCATCATGAAAGGTGCTGAGTAGACTAGGCACTCTCCGGCTGGAAGATAAACACAGGGCACATGACTGTCAGTAGCGTTCGCATTTTCCTTCGTACAGCGATCATTGTACTCACTTTGCAAAGACGCCATTGATCATTGCCGTCCGCAAGCCTGGTCGAACGAAGGGCCGACCTTCGCCCAGGGGCAACGATGAGGGTCTTCTCTTGGCCGGGGGCTGCTCTTTCTCATAGCTAGCATCGCCATCTTGGCTATTCTCAAAGCTGTTGTCTGTGCTGCCAGGCGACGCTTGAGTGTTCATGGTGTTCAGGGACATGTTAGTGCCGAACAATCTGCCGAGCTTGCTACCGGCACAATTGGACAAATCGGGACTAGCTCGATGTCCACTGCCTCGACTTGTACTTCCATTGCGACTGGAAGGACGACTGGATACTCTTCTACGGGCAGACATTGGTGGAGTGTCCTCCTTCATGGCACTACCGGGAGGTAGCATTGCGTGACGCATGGCTGCCGAGGAAGGCGTATTCGAGCCGCCAGAAGGCTTTGATGAGGACGCGAGTGGATTGGTCGGCGAAAAGTCCATGTAGTGGGGCGAGCTCATTTTGGCAGCCAGACCAGGCGACTTGCTACTGAGCTCTGTACCCATCGATGCTCCCAGAGTGCGAGTCATCGTGGGCGACTCGGAGAGTGAAGGTGGTAGTCGCGAGGAAGAGGGAGATGAGGTGAAGGTAGGCAGAGGCCCTCGTGCACGAGCTTTACTCCTTGTAGCCATCGAAGGAGACGAGGCTGAGGGCGAGGAAGTGGGGGAGCTGGGAGCGGACAATGCAAAGGGGTTTGCTGATTGCAGTGCTTCGAGCCGTGTGGAAGAAGCACGGATGCTCTGAGAGCTCGAGGAGGAGGATACCGGGAGGTCTGCAAACACCTGCCCACTGCTAGCCCGGCCATCGCTTTGTTGTGAGGCCACTCTGGGCAGCTGGTCAAAAGATGACCCCAGGGACATGCTCGATCCAAAGGAGCGATCAAAGTCTGCTGGTAGCTCTTCATGTCTGCGAGTTGGGGAGCTGGGTTGGTCGAAGATGTCGAAGCGCATGGCCGGGCCCATTGGTGACGAGAGTAGCGCCATCATGTATCAAAAAGCCGAAGGGAGGCCGAGGAACGATGATGTGATCTGACTGTGTGAAGTGATCACAGAGCAGTGGAAGAGGAGGGGCAAGGGCGCAAGAAGCGCGTCGAGGTTGGCTGAAGTGTGTGGAGAGGGCTGTATGCTGTTTGTCTATGTCGTGAGGTATGACGTTGATGGAAGTCAGGCCCAGAGGGTGAGAATGCGAGTGAGGGAATGCCGATGCGAGGGCGGGCAAGGCAGTATGGGTTTCCTGAGACGTCGTGAGTAGAGACAATGTAGAGACTGTGATTGATGGGGATGTGTTGGTCTTCGCTGATGAAACGAGTGGTGGGCGGTGTGTGTGGGTATTGATTGACAGAGGGAGGCCCGAGGGCAGCAATGGGTGGCTGCTCTGGTGGTGTTGGGTATGGGCTTGCCCCTCTGGCAGTGTGCCCGCCGTTGGCTGTGGGATGCCCGCGTGCGCGAGACCAACACATGGCTTTTGGCTTGGCTTGCATCCACCCGCCGCCGCCCCGCCCAAGGCCCGACGCGGCGATTCCCTCCGAGGGGCAAAGATGACGCCGCTGTCCCGCCCGCCGCTTCCTTTGTCCAGAAGCGAGGTCTCGATCCTGCACGACCGTGGCCTCAAAGGACCCTCCCTCCAGGGTTCACCACCATCCATTCGCCCAAATGTGATCACTCGACTCATTGACAGTCACAATGAGCCGAGGGGGGGACCGCACGCCCTGCGTCTACGATCTTGGTGGGTGCTGCAAAGTAGCAAGTGTCACACACCCACACACACACACCCATGGAAGCAAGCACGCAGCACGCACTTCTCAGCGCGTCCAAAACACCGCCCTCCTTTCCCCACTTGCCATTCCTCCGTCTGTTCCGTCGCCTTTACTCATGTACCTCTATTGCAAATCAATCTTAATCGCCTTCTTTCCGGGCTGTGCAAAGGAATCTCCACTTGTCCTAAACTTGCCCTGTCCGCTACCTTCCACTATTCCTCCTGCCCTCGGACTACTTCTTCCCGGCCCACTCTCAGATAAAGTTGCTCTCTCCCCCCCGTCGAACGATCCGCTCAGGGAGCAAAGGCCGGCCAAGCCGTGCCCGTACTTATCCTTCGCTCTGGCAGCCAGCACGCAAGCACGGGCAGGCGGGCGGGCGGTCGAGCCCTCTGCAAAGTGTGTAGCTGATCTCCCCGTCTGAAGTCAGAGTCCGAAGCGGAGCCAGGGAGGCATGGAAGTGGAAGCGGGAGCACAGATGGTACATGCATACATCCATTGCGAAAGCAGGTCCCATCCACAACACCAGGGCATAGGCACGAGGTTGAAGGGAAGGGGAAGGCCGAGGTAAGGAGTCCTGAGATCCACAAGCAGGGAGGCGTTGTCTCCTCCCTCGCTTATTCTGACTAGGTTTCTTAGTCTCCTGACGGCCAGAACGAAGGACCGTTGAGCTCTCTCTCTCTCTACCTCTCCCTCTACCCCTCCTTTCTTCCTAGCTTCCTCGCTTCCTCTCTCAGGTCAGGCCTTGGCAAGGGGAAAAGTCTCGGGAAGTCTCCATGCCGAGGCACGCGCCTCGGACTGATTGACAAGCGGCAGACGCGGGGCGGGCGAGTGTCAGACAAGGCTGGCTTGGCTTGGGAATTTCCATCGCCCTTTGGCGCATGCATGAGGGAGACTGCTGATTCCCACCAGCCAAGAGGTGGCCTCGTCTTGCTTCTGACCTAGCCTAGCCTACTCTATCACATTCAGCAAGCCGGAGAACCACAGGGGCAAGGAGAGAAGCCGAGTGAGCAGCAGCAGCAGCAGTGAGTAGTGAGCAGTGGCTTGGCCTCTTTCTTTTTCGTCTTCTTTTTTTTTCCCGACCCGACAATTGGTACGCGTCAATTGTATGGGGACCGTCAAGCTAGGGCTAGGCGGAGCTAGAAGTAGACGGAGCGGAGTGGAAACCCAAATTGGAGGCTTTTGGCATTTGGCATGCTTCTATACAAGTCGTGCGTGTGTGCGTGTGTTTGCAAGCGTGGGTGAGCGTGTAGTCTTTGCCACACCACACTTTTATGAGGGTCAGTCCGTCAGTCGGCCCGTGGGCGAATCAGTTGGTCTAGACTAGATAGAAGACAGGACTTGCTTGCTTGCTTGTTTCAGAGGAGGAGGAGGAGTAATGCGAGTCTCGCGCCTTCTTCCCTCTCCCTTCTCCCTGCTCTACGTCCTTCCCTGTTCCCTCTACAACCCACCCTCACCCTCACCCTCATTGCTCACCCTGTGGAGTGCAGGTAAGTCTGGCCCCTTTTCCCATACGTCTGTCTCCACACTGTAGTAGAGTGTGGCAAAAGCGTGGCATAATGTGGCGTGGCAAGTAGTGAACAGTCGTAGATAGCAATGCATCGCAACGCACGTGCGGCTGGATTTAGACCCTTCATTATGCCGTGCCGTGCCGGAGGAAGATACGGAAAGGACGGGGCGGGAACACTGCAAAGGAGAAGGTGGGGGAGGTTGCAGTGAGTATGCACGAGTACAGCGGGGAGGTGCAGCGAGGAAGCTGGGGTACTGTCTAAGCCCGTGGAGATGTGAGGGCAGCTCGAATCCAATTAGGTGACAGGAGGCTTGCAACGGGGAATGTACGTATGGAGCAAGCAAAGGCTGGGCAACTTTGGATAGAGCTCGCTTCGCATTCATTTCCAAGAGGTGAGACTCAAGATGCAGACCTGAAGGAACTTTCTTGGTATGGGGAGATGAATACATACAGATGAGCAATTCTACAGCGCCTGGTCTGGACTGCAAGTTGGGCTTCGGCTCGGCGAGACGTCTCACTGAGATGTCTGGGTCGTGTTCTGAGCAGTCTGCTCTGTGGAGTCGTCTTGGGCCGACCCTTGCCCCGCGCCGTCCTCCTGCGTGGCCTTCTGCGCTGCGGTCTCGGCCTCGACTCCGAATGCTCTCCTTACTATAGGGGGAATGTAAAGAGTTAGGGACAGATCAGCTGCAGCTCACAGCGTGGAAGCCTATCAGCACAAGTTCCCAGCGTCCAGCCTACTCACGTTTATCGAATCGCAGCGAGCCCCATCCAGTCGCAGCATCCCACCCCGGCCGAGTAGGCAGGGAATGCTCAGTCCCCTCGTCGTCCGTACAGCCCGCAGCTTTGCCTTTGGTGACGTCCACAAAGAGCTCCGGATGCTTGTACAGCGTCGGATTCGCCCAGCCTATTGTGCCGAGTCCTGCCGCTTTGCGCGCCGAGTTCAGCAGGGCAAAAATGGCTGCCGCTGAGGGTGAGGAGGCCGAGGTACCCAGCTGGGCACCCAGTCGACCAGCATGAATAGTGGGGACCATGTAGCCAATGGCGGAAATGTCAGGGTAGGCCCTGCCCGTTGCATTGTAATTGCCGTCTTCTGCTCCATCCAGACTCTCAATGTAGGAACCTACCGCCTCCTTCTGATAGTCTGGCGTGGGGAACACATTGGAGAACCCTCCGCCGCCCCAGAAGTCGTGTTGCTTCTCATTCACGGCCGTCTCGTCTTGCAGACCAGCTGTAGCGCCTACTGAGACGACATACTGGCATCCTGAAGGCCAGGTGGGCAAGAAGGGAGGGCAAGAGATCCCGGGACTTCCTCCCTTGACCGAGCCGAAGACTCCCCAGTCTCCTGAGGCAACAAAGATGGTAGTGCCGAGCGCTGTCAGATGCTTGGCTGACTGGCAGCCGATGCGGAGAGAAGATGTCGCCTCGGTGGTCTCTTCGGTGCCGAAGGAGTAGCTGGCCACACCAGGTCGCTCGGAGTCGGGCAGATTGATGAAGTAGTCGAAGAAGGATGTAAATGCAATGTCGGTATTGTCGCTCGCAGGAAGGACGTAGCCTCTGAGTGGGATAGGAGAAGCGATACCGGCGGCAGTCTGAATGTCGAGAGTGAGCTCTGCAAATTCCCCTTCAGCCGGAGGGAAGTTCTCGAGTCCTTCACCAAAGGCGAGCTTCAGGTCGTAAGGCACACCAGGTCGGTATTTGTTCATGAATAGTTCTACATCTTTCTGATTGGTGCCTGCGAGTAACCGAGAGGGGAAGCTCAGTGTCATGCAACGCAGGGTGTCGAGCTGTTATCTATCTGGTCCGCTCACCTTCCGGACCGAAGAGAACCAGCGCAATGGAGGGATCGTCGGCCTTGCCCTCGAAGTCGTCAACGCCGTATAGTTGACGGAGACAGGCAGGAGTGGCCGCATGATGACAGAGCTGCTGTGCAGACTGGTTGCTGGGAGCCGCCCCGATTCTTGGCAGCAGTTCCGATGATCTCGCGTACATCAGGTCCCGAGGTCTGGACCAATCGTCTGCAGAATCCTCCATGGGCAGGGCCGGGTGACCGCGAGCAGCGAGAGGTTGTCCTGACCTCCTGGGCTTCTCCTGAAAGTTGAGCAGAGGGGTTAGGCCAATGACGTGGGGCAATAGAGCGGCAGGGATTGTATAGTTGTAGGCTCGGACTAGTGGCTTGTCCTTGGCCTCCTTAGTGAACAGTCTGAACTTCGTCTTCAACATCTTTGAAGCTCCATCGACTCTGGCCTGATGGTAGGACGCGCTTGCTGTCAGTGCCAAGATCCGCCTATGCCCACTCATTGAGACTACACGGGTGTACGTACCTGGACAGCGACTGTGTTGCCGAGCCCACCGAAGGAGTATTTCTTCGCCCCTCCCTCTTTTAGAGTCTTCTTGATCAAGCTTCTGATTTCCGGCTTCGGCTGCACGTAAGCTTTGAGCTCGTCAAATGAGAGCCACTTTTGCTGTCCGTTGCTCTGGACGATCTCGTCCATCTTGCTGTCCAGGCCTTGCTCATCTCCGCTCTTGAGGTAGATGAGGAAGTTGAGGATATCACTGTCCTTTGCCGGTCCGATGTCAGTCCATTCGCCGAGAGCTGCTTGTGAGGCGTGGTGGACTGAAGGACCCTGGGCAGCGATCGCGAAGGTGATGCCGCTGATCAGGACTAGGCTGGCCACAAGCATGGCTCTCAGTGTCAGCAAGGAAGGAGTCATATCGAGCAGAGGGAGACCGGAGGGACACCGTGAGACATGACAGACCGAGAGCGACGAAGTTGGTACCAGCACACGACATTATAAGGGATCTGGCCCAAAGACAGCGGTCATGGCTGCGCTCGCGATATTCCCGCCAGCAAGTCGAGGGAAAGCAACAGAGGATGCGGTGGTGCTACTGAGCAAAAGGTCCCTAGGCATTCCAGCCAGGGTGGTACCTGCTATTGCTGGTTGCCATCGAGAGATTGCCGCAATGCAAGGCTGCTCTACACAACATGTCTGTTGCTGTGGCAAGGCGTGAAGGCATACGACGTAGCAGCAACCAGCAAAGTCGCCTCTGCAGGCAGCCTGGCCCGCGCGCAGAGCACCAACCACCTTTTTTTGGCCGGAGGACGAGAAGAAGTCGATGTGCTCACAGTCTACGTGAGACCTTCCTTGTCTCCTACAGTCATCGTCTGCCTTATACCCCTCCTTGCGATAGGCTTCTGTCGCCCATGATGGCGTCGACGTGTCTGAAGAATGCCTCTGTGACGAGCCACAGACTCACTTCAGGCCATCCTCGCTTCATATCAATCACATTGGGTCAGGCAGTGAAGCTCTTGCACTCCTCTTCCCGCACCCGCTTCCACGACAAGAACGCCCATCAGAAGACGCTCAACCTGCCTTCAACTCCGTTTGACATTCGAGCAAATGCCGACAAGCGGGAGCCCTTGTTCCGACGCAGGACCACAGAAGCCTTGTACAAGTGGCAGAAGGAAGAGCACAAGGGCAAGCCATCCTGGTACTTCCACGATGGCCCTCCTTACGCCAATGGCAGTCTGCATATGGGACACCTCATGAACAAGGTACTGAAAGACATTGTCAATCGGTACCACTTGCTCCGAGGCAAGCGTGTCTTCTTCACACCTGGCTGGGATACGCACGGTCTGCCCATCGAGCTCAAGGTGACGGGTAGTCCAGAGATGAGAGGCAGGTCGGCCTTCAATACCGAGCCTCAGCTCATTCGGAAGCTGGCCAGGACTTATGCCGGCAAGGAGATTGAGAGGCAGAAGGCAGAGTTCAAAGAGCTCGCTCTTCTAGCAGATTGGTCAGACGACACATACCAGACCTACGATTCTGAATACGAGATGAAACAGCTGGAGGTCATTGCAGAATTGGCCAACAAGGGACTCATCTATCACGCCTTGAAGCCTGTTCACTTCTCACCACAAACGAGGACTGCTTTAGCAGACGCTGAACTCGAATACAGGGACAACCACATGTCTCGCTCTGTTTTTGTTCCTTTTGGCCTTCAAGCCGGGCCAACCCTCAAAAGCAAGCTCACTTATAAGAGCGATCTCGACAGAGTGGCAGAAGGAAAGGCAGTCGACTTTGAGGCTGTGATATGGACAACAACCCCCTGGTCGCTTCCGGGCAATATGGCTCTCGCCGTCAATCCCGAAATGAAGTACTGCATCGTGCAGCCCAAGGAAGGCACACCCGCCTTTCGGCAGAGAAAATTTATTGTTGCGCTAGATCGAGTCAGCTACCTTTCGAGACGCAAGCTGGGCCTCGATGGGCCAGGCGGCTCTCAACGCCCTACCGTCGGGGAGCTGGAAGTGACAAGCATCTTTGATGGAGCGGATCTCCTCGACAGTACCTACATCCACCCCTTTCACCTTCGAACGAGCCCTCCTCGGCCAATCTTGCCGGCGGACTACGTTACAGCCGAGTCCGGAACTGGGCTTGTCCACACTGCACCTGCTCATGGGATGGAGGATTACCAACTCTGCCTTCGCCATGGCCTCATCGGCGATGCGTCTGCTCCAGAGCTTCTCTCGCCCATCAGCGACAGCGGTCGCTTCACAGATCAGCTGACCGAAATCCAACCTGATGCGAAGAGCCTCGTTGGATCCAAAGCCCTTGGTGAGGGTTCCGTCTTGCTGGTGCATTGGCTCGAGGAGCGAGGGTATCTCCTCTGCGAGCTTCCTTTGCAACATCGGTACGCTTACGACTGGCGCTCCAAAACACCAGTCATGATGAGAGCTACACCGCAATGGTTCATAGATGTCTCGAGTCTGAAGGAGAAGGCACAAGAGGCGCTTGAGAATGTCAACTTCGTCCCGCCCTCGTCCCGAGCCAGGCTGGAAAAGACAATTTCAGCTCGTAATGAGTGGTGCATCTCGAGGCAACGAGTCTGGGGTGTGCCCATCCCAGTAGTGTATGACAAGGACACGGGCAAGCCACTGCTCACAGCGGAGAATGTGAAACATATCATTTCCATTCTGCGCGAAAAGGGTACAGACTACTGGTGGGAAGGGCAGCCAGAGGAATTCGTCGCTCCCCAATACAGGGGCGCTGATAAGCAGTGGAGAGTAGGGACAGATACCATCGACGTCTGGTTCGATTCGGGTGTCAGCTGGGCAGCTGCGCACGCGTCTCCTGCCGCTGTGGGCGAAGGCAACGAGCGCATCGCTGACCTAGTGGTAGAGGGAACCGATCAGCACCGAGGTTGGTTTCAGTCATCTCTCTTGACTAAGCTCGCCTTCTCAGCTGAGGGCGAAGCACCGCAAGCCCCCTACAAGACAATTGCCACGCATGGGTACGTCCTGAATCGTCGTCACGAGAAGATGTCCAAGTCACTTGGCAACTTCATTGACCCGATGGTTCTGCTGAAAGGTGGAGCCAAGAAGAGCGAGCCTGCCTGGGGAGCGGACACTCTTCGGCTGTGGGTAGCAAAATCATATGCCTGGGAATCAGACGTCAACATCTCTCAATTGCAGGCAAAGCATGCGAACGAGGACCTTCGCAAGTTGAGGAATACAGCTAGATTTATGCTTGCCAATCTTCCGTCGCGAGATCAGACGCCTTCTCTGAAAGACGCGGCCGTTCAGAAGGGCCTCACTCTCCTAGATCGATTCATTCTGGCGGAGCTGCATGGTCTTGATGTCTCCTGTCGAGCTGCGTACGAGGAGCTGAACTACGCTGGAGTGGTACGCCGCTTGAGCGAATTCATGAACACTACCCTCTCCACCCTCTACTTCTCCATCATCAAAGACAACCTCTACGCCAACAACGTCGACGACCCTAAGCGCCAGGCAGCAGTCGCCGTCTGCGACCAGATTCTCCGTACGACCGTCTCGATCCTGGCACCTGTCGTGCCTCATCTGGCAGAGGAGATCTGGTACTACCGAGGCGACGCTGTGCGCGATCCGCCTGCCGAAGTTGACCTCAGCGCTCCGCGTGAGCAGAGCTTCTTTGAGTCGGGCTGGCAGCAAGTCGGCGAGAAGTGGGACGATCCCGATGCAGTGCGGGACTGGCGGAAGATGCAGAAGCTCCGGAATGAGCTGTTGAGTCTCATCGAGGAGGCCAGGCAGGACAAGTTGTGCAAGTCGGGCGTGGAGCTGGAAGTCTTCCTCTCTCTGCCTGCAGAAGAAGGACAAAGAACGGATCAAGCTTCGCAAGAGTTGATGAAGCTGTGCAAAGAGTACGAAGTAGATTTACCCGACTTCCTCGGCGCTGCACATGTACACTTGACGACTTCTCCACCTGCCATCAGGCTGGATGAGGCGGGCAAGAAGATCTGGTACTTGACCAGGAGCCTGCACAGCAGTAGTACCGTAGCTCCAGCGCCAGTTCCAGCGGCGGAACACAGTGCTTCCCTGGACGAGTTCGAGGCTCTCGTTGAAGGTGCTACGTCCCATTCGGACAGCGATGCGTCGCAAGACGCACAAGTCATCGCGCCTGCACAAATTCAACTAACCATTCGTCCGGCGCCGGGAGCACGATGCCCACGATGCTGGATCCATCGTGCTCCTTCGCCCATCCTGGCGTGCGATCGTTGTCTGGGTGTTATGCACAAGAAGGAGGTGGCCTTTGCGAATAATGCGACATACCTTGCTCAGGCTGGCGGAGGAAGGCAGAAGGAAGGTGATGCAGAGGGAGAAGCTGTCTTAGGGTCGATGGAAGAGAGGGAGCAGGAGCAGAAGTAGACTTGAAAAGAATTCCGTACATGCTGGGCAAATGCCAAAGCTCGTGTCACACTCCACCGCTCTAGATTGTACTATGACATTGTAGAAATACAGCCGCAAAGAAGGCGGAATTGACCTAGTACAACGCCGTGACCATCTGTCTATCTTCTATATCGCATCTATATCGCCTCATATCTGACCTGACATTACACATCTAGATAGCTCATCGCTCCACTTTCTCCTACAACCGTGCTCTAGCAGCTACTTAATTCTCATGTATCAAAATCGATCCCGGTCTCTCAATCCCAGGTCTCATCCCATAAGTCCGATACAACAATGCCGAAATCGACCTCAACTTTCTGTAGCTCTTGTGCTTCTGATCGTCCGCAAGTGGGCGTACAGACTCCACTACCAGGGCTACATCTTCCGCTGGATGAGGTCCCTCGGGCTGATCAGGGTGACGCTTGTGCGAGGGCAGGAGGTGCTCCGGGTCGAGCGTATAGTCTCGCTGCATATCCGATGCGCGGGGCAGTGAGGTCATTCCTCCACTGGGTGTCCTTCGGGCAATGACACCTCTAACTTCTCTTCCCTTCTTCTTGCGCACCTTTTCGTCGTCCTTCTTCTGCTCGTGCTCCTCACGACGGAACTTGTGCTCCTGACGGCGCTCCATTAGACGTGCAGCGGCGGCGTCCTTGGCGTGAAGGAGGTGCTCGCGACGAGTGTGCCCGCCCGCTTCGGAGGAAGAGGGAGCCTTCTCGATCGCTTCCAGTTGACCGCGATAGACATTGGCGTCGGCTTGAGGATAGTCGACGGACTCTGTCGTCCCGTGAAGATTCTCGTTGCTGAATGGCGAGCTAGGTTCGATCGGCTCGTGAGGGGCTCCAGGAGAAGATATTTCTGCATCATCCGCTCTAGAAGTGGACCCCTCTTCGCGGCTAGTGGTGGACTTCTCCTTAATTTCCGGCTCAGTCGTGGTCCTTTCCCGGATCACGCCCACAAGAGGCTCTGGAGAGCTTGACTTCGCTGGTCCATCAGCGTCCAGCTCGGAATGATCAGCTCTCGCATGTGATTCATCTTTCTGCTCCTCGCCGGCTTGATCTCTTTGCGATTCGCCTGCGCCTCCAGCTTTGTAGGCCTTGAGTCTCTTGCCCAGCAGCTCCATCTGCGTAAGCGTAGCTCGACTGTAGATCTCGATGCACTTTGCAGGAGTGACCGTCGATCTGAACACCTTGGGTAGCAAGCTTGGGTAGTCGGAGAAGGACAAGTGCTCAGCCCCAGCAAGGGTGATGATCCACCCTTTCGGCGCGTCCTCCTCGCTTTTCCCTGACCCTGGCTGAAGATCCTTTACGAGGGCCTTGACCTTGGAGAAATGTTCGGACCAAATGGTGAAGGACTCGGAGTTGATGACGTAGACTGGTGCCTGCAGAGGCCTGTGGCTAGAAGAGTTGGATGTGGTGATGGGTTCGACCCAGGGGTCGAGCGCGACGCCGTACGGAAAGCGAGGGGATGAGCCTTTGAGGTATTCGATGACCGTGGCTCCGCCAAAAGAATGTCCAATCAGGGCTGCAGATGCGATCAAAACGGGTACGACATTCAGTATCGGTGTAGCAGATGCACTGGATAGCATCGTCTCGCTCACCTGGATGTTCAATTTCTAATTTGCCCTTCCAGTCTTTCAGTCGAGAGGGGTCAACAATGAGACCGTCTCTGGGCGGCTTTCCCATTCTGTATCTCCCACAAAGCTTCGTCGTCATAGTCCTGGTGCTCTCAGCGGCAACTTGGTCCCCTTCGCCCCTTGCGATTCTCTGCAGTATATCGAGACACTCGTCGAGCTCTGCGATCCTCATGGCCAGTTGGGCATGCCTCATTCCTATCTCCTTACCGGTGGGCTCCGTAGGAAATGAGCGCAGCCCGATGGTGCTAAAGTCAAAGTAAGGCACGATGGCCTTGGGATGATGTCGCCTGGCTTTATTCTTCTTCTCTTTGCCCTCGTCAGGCTGATGCTTGGGCCGCTGCAGTTCCTCTTTTTGGGTAGCCCCGAACCCTGGATCTAGCGGTGGACGCACGACGGAGGTGAGACCCGAGCCGTCGCGATGCTCGACAGCGGCGACGATGATGCCATGCGAGGCTAGCTCCCCACAGTATTGCGAGTAGGCCAGACGGGACCCGGCCAGACCGTGCGAGAAGACGACGACGGGAAAGGGAGGTGCGGCTGCACTTGCGGTGTCCGCAAGAGGAGCCCCGCCATAGGCTGGTGCCTTGGCTGCCAATAGCGATAGGAGTGCGGGCGATGCGGGTATAGCCGCGAAGGGCCCCGCGAGGCCGTATTGGCCAAGATAGTCGACCATCGCCGCTGTACCCCTCCTTTTGGGCCGACCGATCCAGGCTACCTTCCGATATTCCTTTGCTGCCTCTTCGTCTAGAGAAGTGGGGTAGAAGAGGGTGAAGAGGACGGTGGACAGGTACAAGGTAGAAGTCTTGCTGCCGTGGTGAAAGGGCGACCAAGATGCCAGCTTGGATGCCGCGTCCTCATCTTCGCCATCGTCTTCTTGCGAAGCTGGTGCTCGAGCTGATGTACTGCCGCTACTCGACTCGGGAGAGGCAGTCGTGGTCTGCTGACCCTCTCGATCTCTCGGGTGGAGTCTATGGGGCTCTGCCTTTATCCTACCTGCCTTTGACCTCTTGTGCTTCGCGGGGGGATTGATGGCATCGGGGCTCACGACGTCGGTAGCGAAGGCTCTGGACTCTCGCACTGGTATCTCCAGGTCGATCGCTCCGACCCTAAAAGGCCCCTTGTATGGCGGTAGAGGCATGGCATTGGAGCACGACGAAAGGGAAGAAGAGTAAAGCCGGACGAATCTCTCCTTCGAGTACCGTTGGACTGGTCCTTCTCGGCCAAAAGCGACCAGAAGCCGGGCTGCCGAAGCGGAAATTTGGCTTGGCTGCTCGTCTGCCGCGTGTGGAGGCCGGGGCCGTATCTCCGTGAATCCGCATAGAGGCATTCAGTGGGTGATACTGCCTTGGCCGACCTCGACAAAGACAAGTTCTCGCTAATGCGATCTGTGGTCGAGCGCTGCCAAGAGATCTGCGCTCTTCATGTGGTGGCTTGTATGACCAAAGTTGGCGGGCTTCAGGGCGCGACACATTCTAGTCGATGAGCACGGGTATGAACATATGTATAGCGCAAGGGGACAGACACGACAACGAGGGCGCTTTCAGCTAAAGTAGGAGTACATGAGCAGAACAAAGACCTGACGAGTCCAAGGCAGCAGTTGATCGAGTCGTCAGTATACAGCATACTCTCAACTTCCCTACAGCCTTTCTACTCACGATGGCGCAGAAGGCTGCCATTGCCGTCACCTTGGTATTCTTCCACCACATGCTCCTCCTGCGGGACGTAAGAAGGTTACATTGGGAAGAAGTCAGCTGTCTCTCTTCACAAAGGGCTCGGCTCGATGTCTTCTCGCACGTACCTCAGGTCCTTTGCCCTCCTCCTAAAGGCCAGACTCTGATTTGCCGCTTCTCCCGTCCTATCCATAAGTAACTCGATCCTCTCTCCCCTCGACAAGATCTGCTCTACATTTTGTGTCATGATGTCCTTGACTGCTCCCAACTCTGCCTGTGCCGCCTTGACCGGGTCTGATTGAGGCGCATTGGAGAATCGTTGACGCAGAGCATTCAGTACGGCGTGGAAGGAAGAGAAGTCTGCCACGGTCGGATCCTGCAGTTGAGCTTGAGAAGATTGGGCAAGGAACTGTTGGGCAAGATTGAGAAGGGAGGATAATGGACTCGTAAGTGTCAATCTAGCCGGCTAAGCCTCCATCAGCCCGTGCTGTGGGGGCTCGTCCGCAACTTCTGCTTAGCAGCGATACAAACCTGCTTCTGCACCTCGCTCAGGAAGGCAAACGGCAGCCTCCTCCCTCCTTCTCCATCGGCAACACATAGGTAGACGAACCCCTCTTCGCTGACGTAGTGGAAGAGCCACTCCTCGAATGCATACGAAAGACGACTGGAGTTGGGTGGGATGCGGTCCAGGATCTTGGAGGCAGCAGCGAGGAAGCGCTCGGAGCCTGCCTCGTGCGATTCGACGATGACGGTTGAGCCAGAGGCGATGAGTGCGAGTGGGATGGGCATGATCAGGGAGCAGAGGTGAGTGCAGAGGTGGAATGACAGTCTACCAATGCAAAAGGCTCACGAAGGTGGTGATGATCATCGTTGGCCGCCGATCCGGGAATTGAGCCGACGCCTGGCAATTCGACTCCGCTGTCTGGCTCCCTTTCCGCTTGACGCACACTGCCGATCATGACTTGATACACCTTCCTGGCCATACAACACTTCCATTCTCAGCTTCTACAGATTTCTCACCTCTCTATCTCCCCACTCTCCCTCACGACGGCTGCGCTCAGAGTGCTTGGTGGACTGCGGCGAGGCGTGTCAGATCTCCGCCACCTCTCCTACGCCATGGCCTCCCGCCGCGTAGCCATCATCGGAGGTGGCTCCGCCGGTATTGCCCAAGCTCAAGAGCTCCTCGACGCCGGCTTCCAGCCTACCATTTTCGAGCGCAGGGATCGACTTGGCAGCGGTGTTTGGGCGCTCGATGACGAACCGGGCAAGTGCGAGGTGCTCTTTGATGAGGGCGGCAGAGCCTACCCGAGGTGGGAGGAGACCGAGGAGAGACGCTGGCCCCCTTCGGCCATATACCCGGGTCTGCGGACCAACATCTCCTATGATCTGATGACCTATAGAGACTCGCCCTTTCGAGAGACCAGCGTAGACGGCCCATTTCCAAATAGAGACGCCGTAGAAGGATACCTCATGGACTGGGCGCAGAGTAGGGAGGGCGTAACACGGAACGCTCGAATGGACACCGTCGTCACCTCCGTCAGGAGGATCCGCGACCCGCCGCCCACGCAGACGAGTGGGTCGGATTCGCTGTGGAAAGTCGACAGTCGCCATCTGTGGACGGGAGAAGAGACTAGCGAAGAGTTTGGGTACATTGTGATTGCCAGCGGGCGATGCAGCATACCCTCCATCGCCCCTATACCAGGTCTCTGGAACTTCCAGGGCACCATCTCTCATTCGGCTTGGTACCGCACTCCTACCATCTACCGCGGCAAAAAGGTTGTCGTAGTGGGAAACAACAGCAGCGGCTTTGATATCTGTCGCGAGCTGCAAGGGCATATAGTACGGGACTTTGCCGGCAAGGAAGAATGGGTTCAGGATGTCAAGAGTGGCTCCACTGGTGTGGAGATCATCAATTCCATCGAAGACATCAAGAAGGCGCCGGGTATGGACTATGATCCTTTGGACGAGGCTTCTCCCGAATGGTGTAGACGGATCAAGGTTGTGCCTCGCATCTCGAGAGTGCAAGAAGATGGGAGTCTGCTCCTCGAAGACGGCCAGCAGCTCAGGGACGTAGACGTCATCATTTTCGCCACCGGCTTCTACATTCAATATGACTTCCTACACCATGACGAGGAGCCTTTTCGGAGCGTTCCGATTGTCGACGCAGCAAGAAAAGCTGTTCTCACCGAGGAAGATAATGCTCGTCTGCAACGGAGGATCGAAAAGCAGCGAGATGGTCGTCCTTTTAAGACTGCCACGCCAGCCAACACAGGCCCGAGCAACCTGGACGACTGGTACCTGCTGTATGCAGGTGACAAGTCCGTCGCCATTCTTGGCCTCCCAACAGCCACAATCCCTTTCCCCACAGCGCAGATGCAGGCTCGGTACATTGCTGCCTACTGGGCCGGGAAAGCTTCCGAGCTCCCGCCTCTGGACAGAACGTTGCCCCCTTCTGATGCAAGTCGGTGGAGCAAGCCTCTAAGTCTGACAAAGGAGCAGCTGCAGGAAAGGGGACACATTGGCGGACCGATGCCCCTCATCTTTAGTAGCCCGAGCGACAGCGACTATCTCGATGGGCTGCTGCGCTACATTCCTGGTGCAGGCGGTCCGCCCCCTTGGCAGGAAAAGGCACTGCACGCTTCGCAGCACACGCTCGAACAGCCCAATGGCCATCTGTCAAGTCCAGCGACAGTTGAAGACCTCAAGACGGAGGCTGCTACTGCTCACCAGGAGTCCAACAAGGCCACTATTTCCAAACCGCTGCAGCAACCTGCAGAGCAGCGCAAGCCTTTCACTTCGGAGGAGGAGGCAAGGCAGTATTACCTCTCGACTCTCAAGTCGGGTCTCATGGGTGGAACTGAAGCGTCTTATGATGTCACGGCTTGGAGAAGACAGAGGCGCACGGAGAACAAGGAGCTGAGGCGGAACGTGTTGGGATATTGAACACGGAAAGTATGGCGGGTGTGCATTTGTACTAATACAGAGACTGTGATAGAGATGGGAGTCTTGCAGAACCCCAATCTATAGATCTTCAATTGTGATATACTGGGCTTAGATCAACCCCGATTCATCGTGTTGCCTGCACCACGCTTGTTGCTCTCCTTGAATTCGTCCCACTCAATAGCCTCACGCCGTGCCTCCTCCTCGGCTTCTTGCGCCTCAAGCGTCCCATCGTTTTCTGCTCGCAGAGCCCTCGACTCTCGCGGCGTAGGCTGAGCAGCGCCAGCAGCTCCTCCGCCCTGGATGATATTCCCTCTCCTCTCCTCCTCCTCGAGGTACTCGTCGATGCTCATCGTCGGCAGACGATGGCCTGGCCTGAAGACGCCCTCTCTGATCCTCTGTCGCTCGTCCAGATCGTGGACCGGTGCTCCTCCGACCATCTGACCATTCGCGCCAAGAGTTTGTGGCTTTCCGTTGGAGGCAGTAATGGTGAAAGGCCGGAGAGGCTTGCCCTTGTCGTCCATCAGCGGGCCAGGTGTGGAAGCGTCGAAGCGCCTCTCTAGCCTGAAGTCGTCGCTACCGCTGCCACCTCGCCTCCTTTCCAGCTCGGCCTCCTCTCGCGCTTGGCTCTCCCTGGCGTCTCTGGCCGCGCTGGCTGGTATATTGGACAACAGCTTGATCTCGTCGTCCATTGCAGCGAGGTTGTTGTAAGCCAGCAGGGCATGGAGCTGCAGGAGCATCAGCAGATATGCCCTCAGATTGGTCGGTGGAGAGACTGTTGTGCCGCCTTGGCCTCCACCGTTCTGTTGTCCTGCCGAACCTCTCTCGCTCCGGCCCGTACCGGACACGAAGGCGCTCGCTCCGGACTCTTCTTCCTCTTCCTCTTCGTCTTCCTCGCCTTCATCCCTCCCTCTCCGACGAGGGAGCACGAGAAGATCCCATTGCGCCTCTTCGGGCTCGTTCAAGGTGGCCGACGACGAGCTACCAGTGGAAGTCCCTGTTCCGGGCACGCTCAGACCGCCGCCTTGATTCACTCCTGCCTTGGCTCTCGCTGCGTGGCGATACTCATCGAGAGCAGTCTTGAAAGCACGTTCCAGCTTGAAGAGAGCGACTTTGAGCTCGCGTCTTTGGTGAGGATTGGTGGGTAGACTCGCAGCGATCGAGCTCGATGAGGTTCGTGGGGCGGAGAGAGGTCGGAGGAGGGAGGCGAGGAGGTGGAACGGGGATGTAGGAGGAGAGGAGGAGGAGCCAGTCTTTGGTAAGATGTTGAGGTCGAACAAGGTTCGGACGAAGGTGATATAGTGTGTCTGGAAAAGGACAGCACAGTCGCAGGAAGTGTCAGCCTACCCGTCTCGTCTGCTCCGCCACGTCCTCACTGTACCCACCCGGCCGGCCTGTAACCGCGACTTCCTAGCTTGCGGATCTCCCATCGTTCTCACATTGCCCTCGACCTCCGCCCAGACACTGTGAAGAAACAGCGCCCGCAGAGTACTAGTAGGCAAGTCCTCCAGCGTGTCGTTGTCCGAGAAGAGGGAGAGCGAGTTGGCAAGGGTGTTGCATCGCTCGATGAGACTTAGCAGGCGAAGGGCAGGATCTTCCTGGGAGGACGCGGCAGCCGAAGTAGATGGTTGAGGAGTTGGCGGCGATGCTGGCGAGGATGCTTGTGCAAAGATGGATGTTAGAAGGGATGTAAGCGAGCTCGGCTGCGGCTGGCTGTGAGTAGCCATGATAGGAGGATGCTGAGGATGTAGTGCTGGGGTGGTAGTGCAAGGGGAGCGTCGTCATGCACACCTTCTGAACGGACCAGGCCCAAATTATCGTGATATCTGATCGGAACGGAAGGACGGGATCTGTGCGCGGTCCTCGGCTGGCATCGGATGCCCTCGATCCACGGCCTCCCCAGTCTCGGAGACAGCCATCGCCCGCTTCTTCTTTTCCACAATCATCACCACCACTCATACCCTTTACCCGTCATCATGAGCTCCTTCCGCCTCGCTGCTCAAAGGCTGCCCGCCGCCGCACTGCGCCCGGCACTGGCTCGCCCAATGATGGCTCGAATCGCGCCAGCAGCTCCCATGGCCGTGCGATTGTACTCGGACAAGCCCACCCCCGAGGCAAAGGCTTCGTCCTTCATCGACTCGCTGCCAGGCAACTCCCTCGTTGCCAAGACTACCTGGATCACTCTCGGTACCGGACTGTCTGCCGTAGCCATCTCCAAGGAGCTCTACGTAGCCAACGAGGAGTCGGTCATCCTGGCTGGTTTCCTCATCTTCACTGTTCTCGTCGGAAGGATGATCGCCAAGCCTTACGGACAGTGGGCTGATGGACAGATTGAGGTGGGTATCTCATGAGCCGAACGCTGCATATATGAGAGAAGGTCAAGGGAGAGGAAGAGGGAAGAGCTTGTGTGGGAGCAGGTCGGGCAGACAAATAGTGTGGAGGGGAGATGTACGGGCACCAATTGAGGCAGAAGGAGTCACACAGAGATATGAAGACCTGCATCGATGCTAACCACCTTCGGTCTTGTACCACACCTCGTCAACCCATCACAGAAAGTCAAGGACATCCTCAACTCTGCCCGTGAACAGCACACCAAGGCCGTCCAGACTCGCATCGACTCTGTCGAGCAACAAAAGGACGTAGTCTCGCACACCAAGGCTCTCTTCGATGCCGCCAAGGTGCGTACTTCACGGCCTCTAGTCGGACCACAGTCTGAGATTGTTGCTGACCCGAGCCTGCCTCGCTATCCTTGCATCCCTCGTTATACGTTGTAGGAGACCGCCGAGAACGAGGCCGCTGCCTTTGAGCTGCGTCAGCGAACCGAGCTTGCCTCCGAGGTCAAGGCCGTCCTTGACTCGTGGGTGCGATACGAGGGTCAGCAGCGAGAGGAGGAACAGCGTCAACTGGCACGATCCGTCATTGAGAAGGTGACAGCTTCGTTGAGGGACGAGAAGACGCAGAAGCAGATTCTGGACGACGCCGTTGCTGAGATCGAGCAACTCGTCAAGAACAAGGCCATCTAAGGCTGGAGTAACTAGCGAGCAGAGTGAGGTTCGAGGCAGCGGCGGTGTGTATTGTTAGAAGGAGGGACAGAGCATTGTTGGAGGATAGGCCGGACTACCCTGGTCTCCTTCGGACCTTCCTAAATCGAAAATCGATCTTCGCACAAACCTCTTACACGAGGATCCGTAGGCCGGAACGTGATGCTTGGCACGACTGCGTACATCCTCCTGACCCACTCTCTCCTGATTGCACGGCCCCTGAGTTGTTGGTAGTGCCTTGGCGTGCATAAGTACTGGACGGGAGGGGGCAGATCCGCCCGTTGCCGGTAGTCCTGGGAGCGCGATCCGTCGGCCCGGCCCCTTTGACTGTTTGTCCCCGCGCTCAGGGGCGATATCGACACTTCGAGAGAATCGTCCTAGGGGCGACATTGCTGCTTGGCTGGTAGTGCATCCTCGGCTTACTGTCCTGCGCTCTCTATGGAATTATGTATATATACAGGCACTGCCGCCCCTCTTGGCAGCAGAATCTTCAACCTCATCCTTTCCACTTGACTTCACTTCCTACTATTCTACTCTACCCACCAGACTCCCAAACCAGATCTCACTATGCTCTTCAACTCTGCCTCCCTCCTCTGCGCCATCGCCGTCGGTGCCATTGCCGTCAGCGCTACCCCCGTCAAGATCAACCGTAAGCCCGTTGACGCCACCGAGTACTTCACTGGTGACCAGACCGTCAAGAAGGCCGAGTACATCTACTACGGTCACGGTCTCGATGGTGTTTCTCGTGAGGACGACGAGTTCGTGAGTGCAGCGGCGTGGTACAGTGGTACTTTGCAGAATGAGACACAGCGTTGACGTTACCCCTCTCTTTCGAATCATACCCTTTTTAGTGCGTCGAGTGGACCCAGGCTTCTCAGGCTCTTGAGCAGAGCGGGGGTGTGAACCTGATGTCTCAGGGCTGCCAGGTTGTTGACTACGATCAACAGGTCGCTGCGTGAGTAGCACACGAGAGGCCTCCTGGTTGAGAGACTATCCTGACCTTGTTTCTCTCTCAAATTGTGTCCACAGCGTCTGGTCCACCGAGGCCCAGAACCGCGGCCACACCTTTGACCGTACTGGACCCGTAGGATACAGCATCCAGGGCACCACCTGGGTAACCCCCAAGAAGGACCGATACATCGGCCACGGTAACGGCACATGTGAGAAGGTCGTCAAGGGCTGGTGCCGTGACAACAACGTCTCCCGCACTGGTTCCGACCTTACCGTCAGCGCTTAAAGATTTGTCGAAAGCTTGAGGCCTCTCGCGAATGCGATCTGCACCTCCAAGATGGTTTTGTTGAATTCTCGTCCGTTCGCTGAATACCGATAATACCGATAATACCTGCCCTTGAATCCGCTGTTGTCGCGCCTGTCTTTGTTGCTCTGTAATGTCTGGTAAATTGCTCAGTCTGCATCATCTGTACACTCGCCCCAGAGTCCCTGCAAAGGGGGGTCAGCTGTGAGCTGTATCGCTTCGCCGTCTATTGTCGGTGTACATCTCTGCGATACCCTAGAGCCGGACCTTGACGCCTCAACTGTCCGCGGGTGAGTCCGTGATACCTCGACGGCTTTTGGTACGCATCTCTCGAGGGCGCCTTTGAACGGTGTCTGACGCAGCAGCTCCGAGGCTCATACGAACTGATCAGGCGACGCGACCCTCACAGTCTGCGGATGATCGGTGCCTACCGTGCTGGCCCTGGCCTGTGTGTCCGTCTGCTGACTATCAATTCCCCGGTCGCCAAGCTCCGTCGTGACATTGTCTATTGGTCGTTCTTCATACAGGGTCTTCAAGGACTTCATCCTGAGAATTCCTTCTAGAAAGCCGAGGAACACTCTGAGAATGTTCTGTATACTGAGCGGGCCGAACAAAATATGGCGACGCATCTCCGTCGATTGCAATTCACACCCCTGAACCGCGCCATGCCAAGGCGCCCTGAAAACTCCAATCAGGGGCCGTGCGATCCTCCACACCTTTGCCGGCGGCCTAGAGGCAGAGCATTGCCACTACCGATGTGACCATCCGCACAGGTACCAAGGGGTCAAGCAATGTACGCAGGGACAATGTTGTCGGGACCCCTATGTCCGCGGCTCCGTAGTCCCTCTACTGTACAAGCGGTCAGGAGGGCCCGGACGACCAGCCCCTGGCCTTGACCAGTGCTCAGCGATCACAGCTCGGAGGTCTATATAATGTCGCCTCTGCTCGCCCTTGTGCCAGACATTTTCCTCATCCACTCACCTCACACTTCACTCCACTCCACTACACCCACACCCACCCCAACTTCCCACATACTTCGCACTTTCACAATGCTCGCCAACATCGGTACCCTTGTTCTTGCCTTCAGCGCTGCTGCTGCTACTGTTGGTGCTGCCAGCATCGAAGAGAGGGCCAACAACCGACCCCACAACGCTAACGAGTACTTCAACAACAGCCATATCAAGCTTGCTGAGTACATCTACTTCGGTCCACACGGAAAGTTCGCCGGTCCCACCCCCGAAAGCTTTGTGAGTACTCTACCATCGTCCACTTCACGAGCCTCGAGTATTGACCTCTCAGAGTCATCATTGCTCCTTCATTTCTCCAGTGCCCTTACTGGCATGAGCAGGCTAAGACCTTCGAGCATGACGGATCCAGGATCTCGGCCCACTGTGTGGTCGTCGACGAGAAGCACAGCGTCGCTGCGTGAGTCATCTACTGCTGTCGCCTGCAAAGTTCGAGAGTCTGAACTGACTTTCTTTCGTCTCACCTGAGCTCATCAGTGTCTATGCAACGGAATACAAAGGCGATGGCCACCCTCTGTCTCAGACTGGCCCCGTTGGCTACTCTATGAAGGACATCGACTTTGTCACCGTCAAGACCGGTCCTTCCTACAAGGCCGGTGGCACATGCGAGACGATCATTGACGCCAAGGGCTGGTGCCGCAACAAGTTTGTTCCCAACTACGGCGTTGACCTCAGCACCGTCGATGCTGACGGCAACGACGTTGACACCACCGACAGCGCTGACAGCGACGAGTAAACTCATCGCCTTGCTGCATGTGTGGTAACCCCTCGCCTACATCGCCCCGCCAGCTCAGCTAGCAACATCCATGTCACCGAAACACCACTTCTCCACGTCACCCTCGTTCCGTCCGTGCTCTGTTAATACTACCCATGCTTTCCTTTGAGTATTTGTGACCTGCAGCTTGGGACTGCCTCGGTCACCGAGCGGCGACTTAGACAAGCGTGCGGAGTGTGATCTTTCCGAAGGTAGAGCTTCACCTTCTCGCTTCTTCCTAACTAACACACACTCGATCCACGCGTCGCCCTCTTCTGCCCTGCTCCTGAGACGATGCTGAGATCGTCCTTGAGAGGCTTACGCTCTTTTCAGAGGTCGTTCTCCACGTCAGGTGCAGCGAGGCTGACTGCAGAAGGCGACCGGCTCATCCTAGGCATCGAGAGTAGCTGTGACGACTCGTGCGTGGCCCTCCTCTCTGCACCGCCAAGCTACACAGCTTCTTCTATCGCTTCTACCTCTCGGTATACCCTCGATGAGATCACAGACGGGCAACGGACCTCAAACAGCCCGGGAAGAGGACGTGCTAGAGTACTGGTCTCCAAGGTGCTACGACAGGATCACTCGCAAACTCAGGGTATCCACCCCCTCTTCGCCCAGCATTATCATATGGCGGCCATGCCCCTCGCCATTGAGCAATGTCTGGCGGAAGGTGGTATCAGCTCAGATGGGAGGGAGGTAGATGGGATTGCGGTGACTCAGGGGCCGGGCATGCCTGGTTGTTTGAGCGTAGGGCTTACCACTGCGAAGACATTAGCAGCTACATGGGTGAGCGAGACTGGAAGGAAGGACAGGCTGAAGGAGCCACCGCTGAACCGGATCTCTTCTCTTCGCAGAAGAAGCCTTTGATACCGGTCCATCACATGGAAGCGCATGCACTGACTCCCTTCCTGACAGAGAATGAGAACACCAAGGAGCCCCTTGCCTTCCCGTTCCTAACACTACTCTTGTCCGGTGGTCATACGATGCTGGTTCTAGCTAGTGGGGTAGGGAGGTACAAGATCCTAGCCTCTACATCAGATGACTCGATAGGGGACGCATTTGACAAAGCAGCCAAGCATCTAGCCATTCCCACAGACTGGCTGCGTCAGTCTCCTGGGGCCTCCCTCGAAGCCTTTGCCGCTCAAGCTCCCCCGCCCACATCTCCAAAGGACGCGATTCCCAGATTCACGCTGCCGCTGAAGGGCAAGCCGGAGTTCTCTTACTCTGGCATCAAGAGTGGGTTCAAGCGCCGGTTGGACGAAGCTGTTGCTGCTGCAGGTTGCGAGAATGTCGAAGAGCTGCCGACTGCTACAAGGCAGATGTATGCCCGGGCCTTTCAGGCGGCCGCCTTCGCTCAGGTGGAGGACAAGCTCGGTCTGGTGCTGGCAAGGCCGAACGAGGAAATTGAAAGCGAGATGGGTAAGAAGGATGTCGTTCGACCTCAAGAGTGGGATAGCGCTGCTGGGCTGGACGATTGCAAGCATCTGGTAGTCAGCGGTGGTGTAGCTGCCAACTCTGAGCTCAGGAGGCGGCTCAGATCGATCTGGAAAGAGGAAGAGGGCCGCCACCTCGTCTTTCCACCTATAGAATACTGCGTAGACGTGAGTATCGCTTGAAACACTTGGTGCAAGAGCAGAGCAAATTGATTGACCTCTCCGTTGCTCCTACAGAACGCAGCTATGATCGCGCACCTGGGTCTTCTCCTGTACGCATCTCACTGCCCCCCTAGAGAGGAGGCTTTTGCTGCATTGCCGCGAGGAAAGTGGTCCATGGAGGACCTTGCCTCTTAAGAGCAACAGAGAGCCCACTGCTCAGATGAACGCGTTGTCATCTCCGTGTCATGCTGATCCGACGCCGGGCTGAGTACACGTAGCTGAGCCCAAACTACCTGCACACGGAAGTTGACGATACGATGTTGTGCTCATCAAGGTGCGCATATGCGTACCTCGGGTCCATTCCGGCTCGAAGTGCGCGAGTTGATGAAGATGGCACTTTAGCACTGTATCTATTCGATGCGGCTCGACACTGGTGGGGCAATCAAGAGCCGATTGTAAAGGCGAGAGCAAAGGTACAAGGTGGCGAAACCCTGCTGCACCGCAAACAACCCCTTCCTTCCTCAGCCTGCTCCTCGTCATCAACAAACTCGCCATGCTCCCCACCACATTCATCCTGCCACACCCTGGAAGCTCTCGCCCCCGTCACCTACCGTCTCGCCTTCTACTCTCGAGGTATGCTGTATGTGCTGAGGTCTTTGGAGTACTGAACACCTCTTTGAGTTGGTAGGCCTGTGCGTTTTGCCTTTCTTGAGGGTGACATCTGGGTCCAGTCGACAACAAGACATAGAAGCCTTCAGGCACGTCTGGACAAGGTCGTTCACGAGCATCATCCCGCATCCAGGCGCCGCGATGAAGCTTGATACTTTGACTTCGTCTCAAGCCACTACAGAGGTAGAGCTGGGTGGCAGTGAATCTGAGGCCGACACAACATCAGCCGAGGTGATCCCGGGGGATCATACTGCACTCGACAATGCAGACAAGCTGTGAGTATCTGAGGGCGATCGATAGCTTGATGCTGATGTGCATCGTTCCTCGCCTCGATGCAGCTGCTGACCCGTCCCTCTCCCCCCTTTTACTCTCACAGGATCAACAACTATGTCCACCAGTATCTCATCGAGCGAGGCTACCATCAGACGGCAGACTGCTTCAAGGACGAGCTGCCTGAAGACATCGCGGGTAACATTTCCTCACAAACAGCCGATTGTGTCAACGTTGGATTTCTAGGTGATTGGTGGATGCTGGTGCAAGACGTCATCCCTCTCTTCAACTCTACGCCTGGAGGTCAACAGACGGCACAAACTGAAAGCACAAGCGTTGGCATATCCGGACCCTTGTCTTCATCATCTGGACCTATCTCTACGTGCTGCGAAACTATCAGGCGAGACGGGTGTGATCATCCATCGGCTAATGTAGACCGACTCTTGGCTCTGAGCTTCGCACAAGTCCGATCTGGGCCCCAGCCAGAAGATCACCACCAGAATGAGCATACGCATATATCACCGCAGATGCTGCATCGCAGTCCATCTGCTCCCCGAATTGCAGACAAGCCTCTCGCATCGACGTCCTGGAGTATGGCACCTGATAGAGGCTATCGTTTGCACATGCCCTCCATGGCGAAGCCCATTCAAGTCGAGCTGGTCGGAACGCCTGCCCCATCGTTTGCACCTCCCTCGACACCACCATCGCCGACCCCAGAGGTCTCCGCTCCTGCTGCATCTGGTAGCAAGAAGAGGCAAAGGGTAAGAAAGCCAGCGACAGGGCCACCGAAGACAAAGACAACTACGGCGGCGCGCCCAACGAAGAGAAGACGATCGCAGACAGTCACCTCCAGGACCAAGGTCATTGGCGAGGAAGGAGGTGATGAAGGAGTTCGTGTTCTTGATCGGTGTGCTGCGAGCCCTCTACCGTCGAGTGAGTCGGAGCAAGGATGGTTGTGCCATGATCCACGTGTCATTCGAAGTCTAAAATACTGATGATCCTCTTCTCACCTCGCACTGGTGATGCGTAGCTCAAAGCTATGACTATGGAGGATCCCCCCTCAATGCTCGTCATGAGAAGCTCGACAGTGCGCAAGACAGCTGCGTGCGCATATTCGAAGAAGGCCTACCTACGATCGATGATGCTGCAGCAGACGCCGCTTTGATGGCAGAGCTTGCTCGCTATGCTGCCTCATACGAGCCCGCTACTTCATCTCAACCACGAGATCGACAAGATCCTGCCTCGTCATCAACGGCCTCGAGCGGTCTCAACGCCTCTTTATGGGCCCAGGTCGCTGCTCAACCCGGACCCGCCTTCGTTGGGGTAATGACAAACAGCTCAACAAGCCAACCATCACTGATGCTTCTCCCAGACTTAACGCCTCTCACTGCTCAGCAAGAGATGTCGTTCCTTGAGTGCGATCCCTTCAATGTCATCGGCAGCACCAGTGGGAGCAGTCACCATCAAGGCTCGACTGTGCAAGGCTCGGATGAAGTCTCGCGTCAGCCAGGCTTCTCTGTGCCTTGGACTCCTACTGAGGCGCCACAGCCTGTCTCAACCCATGCCAATGGGTCTTCTGTGTTACACCCTACCATCAACGTACCTCTCCTTTGTGGCCAAGACTCGGACCTTGATCTTTTCCCCGCCTTGCGGGATCAACTTTTGCCAGTAGCAAGAAAGGCCAAGCGCTCTGGTGACGTGCTTTTAGCCCATGAGGAAGATGCGACGGCAAGTCAAGAACCAATCTATTCCTACTTCAATCCGGCTGGGGAGACGATGAGCTTCCAGCCTGCATCGCCGACGGGCTTGAGCATGTCATACGGCGAGACGAATTCCTCATTTCGGGTCCAGACGAGTCAACAGACTTGGCAGGATTACTCTGAAGACGTGAAGCCCACGCAACGACTGACACAGGACAAGAGCAACTGCCAAGCACAAGTGGCGAGAACGAGTGGCCCTACATTCACACCCGTTCGAGCGCACAGCGCAAGCCACCTCTCCCGTGCAGACCTACCATCTTCGCTGTCCACCTCTGTCACCCCGGCTCGCCCGGCTACTCACGCCGGGCATTCCCAATCTCATTCCACCGCAAAGGGGGTCACTCCTTTTACGCACCTTTCACGAAGGTCCGTCTCGCACATCGCGAGTGAACTTGCTCCTTGGTCGTACGGAGCAACCCACCATGCCCATGCCCATGCCGATGGCCAGAATGCAGTGTCTAGCCAAAGAGAAAGCGATGTCGTCAAGCAGGCCCTTCACCATCTATCAAGCCCAGAAAAGGCCGGAGACAACTCCAAGTCCAGCGCAACGAGCAGCGAATCCCTCTTTCCCTTGTCCTTCAGCACCACCACCAGGACTACCCCCATTGTCAATAGCAACAGCAGTCCACACTGTCAGCAGCAGTCCCAGCCTCCCCTAGGTATCCCACCGCACTGCATCGATTTCGACTTCGACACGAGCGCAAGCTCGAGCGCAAGGGTGGGCAAAAACGTGAGCATGAGCAAAGCAACGACCGAAGCGGATCGACGGATGGCAGCCAAGTTGCAACGGGGTATGCTGGCGCAGGAGCAGGCGAGGGAGAAGATGGTGGAGTATTTCAGACCAAAGGTGAAGTCGAAGTCTGAGGAGGGCCAGGGGGAGGAGGACGGAGGGTAAGTAAGTGCGGGAGGGAGGCAGAGAGAGGCTCAATGACTAGACTAGACATTGTCCTAGCTCTCCCTCGTGCCATTGTCCCAGCTCTCCCTCGTGCCATTGCCATTGCCATCACGCAATAAAGTGTAGATGCAACAAGTGTCTTGTCTTGCATTGGCAAAGTTGATTGAAGCTGGAGCTGGAGCCTGAGCTGGAACTGAATAGGTCTATATACAATTGGGGGCTAGCGATCCATGCATGCGTGTAATCCATCGACTCGTTGCAGTGAAGAGGAGGAGGAGGAGGAGCAGTGC